TTCATGTATTTTTCCAACCTCACGACGGGTACAACTAACCCGCCAACCTTCCTTCCTTGCTGTGATGACCGGGTGTGACCTACCGGCAGCAAGCAACTCCTCACAAACAGCAGGCACCATGTTACCCCCGCCCGCCACCCCCTGTTGCCCCAGTCAGTCCCCGCGTCCATGTATGCTCACGCGCTCCCACCTTCCACACCTGTACACACACATTAGCGGCAAGTACCACCAGCATGAAGGTCCGCGACGCAGCAGGCATGTACGTGTCAGTCACCGCCAGGGTGTACGACAACACTGGCGGTGTACGACAACACTGGCGGTGTACGACAACACTGGCGGTGTACGACAACACTGGCGGTGTACGACAACACTGGCGGTGTACGACAACACCGTACGTCAGAGATGTGTCGCGCGCATCTCATGACATGCTTGCTTATTTGCAGCGGAGGGTAAGAGAGCGGGTAGTAAAGGAAAGAAGTGACACAGCGGCACCATTTGTGTCGTGCGTGCCACACACATGGATGCAGGGAAGCAATGGAGTGAGTCATCAGGCATCAGGCACTCCTCTCTACTCATGTAACTCCGCCCGACCCGCCCCCGCCCGCCCCTGTTCTACCCACTCCCCGGCCGCCATGGACGGTACACGGTAGTGCTGCTTCCTCCCGAGCCCAGTAGGCCAGCCCCTGCACACGAACCCCCGCCGCCACTGCTGCTAGGATCGTGCCCCTCTTGTTACCGGCAGTTCTTATCAGAGAGCTGGAGTTTGGAGAGCAAGCTTACTAGGCTCCCACTTGATGACCTGTTGTTATTATTAGAAGCACGTCGCGTTGTTGGATGTGCTCTTTGCGAAAGAGCCCCCGACTGGTCCGCTGCAAGATTACAACCGGCTGGCAAGGTCCAACAGTGCGTCCGAAAGCAAGAAGCAGCCAACCAAGCAAGCGAACAGGTTGCCGGCTAGTTGTGCCGCAGCGTACATACGCACGGCGGCCTCAAACAGGCAAATACCAAAGATCGACTTTCAAGCGGGGCACTTGCGGGCTTGCCTTGCTTATTTTGTAAGAACACAGGCCGGGTCGGTGTAGTAGCTAGAATAGTGAAGTCGCTTGTTTACTAAGCTTTTGAAGAACGAACGCAAAACTGCGCGAGTGGGTGGACGGCGCGGGTAAGTACGCACGTCGAGTATGCGTGTAAGCACGTGCCTGCTGTGAGCATGTCGCTCAGGTTCCGGTGTACCTCTGCCCCTAACCTTAACCTGCTGCGCGCAATGTTTCACAGCATGCCTTCAGTAATTTAATTTACTAAACCCATTGCTCGGAAGCCTTACGCATGCAGGGAACACTCGTTAAGAAGAAACAGTCACGTGACCTTGTCGAGGCGCGATGCGCCGTAATCGATCGAGATTCGGTCGAGACCCGCCCACTCGCGTTGCGGTACAACATAGTTTGCAGCAGACGTATATGCAGAAGCTAACAACGTATGAAAGCGGTGCGCCATTTCACTCCGGCACAGTGTAGCCTCCCGGACATCTCTTTCCGTATTTACTTTTCTCTATCTAACCCCTTAAGCCTGCACCTGCTGTATACTAATTGCCGGTGCGGCATCTCCCGGTATAGGTAGGCGTGGGTCATTTTTTGCTGTCCACCCAGCGCGCAGGTGGTGAATCTGAAACGGTCGATATCGTCAGGAGCCAACACGTATAAGTCCAACTATGGCCCGCCGGCCGGCTGGTCGCGGCCCTCCGCTGCTGCTAATGGTGGCAGTGCTGGCGTCGTTCTGCGTTCTGCTGCTGCCGCTTGCGGGTAGGCGTCGTCGAGCGAGCGAGTGACCCATGGGTCAGCAACGCCGGCTGGTCCTTAGACGGCTAGTTGTACCAAAACAAAGCTCATAACCTGAAGCCTACACGGGCCGTGTCCCATGTCGGTGAACTAAAATATCCCAGCAGGATTCCCATAACGTCTTACTTGGGCCCAGCCAAGCCAGGCCTACTCCCCCTTTCACAAGCCGCATTGTATCTAACAATCTGCTGCATGCATGCATGCGCAGTTGCGAACGCTGATGACAGGAGCCTCAAGGCGGCCAGCAGCGACGGCGGCCTGCTGGGCGACGTCGACGGGTGGGTGACCCAGAAGTGCGTTCGTACGGCTATCGCACCTACCCTTCATCAGCCCCTCCTCGATCAGATTGCAGTGCGCATGCGTTCCTTCCACTACCTCCAGCAGCTCCTGCGCCCATGCATGCATACCAGTCCCACCCGACATCCCGTGTATTCCTGCCTGCCTACACCGTTCACAGCAGTTGCTCGCATTGTCGTCCCTCGTCAAGAAACCTGCATGCAAGTTCCCGCCTTCCATACCTAAGAACCTAACCCTGCTGGCTTGCTTGCTTGCTTTCATGCACGCACGCATGCAGAGGTCGTCAGCTTCTGGAGGAGCGGGCGCGCGGGGAGGTGGGTGGGTCTGTCGGCTAGATAGATACGTAGCTTGCCCATCAAGCAAGTGCGCGACAAACGTGTACGACACACTTGTAAGACAAACGTGTAGCTCCCCGCTTCCGCTGGTGCTCGTATATATGCTGTACGACTAAAAGCCAGTGCTGCCCTACGTTTCCGAGCCAGTAGCACTGCTTGCATAACCATACAATACTTACTCGATGCCGCCATGCATCCATGGCCCCATGCATGGCATCTTCCTCGACCGCCCAACAGGGCCGTAGCCTCCTGGAGATCGCCGCTCAGCTTACCGCTGCATCCGCCGCTGCTGACGGGTAAGGCGGGAGGGAATACATGGGGGATGAACGACAAGGGAAGAAGACGTACTCGTGCGTGTACGTATGTGTGTACGGCAGGCAGCGAATAGGGAGGATTATGGATGGTGCACTGCTGGTCTATCTATAACGTGCATGCGCAAGATATGGAGATGCATGTTTTCTTGCTTGTGTAGCTGGTGGTGATGGTCTCCCTCGATGAATACCTTGCTTCTAGGCCTTTCCTAATCACTCCGTATCGTACCGTAGCTGTAGCGAACGACAAAAACACATGAATTTTACGTGGTCATGGGCCCTACTGAATTACTCCGTCCTGGTGTTCCCTCAATGCTTGCAGTGGTGGCGACTGGGATCGCCGAAGCCTTCTGCAGTCGGGCGGCGGTGGCGGCGGCAAGGGCGGCGGCGGTGGCGGCTATGGCGGCGGTGGTGGCAAGGGCGGCGGTGGCGGCGGCTATGGCGGTGGTGGTGGCAAGGGCGGCAGTGGCGGCGGCTATGGCGGGGGCTACGGGGGCTGGGGCGGCTGGGGAGGCGGGTGAGTTGTCGCAAGCTAGCTAGGGGTTCTGTGATTGGTTGCTAGCTGGCTATCATTATTGGCCAGATGTGCTGAGCCCTTGAAGTGGCATGTGATTGTGTAAGTTTGCCCTTATTCGGGTGCAGGGAGGCGCACCAAAATGGTGTCTTTGGTGTTCTGCAACTTGAAAGTGAGCATACTCTTGGGGAATAGTGCTGTATAGAGCTCCATGGGTCGCCCGAAACCATACATCTTACGTCAAGCTGAGTCAGGTTCATGTGCATGTTCGGTTGTTTTCTCTTTTTGCTTGTAGGGGCAGTGGCGGCGGCTGGGGACGCCGGAGCCTGCAGCAGTACGCCGGCTACGGTGGTGGCGGCGGCGGTGGCGGCTACGGCGCAGGCTGGGGCGGCTACGGCCGGCGTGGAGGTTATGGCGGGGGCTACGGTGGCTGGGGCCCCTGGGGAGGCGGGTGAGTCTTAAGATACCGGTGGGGGCGGGTCTTGTGACTTGTTGCTGACCGGATCGACTGGTGGGAGTCGTGCGTGTTTGGTCTTAAAAGTGGCATGCATGCGTGCCGTCTTGGGAGTTTTGCCACGGTTAGTGTGAGCGGTAGGGAGTCCCATTCTACCGGGCGTGCACCTCAGCTGAATATGCTTGCCCTGCCTCCTGCTCCTGTCTTCCTTCGCTTGCAGAGGCGGTGGCGGCGGCTATGGACGCCGACTGGCGTAGGGCAACGCTGCCTAAGCCATCAAGTCATCAGCGGACTCGGCTTTGAAAACTGCAGTACGAATGCATGTCTACTTTGAGTATGCTCTAGGGCTGCTGGTTGGCCGGCGTTGAGCGCATGTTCAAGTTGATTGCTGAGATCCAGCACCTGCTGAGATCCAGCACCTGCTGAGAATAGTACACACGCACACTGGATGCCGCATAGCTGGGGTTATTATAGCTCTCTTGTGTATGTGTGCGCAACACCGTCGGATTGTACAATATATGTACAATATTCACAATTGAGCAACCAATAAATGTATTTGCTGTTTTGCCTGGGGTATCCAGGCCATGGCCCCTGCTGCGGGGTGTAAGCTGGGTTGAACCTTCTCAAACCCGGGTACCGTATGTAGTTGCGCGTGGGTAGGATTCGTGTCGCTGTACGGGCAGTTGTGTTTTAATTGAGCATGCTGTACATTGTACGGCACGCTTGTTGACAAGACAGTGGCACTTTCTCTTTCTCTTCTGTAAGAATGAGCTAGCGCCCGGTACGAGATACACATTTCTTGCGTAAAAGGCTACCAGCAGGGTTCGAGGCATGTCAATGCACCTTGCTGGGCTAAAGTCACCTTACTGCTTGGTCCTACGGTGTAGTCCTTCCTAAAGTCCCCTTGACTTCGTCGTTAAGTTTCTTTCGTTCGTGAAGGTTGATGCTGCAAGGAGTTTGCCAGGCAAGCTCAGCCAGGCAAGCTCAGCGAAAGGCAATACGCATTAGTAAGGAGTACTGCAATACTAAGCAAGTTGGGGACTTGGGACCAAGTGGCTTTATGGGCTGCTAGGATTGGTACCATAACTCTCAGGAAGGACGCAAAATCCTTAAAAGCGATTTATGCAAATAAAGCGGCGCACCTCGAAGGGGCGACAGCGGGACACCCGGAGACCCGGTCGCCACCACAAAGGAGCTCCGAGACCAGTAATTCAAGCCGAGTCGCAAGATGTCGCTTGTACTGAACGTTTGTTACTTGTTTGTGGTTTTATTAGATGAGAGGAATAAACTGTTAAGATAATTTTAGGAAATGTGCCCAACGCCTGCACATTAGCTTGCAGCATACAGTATCCATGATTGGCTCCTCACGGGAATTTCCCCTACGCACTGACTTTCTATGTAATAGTTCTTGTTACTGATCCCCTTAGTCGCGAATAAGAAGCCTGGTAGTAGGGCTCAGTCTGGCACACGTGAGCAGGAGTGCAGCACCTCTAGGCACGGCGAGTCGTCCGCAGCGCACCGCCCCGACCACATCGCGCCCGATCGACACGTCCACTGCAACCGCAACCACCCCCTTGTCACCCTGCCGCACAACCGGCTGACGTCTCGTAACACCCCGTCTGCCGTACACCTGCAGCTCTTCCCAGTTCCCGCCCCTGGTCTATTTCCCACTCCCAACCGGCCTCGCCCGATGTCGCCGCCCTTGTCGCACCAACACCCGCCCAGCTGCTGCGACTGGCGGCCCCGAGTGGGCCGCTACGGCGCCAGGCACGCCACCTCATGCGGGGCCATCAGCGGCCCTGACAAGCGGTCCACTCGGGGATTCCGGAGCAGCAGCAGCAGCAGCAACACCGGTCGAACGACCCGGATGCTCACACTGACCACAGCGCCCAGACAAGGATGCAGAACCCGTTACGTAAACTGCCGTACACTGGCGATGCTAAGGCTCAACCGTAATGCTACTGCTGCAGCTGCTGGTGCTGGCAGTAGTAGCTACGGCGGTAGAAGCGGCAGCAGTGGTCATGGTCGAGGCGGCAGGATGCGGGAGCTGCTAGGTGGTCTTGGAGACACAGATGCGGGCAGGGATGTCCTTCATGAAGGAGGCAGCGGGCTGGCATTGAGCCGCAGTGGGTATGAGGCTGGCGAGGAGGAAGAGGAAGAAGAGGAGGAAGACGGGGAGGAAGAGGGACAGGATGGTTGCGAAGAGGACGGCGAGGGAGGAGAGGAGGAGGACCCGGCAGGACATGCCTTGCGCCTCTCCGTCGTGCAGGTGGGTGCGCCTGCAGTGCCCTGCTTGCGCTGCTGCTGCTGCTGCTGCCGGCGGAAAGAAAGCGCCTGCTGCTGCCTTCACGACCTCCTGCCTCTCGCCCGTTCCCTCCTACCGCATACGTCTACCCACACCTGAACCTGGCACGGCCCTTTCCACCTCCCTTGATGTGATATGCACATACAGCAATGCCTTTGCGGGTAGCTGGTTTTGGTCGATTCTTGCATAGCGTCCGACGCCTTGTGGGTTTTGCACCTCCTCCCACCCTCCTCGCCCTCCTCCCCTCTACGTAGGTTCGCACCTTGCACCGAGTGCCCAACTTCCTGCGCCCCTGGGAGGAGGGCCACGAGACGGAGTCCTCAGCTAGCGCGTTTGTGGTGGAGGTGGAGGTGGAGGTGGAGGAAGGGGAGGAGGAGGAAGGGGAGGAGGAGGAGGGCGGAGGGGGGCGCAGCGGGTGGGGTCGGGAGCTGCTGCTGCTGACGACGGCGGGAGCGGTGGAGCACCATGCGAGGAAGGTGCGGACATGGGCACGACATGCATGACACATGGCGTTCGTGTGGTTGGGCAAACCCGCCGGTTGGGTAGTTTCGGGGTAATCGATGGCCTCCTACATAGCCTAATTGATGATGATAACCTCCACCAACTATAAGCGCCATCACCGCGCTATCTCCCGCTTCCTCAACCCCCTGTTTCGCTCACGCCTTTGGCGGCATGCACGGCGCTGCAGGTAGAAGTCCTGCGCTGCGACGGCGCTGACGACGATGATGGTAATGGTGATGATGAGGCTACCTCGCGGCCCTACCCGGCCGAGGTGGCGGCGGTGTGTTTGGATCTAGATGTAGCGCTGCTGCGGGTGCCCTCACCGGACTTCTGGGGGCAGCAGAGCCGCCACCGCAGGAGGGCTGCTGCTCGGAGACACGGTGGCGGCAGCAGGGGTAGCAGCAGGGGTAGCAATAGCAGGAGCAGGATTAATAGTAGGCCGGGTTTGGTTCCCCTGCAGCTGGAGGGGCGGCTACCGCAGCTGCACTCGCCCATTATTGTGGCAGGTGAGAGGTGGACGAAAAGTGGTTTCGGATCTCGTCGGTCGGCCTGAAGGAGATAATAACCGGTAGCGATAATGACGTGCTTACCATCATACTCATCGCCATCACCACCATTACAGCATGGCAGGCAAATCTCGATGTGCCCCCACCCCCTCGACCAAACCATTGATGACGCCTTATCACACAATCAGTTATTTGTTTCCTCTTACCCAACCCCTCGAGTCCCTCGACCGCTAGCAGCCTGCCTACCATCTCCCCCTCCCCAGGCTTCCCCCTGGGTGGCGGCAGTCTGTGTGTCACCAGCGGCGTGGTGTCGCGGCTTGAGGTGGTGGAGTACTCACACAGCGGCAGGGGGATGCTGGCACTGCAGGTAGGGTGGGAAGGGGGGCGAGTAGGGGGAGAAAATGACGGGGGCTGTGTGACACGTAGGCCCCACCATGGGGCGCGAACAGGGCAGCAGAGGGGCGGGCGTAGGAGGTGGTGGTGGTGGTGGTGGTCGGCAGGGATGTATGCTGAAGCGACGCATGGAGTGGTGGTTCGGATGTGCGGCCGCCTTATTTGCTTGCTGCCCCAGACCTTGGAAGAGTCTCAGGAAGAGTGAAAGGCTACGGCATGTGTGGACGAGTCGACCGTGCTTGCTGCGCCCTGGCTGTGTGCTGCGGTTCCATTGACGGGGTGACCTCATCGCATGTTACTACAGCGCATGCCCTCCCGCCCTCCCGCCCTCCCGCCCTCCTACCCGCCCTCCCGCCCTCCTACCCGCCCTCCCGCCCTCCTGCCCGCCCTCCCGCCCTCCTGTTCATCCGCCCTCCTGCCCTCCCGCCCTCCCGCCCTCCCGCCCTCCTGCCCGCCCTCCCGCCCTCCTGTTCATCCGCCCTCCTGCCCTCCCGCCCTCCTGCCCTCCCGCCCTCCTGCCCTCCCGCCCTCCTGCCCTCCCGCCCTCCTGCCCTCCCGCCCTCCTGTCCGCACCCCCGCCCCCTCTCCTGCCCTCCCGCCCAGGTTGACGCGCCGCTCAACAACGGCGGCTGGGGCGGCCCCGCGCTGAGCCGCTCCACCGGCCGGGTGGTGGGGCTGGCCTTCCAGAAGTCAGGCAGCCAGACGTGGATGGAGAGGTGCGGAGGGGGGTAATAAATGAAAAGTCTGGGAAAAAGGGGAAACTGATGAGCTGAACGACGAGGCGTGGGGGGCGGGGCAGGCAGCGTCGCTTCATAGCGTTGGCGCACTGGGACCTAGAAGGGATCGGGAACCTGACAGCCGGCATGTCTAATGACACGTGCACGCGCGCAGGTATGATGACGTGGCAGCCGAGATGATGTACGGAGATGAGGGAAGCGACGAAGACGGAGATGGCAGCGGCGGTGCGGATGTGGGTGGAGGACCCAGCGGCGGTTCAGAAGGCAACGGGGATGGAGAGGTACGTTAGATAGCTGAGACACACCAGCTATGATTCCTATGAATGAGGGCACGGTAGCTAGCATGCCTTTTGTCCCTTGGTCAACCTAATACCGGTAACCAACTGTTGTTCTCCGCAGCAATCTTCATCCTTACAATGCATTTCCACCCCTTGCATCCTCCTGCATGCCTGCATGTTCCTCATGACACCCCACAGGATTACTACGGAGGAGACGAGGCTGACGACGCTGAGAACATCGGCTACCTGGTTCCCTCGCAGCTGCTGCAGCTGGTGCTGGGGGACTACGCCAGGGCGCGGGGGGCGGCCCTCAGCTGCAGACAGCAGCAGCAGCAGCAGGAATCCCGCTGCGGCGAGGCCGCATCCCGCCTCACGAGCAGCTCCGCACCTATGTACAGCAGCCAAACCGCCGGTGCCGGCAACAGCAGCAGCAGCAGCAGAAGTAAGAGTACCGGTACGAGCACGTTGCCCTCCACAACAACAACAACAACAAGAACAACATTGTCAACTTCATCCTCGAGTAGCAGTACGGGTCCGCTGTACCTTGACGGCCGGCCCCGTCTTGGGTTGCGCTATCAGCGGCTGGAGTCACGTGCGCTACGGCGGTTCCTGGGCATGACGGGCGCACACTGCGGGGCGATGGTGGGTGCAGCGGAGCAGCAACAGCAGCAGCAGCAGTTGGAGGAGCAGGAGCGGGGGCCAGCACCTGCAGCGGCTGCCGGCGGGATGCAGCCCAGGCAGAGGCATTCAGAGCCAGAGGAGGGGACTGGCGGGAATACCGGTAACGCAGGAGGCGGCGGCTGTGTGATGAAGGGTCGTGTGGGCGAGCTTTCCGGGGTGCTGGTGACGGGAGTGGACCCCACCGGCTCGGCAGCGGGGGTGGTGCAGGTGCGTGTGCTAAGAAAACCGGTGTGGGTGTGCGTGTGGGGACAGCAGCAGCAGCAGCAGGGCAGGACAGGACAGGGTATGATGTACGTGCGGAGCGAAAACGTGGGGATGCTGAGGTTGCTAAGATGTGTATGTTCAGGGCTGGGATGCTCAGGGCATCGTCTCCCGCCCTCTTCAACCCCCTAAAGGTACTGCAAGCCCTAAGAAGTGCCCGCCTGCCTGCCCTCATCACATGCATGGCTGCCTGCAGGTGCATGATGTGCTGTTGGAGCTGGCTGGGCGGCAGGTGAGGGGCGGGGGTACATGCTCGGGCAACGTGCTCTGGTCAGGCCCATTGCCTGCAAGCGCATGCCTCGCTGTCCCGCCCTCCGCGCCCCCATAACAACTGCTCCTCTGCATGGCGTCTTTACCTCCGAAACCTGTGTTTTACAGCCAGCGGTGCCCACTTGGAGCACAACTAGCACGCCTCCTCCTCCTCCTCCTTACTTACAGAGCCCGGCTCTTTGCCCCCGACCTGCCCCACCCTGCCCCCTCATCCCCGAGAGTATTCTGCCCTGCTTTCATGGTTTCCTATGGCCTGGCATTAATTCTTACCCCACCCCACCCCCACAAGGTATCGTATGACGGCAGCACCCTGCTCCGACCCGGGGGTCGCCAGCGGGTGCTGTTCGGGCACTGGGCGGCGGTGGGCCGGGTGGGGGAGCACCTGCCCATTGCGGTGGGTTGGGGGGGGTGAGGGGTGGGGGGTGGTCCATGTGCTATATCCCCACGTGCTGCGGGGTGGGTTGTGCGTGATGGAGTCCATGCTGCCCGGGGGGACCCCCCGGCTGCTGTTCAGCGTGTGAGCAAGGCGACGAGCCGCAGACCTCGCACTGCGGGCCCCGGGCGGGGTGGAACGACTCGAGCCTTATCCATATAGCATGGCAGCAGCTGCTCCACACGCAGGTGTGGTGGTTCGGGGTGACAGCCCGGGAAGGGCGGCCGCAACGGGAAGGGAATGAATAGGAACCCTTGGAAAGCCCTGGAATCAATACCTCCCGCACCGGCGGCTTCCGTCCTTGCCGTCCCCGGCGCCCACGCCCCAGGTGCTTCGGAACGGGGTCCGACTGGAGCTGAGTGTCAGGTGGGTTGGGGTGGGGGGCGCAACAGCAGCTGGGTGGCCGAGGGCGGGGGACAGGCGTCAGGTGCCGGCTGGAGGTGCCGGCATGAGGGCATGGGGTGTCTCTCTCCACTGCCCGCAAGATAGAGAGACCTAGCAGGGGCTTTCCCCTGTGTCCCCTCCGCTTGACGGGGACGACGAACGACCCAAACACGTAAGAGGGCCTAATGGCCCAAGTCCCTGCCAGCCAGAGCACAGGCTGCTCCAGGTCGCCCCAGGCTCCTCCCCACGCCACCTACCCCACCCACCTCCACCCCAACTGCTTTCCTCTATCCCAATTGCTCTGCCCTAAGCTGTGGCCCCATATCCCGCCGCAGGCTACGGGACGCGGGTGCGCCCTTCCTGCCGGTGTCCCTGGGCCCTGGCAGGCGGCCGCAGTTCCTGCTGGTGGGGCCGCTGGTCTTCACCGCCTTCTCCCTGCCGTACTGGTGAGAGGGAGAGGGAGGGAGAGGGAGATCTGGCATTACGGCATGGTGGGCCGCGCTATCTATAGTGATCTCGTACGGCAAGCCGGCGTGGGGGACAGCAGCTGATGGGTTTTGATTGCTGCTGCTGCTGCCTGGTGTCCGCACCGTGCGCGCCCAGGGGCTCCACCGCACCGCTGGACCCCCCTGCTGTCAGCTCATTCCCTGTCGTCGTTGTTTTCCACGTTGCAAGCCCTCTGGTGTATGCCTTCTTGCTTGCTACCTTCTCATATCCAGAGTGGAGAGGCAATACCTGCACCGGTAACCTGATCTGCTGCCCTAATCCCCGCCACGCACACGCACACGCCTCCTCCGCTGACAAGTGCTAACCCCTTGCTGCTGTGTCTTGCTGCTGCCCCCTTGCTGCTGTGCCCGCTGCACCTGTGCATGTGCGACAGGTACCAGCTGATGTCCTCTCAGCAGCAGCAGGGACAGGCGCACAGACGCAGCCGGGGTGCCCGGCGGGAGCAGCAGCGGGGGCTGCTGTCGCTGCTGGCGCCTCTGGAGTGGGGCATGCCCGCACTGGGTAGGCCGGGTGGGGGAGAGGAGGTGAAGCGTTGGTGCAAATCTAGGCGAAACCGCTCAAAGTGCTAGTAAAGGGTTTTCTTGCCTTGCTTGCTGCTAGGGGTGCAAGCTAACGTTGGCACCATGCAGCAGCAGCTCCTGGACTCTTGGCTCTTACCCACACTGGTGCTTCTTACCTGGAAACCTGCTTAAACTTCTGTTGGTTTACTTCCCTGGCTGTTCGCACAGATGACGGCGAGGAGGTGGTGGTGCTGTCGGAGGTACTGGAGTGCGGCGATTCAGCGGAGGCGGCATCGATTGCGGAGCAGTACGACAATGCCTCAGCTGCTGCTGCTGCTGCTCTTACCGGCAATATCACCGATACGGCCACTGCCGCGGCCGGGCCTGGGGCCGGGCCCGGGGCTGTGCTTCCCAGCGTGGGAGCGGAGGCGGCGGCATGGTCTCGGGAGCTGGGCGGGTCGCTGCCTCGGCGGCTGGCTGAGCTGAACGGGCAGCGGGTGCGGAACCTGGAGCAGTTGGCAGCGGTGGTGGTGGCGGCGACGGCACGGCGGGGCCCAGCAGACATGGGAACTGGGGGTGGCCAGGTAGGTACGTGTGTCCGGAGGAGGGAACCAACCTTCTCGAGTGTACAGAATGCATACCGGTACGGCATAAAGATGGCAGAAAGCGACGCGTTGCATGTTGGGCGACGATGATGCGTTTCCTGGTTTTCAGTGTACCGGTAGCTGTCCTCCTCTCTGACCTTTACATGCTGCTTTCTCCTCCTCCTCCTCCACTTCAGTTCTTGCGGCTGGTTTTGGAGCCCTCGGGGGCGGCTGCTGCTGGCGCCGCGGAGGGCCCTATGACAGCTGCTGCTGCTGCTGGTGCCCGCAACAGCAGCAGCAACAGCAACAGCAGCAGCAGCGGCAGCAGCAGTGTTGGCCATGTGTTGGTGTTGGATGCAGGCAGCCTGGCTGCCCACACACGTGCAGTGCTGCGACATCACTCCATGGGGGGCGCCATGACCGACGACATGCGCAGGTGGGTGCGAGGGTGCAGTGTGGGGGTGCGGGTGTGACCCGTGTGAGGGTGCGGGTGTGACCCGTGTGGGGGTGCGGGTGTGACCCGTGTGGGGGTGCGGGTGTGACCCGTGTGAGGGTGCGGGTGTGACCCGTGTGGGGGTGCGGGTGTGACCCGTGTGGGGGTGCGGGTGTGACCCGTGTGGGGGTGCGGGTGTGACCCGTGTGGGGGTGCGGGTGTGACCCGTGTGGGGGTGCGGGTGTGACCCGTGTGGGGGTGCGGGTGTGACCCGTGTGAGGGTGCGGGTGTGACCCGTGTGGGGGTGCGGGTGTGACCCGTGTGGGGGTGCGGGTGTGACCCGTGTGGGGGTGCGGGTGTGACCCGTGTGGGGGTGCGGGTGTGACCCGTGTGAGGGTGCGGGTGTGACCCGTGTGGGGGTGCGGGTGTGACCCGTGTGGGGGTGCGGGTGTGACCCGTGTGGGGGTGCGGGTGTGACCCGTGTGAGGGTGCGGGTGTGACCCGTGTGGGGGTGCGGGTGTGACCCGTGTGAGGGTGCGGGTGTGACCCGTGTGGGGGTGCGGGTGTGACCCGTGTGGGGGTGCGGGTGTGACCCGTGTGAGGGTGCGGGTGTGACCCGTGTGGGGGTGCGGGTGTGACCCGTGTGGGGGTGCGGGTGTGACCCGTGTGAGGGTGCGGGTGTGACCCGTGTGAGGGTGCGGGTGTGACCCGTGTGGGGGTGCGGGTGTGACCCGTGTGGGGGTGCGGGTGTGACCCGTGTGGGGGTGCGGGTGTGACCCGTGTGAGGGTGCGGGTGTGACCCGTGTGGGGGTGCGGGTGTGACCCGTGTGGGGGTGCGGGTGTGACCCGTGTGAGGGTGCGGGTGTGACCCGTGTGAGGGTGCGGGTGTGACCCGTGTGAGGGTGCGGGTGTGACCCGTGTGGGGGTGCGGGTGTGACCCGTGTGGGGGTGCGGGTGTGACCCGTGTGAGGGTGCGGGTGTGACCCGTGTGGGGGTGCGGGTGTGACCCGTGTGAGGGTGCGGGTGTGACCCGTGTGGGGGTGCGGGTGTGACCCGTGTGGGGGTGCGGGTGTGACCCGTGTGGGGGTGCGGGTGTGACCCGTGTGGGGGTGCGGGTGTGACCCGTGTGGGGGTGCGGGTGTGACCCGTGTGGGGGTGCGGGTGTGACCCGTGTGAGGGTGCGGGTGTGACCCGTGTGAGGGTGCGGGTGTGACCCGTGTGGGGGTGCGGGTGTGACCCGTGTGAGGGTGCGGGTGTGACCCGTGTGGGGGTGCGGGTGTGACCCGTGTGAGGGTGCGGGTGTGACCCGTGTGGGGGTGCGGGTGTGACCCGTGTGGGGGTGCGGGTGTGACCCGTGTGGGGGTGCGGGTGTGACCCGTGTGGGGGTGCGGGTGTGACCCGTGTGAGGGTGCGGGTGTGACCCGTGTGGGGGTGCGGGTGTGACCCGTGTGGGGGTGCGGGTGTGACCCGTGTGGGGGTGCGGGTGTGACCCGTGTGGGGGTGCGGGCCGGGATAGCACTTGGGGGTGGGAGAGCTGGGAGGTGGGTGCATGGAGCGGAAAAGCGTGGCAGGATGGAGGATATATGCATGCATGCTTGCATCACCTGTTGAAGGGAAGTGTGTATGAAGGAAACGAAACTGGTAGCGGAGGGTGAAGGTGTGGCAGCATGTGCTGTCAGACGTCTCCAGTCGTCGACTCCCTTGCTCACACCTCATCCCTTGCACCCCGCTCTCTGCCCACCCTTTACCTGCCCACCGCCTCACCCCCAGGCGCCTGGCCACCAATTGGCCCTTCGAGGGGCAGCCGCAGCCGCAGGGCAGCTCACGGCAACGGCGGCAGCAGGGCCGCAGGTTTGCCGTGTCGGGTAGACGCTGATGAAGAGGTAGGGCCTTCATGGGGGCGGGGCTGTCATCAAGTTAGGGTATGTTAGCTGTCAGGTGGCGTGCGGACCTTGTGCTCCCCTTCCCGCCCCCGTCCTGCACTCACACTGTTAGTCGTATGCTGCCCCCTGGCCCCCCTTTGTGCACCCCCTCATGCAGGCAGGGCTGTGAGGATCGGTAGTTGTGCAGCAAATTGCTGTGAGGGACGAGTCCGGAGGGGCCGGTCCGGCAGGAGGCCTTATATGGCGTAAAGGCACTTGGGCGGAGGAGCTGCGGTTGTTGCGGGGATGACTCGGAGTGGTGCGGCGGAGGATCATGAGGTCGTTGCAACAGCAGGCGAAGCCGTGTGTACCATACGTAGGAGACGTCTTGTCTTTACAGGGCCCGTACTAAGCTAACGGTAGTGTTGTACGGCTTGTACTGCGGCAATGTTCAGTTAGGTTTGTAACAGAGCTTTCCTCTGCTCATAGTGGCGCGTTTGCTGGCGCTATACGTGTGACCAATCGCTACTATTAAGCAGGGGCTATCATTTTCTGTCACACTGCAAGCCATAATCGTCGACTCATCCTCTTGGGGACAATCATAGCTCTCTCTAGCGACGGTAGTATCCCAGCAACTCCATTTCATGCCCTCCCTTATCCACCGGCCCTGCAGCGCAAGTGCGCGCCCCAGTAGTCGCGGATGTGCGGTGGGGAGTCGACTCGCGCTTCCACACAATGCGCTTATAGCTGCACCGCGCTATTCCTTAGCTCCTTGCAGCGCACTGCGGAGAGAAATCCAGCCAGTTAGCTTTGGGGATATTTACCTTGCCATGCAAGAGCGAGTGGCTACGAAGGGCACCATGCCTAAAGCGGATGGACGACTTATGGTAAGGGCCAGCGCGTATGAATACATAATATGTATCACATCCGCACTTGTGTTGCCCAGCTAACGCCGGTCGCGTTGGTTGGTCTTGAAGCCCTTGGGTCCGGTATCAAAGGTAATAACCCGTTCCACTGCAACGCTGAAACAGGTTGAAAGCATTCGTAGCGCGGAGCATGGCCAGCGGTCGCTGGAGCTAATCGCCCAACATGTTGCCGCAAAGCGACAACTACCAGGAGCGCTGGAGCTGGACTGGTGGGTGCGCTCGGACATACTAATCGTTACCCGCTGACATGACGATGGGGGGCTTTCAAAGGAAAGGCAAGGGAGAGCACCTACAAGGTTCAGAGAATAGGTGCCCGAGTTGAAGCACCCGGTTACCCGCGGCATGCATAGCGGCACGCAGTGCGGTTAGCCAGCCAGGCCCTTCCCCATTTCTTTTTTCCCCGCCCAGAGCATTCCCCGGCCATCAGCTTTAATCAGTTTGCTCGGGAAGGACAGAATACCTCATGTTATAGCAGGGCAATACTTGGTACTTGGTGTTTGCAGTACTTGTTTAGCGGTACTTGGTGTTTGCAGCAACCAAGTTGGCAGCTTGGCACTGCTTCACCTCGTTCATTCGTCCGCCCTCTGACCCCGCAGGCCCACACGTAAGAAGTGGCTGGCCCGCATCTGCGAGCTGGCGCTGCGGCTGCCCAACTGCAAGCCGCTCATCCTCGACATCTTCGCCAATGCAGAGGCCTTCGGACTGTCAACCTACTTTGCAGCCGAGGTAGGCAGGGGCGGAGTGCCGCCTTCTGGGGCTCCATCCTGCTGCTCTCTTACGGCTGCCGTTATGTGTTCGTGTGAACAGCTTCACTCCCCTCACCTCCTCCCTAGATCCCATTTCCCTCACCCCCACTCCCTGAACCCCATTCCCCCCAACCCCACTTTCACACCCCCAGATGGTTGAGCTGCTAGCGGGCCTAGGTGCCGAGGTGCGGCTGCTGGTTCGGCTAGTGGAGCTCTTCCGCGCTCGCCGGCTGCCGGGCGACAAGGGCGTGGCGGCCGCCTACCACCGCCTGCTGGCCGTCATGCGGGAGCGCAAGGACGAGGTGGCGGCGCAGGCGGCCAGCGCGGCACTCAAGGCGTACCTGGCGGCGCCGGCGCCCCCAGTGCCGGGGGTGCCCCAAGTGCCGGGGGTGGCAGGACCGGTGGGGGTGGTGGGGGCGCAACAGCCGCCGTCGCCAGGAGTGCCGGCTCAAGCAGTGCCGCCTGGGGGCGCGGGTGCAGGTGCTGCGACGGGACAGGCAGCGGCGACGGCACCAAGCGTAGTGCAGTGAACGGGGTTGGGGTGGGGCGTTGCTTTGCGAGATGAATTTGAGACCTGATGAAGGGCTTCACGCAGGATGCTGGGGCGGTGAGCTGCGTGTTGGACCCCCTGAGCGTACGTTAAAAAACCCGGTCGCGTGTTTGTGTGCAATGGTCAAGAGTGGCGCGTGGTGAGGGAGTGGGAGGGACGGAACACGGGAGCATTATTGTAGGAAGCGGAGAGAGAGCGACGGACGTGAAGCCTAGCCCTGGTGAGCACTGAGCAGCACCTTGTGATGGATCGGGGCCCGGAGGCGGTTTATGTATACCGTAATGTGGCCCATTCCGTACAATAATGGGGATAATGACCCATGGGTCTCCAAGCCCATGGGTGCCATGTGGATAAGTTATGAGCGGCATTTCGTTGTGGCCGGTCGATGCCTGCCTGCACGAGCCTTGGCGAATCGGTATGTAGTTGAAACCATGCTAATGCTTGCTGCTGCTGTTTAATTATTGGACAGAAGTCAAGTTGCAAGGAACGGCTCTGCCTCGAGGGACGAACCGCTGCACCTTCACCGCCGCACTGCATAGCCAACCGAACAACAAAACCCAACACATTGCCGCCATGCGCGTATCCAAGCCCCGATTATTCGTGGCAACTGCCCCCTCCCCCATGTCAGGGAGGGGGCGCATGCATGCTTCCACAACTCCCAGCGCTGCTCCGCGCTCCCTCCCAGCTAGCTAGGTAGTGCGCAGAACGGCATCATGCCAACCTACGCTTCGGCTTACTCGCCGAGCCACCCTTGCCGCCGTTGCCGTTGCTGCTGCTGCCATTGCCACCGGCGCCCTCACCCTTGGACTTCCCGCTTGACGCCGCCTTGCCAGCAGCGGTTTCAGCAGGGCTGTCTTTCCGCTGCTGCTTCTCCTGCTGCTGCTGCTGTTTCTGCGAGCTGGGCTCGGGCTTAAACTTGTCTTTGTTGATGATGGCCCAGGTCTGAAAGAGCAGGCCCTGCATGCAGCAGGGGAGCACCGGAAGGCGCGTCGGTGTACGGTAATGGCGAGCCAACGGGAGGTAACTGGGTGTAACGGTGTCAACGTAACGGTCAGCTAACTGGACGTAACGGTTACCGGTCAAATACCGGTACGGTAGACTAACGGTCGTGATGTAGCAGTACCTCTGTCCCAAAGACGCAGCGTCACCACCATCCTGAAGTGTGTCCGCTCAGGTGAAAGCGGGAGCGCTTCCACATTACCGGTACCAATGCATCCAACCGCTCCCTCGCCGCTCCCCCACCACTTACCCCCACGATCATCAGCACGGCTATCCCCACCACCTTCATGTCCATCTGGCTGCTAGCCTCGAACGCTTGCTGCGGGAGGCGGGGAGTTGAGGGAGGTGGGCAGTTGGGAACGAGCATCACGCGTTTCTTCCAACAGTTCCCGAGTCCTAGTAGGTGCGCCGGACTTTCTGTTGCGCCGGAGGAGCAGCCCGCACACCGCCTCCTCCTGCCCCGTCCCTTCCGTCCCTGAGCCCCCACCCCCCACCCCACCCCACCAGGTTGAGCTGCTTCTCGGAGGGCGCTGGAACGTCCAGGGGCTCCTGTTGCCGTGCACAGGGGAAACACAGGGGAAACACAGGGGAACCAAACACACACACGCAGGCGGGGTTCATCAGGTGCGCTTGCTTTGACCCCAGCAAGGGAGGCCTCCGCCCGTGCCCCCCGCCAGCAACTGCCCAACAGCATCCAAGCAACGGCCATGCAAGCAGCTGCAACAGGTGCTTCCGCAACCCCGGCTTCACATGCGCGGGATTGCGCTCAGCCAGCCGCCACACCCAGATGGCGGCTGCGGCTGCGGTGGCGGTGGCCCCACCTGGTTTGCAAAGCCGCTGGTGACGAAGTCGCGCACATGCTGGGACACGTCATCGCGGTCGAAGGATCCGTCGAACAAGTACATCTGGCCGGGTTGTAGAGGGCGAGGGGGCGGAGGAGTTGAAGGTGGAGGAGGGGCAGGAGGAGCAGGAGGAGAGGGAGAGGCGGTATGTCATTGAAAGAGCTAGGATGGGAATGACAACGGCGGAGAGAGGGACAGGATGGGTATGCAGGAGGTCTGAGCCTTTTCTGTTAGGCCGTGAGAACAGCAACAGGAGGAATGCAGGATACGGCTGTGCTGACGCCTCGGCTGCTGTGCCCACTCTTTCCTCCACCCCCCCTTTCACCTGTCTGTCTCGGAAGAGCAGCACGCATGGCGGCAGCACCACCTCTCCGAAGCGGCGAGCCAGCTTGCGATTGCCTGCCACGTCGACCTGGTGGGTGGGCAGGAGGCAGGAGCGGGTGAAGGAATGAAGCCAGGGGCAGAGGGCTGCTCGGGACATCGGCCGCCCACGAACTTAATTAAGCATGTCTTGGAAGGAAGGGAGGGCTTGGGCCGGTCATTAAGCGTGGAGGCGGTGACAAGGGGCGGTAGAGCCGGTAAGTCGAAACCCCTGCTGCCTCGTGCCCTGTCCCTCGTGCCCTGTCCCATCCTGTCGCAACATGCCTTGGCGTAGATGACCTCCTTGTCCTCATCCTTTGCTAGTTCCTCGAATATCGCCACTGCTCGGTCATGCCGCTTTACATTACTGTCCGTGAAGAGCACTGCCCACACGCCCGTTGTCTGGCCGGTCGATGCTTGCGTGTCGTGCTCAAAGTTCGCATCTGTAAGTTCTACAACCTCAGTTGGGAAGGATGAACTACGCACGCTAGCAGCGGATAGGGCAACTGCCAGCAGCAGCAGAGCTGGAAGCCTCGCCATGACCCAAATGTCTGTGGCGTCGTTTGAGCTACCGAGAAGGTGATGGCATGCGGCTACGATCTATCTAACGTCTATAAGAGCAACTTATAAGCAAACGGCCCTCCCAAACATGCCCAGATGCCCTTATGTGAACGGAATCGTCGGGCCCTGCGCGGGAAATACGGGAAGTAAGCTTGCATTCGCAAAGAGGTGTTACACACTGGCCGTTGCGAGGAAAAGCAAGGTTAAACCACTTACATTACACGATGGAAGTTCCCGAGGATACTGTAAGCATTACCTTCGACGATGGCCAGGATGAAGCTGAGCGTCAGATCAAGCTACTCTGCACTCGTATACTGCCTGGATGGAGCGATGTAGCTTTGACGGATATGCAGGTAACACATTGCCGGCTAGGGAGCGGCTTCCGCTTGCATACATCGCGAAAGCGGGCGGCCAGCATGCCCTCGTTCCAAGCATGACACACCTGCCTAGTAGAGGATAAAAAGAGCATAAACATAGAAGCATGTTGATCGGCCGCGCTAAGGTTATGCCAAAGAGCAACTGGCGTGACGAACACTCGCATGGGTTTCTCAGGTTGTGACAAATTCCCCCGCCGGCAACCCATATTCCTGTGAATGCTGCCCATGTTCCGCTCAATTCACTAATCCCGATCGCCCTAGCGCCGCGTTGTCCAAGGCGCAACTCATGGATGCATGTCCCTCATCCAGCCGTCCCAATCCTTGGTCTTAGCTCCCCACCTCTATCCCGCGGCTGGCCGCAGGTTTCCCGCATCAGCGGCGGCATCTCTAACCTGCTCGTGAAGCTGCAACCGCCACCACCGCTGCAGCCCGTGGCAGTCAAGGTGAGGTGCAATGCCCACGCTTCTCCACACTGCCCACGCTCCTCCACACACCTCACGTTTCTCCACACTCCCCACGCTTCTGGTCAGGTCGGCTGCCATATGAGCGGCCATGCCTGTTGCTTCTTGGAGTTCCTGCCACGTGGGCTCTTCTGATGCCCCTGGCCCCTGTCCCGCTCCTCCTCCTCCCCACACACCTCACCTCTCCACAGGTCTTCGGCGACAAGACGGAGCTGTTGATCGACCGCGAGGCGGAGAAGGGTACCCTGCTGCGGCTCAACAGCGTGGGATTCGGAGCGCCGGTGCGGGGGAGGGGGCGCTGGCGGGCTGTGTGGGAGCCGGAGCCTGGCGGAATGCGTGCGACAAGAACCTTGCATGTGTGGGGATATAAGGCGACAGTGCAGGAAATGCCGGCAACTCAACCACATAAAAATCCGAAACTGCTACCTCGTTTCCTCGACTCCTAGCCTCTCCCGCTAAAGCGCATCCCTATGTGACACAGGTGGTTGGCCTGTTTGGCAACGGCCGTATCGAGCAGTTCCTGATAGCCAAGACGCTCACGCCGGACGAGATGGCCGACCCACGGTTCGTTCCGCACATCGCCCGCCGCCTGCGTGCCTTCCACGACCTGCAGCTGGGTGACATGCCCGCCGCAGCTGGCACCACACTTCCCACCTCGGCATGCACCTCCGCCCCCGGCCCCGCCACCGCCACCGCGTCATCCGTTCCCCCAGAAACCGGATCCCCTACCTCGCCATCTGGGTCAGATTCCGGATCCAATTGCCGTACGATGACGTCACAATGGGACACGATTTATGCATGGTTGGCAATGGCGGAGGGGCTGTCCTTCCCGCAGGATCCAGCCAAGCAGGCCGCGTACGACAAGGTAGATTTCGGCGGCATGCGATCTGAGCTGGCAGCGCTGCGGGAGATGTGCGAGCGCGTGGGGTCTCCCCGTGTGTTTTGCCACAACGACTTGCTGTCCGGCAACATCCTGGTTGTTCAACATGGGGAACAGCAGCAACAGCAGGGGCAGGGGCAGCAGCAGCAAGCCCAAGGGTTGGAGGTACCATCATCACCGCAGCAGCAGCAGCAGGAGGAGGAGGAGGAGGGGACGCAAGCTCGAGCAGCGGCGGTTGATGGGGCTGATCAGGAGCAGGCGTGTACAAGCGGCGCCAGCAGCAGCAGCGCGGATGATGTGCTGCAAGGGGGCGAGCTGCAGTTCATTGACTTCGAATACAGCTGCTACGGCATTCGGGGCTTCGACCTGGGCAACCACTTCAACGAGTACGCGGGCTTCGACTGCGACTACGGCAGGTGTGTTTGTGCACGGTTGTAAGGACACTATATGCGCGAATGTCTGAGAAACCCGCCAGCCACCATACGTAGAAAAGCCCGCTCCCATTACTGTGCAGTGCTTCAGCTGCTCCATTTGGACGCTTGCCAGTTGCTGTCGCTACCTTTCTCAACGCCGACACTGCGGTCCCTGCTTGTATTGCCGCAGGTTCCCAACCCCCCAGCAGCAAAAGCTCTTCTTCCGACACTACTTGGAACCGGGGGAGCTCCGCGCCCTAGCGCATGAGCACCTCCGCAGCAGCAGCAGCAGAAGCCAACCAGCCTCCACAACACCCCCAGCAGCAGCAGTAACGGATGCCGGGGCGGCGGCAGCAGTAGCAGCGGCCACGCTCCCCTCCGAGGCAGATCTCGGTGCGGCGGAAGAGGCGGTGCTAGACCGGCTGGTTTCGGAGGCGTGTGTGTATGCGCTCGTGTCACACGCGTACTGGGGCGTGTGGTCGTTCATTCAGGCTCGGTATTCGCCCATCGAATTTGACTACATGGACTATTCGGGGCTGAGATGGGGCGAGTATCACAGGTACGGGGTCGTGACCCGTGGGTCGGTGGTAGGGTTGCGGGTTGATGGGGAGATGAATGGCCGGCTGGCTGGACTATGTGAATGCACACAGTCAGCATAGAAAACAGGCATATATGTGGGAGCGAGGGGACTGTTGCGGGAGAGGAAAGACGACCCGTCGTGATGCGTCTGTTATGGTTCTCGGCGCAATGGCTGCGGTGAAGAGACTGGGCTGTGCACCTATGCTTGCATGCATGTGTTTGCTGCTAAACGTCAAGCCAAGAAAGTGCACTGCAGGTAGCTCCGGGGCGCCTCCGCTGCCAACCAAAAGCCACTTGCTAACCCCCAACCCCAACCCCCCTCCTCCCTCCCACACACCCCCAGGCGCAAGCAGGAGTTCTTCGCCCTGGTGGACCGCCACTTCCCCAAGTGAGCTCCCAAGGAGCCACTTGTCGAGCGAGCAGGAGGCCAGGGAAGTGGGGAACCCAGCCAAGTGGGGAACCTAGCCAAGTGGGGAACCCAGCGCCCAAGGACAAGTGAGGAGCTGCAGGAATGGGAGGTGCCTGGAGTCGTCGGTTAAGTACCGTAGCATTCAAGCCAGACAAGCTAGGTCAGCTACAGAGGCCAGTACTTGCCTGACGATGACATGACGATGGCGAATGTCCGGTGCAGTCACAAGCAGTGCAATTCTCTACGCGCGATGTCGCTGCATCTTAAGCATAGCCCCCAAAGGAGATGTCGGGCGTCTTTCGGGAGCCCCCAGCGCACTTCATGGAACCACTGCGAAGCCCCTCATCGCAAAGGGCATCTGTCATGCCTTGTAACACAACTCCCCCCCACAACTTGTATCATTATCACACCACACTTTGGAATTTCTTTTTCCCCCCCTCAGCACAACCGAACAGCACTGCCGCGCCTGCACCCTGGCTGCCCACAGCGTCACGGTAGTACCGGTACCTTGTCCGCACCCTTCCCCCACATCCACAGTGCACTCCTCCTCCTGCTGGGTCCTAATGCAGCTGCTCCCCGGTCAGTGAAGCTACATGCGCGGCGGCTCAATCGTACTAGAGTTGTACTACTTGTGTTAACCCAGCATCGCATCAGGTGATGACGTCTTCAGCGGGTTCAACCCCGTGCCGAGTCCAGCTGCCCTCCAAACGCGCAGCGCACCCAAGTCCGATTAATCTTCCGGCAATCACAGTACGTTCCAATTCGCGGCCAGTCGATTCATAACAAGTCCCGATCCGAGCTCTTTTACCCCGCCCCCACGTCACACCGCCCCTCTCGTGCCGCTCCAGCAATGTTTCACCCCAGCAGCAGCTCACAAGTCCACTCGTGCATGCATGCATGTCGTCACGTGTGATGCATGCAACCACACAAAGACCTACTTCGGCTACTTGCCCTGATGTCATGTGACAAACGGCAAATCACAAATATGCTCACTGTCATAAACTCTCACAGGGACACACGCTCTTACAAAGCAGGGAAGCACATCTCGATATCTTCTCCTATGTCCGAACCGCCTCCGCTCCAGCCCCTTCCTCCCCACCGCCGCCTCCATTGCCACCGCTGCTGCTTGCCCCCACCAACATCACCCTGGCTTGGCGGCTTCATGCTGGGCGGGCCGGGCTGGCTCACATGCTGCAGCCCATCCTGACAAGACACCTGATCCGGGTCACCACACGGTCTTCAGTTGGTGGTTTCCTCTTTACCCTCCCCCGCCAACAGCACTCGTCGGTACATCTGCAGCGTCTCCTCATCCGGAGCCGGCAACAGGAACTCACTGCGCTGCAGCACCAGCGGAGGCGGCAGGTAGCCGTTACCATGTCGGAGCTCCACCGCCGGGAAATCGTAACCGCCGTGGTTGTCGTACACATCCCCCTGACCTGCTGGATCCAGACCCAGATCCTGATCTTGATCCCCGCCGTACGACAACCCTACTACCGAGGACGCCGAAGAGGATGACGAGGATGAGGAAGACGATGAGGTGGAAGGAGAAGAAGAAGGGTGTGACAAGCCATGCGGATTGCGTTCGCCCTGCTCTTCTTCCTGTCGCCCTTCCCCCGCTCCTGACCCCAGCAGGGGCTGCAGCAGCGGCTGCAGCGGCGGCAGCTGCCCCAGAGTTGCGCCCAGCGCCGCGGTGAGGGGGTTGCCCCGCCGCTGCGCTGCTGCGCGGGTGGCCTGCAGGTGGGAGCGGTGCTGTCGGAGGGCGGAGAGCAGGGGGGCGGAGGAGGGGGGGAGGTCGCGGGCGGGGAAGAGGGCGGAGGGGGCGCCGCCCTTGAGACCGGGCTGGCCTGCAGGGAGGGGGAAGAGGAGGAGGGAGAGGGTGATGAGGGGGGGGGAGGATGAGGAAGTAGGATTTTCCTTCCGATGTGGGTGATGGCATAGAGAGGGACTTGGCCGGCCCGGTACCCCAGTCTAGCTTCCTCGGTCCCCTAGCGTCCTAGCTTCCAGCCACTCATGGGTGGCCACCCTGGGCTCATCCGTACTCCCCCACCCGCGAATCTCCCACTTCCCGCCTACCCCATAAGCCATAACCCCCCCTGCCAACCTGCCACCTCCCACGCACCCACCTGCGAACCTCCATAACCCGTAACCCCACACACCGGCCGGATTTCTCAACCCCGCCTCCCACTCCCCCACCTGCCCCCCCCCCCCACCGCCCCACCTGCCCCCCCCACGCCTCACCTGCCCCCCCCCCGCCTCACCTGCCAACCTGCCCGGTGCCAGGGTGAACTCGAACCACACGGGCAGCAGCGGACTAGGGCCCTGCTGCCGGTGGCCGCCCTGGGGGGGGAGGGGGGAAAGAGGGGGGAGAGGCATGCGGAGGGAGGAGGGGATGGAGGGAGAGGCAAGCGGAGGTCCCTGGAAACCTCACGTCCTTGCTCTACCTTGCTCACGGCTTGCCCCATACGTTACCACTATGCTTATCATTAGCACCTATGCCTAACACCAAGATATCGTCCCACCCTTACCAGGGACCCCTGCCATCCACCTGCCACTCCCCCACCCCACCCCCCACCCTCCCAATCACCCACCTTCGCCCCCGCCGGCACCGCCCACACATCCGCCCACAGCTGCGTGCCCGACAGCGGGGCCACCAGCGCCACATTGCTGCCGCGCTCGGCCAGCTGAGTAGGGGGGGGGGGGAATTGTATAAGTGAAACAACAAGGCCCAATCCCATATCCCGACTCATGCAGGGAGCGCATTCTGAGGGGAACTAATTGGGTAGTGAAGCATGGGAGTCGTCCCAACCCCCCGTCCCAACTCATGGGAAAGTAGGTGGGGGGTTGGGCAGGGGAGGGAAGGGGTAAGGGCATGGTCGGGGACACCGCTACGTGCACCTGGGCTCCTGCCAACACCTGGACACCTAACGACCTGCATTGTCTTCCAACCTTCCCATGGTCACAGTCAGTGTCGCGGCCCTCGCTAGTATCACCCCCCTCGCCCCCCGCACCTGTACCCACTCCATCCCCTTCCCTTTAACCTCGGCCCGCCCCCGCCCCCTTCTCCCTCCCCGCCCCCGCCCAGTACAGTTCGTCAGTTTCTTTAGTTTTACCCCCTTCCTCCCCCTTTCCTCCCCCCCCGCCCCCACCTGCACCAGGTCCTGTGACGAGCCCACCACCGCCCACACGTCCCCCGCCTGCAGCGCGCGCACGTGGTCTCGCGAGCTGAACAGCCGCACCTGCCGCCGCAGCGCGGCAACCCGCTCCTGTTGGGGGGTGGGTGGGTGGGTGGGGTGGATATGGGGGGAGGGTGGCAGGGAGAGGTCAGGAGAAAGGTCAGGGGGGACGTGTGGATGCCAAAAGAGGAGTGAGGAGGGGTGGTACAGGACGGGGCGCTAGGTCTATTGGGGGAGGGAAGCGAGGGGCGAGCACCAGCCACTGCACATGGCTCAAATGCAAGGGGTCCTGCCAAGCACGCCTTTCTTGCAAGTTTTAGCAGGACCCAATTCCCATGACCCTCCTCCACCCCCTGTCCCTTCCCACCCTCATCCCTGCCTCCTTCCCTCCCTCTCCTCCCACCCTTCTCCCTCCACCCCCTCCCAGGCTGCGCAGGGCTGCCGCCAGCAGCTCCCGCGGGTCGTCCACCATGGCCACCCGCCCCCGCAGCGCGGGCTGCAGCAGGTCCCCCCAGTCCAGCACCGGCCGCCCCCCGCGGCGCAGCAGCCGGTCGCGGCGGTAGGCGATCAGCGTGCAGCCCCACCTGACAGCCAGGGGGGTATTTTGGAAACAGAATCCGCATTAGGCTGGATAGTTGGGTTATCATATAATTGTAGTTGTTGTATAGTTAGTAGCAGCCCGGGATGGGGGGGGGCACCATACAGCAGGGGGATCAAAGACCATACACCGAACCATAGGAACCAACGGGGGGCCCAGGGCAGGGGGAGGGGGAGGAAGTGGGGCTGAGAGTGGGGCCGTGGGATGCATCACGTTGAGTAGGCTTGGGTGTCGTTGGGTGTCGTTGGATGTCGTTGGATGTACCGGTGTTGCAGACCCGCAGTGGACTCACACGGCAGCACGGCAGTACAGGTACGACAGATGATGATGCGGAGGAGGACAGGAAGGTAGGTAGCCCCAAACTGCGCCCAACCAACCAGCCAGCCAGCCATCCAGCCAGCTGCAGGCGCACCTCCAGTAGTCTTAGTGCAGCCACCCACCACCGCCATCACCTCTGTACGCCACCGTACACCCCCCATTCCCCTCACCAACACGGCTCTCCGTACACCCCATTCGTATTCACCCAATTCGTACACATCCCATTCCCCCTCACCTGTACGGCGCTCCGTACACCCGCCCCTGCGGATCCACCCTCCCCTGCTCGTCCCGCTGCACCAGCTGCCGCATGCGCTGCGGCAGCAACCGGTACCAGCGCTGGTGCTGCGGGGTGCCGGGGAGGGGCTGCAGCAGCCCCCGCTGCACCGCGGGGCCCAGCCAGGAGTCGCCCAGCGTCACAACGTCAGCAAGGCCGGCACTCCGGCGGTTGCGGCCGCTGGTGTCGGAGAGCTCCTGGGGGGAAGGGGGGAGAGGGGAGGAGAGGAGGGGGGAGAAGCCAAGGCCGTTCCAAAGGGAACCAGAAGTGTTAGGGCAAGGCGTTGGAGAGGGCAGACGGCGGGGTGCAACCGAAACTGGTAATAGTTTGATAGTTAGCATCTCCTACTATCTCTCGCTTTGCCCTCCCCTCCCTCCCGCCCTCCTGCCGTACGCCCCCCTGCACCCCCCTGCAGCCCCTCAATCCCTTCTGCTTTATCATCCGCCCCCACCTCCCACCACACACCCTGCACTTATCATCTATTCCCCCCCGCCCCCCACCTTGAATATGTCCTCCAGCTGCGCCCGCTGGTCCAGCGAGAATCCGCAGTAGCGCCCGATGCTGGTCTTGAAGTCCAGCGCCCAGCGGGAGGGCACGGAGCCGCGCAGGGCTACGATGGAGAGCGACATGCCGTGCTCGTAGGCCTGCAGCTGGGTGCCGTCGCGCAGGGTGATCTGGGGGGCGGGTGGGGGGAGGGCAAGGACGGGGTAAGGAGGGGATAAGGAGGGAGAAAGGAGGGCAAGGGAGGGCAAGGGAGAAGGATGAGGGAACGGTGGTAGGGACGGGTTGGCGGAAGGAGGAACTTGGAGGAAGGGAGAAAGACGGGAGGTAGGCTGAGCTGGTTGGTGGGTATCTGGGGAGGCTCGCGAGGTTGGATGGGAGGGAAGGGTTGGGCGGAGGCTTGCGGGATATGGTGAGGTGATGCGTACGACAAGGAATACAAGGGGTCGAGGCGCTCCGAAGGGTGGTATCACATCCAACAGTTGGATTTAGCCATGGACATGCACGAAGCGCTCGTGGTATCATGAACCTTATCATCGGCCTTACCGTCTTGGCTGCAAGCACTGGCTCGGCGCCGGCGATCGCTGAAATTGTCGCGGCGACTCCCAGCGCCACTTGTCGCCTGCTGTACGGCTGTGAGATAAGTTCGTCATGTGATCCAGAGGTCGATGGTCCGTCGTCTGGATCAGGGCTTTGGTGCTGAGTGGCTGCGACGGATACGGCGGTGCGGCGTTCAGTGGCTCGTGTAGAGCGTGTATGTTGTCGTCTATATCTCAGTGATAAAACGTCGGATTTCGGATTTACGACGCGTGTTGTTCTGTGCATCGCTGTTTGCATGTTAACAGTCACCAATTCGTTGCTTCCACGTTTGTCCACAAGCAGTTCCTTTTACGACTTACAAATCTATGAGTTAAAACCAATTTGGTTATGGGGTATTCCTTGAGGAATGACAACGACCCGGACGCGGGAAAGTACGGAGCATTTTCTCTTGAGCGGAACGTTCGCAGCAAAGATGTCCACCCTTTTTATACCACTGTGCAGGCGTTACCTAGCTGCTTTTCTGTTAACTTATGAATGGAGTCTACCAGAGTGTAGCCCTACTTTGGTCCTCCTAAAACACGCCATTCGGCGTGAAGGAGGCGGGCCCATGGTTGCAGTAGTGTGATGTCTATGCTTAGAGCATTTCAAGGCTCACGGACAGGGGCTCAGCAGGAAGAAAGTTCCCGTCAAATTGGGATAGAAGCGAAGCCTTGGTCAAGGGCAGGATGGTCAAGGGAGCAGCTGCGTTCGCACTGGCCTCACCTCACACTTCAGCAGGTGTGCACTGAACTTGAGCCTGTATACCGCGGTTGCATGTACGAAGGTCACTTTGCGTAGACTATCTAGCTGGCGTTGGCCTAGAAATTTGTCGGCTTTCGGTTTAGCATTGTGCCGTCCACGGGGTTGTCGAGTCCCGCTAGCTGGTGCGCTGCCCCATCAGGCATGAGCTGCGGCGGCGAAAAGGGTACGCTGACTGGGGTTGAAATACCATGTCAGCCATGGTTACCCCGTATAGGCCGATAGGGTGTGGCCTCGGCCTCACGGGTTACAGCGGTATGGTACAGCAAATGTGCATGCACACTAAGCGGATGCTGACATGGCCCGTATCCAGGTCGAGCTACTTCGGGAGGTATTCCAGCTGTTTGACACGGAGGATAAGGGATACTTCACAAAGGATGATCTGTACTTCGTTATGGAGGCGATGGGCGGTAGCCCAACTCCTCAGGAACTGGATGCTGTCATGTATGAGCTGGACAGCAACGGAGACGAAGTCGTGGACTTTCCCGAGTTTCTCACAAAGTTCCTAACAGCGACGGATGAGAAGGAGCTGCTGCAGGTGTTCCACCAGCTTGCCATCCAGGAGGGCGAAGGGGATGACGACCGAGTGGTCACCCTCACGGCAATGGAACGCAGCTTCCAGGTAAAAAACGGACATACTTCCTTCGGGGCTTGGCATCACCTTGGCACCACCCCCACTTCACATACGGCCCAACACCCTATCGGCTCCATCATGCGTACTGCTCCTTAACTTTAGTTTGTACTTGCAAACTTTAGGTTGCTATCGCAAACTCCGCATTCTTCTGCCCGCAGCCGCCTTATTCCCACACGCATCCCAATATGCTTACCGGTACCTCTCATTCCCCTCATTCACCCCGTCGTCCCAGTTTGTCGGTGACCCGCTGTCCGATGAGGACAAAAGGTACCTCAAAATCATCTTTGACGGTGCCGACAAGGACGGTAACGGGCGCCTGGACATCAAGGAGTTCACCGCCTACCTGGAGAAGATGGACGATGAGCTCTTCATGGGCCAGGAGGGCATCGGCAACCTAGCCATGCTCCTCGCACAGCAGCAATTCACACACGCCCGCAAAGGCGGACGCACCTCACGCGCGCAGTCCCGCGGCGGCGGCGGCGGCGAGGGCGACATGGACCTGGGAGACAGCGATATCGCCGCCATGGCTCGCCGCGCGCTGAGCATCAGCGGCGTCCCTTGGTTGCAGCACAATGACGACCCGGACAGCGGGGCTGCCACCCCGGGGAGCCGTCGCTCCACCATATTCTCCAAGTTTCGCGCGGCCAGGCAGCGCCGTACCAGTGCCAGTGCCGGCAGCTTTGCAGCCCTGGCCAGCCACCTGGCGGCCCCCTGGGCTAGCGGGGGCTCCCAGACCCGCCGTACGGGTAGCCTCGGGCACGCCCGTACGGCACCCAATCCGGGCTTCCTGCCGCCTGCGTCCTCCTTTGGTGCGGTATCTCGGTCCAGTGCCAACCTGGCGTACTTGTCGCCCACGGGGCAGCATTCGGGGTACGACTCACTCAGGCGGATGGAGAGCTCGGGCGGGGAGATTGGCGGGTTGCCGGGCTCGGAGCACTCCGGGGCGGTGCCGGCGGTGGCGGCGTTGCCGTCGCCGCAGGGCATGTCGTCATCCGCAGTAGGAGCTCCTCCTCCTGCCCTTGCGAATGGTGGGATGGGCGGGGTTGGTGCCGGAGGCGGCTCCGTTGCAGCAGCAGCAGCGGCGGCTGGGGCACCAGCAGCAGTAGCAGCGACAGCACAAAGGGCAGGCAGGCGGTCCTCCTGGGAGGATTCCGGTGTCATCGCCTCGGGTGCCCTGCCCGGTTTTGGTGGCAGTGGCGGCTTGGAGTCTCCCTCGCCGCAGCCCTCGCCGTCGCTGTCGCCGCAGCCCCGGCATCATCTGCACCTGCAGCTGCCGCCGCAACCACCGCCACCGCAGCAGCAGCAGCAGCGCAGTCCGCTTTCGTCCATGCCCTCATCCCCTCGCTCCTCTCTCATCTCCCCCCAGGCTCAAAGCGTGTTGCTGCCTCGCGGCGATTCGCTGGATCGCAGTGCGGTTGCCGCGGCAGCAGCTGCGGCTGCTGCTGCCGCCGGCGCCACATCGCCTGGTCCCTCCAGCAGCGGAGCCGCATGGCCGGACGGTGGAGCGGCTTCGGAGCTGAGGGGCAGCGGCCGCCGCGTGTTCAACAGCATGGCTTCCATGGGGCACCTGCGGGCAAGTGTCATTCAGGAGGCGCCTGAGGAGGGCGAGTCGGGGCACTTCATGGCTGCAGCAGCAGCGGCGGAGGAGGAGGCCGCTGCGGCGGCTGCCCCGCTACCCCACCCAGCAACATCGGATGCGCACACCAGCAACAGCGGCGGGGTGACCAGCGCGCATGGAGGCGGCGGCGTGCCGCAGGCGTCCAGTTTCAACCGCCTGTGCTCCTTCCCGGACCGGCTTTCCTCTCCGCGACCCAGCAGCGTTACGGACGGGAGTGCTGCCCTGGAGGGCGGCGCCCTCGCTGATGCTGGGCCCGTTGGCAGCGCCCGCGGCAGCGCGCCCCTTCCCCGGCCCAGACGGACGGGTAGCGCGGGTGACGGACGACGCGGCGCTCCCGCCCCTGGGTCTCGCATTAGCGGGCTCATGGCTGCGATGTTTGGGCGGCAGCGGAGCTTGGGACATGGGCAAGTAGGGCCGGTGGTGTTCGGGGCAGCCGGAGGGCCGCTGGTGCCGCCCAGCCCGCAGCGGTCGCGGCTGCAGGAGTCCACCTCAGCGGGGGCGGCAGCAGCATGGGCGGCGGGTGGTCCCCTGTCCCACCAGCTATCGCACCAGCTGTCCCACCAGCTATCGCAGCTGCCCATGTCGACGTCACCCGTTGAGCGGGGTGGGGAGGTGCTCAGCGCGGGGAGCGAGTCGGGGGCGGCGATGGCGGAGGCTGAGGCGTCGGCGGCAGCAGCAGCAGCGAACTCGGGAGGCGCATGGGGGCTGGCTGCAGGGGCTTGGGCAGCTGTGGAGTGGTTTCGGCGCGGTAGCGGCAGCGGGCGGGGCTGGTTTGGATCGCATCGGCTGTCTGAGAACCAGCGAAGTGAGAGCATGGCGGCAGGAGCCGCTGGGCCCTCCTCGGCCTCGGCCGCAGCAGCAGCGGGGGAAGCAGCGACGGCACCAGGCGCCGCGCCGGGTGCCACCTCTCGCAGGGGTCTAGCCGCGCCGCCTATGGCAGCAGCATCCACAGCAACTGCTCCTGGTGCAGATGCAGCAGGCCAGACCTCGGCTCGCCCTGGCGGGGCAGCAGCCCCGGAATCCGACAGCGGCGTTCCGCCATCCACCGCCGTACGGATCGACATCGGCCTTCCTCCATCTTCTCCCAGCTGGGTCTCCCGAGCTGCCCATGTGGCCTCCATGCTCGCCTTCCGTCGCACCCCCAGTTCCTCGCATGCCGCCTCTGAGTCCGCCTCCCCCTTCACCACATCCGGCATGCCTGCGCAGCATCCCCCCCTGGAGGCGCCCTCAGCCTCATGGACGGCTCCCCTGCCTGAACCGCGGCGGCTCCTGCGCGTGCGGTCCGGGCAGGAGGTGGAGCCCACACGGCCGGACTCGTCACGAGGGGGTCAGCCGGTGCTGTTCCGCTGCGGCAGCATCGGTTCAAACAGTCCCCTAGGCGGCTCATCCCAGCGTGGTAGTCCCACATCCCCCGCAGCGATGCAGTCTCTCCGGCACCAGCTGGGACCCCATGTGGCCGGTGCGCCATACCAGACCCCGCAGCCACACTACCCGCAGCCGCACTATCCGCAGCAGCCGCACCTGCAACCGCATCCCCATCCGCATAGGTTGAGCCAACAGGGCTGGCCACACCTGCCGCAGCATCAGCACCCGCGAGAGCAGCGCGGCAGCGCGGCTTCCTTCCAAGGCAGGCGCGAGGAACACAGCAGGCTGCAGCAGCAGCACCAGCAGCAGCCGTTGCAGCACCAGCAGCAGCCACCGCCGCTGCCTCGGCAGCCGCATTGGCGCAGAAGATCGGAGGATTGGGGCCAGGGCGTGATGTCGCGCGCTGCCCAAGCACGAGTTGAGGGAGGCTGGCGGGCAAACGGTGCAGGGGGATTTATGACTGAAACGTCACCGCTAGCCGCTGGCGGATCAGGCCCAGGCGCCATCAGCTATGGGCCTAGGGGCCCGGAATGGGCGCCTGCTGGGGAGGCGGCTGTTTCCCCTGGATCCGGCGTTGGATCTGGATCTCAGTGGGCATTACGAGCCGTGGAACCAGCTATGTACCCGGCCGGATCAAGCAGTCGCTCGCAGCGGTTGCCGCTCCGGAGCCTCAGCCGTGGACACAACAGTTCTGGCCCGGGTGTCAGTCTTGGAGCTTCGGAGAACCCATTAAATGCACAGCAGCAGTACGAACAGCAGCATCTACAGCAGCATCTACAGCAGCACCTACAGCAGCACCTGCAGCAGCCAGCTTTGTCGTGGTCTGGGCGGTTGTCACCGGGTCCCTCCCTCGCCTCCCAGGAAGTGCTCCTCTCACACGAGCACTCCAGGCTGCGGCACTGCCAACAGCAGCAAGAGGAAAGCGTAGTGGAAGAAGAGGAGGACCAGCGCCGTACCCCGCACCCGCACCCACAGCAGCAGCGGCGGCGGCGGCTGGATCTGCTGCATCGGAGCCTGTCTGAAAGGCCTCCTGGGTGGGAAGATCGCCGCGAGGCGCTGCGCGAGCCCGGCTTCGCAGCACCTGCCCCCGGCGGCACCCCGCACCACGCGGTTGCTGTCGGTGACACCCCACCATTCCACAGGACGGCTTCAGCCAGCCGAGCGGCTAGCAGTGCACGACAGCCGGATTTCACAGGGGCGCCCGCAGTCCAGCATGCTGGCAAAGCTTGGACAGGAGGTGCGCAGGAGGGTGCCGCTGGAGGCAGCAGCGGCGGCGGCGGTGGTGGTGGTGGTGCCACAGCTGCTGGCGGCGGTGCCGCCGGAGCCGTTGGAGGCGTGCTCCGCTCGGCGCCGGCGCCGGCTTTACTGGAGACGTTTCCCGAGCTTGACGCTGCTCCTGACTAGCATGGATGCATGGTGCATAGGCGCATATGCATGGATGCATGGTTAGGTGGGGCGCATGCATGGTACGTGGTGATCTGGTGGGCATGGTAATGGATGATGCTGGGATGTTGTGGTGGGGTTCAGGGCTTGTAGGGATGGCGTTGCTGTTGCGTTTGAACGCTGTTGCTGTTACCAGACTACTGCGTTGTCACATGTCCAGAGGTGGCCGCGGCATTGGTGGCCAGGCATGGCGCTTCCAAGGGTTTGGGATTTGGAAGTGCAATGGACACCAAAGCGGCGGGGGAGGCCGTGGGGTCTTGGTAGTGTACTCAAGTGCTGATCTGGTAAAGCTTGCCGCTGGTAAGTGGCGGAAGAAATGGGTGAGAGGTTGCGTACAGTTGTCGAAAGACGGTACCGATATGCGAGAGTGAGCACATGACAGAGAAAGGGGACGAACCCGTGCCGATAAAGCGCTTGAGACAGCGAGGGAGGAGAGAGTGTTGCAGAAGATTGATAGTCCGTCGTGCATTGTTTGGGAGGGAAGGCGGCCTGCCTTGGGACGCAAAATCGCCACGGCCGTTCAGTTGCCAGGTCGTGGTTGAGGGCTGTCGATGGTGCGTGGCTGGGCTGGATTTGGTTCGGTTGGTTAGCTGCATGCCAAGTGGTGGAGGAAGACTGCACACTGCTTTGTGAACTGATACCGGTAGTGTTTGTACTATGTGCCTTAACAAACCGCACTGACCATGTGCCATGCAGACGGCTATGGCTTTAGCTATGAACTACGAACTCTGTTAGTTGACAGGATTTGGGCGGGTGCATGACAAGAGACCTCAGAGGATTACCAGTACAGTGGTAAGCGAGCGGTCTGTCAGCTAGTACGGGGGGTATTCCCTGTGTCACGGCGACTGGCGGATAGGTGGTGGCTACACTGGCTTTATAATAGTGTTACAGGGACGCCGTTTGTCATTTGTGTTCGCTTAAGACGTTGGCTTTTAGTTAGAACTCCTAGTGATGGGACGCGGGTGGAAACCGTTCGCGAATGCTTCAATGGCGCTGCTACCTCAACATTCATGACCCCTGTTGGTGTGTGGCCATCCCTAAACTACTGGCTGGTTTCGTAGGGGCGCATTTTATTTCCCTTCGGTGGGCGTGATGGAGTGTGGCTGCCTCCGTAGTTTGCTCCTTACTGTGCGCCTCTTGGGTTTATTAGCATACATCTTGAACAACGGACAGAACTTGGCGTGCGTATTGCACCGAATATAAAGCCATGTGGGCATGAACTTGTTGTCCGTATTCATGGTACCACGTAGCTACGATGTGTGGCCCGGTGTCTTTGAAACAGGTTTAGGCAACTGGTCGCATTTGACGTGGCTGAAATAAGAACAGCGATGGAACCCCTGCTGTCATGTTTTTGTGCTCCGTTGTGCTCCCTGATCGTGCATTCTTGTGAAGCGCTGCATGCCAGGAATCTCCAAGGCGTGAAGTGATCCAACTCGCTAGCTGCTAAGCAGTGACGAACCTTGCGCAACTAAGAGAGCCACAAACATGCGCGCATACCCTAAAACGCCGTCCCGTTCCCCCTTGCGACACATTCCCACGCCAATCCAGGAAGGATGTTCTGGAGATGTAGACTACAACTGCATAACAAGCAAGTAGAGTCCGGAACGTGCCTGAGATTTTAGGCGTATGGCAGGTAGGCTTCCTTACAGCAAGCATACCTGTCAGGTGGAACTACGCTATCAGCTTAAACATGCATCCAATAGAAGTCAGCGAGGTTTGCAATACAATGGTTTCATTTTTTTGCTTTGGCAGCGTTAGAGTCTGTGTGTGTCATGCAGACGCAATCGTTCGCGCGAACAGGGACTTAAGGCATCGTGGTGTGCTGCATGGGCAAGATGTATCTGGAGCTTAAAGTGGTCAATAAATATGCTGTTACGCTGCACTAGTTAGCGAAGCATGCTGCTGTTGCTGCAAGGGCAGTGTACGACCCCAGACTGTCGACCGGCGTACGAAAAAGAGTGCCCTGGAGACGCTAGCTTAGATCACGCAGACTCCAGATTCTCTACAGTGCTTATGGAATCTATTGAAACGGTACATGGTTAGGAGCTCATAGATAGTTATATTAGCGCATTATGCTTCATCGTTTGACTGCTAGTTTCACAGGCTCTGTGAGCTCCCTTAGTAGGACTACACCGACTGAAATATAAGTCACCCCTCTATTCACACGATGCTGCTACTCCTACTTCTTGCTGCTAGCTGGCACTCGCTATCCCTGAATGGGGTGGGCGCCAGTCCTACTGATGTCCGACGGCAGCTTCAGCAGCAGCTTTCGGAAAGAAAGCGCCTTCTAAATGATGGGGACACTCCTCAGGAATCAGGCTGGCGTCGCCGCATACAGCAAAGCTCCTTATCGGAGCTAGACTTCCCTACGGACTTGCGGTGGACGGCACCAGCACTTAAGCCTGTCATTTTTATTGTCAACATGTGCAACAAGGGAGGAGGCGCTGCAGCAAGTCGAGATGTAGGTCCTGCCTGAAAACACTCGGGCAAGGATACTAGCATGTAGCTTTCCCGGCGCCGTTCATCTGAAACCGTGGTGTTGCAAACACATGTTGTTAAGGTTTACCATCTACTTACGCTACGGAAACAAATGGCTGTGGCGTCTTGGAAGTTTGCTTCGTCCACCGAACATTAACAATAGAAGTGCTTCTGATTATGCGCGTTGCCTGTATCAGGATAAACTAGGTGTAAATGTTAATGATTGTACGTTCCACCTTCGGCTTATCACCGCGTAGGCCTAGCCATGCCGCCAAACCATCGTTGCTGGCTTTCCAGATCACGTTCCCCATATTTCCCCGCCTACTGACTCTTCATAGGATGTATGGAGGATCCTTAGAGACAGCCCGACCAACCTGGCAGGATACTATGATACGTGCTCGTACAACCGGACTGCCTTGGACCTAAGCAACACGCTGGTCATTGGGCCCTTGCAACTGCCTTGCAACGGTACCAACAGCCCTTCGATGGGCTCCGGGCCGTGGACTGTGACCAGCTGTCACGGCACCAACCCTTACGGCTGGTTCTACTGGGCTGAGCAGTACGCCGTCAACACGCTAAAGGTTAACCTGTCGACGTACAACCACCGAGTTATGATCATGCCGAAACTACACCAAACATTCATGGTAGGTATCGTGGCCACAAATAGAAGCACTCGGGGCTATTGGGTGTCGGACACATGTTGATGACAGACATGCCAGTAATGCAGGGCCCTGGGTTAAAATAACATTCCACTCAAACTCCACACCCAAAACCCCTGACTCAAACCCGCCCCCAATCCTCCCACCCCAGGAGGAGGATTGCGGCTGGGCCGGCATCTCCACCACCGGTTCCGTGAACCCCATGCCGCACAATCCCTACGCGTACCGCTATTCGTACACGTGGCTTGCGGGCGACATGTGGAGCAGCCCCTGGTTGTGGTTCCACGAGCTGGGACATGCACTGTGGCTGCAGCACGCCAACACGCCCGCGCAGGAGTACGGAGATATCGCCAGTTCCATGGGGGGCCTGAAGGGCTACGGGTTGCGGTGCTACAATGCTCCGCAGGTGGGTGGGGTGGGGTGGTGTAGGGGGCAGTTACCCATGAGCAGTGTTGGGATGGCTTGCAGTGGTGGGCGTCAGAAAAACACCAAAGCACAAGTGAGGGCGAGACAAAAACCTGCAGTGGGGCAGTGTGGTTCAGCATGGCTAGAAGAACACACGATCAGTTTTGGATACCGGTAGGAAGAAGGGTGTGGTGACCTTGGCCTCCCTCGACGACTACCGGCCTTTCCTTTCCACACTCCAGTTGCTGCACTTCTCATTTATCCCCCCCCCCTTCCGCAGAACTGGCAACTGGGCTGGGGCTCGCCCTTCGTAGTGCTGACACGGAATGAACTGCGGCCGGGTGTCACCGTAAAGCGAGTCATCCCCGCGGCGCACCTCGACCCAGATCACTCCATCCGCATTGCACTCGGCCCCGGTGCCGGCCAGGCCTCTGACGTCAGCGGCGTGCCGGCCAACTGTACGACACAGCTGTGGGTGTCGTACAGGGCATCTTCCTCTGTGTACGACATGCTATGGAAGGACTTGGGCACGAGCGCTGCGTTTGTTCACCAGTGGGAGGGTACCAGCTTTTCTGCTAGCCCCGAGCCGATTGAGCTGGCATCCCTGAAGGTGCCCTATGCGACAAAGACGCCAAGCGACGTGCAGGTGAGTGAGTGGGTGGTGTACGATACAGCAACTCGGCAAGTGTCTGTGTAGGATACCACTGCCACGGTAGGCGAACGATTTCCATCGGATAGGCGGGTTGGAGAGGGGTGAATCTTACCCGAAAGACAGCGTGTTTGTACCGTATGAGCCGTCCCTCAACGGTGCGCGAGCGGGTGACAGTTAGATAGATACCGGCGGTATCGCACCTGGCTTTGGCCTCCTTCGCCGAGCTCTCTCAATAACCTAGCTTTGCTTCACATGATCATGTCCTGCATACCTATACCCTGCTATATCTTCTTCCGCTTTTCAGAGCAGCTCGTACACGGTGGATGGATGCCGTTTGGTGATATCGGCACTGGAGGTGTGGGACGGTGAGTGGCGAGGCGCAGAGGCCAGCGTATGGAACGTCATGGGCTCGCACATGGTTACGGGAGGATCGGCGGCACAGGTCTGCTATCCCTAACCGCGACGCAGTGTGCTGCCATGGGGGTAATGACCATGACAATTGCCCCCGTTCTCTCCAACCTGTCTTGGCCTAGTGGTGCTGCGCCCACACACCCTGCCATGCACACGCAGGCTACGCCAGCTTTGGTGTGTGTGTGAAGACCTCGGATAGCGGCTATGAAACAAACTGCCATGATGGCATTGATGACGACTGTGACGGGTAAGTGGTGGTTCTCATGGTTTCATTTTACCATCTGCCTGAATGCAAAGGGAGCAGTGGCGGGCAGGTGGCAAAGCGGCCGGGGAGCAATTGTTTTAGGCATCGGCGCGACGCGGGGCCTTAATTGCTGTTCAAAGATGCCATGCAGCGGCCACTCCGTTTTCTGAAGTTGTTTCTTTTTCTTTCGGTGCACCCTCTTATGCTTGGTATCTGAGCAAGTTACCGGTATACTACCGGAATGTAATGTACGTGGGCCTTTGCCAATGTGCAATACGCCCCATGCATCCCTGCAGGCTGATTGACGCGAAGGATCCCGACTGCCGGCAGCCTCCGGGCAAGAACCTGCCACCCCAGCAGCCCATCTCGAAGGCCAGTACCAGCAGCGACGATGCGGACCAGGAGCCGGGACTCATTTACGAGGGCCTGATGCAGGTAGGATGTGCCGACGTGGGAATGGATGTACGAACGTTGCCCGCATTGCCATGGCTGCTGATTGCTTGTATGCATGTGCTTGTGCGGGCGGGTTTGGGCGTTGAGCGAGGCCTCAGCCTGTGTGTTATGCCCGCGCTTATCACATGCATGCACGTCAATAGTCTCCTGCTCTTGTCAGCGGCAAACATACCTACACCACCGGCGTCCCTCCCTTCACTTCCTGAGCTCCACCCATGCCGCTGCCCCCCTCCCTGCTCCCCGTCATTCAGGTCATGTTGCGTACCAGGCAGAACTCCCCTCCGTCGCCGCCCTCGCCTCGGCCGCCGCATCCGCCACCCAAGCCCAAGACCACCGTCAAGGTCAAGGCCGCAGCCAGCATCCCCACCGTTGCCACCGGACGGCGCCAGCTGCGGCAGTAGGCGTCAACTGCGCTGATTGCAAACGCCTTTTGGATGCACTGGTAGGGTCAGGGTCTTGGTAAGGCGTGACACCCTAGTTGTCCAATCTAGTTGCGGTTAGTTTTCGAGAGGTCTGCTTGCAGAAGAGCTGCGCTAATCATCAGGTAGTAGATGACAAAGTGCCTCTGGTTTGGCAGAACACTTGGAGGTTCTCGGCGTGCGCTGGGGAGGTTTCACACACGTGGGGAGCAGGTGGATGCTGGAATGTTGTGTTCATGCATGCGAAAAGAGGCGCTTTGCGAAAAATGTGCAGGATTGGCTCTGAAAATATCACGCGGGAGTTTGGCGTGCATATGTGCAGCAAGGGCAGGATGGCGGAGTTTAGGCTGGCTTCTACAACTAGGGGTGCCGAAAACGGGCGTAATGGGAACAGCGTGAGCAGGCGGTTAGTCTAATTTCAACTTCATCGCATATTCCTTGTGTTAGGAGTTAGGGCCACTGCATGACAAGGAAGCTGAATATCCCTCTCGGTCGTTATAATCCGTGGGATGCTGCTACTTGCTTGTATGGTTGTGGTCAGTAGTTTATGCGACTTACCGTAAAGTACTCATGGGGGCTAGGGCTTAGACATGACGTGCATTCCGAGCCATCTGCCGGATGCTATGAAGGAAATCCTGTTTGCCTCTCTAGCCTTAATTGCGTTTATTCTTTAGAACGCCCTCGGACGCCGTGATTCACGTTTTGAGACGTGTCGTGAGATTGCTGGGGCAAGGGGGCGTATGAGTCCCCTTGCGCCGTTTTATTGTATATTGTATATCTTGGGACTCGGGCCAAGCTTGCTGTTGTGTACGGGGTTGGGGGTCTGTAGGGTTTTTTGACACCGACGCAAGGTGTTGCTTGTGTTATATTGCTGTCTACGTACGATCCGGCCATCTGTAGGCGTATGCTTGGGCGCTGGCGAGCCCCGTGATGAAGAGCGTGACCTGAGCTTTAGTGGATTGGCCGTTACCAGGCTAAATAGCCATGCAAAGTACTAGTGGTATCAATGTTGTAGCGGCACTGTTAGGCGCTTCCATTGACCCAGAGAAGTTAGTAATTATGCGGGTGGTGTGGGGCGGGATTTAGCTTTAAGAGTCTCGTGAACTTGGCGGTGAGATGCCGCTACTGCCTGTTGCAGTTGCCGTACTGATTGCCGTGACAGGTGCAGCTGATGAGGTTTGATAGGTTTTTAGCCAATTGCGAGCTAGCGGTGTGATGAAACATTGAGGCAATGGATTAGGCGCTTTACCCTGGTGTCCCGCATCATGGGGCACAGCTAGCATGCCGGATTAGGGCGGTGTTTTTCGGTGTAGCCCCTTGACCTTAGTGACTAAGGAAACCAGTAGGCAGTGGTGATAGCCTGGTTTAGCGTGTCAATAACAATATTACCAGAGGTGGGGTGTCCTATCTTGCGGGCATCCCGGGCTGGTTTTACCTGTGCTTTAGTCTTGCAGATACCGGTGGTCTGGGCTGAAAGATGCCATTGTCGTGTCTGCAGCTGCAGACAGTTTAAGTGCAGCTTGGTTTTTTGGTTTTTATGGATTGTGGTATTTGGCTTTCCTTGGACGTTTGTTGCGATGCAATAATCGTAACATGGGGTGCCGTACAGGCACCACCTAACCTTAACCTTTGTTTTTGTGCAGCTGGCGTTGGTGCTATCGTACACGCCATACGTCGGTTCTCGACAGGCTGCGTCGCCAAGTAGTTAATGTTGAAACTGCGCGTGCGCTTGACCGTGCGCAGTAGTGCTGCTTGTCCGGAGGTTGATGCGCAACTCTATGAAGAGTGGGCATGTGTGGGTGTTTCACATTGACCGAACCTTGAATACCGGTAGCTAGACCGGATCGTGGGCCGTTGCTATGGTTGCCAAGTACTCCTTGGCTTGCAGCCTCATGTTGGCAAGACCCAGGACTTGGGATTGGTTGGGGACCAAGTTGTGCATGTGCGAGTAAGTGGCCGAACCATCCTGTGGGCGGGCATTAGTTGTGGGCTTGAAATAGCACGGTGGATTTGGGATTCACCCACCGTCTTGGTGCCCCTTACCCACGTGTAATACCGGTACGGTACCGGTATTCGTATATCCTTCAAAATTGCGAACTGCCGTTAACCATCAATATTCGTAGGAACCGCAGTGAAGGAATGAAGGAAGTGCGGCAAAAGTGTCAGCATACCGCTTGTGTCAGGATGTATGCAAGTTCCAGGCGGGGATCCCATGCGTCCATGTACTGCAACATACTGCAACACTCATTTCGATGCGTGCACAGTCCTCTTTCCTTGCGTGTGAAATTTCATGCATATTGGCATCCAGTATAAGGCCACTTCAGCGGTTGGGCGAAATCGCTTGCTCTTAAGGGATGTCCACGTTTTCGCAGCGGTTCGCGGGACTCAAAGAGAAGCTAGCAGACAAGTTTGCGGAGTTCAAAGCAGAACTTGCAGCCCCTCAGGACCCGCTGGAAAAGGAGGTCTACGAGCTGGTAGACAAAGCTACCAGCGATGGCCTTATCGCTTCTGAATGGACTCTCAACTTTGCTGTTGTGGACTTTATCAACAGCGATGTGCGCCTTAACAGCGGACGGGCGCTCAGGGCCCTGAAACGGAGCTTGTCAAGGCCAAATACCAAAGTCCAGTTGCTTTCACTAACGGTAAGGCTCGGCAGTGTTGCAACCGCCTTAATCGCCGCAGTATACTATTAATCGGCTCGCATTGCAGCTCCTGGAAACATGCGTCAAGAACTGTGCAGAGGAGTTCCACATCCACTTGGCTGCAAGCGAGCTCTGGGCCGACATCGTCAGGCTCGTTAGTGACACAAGCATCACGAGGGTATGACATGGTTGCATTGATTGCGGATAACGTCGCGACTTTTCACTTAATACGTTCCAGGACTGTTGCCAATTTGCCGCGGCTACGCAACTTCTCTCAGCTGCGCCCAGCTTGTACATAACAGCACTCCTGCCATGTTGCTGTATACCATCCGCGCTTGCAACCCTGAACAGGCTGACGCCGAAGTTCGCGATAGGATGCTTGCGTTGGTGGAGGACTTTGCGCGCTCGCTAAAGCCCAGCCAGTTCCAGGCGGCATACGAGAGCCTCCTGGTGCGACATGTCTATGAACCGGGTTTGGGGAATATCAGCGAGCTGGTTATGAATGCAACCTTGCAACCGGGCGCCTTGACTAAACCAACGCCGGGCTGGCTGGCGATCCTTCATCATCTTTCCCTGCCCTGCCCCGCCCGGGACACGCACCAAAACCCCCTTCTCTTGTCCTCCTCTGCGGCACCCCGCACAACCGCATGCCTCCTCCCTTCCTCCCTCACACAGGACCGCGGAACCGACTTCCCAGTGCGTGGCACCGAGGACGCAGTGCCCGTCCTCGGGCCCCCGCCCTTGAGCTCCCACACCCCTGCGGGCGGTGCAGCCTCCACCGCGGCCCCAGCAGCGTCCGCGCATGGCCCGGCCGGCGACAGCCGCGCCGCCGCCTCTGGTGGTGGCGCCGCGAGCGGCGGTGGCGGTGGCGGCAACAACGACCCTTTTGCTGGCGTGGACGAGCAGGACCGAGCTGCCATTCAAGCAGCTCTTGAAGAGTTGGAGGCGGTGGCTGAGGTGGAGGCGGCGCAGGCGGCGGGTGGGTGTTTATGGTTGTGGGTTTTGTGTGCGGGGGGCAGCGGGGGTTATAAATAAGGGGGGCAGGCGGGTGCTGCAATATGACGAGACGCTGCAGCGCCTGCATGTGAGAAAAGACGTGTCATGTACGGTTGCGCGATTTGCGTGTTTTATCGCATCATGATGCACCTCATGCATTGCCGCAACCCGTTGTGCCGCTCCGTGCCATGTCGTGTGATGCAGAACGAGCCGCTGCGGCCGCCGCTGCTTCCGAGGCGGAGGCGGCTGCAGCTGCGGCGCAGCAACAGCACCTACAGCGGCAGCAGCAGGAGCAGGAGCGCGAGAGGGCTGAGGCAGAGGCGGCCATACGCATGGTAGCTGCGGCAGAGGCAGCGGAAGCCGCCGCGGCCGCTGCTGCTGCTGCTGCGGGGCCGGGACCTAGCAGCGGTGCGGTTCCGGTTCCGGTTCTGGCTGAGCCCCTGGGCACTGACGCGGAACCGCCGCTTCAGCAGCAGCAGCAGCTGCTGCCGGGGGGCTTGCAGCAGGGTGGGGAGGAGCAGCAGCAGGCTGCTGGCAGGAGCGGTGAGGCGCAGCGGCAAGAGCAGCAGCAGCAGCCGGCAGCGGAGCGGGCGCAGGAGGGGGCGGGTGAGGTGGGGGCGGTGGAGGACCGCACGTTGCAGCTGCTGGAGGTAAGAGGGGGCTGGGGGGTGGACGGTTGGATACCTTCTGGGTGATTACTAAATGTGTATGTAAAGTCGGGTAAAGTTCGCTTGATACTGTGTTCCTAATTTGCCAGGCTGCAACTCTCTTCTCTCGATACCCCACCTCCCAAAGGTTTCTCACTTGCCGTACCCTTTCACGCCCACCCCCACCCCATATACGCAATCCTCTACCCCAGCCTAATGCGGGATATGCATCCCTATTTACCCCCACCCCACCCGCCCGCCCCCAGACCGCCAGCAACAGCGCGCTGCTGCTGAGTGAGATGCTGGCATCCATCCCCGACTCGGAGCCGCTCGCCGTGCGAGAGCCGTACGTGACGGATCTGGCAGACAGCTGCATCCGGCTGCGCAGCCGCCTGGAGCGGGCGCTGGGCTCGCTGGCGGACGAGGTGGGTGCCAAGTAACTGGACGGGGTCGGAAGGGTGTGTTTGTATGTGCTGGGCGGATCTGGGTGTCCGCTGTTCACTTTCCATGGCATGCATGCACTCCTTTTCTCCAGTTCCTTTGCGTGTGGCCCATCAATAAAGCCCTGCATGGTTTAAACCTGATCCCTGCCCGAAAAGCCTCCCCCTAACCTGTTGTGTCCTCCCCTCCGTTTGGTTTCACTCCGGCCCCGTGCCCCTCCCTCCGCCAGGCCCTCCTGTCCTCCGCACTCGCCCAACACGAGGAGCTCACCCGCGTGCTGGCGCGCTACGAGGAGCTGCTGGCGGCGGCGGAGTCGCTGCAGCCCTCCGCGCCACGCAGGCAGCAGCACAGGCACCCGCAGCAGCAGCAGCGACATGCAGGAGCGGCTGGACCCATGGGTCAGCAGGGCATGGGTGCGGGTTTCGAGCAGCAGACGCAGAGGCAGCAGCAGCAGGTGCCGTTCTTTCAGCAGTTGCCTGGTTCGACGAGTGCTGGGGGAGCGGAGGCTGCGGCCGGGGGGCCTCAGAGCAGCGTGACGCAGACGGCAGCGGCGGGTAAGAGCGGTGGTTAGGTGTGTGAGAGGTAGGGTTACAGGAAGGCGAGTTGGTGAGGAGGGCATCTTGTCGAAATGGTCTTGTCTTTCCTGTCCTTCGTTAACATGCGATAGCCATGGGCTCTTGGCCCGCTACAACCGCTACTGAGAACGCATACCGATTTGTATCATGTTACGCATTCTAGCATACCGGTATTACCTGGCATGGCTAGTAACCATGGCTAGAAGCCCGGTGCCCCCACTCCTCCCAGCAACCACTGCCCCAAAACAGCCACCCACCTCCTTCCTTTCCCTTAAAGACCCTCCCTCCCTCCCCTCCACCTCCACTGGCCACCCCCAGTGGCCGCAGCGCTCAAGGAGCGGGTGGCGGGCGCCTTCGACAAGCTCATGGCGGCCGCAGCGGCGGCTCGTGCGCCGGGGGGCAGTGGTCCGGGCGGCAACGCCGCGACGGTTGGTCTTCTAGCGGGCGCCTCAGGCTCCGGAACCGGCAGCCCTACGGCGGCGGGGGCAGCTGCTGCGGCGGGGGGCCTGACGGGCAGCGCAGGTGGGGCCGGTGGCGGGACGTTCACGCTTCTGGACGAGGAGGATGAGGACGAGGATGCGCACGAGGGCAGCGCACTGATGACGAAGCGCGCGGTGGCGGCGGCGAACGATCGGCGGCCGCAGCCGCTGTCCGCCCACGGTGTGTACCAGCCGCCCTCGTTCCAGCCGCAGGAGTACTTCCAGCCTGCGCCCCCGCCTGCGTACCAGCAGGCACCGCAGTATCAGTCGTACGAACCGCAGTACGGCTTCCAGCAGTACGAGCTGCCGTACCAGCAGCTCCAGCAGCAGGGCTACCAGCCATCTGCGGAGCCGCTGCAGCCCCAGCAGCAGGCAGCTACGGCGGCCTCAGCAGCAGGTCCGGACCTCATTAACTTTGAGGAGGAGGTCACGGAGCAGCAGGCGCCACCGCCGCCACTGCCCCTCGGCCCGCAGGAGCAGCCGCAGCCGGGGCTGCTGCCCCACACGGTGTCGTCAGGCGGCCTGCGGGCGGAGGGGAGCTCCTCGGGGTTCGTGGCGCAGTTCGCACCTCAAGTGACCGAAGCGGCTGGGCCAGGTAGGGAGCGTTCGAAGGAGGAGGAGGTATAGGCAGGCAGCGCTGCGGTACCTCTTTGCATGGCCGCTTTGACCTATGCTGCAACCGTATCTTCCTGTCCTAAACGAACCCCTCCCCTCCTGCTCCTATGCAGGTATCGCCACTGCCGCAACGGGCCAGCCAACCGCCGCCGCCGGCGCGCCGGAAGACCTCCTTTCCGGCCTAAACTTCTCCTCCGCAGGTGCCGCCTCTCCCGCCACCACCGTCCCCGCCACCACCGCCGCCGCTCCTTCGCAGCAACCGGACCATGTTCCCACACCTCCCGTGTCGCAGTCCCTTATGGGCGATCCGCACTCCTCATTCGAGCTGCCGATGCCGCCGGTGCCGCCTTCGCAGGCGCCAGTGATGACCCATGGGTCATCGCCCGCGCCCCATGCGGGCGAGCCGGTTTTGCCCAGCAGCACCTCCAATGGCGACCAGCTGGTGGCTGCGCTGGACTTGCTGGTGGAGCAGGATGGGAAGGCATCGGAGGAGGCAGCCGGGCAGTAACGCACGGAAGCAGCCATGAGTTAGCAGCAGCAGGGATGGCGGCGGCGAGAGTGACAGCATACATAACGTGAAGCAGCCAGTTTGTTGTTGTGCAGCGAGAGGCAGGCAGCAGCAGCAGCGTTGCCACATGAAGAAAAGCATTGGTGGAACCTGCAGCAGTTGTTACATAGCAAATAATATTCGAAACAAAGCAGAGGGCAGCATGAAACGGTTAGGACCGTTGGTGCAAGCAAGAGCGGTGGTGGCAGCCGGCTGTTTCCACGGCAGCAGGATGTGGAGAGAGTATACGGGACACTTGCTGCTGCCCTTCTTGTCAAGAAGAGTTTTTTCCACGTTCGTAGAAGCAGGGGTGGTTGCGGCTCAGAGCGCAAGGGCGGGGGGGATTTGGTACCATAACGTGTGGATGCATGGCTTGGTTGGGGCTTGTTGATTTGGCGAGTCTGTCCGTCTGTGTTTTTGCTATGGGGTTGTAAAGGATGGAATAGGTAATGCGGGCCCCTACACTACAATACGCCGCTAGCTTCATTGCGCAACCCCTGTGTTGACTGTAGGCCGTTGTGTCACTGGGTTGCCTTAGGGGGCGCGCTGGGCGGCCCCCGTCATTCCTGAAAAAGTTAAGATCCTTCTGTTGCAATATACAGCAGCCGTTATGTACAAGACCTAACCGGGATACCCCCCACACAAAATACCTATGCATTAAACACAGGTTCTTAGGCCAATAGTTCACACAAATTCAAGCTAATTATGGCCACATACCCTCGAATTACTTTGAAAAGTTCACACAAAACTCCTGTACACCTCTCAATCTCACCACATGCAATTCAGGCATTCTTGACAAATAGTTCACACAAAGAACTTTTGGTCAATCCAGCCCTCAGTCAACTTACTTCTGCGCCTTTTACCCATCCCCACCTGTCCCCACCACAAAAGTTCACACAAGAAACTCAAATGTCGAAATAATTTTGCATGAATTATGTCACAAGGTAACACCCTGGGTGAAAAACTCACTTTTTCGTCACTTCCTTCCATCTCAGCAAATAATTCACACGTGGGGGGACGTACGTCCCCCCACACCCCTGAAATTATCATTCAGGTAGCTACCTGGGCAACAATATCATTAACCACCTATCCCTGTACCATTCCACACCATCCTGATGCACCATTCCACACCTATCAGGGGGTGTTAACTGGAAATGGGGGAGAACAGTGCACTGCGCCGGCCAGGGCCGCCCGCAGGTGTGCCTGCCAAGCCGCCGCCTACCATTCCGGAGAGGCAACCGCATGCAGGTGCACGAACAACCCCCCCAATCCAGTCCGACGCAGTCGCTTCCTGCATGCGGATTCCTAGTGGCGAACTGACGCACACTCACGCGGCCTCCAACTCCCAACGCCCATGGGCCTAGAAACACGCATTCGTGTCACGACCCGGCCACGACGTCGCCGTGGCCCCGCCTCTATGCTCGCATCCATCCGAAACTGCGGATGCACCGCTTACCAACCGTTCAGCAACGCCCGCAGCTGCGGAGGGCCCCTCGGCCGGAGATGCGCGATGAGCTCCTCAGCGCTAGTCTGGCATGGGCAGGGGGTTGTGCGGCGACGCCCCCCCCTCGGCTAGGGTACGCGGCAAGCCTCGCTTCTACCCCTCCACCAGGACATCCCCGCCTCCACATTTGCAGGGACGACGGGGGGCCCCTTACTCAAATCCTGCTCCGTGCTGCCATCGCGCTGATGCCGCCGACTGGTAGACACCCCAAACCCGGAAGGCCACCGATCGCCATAAGCGGCAATCTGCAGCTGCAGGGTCGTTGTCAGACCCAACATGGCCATCTGCACCCCCCTCGTCCTGCGCCTCCGCCTGCACCCCGCGCCGCCATCAACGCCGCTGCGTCGGTGAAGGTTACCACCCCGGCGGGGCTCTGAAACCCCCCATCACCAAGTCGGGATCCGAGACGACGCAGCACTTGGTACCGTCCCTTATGGACACATGAGGGCCGTACTGCTTCTCGAGCCCGGCTGCCAAGGGGGCCGCCATGGCGGTTGCAAGTTTTTTTTTGCCGCATCGTCGTGAGAGGCAGGGGGAATCAACGCTGCGCTGGAGCCATGCTGTCTTGTGATGCTGAATGTCGTCAGGCCTGGGCCCGCTGGATATTGCTTCTTTCCGTTGGGTCCCACAGCCCGCTTCCGCTGGCACGTTGGCCTGTACTCCGTCTGCGGGGGAATCTCGAGGAGGGGGGCAGCGTATAGCGGAGGGGCCGTGCCGCGCACGGCCTGCCATGGCTGCCGATATGGTCGGCAGCCCCTGCAGCAGAACGGAGTGCCCCGCGCGCCGGGGTGGTCCACAACAGGTGACAACAAGACCTAAGTACAGGCCTGCAGACAGGCGACAAAACATGCCACGGCAAGCGCGCAACATTACCTTGTCCCGCGGACAAGGGGCCCTTCTCGCGGTACCTACGCCACGGCAAGCGCGCAACACAACCTTGTCCCGCGGACAAGGGGCCCTTCTCGCGGTACCTACGCCTCATTCCCCCGACGGAAGGGTTATCAACGTCGCGCGGCACAGTGCCCTTACGGGTACTTAACACCCCTTACGCCGCGCGCAGTTGGGTGGGCCCTTCTCGCGGTGCCTACAGCCTCTGTCGACCGGAGGACGGGACTCACCTTTGCTTTCGCTCTCCATAAGCGCCGAGGGGCAAAGGTCGTGAAGCGTTCATTTATCCACAGTTGCGAGCCCGCCACACACTGTGTTTCATTGTCCTTGGTTAAAGCAAACAGAAGTGGCTGCAAGGCCTGGTTGGCGCGGCTGTGGTTCTGAAGCTGAGCCAATGGCATGGCTTCCCGTTTCTCGGCATTTGCACATAAGGCTGCGCGAGCCATAACGTGCGTGTATGTATATTACTTAATGCTGCGGCGTACGCCATGCGTCGCGTAATAGCCGCTGCTGCATGGCTACCGGGTGACTGCGGAAGCGCGTTGACTTATTTGGACGGGCCCCAGCCGCTTGGGAATTCCCATCTCTGTGTTGTTATGGGAGGCCCTGTACGCTGCCCTAAGAGATGCATGACCGGGCTGGATGATGTAGAGCTAGGTGCTATGCTAAACAAAATTCTCACGAAGGCGCCTAAGGTCAATTAGCTGCGGCCCCAAATACCAAGCAAGTAGACGGTAACAACCACATAAAAGTTAAGAAGCAAGTAATCAAGTCAACCCCAGCAGCAAACAGTCAACCAGGAACGCCGTACATCGACCTGATTAAGGCGCTCCAGAACCACATTTTTGCTGAACGCCAAAATATAATGTTCGCTGACAGCCAGACCCTTTTGCCAGGCAAATGAGCAATTAAACCAGCTAACATAATTGGTATTCATGTAAGGGAACTTCCTGAAAAGAGTAATGGTGCAATTGAACCTGGCCGGTCTACCCGATGATAGCTCCTTGACACTGTGCCACAGGGTAAAAATGCTTCGACAAAGGACATTATGCCATACATTGCTACAGTCATGCGCACTTTTGGTATGAAACATTTACCGCAACAATTTCTAAGGTGGTACAAATGCCCAAATGTTACAGTATCCAGTACAGAATCATTGCAGCACATCTTTCTTTTGTTTTGGGCATTCGAGCTGCATTGATGCAGTTCAATGCCCCCACACCCCCATACCATTCTCCCCCATATCCCTGTACCATTCCACCCCATATCTCGTGGGGGCAATGCCCCCACACCCCCATACCATTCTCCCCCATATCCCTGTACCATTCCACCCCAAATCTCGTGGGGGCAATGCCCCCACACCCCCATACCATTCTCCCCCATATCCCTGTACCATTCCACCCCATATCTCGTGGGGGCAATGCCCCCACACCCCCATACCATTGTCCCCCATATCCCTGTACCATTCCACCCCATATCTCCATAGAAGATAACCCCCAACCCCCCTTACTACTAACTATGCCCTTTTTAGGTATTATTAGAGAGGGTATAGGGACAAGGGGGTTCAGCTTCCTCAAAGCTGGAAAAGGGCGGAGCCCCTCCTCTTCAGTACGGGAACGTATTATTACCACTGGGATGAATGCGATTATTACAAGGGAGTGGAACGACTCAAGTGCGACGCACAAACCTATGGGCCTTATAGACCTGGAATGCGCTCCTGTGGCTCCACGGCACTTTCGCATTCTAACACACCTTGTTATACGGACGCTGAACCCCCTTGTTTACTGTAGTTTAGTGCTCGTTGCATGGCTAGACGGGCTCAAAGCCCCTTGTCCAGCCGAGGCCGGCCGCCTTGTTCACCCATGGCGTACATAGTGTCCTCACTCATTGCACACATTGTTAGGTTACGCCTGCACACATTGTTAGGTTACGCCTGTTCAATGGAGTACTTAGTAACGTCTTATCATGCTTGATAACACCCACGCATTAGGCTACAGAACCCAAATCGACGGCGTAACTGCCACATGGGAGTGCTTTCAGGGTCCCGCAGGTCGTTAGGGTTTCACCTACATTACTAACATGATGAGGAGGTCAGGCTCGGCAATCTCGGCATCGTGCTCAGGAGGACTTCAGCCATTGCGCCGTCACACGACATGTTAGCTTATAAGCGAGGTACCCCGTACCCGTTTGCGTTACAGTTCATACGCACAAACCCATAGCAAAGGCTGGCAACATCGTCACAAAGGATTGTGTGGGCTCTGAGTAGCACAGTAGATGCGAGCATGCTCCCGCCGGCTTTCACAAGTAGCCCTTTGCCGGCACGCCGCTGTTACCAATTCACTAAATACTGTTTACGGTACCAGGACACACCAAAGAGGAGCGCTAATCGGTGTTGCCGAGGTGGTCCTTTTCGATTGCTGGTCAATAAATTGTTTATTGCGAAATCAAGTTTGTTTGGCTTCCAGTTATTTTTACTGAATACAGATAACGAATATCTATTAGGTGCAATTAATAGTTTTGTCTAGTTTATATGTTTTGACGTTACGGACACACGGACACACGGACACACGGACACACGGACAGGGGCAACCCTGGGGGGCGAGCCCCCCCGAAGCCGCTTCGCGGCGGGGGCTCCGCCCAAAAATACCCCCTAAGCTAAGGGTATAGCGCTATACCCTTAGTGGGGGGCGCCGGGCGCCCCCCACACCCCCCTGGGCCAGCACAGTCCCCCCATAATAGATGCGATTCTGGTAGCATTGACCTCTTATTCCTGTAGGGTTCCACACCTTCTCACGACAGTAAATACCTACAATCCCTGTATGGAGGGGTATGGGGGCACGTACGTGCCCCCATAAATAGTCACAGTCCCGATAGCATTCCAATCCATCTGACGGGAGCAAGTATTTTCACTCTACGCGTTAGGGTTATACCTTCCCTTTGCGGAGCAGATGCACTCCGTCCTTCATATGGGGCATGGGGGCACTGTCTCCTGGGGTGTGGGATGGGGGGATGAATAGTCTCCCCCACCACGAATGTGCCCCCATGGGCGAAAAAGTAACTTTTTGTGGGGGCACGTACGCGCCCCCACACCCCTGAAATAATGATATCATTCCACCCCATCTCCGTGCATCATTGTCCCCCATCCCAATTGCTAGAAATCATACGGTAGGAGTGCCGAACAATCCCGATATGGGGTGTGGGGGGGACGAATGTCCCCCCACTACCATTGCCCCCAATCTTACGATAGTAAATACACACAATCACCCCGATACCAACCACACACACCCTTCCTCCAAACACCACGCAGCGCCAGCACACCCGCAATTGGCCCATCGCCTTGTCGCCGCTCAGGCAATCACTTATCGATTCTTAAACCCTAAAACCCAACACTAACCGCAGAAGATAGAGGCAAACTAACGCTACAATGCCCCCCCCCCCAACCACCACCAACCCCTTCACTGCGATTCTTTTATATTGATCCTGCTCCTCCCTTCTCCTCCCCCCCCCCTTCGTCACAACTCGTCATCCGATACGAGGTTCACCACCTCGTTGTCTGCTCCTGGCGCTCCTCCCGATCCACTGCTGCCCCCAGCCGCCGACTGTGCAGCCCTGATGGCGGTCAGCACCATCATCCGCAGGTCGTCGGGGGCGCCCTTCTGCGCATCCAACAGCGCCTGTGTCTGGTCGGAGGACAGGGCAGCCCCTACCCCTCCGCCAAGGTTGATGCCCCACTCTGCGCTCAACGTCGCCACAACCTGCCGCCGGCCGCTTTGCAGCCCCGCCAGCAGCATCTGGAATGAAAGCCCGGGCCCACACAGCTGCAGCACATAGGGGCGCAGCGGGGCGAGGTCCGCCAGCCCGCACGGCCCCTCGTCCTTGGCCGCCGCCAGCAGCACGCCATGTAGCATGTCCCGCAGCTGCTGGTACTGCTGCGACGAGTAGTGGTTGGACAACCCCAGCAGCAGCTGGAGCATACCGGCTGCGGCGTCAATCCAGCCGCGCGCCAGCAGGCTGTGCAGCAGCGCGGTGCACTCGGCAAAGGGTATGGGCTGGGCGGGAGGCAGCAGCGCGGTCAGCAGCGACGTCTGGAACACCCGGCAGCAGACCGGCCGTGAGACTGTGTCACACAGCTGCAGGACCTCGGCCGTGGTGGCGCCGGCGGCGCGCAGCACAGCGACCGAGTCGATGTCTTGCCGGGATGCCATTAACCTCAGAACAAACTTGATGCACGCCGTGCGGCAGCTGCGGCCCGGGAACCACTCTGCCAACTGCCATTGCCAGCTGCGCAATCATGAGCACCAACGCATGGCTGCTGTATGGCTGGCGGCAGCATATGTCAAGCAGCTGGTCGACCTCATACTCACGACTGTTCAGCAGTTCACGCGCCTGCGGCATGCGGAGCAGCACGTGGACCGCATTGTTTGTGCGCCCAACCACGGCCAGGTGATTCAAGTACTTCGGGACGCACTGCAGCACACGCGCCAGGTCGAGCTGTCCGGTTAGGTAGCCACCGTCACGCAAGGCCTGGAGCAGCACTGCCGCGCACATCGGCCGGTCGTGCCTAATGGCACAGCCCATCAAGAAGTGCAGCCGCTTCTGCCCGAGGCTGGGGTGGTGCTCAAGCAGCACGCGGAGTACGTTGTGATTATCAGCGGCCTGCATCACCCGTACCTCCAGCGATGGCATCTGCTTGTCAAGGATGATGTACGTGGTGAGCGGGGCAGGGCCGACTGTAGGCACGAACATCAGCAGCAGGCGCAACAACGTGACTGCCTTGCGCCAGGACGGCAGAAACGCCGCATACAGCAGTGGATGCAGAAGACCGCCACCGAGGCTGCCACTGCCGTTGCTGATGCCTGTCAGGGCGCCGGCGCAGATGAGGCTAACCACGTTGCTGATGTCCGACATGGGGATCTCAAACTGGCGCGTGCTGATATTGCGCACCGTCACGTCCAGAGCATGCGTCGGGTCGAGCCCGATTGCACCAGCTGTGCCCGCGTACACATGCGTCATGGCTGCCCGTGGAGCTACCGATGAGAGCCAGGCACCCATCTGCCGTACATCTAGGCGCTGGCGATCTGCCGTTAGTTGGCTTTGGCTCTTCACGCACATGGCTTATTCATAGTGTGATATCGTCTTGTGTGGCATTGTTGCTGTCAACTGACGGGCTAAAGCAATTTACCACCCGTTAAACTTTGCCTATGTTTGGAACAACTTTCTATCCATCTACGCTTAGGTCGACGGCATTCCGGATAATATCTTGTGTCATGTTACTGCGTCCCAGAACATATGCTATTTCCAGCAGTACGCGTTCTCAAGCATCTAGTCAATCACCTCTCCCCGAACTGTCATTTCAGTCAAAGCCTAAGCAGCAACAGCCGCCCGAACAGGAGCCAAGCCACAAGCTATTTGACCTATACAGGATAGACGACAACGCCAACGAATTCTTGATGGCCACCTTTGCCAAGCGCGTTGAAGCTGAACAAATGATGCTTGAATTTGAAAGCCGCGGCCACAAGCAAGTGTACTTTATCAGGACAAGGCCAAAGGATCCGCAATAGCCCCAACGCGCACTTGCAGCGCCTTGGGTACCACCGCTTCCCACACGCTACCTGTCGGTTGGCTGGTTGCGGTGGGTTTGTGAGGGGCCCCTAACACACTGCTGCACGGTAGCCATGCAGACGGGGCTGCTGGGTTTCTTGAGAAAGGCCACAACTGCAACTCCAAATCGTTTCTCTTAGCCTATGACGCCTCATGTTGACGTAGGGGCGAAGGAGGGTTCGATGCAGCCAGCTGTTCACGCACCACTTCCTCCTCACCCACACATTCCCTCCTCTACGCAACCGTATCCTTCCCCCCTCCCCACGACCACAGCCCTCCCTCCTCCTCCTCCCCCGCGCCCTCCCACCACCCAGGTGGCCCCATCACCACCCCACCCCTCCCTCCTCCTCCTCCTCCACCTTCTCCTCCTCCCGGACCACCCGACGCCCCTCCTCCCCCGCTTCCCGTTCCCGGCAGCATCAGCAGCCGCCGCTGTGCCACGTAGCCCAGGAAGGCGGTGGATATGAGGAGGCCGCCGGCGAAGGCGGCGGCGGTGGTGACCCAGAAGGCCGTGAAGGACTCTTCCAGCGTGTTGCGCATGTTCATGCCGAAGACGCCCGCCACGGAGGTGATCACGGTGAACATGAGCGTGATGGAGGTAACCACCAGGTCGATCCCCACGATCTGGTTGCGCCTGGGGGGGCGGGGAGCGTCGGGTACGGGGTTGTTGTTGGCGGTGGTGTTGGTGTTTGGGGGAGGCGGGTGGGGTTTGGCGGCTGGTGGGGTGTTGCTAGGTAGGTGGCTATAAACGCGCATGGCGATCTGGAATCGTGGCAGAAGTTCGGGAGTTGTAGGTGGTTACCGTGTGTAGTAGCCTATCCCTGGCGAATCGGTCACGATGGGTGTAACGAAAAGGCAGGTGAAGTCTTGTTGTCAAACGGCACACGCTATTCCCACACATCCTGTTGCAGCGGGAACGCGACCCGCAGCAGCAGCAGCCCTCATACCGCAAAACGCAGGAGGCCGGATTGGATACGCCTAGCGTTTAAGGCAAGGCATTGAAAGGCAGGCAGGCATCCAACGGCAGGCATGCATGTGTACGCTGTACGTCACCCCCCCCCAAGCCCCCAACCTGTGGTTTCCTATGGTTCGGTATGGTATTTGACCCCCCCAGCCCCCACCTGTTGTCCAGGTCAATGTTGACCAGGTCCTCTGTGTCGTCGATGCGTTCGTTGAGGGCGTCAAGCCGGCCTAGCAGGGCCTCAGCCTGGTGGGGAGGTGGGGGCCGCGAAACAAGGGTACCCAATGTGTTGTTGAGGAGGGTGAGAGAGACGGTGTGGAGGGGGTGGGTGGGTGGACACTTCGGTAGTGGCGTGTCAACCATATCGCAAAGTAGCAAACCTATCCCACCGCCACCGCAGCCACCCCCACCTCCACCTAGGTGATGCCTCATCACACGGTCAGTTAGTTGCTTCCTCTTTACCCACCTGCACGTAATAAAACTCCAGCAGGTTCTCGCAGTCCTCCACGTCATGCGGCGCGGCTCGCTGCCCGGTGGCGGCCGCCTCCGCCGCCTGCCGTGCAGCCCACTCCTCCGTCGGCACGCTGCTGCTGCTGCTGCCGCTGCTGGCAGAGCCGCCGCCGCCGCCGCCGCCGTCGCCGCCGTCACCGCTGTCAAAGCTGCTAGGCGCGGATGGCGCCTCCGTCGACGGAGGCGACGGAGGCATGTACTGGTAATCGCGGGAAGCCGTTCCCCTTCGCGGGCGGAGATGCGGATCGGGCTCGGTCCGGCTGCCGGCCTCGCGACGTTGGCGGCGGAGCCGCCGCCGCTGGCGGTTATCCTCCTCCTCATCGGCTCGGTGAAAGTCCGGGAAGCTACTCGGAGTAGCAGCACCGGAGGCCCTGCCGCCGCCGGGTCCTGGTGATTGTCGTACCGCCGCCGTCGCCGCTGGCGGCGGTGGCGGCTTCAGCGACAGCGGCGGCGACCAGGCCGCCATGTGTGGTGGGACCTCCACATCCTCCAGCTTGGCCGGTGGCGTGCCATCATTGAAGTGCCACACTCCGCCGCTACCGCCGCCGCCGCTGCCGTCGGCACTGCCCCGGGGGGTTCCGCCGCCACCGCCGCCGCCGCCGCTACCGCTACCCTGCGGCCCCGCACTCCACTGGACTCGCGGGCTGCCGAACGGTGTAGGCAGCGGAGCCGGCGGCGACGGCGTCGATCCCGCCGACGCCTCCGTCGCCGCCGTCCTGCTGGCCTCCAAGGCGCCTCCGTCGCCCCTCGGCGGCGTCACCCAGCCCGCCTCCACCTCCTCCGCCACCTCCATGACTCCCGCCGGGGGGCTGCCCGTCGGCCCTGCCGACGGCCGCCGCCGCTGCCGCCCGCTTCCTCCCGCCGCCGACTCAACCTCACCTCCGCCGCCGCCGCCGTACGGCAGTCCATTCGGCCACCCGTCGCCTCCGCCGGCGCCTCCGCCGCCGCCGCCGCCTTCTTCATTGGAGCTGCTGGCGCCAGGATGCCCCGCAGCGTGGTGGCCAGCCGCCTGCACCGCCCGCCCACCGCCTTGATCGCCCGCTTGGCCTCACGCACCCGCTCCAGCCGCGCAGGACTCACGCCGCGAGCCAGGTCGTCCGCGATGTACGGCACATGCGCCTCCAGCCAGGCTACCTGCGGAAGTGCGGAGGTGAGGTGTATAGCGAGGTAAGAGAAGACCGTGGTATGGCACACAGGCCACGGAAACAAGGAACCCAGGTCACGACGACGGCGAGGGTTGCTGGCTGCGGGTAGCACCGGCTGAGGGTGGGGGAGGAGCGAGCAGCGAACCAGCGACGCGGGGAATGTGAAAGGGGGTGAAAGTTGTAGGTGTATGACCCATGGGTCGCGTGGGTTTGCGACAATCCCAACAGTTCGCGCAACACACGCATACACATGCTACCACTCCGTTGCTTAAGCACACACACACACACACTTCATCTTTCGGCAATTACAGTACGTTTCGCCTCGCGGCCAGTTATTTTTAAAACACACCTGGCAATTCTTTAACATACCTGCGCATCCAGCAGCCGTACGGCCTCCCACAGCCCAGCCTCCAGCGCCCGGAGTTCGTATGGCAATTCCAGATCCAGCATTGCGGAATCCAGATCCATGCGCCTCGAAGAATCCTGGTGCCTCATGCTCGTCATGGTGCTGCTGCTGCTGCCACCGTTGCCGCCCGCTGCGGACATCAGCATGTGGGAAGCCCGGCGGACAACATCTTTGCCGTTGCCGCCGCCGCCGCCGCTGCCGCCGTTGACGGCACTGCCATTCCTGGGGCGTTGCTGGGCAGGGATCTCTTCGGGAGCTGCTGCTGCCGCTGCTGCTGCTGCTGATGTCGCCGGCTGCTGCTGCTGATGTCTCCATTGCGCAAGGGAGGGGCGGGGAGGTAGCGGGGGGAGCTCCGACCTGCAGCGGCACCGGGTAAGCAGCACGGTGTCACAATTTATCTCAAGTTGTCGTGCAGTTCAGTTCCGGTCGTTACTATGCCCATCACTACTACGCGCCCCACCATGCTCGAGCACGTAAAGACGTAGTTAATGGGGTTCATGTATTCCTTTTCCTCACCTAGCGCCCTCGTCCTGATTGTCTGCCACCGCAGCAGCAGCGCCCCCGTTCGCTCCCCGTCCTGCCTCCCCGTTCGCTCCCCTCGCCGCCGCCGCCGCCTGCTGCCGCCTCGCCTGCTCCGCCTGCCACGCCGCCGCCAGCGCCGTACTGCGGCGTCTGATCAGTGTGCTTTGCGACGGCATGCCGTACGCGCTGCTGCTGCCGCCGCCGATGCTAGGGTGGTGTAGCCCGCCGCCGCCGCCACCAGCAGCACCAGCACCACCAGCAACGTTTCGGCGACGAAGTGTGAAGCTAGGGAGCTGCAGGAAGTTCAGTTGGTAGCCTCGGGCTGACCGTTGGTGACGCAGGGTAGAGCGGCGGAGCAGACCCGAAGGATCTCGCCCGATGACGTCGCCGTCACCGCCACCCTCAACGCCGCCTGTGCCGCCCATGTCGTCTATATGCGCCGGTATCATACCATGCACCGCCGTTCTGAAGGGACTTCTGCGGCTCAGCTCCTCCTCCTCTTCACCCTCTTCTTCCTCAGCATTATCGTAGCTACCCTCCACAGCACCCTTGGCGGCAGCAGCAGCAGCGGCACCGCTGCCCGCTGCTGCCGTCGCTGCTGCTGCTGTCTCTTCAGCGATTACTGCTCCGAAGGGACTGAGATCGGCGGGAGCAGTGGCGGGGTAGGGCGGTGTCTGGCGCTGCGGCGCCGGCGGTGGCGGTGGTGGCGGTGGTGGTCCGAGCACACCCGGAGGGGCGGTCGAGGCGGGGGCGGCTGTGCGTGTGTTAGAAGCGGTGGAGGGTGGTGTTGGTTGATGGGGCAGGAAGGAGAAGTCGGGAGGGTTAGGAATGGGTGTGGGGTAGCAAGGAAGGGTGGCGGTTCCATGGTTGCTGGCGATCTTGCTGCCGTACTTTCGCATTCCGGTAGTACGGCAGTACGGTAGTGGTTACCAACAGCACGTGGGCTGTGTCGCGCGACCCATGGGCCCTAACACATCCTTTCACCCCCCACAGCATCTGCTACAACTCCTGATGGAACTGGTAGACATCCTGGTTTTAAGAACTACAGCCTGAACAGCAACCCCACCCAACCCAACCCAACCCCACCTGCAGCCCCCGCCGCACCGCCACCACCATTGCCTCCACCTTTACCACCGCTGCCACCGCCATTCTTCTTCCCGGCTCCAACCGCCCCCCCCCCACCGCCGTCCCCGCCCCCGCCCCCGCCGCAGTTCCGGGTGCCGCGGCGGTGGCAGCGGTTGGGTCCGTCGCGGCGCTCAATCGCGCACACAGCGCCGCAATGAAGGGGCAGTGCAGCGGCCGCCCCTGCACACAGTCCACCACACGACCGCCCAGAAGGTAGCCGCCACCCGAGGCGGCGGCAGCACCGCCGCCGCCTCCGAAACCGCCGTACATGCTGTGTACGTCATAGCTGCCGTACCCCCCCGGCATGCGCCCGTCTTGCTCCACGGGGTGCTGTACACTGAGCACGTAGACCTAGGCGGCGACCGGGAGCGAGGGTGCGGGTGGGTGGGGTGTGGTTGCAGGAGTAGAGTGGGGGAGGAGTGTGCGGGGAAGAGGGCGCGTGCGAGCTTGTGCTGGGCGTATCAAGATCGACGATCACGCGCACCTACCGTACAACCCTCGCACCACCACCCTCCCCAGTTGCGCCCTGCTTCGTCACTCCCCCACCTGGTCACAGCCGATGATCATGCGCACGCTCTCCAGGTTCACCACAAGCGCCCGCTCGCGGATGAGAACAGCGGTGGGGGTGGGGATGGGCAGCTGGGCGGGGCAAATGTGGAAGGGGGGGAGGAACGAAGAGGGGAAAGGGGAAAGGGACCAAGAGCGGGTGGGGTCGAGGGTCTTGAGGGTCTGGCGAGGAGATGCAACATAAGTATGCAATCCTTTCGGGCCATGCGGTCCCATGGGTCCATCCTACAACGCGTGTCCTACATAACATGCCTGCCTGATGTCGACCCAACCAGGCCACCGGTTTGTATGCCACACCGCCTCCCAACTACACATTCTCAAGTCCCCCTCACACGTACTGCACCCCCCAACCTGCCGCAACCCTCAAAACACACGTACGACAGGCACGACGCACCGCAGGGTCAATGGCGCGCAGGTCACGGTACGCAATGCCCATGTCCGCAACCAGCTGGTGTCTGTCCACTCGCACGATGGAAGGTATACCGTCGCGGGACACATGCACCACTCGGCGGGGGAACCGTGGGTCAAACGGCGTGACGGCAGCTGCGGAGGCCGAGTGGGCACCGCCGCCGCCGCCGCCCAAGCCGGCCGTGTTGGCGCTGCTGCTGCTGCCGCTGAGACGGCGGTTCCAGGGCTGCGGTCCCGGACCCGATGAGCCGCCGCCGTCGGCACCACCCCTGTGGAAGGAGGGCTTGGACTCCGGATGGGGGTCCCTAGGTGGGGCGCGGGATGGGAGGGAGAGGAGGTGGTAAGGGTGTTAGTTGGCAAGGTTTGCAAGGTAACCCCGATGCCGCATAGTTTCACACCGTACGGCACCCACCATGAGCCAGACGTGGGCAGCTCCCCTGACCTGCCCGCCCCCGCCACACCCCACCCGGGGGGCAGGGAGGTGCCTCGGGAAGTGGCGGAGGTGTAGACGGCGGCAGCAGTGGACGTTTCACGAGCGCCGCCGCCGTTATAAGGGTTATAAGCCTGGACGTCCCAGACAGCGCGCGCGGCAGCAGCAGCAACGCAGAGGAGGCAGTATGACAAAAGAGCGCCCCTACCTCTGGTGTGGCAGAGAAGAAATGAGGGGTAAAGCACAGGGTAGGTCGAGCAGGTGAAGCATCGGGAAGGGCGTGGGGAGGCAGGCGCCACACGGGGAAGGGCATAGAAGTCCCTCAGAGGGCCGCAGCGGCACCACACGGAGAAGGGCATGGACACTGGCGCCGACGGGGCCCACGGGGAAGGGCATGGGAATCCCACGGGAGGACAAGCGGTATTGCGCAGGGGCAGGCACAAAGGTAGGCTGGGGCCGTGCAGAGACGGGTCTAAGGACGCAAGGGCCGCACAGGGAAGGGCAGGAGGGGCAGGTGCTGCACATGAACGGGCGTCGGGAGGCAGGCCCCGGGCTGGCAAGGCCATGGAGAGGCAGGCACGGTACAGGGAAGGGCATAGGGAGTTGGGAACCCTACCGGGGGCCGCGAAGCGCATGGGAAGGCAAACGTCGCGCATGGAAGGCATGAGGGTGGTAGGCACCGAACTGGCTGGGAAGCGGCAAGGGAGGCAGGGGCTGCACGAGGGGAAGGCAGGCGCTGCACGGGGACAGATAGAGTAGCACCCGTTCCCGCCTCCCCAACCTCCACGGCCCCCGGGTATGATTCACAGTTGTTAGGTTACAACGTTCTATCCTTTGAACGTGGGCACTTAGTCGCTGAAGGACCCCGGGGCTAGGCCTGCGCTTTCCTATCAAAACCTGCCCTATGTAGTGGTCGATACGCGTGTAAAGGCTTAAAGGTGGGTAAGGCTGGATGTTTGCAGGTTGCTGTGGTGGTCGGTGGCTTCGCATGCACAAAAGTAACACAGGCCCCACGCCCGCGGGATCGGGTGACTTTTGCGGAAAAGTCAGCCGTAAAAGTCATCTACAAACGCGGTGACTTTTACCCTTAGTAGCTTAACAGTAGATTGCTAGATATAGGCTAATAGTTGACTTCTAGGCTGCTTACTTCGCAGCTCCTGAGCTAACACGTTACTTTTTTTTATGCATGCGAAGCCACCCACCACCACAGCAACCTGCAAACATCCAGCCTTACTCACCTTTAAGCTTTTACACGCTCATCGACCACTACATATGGCAGGTGTCGATAGGAAAGCGCAGGCTAGCCCCGGGGTCCTTCAGCGACTAAATGCCCACGTCCAAAGGATAGGTCATGTAACCTAACAACTGTGAATCATACCGCGGGGCCATGGATGTTGGGGAGGCGGGAACGGGTGCTACTCTTATCTGTCCCCGTGCAACGCCTGCCTTCCCCTCGTGCAGCCCCTGTCTCCCTTGCCGCTTCCCCGCCAGTTCTGTGCCTACCACCGTCATGCCTTCTATGCGCGGCGTTTGCCTTCCCATGCTCTTCGCGGCCCCTGGTTGGGTTCCCAACTCCCTATGCCCTTCCCCGTACCGTGCCTGCCTCTCCATGACGTTGCCAGCCCGAGGCCTGCCTCCCGACGCCCGTTTATGTGCAGCACCTGCCCCTCCCTGCCCTTCCCTGTGCGGCGCTTGCGTCCTTAGACCCGTCTCTGCACGGCCCCAGCCTACCTGTGTGCCTGCCCCTGCGCAATACCGCTTGTTCTCCCGTGGGATTCCCATGCCCTTCCCCGTGGGCCCCGTCGGCGCCAGTGTCAATGCCCTCCTCCGTATGGTGCCGCTGCGGCCCTCTGAGGGACTTCTATGCCCTTCCCCGTGTGGCGCCTGCCTCCCCGCGCCCTTCCCGATGCTTCACCTGCTCGACCTGCCCTGTGCTTTACCCCTCATTTCTTCTCTGCCACACCAGAGGTAGGGGCGCTTTTGTCATACTGCCTCCACATGTGTACCCGTGCCTTTTCAGCACCGGAAGAGCTGACGCGCTGTATGGGAGGGTAAAGACCCTTCTTTGTAAAGTTGAAACCCCTTTGTTGGATGGCAAAATGGAAGCACACACGCACAAAAACGAAGTATCCATCCACCACCCATCACCATGCGCGGCACAGCGCTTACATGTATGTGCAAAAACCCAAAGCGCGGCCGGCTACATATAGCCAAAGGGAACCGTTGATAGCTAGCTAAACACTTGGCCGCTGCTGCAACGCGTGCTGTCTGGGACGTCCAGGCTTATAACCCTTATAACGTCAGAGGGCCCAAAGACCCACATGTCGACCACAATGCACCCTGCTGCATGCTGCTGACTAACTGACACCATGTACCCACCCGTGCATCAGTGCCGATGCCTGTATACATGCCCAACTACCGGCGCCCATGGTCGTACGCACACTAGTCGCGCCCAACTATCGAACTGTTGGATGCATGCGCATACAGACACCCCCTGTCCTAGTGAATTACCCAGGCCAGCGCCCTGCCGTGCTCCTAAACTGGTGCATATGCGTGCAGGAATGAGGGGACTTGGGGACAGAAGCTTCACGAGGAAGAGCCATTAAACGAACATAGTAGCGACCGTTCATCCGTTCAGTAAATTCGAGGAACGGGCAATGACAGGGGGAGACAGGGCCGCACGGGGAAGGGCAGATGCACGGGAAAGGGCATTGGAAGGCAAGCACAGCACGGGAAAGGCAGGGTAGCAGCAGGGGCGCCACACGAGGAGAGGTATGAAGAGTCAGGTGCCGCGACGGGGAAAGCCAGGGGCTGGCAGGCGTCGCGTGTGGAAGGGCGGCCGCACGGGCAAGGGAATGGGGAGGTAGGAGGCTCGCTTATGCAACGGAAATCTCGCTGAATGACCCCGGGGTTAGGCCTACGCTTTCCTATCGACACCTGAGATATGAATGGCCGCTGAGCGTATAAAAAGCTTAAAGGAGGCAACAGGAATAAGGCTGGAGGTATGTAGGTTGTTGCTGTGGTGGATGGCAACGCATGCATACGAACAAGTGAACGTATTAGCGCTAAACAAGCAGCCTAAAGTCAACTATTAGCCTATATCTAACAATCTACTGTTAAGCTACTAAGGGTAAAAGTCACCGTGTTTGAAGATGACTTTTACGGCTGACTTTTCCGCAAAAGTCACCCGATCCCGCGGGCATGAGGGGTCTCAAAGTAAAGTTAACGTGTTACCTAACGTTGCGAAGTAAGCAGCCTAAAAGTCAACTTAACAGTAGGTTGTTATATTATAGGCTAATATCTAACAATCTACTGTTAAGCTACTAAGGGTAAAAGTCACCGCGTCTGCAGATGACTTTTACGGCTGACTTTTCCGCAAAAGTCACCCGATCCCGCGGGCATGGGGCCTGTGCCGTAGGAGTTCGCAGGATAGGCACCGGTACGACCAGAAACCAAAATTCCTGAGAGCCCATGGAAACAGAGCTATTGCTACTAATTGCGTGCCTGCTACCCCATCGCCTATAGTGTATCTTACAAGACCTGCATTAATCCTTTCCCAACATGTCTCAGAACATTTCTATTGAGCAAATCAAGCAGCTTTTGGAGGACGCCCTCAAGCCCATCAAAGACGGGTTGGCGGGCCTCTCCACGACGGTGGATGACCTCTCCACGACTGTGAATGGCCTCTCCACGACTGTGAATGGCCTCTCCACGACGGTGGATGGCCTCTCCACGAAGGTGGATGACCTCTCCACGAAGGTGGATGACCTCTCCACGAAGGTGGACACGACGATGGTCAAGGTCGACATCCTTGTCGCGAAGCAGCAGAACTCGGCAGCAACTCGGAGCGACCGTCTGCAGGTGGTACCTCGACCGGACGGTTCCATGCCAAGGGTGGACTTTCCGGAAACGATCCAGCAGCTCCTGGTTGCGGGCAACGAATCTCTGCCCAACGGTCAGCGGAACACCTGGAACATGAACAAGTCCAAGGCGCTGGTGCGGGAGTATGAGCGTGCAAGCGAGAGCGAGAGCGAGACCGACGACAACGAGTACTCGGCAAAGTCGCGGGCGCGGAGGCTCAAGCTCGCCCGACTCCTGGGCATCACCAATACCCAGCTCAACTTCGCGCAGATGACGCTGTAGGCGCCTGCATCGCCTCGCTGGAGCAATTAAACCGGTGTTTTTCAACACCACCCTGCCCGGACTGCTGCAATTGCGTTGTTCGCTGACAGCCAGACCCTTTTGCCAGGCAAATGAGCAATTAAACCAGCTAACATAATTGGTATTCAAGTAAGGGAACTTCCTGAAAAGAGTAACTGTGCAATTGAACCTGGCCGGTCTACCCGATGATAGCTCCTTGACACTGTGCCACAGGGTAAAAATGCTTCGACAAAGGACATTATGCCATACATTGCTACAGTCATGCGCACTTTTGGTATGAAACATTTACCGCAACAATTATTAAGGTGGTACAAATGCCCAAATGATACAGTATCCAGTACAGAATCATTGCCGCACATCTTTCTTTTGTTTTGGGCATTCGAGCTGCATTGATGCAGTTCAATGCCCCCACACCCCCATACCATTGTCCCCCATATCCCTGTACCATTCCACCCCATATCTCGTGGGGGCAATGCCTCCACACCCCCATACCATTGTCCCCCATATCCCTGTACCATTCCACCCCATATCTCCATAGAAGATAACCCCCAACCCCCCTTACTACTAACTATGCCCTTTTTAGGTATTATTAGAGAGGGTATAGGGAAAATACCCCCTAAGCTAAGGGTATAGCGCTATACCCTTAGTGGGGGGCGCCGGGCGCCCCCCCCCCTGGGCCAGCACAGTCCCCCCATAATAGATGCGATTCTGGTAGCATTGACCTCTTATTCCTGTAGGGTTCCACACCTTCTCACGACAGTAAATACCTACAATCCCTGTATGGAGGGGTATGGGGGCACGTACGTGCCCCCATAAATAGTCACAGTCCCGATAGCATTCCAATCCATCTGACGGGAGCAAGTATTTTCACTCTACGCGTTAGGGTTATACCTTCCCTTTGCGGAGCAGATGCACTCCGTCCTTCATATGGGGCATGGGGGCACTGTCTCATGGGGTGTGGGATGGGGGGATGAATAGTCTCCCCCACCACGAATGTGCCCCCATGGGCGAAAAAGTAACTTTTTGTGGGGGCACGTACGTGCCCCCACACCCCTGATGAAATAATGATATCATTCCACCCCATCTCCGTGCATCATTGTCCCCCATCCCAATTGCTAGAAATCATACGGTAGGAGTGCCGAACAATCCCGATATGGGGTGTGGGGGGGACGAATGTCCCCCCACTACCATTGCCCCCAATCTTACGATAGTAAATACACACAATCACCCCGATACCAACCACACACACCCTCCTCCAAACACCACGCAGCGCCACCACACCCGCAATTGGCCCATCGCCTTGTCGCCGCTCAGGCAATTACTTATCGATTCTTAAACCCTAAAACCCAACACTAACCGCAGAAGATAGAGGCAAACTAACGCTACAATGCCCCCCCCCAACCACCACCAACCCCTTCATTGCGATTCTTTTATATTGATCCTGCTCTTCCCTTCTCCTCCCCCCCCCCGGTCGTCACAACTCGTCATCCGATACGAGGTTCACCACCTCGTTGTCTGCTCCTGGCGCTCCTCCCGATCCACTGCTGTCCCCAGCCGCCGACTGTGCAGCCCTGATGGCGGTCAGCACCATCATCCGCAGGTCGTCGGGGGCACCCTTCAGCGCATCCAACAGCGCCTGTGTCTGGTCGGAGGACAGGGCAGCCCCTACCCCTCCGCCAAGGTTGATGCCCCACTCTGCGCTCAACGTCGCCACAACCTGCCGCCGGCCGCTTTGCAGCCCCGCCAGCAGCATCTGGAATGAAAGCCCGGGCCCACACAGCTGCAGCACATAGGGGCGCAGCGGGGCGAGGTCCGCCAGCCCGCACGGCCCCTCGTCCTTGGCCGCCGCCAGCAGCACGCCATGTAGCATGTCCCGCAGCTGCTGGTACTGCTGCGACGAGTAGTGGTTGGACAACCCCAGCAGCAGCTGGAGCATACCGGCTGCGGCGTCAATCCAGCCGCGCGCCAGCAGGCTGTGCAGCAGCGCGGTGCACTCGGCAAAGGGGTATGGGCTGGGCGGGAGGCAGCAGCGCGGTCAGCAGCGACGTCTGGAACACCCGGCAGCAGACCGGCCGTGAGACTGTGTCACACAGCTGCAGGACCTCGGCCGTGGTGGCGCCGGCGGCGCGCAGCACAGCGACCGAGTCGATGTCTTGCCGGGATGCCATTAACCTCAGAACAAACTTGATGCACGCCGTGCGGCAGCTGCGGCCCGGGAACCACTCTGCCATTGCCAGCTGCGCAATCATGAGCACCAACGCATGGCTGCTGTATGGCTGGCGGCAGCATATGTCAAGCAGCTGGTCGACCTCATACTCACGACTGTTCAGCAGTTCACGCGCCTGCGGCATGCGGAGCAGCACGTGGACCGCATTGTTTGTGCGCCCAACCACGGCCAGGTGGTTCAAGTACTTCGGGACGCACTGCAGCACACGCGCCAGGTCGAGCTGTCCGGTTAGGTAGCCACCGTCACGCAAGGCCTGGAGCAGCACTGCCGCGCACATCGGCCGGTCGTGCCTAATGGCACAGCCCATCTAGAAGTGCAGCCGCTTCTGCCCGAGGCTGGGGTGGTGCTCAAGCAGCACGCGGAGTACGTTGTGATTATTAGCGGCCTGCATCACCCGTACCTCCAGCGATGGCATCTGCTTGTCAAGGATGATGTACGTGGTGAGCGGGGCAGGGCCGACTGTAGGCACGAACATCAGCAGCAGGCGCAACAACGTGACTGCCTTGCGCCAGGACGGCAGAAACGCCGCATACAGCAGTGGATGACCGCCACCGAGGCTGCCACTGCCGTTGCTGATGCCTGTCAGGGCGCCGGCGCAGATGAGGCTAACCACGTTGCTGATGTCCGACATGGGGATCTCAAACTGGCGCGTGCTGATATTGCGCAGCGTCACGTCCAGAGCATGCGTCGGGTCGAGCCCGATTGCACCAGCTGTGCCCGCGTACACATGCGTCATGGCTGCCCGTGGAGCTACCGATGAGAGCCAGGCACCCATCTGCCGTACATCTAGGCGCTGGCGATCTGCCGTTAGTTGGCTTTGGCTCTTCATGCACATGGCTTATTCATAGTGTGATATCATCTTGTGTGGCATTGTTGCTGTCAACTGACGGGCTAAAGCAATTTACCACCCGTTAAACTTTGCCTATGTTTGGAACAACTTTCTATCCATCTACGCTTAGGTCGACGGCATTCCGGATAATATCTTGTGTCATGTTACTGCGTCCCAGAACATATGCTATTTCCAGCAGTACGCGTTCTCAAACATCTAGTCAATCACCTCTCCCCGAACTGTCATTTCAGTCAAAGCCTAAGCAGCAACAGCCGCCCGAACAGGAGCCAAGCCACAAGCTATTTGACCTATACAGGATAGACGACAACGCCAACGAATTCTTGATGGCCACCTTTGCCAAGCGCGTTGAAGCTGAACAAATGATGCTTGAATTTGAAAGCCGCGGCCACAAGCAAGTGTACTTCATCAGGACAAGGCCAAAGGATCCGCAATAGCCCCAACGCGCACTTGCAGCGCCTTGGGTACCACCGCTTCCACATGCTACCTGTCGGTTGGCTGGTTGCGGTGGGTTTGTGAGGGGCCCCTGACACACTGCTGCACGGTAGCCATGCAGACGGGGCTGCTGGGTTTCTTGAGAAAGGCCACAACTGCAACTCCAAATCGTTTCTCTTAGCCTATGACGCCTCATGTTGACGTAGGGGCGAAGGAGGGTTCGATGCAGCCAGCTGTTCACGCACCACACATTCCCTCCTCTACGCAACCGTATCCTTCCCCCCTCCCCACGACCACAGCCCTCCCTCCTCCTCCTCCCCCGCGCCCTCCCACCACCCAGGCGGCCCCATCACCACCCCACCCCTCCCTCCTCCTCCTCCTCCACCTCCTCCTCCTCCTCCACCTCCTCCTCCTCCCGGACCACCCGACGCCCCTCCTCCCCCGCTTCCCGTTCCCGGCAGCATCAGCAGCCGCCGCTGTGCCACGTAGCCCAGGAAGGCGGTGGATATGAGGAGGCCGCCGGCGAAGGCGGCGGCGGTGGTGACCCAGAAGGCCGTGAAGGACTCTTCCAGCGTGTTGCGCATGTTCATGCCGAAGACGCCCGCCACGGAGGTGATCACGGTGAACATGAGCGTGATGGAGGTAACCACCAGGTCGATCCCCACGATCTGGTTGCGCCTGGGGGGGGGGGCGCGGGGAGCGTCGAGTACGGGGGTTTTGTTGTTGTTGTTGTTGTTTGGGTAGGCGGGTGGGGTTTGGCGGGTGGGGGGGGGGTGTTGCTAGGTAGGTGGCTAAAAGTGCATGGCGATCTGGAGATGGGGCAGAAGTTCGGGAGTTGTGGGTGCTTACCGCATGTGGTCTACCCCTGGCGAATCGGTAATGATGCGTGTAACGGAAAGGCAGGTGAAGCCCCATTGTCAAACGGCACACGCTATTCCCACGCATCCTCTTGCAGCGGGTACCCGACCCGCATGCAGCAGCCCTCATTCAGTACGAGGAAACACGATTTGTTATATAGGCAAGGCATCCAAATCCAGGCATGCACGATGCATCCAACGGCAGGCATGCATGTGTACGCTGTACGTCACCCCCCCCCAAGCCCCCAACCTGTGGTTTCCTATGGTTCGGTATGGTATTTGACCCCCCCAGCCCCCACCTGTTGTCCAGGTCAATGTTGACCAGGTCCTCTGTGTCGTCGATGCGTTCGTTGAGGGCGTCCAGCCGCCCTAGCAGCGCCTCAGCCTGGTGGGGCCAAGAGAAGAGTACCCAATGTGTTGTTTAAAAGGGAGAGAGAGGCGGTATGGAGGTGGCGGGTGTGTGGAATACTTCGGTAGTGACGTGTCGGGTGGGTGGACTTCGGTAGTGAGCCTAGTGACGTGTCAACCGCATCGCAAAGTAGCAAACCTATCCCACCGCCACTGCAGCCACACCCATCCCCACCTGCACGTAATAGAACTCCAGCAAGTTCTCGCAATCCTCCACGTCATGCGGTGCGGCCCTCTGCCCGGTGGCGGCCGCCTCCGCCGCCTGCCGTGCAGCCCACTCCTCCGTCGGCACGCTGCTGCCGCCGCTGCTGCTGGCGGAGCCGCCGCCGCCGTCACCGCCGTCAAAGCTGCTAAGCGCAGATGACGCTTCTGTCGACGGAGGCGACGGAGGCATGTAATCGCGGGAAGCCATTCCCCTTCGCGGGTGGAGGTGCGGGTCGGGCTCGGATCGCGGCGGCTCGGTACGGCTGCCGGCCTCGCGACGCCGGCGGCTCCACCGCCGCCTGCGGTCCATCTCCTCCTCGTCGGCTCGGTGAAAGTCCGGGAAGCCGGTCGGAGGGGCAGCACCGGAGGCCGTGCCGCCGCCGGGTCCTGGTGATTGTCGTACCGCCGCTGTCGCCGTTGGCGACAGCGACAGCGGCGGCGACCAGGCAGCCATGTGCGGCGGAACCTCCACGTCCTCCAGCTTGGCCGGCGGTGTGCCGTCATTGAAGCGCCACACTGCGCCGCCACCGCCGCCGTCGGCGCTGCTCCGTGGGGTAACACCGCCGCCGCCGCCGCTACCGCTACCCTGCGGCCCCATACTCCACTGGACTCTCGGGCTGCCGAACGGCGTAGGCAGCGGAGCCGGCGGCGACGGCGCCGATCCCGCCGGCGCCTCCGTCACCGCCGTCCTGGCCTCCGACGCGGCTCCGTCGCCCCTCGGCGGCGTCACCCAGCCCGCCTCCACCTCCTCCGCCACCTCAATGACACCCTCCAGGGGGCTGCACGTCGGCCCTGCTGACGCCCGCCGCCGCCGCCGTCCGCTTCCTCCCGCCGCCGACTCAACCTCAGCTCCGCCGCCGCCGCCGCTACTGTACGGCAATCCATTCTGCCACCCGTCGCCTCCGCCGGCGCCGCCGGCGCCTCCGCCGCCTTCTCCATCGGAACTGCTGGCGCCGTCGCTGCTGACCTGGTGTCGCAGCTCCGACGGCAGATGCCACTCGTACGGCGACTCGCCCTCTAGCGCCGCTCGCCGACCCAGGTACATGTCCTGTGTACGGTAAGTGTCAGGTGGGTATTGAGGTTGTTCGACGTTAAGAGGTACGCGACTTGCTCTTCTGAACAGTATTTCACCTCAACATGCAAAGTTAGTGAGCCTACCAGCATCCATGAGAAATTGAGAACCCCTAGCATCCCTCCCGCCCTTCCCGCAACCCACGGGTACCGGTACCCACCACCGTCACTCATTGATTTACCAACTCACCACCGCCACCCACCCACCCACCCACCAGCATATCATCATCATCGTCCAGGATGCCCCGCAGCGTGGTGGCCAGCCGCCTGCACCGCCCGCCCACCGCCTTGATCGCCCGCTTGGCCTCACGCACCCGCTCCAGCCGCGCAGGACTCACGCCGCGAGCCAGGTCGTCCGCAATGTACGGCACGTGAGCCTCCAGCCAGGCTACCTGCGGAGGGGAGGGAAGGTGAGGGGAGGTGACAGCCCTGACAGGCGAGGTGAGGTGAGGTAGGAAGATAGCGGTAGAGAGGAAGGTACGCGTATGAAAACGAAAGACCGAGAGGTAGGAAACAACGGGAAACGTACAGTACTCATACATGTTAGCATGGTGACGGTGGCGGTGTTGTTAGCTGCTGGTTGTGGGCAGGCAGCACAGGGTGGGTGGAGGAGGAGGAGAGCCGAGCACCAGCGGTGCGCAAGGGCGAAATGATGCTGGTATTTCAGAGGTGTGACCCATGGGTCACGTGGGTTCGCGGCAATCACACCAGTTCTCGAAGCACATGCATACATATGCTACCACTCAGTTGCTTCGGCAGTTCTGTGGGGACTTCATCTTCCAACACTTACTGTACGTTCCTACTCGCGGCCCGTTTTTCTTGATACACCCACCTGCGCATCCAGCAGCCGTACGGCCTCCCACAGCCCAGCCTCCAGCGCCCGGAGTTCGTACGGCAATTCCAAATCCAGCATCGCGGAATCCAGATCCATGCGCCTCAAATAATCCTGGTGCCTCATGCTCGTCATGGTGCTGCTGCTGCTGCTGCCATCGTTGCCGCCCGCTGCGGACGTCAGCGTGTGGGTAGCCGCCCGGCGGACAACCTCTTTGCCGCCGCCGCCGCCGCCGCTGCTGCCGTTGACGCCACCGCCATTCCTGGGGCGTTGCTGGGCCGGGATGTGTTCGGGGGCTGCTGCTGCTGCTGCTGTTGATGTCCCCGGCTGCTGCTGCTGCTGCTGCTGTCTCCATTGCGCGAGGGAGGGGCGGGGGGATAGCGGGGGGAGCTCCGGCATGCTGCGGCACCGGGTAAGCAGCATGGTGTCACACTCCATCTCAGCCAGCATGCAGTTTAGTTCCGGTCGTTACCGTACTATACCCGCCAATACTACGGGCCCAGCCACTACTACGGGCCACGGCACAGAACCATCGTATATTAGCCCTACCATGCTTGGGCACGCAAAGGCGTAGCGAATGGGGTTCATCCATAGATACATTCCTCTAAAGTCCCTTTCTCACCTAGCGCCCTCGTCTTGATTGTCCGCCGCCGCAGCACCTCTAACGCCTCCGTTCACTCCCCGCCCTGCCTCCCCGTTCGTTCCCCGCGCCGCCGCCACCGCCGCCTGCCGCCTCGCCTGCTCCGCCTGCCATGCCGCCGCCAGCGCCGTACTCCGGCGCCTGACCAGCGTGCTGTGCCGCTGCAGTGACGACATGCCGTACGCGCTGCTGCTGCCGCCGCCAACGCTAGGGTGATGTAGCCCACCGCCGCCGCCGCCACCATCACCACCAGCAACGTTGCGGCGACGAAGCGTGAAGCTAGGGAGCTGCAGGAAGCTCAGTTGGTAGCCTCGGGCGGACCGTTGGTGACGCAGGGAAGAGCGGCGGAGCAGACCCGATGGATCTCGCCCGATGACGCCGCCGTCACCGCCGCCCTCACCGCCGCCGGTGCCGCCGGTGTCGTCTATATGCACCGGTATTGTACCATGCACCGCCGTTTTGAAGGGACTTCTGCGGCTGAGCTCCTCTTCCTCCTCCTCCTCCTCCTCCTCAGCATCACCAGCATCGCTAACCACGGCAGCACCCTTGGCGGCGGTTCCGCCGCCCGCTGCTGCGGCTGTTTCCTCGGCGGTTACGACACCGAAGGGACTGAGATCGGCGGGAGCTGTGGCGGGATACGGCGGGATCTGGCGTTGCGGCTGTGGTGACGAAAGAGATGGTGGCGGTGGAGGTCCCAGGGCGGCCGGAGGGGCGGTCGCGGCGGGGGCGGCGGGGGTGGCGGGGGTGGCGGGGGCGGCTGTGCGTGTGTGGTGTTGGTGGGTGGAAGAGGAAGGAGAGGTCGGGAGTTAGGAATGCGTGTGGGGTACCGGTCGCTTTAAGGGTGGCGGTTGCAAGGTTGCTGGCGATCTTGCTGCCGTACTTTCGCATTCCGGTAGTGCGGTAGTGGTTACCAACAGCACTGGGCTGTGTCGCCGACCCGTAAGCCATAGCACCTGCTGCTACAACTCCTGCTAAGCAGCGCAGGGGTGGCATTAAGACAGCCTGAACAGCCACCCAACCCCAACCCCACCTGCAGCCCCCGCCACACCACCACCGCCACCACCTTTACCGCCGCTGCCACCGCCATTCTTCTTCCCGGCTCCTACCGCCGCCACGGGAGCTGCCGCCGTCCCTGCCGCCGGCCCCGCCGCAGTTGCGGTTGCTGTGGTGGCAGCGGTTGGGTCCGTCGCGGCACTCAATCGCGCACACAGCGCCGCAATGAAGGGGCAGTGCAGCGGCCGCCCCTGCACACAGTCCACCACACGACCGCCCAGAAGGTACCCGCCACCCGCCGAGGAGGCCGCAGCAGCAGCACCGCCACCGCCACCGCCTCCGAAACCGCCGTACATGCTGTGTACGTCGTAGCTGCCGTACCCTCCCGGCATGCACCCGTCTCGCTCCACGGGGTGTTGTACACTGAGCACGTAGACCTGGGCGACCACACAGGATAAAACACAAGATACCCGTGAGAGGGTTTGTGTGCGTGTTAGGGTAGGGGTTAGCATGCGGGGGAAAACGGTGTAGTCACATCAACTACGAAGAAGCGTCCGGGGCATGCAATGTGTCCGGAAATGGCACCATTACCGCTCCACCACCCTCCCCAACGGAGGGAGGGCAGCACACGAACACAGCCCCCTCCCCCCTCCACCTGGTCACAGCCGATGATCATGCGCACGCTCTCCAGGTTTACCACCAGTGCCCGCTCGCGGATGAGTACGGCGGTGGGGGTGGGAATGGGCAGCTGGGCGGGGCAGACGTGGAAGGAGGGGAGGGAGACGGAACGGAGACGGGGATGGGTGGGGTTCAGGGTCCGGGGAGGCAAGTATGCAACCCTTTCGTGCCATGCGGTCCCATGGGTCGGTCTATCCCACAAAGCTGTGTCGACCGAACCATCCTTCTTTCCTGTACCGCGCCGCCTTCCAACCACGCAACCTCAAGTCCCCCCAACACGTACCGCATCCCCCAACACGTACCGCACCCCTCGAAACACACGTACGACACACGGCACACACCGCAGGGTCAATGGCGCGCAGGTCGCGGTACGCAATGCCCATGTCCGCAACCAGCTGGTGTCGGTCCACTCGCACGATGGAGGGGATGCCATCCCTGGACACATGCACCACTCGGCGGGGGAACCGCGGGTCGAACGGCGTGACGGCAGCTGCGGAGGCCGAGTGGGCACCGCCGCCACCGCCGCCGCCGCCAAAGCCGGCCGTGTTGGCGCTGCTGCTGCTGCCGCTGAGACGGCGGTTCCAGGGCTGCGGTCCCGGACCCGATGAGCCGCCGCCGTCGGCACCACCCCTGTGGAAGGAGGGCTTGGACTCCGGATGGGGGTCCCTAGGTGGGGCGCGGGATGGGAGGGAGAGGAGGTGGTGAGGGTGTTAGTTGGCGAGGTAACCCCGATGCCGTATGTTTTCATGCACTTCTTACGGCACCCACCAAGATCCAGACGTGGGCAGCTCCCCTGACCTGCCCGCCCCCGCCACACCCCACCCGGGAGGCAGGGATGTGCCTCGGGAAGTGGCGGAGGTGGAGAAGACGGCGGCAGCAGTGGACGCGTCACGAGCTCCGCCACCGCCGCGGGTGAACGCGTGGTGACTACCCTTCGCGATCAGGCCGCAGCAGCCCACGGTGGCGGCGGTGCTGCCGCCGTCATGCCTGCGGCTGCTGCTGCGGCCACTGCCGCCAGCGTGAGCTTCCATTTGGTGCTGCGATTGCGATTGCGATTGCGGCTGTGGTTGCGGATGCGGGTGCGGCGGTTGGTCACGAAAACGCTCGGCAGATGCCTTGAGATGAATGCCTTCCCTGCGCTGCGAGTCTCTGGGGACTCCTAGGCCGTGGGGTCCTTGCGGCTGGTGCGGGTGTTGGTATGGAAGCTGGGAACGTCCAGCCTCAGCTGCTGCCGCAGCAGCTGCTGAAGCGGAGGAAACAGCGCTTTCAAAGGCCGATAAAAGCGCCGAGTGACCCGTGGGTCGTTCCTCCTGTTCTGTATGGCGGCGGTCACGAGAAAACGGGCTTGTTATGCCAGGTTGTGGCTGGAAAGGAGGAGGACGGTGAGCAGGATGAGAATGCTGAAGGGCGGCTGCGGTGCCGAAGACTGCCGGCGCGGCTGACGCCTCCTCCAATACAGGGCTAAGTTGATTTATTGAGGGAAGCGGAGAAACGAAGTATCCGTCAAATTCGCTGGCTGTGCTTTGGGGATGCTGTGCTACCGCGCCTTTGCGCTCTGCTGGCAAGCGGTGAACAGGAGATTCTGGTTCGTAACGTTGCGCTAATAAAAGAGGTTCGCCAGCCTCACGGCTTGTGTTGGCGTCCCTGAGTGATGGACGCTGCGCCCAGGAAAGGAAGCCGGGCCAAGGCATTGGGCTGCAGCGGCATTCGTTGTCGAGTCAGCGCTAGCTTCGTAGAAGCAGAATTTCGTAAACGGCTTCTGCACTCGATGGAGGGGCTCCAGTTAAAGCGGTGGGATTTGGTCAAGATCCTACAGCGTGCTACACGGACTTAATGTAAGCAGCAAGAAACCCTTGCAGTAAGAAAACGCTTAGGTATTGAGTTTGTACGGGAAAGCATACGTTTTTGGTATAGGCTTTTGCTGCTATAGGCTAATTGTGTTTTAACATGTAAAAAAGTAGCCTACCTTGCAACAAAACAAGCACGCACCGTCAGCGTGACATGTTCGAGCTTTCCTGCAACAGTATACCACAAAGATTTTAGCCCTGCTTCTTACATTGCCTGGTACAGGAAATCCTTCCGGGAAAGTGCACTGCAGAAGCGGTCGTTTATACAGCTTCCCTTATGTGTTACCTTCCCTGCCTGGGTATTTTCCTCGTTCTCCTTTATTGTAAGGCTCTTGCCTCCGTGCTGTGTAAAACCTTCCATCCCCAATCGTGCAGGAGTGTATTCCCCTACCGCATGCCCCATGCGTTTGCTTCAGCTAGCGGATACCGCAACCAACGTCATCCACCCTCGTGTGTGTCGTAGGAGGTTAACTGTAGTATCCTTACATGCTGCTTTGCACACAGGCTACCAAGTGTCAACAGAAGCCACAGCCCTTATGCCCCGGAACCTTCTTTGGCAAGCAAACTGCACGTTACTTTGTATGTGCGCAGGATACCTCTCGCGAGCACGAGGATGGCCCATCTGTCGTTGAAGTGACTGGTAGGTTTTCGGTCCTTTGCACTTCAGAGGGCCTCTACCCCTACCCTGAAGCCCCCCTACCAAGCCACCGCCTGGGAAAACCGACCACTGCCTTTTGCGATGAAACCTTGGGACTGGTTCCTCTTAGGCAACACAAAGCTGGGGTTTAATGGCCTGGGTGCAAAGACACCGGTCACTGGGAGGGGCGGGCAAGCACCTGCAGATGTGGGGAAACATGTAGTGAACAGGGGTACGATGGGCGATCCTGCTCCAAGGTGATAACCCCATCCCCAGCGGCAAGGGCAGGCGCGCTGAGCGGCATCATAATGCCGTCGCCAACAGAAGACAGCCTTCCATTAAAAGGAGAGGGCGCATGTATCAAGCTGCTCGATCCGATACACCTCTCCGAAAGCGAGCACACGCATCATTGCGGGTCGCGCGCAGAACCAAAGCGCAGAACAAACCAGTTGCAGTTCCTTGCCTATTGACTAAACGCGTTATCCGGGTCATAGACATTCTCCCTGCAAGCATTGAATGGGGAAGCCATTGAGCTTCGCTGGATGGGAGGGCTGAGCGGCTGACGACGCGGTCGCGAGCGCGCAACAACAGTGGTTTGTGCTGAACGGACACCAATTACTTCCAAGAATCAATGGACAGCTGGTAAGGCATTGTATAGCTAAGAAAGCTGAAGAAAGCGGGAGTCCTTATGGCGAATGCCGTACGCCTAGGTCGCTCCGGAGTCCGGACCTGGGGGCACGGGGCAGCCCGGCAGCGGTGGTCAACTGGCCATCCTTTGCGAAGTATCCACGAGAGTTTGTTAGGTTTTCACCATAACAAAAGTCTCTAAGTAGACTGCAATTAGTAGCTTAATTGGCTTCCTGGATTGTCGCACTTCCCTGTGCCGCAACACTCTGTGCCGCCAGTGCGCGGTCGGTGACTGAGAACCCCAGCGCCGTGTGACCCCCTCATTCTCCCAGCGGGACCCAGGAAAGGCATCACCTTCCCTGGTTGCGGAACAAGACTTAAGGACTTTCCACTTCAAAGTAAGTTGTACACGCTTGCTTGAGGTTGCCATTGCTCTATTCAACCAGTTATAATCATGTCCACCACTCAACTCCATTTTGTTCCTGCAGTGCTTTTCACGGGGTGGTTTTACACACCCATTATGGGTCACAGGACCAAGGTGGACTTAAAGATCCACAACAATTATAAGGTGACAGCACACTTCTCAACATAAACCTAACATGTTAGTGTTAGGCGCTATGGATGGCAAAGATAGGGCAGTTTACTCTTACACGTAGAGTTACGTTGTTACGGTTCCGTCTGTCTGATATCTACCGTGTGTTATTCTTATTGTTCTTATTTCTATCGCTCCTTTGGTCAGTAAGCATGGCACTCAACCAGTGCCGTACAAACACAGCACACATATCCAAATGCCTGGACGTCCCTATCCATCAATACTCCCCCGCGGACAGGCATTTCCTAAACTACGGGTAAATAACGAAATATACCCAAACCAGAACGTAGCAGCTTAAAAACTGCTGTACTTCTCCATACCTCCTCTCTACGTGATTCCCATCATCTGCCGGAACTTCACAAACTTGCTCTCAACTACCGGCTTCGTCAACACATCCGCAACCATCGAATCAGTCGGACAGTACTTGAACTTAACCTCCTCACGCGCCATGCGCTCCCGCACGAAGTGATGCTGCACATCAATGTGCTTGGACCGTGCGGAGACAATCGGATTCTTGATCAGGCTAATTGCTCCCTGGTTATCCGACCAGATCTCAATAGGTGCCAGCTCCATGCCAAACTCATGAGCCAGCTTCTGCAATGACAGCGCCTCCCGAGTGGCACTGGATGCGGCCATGTACTCCGCCTCCACCGTAGAGACCGCAACGGTGGGCTGAATCTTGCTGCTCCAGCTCACTGCTGCGCCGCCGTGCAGAAACACATAGCCCGTGGTCGAGCGACGCGTGTCCAGGTCGCCCGCCCAATCAGCGTCGCAGTACCCCTCAAAGTGCCCAGCACAGTTGCCACTAAACCGCAGTCCTATCCCCACCGTACCCGCCAGATAACGAAGTACGTTCAGCCCGTACCTCCAGTGCTGCTCGGTTGGCTTGGACATATACCGCGCAAGCGCATTGGTGACCTGCGCGATATCAGGGCGTGTGCCGTTGGAGAGGTACATGAGCCCACCAATGAGCTCCCTGAACTTGCTGCCGTCATCCATAGCCGGTTGCTCCTCGCTAGCACGCTCCAGCCTCGCCGCCATGGTCAGCGGCGTCGCCCGCGGCTGGCAATCCTCCATGCCGAACCGCTGCAGAAGCTGCTTAGTGTAGCGCTCCTGCGTAAGCGTTAGCTCCCGCATGCTGCGGTTGCGCCGGATCTCCATGCCTAGATAGTACGAGGCCTCGCCCAGGTCCCGCACATCAAAGCACTGCCCAATCTCCAGCTTAACCTGTTTCATAGTGGTCACGTTCGGAGCGGCAAGTAGCAGGTCATCGACGTGCATAAGCAGGTCGATCTCGCCGCCCATGTCGTCCCTCAGGAAGAGCGCCGGATCTGCCGCTGACTGCTTGAAGCCAAGCTTCTCCAGCTCTGACTTCAGCTTGTCGTGCCATGCCCGCGGCGCCTGCTTCAGCCCGTACAGCGCCTTAAGCAGGCGGCACTTCATACTGTCATCGCCGTTGCTGTACCCCTGCGGCTGATCCACATAGACGGTTTCTGCCAACTCGCCGTTCAGGAAAGCCGTACACACGTCCAGCTGATGTAGCTCCAAGTCCTCAGCCGCTGCTCGTGACAGCAGCACGCGAAGCGTGACCATCCTACCCGTTGGTGCGTACACCTCCGTGTAGTCGATGCCCTCACGCTGGCTGTACCCCTTGGCCACCAGACGAGCCTTGTAGCGCTCAATGCTGCCGTTAGCGTTGTACTTGCGCTTGTAGACCCACCTGACACCAATAGGAGTGATGTGCGATGGCGGCTTCTCCAGTCGCATGGTTCCGTTGGCAGCTAATGATGCCATCTCCTCATTCATGGCCTGTATCCACTCCATCGCATCGGGAGCCACTATCGCCTGCTCATACGTGGTAGGGTCCGCAGACCCGACCTTCCTTGCTGCTATACTCTTGGCAGCCTCCACTGCTGCTGCTGCTGCCAACTGATTTATGTGGTCATACCAGACGGGTCGAGCCACTCTAAAGGGTGGCGGGGAATACCGCTTAGGTGCCACTCCGCGGTTTCGTCTTGACGCAGGATCTAGCAGCTCCCCCTGCTCACCATCACCGGCATCCGGCATTTCTGCCGCCGCAGGTTCAGCTGCCTCCTGAAGCTCCGCCGGCTCCTCGTCCTCCCCCGCAATCCCTGCTTGCTGCTCGCCCATTTCATGCACCTCCGGAGCCTCCCCCGGATCCGCTGCTGGCTGCTCTACCTGTTGCTGCTGCACCTCAACAGGCTGCGGCGGGAGTTCTGCCGCTGCCTCAAAGTCACGCAGCGTGATGCCAGCTCCATGCAGCGTTGCATCTTCCTCCGCAATGCCGTTCTGCTGCAGCGCCGCCGGCCCCCTCTTGCGCTCGTTGAACGTCACATTGCGGCTAACCACAATGCGACCATCCACTAGCACTCGCCAAGCATCGCTGCCACGTTCGTACCCCACGAACGTGCCCTTGCGGCTCACCGGTTCCAGCTTGTTGCGCTGCTGCGACGGGACGTGTACGAACGCTTCGCACCCAAAGACGCGGAACATGGAAACGTCCGGTTTGGTACCGTAGAACAGCTCGCGCGGCGTCTTGTTACGCCCTGCCACCGGTGCTGCATTCCGAAGCGCGTTGGCCATTACCAGCGCCTCAGGCCAGTACTTCGCCGGCATGCCGCTGTCCTGCAGCAATGCCCTCGTGCTCTCCAGTAACGTCCGATTAAGCCGCTCCGCTGAACCATTCTGCTGCGGGCTGTACGGTGCAGACTTGTACGGCATGATGCCACGGCGTCGCAGGTAACATACAACCTCCTGCGAAATGTACTCGCCGCCGCGGTCACTCTGCAGACCTTTCACCTTGCCTCCATCGGGATGCTGGTTCTCCAACAGCTCAATGATGCCCACCAGCTCCTCAGCTACGTTCCACTTGTTGGAAATGATGCGTACCACTGACAGCGCCGTTGCCTCGTCAAGTACTGTCAGCACGTAGCGGCCTCCGCCGAATCCTTCAACCGGCAGCGGGCCGCACACGTCGGTATGCAGTAGCTCCAGCGCGTTCTTGACCTTCTCGCCTCCAGCTGGGTAAGGGAACCGAGGCTGCTTGGCGGTCACGCATGTCTCACAAAAGCTGCCGCGCTGCGCTGCCTCGAACTCCTCCTGTGACGCATCCATCCCCTTCACCATTCCATGCCTGGCCATGTCGGACATGGCCCGAAAGCCACGGTGGCCATAGCGCCGATGCCAGAGAAGGGCGCTGCCTAGGCTACCGCTGCTTGCGCTGTTGCTACCGTAGGCACACTTGCCAAGATCATAATCCAAGCTGCTCCATGCACCGCCGCTGATGCCTGCGGCGTACCCCCTGCTGCTGCAGCTGCTGCACGCAACCTGCAGCTGTGCATCAGCAATTATAGCCCGACACTGCTTCGATCCAGTCAGAAGCACGTCGCCGTTGTAGGAAATCTCTACATTCCCATTGGCAAAGTGCAACTCCGCCCCTGCGTCCATTACTTGGATCACTGACAGCAGCGTAAGGCTGGAATCCGGCACGTACAGAGTGTTCTCAAGGTGTACGATGTAGCCGGTGCTGCTCTCAAGCCGCAGTGTTCCTATGCCCTTGACTGGGCTCCGGGCGCCGTTGCCCCACTCGATGCTGGCTACGCTTGAAGAGCTGCTGAAGTCGTGTAACAGCTCTCGCTGTGAGGTAAGATGGCAAAAGCAACCAGAGTCGATGATGACCACATCTGGGTAGGAATCACTGCTGTTCCAGTTAGCTACAGCCACGCACTCGCTGAACACGGGCTGCGCTACCAGCACGGCTTGTTTACCCGGACGTTGGTTGCCGCTACCGCCACCTTTCCCACCACCCCTGAAGCCGAACCAACCCCTGCCACCGCGGCGTCCCCCGCCGCGACTGCCACTGCTGCCGTAGCCACCGCTGTATCCTCCTTCATAACTGCCGCCACCACCGGAACTGCTGCTTCCGCCGCCGCTTCCGCCGCCGCCTCCACCGTGCCAACCACCGCCGCTGCTTCCGCCGCCGCCGCTCGAGGACGAGCTGGCAGGCTGGCGAATGTTGCGGCGATAGATGCCGGCTTGCTCGTCTGAGATCCGCACGCCACAGTCCTTCTTGATGTGGCCGTGCGTGAAGCAGTAGAAGCACTCGACACCACTTGCAGCTGATCCGTGCTGCTGAGCGCCCACCACAGCGCCAGTGAATGCCGAGCTGTCCAATAGCATGTCGTGACGGTTGGTGTGCTCCTGCTCTAGCAACAGTTGCTCCATCTTGTTGAGATCCTTCTCATCGCTCTTAAGCAGAAGTGCTCGCGTTAGCTGAAACTCACGCGGAAGTCCCATGAGGATGGCGCGGCGAAACTGTCCCTCATCGAAGGTACCTCCTGCAGCTCTGAGCTCATCCCTCGTCTGATAACAGCGCGCAAAGAAGTCCGCAATTGACTCGCTGTCCTTCTTGCGCAGGTCGCGGATCTGCAGGTCCAGCTCATAAAGCCGGGTCTCCGTGTTAGGCCGGATTAGCTTCTCCAAAGCGCTCCAGACCTCGTTTGCCCTCTCATATTTGGTAAGCTGCAGCCGGAACTTGTACGCCACAGAGTTCCTGATGTATGCTGCTGCTTTCTTGTGCATCTCGGGAACTGCCGTGTCCGGATTCTCTAGCGCTACATTTACACCGTGAAGCGTCAAAAAATCTTTCATGGACATTGACCATATTGCCCAATTCTTCTCATCGAGCCACAGTTTACTTTCAAGCCCTAGATCGATGCCCATCCTTAAGGCTGTCACTATAAATGCTGCACCCGCATTATAGTCCTTGAGCCAACACCTAACCTACTATGGCAGCTTTCCCAGCATGCCGGGGCTCATAACCTGTTAGTGTTAGGCGCTATGGATGGCAAAGATAGGGCAGTTTACTCTTACACGTAGAGTTACGTTGTTACGGTTCCGTCTGTCTGATATCTACCGTGTGTTATTCTTATTGTTCTTATTTCTATCGCTCCTTTGGTCAGTAAGCATGGCACTCAACCAGTGCCGTACAAACACAGCACACATATCCAAATGCCTGGACGTCCCTATCCATCAATAGCCATTGCTCTATTCAACCAGTTATAATCATGTCCACCACTCAACTCCATTTTGTTCCTGCAGTGCTTTTCACGGGGTGGTTTTACACACCCATTATGGGTCACAGGACCAAGGTGGACTTAAAGATCCACAACAATTATAAGGTGACAGCACACTTCTCGTGCCAAGGCACAGCATACGAGTTCTTCATGAAGAAGTGGGCAAAGACAAGCTCGGCTCCGAACCCAACAGTCAGCTTTGACTACTTTGCCATGCTCGTGTATACCGAGTTCGAGCATGGCACTGACTTCGGAACAATAACAGTTCTGGAGCCTCCCGACGGTGGTCGAACGCTCATCATTGAGCGCAGTCCGCAGCAGGTTGTGAACATCTTGAAGTATGCTACCATGGATGTCTTCGCTTGCGCGGAGGAGATCATCAAGAAATACCGCCGCTCTGTCCTGGACTACGCCATCTTCCATAGGCAGCAAGACAGGCTTTCCACATACGGGGAGTACATCCACCTGGTGGCCTGCGACTGCCTCACTCACGCCAACTTCCATGCCCCCAACGTGGAATTCCCACGAGTTGACTTTTGTACCGACGACCACGTCTACAAGCCAGACGTGCTGAGAGCCGTGGAGAGCAAGGTGGAGGACAACGATAGCGATGACACGGATTAGCAAGAGGAGGGGCGGGGCTTGTGATCCATGTGAATAGCTGCTAGATGGGAAGGCAGGAGCTGGGCATGGGGAGGCCAGTGCAGCCGCAGGGGATCGCGGGGGGGGGGCATGAACAACACGAAAGGCCCAGAAGGCGGCAGGAGGCCCGGTAGTCACGGCACAGGGAAGAAGTTGAGGAGGCTGGCGCCACACGTGGAAGGGCACTGGGATTCAGGTCCTGCACGGGGAAGGGAACGGAGAGGCAGGCATTGCACGGAGAAGGGCACGGGTAGGCAGGCTCCGTGCGGGCAAGAGCCATTTTACCGAAGGAACGGGCACTGACAGAAGGGGGAGGCAGGCGCCGTGCAGGGAAGGGTACTCGCTTGGGAAGGGCATTGGGAGGCAGGCGCCACACACCACTCAGCAGCTCTCTGGCATCTCGGGTGCTGCCCTCCCTGCCACCGTGCTTCACCACCGTGTCATCACATGGCAGCTGCTCCAATGGCGAGCGCACCAGTCTGCTAACTGGCATGCCTCGTCACAATAGTACACGAGCCGATAGCCACCGCACTTGCGGTGGGCAGGCTTGACACAAAAGCCGCATTTGTAATGCCTCCTTTACGAGTACGGTTGCTACGTTGACCACCTTCTTCCGTTGTTCCGTTATGCAACACGCAACCTCGCGAATCACCTTGTTGGTTTGATTCTTTGTGGGGATACACTATTCCTCAGGCTTCGAGCATCAAGCGAAGGCGCTGCAGATCAGAGGTATAAGCATCTTCCCCGCCAAAAAGCCACGGAGCCTGCAGTTCCCAGTGCATAAGCAAAGCCAACAGCGCGGGTGACATCGGCCCTCAATGTGTGCGATGTAGCACGATGAAGGAACCCAACGCATGCTCGCAGCAATCCACTGGGCGAGGAGGTCGCCGCCATGCCCTGCAGTGACCTGCTTGTGTCATGCCATGTTATCGGATCGCTGGCTATCCTGGACGCGACTACCCATCGCGATGCAAATGAATGAATGTGGGATGGATGGAAGGATGGGAAAGAGGGAAACCTAGGAATTGGCGTGGGGAAGACGAAGATGGACGAGCACGATGGCGCGCTCGCGGCTGCGCCGCAACGCCTGCATGGCTGTCGCTGACAAGCTGCCTAGCTACCGTTGGGACATCCTCCTAGCTACAGCACTAGTGACGGCTGCCGACTACGTGGGGCTGCCGCTATGCGAGCTTGTGAAGGAACCATCGTAGGCAGCAAAGACTGCTCGTCGCTTGCATGTTACATGTAAGAGAAGTCCTACATCCTGCAATAGCTCACCGACGCGAGCAGCATTCCGCTCGTGTCGCGAGGCTCCGAACTGGGGCCGAGCAACACCTAAATGCACTAGCACAGACCATCCCTGGAGCTACGGAAGCCTCCAGGGCATCTCCCACCAAGAATAATCATGCCAAAGCCACATCATAACAACCATCCTATAGATCTAGGCATCCAAATGCTACTCAGAAGATTTCCCAGAACAGAATGACCCACGTGACCCAAGCAATCCAAACCCTAGTCCGCAACCACCAACTGCCGAAACACCCTGTGCCGGTAATCGGGCAATTACCAGTAATCGGGCGTGACACTTGCACTCATCTGTAACCCAATCTATGAACAAGTTCTAGGGCAGCAGCTTCCTCCCCCCATCCTGCCCTGCTGTGCCCTGCAGCCACTAGTCCGTCTCCTGCTGCCGCCTTATGGTGCCGCCAGATGAGCTCCCCGGCTTTGCAGCTATACTTGAAGGAACCGACAAAGCAAGCATCAACTGCTCATTCCACAGCACCAAACACGCATTCAAGCCACGCCAGCCCCTCTGGACGCCATCCTGCGTGAGCGCGCTCTCCCCCTGCTGCACCGCACCTCCTGCTGTTTCTTAGCAACCCTGCCCAATCATCCTCGTAAGCCCTACCCCATAAAAAAACGGGCAGCCTCTTTCCCCCTGACCCCCCCTCAGTCATCAAAATCGGAACTCTCATCCTCCTCGCCCGCTGGGCCACCCTCCGCCTTCTTATCCACCATACGCGCTACGAGCGCCTTGATCTGCGTGTTCATGACCACAGCAGAGAAATGTGAGTGGTGGTGAGGTATTTGAGGCCGTGGATGAGCTCAGGCCTTGACCCGGGGGTCAGCCGGCCGCGTACCTATGCAGCAGCTGAATGCGGGTGTCATGCTGGCGTGCGCAAGGTGCATCATGCAGGCGATGTTGTGGGGGGTGTGACGGGCGTACGCGGTTTAAGCGGTGTTGTTGTTAGGGCAGCAACCGATGTGTGTGTTAACTGAACACTGGTCACAACCGGGGTGTGTGCCTGCGCACGTGTGCGTGTGCGTGTGCTGGGCACGAAAGGTACCCGCACTACAACAGGCCCGCCGGCAACTCGCTCCCCCATGCAACAGTGCCGACAGGGCTTCGGAAAAACGTCATTGAAATCTACCCGGGGTAGACCCAGAGCAGCGTGCCCCCTCCCCGATCACAATAGTAGAAGACAACTACAACAGCCAGCATTCAGCTCGGTCGCTGGAGGGTCGCTGTTTCATCGTCGCCCAGGACTCGGTATCGGTAGGGACCGCTAACCCATACTTGTTTTTGTGGCACCCTGCCGCTCCTATGCCCATTGTCTTGCCCCAACCTGTGGCTTCCTATGGTTCGGTATGGTCTTTGACCCCCCGCACTACAAACACAGTACGTTCCGCCTCGCGGCCAGTTTTCTTAACACACCCAGACCCAAACTGGCCGCGGTTCTACTACTACTCACGGCCAGTTCTCTTAACACCCACCCACCCACCTGCGCCTGTGCCGCTCTCTCCTCGTCCTCATCTGCGGTGAGGCACAGCGGCCCCCACGTGTTGAGCACCATGGCAACCTGGATGGGAGGGAGAGGGGAGGGCAGGGCGGGCGGGTGGGCGGGAGGTCAGGGAGGGCGGCGTCAGGGAGGCGGCCGTCAGGAAGCATGCGACAAGGTACGGCACACGCACGCACAGCAGGCACGGCACCTCACCGGGTGTACCACCACAACAACACCCACGCCCTCTTCAATCGCTACGCACGCCCCCCTGCACTGCCCTGCTTCGACGCCTACGACCCGTGCCCCAATCCACACGCTGCCCCACTCTCCTCCACACGCACGCCCCCTTACCCCGCACCTGCTCCGGAGTGATGCGCTTTGCCCCCCCGTAGTGCGCCAGCCCCACCGCGTGTTGCACGCAGCGGGTGTCATGGTAAACCAGCAGCGTGGGCAGGTTGGCATCCGGGTAGTTGGGGATGGCGTCGGTGGACACGATGCGGACAAACTTGGTGGAGGGGTACTTGGCGGCCAGCTCGTCAAGGCACTGCTGCAGCAGCCCGCAGCCGGCGTGGCTGCGGGGGGAGGGTTGCGTTGCGTTGCAGGGGGTGGGGGCCACATTAGACCGAACCATAGGAAACCACGGCTTAGGGCATAACAATGGTGGAAAGAGACGGCAGGATGGCATACGCCGAATGGAGGGTTAGCGGGGGTGGGCGCGGAAAAGCGGGTGGAGTGGAGATGACTCCTGGAGATGCTTCAACCCACCAGTTGCGTGTCGCCCATACACAGCGGCCTGCCTGCCTCCCCCCTTCCAGACCCTCGTTTCCTTCCTTACTCCCGGCCTCTTCTTCCCGTCGACCGCCCTCCCCTCCTCCTCGTGACATGCGACATTCAACTTTCTCTCAGTTCTCCCCCCTCCTCCCCCTCCTCCCGCCACTCACCCGTCCTTGAAGAGGTGCACCACCACCCACACCTCCGGCCCCGCGTTGGTCACCTGCTGCACGAACTCACTGCCCCGGATCAGCTCCACGGAGCCGAAGCGGGGGCGCGAGGCGGCGGCAGCCAGCTCGCGGATGCGCCGCTGCCTGGCGTGTGGGAGGCAGGCGGGCAGGGGGGGGAGGCAGGGAGGGAAATGAGATGTGAAGCAACTAGAGGCAGGCAGAGAGGGAGGGAGGGAAAGAGGGCGGGCGAGGAGGCTGCTGCTTTGCGGTACCAAACATGCCGTATTGGAGTTGAAATGGAGCTGCTGACAAACGGCGGGATCGGGGGCAAGGGAGAGCGGAGAGAGAAGAAGAAGTGATGTGGGTACTGGGTAGGGGTTACCAGCCGGCAAGACAAAACCCGCCGCTAAGCTTTCCCCACCTGTATTCCTCCAGGAAGCGGTCGTCCTCGAACGCCTCCTCCGCCTCCCGTAGCTCCCCCTCGTCGCGCCCCTCCACCCAGGCGGCGTCACGCACCGCCTGCACCTCGGGCGTGTAGGCGTCGGGTTTCCACACGGGCGCCTTGGGGGGCAGGTTGCCTGCGGGGGGGGGGCAGGAGCGGAGCGGGGAGGGCGGCTGCGGTGATGGAGGAAGATGAGGGGCTGGACTGGGCTTGGGGGAGCGGGGAGGGATGAATAGGGATACAGGTTCCGCATAAGGCTGAAAAGTTGGGTTAGCGTAGGAGTGAAGCGGAGAGGAGAGGAGAACTCCGATGGTGTTGTACGGTTCGCATGCCGTACAGATCGCAGGCTTCAACAAACCGCACCTAGTCGTCGCTGGATGTCCTCCCATTGGGTCGTCTCGCCCTCCGGCCCCTTATACACCGTGTGGTAGTCGGCCATGGTGCCGAGTCAAAGAGCAGGGCGTCGTACGGGTTGGGACGAGCACCGAAGTGCCGCGTGGGCCAAGCTGGGCCTTGCTGGCTGCTGGTGGTGCGGAGGCCGTTGGCTCGACTTGGGAGTTGGGGAGGTGCAAAGACGCAGCACAAGCTGGAGCCGTAGGTAGGGGCTTAGGGCTGTTGCTGGGTATGTAACGATTACTTACAAGCTACGTCGGCACAGTCTAGTGAGTTCAAGGGGCTATACTCACGTTGGAAACGATTGCTTAACAGGCCCACTTCGTAAGGCGCTATGGAAACGTTATTCGTCAGACTACTGCCCAGTGTTGACACTTAGGGAAAGAGGGCAGCCTCACTATAGGAAGTCGACGCAGAAGGGAGCGCGCAGGTTGCAGTTGCCAGAACGTCCTGTACTGTAGGAAGGAGAGCAAGTTTATGCCCAGATCGCATCACATGTGCGCGACAAACTAAAGATCCTGCTAGAATGTGATGGTCGCTGCGTTGCGCTTTGGCTTTGGCTCCCTTGGGACATTTCCGTATGCAGTACGCTACACCAAATAATCATCCGCCTGCCTGACAACGTTAATGCCCACGCTTCTTACTTCAACTCTTAAACCGCGCACACACTTCACAACAATAATTAAGATTAAGTATCACGGACTCACTGCTTAGGACTAGTAATTCACAGCCTTTGCGTCTTTTCTCGCCTTGCTGCATCTTGCTACTGTAAAATTGCACATAGTGCATTCAATTAGGGACGATTTGTATCTTGCTTGGGAGAGGTTCAGGTAGCGAGGTTTCATCTTGGCCCTCCGCCCTTAGGCCTATCGCCAATCCATAAGCTACAGCTTTGGATGAGTTGAGGGAAAGCTTCGAGGTTAAAGCCTACCTTGCAGGTGAGCGTTTAACACCGGGCGTGTTGTCGTCGAGGCTAGTTATTTGTATCTAACCAGGAGTTCGCCTTTGCTGAATGCTTTGCCGTTTTATTAGCTTGTACAGCATATATTGCAATGCAATAAGGGTAGCTAAAGCTCATTTCGGGATAGGTTAACCGACGCCTTGCCGTCTTGTCAGCGGCCGTGCTTGTTTCACGGGGTGTGAAAGCTTCAGCCACGTAGCCTTTACTTCCTCTGTGCGTTTGTGGCGCAAAACGTTGCCGCTTGGCTGAAATATGTGGGCGAGCTGATGAACTGATGCCACTAGTCATACGTTACAATTAAGAGCTTTTCGCGATAGCGGATAGAACCTACGTTACGGCGGTCGGCTTTCTTTAATGAAGTCATGAGCCGTTTGAAGACCGGCGAAGCCGGGGCTAGCTAGTAGGCCCGAAGATAGGTACTAGAACATGCCGCGCACCTTGCTCACAGCTATAACCGCACATACAACGCGCCTACTGTCAACGGTTAACTTACCTATGGTTTCCTGTTTCCCTGATATGCAGGATGGGGCAGAGCCGACCGCTTCCCGACCGGGCGGTTCACCCCTTCCTTCTGAAGCTCTTCTGCAGTACACCCTTCACAGCGTGTTCAGCCTACACCCCCAGCAGCTCATCTCCTGGGCCAACCTTGCCATGTGACAGTTCACCAATATCATCACCGGCGAGAACTCCACGACAAGGTACGCCACTTACCATATTTCCTTGGCCTTTTTATGCCTCTCACGCCCATACACTTTCTTACCCACATGCTTTCATGCTTTGCCCCGCCCCGCCCCGCCCTCGCTTGTTACCCAGTATGCTAGTATCAGTCAACGCATGGTTCTTCTTTTTTCCCCTCCCTGTCCTGGCCCTCCCTGCCCCGACCCTCCCTGCCCTGCTCTGCCCCTCCCTGCCCCGCCACACCCATGCCCCTCCAGCCTTGCGACCCTCCTCCCCAGGGCCAGCCACGTTCAGAGGCCGGAGACCGAGTCTTTTGACGGATGAACGCCACTTACCCAACCATGACACATCATGGGATGACCCCTGCAGCCCCGCTGACCGCATACCCTCTCGGACAGACGCCCCCAGTAGCCGGATGCCCCATCACCTGGCCCCGCACTCAAAACCCATGTCGCCCGTCAACATCAGCAGCAGCATATCGGGCGTCCGCCGCTGCACCAGCGATGGTGTCCCCTCCCCACCCGCGTCGCCACACCAGACGCAACGATTTGCCCTGCGCACACCCACGCCTCGCCTCAATACACCCGCAGGCCCCTCGCCGGGCCTCGCACGCCCCGAGTCCCCCGCGCGGCACAGCACGCTCCGCACGAGCATGACGGGGGGCATGCCGTCCACGCCTAGCAGCCACGTGCGGAGGTCCGACAACGGCGTCTTCTCCACGGTGCATGCGGTGGCGGCTTTCAGCATGGCGGGGCGCACAGGATCCGCCACCACCACCAGCAGCACGCCCAGGAGGTACGGCGGGCGGGGTTTTGGTTGGGGCCGGAGTGTGGTGTGGTCCTTAGCACGCGGGGATTGTGATCTTGCTGGTATGAATTGAGGCTACGAGGCTATGACCTGTGCGCTGGTTGCCCTGTTTCCTGTAATTTGTGGTGCCGGCGCCAACCAGTCAAATGGGACGTTGTGTGCATTGTTGTCCTCTTAATTGTTTGTGTGGCCACGACGCGTGACTGCAACTGCCGCCTGCCGCCTACGTTTTCGCTGCCGTGCCTTACTTGTAACCCCGGCACACCGCGCCTGCCAGATCCAAGTCCGGCTGTCTGTTGCCTTGTATCTCCATGACCCCGTCGCCTTCTAGATCCGAATGTGGCATCCTGGCGCGCAAGGGACTGGACGGGGGAGCGCCCGTGGAGCGCAGCGGCAGCTCCACTTCGGGGGGCGGCAAGGAGCGCAGGGGGGCGCCGCAGGTGGGGGTCAGAGAGGGGGCAGCAGGGTGAAAGCGCCGGGGGGGGGGGGCAGCTGCGTAGCAGGATTTGAGTAGGTAAAGGACCGAAGTGGGGTTTGTGTCATTGTGTGGGCTTCGGTTTGGCTGCTTGTCGATGTGTTTGGTGTGTTGGTCATGAGCCAACCACGCCTTGGAATTATTTAGCCGAGGTTATTGCGAATCGCTAGGTAGCAGCCATCCTAAGCGGCATCCTACAACAGCCCTTCCTCCCACTGGTCTTCGCTACGCCTGTTTTTTCAGCTGATGCTAGGCGACCGCAGCGTGGCGGATGTGGTGGCGAACTTCATTAAGCCGGAGACCGCGGTGGGTGGTGGGCTGCTGGGGTGTGCCTGCATGTAGGGGGCTGCATGGATGCATGCATGCTTGGGCGGGCTGTGGAAAGCTCTTGGGAAGAATCAATGATCAATCCAGATCAATCCTACAAAAAATGATACAATCCTACCAAGAATGATACAATCCTACCGAAAATGATGCAATCCTACCAAAAATGGAAATGGGTAGGGTCGCGCAGGCCTAACGCGACCGCGACTGACCCACATGGCATGAAGGGAACTAAAACTCGCGAATACCGTATCGTGCCGTGCCGTACATCATGTCGTACGACAACCCCCCGTCATGCCGACAGGGCTTCAAGTACAACTACCTAACCGGACTGCTGAACGGGCAGTGCAAGGTGGACGGAGTGGAGGGCGAGTGCTTCTCAGCCGACCTGCACGAGCGAGACGGCAACACGGAGTACTGGCGCCGGGCAACTGGCGAGAAGGTAGGCAGGAGCTGGTAATGCCCGGGCGCACGAAAACGACGGGCCTTGTTGGGGGCTACTATTGGGCGGGCGGGCATGCTTATTGGCTGAGACCTCACGCACCTCACCCCTCTGACCCAAGACCTCACCGTTTTCACCGTCTTTGGTCTTGGGCCCTTTGCTTACGCTCTGGCGCCTGTCACGTTTATAAGTAATTTGTAGTATCTAACACCTACCGACACGTGTAAGTACTACCGGTACCAACCCCGCATCCAGATCCACGGCCCCGTGGACTACTTTGTGAGCCACTGCTGGCAGTACAAGCTGGGCGACCTGGTGGCCATGATACTGCAGCACTACGACGAACTGCCGGGTGAGGGGCAGGGCAGGCAGGCAGGGTGGCAGGAGACACGTGGAGGAGGACATGCGTGCGCGAAAGAGGGCGAGACTGTGATAGTTACAGGGGGAGGGAGGAGGAGGAAAGAGGAAGGCTCTGGATCAGAAGAAGCACTCATCTAAGATGAAATATCTATGTAACTGGTAAATTCCAACCAAACAGGGTACTCTTCCTTATAAATGACTCCCCAGCTGTAACTTCAACAGCCCCTGAACCGGCCGCTCTCGTTAATCCGTAACTCCCGACTCCCCCTCCCGCAGAAACCGACGGCGGGCGGCTGTACGTGCCGGTGTTCTACTGGGTGGACATCTTCGCGGTCACGCAGCACTTCTCGGGCGACTTCAAGGACCACCCGGATGCGGACTTCCCGGGCGTCATCCGCGCAGCAAAGGTGCGAAGGAACCGCCCCTCGTGTCCACCGCTCTCCACCCCACCACCCCACCGCCCCCACCTCGTTGGTCGTTTCCTCTTGACCCACCTCTACCTCCCCACCTGCTGGCCCCCCGCCCTCTTCCAGGGCGGCGTGCTGTTCTCCATGGCCCCCTGGCGCAACCCGCTGTCGGTGCGGCGCGTGTGGTGCCTGTTCGAGGCGCTCACCGCGCTGTCCATCAACCGCGAGATCAACCTGCTCACGGACGCGTTCGACTCCACCGCCAAGGTGGACACCCTGCTGCCCCTGTTCACACGGGTGGGTGGTGGTGGGGGAGTCAAAGACCATACACCAGACCATAGGAAACCACTGGTTAGGGCAACGCAATGGGGATAGATAAGGGGGGGGGTACGAGAAGGAGGAATCCAAGTCTCCAAAGGGAGGTAGGGTGGGGTAAAGAGGAAGGCACGAGCTAACCGTTTGATAGGGGTGGGTGGTGTGGGCGGGTGCTGCTGGGGCATGCGGATGTAGCTGGAGGCAATCGACCGATAGTGTTGCGGACAAATACGTACGTCACGGTATCACGGCATGTGGTCACGGTATCTTTCTCCGCCCCTCCTTCGGCCTTGCTCCTCCTCTAAAGCCGCCACCTACACCCCACCTACACCCCACCTCCTCCGCTCCCCCCCAGCAAGTGGTAGACATGCTGGACGTGCGCAACGCTGAGGCCACCGTGGAGAAGGACCGGGACTACATCCTCAACCTGGCTGCCCGCACGCTGGGTATCGACACCTTCAACTCCAAGCTGAGGCAGGCGCTGCACCACGAAATATGCGAGGCCATGATCTTGCGGTAGGCTGGATGGAGGGTTTAGGGTTTTCGGGTTGGGTGGATGCCAAGTTGGGAAATGAAGAAACAGATAGGCAAAACGACATAATGCTGCATGGGTCCAGCCTGTCATCTTTTTGTTTCCATCCTTACCCTTCTTCGCCTCCATCTCTGCCCCCGCCTCCTCCGCAGCGCTGTGATGACGGGCGAAACGGACGAGGGCCGCAAGCTGCTGGAGCGCGGCATCGTCATCTCCAACGCCACGCTGCGCTTCATGCCGCGGCGCGACTCGGGCGGCAAGGAGACGGAGCGCATCCGGGACAGCGGCCTCGCGCTGCTGGCGGAGGCGGTCAAGGTAGGGACGGGCGGAGAGGGGCTCGGGCAGGGTTAGGCGGTGGAAGGGTGGTGGGAGTTGCGGAGGGGGGTCAAAGACCATACCGAACCATAGGAAGCCAGTGGAGGGGGGGGGGCACCGGGCAGGAAAGTTACGTTGGTCGTCCGGTTGGCGTTTGCTTTGTGTTCCTGCTGCTGGCACAATACCGCTGTGGCTTCTTACCTCAGCTGCATGCAACCGGGTGCGCACGTAAGGCGCGGGCGTCAAACGGACTCGGTCAAAGCTGCAACGAGTCACGCCACCGGCCCCCATGCTTCTCCGCCACCGCCGCCCCCACCACCCTTGTATCATTATCATACCACACTTTGGAATTTCTTTTTTCCCCACCACCCTCCTCTTCTCCGTCTCTCCGTTTGCATGCACCATGCCTGCAGGCCTGCCCCAACCTGCAGTCCCTGGTGGTCTACACCGCCGCGGAGACCGACGTCACGCCCGCCGGCCTCATCACCCTGGCCAAGGGCCTCGCGGGGCACCCCGCGCTGCGGCACCTGGTGGTGGGCCGCTACCCGCAGCTGGCGGGGGTGCCGGGCACGGGGGGCTCGCTGGGGCGCTCCTCCGTGACGGCCTACGCGGCGCTGCTCAACAGCAACCCCAACCTCACACACCTGGACCTGTCGTACAACAAGGTGTGTGAGTTACGAAAACTGGCCGCGAGTAGGTGTTCAAGTAACAATCGTGTGTGACGGAAATAGAGGAACGCGAGGAAGAACGTACTGTGTTTGGGCAGGCAGGGTGCGGGGGGCGGCAGGGCGGCACTATGGGCGGGCAGGGGAGGGGGTGTAGGACCTAGTCAAGTACTCTCCTCTTTTCACATGGCGCGCCGCTTCATTTGATCATTCGTTCATTCCTCTTCCCTTTTTTGAATGCTTGTGTGATGGTCCCGACAGCTGGGTCCTGAAGGTGTGGCGGCGCTGGCTCCCGCGCTCTCGGGCAACCGCACCATCTCCGTGCTCAAGCTGCGGCAGGTAGGGTGCAAGCCACGGGAGCAAGCGGAGCCGTGATAGGAGTTGCATTGCCCCGCACGCTTCTCTTGATCTCTTCTCTTTTCCACCTGGTGCCGAATCCTCTTACCCTCTCATATCCTCCTCTTGCCCTCCTCGTGTCCTCTCCTTCCAGGTGGGTATGGACGGCGCCTCCTCCGTCACGCTCGCCGACGCCTGCATGACCGCCGAGGGGCTGCGCGACCTGGACCTCTCACTCAACCCCGACATGGGCGACAAGGCGGCCCCTGCGCTGCTGCGGCTGATGAGCCACAAGGGGCTCAAGGTGCTGCGCGCGCACTGCTGCCGACTGGGCTGGCAGACAGGCAGGAGCCTCATATCGGATGCGCTTATCCGCGCGGGCTGCGTGAAGGTGAGGGGGTTGGTAGGGGGTAAAGGAGTGGGTGCATTTGCTTCTGTTAACCCGACACGCAGCTGTTCACCGACGTATTAGACCTCATCTGCCCTCGTCCACCGCTCCTCGCTTCACACCCTTTTACCCGTCCAACCGCTCACACTCTCAACGCTTCTCACCCTCTCCCTCCCTCTCCCTCCTCCTCATCTCTGGCCCCCCCCCGCAGGAGCTCTGTCTGGGCTGTGTGGTGCAGCCGGGCGGCAGCGTGTCCAACCAGGACCCCGCGGACTGGAACCACCTGCTGCTGGACACCTCGGGGCCCTCCCCAGCCAAGGGCTACCGAGTGGCGGCGCACGGGGACGCGCTGGTGGGGCTGGCGCTGGCGCTGCGGCAGGGCTTCAGGACGCTGGAGAGGCTGGACCTGCGCGGCTGCTTCATTGGGGTGCGTGGGGCGGGGTTGGGTTGCATGGCGGGGGTGCGTGGGGCGGGGGTGCATGGTGGGGATTGGAGAAGAGAGGGAGGGGGGTACAGAACCCTGCTTGCGGATTAGACGCGATGCTTGAAGAGCTTTAAGCGTGTGATATTCGTCATGTCGTAAAACACACACAAGTACACACCCCGCAGCTAGTTTGCTGAACAATTATACAACCCGCACACCACAGAACGGCATGGCGGGCGAGGCAGCTGGTCTGCGGGACGCGCTGATCAGCGGCCTCAGCAGCGTGCGGCGCGGCGCGGCGTTCGGCAGCCTGCGGCACCTGGACCTGCGCTCATGCAACCAGTCGGAGCTCACGCGCATGGAGGATAGCCAGGTGGGGTCGGGGTGGCTTGAGGTGGGGGCGAGCTTGGCGGCTGAGGTGAAGCGGCTGGGGTGGGAGCTGGATGTGAGGTTGGGGGCCAAGTGTCGCCTTGGCGTGCTGATTGTGGAAGGAGGGATGGCAGGGACTGTGCTGGGGCAGAGGGCTCATTACCCGCCAACTCCCTTGCACCATGTCGGGGCCGACAGGCTGCTTTCCGTGAGGGGACTGGTATGTCCGGTTCCACACGTGTGCCTTCTCCTCGAACGCTCGAAGTACTGTTAGAGGATGTTTAATGTGTGTTCATGCATGTGCAGATTGCGCTGCTGCTGAAGCACGGCGGCCTCAACTTGCTGGTCAAGGACTACAAGCGCACCGGCATCAAGGGCGGCGCGCTGCGGCAATACGTGCAGTACGACGCTTAAACAGTCTGCTGGTTCGCGTGGATTCGAGGGTAACTGCACATGCGGGCTGTACGGCGTCAACGACATGGCATCGTTATCTGATAGTAGTTTTAGATGACATGTCGATTACCACATATGCAACTGCACACCCTCAGTTGCAGCTGGCGAAGGACAGGCGACATGTCGGTTGTCGCGGCAGGGTTGCTCGTCGTTTGGGCAGTCAAGGAGGACGTTACCACTGACCACCGCCACCTACTTACGGTATCTGGTGTATTTCATGCGTCGCAGCTTAAGACACTGTAAATTTATGCGTCGCAGTTTAAAATACAGCCAGACATAGTTTATTATGCGAATGCGTGTACGGAGGGACCTTGGCATGAAAGATGGTCGAGAGGAGTTGAGGCTATGTAGTTCTTGTGACTCTGGCCTATGCGTGCGATGGTGGGAGGGCAAGGCTACATGATTGTTGCAGGGGGTCATGGCAGGGAGTCATCGGAAAGCGGGAGGGCTGGTCAGGGTGGATACCTGGAAATGTCTATGCATGCGGGAACAGGGCGCCATGCATGGAAAATTGCTTACGCTGTGGCACGGGTTTGGGGGGCAACCCAGGCGTTAGTTCCGTGGGGTTGCTTGGGTTTGGAGTGTGGCATTCTTACAGTTACGCTGTCTCTTGTGACCCATGGAGCGCAGGCGTCGCACACCGGAAGCACTGGCTTGTTACCCGCCGAGCAGGCGAAGTGCAGGGAGCTGCGCATTGTATGACTATCTTGCTTAACTTCATCCTTTTGCCATTACGTGATTTTGGCCACATGGTTTGACGAACCACGTATGGTCTAGGAAGTGGCTTAGAAGCAGGGAGGGCGCTGCCGTGGCGGCAGCGAAGTAGCATATCCGCATATCAGGTGTTGGGTAGCCTTTTTAGGAACGCAGTGGTTTCGGTCCGGTTATATATCCTGGCAGTGATGACACTTCTGAGCACGACGTGTACCTCGGCAGTCGCTTAACCCCCCCGCGACGATGATGGTTTGACGGTGGCTGGAGCAATAAAGTGGACGCTGCTGTTTTAGCACAGAGTGGGATGTACGGCTGGTGGGGTTGTCGCTGGACCTAGCACTCTCCTTGCCAGAGTCACATTTGCTGGTCTACGCTGATCAGGGTTACGCATGTTTGGCACGATACAGGGTGGTATGAAAGGTAACGCAGGATTTGGATGATTTGTTGGATAAGAGAGGGCGGAGGGCATGGAGAAGGAAGCCCCTCTCATTCCCGCCAACACCACGCAATGGCTCCTTATGTACAGAATACTGTATCGAACTGTTTAACGCAGTCATGTCGTGTATCTGCAGTGATTGGCCACAGAAATGCTTATAAGTGCATCAAAATCACAACTAAAGCTGTGCGTGCTTCGCTTAGTGACGAGAAGGGATGCTGCACGGCTGGGGTCAGTGCAGTATCAATGATGAGGGCAGCAACTGGACGCCTGCAGCTCATGGATGTTTTGTGTCAAGCTGTGGTGTGGTGTCGGGCGTCGCCGTGTGCCGTCGGGAGCACTGCGGCGTTCGGCACGTCTTGCAGTTCGCGGCTTTCGTGACACATGCATGCCTTCATTCAGGCCCCTCGCCGCCTGCGCTTTGCGTGGTGTGGCTTGACGTTGCTGAGCGGATATGCAGTGATGGTACGGAAGGGTTGCATTTCCTTTCTGCATCAGGCGAAGTGATTTTTCGGAGGCTTGGCGAGGGGCGAGGGGTTGGAGCGGAGACAATAGCTGCTGCCAGCCTGGCTACTGCAAGTCGTACAAGAGGAATCCTCATGCAGTGGTATAGATAGTAAATTTCTTGTTTAGCTGTGTACCGCTACGCTCACTTGCATAACTTCCTGCCAACGACGGCCGTCTCGACTCATTTCCGCTGTAATCACGGCCATGAACGCCTTGCAGGTTTTAGCTTCCACTGGTCATAGATTGCGTTCTAAAGGCAACATATTAGCGGAGTGTAACTTAGCGAGGCTTTTCCAAGCAGGGCAGCAGGCATCCTGTCCGCCATCACCACCATCGGACGATGGCACCAGTACCTCCGGTCGCCATGAGTTGCTGCCTTGTATGCCGCATGCACTTTATCGAAGACATGTAAGTATATGATTGTTATGCATGTTATAAACATCCGGTCAACCCTATCTAACCCATTCGTGCGCTCTATGTTCGCCTGACCAACAACCACAGTTATCGACTCAGGCGTCAGCAAGCAACACAAATGTCCCTAGCGAAAACTGGCTAATGCGCAAGCTGCCGTCCAGCCTTGTGCCGTACGCCCAGCTCATGCGCCTCGACAAGCCGATTGGAACCTGGCTGCTGGCGTTGCCATGCTTTTGGTGAGCACCCCATGCTTGGGGCCTCCACACCCACGCTCCACTTGGTGTGAAAGGGCTGCAAAGGCTGCAAACTGCCCCTTTCTCCGTCCACCCATCCGCCGCACTTGCCTAGCCGCCCCTACCTGCCAACCCCTGCGTTCTCTGATGCCTCCCCCCATCCCTCAGGTCCATTGCCCTCGCCGCCCCGCCGGCCCACCTGCCGGACCTCTACATATTGGGCCTGTTCGGGGCGGGCGCAGTGGTGGGTGCCGCGCTGGGGGCTATGGGGGGGCTCCTGCCCGGAGGGACCTACCAGGGGAAACTGCTACAAGCAGTACTGGGAAATCTGCTACAAGCAGTACTGGGAAATCTGCTACAAGCAGTACTGGGAAATCTGCTACAAGCAGTACGGCCACGGGCAAGTTTTCCTTTTTCCTTACCTCCCTCCACCTCCTCGTCCACCCGGCTGCTCTCTGTTTTCTTCGCACCCCTAGCTCCTGCGCGGCGCGGGCTGCACGGTCAACGACCTGTGGGATCGCGAGCTGGACCGGCGAGTGGAGCGAACCCGCACGCGGCCGCTGGCAGCTGGCACCGTCACACCGCGGGAGGCAGTAGGTGAGGCCGGAGGGGGAGGTAGCGGGGAAGCGGCCAGCAAGGGAGGAGCGGGATGGGGCTGTGGGAGCGCGAGGGTGCGACGCGTGGTGTGTGCCCGGGGGCAGAGGCGTGCTCTTGGGCTTGCATGGGCCCGAAACAAGCTCCTCCTGTTCGACCCAGCCGTCTTGTGCCCTCTGCCCCCTCAGCCTTCCTGGCGCTGCAGCTGTCGCTGGGCCTGGTTATTCTGCTGCAACTAAACGACTACAGGTGAGGGTGAGGGAGGGGAGCGGAAGAGGCGCGAGGGGGTGGAGAGGCGGGAGCGGGGCGAGGTCCGAGGCGGTGCCTGTGTGGGACTGGGTGGGGAGGCTGGGGAGGGGGTTTGTGCTGTTCTATGCATAATCACGCACCGCTCTTCACAAGAACCGGTGGCACCAGCCGCACATACACCTGGTGTATGTTGCTGTGGAGGACTTCAACTTCCGGCAATTGCACTACGTTCCGACTCGCGGCCAGTCTCCTTATATCCTTAATACACACCTCGCCGCTGCTCCCAGCTGCACATGTGACCGAATGCCTTTGGCTGCACCGTTAGGATGTGACAAACCGGCGCTGTCCCCCTCATATGTTGCCCCCCGCCCTGCCCCCCTGCAGCAAGGTGATGGGCGCCTCCTCGCTGCTGCTGGTGGCCACCTACCCGCTCATGAAGCGAGTCACGTTCTGGGTGAGGAGGGACTGAAGCAGGGATGAGCAGGGGTTCAGGAGGGGTGGCCTTTTTACCTTCTGGATCCAGCGGACGAACGTGAATATGCGGTAGAGTAGCAGCTGTCCTCGCCTCGTCAGTCAATCTTGATTGTACCGGTATTCCAAGGTGCCGGTACCCTGGACTTACCGCCACCACGAACACCACTGACGGACCCTCTGCTGCACCCACACCCGCACCCCCGAACACGCGAATACACACAGCCACAGGCCTTCCTGGGTCTCACCATCAACTGGGGCGCCATGATGGGCTACGCAGCAGTGGCCGGATCCTGCAACTGGCCTGTCGTTCTGCCGTTGTACGGCGCCGGCGTTGCGTGGACCCTCGTGTACGACACCATTTACGCGCACCAAGACAAACGGGATGACGTCACGGCCGGCGTCAAATCCACTGCGCTGCTGTTTGGGGACCGCAGCAAGGCCTGGTTCAGCGGGTTCACGGCCGTGACGGCGGCGGGCCTGACGGCGGCGGGCATGGCAGCGGGATGCGGGCTGCCGTACTATGGCGGCGTGGCAGCGATGGTGGGACACATGGCGTGGCAGATCCGTACGGTGGATTTGTACAACGGTCCGGATTGCAGCGCCAAGTTTGTGTCGAACAAGGTTGCAGGCGGTTTGCTGCTGGTGGGTATCGTGGCGGACAGGCTGCTGGCCGTGGCGTGAGGTCAGCGTTAGAGAGATAGGTTGTGGAGCGGCGGCTGGGTGCATCCCGTAACAGGGTGTGTTGAAGCAACTGAGCGGACCCGGGGATGGACGGATGGTGGAAAACTCGGGACCAAGCCTTGGTATACCGTACCCTGGGGAGGCGAGCTGGAGTGGTGGTACGTGGTAAGTCGTGCCTACATTATTACCTTGTGAGGGAGGAGGGTGTAGTGAGTTTGATTGGCGTCCAATACCAGGAGGCTAGGGTAAAAAATAAAGAGACACTGATGAGGCTTGGGGTGGGGGAACGTTCGCTGTGTTATGCTGTGGGAAAGCGGGGAATCCCCTTGTGGATGGAGGTGCCAGGTGATCGTCCCGACGTGCTTTGACGCCCATTGAGGTGAAGCTGGCCCTCCGAGACGTGCCATGCGATTACCGCAATGCATGCGAAGGCCGGCAGGAGGACCCGTGGGTCAGACGGATACGAGAGGCTCTGGAAGCAGGCATGCAGCTATGTTTACAAAGCCACCTGCATGCCACGATGCTTCGGAAGGCATGCATTGATGCATACGTTTCGATAATACATCAAACTCCTTCATCAGAGTCCCGTAGCCCCAACGCATGGCATTAACCAGCCTAAAAGGATGGGCCACGGACAGCCACGGATATGATTTGATAAGAGCATACCCGTGACTGAAACACTCACCTAGTACTAACCCAAGGTACCTAGCACCAGATATAGTTACAGTTCAGTCCTCAATCTCAGCAAATCACTGCATAATCCTGCCGTAGTACGTAAACTTCTTTTCCCTAAAACCAGATTCGGCCTTCGCTTCGCCTGGCCACCATCCAATGCCAATTGCATTATAGCGCGCAAAGTATCGGTGTGATCGTATTAGTTGTCAAGTATAAGTTCATCCGCTTCAGCGACGGTGCCAAAACTTGTCGCCCCAGAGACCCGCAAGACACCTGCGAAAGCCCAAACGGGCGCCACAAAGCTTCGACGTTAATTAAACACAGTAAACTCCCAGGGTAGTCACCAGAGCGCCATTGGTCGCAGCAGGAGAGTCACTGAATACAACCCAAGGAATGCCATCTGGGCTTCGGTTAACTCGTCGATGCTCCTGGCAGCTCCCGTCTCAATCTTGACAGGCTTTGGCGCCGTACTTCATAAGCAGAGTGTCAATCGCCGCGCACTTAAGCCGGTAGTTCTTGACGCTGAGGGCCAGCTTTTCAGCTAGTTCTTCATTCTCGGGGCCTCCCTCCTCCCTCAAGTTTTTGACGGTCTTTGGTAGTGAGGATATCAGGTGCTGGAAGGAAAGCTGCAAGGTTTGAAGCTTGGTGGTCGGATAGCCGTCAAACTCCTGAAAGGTAAATGTCGTGCTGGGAACAGTCCATGGTTCAGTTTTCCGAAATCCTAAAGCAGGCTTACTCCAAATTAAAGCTTACTCCAAATGAAGGAGGCCTCTGCGATAAATTTAGAAGTAGCAGTAGGCATTACAATTTTAAAGTGTGGATCCACTATACACGAGGCCGTACGTTCAGCAAATGCCTACCATTACATGCATACCATTTCCAAGTTTTCTAATTGCGCTTAGAAGCCAAAAGAACGTGGGGGGGGCACATGAACTCGGCTCATGCCCTCTTACTTTTATGTACCGGTATGCGGCATGGCTGAACAAGATTGGCTCCCTAGCAAATATACATCTTGCTCGTCCCCCTCCATGCACTAGGAGCCGAAAAACGCAACACTCACTGAGAAAGGATACGCACATGCAGGTGCTGCTAAAAGCCCCCAGGCACATGTAATCGCAGATTTCAACCACCAAGCGCTTTCTATGCAGCAGCGAAAATATGCATAGGAGCATTCTGTATACTAGTTTGGTGGTGGTGGATAGCTTCTGGTGTCGGATGTGCAGCGGGTGGCAGCCTACAGTGGTTTGGTGGTGGTGCTGCAGATGGTCATAGGAGGGCGAGGTGAAGGCGTGACGAACTTGGGGCAGGCGTCCTGGAAGAGGGCGTCGGTGCCGCCACAACCCGTTGCCGACATGTGTTCTCTGACTTAGCGCTCGCTTAGCTGTGCAGGAATGGGGGTAAAGAGGAAACAACTAATGGGGGAAAAAAAGAAATTCCAAAGTGTGGTATGATAATGATACAAGTTGCTGACAATCCCTGGTGGAATCAACCGTGAGTCGAGCCGAAACAACTAATGGGGGGGGGTGTAGCGCGGGGTGAGAGGGAGGGTAGGGTGGTGTGGTGGAAAGAGCGGGGAAAGGTACCTGTTAGCAAGCAGACGCTGTTGGGTTACACCTCCATTGATGTAATGATGCGCTATGCGTATCACTTCCATCACCTAAACCGGGCCCATGCCGCGGCTAAACAGCATGCCACTTGCTTGCATGGCACGCCCCATTCTACCCACCCCACACGCGCCATACGCCCGCACGCTCCCCTTACTCCTGCCTCCCACCGCCCGCACCTGCACAAGTACGCTGTGGGACGAGGTCGAGCGGGTAAATGGCCTTCAGGCGAGGGGCAGGACAGCTGTTGAGACCATGCCAGCTTCGACACCATCAACCCACGAACCCCTCATGCTTCACTGCTGGGGACCCTTGTATGTGGAGGTAGCCAGGTGATCGTCCCCGACGTGCCTTGACGCCCATTGATGTGCAGCTGGCCCTCCGGGACGTGCCATGTGATTGCATGGTGCATGCGAAGACCGGCAGGAGGACCCGTGGGTCAGCCGGATAAGGAGTAATTGCAAGCTTCTAGACCGTTTGCTGAGGCGAAACCTGCGTGCTACGGTAATCATGCATATGCATTCCAAGCAAAACTAAACGGCTTTTGAATGGCTCGAATGGATGCAGGTAACACTTACACAGCCACCTGCATGCCACGGTGCTTCGGATGACACGCCTCCAAATGTCCACTTTCACGTTATGGTAGTACATTATACTCTTTCAGACGTGACGTCGCTCCAGTACTAGGTCATTAAACCAGCCTAAAAGGATGGGCCACGAATCTTATTGCTATGTATAAGAGCAAAGGGATACATGCTCGAGTGTGAAACACTCACCTAAAAACACCAGATTCATGGCGATAGCGTCCACAGCACCACAGGTCATGCATGCACTCCTTGAACTATAGTTCAGCGCTACATTAATAAGAGGAGCATAATCAGTACAGCCACGGGTGTATTAGGTTTTGGACTGTCAGTACCAGTACCTTTCGTCACACGTACATAGGCGTCCAGTCAAAGTTGCAAACTGTCACCGACGTACCGTATACACTATGCCCACCATACCCATTCATCCTCTTACATCACTATGCCGCCTCCATCAAGCCCGCCTGCAATGTGCTCCCCAACTTTTCTCGACACAACGCGCATCCACCCGCATGCTGCTACTGGGGCTAAGCGCCCTGCTCTTTACCACTCGTCCCCTCACCTGCAGGCGCCCCGCAGCTGCCGGTGACCCTCTACACCCACAACACAACACCCGAACCCGCTTCTCAGCGTCCCAAAGGTCACCAGTGTAAGCATCATCAGGACTCAACTCACCGCCCTGCTTCCCTGCCCCTGTCACAACTTAAGGCGTCGTCCTTTTACACACAGTCTTCCTCCGTTTACGGCTTGCGGATACCTCATAACCCCATCCCTGGCGCGGCGACACAGCCCTGCATCTCGCCATGATGAAACCCCCCCACCGTATCCCTCCGCCACTGCCGCCCCCACCCCTACCCCTTACGCCTGCTCCGCAAACGCCGGGTGGTTTGTAAACGCCTTGTCCCCAAGCGCATGCACCGCCAGCGCCTGGATGATCGAGTCCTTCGTGATCGTGCCCTTGTCCAACATGTACGACAGGATGTCGATATCCGCCACCTCCCGTACAGGCGGCTTCGCCACCGCATCCATCGCCGCTGTCACCACCGCCTCCACATCCACTAGCGGCTCGTCCAGCACCGGCGGCTCCTCCGGCGGGTCCTCCCCGCGCTCCGCCGCCTCCTCCGCCGCCTGCGCTGCCAACTCCTCCAACTTTGCGCGCTGATCCTCCAGCTTCGTCTCCGCCTCCGCACGCGCCTTGTCCGCCGCCTCCATCCGGTCCGCCTCGTACTTGGCCGCCGCCGCCTCCTCCGCCTGCGCCTGCAGCTCCGCCGTCGCCGCCTCGATGGCCTCCTGGCTCGCCACCGCCGGCTTGAGCTCCCGCAGCACAAACGTGGGCCGCCCCCGCACCGCCTCCAGCTCCGCGCCGCTGAGCTGAGCCTCCAGGGCCGCCTGGCGCTCCGCCCAGGCGTCCACCGCCGCCGCCGTGGAGGCCGCCTGCGCCGCCACCACGTCGCGGTTGGCCGACAGGGCTGCGGCGGCGTCCTCCACGAGCTTGTTGACCACCTGCCGGGCCACCACACCGCGAGAGAGGTAGCCAATGGCCTGCTCCTTGAGCCACGGCATGAAGCCCGTCTCCACCTCCCGCATGACCGGATCGTAGATGTAGCCCGAGGACACCAGCCGGTCAAACACCGTGTTGACAATTCCTGAGAGGTAGCCGCGCGCAAAAGCGCTGGCTGCGACCTTTTGCCGTACGACGCGCTCGCGCTCCACGCGCTCGCGTTCCTGCTGCATGCGGCGCTCCTTCTCCTCCAGCTTGCGGCGCTCCGCGGCCTCCATGCGCTGCGTGGCGACCAGCTCGGCGTTGCGGATCTGCTCGAAGCGCTCCTGGTGCGCCCGCATGGCCGCGAGCTCCTCCTCCTCCAGCACCTCCATAAGGCCCTGCTCCAGCACCTTGCCCACCAGCACCTCCAGGATGGGCTCAACCTCGAAGTCAAAGTCGAATAGGTCGCCTTTAGCAAGGAAAAGGGGAAGGAACGGGGAAGGAGGGGGAAACGCGTTAATGATGGGTGCAGGGGGGTGTTGCGGAATGGTAGTGTATGTGGAGTTCGCGGCTTTTGGCTGGAGAGTTCTCCAGCTATGTTTAACCTTTTATTCGATGCTTTGTTGTTGGGTAGGCAACTTGCATGTGCCATGCTTACCGTTCTCAATCTGAGTGATGGCATCCGTGCCAGTCTTCTGGGGCACGAACAGCGGCGTGGGAGGCCGGTCTAGGAATGCGTCTGTCTGTGTGGCCGTGTCGGCTTCCGGCACTGTGTCCGTGAGCTCCTCCAGGTAGACATCTGTCTGAATGTCGATGTGCCTGCGGCCTTCTACAGCCTCAGGAGTTCGAGGGGGCACGGTGCGCGTAGTCTTCTTCTTCCTGCGCGGTTTGCATGTGAACGAGGATTACCAGACGCTGGCGGGTAACAGCAGGGCTCTAAGTGCTAGGCGTCGCTATCCCATGTAAACTTACGTCGTCGCTGCAGCTGGTTTGGCCGTCGCCTGGGTAACATCCGCTGGCAAAATGCGTGCTGCATATGTGTTACCTCTTACTACACGACGGTCGAACATAATATTGGCGGTGGGCAGCGGTGGGTTGTCATCCTCGCGATACTGCACATGGCGGGGCGCGGGGACCCATTTAATTAACTGTCTTTAGACGCTTCAAGTATTGAGAATCTGCGCATTGCTCAATCGCCTGGCTTCACACCTTAGCTCGTCGTTGCTGAACCGCCTTTGGTTCTGCTGCGTGAGTGTATAACTGTTGTTGTGCCTTAGCGTTAACCATTTTGTAAAGCTCCTAATTAGCAGGAGGTAACACGTTACAAAACTCTATGTCAGGGGAGAACGAAAGTCGCAACTAGAAGAAGGATATTGCAAATATGTGTTAGCGGACAAACTGGTCGTAGATTGCAATTGTTCACTTAGAAGAGACAAGTCTTATAAGGATAGGGGACGGGCAAACTTGTCTAAGGAGCACCCAGGCAGGCGGACGAGCATCGTACAACAGCATCCTTCAGGCGCAGCTGCAGCGATGCAGTGGGTTATTGCAGCAGCTGTCAAGTATGCAGGCCGTTTTGCAGAAAAACCATCGCTTGGGCCACTGGCCCCGTTGCGCGGGTGTATCTGCCCGCAGCAGGCGTATCGTGGCGTTCACCTCCCAGTCACCTTCAACATTTCATTTAACAGTACAAACAAAGGAAGGAACACGTGTTGAAATTGAGACTGAGTCTGGCAACATCCTGCGAACCGTGTTGCTTGCTGAGAAGGTCGACTTGTACACAACTTGGGGCAAGGTCTGGCAGTGCGGCGGAGCTGGAAACTGCGGAACGTGCATCGTGGATGTGAGTCCTTGCCAGCGCACTGCTTTGCGCCCTCGTACCTCTCTTATCCTGTATCTGTCCACGGTACACCCATGACTAATCCTGGCCCTGCGCCAATGGAGGGCTCCTCCCTGTTGGTGACCTGTCCCACCGCTCCTACTGAAAGGATGTTGGGCGCATCAGAGGCGATTACCTCTATTCCCTACAACCACTAGGTTATCTCGCTTGGATCTTGGTTTTAAATTCAACCGTTCATGCAGATTAAGAGCGGTTCGGAGTTGCTATCAGAACGCACGCAGGCGGAGAACAAGAAGCTAGCAGGGGTGAGCAAGCATTGCCACTTGTCGCACACGATTTAAACCCCGTCGGGGGCCGGACGCACTCCGTACCCATACTGCGTATTCACCCCTCCCCACCGCCTTATATCGGTACCGCTACATGCATGAAACCCAACACATCCTCTGCCCCTCTAGCCTTTCCTACCTTCTCAGCCCCAACCTGAGGTTCTACCTTGTGCCTCCCTCAATGCCTCTCCCCATACTGTGTCTTTTGCGCGGTGACGGCATCGGCCTTGCTGTGCGGCTGTTCACATGCTACTCCTGCTGCTGCTGCTGCTGCCGGTGCTGTTGGTGGTAATGGCAATGACGGACGTTGACAACCGCGGGTTTTCCCCTGGAGCAGAAGCCACCTACCTGGCGACTCGCCTGCCAGACGTTGCTGGGCGATGGGGAGAACGGCGGCGCGGTTACCATCGCCACCAAGCCACAGTGAGTGCTAGCCGCTAGGTTGCCGTAGTGGGCAGGCGGCTCTGCATGGCTTGGTGTGTTGGGACCTGGCCACGTGACGGACGCAGGACACTGCAGTGCTGCAGCACGGCAGTATTGCCATTGTATTAGGTTGCCGCACAAGGCTACTGCAGTATGAGTGTATGAGGGAGAGTCGAGAGAGGGTTTGCTGTGTGCTGTGGTTTGCTGAGAGTCGACGGCTGAGAGTGATGTGCTTATGTGTTAGAGTGCGGTGGGAGAGAGAGTGACTGTGCGAGGGTCGTGTGGAAACGCGGAAAGGACCAATGCCTGGGGTGTTGTGCACATCGCTATGTTATGTTGAGAGGCGATGAAGAGGGTTCGTGTTGGAGAGATGTACTGCATGTCTGAGCCGCAAGAACTGCAATGTTGAAAAAGTGTGGATAAGGTAGGGGCCAACCGTACTCCTGCTGCCGACCGTGCGTACGGAGAAAAGCGGCAACGTCGCTCTTGCTTGGCAATCTTATGGGTAACAGTCGTTTATAGCTTTACATACACGCTACGTGCAAAAACGCTGGATTGAACGTTACACGTACATGCGACATGCGGAGAAGTGCCACAGCCGACGGCTCCTGGCACCGAAACGTTACTAGGTTATCGAGGACGGTGGTCTGAGACCTGGTACCTGGGCACTTTTCCTGTAGACTGCGGGCCTGGTCAGGCCAACGGTTCAACCAACTGCCCTATCGCTGTCGCTTCCATCGGCGCGTCGACAAGCCAGTGGCTGTAGGGTTTGAGTAGTGAACGGCGACAAATACGCGATTTCATTTGATGATTTGTGCGCTTTGCAGAGCGAATCTATGGAAAAGGTCCCAGTTCTCCAGAGGCAGCAGGCATGTCACAATTTTAATTTCATATCATGAAGTGGCTATTCTTAGGTTGTTTTCGCGGACAGCAGCGCCATCATCAGCGCGGCTTGTCGAATACGCCTGGCCAAGGCGCGACCGTTGAGACCCCCACAAACACTAGCACAACGCGAGAGCGATACAATTATGTACAAGACCAAGGAAGCTTATCTCAACATAATACAACTCAGGCGGGCCAGGACCTTCGCATCGGAATTCACGCAAATGCTAGTCCGGCTTCCCTGCTTAGCAGCTCCTCAGCACAGCTCCCTGCTCACATAAATGAACGCACCTGGCCATTATCCAGCGCGACTCAGATCGGAGACAGCGCCGCGCCCCAACCATTACCAACGGACCCTACGATTCCCAACCGCAGCGGTCCTGCCCACGCCTTGGGCGCAGGGCCTTCAGGCCCCGGTCCTCCAACATCCCTCGCACCGTCAGCCCTAAATCCCATACCCGCGACCGCCCCTGCACCACCGCTCCCACTCCTGCCTCCGCCTTCAGCGCGCCCCACCTTCCAGCTGCGAGCCAGCTTGGATATCTGCCCCGAGGCGCTCCTCCTGGGGTCCCCCGTCATGATGCTTTCCGACGGCAGCAGCAGCGGTCACAGCAGCGCGTTGGCGGTCCGCGGAGGGGGTGCCGCTGCACTAGCTCTCGGCACCTCGGGCGACTACACCACAACAACCAGCAGCAGCGGTGGCGGCGCCGCCACCGCCGCCGCTACCGCTGCTGTTGCCGGCTGGCCCGCGGCCTGCGGCGGCGGCGGCTCTCGACCGCTGGTGGTATCCCGGGCGCTGCGAGGTCGTGGCAGCTTGGATGCGTTGGTGATGTTCGGAGCCCTGGTACGGGCCGTGGATGAGGCCGGCGTGGCGGCGGCGGCGGCGGCGGCGGCGGCAGCAGGCATGGCGACGGAGGCCGGCGGCCTGGCGGTGCTCCCAGCGGGGCGGCTGGAGCGCATTGAGAGTGGCGACCTGCCACCGGGTGGGGAGGATCCGCACCAGCAGCAGCAGCAAATACAGGAGCTGCAGCAACAGCAAGGGTTTGAGCTTTCGGATGGCGATGGCGGCAGCTTTGCATCGCCTTTCGCCGCCGCCGCCGCTCTGGCTGCTGCAGACGCCGCCGCCGCCGCCGAGGCTGCCGCTGCTCCTGCTGACGGCCTTACTGGACCTGCTGGCTTGACTTCATCGTTACCGGTGGCGGCGGCGAGCAGCGAAAACGACAGCATATGGGGGGCTAGCGTTGACCACCACCTGGTTGCTGGCGGACGGGCGCGAGATCGCCCCCCCAAGCAGCAAGGATACCAGCCGCAGCCGCTATCGGTACTGCCCGACGACTCCCCGCAGCGCATGATGCAGCTCCTGCTTAGCCTCATGACGCGGTCCGCTAACCTGAATACGTACGGCGATGCCATGACTGCAGTAGATGGCGGCGGCGGCAGCGGCGGCGGCGGCGCTGCTGCTGTATGGCAGCATGGTGACGCCGCCAGACATGTATCTTCCGCGGCGGCGGCGGCGGCGGCGCTTGATGACAGGGAGGAGGCGGAGGATCGGCACCCTGGCGGTGCCGTCGCACGTGGTAACGATGGCGGTGTCGGCGGCGATGGCAACACGCGGCGTTCCCGCATGTTTCGGCGGAGCAGCTGGGATGCCGTACAAGGCCCCTCAGACGATGCCTTTGCTGTGGCGGCGCTGGCGGCAGCCGCCGCCGCCGGCCTCCTCAGCCCCCGCGACGCCGCGGGCGGTAGCGGCGGCGGAGGCGGAGGCGGCGACGCCAGCGGCCCCGGCAGCTGCCGTAACTCCAGCGGCACCGCCGCTGCACGCCTTCCCATCGCCAGCGGCGGCGTCGGCGGCGGCTCCCTGCGACACCTGGACTCCGCTGGGCTGGGCAGCCTGCTTGCGGGTGCTTTGTCCCGCCAACTATCTCGCCAGCTCTCCCTGGGCGCGCACTCCCACTCCCTCTCCCACTCCCACCTGCCGAACAGCGCGAGCGCCACCTCGCTAGCCCGCCTGGCTACCGGCAGCGGCAGCATCCGCGACGTGCTGTCCAGGATACACCAACACCAGGTGCAGCAGCACGAGGTAAGGGCAGGAGGCAGCGATGTGTCGCGCGCACGGCTGATGAGATCTGCCAATCCTAGCGCCTTGTCCTGCCTCCTTCCCTCCATCCTCTTCTCCTCCCCTCCCTCTCCTTACCGCAGCCCCTTCTTCCCCAGTCATGCTCCAACGGTGAAACTTGCCAAACCGTGACACGGCTGCGTAATACGACTTGCACACGACACCCGCCCCTTCCTCTTTACCTCCCTTCCCCGCATGTTTTGCCCCCTCTTCCTCCCCTCTCCCCAGCCCTCCCGCCGCACCCCCAGCAGCTCCGGCAGCTGCTGGTCCGCCCACACCGGCCTCGCCTCCCTCTTCGACGCGCACCTCACAGCCGCGCTGCGACACACGGGAGCGGTGCGCACCTTCAAACGGGCGCTGGTGGGGACCAGCGGCGGACCCTCGGCGGTGGCCTCGGGCGCGGGCCGGGGGGGCGGCCTGAGCAGGAGTCTGAGCCTGAGCCAGAGGACCAGCGCTGCGTCGGCGTCGGCGGCCTCGATAGGCAGCCAGTTGACAGGTGGGGGAAAGAAGAATCAGTTGGGGGGGGGGGGGGGGACGCCGGGAAGGAACTTGGGAAGGGAAGGGGGAGGAAAAATTACATACCCCATGTGACAAAAGGCGGCGGCAGCAGATGTTTTGCATCTTGGTTGCCGACATGTGAGGGCCGTGAGGGGATTAAATAAACTGAGCCGCGGAAACACTGACCCTGACCGGGAGGGGAGGGGTGTTCCCCGTGATTTCCTTCATATGTTATAAGTAATAACGCAAGGCTGCGCTCACTCCCCTTTATCTTTCTTGCTGCTGATCCGCCGTCGTACAGGGTCCCTAGCTCGTCTCGACACACCCACGGCCCTCTTCAGCGGACCCTTCAGCGGACCCATGGGTCGCCAACAACAACACCCCCAACGCGCTTCGCTCCAGCACCACCCGCCCCATCCTGACAGCCACAACGCACTCTACCCACGCAACCAGCGGAGACGAAACGCCCAAACCACGAACGGCTATACCTCACTAGCTCATCCGTCGTTGGGCGTTCTTCTGGGGGCTGCTGCTACCTCCTCCCCCTTCACGAGCGGCGCCACCGCCTTCATTACCACAGAGGATCCAAACGAAGGTGACGTGTTGTCGGGCTGGAGTCAGCTTGGGGCGGCCGCCGCCGCCGCTGCTGCTGCTGCTACTGCTGGCGCCGCGGCGGGTTTGCCGATGGAGCCCGCCGCTGGCGTCACTGCTTCCGCTGCCGCGGCGGCGGCCCCGCCGCCGCGGCAACGGCAGCGGCGGCAGCAGCCGCTTCCCTGTACCATCTCTTCCGTTAGCACCATATCACTCGCAGGTAGCGCCCAGGATTCACCTGCGGCGGCGGCGGCGCCGCCGCCAGTGTTGTCGTCCAGTCTGCCGTTCGGAGGTATACTCGACGGCGGTACGAGCAGTGACGGCGGCGGCGCTGAGGAGTTCAGCAGCGGCGGCAGCAGCAGAAGCCGGCGGCCGTCGCGCCACCCTTCAACACACGCAAAACACATGCAGCCAGGCAGGCAGCGGGCGGGCGGCGGGCAGCGGCGCCATGCAGCTAGTGCTGGTACGGGTGCTGGTGCGGGTGGGGGGGTGGGGGTGGGGGCATCCTCCCGCAACGCAGGTGCCAGCTGGCGGGCTTCTGCGGCGGTGGTGGCACCACTCGATGATGCCCCAAGCCTGGCTGCGGCCCCTCCTGGACCTGGACCTCCGGGTGCTGCTCCTGGTGCTGCTTACTACGGACCCCGGGTTGCACTCATGCATGAGCAGCTACGGCAGTTCGTGCAGCAACAACAGCAACGTCAGCAGCTACAGCAACAGCAGCTACAGCAACAGCTACAGCAGCAGCAGCAAAACCAAAACCCGAACTTGCGGTTCAGCAACCCGCCGCCGCCGCCGCACCAGCAGCAGCACCAGCAGCAGCAGCAGCAGCCGCAGCACCAGCAGCAGCAGCCGCCGCAGCACCAACAACTGCAAGCTCGCTGCCACAGGGCGCACAGCCCCACCCTGCCACTGTCCGCCCGCCCCACCCTGCCGTGCCATCACCACAGCAAACCCGGCGTACCCGACGCACCCAACGCCGGCGCCGGCGCCCCCTTTAAAGACGGGATGCTATGGGAAAGCCTCGCCCCTTCTCACGAAGCTGCTGCAGCCACCACCTCCAGAACCGCTGCCGCGATTGGCACCAGCGGCGGCGGCGGTGAGGGAGGCGGAGGTGGCTGGGTCCGAGGCACCGGAGGGCTCCGTCGCAGTTTGTCACTTGCGGGCGGAATGGGACTGGGCGGCGGCGCGCCTGGCGCCTCGCTGTGTTCGACTGCCGCTGCGGGTGCAGCTGTGGGCGGTGTGGGTGTGGTGGGGGGTGTAGGCGCGGCTGCGGGTGCTGCGGGTGCGGATGCACCCACATGGCACCACCAAGCAGCCCCACAACAGCAGCAGCAGCAGCAGCAGCAGCATGATGACAGAGGAGAGAGTGACAAGGAGGGTGGCGTGGGTGAGGGCTGGTCGCCTTTCCTTCCTGCGCATCTTGGGCAGGAGGTGGGAGAAGGCGAACCGCATCGCCTGCCGTCGCCGGCTGAGCGGTTGTTGGTGCCCGACATGGGTCCGATGGGGGGGCCTCAGCCGCTGCCCCCCAGCGCGAGTCTGGACTTTTCGCGGTATAGCTGGGAGACGGACTGGGGCCCCACGGCAGGGCGGGGGCGGGGGCAGGGTGAGGGGGGAGGCGAGGGCGTGTCTTTGAGTCTGACGGTCCGCAGCAGTTGCGGGTTTTCGCAGGCAGGCGGGTGGGTGGGCGGGTTTGAGTGGCCGGAAGGGCCCGGGTACGGGGTTGGGGTTGGGGAGTAGGTGGGGAGTGGAGGAGGGAAGATGGGGTGGGGTCGGAACCTGCATGCAGGTGTGTGTTGGGGGGGTGGTTAATGGGGGGGGGGGTATGCTTGGGTGGAGGAGAGCCGAGGCCTTGCTGGGAGCGCTGACCCACGGGTCACTTGGGTCGCTGCTGCAAGGCGGTGTTGGGAGTTATCACATCATGGAATGGGGCGGTGTGTTTTGGTGAGTGTGTTGAAGCAAATTGAGCCGCTTAGAACTGACGCCTACATTGCCGCATGTATGTGCCTTGTGCTCTTGGCGTCCATCGTTCAATTACTAGCATGGCTGGCAATCTGGGTAGCTGCATCTTGGTGGTCTAACTGTGCTGGCGAGTTGCATTGCGATGATTTAGCTCTTCTTGCTGGTGGCTGGTGGGTGCTGGCGGCCTGCACGCTGGTGGGTGGGTGGGTGGTGAAGACATCTTCTGGGAATGAATACGGTGCCGATGAGATTGAGCGGCAGCAGAGGCAGCAACGAAGGATGATTTGCTAGCTTCATGCTTGGTTGTTAATGACAAAATGGTGATGTTCACTGAGTGCATTGCGGAATTGCGAAATTACAAAGTGTATGTGCGTGTGCATGCTGCCTGACGCTTGGTCGTTGCAATGGTGATTTAGACAGGGTTAGTACTGGGAGCAACTGGAGGCGCAACTCGTGGACCCGAACAAACTGAAACCGGAATATACCGGTAGTACCAGCAGCTAACAGAGGCCCGCCCCGTATCCGAGATATGACGAGGCGGGTATCTGGGACCGCTTATTACGATGTGTGCTAAGAGGGGTGGTCCAAATGAGAAATGCTGGGGGTCATGGCGCTTGTGTGTACATGCGGAGAGGAGGGGTGTGTGCAGCAGCTGTTGTACATTAATGCATTTTGGGTTTTGGATTTTGGAACTACAGTGCAGTGGAAAAAAGCAAGCAGCTCTGACCAAATGGGACTCGCCCGCCCAATCCAGCAAACCACATGCGAATTATCATGCGCGGATTACCGTACCATCTTGTTTGTGTGAGGGGCTCTTCTCGGGACTTCAGGCAGGCGGTTTGCGGGCGTGTGATGAACTGGTGAACATGATGGTGCAGTGCGGGGAGGATGTGTCCGTGGTCAGCCGTGTGCACATAGTCGATGTTGGTTGGATTTAACCAACGTCTGCTAGGTGACAGGACTTTACAGTGTGTCGTTTGTTTGTATAGCCAATTGAGGCACACGACCCAGCATGTCACCGGGGGGGTTCTTCCTCCATCACCTGCGCCAGGCCTCAGGTGCCGATACAAATACAATTACAATTACACTAGGCGCAATAACAATATACAAAAGGGAAGGGGTTCTGTGCGTGTGGTTGCGTTCTACAACCCGTTGGCACAACGAAGTAATGAAGCCTGGATCCAACATCGTACAGGTTGGACATATATCGTACAGAGATACGACCCCACAATACACGAGGCAGTGCATTCAACTAGCGGTATCGATAGTGATGCACAGTACGGCACGAACGGTTATGAACCTGCATGCCCGTGTTTACTTGCGGGCTAGATCTACAAGCCGCTTGGGGTTCAATGACAGTCGTGAATAACACCTCCGCAACTGCGAGCGAACTCGAGCCCATATGGCTTAACACACACACCACAGTTTTCTTAACACACCTCAACTCACAAACTCCAGCCCCCATTCCATCCCCCCTCCTCCTCCTTCCCCTCCACCTCGCCCTCATAAGCCCGGCCACTTTCCCCGCCCTCCCCCAGCTGCCCCTCCCCACCCCCTTTCCCCTGCGGGGGCCGTGTCACGCTGAAGCTGATGGCCACACACATGAACCTGGCGCCCGCGTCGTCCTCCCCGCTGATCTCCATGCTGTACGACCCCGGGGGCGCCAGCGCGGGCAGCTTCTGAGACACGCGCAGCAGCAGGGGGGCGCCGGCCACCAGGGGGCAGGGAAGCACGTCGCAGAGGCCGGACTCGTAGCTGAGGGGGGAGGCGGAGGGAGCGGCGGGAGGAGGAGGGATGAGGGAGCGGCGGGAGGGAGGGATGTTGGCGTTTGGCGGGCGTGGACAAAACGGGTGGGAGGTTTAGAGACTTGAGGGAGCCGTAGGTTGAAAGGGCTATGGGGAAAGAGCATGTAGAACGCCGCCCCCTTGTCGAAGGCATTACACAGTTCGTGGTCGCTCCACTCTTCATCACCCCGGAGGCCACCCCCGGGCAAGCGGCCTGCAGATCCCTCCTCACGCGACACATGCCTCGCGTTATTCCACACACCCCAGACTTTTCCTCAGGAGCGTGTCTGCTTGTGTGACCATATCAACAACGTTTTAACCCATTGGGTATTCATCTTTTACCCCCGACTACCCAGAGACGCAGATGTGTGTGCGGGCTGCTCTGCCGCACACTTACCTGTACACTCGGAAACCCAAGTAGATCACTGCGACGCGCAGTTTGCCGCCGTCGACGTTGACCGGTGCCGTACCGCTGATGTTGATCGCGAGCGTACGACCATGATGCGGCGGGTCGGGGGAGAGGATGACGGAGTCGGGCTGCAACATGGGAGCCCCGGCGGGGCCGCCGCCACATGTTCGCCATGTCATGCTGCCGTACATGGATGGGGACGATGATGATGAGGACGAGGGTGAGAGGGATCCGGATGAAGTGGGCCGTGTTGCTTTTGTGGTGGTAGTTTTAAAACGCGAGAAGCCGAAGGCCGCGCCGGAGTGTTTGATGTTGTGAAGTGAAGGTTGTTGGGGATTGGATTGGGCGACATGCTGCTGATGTTGGTGGTGTTGCCCGGAAGTTAGCAGCCCGGAAGTAAGCAGGGATGAAGGGGAATGTTTGTGGGGGAGTGGGGCTGGGAGGCTACGTCGAGTGCTGGCAGTTTGCCGGCAGGGCGGGTCCATGCAGTCAGGCTTGGCGATTGCAATGGAGCCAGCAGCTGATGTCAAGGCGCTTGCGGCCGAGGCGGAGAACGTAGCAGCGGCTGCAGCGATAATGATTGCAATGACTGCAAGGTTAATGCGGCGACGTGGCGCTGAGGGCAAGGAGGAAGGTGAGGCGCCGAAGGAGGATGGGGACCACATGGGATAAGGTGAGCGAAGAAGGTCCAAAGCAAAAGGACAGCAGGCCGTAAAGTAAAGCTCCTACGTCAACGATACAAACATAGGACAGCTATCTACCCTTTTGCAAAGTGAGGGTTTGGATGCTGCATGCATGCGAAGCTGCAAACAGGTTGCTGTAGACAGTAGGGAGGGCTACAGAGGGAAGGAGAAGCAGAAACTGTATAACCTGGCATTGCTGCCGAACTCGTGGCTGCCATGTTTCGTGACGTCAGGAACCCTAATGGTCAACTCACGCGCTACGAAGCAAGCTCCCTAGTCACAAGCTCGTTAGGAGCAAGGCAACCTTGAACAGGCAGAACATTGTTTTGGTTTGCATGCTGGAGTCCTTTGAAAGTCGGGAATGAAGCTATCTAGCTATGGAAGCCATCGGCATTGGTCCAGATCAATTTAGTCATGGACTTGACTACGCGCGCATACCGCACGAGAGACACAGAAGCATAATGCAACGTTTCCCTGTACTAGCGTACACCGTTCTTGCCTTCATTACTGCCTCAAGTCCTGTCCTATCGGTCAGAAGTTCTCTCAACCTCAACTTAGGGAAGGCGAAGGGTTGTTAGTTAGGATACTTGCATTATAAAGTACATAAGGAAAAACTGCTTTTTCATGAATGCAATGATCAGGCGTATTTTCCTATTTCAACTCATACAGCACACCACACAGAGCTTTTGTTAGTCGCTCAAAGATGAAGCCGATTCCAATTGGAAATAGCACTAGGGTCTTTCAGTCACAATGCTCATTTTGCGCAGTGGCGTATGACGGAGGTCGCCAAGCATCCACTCCCATGCGTCGGTTGCTTACCTCTGCGCTGCCAGCGCTGCTTCCATCTCCCAACCATTCAAATCAATACCCATCTTTTCGCAACCTTGTCGCCGCGGCCGCGACATTCTCTTCCTCCTCTGGTCCGAGTGCGGCATCACGCAAGCAAAGGACAAGGAGCGTGAGAACAACGGTCAAGGCAGCAGCAGGAGCACAGGAGGGCAACGCAGCTGCTGGCGTGACGAGCACGGATGCAAGCAACGGCAGCAAGACCGGAGCAGCAGCAGCAGCTGCTGCTGCTGCAGCTTCTGTACGGGCAGGCGCAACCGGGACTGCCAAGCCCAAACAGAACATGTCCAGTCAGCTGTCCAGCAGTACGGCACAGCAGCAGCAGCTACAGCTGCAGTTGCAGCAGTTGGAATCGGCGCTTGCTCGTCACCGGGACTTGTACTATAACCAGCAACAACCTGAGATCAGGTAACGGCACTCGTGGGCGCCGTACAACATCCACGTTCAGAGCGGTCACGGAGCTGCTCACCGAAGTCACACGAAACCCTTCCTCGTCTGCCTCGGAACCACCCCGTACCCTCCTCCCTCACCCTTCCCCTGTTCTTCATCTTTCCCCTTACCCCCTCCCCCCCTGCCCCTGTGCTCCCATCCCCCTACCTCCCCCCTGCGCCCAGTGACGCCGCCTATGACGACCTGCAGCAGCAGTACCGCCAGCTGGCGGGGCGGCTGGCGGGGGTGGCGGCGGAGGAGGTGGCGCTGCCAGTGGTGGGCGGGGGAACAAAGGGGGAGTGGCTGGGGTTTGGCGGTTTGTGCTGGCGGGCGCAGAGACAGGCGTGCGGTCTGGGCGGGCGGGTGGGTGGGTGGTTGAAAGCGGCTGCTGAAGGGGGGTCAAGATGAATCCGCCCGGGCCGGCAACCGCGGGGGATGGAGCCGGCAACCGCGCATACGACCTCCCTCCCCCCCCTGTGTCCTCCCCTCCCCCTCCCCCCATGCCTGCCTGCGCAGCCCTCCCGTTGTAACCCCTGCCTGCCCCCCTCTCCCCCCCTCCCCCTCCCCTCCCTCCCCCCCAGGGTGCCCCCCTGCCCCCCGCCTCCCCCCTGCGCAAGGTGCCCCACCGGCTGCGCATGCTCTCCCTAGCCGCAGTCACCTCACGGGAGGAGCTGTGCGCCTGGCTGGAGCGGACGATGGCGCGACTGCCGCCAGTGCAGCCACCACTGGCGTCACAGCTGTCACTGACGACAGCATCTGCAGCAGCAGCGCCCCCACCTGGATCTGCAATGCAGCAGCAAAAGCAGCAGGAGGGGGAGGAGGTCGGTAAGAAGACGAAAAAGCAGCAAAAGCAGCAGCGGGGAAAACAGCAGCAACAGCAAAAGCAGCAGCAAGTGGGAGGCGGCGGTTACCGTTGGGTGGTTGAGCCCAAGGTGGACGGTCTTGCCGTACGGGTGCTGTACCGCCGTACGGAGGACGGCAGTTACCGGTTGCAGGAGGTACGACAGGGCGGGAACGGGGCGGGGAGAACAGAAGGAACCTGGCAAGTTGTGTATGGGCGGGCGGGTGGGCGGGAGAGGTGGGCGGATTGGTGGGTGGACGGGTGGGCGGGCGGGAGAGGTGGGCTAAGGAAACTGGCAACGAGTCAGTATCCAGCGCCTCCAAGCTAGGGAAGGTCCGGGATGGGCCTTCACCACCCATCCCATCCCTTCCCTTCCCCCCTCGCCCCCCTGCGCCCCCCGCAACCCCCCGGCCTCCCCCCTTCCCCCCACCCCCCGCCAGGCCGCCACGCGCGGCGACGGCTGCATCGGGGAGGACGTGACGCACAACGCCCTGCATGCCCGCATCGCCGGACTGCCGCTCAGCTTCAACCTGCAGCCGCAGCAGCAGCAGCCGCCCGCGGCCTCTGTTGCAGCTGCTTCTGCCTCCGCCCGCAGCAGCAGCAGCAGCAGCCCCCTCCTCCCCCCGCCCCCGCCCCCGCCCCCTCCCCAGTGGGTGGAGGTGCGGGGGGAGGTGTTCGTGCGCACTGCGGACCTGGAGCTGGTGGGTGGGTGGGTGGGGGGCGCAGGAGGCGAGGAGGCGGGGGTGCAGGGGGCAGGTAGAGTTCCCCGGCAGTTGGGGTAGAGCGGGGGGGGGGAGCATGCAGAGGGGTTGCGGGGCGGGGCGTGGGGGGCATGTAGGTCCGCTGCGGGATGCGGGCGGGCGGGGGGACTGGGGCGGCGGCGGAGGCCTGAGAGCTCCGGCCTTGCAGCCCACCTGCTGCCGTGCTTCCCGGTTGACCCTGTTGTTGTCCCTCTTTGTCCCTGTTGTCCCTCAAGTGCACTCTCCCTCCCGCCTCCCTCCCTCTTCATCACCCCTCCTCTCCCCCTCCTCCCCTCCTCCCCTCCCCTCCCCAATACCGCCCCCTCCATTGCCTTGACTCAACCTGTGACTTCCCATGGTTCGGTATGTTCGTCGCCCCCTCCAGGTCAACCAGCAACAGGCCGCCAGTGGCGCCCCCCCACTGGCCAACCCTCGCAACGCCGCCTCGGGGGGGCTGCGGCTGCAGGACCCGAGGCAGGCGGCGCAGCGGCGACTGAGCTTTGTGGCGTATGCAGCGCTGGGCCCGGAGGCGGGGGCAGCAGGGGGAGGGGAGGGGCTGGGAGGGGGGGAGGGGCGTGTGGGCCCAGAGGGAGAGGGAGGAGGAGAGGAGGGAGGGGAAGGGGGAGGCGGCGAGGCGGGTGCGGGTGCGGGTCCGCTGCATGCGAGTCACTGGAGCACTCTGCAGTGGCTGGAGGTGAGGTTGGGGTGGGGGTGGGGGGCTTGGGGGTGTGGTTGGGTGGGTGGGTGGGTGAGGGCGGGTGGAGGTAGGTCGGTTGGGTTGCAATAGGAGCCGTGCTAGCCGCGAAGCAGCCCGTGCCTTCCTGCCTGTCTCCCTCCCGCCATTCTCACCTCCCTGTCTGTAGGCGCACATGTGCCTTCTCTTACCCCTCTTTCAAACCCGTGCCCCCACCCCTTGCAACCCCTCCCCCCTCCTGTCCTCTGGGTCTTTCAACGGTCACGGTCAGTGTTTCCTTGCGGCTCAGTTTATGTACCGTAATCCCCAACCTTTTGTAGCCCCCTTCAGTTTATGTAGCCCCCTCCCCACCCCCCCGCCCCCTTCCTGCCCCCAGGCTGCCGGCTTCGCGGTGAGTCCGGACAATCGGCTGTGCTGCAGTGCGGAGGAGGCGGTGGCGGCCGCGGAGGAGTGGATGAGCCGCCGGGACTCGCTGGGTGGGTGAGGGGGGGTGCTGCGGGGGCGTGTGTGTATGGGTGTGGGTGTGTATGACTGACCCGTGGGTCGGTTTGACTGGGTCGGTGGGTCGGCATCCCTCTATTATCCCAGCCTTGTTATCCCATTGCCTTGCCCTAACTTGTGGTTTTGGTATACCGGTATCTCCCTGACCCCCCCGCGCACATGGTTCGGTTTGGTCTCCGTTTGGTCCCCCTCCCCCGCCCCGCAGGCTACGATGTGGATGGTGTGGTGCTCAAGCTGGATGCCACCGCGCTGTACTCGCTGCTGGGCACTGCAGGCGGCGGGTCGGACCCACGGTGGGCGGTGGCGTGGAAGTTCCCCGCGGGGGAGGCGGTGACGCGGCTGCAGGGGGTGGAGCTGAGTGTTGGGCGGACGGGGCAGGTGAGGCGGGGGAGAAGAGGAGGAGGAGGGAGGCGGGGAGGTGTGGGGCGGAGAGAGGGGATATTCCCCGCGCGCGTTTGTGTGTTAAGAAAACTGGCCGCGAGTAGGAACGTGCGTGTATGTGTGTTTATAGGAACTGGCCGCGAATGGTTGCTCCGTGACAACAACTCCCGAGCCATGCCCCCACCCTCCCACCTCCCACCCTCCCGCCTCCCACCTCTCGCTCACTGCATGAGTAGGGCGAGGGGGAATCGGGATGGATTCCCGCTTGGCCGGGGTTACCCATCCTCTCTCCCCCTCCGCCTCCCCCCCTGGGTCGGGCTGGCTCACGTGTTGCAAACCATGATGACGCCTTATCACACGGTCAGTGAGTTATTTCCTCGTTTACCCCCCCTCCCTTTGACCCCCCTCCCGCAGGTTACCCCCATCGCTCTGCTGTCCCCCGTGCAGCTGGGCGGGGTGGTCATCCGGCGCGCCAGCCTGCACAACATTGGGTTGGCGGAGGGTCTGGGGCTGCACGAGGGGGACGCGGTGGTGGTGCGGAGGAGCGGGGATGTCATACCGCAGGTGGGTAAATGCAAGGAAACTGACGAACTGGGTGAGGTGGTGGGAGGGGGGAGGATGTCATACAGCAGGTCAGGGGGGGGCGCGGGGGTGGGCAGGGAGGTTGGTGGGGTGGTGAGGAGGGGTGTGTGGGGGGAGGTGCGGCGGAGCGGGATGTCAGAGGGGGCAGGAGGCCGCGGACGACACACTACCATTCCATCTTACCCCGATACTCTTCACCCTTGCAAAAGCTCCAGCCCGCTATCAAGTACCCCCGCCCGCCGCATTACGAACGTACTATTAAAGCATTACTACCTCCCTGTCGTACTTCCCCAACCCCCAAACAGGTCATGCGGGCCCTCCCCGAACTGCGCCCCCCCGGCGCCCGGCCCTGGCAGCCGCCCGCCCGCTGCCCCGCATGCGGCGGCCCCCTCACGCGGCGGCCCGCGGCGGGGGGGCGGGCGGGCGGGGGGGACCAGCTGGTGTGCGGCAACAGCGCATGCGGGGCGCAGTCGGAGAGGAGGGTGAGGCCACTCGGGTCGCATCACCCTGCATGAGTGGCGCCATGCATGCATGCAAACCCCGTGTGCCCCAACCCCCCTGCATGTCGCCTTGCATGGAAACCCCCGTGCCTCATTCGGCCCGCCTCCTCTCCCCGCTTTTTCACCTACCCCCTTCCCCCCAGCTGCTCCACTTCGCGACGGTTTGTCTTCCCGGCAGCGGCGCGGCTCGCGGTGTGGTGCCACAGCTGGCGGAGGCGGGGCTGGTGGCCGGCATTGAGGACTTTTATAGCCTGGATGAGGTGGGAGGAGGGGGAGGGGCTTGGGAGGCGGAAGGGGGGGAGAGGAGGGAGGGAGGAGGTGTAGAGAGGAAGGACCATGCGTTGAATGAGGAGGGAGGTGTCGGGAGGAGGGAGAGTTCGGACTCCCTGACTCTCCTACGCGCCCCTTCCTTACCCACTTCTCCTTCCCTGCCTTCCCCATCACTCACACACTTCGCCTTCCCACTCCCACCCCTCCCCCTCCGAACCCCCCCAGGCCTCCCTCTCCTCCCTGCCCAACTTCGGCCCCGCCCGCGCCGCCTCCCTGCTGTCTGCCGTCGCCGCCTCCCGCCGCATGCCGCCCGCCCGGTTGCTGCAGGGACTCAACATCCGGATGGTGGGGCCGGCGGCGGCGGCGGCGCTGGGGGCTGCCTTTCCGGCGGTGGGGCAGCTGGCGGGCAGGTCGGCGGGGGAGATTGTAGAGGCGTCGGGTGAGTAGGGTGGGGGGGAAAGAGCTACACCAAAAGCCAGCTCACTCCCCTCTCTCTCTCCATTCGGGACATGGTGTACTGGGAATCCAAATGCTTCACGTCTCATTCAATTACCGTATTTCCTCCCTCCCTCTGCCCACCCCCTTCCCCCTCCCCCTCCCCTCCCCCCTGGACCGGCCAGGTGTGGGTCCTGCCGTGGCTTCATGCGTGTCCGACTGGTTCTCCCAGCCGCACAACCTGCAGCTGCTGGGGCGGTTGAGGCGGGCGGGGGTGGGCTGCATCGAGGCTGGGGGGGTGGGGGGAGAGGCGGAGGAGGGGCAGCAGCAGGGACAGGGGCAGGATAAACGACAAGAGGAGGGGAGCGTCACAGCAGTGGCAGTGCCGGTGGAGGCGGCGGAGCCAGGGGCAGGGGCAGCGGGTTCGCGGTTGCGTGGAGTGGCGGGCATGACGGTGTGCGTCACGGGGGTGCTGCAGGTGGGATGCGTGTGTGTGGGGGGGGGGAGAAGACCCAAGGGGGGTGAGAGGGCGGAGTGGAGATCCGGATTGAGGGAGGGTTAAAGGATGTGGATGTGTGCAAAAAGGGAAGGGCGCACGTGTGTGGAGTGCATGCCTGAGTACATGGCCCTGAGCCCTTCCCTTGGGTTAACCTTCCCTGACCGGCGGAACAAGCCCAAAACTCCCCTAGCTTCCGCGGCCCAACCCCCCCGCCCACCTACTCACCCCTGCGCAGGGCCCCGACGGAGCCGGCATGCAGCGAAGCGAGTTGCAGGTGCGAGGGGGGGATGCGTTTGAGGCGAGCGAGACGGTTGCTTATCTATTGACGGTTGGTTGCCTGCCTACCGGCATTGCGGTATGGTGCTTGAGGCGCTTCGTCCAGCCACCATCTCCACAGCTGCAGCGTCCCTGCCCTTGACTGCCCACCCCCCTTGTTGCGCACCCCGCCCCGCTGCACCCGCTGCGCCCCCACCCACCCCCACCCTCAGGCTCTGCTAGAGGCCGCTGGGGCGGTGTTTCACTCCTCCGTCAAAACATCCACGCAGGTGGGGACTGGGGAGGGGGGCAGAGATATGCCCAAAACCACAGGTTAGGGCAAAGCAATGGGGAGGGAGGCGGTGGGGGCGGGGGAGGCGGCCTGCCATGACGCCTTATCACACGGTTCGTTAGTTGTTGCCTCTCCCCCCCCCCCCTGCTAACCTGCTAACCTGTGGTTTCCTATGGTTTGGTATGGTCTTTGACCCCCCCTGCTCCCCTCCTGCTGCTGCTGCTGCCGTAGCTGCTGGTGGTGGGCGACAAGGCGGGCGGTCGCAAGCCGCAGGACGCAGCGAAGCGAGGTGTGCGGGTGCTGTCGGAGGAGGAGTTCTGGGGGCTGTACGGCAACTGAGATGGTGGCGGCGGCGGCGGTGGTGGCGGTGACGGAGACTTTATGCCACCATGTCCCTTCACTCCCAGGGGCGCACCTGGGTTGCGTCAAAGGTTGGGAGGTTGCATCAAATTGGGGTTTGCGTTGTTTCGGAGCAAGGTGAGGGAGCAGGCTTTGCATGCAAGAATGCATGTATGTGTGCACCGGCCGAATCTATCCCACGCATTATCGCTTTACTTGAGGACGCATGGACTCCCCCCCCTATGTGCTTGCTGCATCATTGCTGTTTATATGGTTGCTTGCGGCTAGGTTAACCACACGCGTAGCTGGGAGCAGCGAGTGGGCTGTAGGGGCGACCTTGTGGTGACTTGGATGGTGCTGTAACGCCCGCGGGAGTGCTTCTGAACTTCACTAGGTCAAGAGTTTGTTGCCAGGTTGTTGCCAGTTGGCGCACATGCAGTTGGAGATGTGTTCCGCGGTGCTGGTGCTAGTGGGGTGTGTGGCGCCACGACCTTCTGGCTACTTAGTTGTTGGCTTTAGACGCCGAGCAGCGACCTGGGTAGCAGCAGCAGCCGAGCAGCGACCTGGGTAGCAGCAGCAGTGAAATAATGTCCCTTGGCAGCTGCTGTCCCCTTACTTCGGCGCTTGCCGTGAGCGTTACAGCCTGCCTGAACAAATAGCTTCTGTAAACTCGGAGGGTTACAGGAGACCAGAAGCACGGAACTACCTTGCAGAAGGACAGGCAACACAAAGGGTAGCCTAGATCCTTGACCGCAACTCCGCAAGTGGCGGGCGAGGGTATATAGTGCAGATGAGCGGAATGTGGAGGAGACGGTGAGAGAGGTTGGAGGAGGAGATGAGGGCCGATGCTGCTGCTTGCAGTGCGGTACGGGTATGCAGGTATCGAGGTGTGGCGCTGGGTTATGCAGACTGACAGAACAGTGCAAGGGAGGATGGAGGGTCGAGAGGAAGCGGCGAGCTTACATGGTCGTTGGCGCAAAAGGCAGGAAACCAACAACACGTCCCAAACGCCGTCACGACAAAAAAAGAGATGGCACCAGGCACCGGCAGGCCAGCCTGTGGTGGGGAAGCAACACAGCAGCAGCAGCTACGAGAACCTTTCCAAACGGCTGCTGGAGAGACATTATCACAACTGTACAAGGGCAACTGTGCCGACAGGCAGGGACTGCAGACAGGAACACCCCTATGTATACACCGCTCAAGCACCGGTGCATGTTGTAACAAAAGAAGAAGGGTGGACCTGCAATCCAACAACAACCCAGAGCATGGAAACCAGGACGTACTCAGATATCCCCCAGCCCTCTCTATGTGAATAAATATTCGTTACAAAGGTTCCCTAAAAGGGAACACGGGTACATGTATGAAAGGGAAAGTCAGGAAGTAGAGAGAAGGGAACTGAAAGGCAAGACACACACGCACTGCGTACGGTAACCACATCTATCCCAGCCAACTCGGCTGATTGGCAGTGACCCATGGGTCACCCAGGCCACCAGATATGGAGTTTGTAGTCACCAAAGGCCGCATTGCGGCGGCCCTGGCATCCTCGTCCTATACACAGCGTCCCAGACAAAAAACAGGAAAAACGGTTGGTATGATAGAGCAAGAGAAAACACGTACACGTATCATAGTCACGAGCACTAACCCGTCATCAGCGTCCCTCCGAACGCCCGCTTATATGGGTTCCGTATTGGAGTCAAACACATCATCCATCCGCATGGCGCACACACACACAGATATCCATGGAACTCGAGATCCAATGGCATGGGGCACACATCATCCCGGACTCGATCCGTTGTAGCAAACACAACATGTCTACGTCATGATGCTCATTCACAGGAACTCACATTCCCAATCGCCCATGCCCCCACCCCATCAAGTGTCTTCCTCATTACCCCCCTCTCCTCCTTCGAGCTCCAAAATTGCGGTCACGCCACCGCACACACGAGTGGCCTCTCTCTCCTGCACACGTCATTATAAGCGCCGCCAGCAGGTCTGCCCATACGACCCACGCGACCCATGGGTCATCATCATGGTCCTGAGGGATAATCAATTCATCCTCGCAGTCAAATATCCCCACCACACAGCCATCCCACATATGTTGAGAATAGCACACATAGCTATTAATAGGCCCTGATACCGCATCCATATAAGGAAAAGTTTCATAAATGCGGAAGAGAGACAACTGTGATGAATCCCCTCGTGCCACGACGCTCACGTACCACGTCTTGCAACCGTTCCGCCCTACCTTCCTTTCAGCCGGTCCCTACCTCAACAACTATATGATTCAATCAATTGAGGAGCCCAGGCCGCACCCATAAAATGCCGAATCCCGTTTCCCCAGCAAGGGACGGCTCCTGCAGTCTCGCTTCCTACATGCCTGCTCGGTGCCTGGTGCCTGCACCATTCCTCCTGGGGCGAAGCAAGACTCCTCCTCACCCTATTCCAGACTAGTCGATACTGCCATTTCTCACGGCCTCCCCTCATGGGACAGTTCCTGCACAACAGCATCCTGCTTTCCCTCTTTCCTTCCCCCGCCCCCAGGCCTCTTTCTCTCTCTCTCTCTCCAACCCCCCTCCTGTCCCCCTCGCCCCTATCCACTTGTATCAGTGGCCCCGCCGCCCCTGCTGCTGGGCCGCTCGACCCTCCTTCCCGCCTTTCGATGCCGATGTAGCAGCAACAGCTGTCGGTTGCGTTCCGGTGGTTGCGGGTGCCGTTGTCGTACAGTTACCCCAAATGCCAGTCGCTCCACTGGACCTCCTGCCAGCGCCGCAGTGGTGCAGGTGCCACTTGATGTGTCCGGGGTCCCTGTCGTCCTCCTTCAGGACAGCTGCGGAGTGCGGGGGAGGGGGCGCAAAGCAGGGGGAGATATGGGGCAGCGTGAAGGCGGGATTAGCTGACTTGGCCGTTGTTGTGTGAGGGCTGATGTGTATCCGTTACATGCTCTTACATCTATGGCCGCAGCAGCTCCCTTGCAGTTCATGCAGTACAAACGCAAACAGAACACGGCGGTGTTTGGCAAGCATCCAAGAAGCACACATAGAGCAAAACAAGAAGCACAAAAGAAGTAAAGAAGGAGCGAACAAGCAATGGTAAACGCGGCTCAAAACTACGGCCCCAGCAATTCAGACCCGCGCTCACCTCTCAGCCGTTCCTGCTCCATCTTAACCCGATCCACCGGCGCCTCCTCCTCCTCCTCCTGCTCCTCGTCTTCAGAGTCGGCTCCCTCCGCCAAATACCCCCAGCAGTTGAGTTCAGCGTGCCAACCACCTTCCCGGGAGAAACTGGGGCTGCGACTGTTGGCCTTACTGGTGCAGTTGCTGATGCTGCGGCTCTTGTTCTTGATGCTGCCGCTGTCTAGGTTGCCGTCCTTGCTCACGCGGTCCTTGTTGCAGGCGTTGTACGCATCAGCCAGCAGGGAATCCAGGCTGCTGTCCAGCCCCCCAGCGGACTTGATCTGCGGGTTTCAGCATTGTCATTAGCAGGATGTCAGGGTACGAGTTGCACAGGATATACAGTGCCGTCCCCGCCCCTGCAGGTGCTCCCATGATGCAACTTGCATGCACCGGTGTGGCGGCATCCTCCCGGTAAAAGACCCAACACCCCCAAACACCTACACCAAAACACCCAGCACTCACTCAAGAGCTCACCCGCATTTTCCCCGTCCTCAAGTGCGCTCCCGTCGCCGCAATGCGTTGACTCGCGACCAAGCTGTCCCGACAGAACAGCGCCTCAACCGCCTCCTGCAAACTGCGTCCGCCACAGCCGCCGGCACAAGCGATCTCCTCCGCCTCCGCCTCAGCCTCAGCCACAGCCGCCAGCGCTGCTTCCTTCAGCTGCAGCATCCCGCACATAAAGGGCGGCTGATCGCCGCCCTCATCCCCGCTGTACCCGTCATAGCAGCCGCTCTTGTACCCGTCGCTACTCCTGTTCTTGTAGCCGTTATCGTTGTAGCCGTTGATGAGTCCGCCGCCACCTCCGTAACCGGCCCCAGGTGGGGTTGATGATGCGGGGCTGAGGGTTGCAACCCCTGCTGTAGCTGGTACGGCGCCATTTCCCCGGCCGTTCTCGCCCTCCTCCCATGCAATGGCCGCAGCACTACCCGTACTGCCCCCACCAGCAGCCGCAGCAGTAGCAGTAGCCGCATCCGTTGCAGCTGATTGGGGTGCCCAGGTAATGGTGGTATGCCTCGTGGCTTCTCCCACTCCCCCCTCGCTCCGGCTTCCAACCCGAGCCACAGACCGCAGCAAAGCATCAGCCTTGCCTCCCACAACCGCCTTTGCGCCCGCCGGCTCCGCCCTTCCCTCGATCACCGCGCCTCCGCACGCCCATGCGGTCCTGTGAGCCCCCGTCTCGCTGCCCCTCGAAGACCCCAGCGACGGTGGGGGTGCTGGGGGTGCTGGGCCCATAAGCTGCATAAACAGAGGCATCACGGAGGCGCCTGGCGCTGCGGGCGAGGCTGGTGAGACAGCTCTTGCGGCTGCTGCTGCTGCGGCTTGTGGTGGCGGAGAGGGGGCTTGCGGCGGCGGAGAGGAGGCTTGCATGGGGGGCGCCGGTGATGATGCCGAGTCACTTGGGGAAAGTGGCGGTGGTGGTGGCGGTGTTAGAGGAGGGTGCGGCTGCGGCGGGTGCGGCTGCTTCCCAGGCACGGCGCTCAGCCTCCGGGGCGATAGCTGGACGCTGCCTTCACACGTGGAGGCTCGCCGCTTGGTTGATGAGTCCGCAAAGGTAGGACTAAAACGCGGGCTGAAGGCCGTGAAGCGTGAGGCGTCTTGCGAGCCCTCTACAAAGCTGGCAGGGGCGGTCGCGGGCGGTTTGGGCAGGTGTTTGTAGCTCAGTGCGGCATCCGCTGCAGCCACGGCAGCCGCTGCAATGGATTCGATTGAGTCCTCGTCGCCCTCTGTGGAGCTGAATCGGACACGGAAGGAGGTCGCGTCACCACGGCAGGGGTGGTTTGGCGTCATGCAGAAGCTCCGCTCATGGCCAGGTTGCCATGACAGGGAGCCCGCGGAAGCCTCAACACAGGGCGCTGGGGGCGCCGTGGGATCTGGAATGGCACCGCCAGCCGCTTCAGAGGACGATCCCGGCTGTTCATATCCACCGCCCGTGCCTGTACGGCGACGCAACATGCGCCCCTGCTGCGGCTGCTGCGGCGGGTGCGGTTGTTGCTGATCCCCTGCAGCAGCGGCAGAGGCTTCCGCTTCCCCTTCCGAATCCTCCATGGTCCTGGCCAGCTGCACAGCCATGCCAAGTGCAGTTGAAACACCGTCGGCAGCACGGGCGCCACTGCCGCCATTGCCGCCGTTGCCAACCCCCTCGCTGGCGCTGCCGCCGCCGCTGCTGCCCCGCAAACGGCCCCCACGAAGACATCCGTCCGCACTGCTCCGCGGGTGATACTGATGAACCGCTCCTGCTGGCATTGCTGCCCCTGCTGCTCCCGTTGCTCCCGTCTTTCGGTTATGGCAGCCACTCTCTCCACATCCCATGACGCCCCTGCCCCCGCCCACACTGCCGCCTCCACCTCCGCTCCCGCTGCCGGTGCTGCTGCCTCGGCGGCTACCTCCGTACTCGCCCCTAGCCGACCCGCTGCGGCCCCCCTCGAACCGCAGTGCAGGGCGGTGTGGGGGCGACGGAGGCGGATGCGGGTGTGCTGCTGTCCCTGGCTGGCCGTCCCTGTCCCCGACTCCGCTTTGTTGCCTTAGGATGGCGTGTCGTACCGCGTCATAGGTATCCATGTTGTGTTTGTAGCGAGTGGGCGTGGTGGGGGACCTGGGCGGCGAGTGGGGCGGTGTCGCACCGTGGAGGCGCGTTGAAGCGGGACGATGAGGGCTGCTGGCGCCACCCCGGCTACAGCCGCCACCGCCGCCGCCACCGCCACCGTTCACGCTGCCGCCGCTGCCGCTGCTGCTGCTCCTTGGCAGCGCCGTTCCACCGCTGCACCCAACTTTGCAGGGCTCGGGGACAAGCGGAGATACAGGTCTCGAGCCTCCCGCCAAGCCCAGGATAGGCCCTCGCGCTGCGCCAGGCCGCTGAGCTGCCGCCCCTGCAGCCCAGCTGTCCGCGGCGCCGCCACCGCCGCTGCATGAGCCTCTGGTGGAAGCAGCGAAGCCGCCGGCGCTACTTGTGGCGGTGTTTCCTGCCGCAGAGGCGGAGGCGCAGGCCATCGAGGCAGCTAGACCCTGGGGTCTGAGGCTGCTGCGCCGGCGGCCCGCGTTATCCACTAGGACCTTGTTAATGAGCGAGCTGACGGCTCGTACGTCGGCGACTCGTGGCGCCTGAGGCGGCGGCATTGACGACGCGCCGCCGCCGCCGCCGCCGTTGAGGTAGTGCGACGCCGCAATGGTGGCTGTGGCCCGTTCCCTGGCGGCGGTGGCTGAGGGAGTGAGGGCTGCGCTGGGAACTGTGGTGGCTGCAGGGTGGCAGCAGGCGGTGGTGGCGGGTGCGGAGTGACGGAGCCAGGGAGCAGGCGTGTTGGGGCTGAAGCCGCTGGGCCTGTTGCTGGTGGCAGTGGTGTTGCTGGTGTATTTGCCAGCAGTGCAGGGAGCAGTGCTGCTTAGGGGAGTCTGGGGTTTGTGGTTTAAGGAACAGATGTTGGCGCCCATGGCAGGAGCTTGGCGATGAGTTTGTGAAAGTCGCTGCGGCGACATTGCCGGTGATTGAGGCGCGGATTGGATTGTGGTTGGGTTGCTTGTTGCCGTCACTGCGACGTCCAATTTGCTGAGCATCCAGCAAGTTTGCCCGCGGAATGTATCTGATGGTGACGAGGCGCGTTTTGCAATAGTGGGCAGTCCATGGAGGAGTTGATACCGCAGAGCGCTTTGTATGCCAAGCTGAATAATCTCCTGGTTGCTGTTGTTAGCTGCTGCTTGCGGCGGATGGGCCGAGCGAGTAGTGGCATCGAGTGCCATGACTTTGCAAGCGCTACGCTAATCGCGCTGCCACTGAGCCCTTAAGCAGTATATCGTAAGTGCAGTTGGAGGATGTTAAGAAAGAAGGATGCCGCCAACGCCGTTGCGCGGACGCCTCGTCTCCCGCAAGGAACTGTAGCGCCGAAGCGTCGTCCTAAGCAAACTGACGCTGAGCTTATAAGTTTGGGATAGGATTGTTAAACTGAGTTGTGCATACTAATGTGTGGTTGGAGCAGGTTGGAGCTTAAAATTTGCACGCCTTCAGTGGTGTCGTGTCTAGCTAGTTGGGCGGCTAGGACGTAAGCAGCTCTGTTTTGGCACCATGTATGTATATGTTAATGATCTGTGCAGATGAAGCCAGCAAGTTTCCAGGATGCGTAGAACACAGGTACGGCAGAAGTTCCTGTCCTGTCCTCGAATCGTATTGTACTTCAGCGTCCAGCCAGGGCTGCCTGTGGAGGCGCTATCCTTCAATCGGTGGCTTCTAAGATTTAATGTGGACAGCCCCCCAGCATCCTGTAAGTGAGAACCAATCAACCTAACCGCCAACGCCTACATATAACAGAGGTTTTAGGGTTGAGCTCGAAGCTAGCGTCTTGGAGTATGTAGGCATAAGGGGTACCGGCCAAGCACATTTCCCGTTAAGAGGAAAGTGAAGAGGCGTCTTCCCCATACCAGTACAATCGGTTGACGCGGATATGTCCGCTTCAAGCAGCTTCGCGTTTTACAGTCTTTTCAAAGAAGACGAACACAAGGTTTTAGAGCTCCTTTGGCTTACGTGAAGGATGCCCGGCGCACACGTTCGGTCGTCGTTCCTGGTGGTCTCTTACCATGTTCCTAAGCCGCAGCTGAGCTATAGGCTTCTACACCTTACGATTACCTGTATAGTGGTAATGGCTTGGTAAGGAAGGACTGGATGGCCACACAGTGCACAACTGAAATGGAAAGAGTACGGCATTCCACAGTTTGCATGACCTCTCTGTACCCTTTTCTTGTAACGTCAACTCTTCTTTGCAAATTGTGCTTCTAGCAATACCCATGAATGTTTCCGAACATTGCACATTGGAGTAGACGATTTCGTATTGAACGCCTCTTTCATCGCAGCGTCTACTCCTTGGAATGTGAACATTGACCGCAAATATGGAGAAGGGCAGTAAGGCCAAGACACTAGCAACAGCGTCCACACTTCAGAAGGTACACGCTCGCTGCGTGTTGCAAGCTATTGGGTAGACGAAAATGAGAGGACGAAGCCAAACCTTTTGGGGCAATCCAAATACACGTTGTTAACTCAAGCAGAAATGTTTTAGCTTAGGGTGGAAGTTTTTGGTTATTGCAGGTCGTGTGCCCAGCGCCTGAGAGGGACCCCCAAGAGATTTTGAGCAATGGCTGGCGAAAGGTTGGAGAGCAGAAGCGCTACACAAACCATTTGGCAAACGGCTTGCCTTATTACGGTACGCGCAGTACCTTTGTGTGCTATACCATCGGATGCCCTAGCTGACGTCTTGAACTTACCATCTCACTGCTGCAGGAGTCCGCCTCGCCTCGCGCCACGATGTCTTTCGTGCTGAAAACGCAGCTAACTCTCATCGGACTAACGGGCGACAGGTGCTGGACAAGATGTTTGGTCACTTGCGGCCTCACCATGACACGGCACTCGTAGCCGCTCTACAGCATAGAGATGAACAGGAGCTGGAAAACGGACTGGTAAGTTGGTTTGTCACAACCGATAGTCATGTCAACCCCAGTCCGCCATGGCAATCCTCACCAACCGAAACGTGCCTCGTGGAACTTTCCCTGTGCCAGACAATCTTTCCTCTCTTTCCTTTCCTTTCCTCCCTTTATCTCTTCATAGGGCTCCCAGGCGGCCCGGGCCGCCTTTTACCGTCCTAATGTCAGCGCGGCGCTTCATGCCATGGGTGTGGAGGGGCTGTCCTCCGGCGGCGCTCGGAAGCCGCTCCGCCGCATCTCCAGCTCAACCCTGAGCTACATTAGCTTTGGAGGCAGCAGCAGCTGCGCTGGGGAGGAGGCGGGCGGCAGAGTACCTCTGAGGGGTGCGTACCGGCGAAGATGCGGGGATGGGTGACGAGGAGCGGTGTTTCTTAGGACGTACAGTGCGCGGTACAGTGCGGTTTGCAAGGGTGCGACTGTGTGGATGGTGCTAAATGCCTCTGCTAAGACAGGTGCTCGCGGTCTAACTATATATGCGTACATGTGCGCAAAACGAACGTTGTGCAGGTTGCATGAGCTTTCGGTCGGACTACAGCGAGGCGGGCTCGGAAGCTCAGCAGCAGCAGCAGCAGCCGCTGCTGCTGCGACAGCAGCAACCGCAACAATACCAGCAATCGCAGCAGCAGCAGCAGCAACAGCAACAACAAGACCAAGAGCCGCTATCACAGCAGTTAGCAGAACGAAAACCGCCAACACAACCGCCGCAACCGCCCCAGCCGCAAAAGCGGCCCATGTCTCACCGTCACGTTCACCACCCTTCCCATCCCCATTCCCATCAACAGCATCATCAACAGCATCACCATTCTCAACAGCAGCAATCGCAACCGCACACTCAGCAGCAACCACCGTCGCCGCAGCTGCACCTTCAGCCACAGCCACCGCCGTCACCGCCAGCGCAGCAGTACCAGTCACAGCCACCGCCGACGCCGCTCCAGTTGCCGCCCCAGCCACAAGAGGGAGCCATTCACCATCCGGCCAGCAGTACCACCAGTGGTGGCGGCGGCGGCGGAGGTTCGGGCGGCGGCAGCGCCCCAGTCTCTGGCGTGACGGAGGTGCACTGGCCGCAACCGCCGCCGTCCCCGCCGCCTTGCTGTCCTACAAGAGGAGGCGGCGGAGGTGGCGGCTGCGATAGCCCGCGGCTAGCCCACCTCCGAGCCGCAGCCGGCGACGGCATCCCCGCCGTGCCTGCTCACGCCCCAGGCGGAGGCGGCAGCTGTCCGTCGCCACGACAAAGACGTGGCGGAGGCGGAGGCGGCGGCAGCAGCCTTCCAGATGGCAGCACCGGCGTCGACGGCGGCAGTGACGGCGGCGTCAGCGTCAGCAGTCTGTGCACGCCGCTACCGGCCGTCGGCCGACCTCTGCTCACTCCCGAGCCGTCAGCGGCGGGTGCTGCAGCGGCGGGGGCAGGCAGCCAGGAGGGGGGCTGCATGCAGCCGCCTAGGACGCCGCAGGGGCATGGACAGGCGCGGGGGCGAGGAGGAGGAACCGGGGTTCAAGGTGGGGGTCCGCATGCAGAGGTGTGCTCGCAATTGGTGCTGGATGCGGCTGGCTCGTCTGCCGTGACGGAGGCAGCGGGGGCGGCTTGTTCGCAAGAGCAATCTCGCTTGTCTATAACGAGTGGTGAGGCGACGCTGCCCTCCATTGGCGGCGGAAGCGGCGGCGGTGCGAGCAGCACCAGCAGCGGCGGCGGAAGCGGCAGCAGCAGCGGAGGTTGTAGTGAGGTGGGCGGGGTTGCGGGAGGCAAGACAGCCGCCGTTGGGGGAGCACGAACTCGACGGTTGTCCGTAATTGTGACGGACGCCGGAGGTGAGGGCGGCAGCGGGGGCGGAGCCGGCGCGGCACCGCATTCCGTGCCGATGTCGACACGTCCGCCGCGGTTGTCGTACAACGGCACATGTGGCACCGTTGCCAGCGGCGGCGTCGCCGGTGGCGGCGGCCCCGGACGTAACGGCGGTGGCCGCTACAGCCCCGCTGGCTGTAGCTGCGGTGGCGGCAGCGGCGGCGTCACGCCGTCGCTGCCGTACCGAGCGAGCATCGACGGCGCGGGACGCTGCAGTACGGCATCTGACCTGGCGTCTAGCACTTGCAGTCCAGTGCCAACAAACGGAGCCGGCGGCGGGGCGGCGGCGGCGACGCGCGGCATCGGTACAGCACCGGTAGCGCAGCCACAACGGCAGCGCTTCAGCTACACCGGTGACGCCAGGAGCGCTGGCGGCATCGGCGTCGGCGCCGCCGCCGGCGTCGACGTCAGCAGTGGTACGGCAACGGGGCCAGCAGGAGGATTCCTTGCAGGACTGCAATCTCCCGTCCGCTGCACTGGCGGCAGCGGCGTTTCCTCGACTCGTTGTACGACCCCCACTCATGCCGTACCGCTGAGCAACCTAGATGACTTGGCGGCGACGGGGCTGGGCGACGCGATTACGCTGCTGCGCAGCATTCGTAAAGGCACTGGCGGCGGCGCTGGGAAGGGCCATAAAACCGAACCTGGTGGGTTTGACTTGGCGAGGAGTTCGTCGCGAATTAGTGGTGATGCGTGTAGGGACCTCGCCTGGGCGTGTGAGCAAGGCATGCTGGTATGGGAATGGCCGTGTCTGTTGATGATCCGCAGCATGCCACAGCAGCGGCACACAGCACCTGAGACAGACTAGGCACCCCTTACCCTCCCTTACCCTCTCCCCCGAAGGTCTGGCCGGCCTGCTGCCCACGCAGCTGCTGGCGGTCCCGCTGCCTCCTGTGGAACATTGGCAGAGCAACCGGCGGCCCACTTCCGCCATGGACCCCTGCAAGGGAATCCGGTTGGTGGATGCGCCCATGTACGTACTGCCCAGACCGCAGGCGGAGGCGGGGCTGCAGGTGAGCGGAGTGGGCGGAGTGGAGGAGGAAAGAAGAGTACCCAGTGGGCATGGGCCAGGCATGGGCAGGGGCAGGGGCAGGGGCGGGAGGGATGCATGGGGGAATGTGTGTGATCTCCCTCCTCATCTGTCCTAACCTACGGTTTGGTAAGGTCCTCTTTCCCTTCCCGCAAACCCCCCCTGACCTTGCAGCTCAAGATGGTGGCCCACCAGGCGGCCATGCGGGACCTGGTGAAGGCGGAGGGGGCGCCCATGAGCGAGGCGGAGATGGAGGCGGCCAAGCTGCTGGGGCGGCTGGAGCGCAGCGGCGCACGACACCGCAACTTTGGGGACTGTGAGGAGGCGCGGGCGGCGCCGGCAGTAGCAGGGGGGGCGGGGACGGGGGTGCTGGCGGGGTAGGGGGGATATGTAGGGGGGTTGCGGAGCGGCAGCCTGTGGGAGAGGTGTAGGCTACTGCTGCATGTTAGTTGGCGTTGGCGGCATTGGCGCTGTGATCATTATGTGTGCCGCGAGGCCTTTGCCGGTGTGTCATCAGGGTCGAGTGGGTTCAAAGCAGCTGGGGTGCAAAGGGGCTGAGATGGCCTCGAGTGTGTTCGGGGCTGCGGAGGGGCATCGACTCTCCATCCAGCCATTCATCGGGTGCAGAGCTGGAGAGCTGCAGACAGGGGGTAAAGGCGTCTACCAAAGCATATTCGGCGGTTCGGCGGTGCCGTGTCGTGTTTCGTGCTGAGTAAAGGGATGATGACTGGTTGTATGTTGAATAACAGTATTGTACAGACTATAGGATTTTTTCATGCATACCTTGCATTCCTGACATGCGGTCTGCATTCTTGACATGCGGACGGATGTGTCTGTCCTCCCGGAATGTTCTTTGTATCTATTTTGGTGACGGTTGGGTGGTTGGGTTGTGTGAAACCCCATACCCCAGATCTCTTCATGCATGGGGGCACTCTTGGACATCCCTGGATAACGTTTCGGCGAGGCTTTCCCTGCTGGGCCCCTCTTTTACACATCCGCGAGTGTGCTGCCGGATTGTGCTTGCGGCAATAAAGCCGACCGGTCTTGGTGAGTTGGAGATGCACGATGTGGTATCTGGTATGGAACTGCATGGATTGCATGTCATGTCTCATGTGGCACACCAGATTACGCATACTACTGCATGGGTGACGTTGACGTTGTGTGAGTTGGAGTGGTGCATCGGTATGAGTTGTATGAGTCGGAAGCAAACCTAGCAAAGCCGGCCCCATGTGTGAGGTGGGATGATGACTCATGCAACACCCCTCTTCATCACTATCTTGAAAGGAGGTGCTAAATCTGCAATACACGTTACTTGGGTCGTGGCGGTGTTCGTTCGGAGAGGTTTTGGACTTGAAGGGGCTCTTCTGTGTGATTTCCGGGGCCCTCTTGGGGCTCGAGCGCCATGCTTGTATGCATGCCCTGCTGCAGGCCATGTTGTGCTGGTATCTGACGACGGTGCTGACAAACTTCCAAAAAGTCCCACTGATTTGACCCGACTTGTGTGCAATGGCTGACGAACACGGCACACAAGTGTTGTGTGCCGTGGCCCCTCTTGGCCCCATTGAATGCGGGTTGTGAAGACCTTCCACCTCGGCATCTCCTGAGCATCTCTTCCGAATGCTGCCGAGGCAGCGGCTCCTGACATGGTCCGTGGCGACCGTACGGCACCGTCCCTTGACAGCGTTGTCTTGTCGTGCACGCTGTGCAGCACACACACCGCATTGGCAGCTTACAAGCAGATACAATCCTAGAACCCAACCTGGTACCTAACTAACTAAGCAAAACCTTCAACCGCACCTAAGCCTTCCCCCCTTAAGAACCACGCACCGAAGAAGTTGTGGATGAATGTGCATGTGTCTCTTCCCAGCTACCGCCACCAGCAAACATGACAACAAAATAGCAGCCTAGTCCCAAGGGGCCATGCAAAGGGACCCTTTACATGTGCAGAATGTCTCGCGTCCATGCGGCATGTCCTGCCGGCTGTGACGCGCACATGTGGCATGGTCCCGCCAGCTGTAAAAACGTTTGACCTCCTGGCATCAGACAGTTGCACGGCTTACCTCCTGACATGGGCTTCACCCCATGGTGCCCTCACGCCACACCCACACACTAATACCCCAGCCCATGTCACCCCATGACGACACGTCACCACCACCATCACCCCCCCCCTTCGTCACCCTAGCGCCCCCCACCGCTCCTTTTGCCCAGCAGCGCCGCCCTCTCTCCCTCTCCCTCCTTGTACCCCTCCTTCTGCCCCTCCCCCTCCTCAGCACCCGCACCCGCACCGGCCCGACTGCTCACCGGAACACCCGTCATCACCCCGCCAGTACCGCTACCCTCCACATCGCCAGTCGCAACAACCACCGAAACCGCTGCCGCACTGGCCCCGTTGTTGCTGCCGCTGCTGCCGTTGTTGGTTGGAAGCAGGGCGCCGTTACCGTTAGGTACAGCAACCACCAGGACTCCCGCGGGAGCCGAGCCGTGGTGGTTGTGGTGGTTGCAGTTACCGTTACCGTTGCCACTGCTGCCGTACTGACCGTTGACGGCGTTACCGTTGTCGTACATGTCAGCCCCCGCGACTCCTCCCCCCGCTGCCGCCGCCGCATGCTCCTCGTATACGTTGGCGCAATCAAAGTGCATTTCCTCAAACTCCATCCACCCGCGCGCCTTGGCAAACTGTGAGGAAGGGAGCACGTGTGTGGGGGCAGGGGTTGACGTTGTTGCTATAATACAAGATCAGATCAGGAGTGCGGGCAGCAGGCGGCAGCAGTGGAGAGACGGGCGGGTGTCAAAACCGCCCCACGGGCGCTGAAGGCTACCTTCACCTCCTCCACCACTCCTGCTGCTGCACACCCCTGACTGCGCTTCGAAAATATTAGGACCCTAACCCCCTCCATTGTCTAGCCGTTAAGCCCCTAACCCCTTCATCCCTCCACGGTAAGGGAATGGCCACAGCATGTGTATGGCCACAGTGCCAACCTGTCTTGGGGCGGTCCGCCGCTGCCCTGTCCCCATGGCATTTGCCCTACACGTTTGAACGGGCTTGGTATTTCTCCAACCTCCTACCGCCCCTCCTCCTTCCTAAAACAACATACCAGTATTATGCAGCCTTGTTAGCCTTCCCTCTAAGCCAAGCCATGTGTCTTCCTCGTGCGTGCGGTTGCTCAGCAGTTGCTCAGCTGCACCCCACTCCACCCTCCCTCCCTTACCTGCAGTGCGGGGTACATGACGAACCCCAGTGCCACCGCCCCCAGCGTCCAGGCCACCGTGGGCAGGTCGCGGTTGATGAAGGGCAGCGCCAGCACCACCAGCAGCAGCAGCGAGGCGGGCAGCAGCATCAGGATGAGGCCCCACACGGGCAGGGGAACCCTGAGGGGTTGTGTGTGGGGGGGGGAGTGTAGAGGGGGATGAGGAGAGGGGGACGAGGAGAGGGGGACGAGGAGAGGATGGAGAAGCAGCGGAGTGGAGAGGGAAGGGTCAGGCCACTCAGGCGCCTACCGTGCTCACCAGCACCCCAACTGCCCAACAGCACACATATACACCCCACGTTTTCTTAACACACCCTGCGTGCACCCTCCCGTGCAACAAGCCACTCGCTCTCCACCCTCCCCACTCCCCACTCCCCACTCCCCACTCCCCACTCCCCACTCCCCACTCCCCACTCCCCACTCCCCACTCCCCACTCCCCACTCCCCACTCCCCACTCCCCACTCCCCACTCCCCACTCCCCACTCCCCACTCCCCACTCCCCACTCCCCACTCCCCACTCCCACTCCCCACTCCCCACTCCCCACTCCCCACTCCCCACTCCCCACTCCCCACTCCCCACTCCCCACTCCCCACTCCCCACTCCCCACTCCCCACCCCACCCCCTCACCTGTACGGTCGCGGCAGGTCAGGCCGCTTCACCCGCAGCCACACATAGGCCGCAAACTCCAGCAACTCCGCCAGGCAGTAGATCGCGTTCAGCAGCGTCACGATCTCCACGAACGACATGCTGGCCAGGCACAGCACGCCCAGCGAGCTCAGCAGGATGCCGTACACGGGGGTGCCGTGCACGCTGCGGCGCCCCAGCGCGCGCGGCAGGAAGCCGCGTTCCGCCATGCCCTGCACCTGGTATGAGTCGGAGGCCATCTCGGCTTGGTACTGCCCCACCTGGCTGCACGCGGCGGCCACCACGATCCAGGCGGCCAGCCAGGAACCGCCCACCTGGGGTTGGGTGGGTGGGGATAGGGTGGGGTAATTTGGAAACAGAATCCGCATTACGCTGGATAGTTGGGGTAGCAAATAACTGTAGTTGTTGTATAGTTAGTAAGGAAGGGAGGGGGGGGTAAGACCTACAGGTATACGTTTGCGCCCCCGCCGCCGCCGCTTTCCGTTCGCACCGTCGAAACACCTGCAATGACCCATGAGCCAATGACCCATGCCTGCCTCCCTCCCCTTCCCTCTCCGCACCCCACCCACGTACCCCCATGCCCCCTAACTAACCCGCGTCCCATCCCCGGGCCCCGTTGAACTACCCTCCCATGCACCCCAACCCAACATCTGTTTCTTCCTCCCTCCCGCCCCCACCTCCACCCCTCAACACTCTGAAATGTGGCACACTGCCCCCCATCCTTTCCGAATCCCTTTGCCCTAACCTGTGGTGCCTTCCTATGATATGGTACGGCCTTTGACCCCAAACCCCTCCCCCCCACCTTCTGCGCCACCGTTCCATAGTACCCCAGCGTCCATTCCCCGCCCCCGCCCCCCAGCACTCCCAGCGCTGCGGCAGTAGGCAGCAGGTACATCGCCACCACCAGCAGCACCGCCAGCAGCAGCGCGCGGGGGAAGGTGCGGCCGGGGTCGCGAACCTCACCCGCCAGCGTGGACACGGAGTCCCAGTAGTTGAGGTTCCTGCAGAGAGGGAGGAGAGGAAGGGGGTTCCAAAACCTCGAAATTGGAAACCTTTGGTCAACATGCCCAGCCGCGTTATGGTTGATAACTTACACCACCGTCACGCATGCATGTGCTCCGCCAGTAGTATTGAGACATCAAAAAAGAGAAGCATTCCATTCAACCCTCTTGGATGACTCCACATCTCTCACCAAGGCGCGCAGAAACGCACACCAGAGGCGCCCCAACCGCGCCCCAAACCCCTAGACTCCAACACCCCTAGACCCCTAAACACCCCACCCCCCAGCCTCCCAAATACCCTCCCCCTCCCCACCAGAACATGACGTTCAGAAAGGTGGGCCAATCCACCGAATCCCAATCCACACGCACGTAGTTGGACATCTGGGAGGGGAAGGGGGGGGAGGGCAGCGGGGTGGGGGGCAGGGCAGGGAGGGAGAGGGGATGGCAGGAGAGGGAGCAGCAGCGGAGCGGAATGAGACCCACGAACCCTTCCAACCCGGGTTGGGGGCCTGCACTTCCAGGACCCGGCTGGTGTTGGGCGACACCGCAACGGCGCCTGCAACAACTGACACCCCTTCCTAGTGCTTCCCTACTAGTGTTCCCCTCCCCACCCACCCACTCGTTGTTTCACTTATATAATTCTCCCCACCCACCCCCCGCCTCCTAAACCCATTGCTTCGCCCTAACGTTTTGGTTTCCTGTGGATCGGTCTTTGACCAGTTTACGTTTCCGTAACACACCTGCAGGTGCGGCAGGCACAGCACGCACAGCACGCCGAAGGGCAGCAGGATTGCGAGGCTGGAGGTGACCACCGCGTGACCCACCACCGTGAGTCCGCGGTAGTTGAGGGCGGACAGCAGCAGCGACATGCCCACCAGGAACACACTGGGGAAGAGAGGGGAGGGGGAAAAAAGAAATTCCAAAGTGTGAGGGGGTGAGGGGGGTCAAAGACCATACCGAACCATAGGAAGCCACAGGTTGGGGCAAGACAATGGGGATAGGAGCGGCAGGGTGCCACAAAAACAAGTACGTGCCCCCCCCCCCACCCCTTACACCCTGGGCCCCTCTCCCTGCCCCTCCCTCTCCCTTGCCCCCTGCCCCTGCCCCTCCTCCCTCTCCCTGCCCCTCCTCCCTCCCCTCCCTCCCTCCCTCCCTCCCTCCCCCGGTCGGACTGTGTTGTTGCACTTTTTTATAATCCCCCCCCCGCGTCACTCACACCCGCGGCCAGCCCGACTCCAGCTGCGGGAAGAAGATCTGCAGGTTGGCGGCCAGCATGACGGGGTAGAGCGAGTTGTCCGTCACACCGCTCAGCCAGCTCCACAACCCCTCCTGGAAGCCCCAGAAGGGGCCGAACGCGGCGGTCACCCAGGCAACGTAGCCGCTAGCGGGGGAAGGGGGGGGGTGAGAGAGGAGGGAGGGGGAGGTGAGGGCACGGATGCAGGTGAGGGAGGGGAAGAACACAAGAAGCCAAGAGAAGGAGGGGCAGGCAGGGAGGGGAGACGGGGAAGGTGAGGGGGTCGAGGGAAGAGCGGGGGAAGGAGGGCAGATGGGCATGCAACTGCACGCTACTCAGCTCACATCCCCCAAGCCGTGGCATACACACATGCGAATCCCACCAGACGGCTTGCGCCCCCTTACCCTCCCCCTCCCCCCCCAGGCTCCCCCCTTGTTTTACCCCACCTGTTCTCCGGGAATGCGGTTGCCAGCTCGGCCGTGATGAGCGCCTCGGGCACCGACCACAGCAGCGGGAACAGCAGGAAACCCAGGATGGTCAGCAGCGGACCCGCGGCGGACACGGCGTCCTGGATGGGGGAGGAGGAGGGGGGAAGTGGGAAGAGGTTGGAGAGGGTGAAGAGGGTGGGTTGGCGGGAGTGGGGAGGAGAGTGGGAAAGAGGTGCAGCAGGCTGGGGGCGGTAACGGAGTTGCGGAAGAAGCCCGGGCTAGCAGGTGAAAAAGCCGTTGAGCCAACAGATTGCGGGAGGAAATTTTTTTTCGCGTCATCCCAGCTCTGTGCTGTGTTACCTCTGTGCCAAAGGGGCCACCGCTGACTTCGAAAAAGATGAGCGTAACCAGCGGCAGCAGCCCCAGCGTGCGGACATGGCCCGGCTCGCCAGGCGGTCGGTGGTGGGTTTGGCCGCCGTAGCCCATAACGCCCTCATCGACGTGTTTTGGGCTTTCCGGCGCGATGAGCGGCACCGTGGGATCGTTTGTGAGGTCAGCCATGGCGACGCGGATTCAGGCAACCGCTGTGGGCTAGGCCTCTCCGCGACAGTGCCTCAGTTCAGAAAGCTTTGAAGCTAATAACTAAAGAGTGAGAATGGGTTCTCGTATGTTATCTTGAGAGCGTTGTGTTAGAAACAGCGGCAAAATGCTGGCGGCGAGTTATGGACTAGCCAGGGGAGGGCCCCGGCGACCTATGCTAGGAGCCTTCCATACGCGGCACAATCGATTTGTAAAAAACACTATCTAACCGCGGCTTAGCTGTGCTTAACAGAACGCATCCAAGCCCTACTTCTTGCAGTTAGCCAGGATAAAGCAGCAAATGGCGTGCTTGGAAAGCTGGATTAATAGAATGGGTTAAGAATATGACGGACGGCTATATGGTGGGACGAGGGATCGTATCGGGGAGGAACGATGCAAGGTCCGCGACGGATTGCGCCATCGGATTATTGCATAATTGCGTTGTGTGTCTCTATACTTTGATTCGCTCCCTTTATTGCTATGCCAGATAGCTGGTTCTGAGCTCCTGACCCAACTGAAGGTGCAACATCTAAAGCATCTGTCGCAGAGTGGCCAGGATGGCGCTACACCAACTTGAGGAGCAGTGTTATAGATGCAATCAGCGGCTTTTATTCGCGCCTTGCGGTGATAACCCACGTGCGGGACTATCACGCGTAGTTCAGTCACCCTACACAAGTCAAGGCATACGTCAACGCTCCCAGACACCAGTAAGCACAAGAAAAGGTAGGCATGTCTTGACACTTGTCTTCAGCCCACCTTGTAGCAGCCCAGCAATAAATAACAAACTGAGCGGTCGGCATCCGTTGGCTGGTTGCAAACCTACAATCCACTCATGGCTGCCCACCCCGATCCTACTACTGCTTGGCCTGCAGAGGCGACCTCCAAGCGCAATACCTTTCTCACAGCCCTTAGTCCCCAAGTCCCCACCGTTATCACTCCTCTGCTACCCTGCACCGCAACCCCTTTGTTCACCCTTCCCGCCGCACCCACTTCGCAATGCACCCACCCACCCACCCACCCACTCACCCACTCACCCACTCACCCACTCACCCACTCACCCACTCACCCACTCACCCACTCACCCACTCACCCACTCACCCACTCACCCACTCACCCACTCACCCACTCACCCACTCACCCACTCACCCACCCACCCACCCACCCACCCAAGACCCAACCCAGCCTATGCTCGCTCCTCCCTCCTCGCAGCGGCCGTCCACGCACGCAGCAACCGCAGCTCCCAGTCCTCCACTGCGAGATCCGTAACCCAGCCCCAGCAGCCCCCACAACCACCACCACCACCGCCGCAGAGGCAGGAGCAGGAGCAGCAGCCCCCTGCCACCGCCACCACCTCCGCTCCCCCACTACCACCACCGCAACCTGCTTCTCCCCCACATCCCCCCGCCCCCGCCCCCGCGCCGCCCCTTGCGGGCACGGGTCTCAAGGCAGTGTGGTACGCCGCGGAGCAGTTCGGCAACCTGGCCAGCCTGCTGCGACACAGACCCCAGGCAGGGGGGGACTCGCCTGCTGCGGTAGCCCGTGCAGGGGCGCCAGGGCAGCAGGGGGAAGGGCAGCAGCAGCAGCAGCAGCAGCGGGAAGGGCAGCAGGTGCGAACCGGTGGGCCTGGGTGAGGTGCCTTGGGTTTCGCTTTGCTCCTCCTGGGCTGCCTGTGTTGCTTTGCTGCTGCTGTCGCTGTCGCTGCCCACTCTCCTGCTCCGGTGATCCCCAATACCTGCCGCATCACCCGTCTTCCCCACATCCGGGTCATCTCGCCTTCCCTTCCTGCCCCTTTTCACCTTCGCACCCCAGCAGCCCCAGCAGCCCCACCAGCAGCCCCACAGGCCGCTGACCCGGTCTCAGCTGCTGTCCTGCATCCGCTCCGACTACCAGCAGCAGTACTTTGTGCGGGGGCAGGCGGACATGGCCGCGTACGACCCGGACTGCCTGTTCTCAGGTGGGGGGGAGGTGGGCGCGGGCCGACATGTTACCGATATGTTACCGACATGTTACGAACGCATGGTCTTGCAGCGCACGCACTGTATCCTCCCCTCCAGTTCGTTATGTGCAGCTTGGATTCCTGTGGCCATCACCCCGCACGCCTTCACTCCCCCGCCCCCTCAGACCCCTTCGTCAGCTTCCGAGGCACGGAGCGCTTCAAACGCAATGTGGCCAACCTGGGAGCCCCGCTGTGAGTGCGGCGGGGGAGAAAAAAGATATTCCAATGTGTGGTGTGATAGTGGTACATGTAGCTGACAAGCCCTGATGGAACCAGCCGTGAGTCGAGCCGAAACAGTGTGAACTACCAGGCCTTTTTAACAGCCTTCCTATATCCTAACAACCTAACAAGACAAGTCCTCCCTAAAGTGGTGGAGGCGGGCCGCGGCCTGGGGAGGGAAGTTTGCTGGGAGGCAGTGCGGGGGAGTACGGTAGTAGCGGGTGCGGCTGCCCCCCTCTCCTTCCTCTCTCTCTGGGGGTTTCCTTACCAGTAACACAGGTTCGCAGCGCCATGCTTCTACTAGAGGTACGCATTGCGTCGCTTAAACTGACTCAGTAAACACAAGCACACGCAAATTTGCACCCCGAACTGCCGCCCCAGGTCTGACATCCGTATAGACATCGTGGACTGGGAGGAGGGCCCCGCCTGTCTGACTGCCCGCTGGCGCTTCTCCGCGCTGCTGCCGGGGCTGCCCTGGCGCCCGAGGCTGGCGGCGGCGGGCAGCACAACCCACGTGCTGGACCTGCAGCGGGGGCGCGTGGTGCGACATGAGGAGAGGTGCGGGAGGGGGGAGGAGGGGCTGGGGTGGAAGAGCTGTGTGAGGGGCGGGAGCTACAGGAGAGGCCGGCCGGCCGGAAGACCCCTGTGGTGGGGTGGGTACAAACCTTTAGAAACCGGTAGTACGATGTGTGCGGCACGCTACGGATACACTCGCCTGCTGACAGCACTGCTGCCTGCATGCCACAACAGGAGCGGTGTGGTCGCGAGGTAGGCGCCCTCAGTGATTCCGCGGCTCAGTTTATCCAATCCCTGGCCCCCCCCGGTCCATCAGGTGGGATCTGGAGCCGGGTCGGGTGTTGGTGCGGCTGCTGCGGCCCTCCGCGCCGGTGCCCTCCAACCGCTGGGAGGCCCTCATGATGCCGCTGTCCCGCGGGGATCTGCCCGCCTGCTGGGAGCAGCTCAGTCCGCTGCTGGCGGCCGCAGCGGCGGGGGTGCTGGGGCTGCATGCGGCTGCTGCATGGGGGGCGATGTGGGTCAGGCTGGGAAGCGGGGGAGGGAGTTCCGTTGGGGAGGCTGGCGGGGGCGAGGTATGGCGGGTGTTGTTGCTGGGTGGTGGTGGAGTGGGAGGGGAGGGGGACGTGAGTGCGGTGGTGGTGGGGTGTTGGGTGCTGCTGGCGGCGTGTGGGGTGACGGAGGGGGTCAAATGGGTGCGGCGGGGGAGGAGGAGTGAGTGAGGAGGAGGGCAGAGACGGAGTGCAGGTGTGTGTGCTTTTCTCATGGGCGGTGTCTGGGCAGGATGACCTGTGGCAGCAGAGGGAAGAGAAGTACTTGGTGTGCATTAGCACGGCAAGGAGGTTGTAAGGTATCATCGGTGTGGGGACAAGAGGCAGGACACACCAAATGCCGTTTTTAAATCATTCTCCTCGCCAACTTCGAAAAAAGAATTCCCACTGAGCAAAAAAGATCGGTACGAAAGGAGCCGCATGGTCTTCGTACATACTGCCACGTATGGGGGCATCCTACCTTGCCGTAGTAGATTTCCCGCATGTGTTGCGGTGTGGCTTTGTCAGGACGGCGGGGAATTGCGGCTGCGAGCTGAAACACCATATTGCCAGCCACTCAGCCTAGATACGGTAGTTGGGCGTACTTTTGGAATGAGAATCTTCTACAGCTTACCAAACCCACTCACTAGCTTTCACAGACTTACACAGCCAACAAGGCTGGGACCCTACCAAGCCAATGTCCAGATGGACAGTTAGGCAAGATGCAGTGGCCTCACGGGCTTCGGTGGAAGCTGGGGAGTGGTTCACCTTTTCCAGCTTTCCAGGGTTACGACCGTGCGCTGCACACAAGTCATCATGCAATAGCTGCATTTTAACCCCTGGAGTAGTTGCGCTCGACCCAGTTGTCTCATATCCGATCATGGATGGAAGGTTTACGCAAATCCCATTTTGCTTCGTGCTTACACATTCCTTCGTACGACAGAGCCTCAAGGAAGAGAGGACGTCACCTTTCTATACAGCTTCACGCTTGAACCTCTGCGTACGTGAATAAGTTGACTTGCTGCTTGCTTCCATGCGTTGCGTCTAGCTGTTTGTGTTTGTCAATGAGCCGTTGGACTAAAGAGTAAGGCATTAGCCTAATGCTGGTGCCGGCTTTTCAGCTACATCTTTCTGAGAAGATCCAGCGTGCGCAGGCTACCATCGGTAGATTCGATGGCAAGGTGCCTGCGTTGGCATGCGCGACCCTAGGTGGAAAAGTTTTCCTGCACCAGCCCCACCAACAGGGTGGCGGCAATGATAATCAAATATCATACCTCAACATCAATAAGCAAATATCGTCGGTCGTTTCCGGACGTCTCCAGGGCAGCAAGGATGTTCTACTGGTCGGCACTCCCAGCAACTTGCAGTGCTACGACGTGGACCTGAACCGCGACTTGTTCTACAAGGACGTCCAGGATGGCGTTAACGTCTGTTTGGTGGGGCAATTTGGCACCGTTGACGTGCCGCTGGCACTTGTTGGCGGCAATTGCTCCATCCAGGGCTTCTCCGCTGACGGCAGCGAGAAGTTCTGGACGGTCACGGGTGACAACGTCTCCGCCATGGCCTTCTGCGACGTCGACCAGGACGGCCGCAACGAGCTGCTGGTCGGCTCCGACGACTTCGATGTCCGCATCTTTTGTGGTGAGGACATCATCGCCGAGGTGCCCGAAGCAGACCAGTTCGTGGCGCTAACCGCCGTGGTGGGCCCACGCTTCGGCTACGCGCTCATCAACGGCACCATCGGGCTCTACGATCGGCTTGACCGGGTGTGGCGTGTCAAGTCCAAGCACAGCGTCTGTGCAATCGCATCGTACGACCTCGACGGTGACGGCCTCCCGGAGCTCATCAGCGGCTGGAGCAACGGCCGTATGGAAGTCCGACGCGCAGACACGGGTGAGGTGGTCTACCGTGACCACCTGTCGTGCTCGGTCGCCGCCATCCTCCGCGCGGACTACCGCAACGACGGGCTGGAGCAGGTGGTGGTGTGCGGTGTAGAGGGCGAGGTGCGCGGATACCTGCCGCTGGACCTCGACGTCGCACCCGGGGTGGCGGCGGAGGTGGACTTTTCGGAGCAGCAGGCGGCAGTGGCGGAGTTGGCGCAGCGCAAGCAGGAGCTCATGTATGAGCTGTCGAGCTACGCGAACATGAAGGTGCAGAACACGCAACCAGGACAAGCGGACGGTGTGCACCTCATCCCGTCCGACACGCGCGTGGACTCCTACATCGCCATCAACAAGGATACCTCCTCCTGCGATCTGGTGCTGCGCACCAGCAATGATTCCGCGGTCATCCGTGGCGTGGTGGTGTTTGGCGAGCAGATCTTCGACGAGGAGAGCCTGTTCGTGTACCCCAAGAACCCGGATACCACCCTCGCGGTCCCGCTCAAGCCTCTAAAAGACGTGTCCGTGGTGCTGATGATCAAGGTCCTGGTAGGCGGCCGGACGGCCTCCATGTTCCACGTCTTCGAGCTGGAAATAGAGCTACCCAAGTTCTCCCTGTATGCCGCGGTTGACCGTGGCGCGTACCCGGAGCCCGCCTCCTCCGTCACGTTCTCCGTGTCCGAGCGCATTCCGCGACTCTGCGCCTGGGTCGAGTCGCGCTTCAACCTCAAAGCCACCACCGCCAGCCGGAACGACACGCTGGAAGCCTACTTCCTCTGCCTGCGTGATCGTACCCCGCTGAGCATCAAGGCCGTACCGGTCGGTGGTGCCGTACAGATCACCTTCCGTACAGACAGCATGGACATGGCGGGCGAGCTGGTGGGCGATCTGTCAGCGTACCTGGGCCTTTCGGACCTCAGCTCGACTGCGGAGTTCCCGGCCGCGATGAAGGCCTTCAAGGATGTGCTCAATGCGGTCGACGAACACAACATCACACGGTTGCGCATGAACGCGGACATGGCCGACTCGTCCAACGCCATCAAGCAGCTGATCATTAAAGCCGAAGACGCGCGTATCCTGGGCGACATGAAGGCGATGCGGAAGTACTACCGGCAACTCGCCGACATGAACCGCGACTTGATCGTGGAGCACGACAAGCGCGCGACCAACCACGTGGCGTTGCTGGAGTCGCTGCGGGAGGTGAACCAGATGATCCAGCGCGCCGCGCGGTTGCGGGTGGGTGCGTCCAAGGGCAAGGTGGTGACTGCGTGCCGCGCGGCGATTAAGAATAACAACATGGCGGCGCTGTTTAAGATCATTCGGGATGGAGATGGGCCAGTGTAGTGGGAGGAGGAGGAGGAGGAGGAGAAGGGGGAAGATGAGGAGCGGAGGGAGCAGCCCGGGGTGGGGTGAGTTTGGGGAAGATGGGGGTGGGAAGGGGTTGGGCTTTTGGCTTGGGAGTGTGGACGGATGGGGGGCTGAGAAATATGATGGTAGGCAGGGTGGAAAGAGCGGTGGGGAGAGGGAGTGTGGGGCGAGCAGGTGGATGTCAAGGAGTGCATTGGATACTGGGTAATGCGGCGGGGTTAGGAAGGGGGGGTGTCGCGAGTTAAGGAGTCGCGAATTGAACATTGCATGCATGGGCAGAGGATCATTGGTTGCAGTGAGGGTTCTAGTGCGGATTCGACCTTGCTGGCAGCGACATGTACAGTCTCTTGATGTGTCATACGGCACTGAACTCTTGCGGTGGTGAACTCCTGGAGGCGTTGTTGTTGCGGCATGCGTCTTAGGCTACCTACGCCGTCGGCACATATTGCTGTGGCGGAAGTGGGTGTTGCTTGGAAGGGCCAGACATGTGATATGAACGTGATAGGGAACCTCAGGATTATAAGCCGTCTGGGCCAGACATAGTTAATGGTGTTTGGAACACTGGGCGGTATTGCCCCCATGCTGTTGGCCCACGGAGCATCCTGGAGTGGGGTGATGTCTGTGCGGGTGGGGTTGCGGCTGGTATTGGGATTATTAGCCGCCCTCGGTGTCACGGCATGGATCGTGGATTGTGTACGGCATTATAGCGATGGACGAGCAGGCAGTTTCTTTTGACCGGTACATACGACTTCCCTTGGCGTACGGGATAGCGCACATGGTGTCAATAGGTGTGTCGTACCATGCGTGCGGTCGTACAGTGTCGGTGCTGTAGTACATAGGATTCTTGCGTCCGTGTGACCCATGGGTCCGGTTGTCCAGGTGGCGTGCGTGCAAACAGCAATACGCAAGGCCCTAATGGCAGTTTGGGAGCGGTATTATTAAGGTCTTAACGCACAGTGGGGATCGCCGGGGTACTTGGTTTTTGGGCCGCTACTCAACAGCAACTACCGCAAAAGGGTACGGCATGACCGCACCCTGGCATGTCCCTATGCTGGCACTTAGTAACAAGTTCGGCACCTCCAGATTGCTGGCGCCTCTTAGGTTATCTTCAAACCGCCAATTGCATGCTGCAGCATTGAAGCACCTAGCAACAGCAACACGTGCAGACAAGGTGTTCACCACCACAAGGTGTTCACCAGCGCCATTACGAGCGGCATGGCAAGTTACGACTCCCGCACTGCACTCAAGCGTGCCACAGCTGCTGCATGCAGCCATGCGTGCCTGCCCCAACACCGCTCAGTTTATGTAAGCCCCCACACCGACCCCGGCATTAGTAGTCAGCTCCCATCTCCACATCGGCCTCCACACCCTGGCATTGCGCGCCGTGCAGGAGTGGCCCCTTCAACGCCTCTCCAAACTCTCTTAACCGTATTCCAAGAGTCTCCCCCTGCTGCGCTCTCCTCCCTCCGCTCCCAACGCTGCACAAGATTCCTTCCTAAGTCGCCTGCCGCTTACTTGGCCTTCTCCCAGCCTCCTCCTCCTCCCCACCGCCTGACCCCCGCTCCCCGCTGTTCCCCCCAGCTGCCGCCGCCTCACCGCAGCGGCTCCCGCCACCCGCACCAGCACCGCCTCCACACACCTCCATAGCAGCAGCGGCCGACCCTGACCCCGCCCCATCGCCCTGCTCCTGTTGCCGCCGCTGCTGTTCCTGCGGCTGTTCCTGCTGCTCCTGTGGCTGCTGCTGCTGTGGCTGCTCCTGTTGCGGCTGCGGTGGCGGCAGCGGTTTGGGTGGGGGCACGGCTCGCTTGGCCCAGCTGCGGAAGCCGTATGCGGTGTCTGTGAGGCCGCACAGGAACAGCCACATCTCCACCGGGCCCGAGTCTGCAGCGGGGGGGTACGGCAGCGAGGGGACGTAAGCGGGGTTGGGGGGCTCGATCAGTCAGGGCTGGCTGGGGTAAATTCTCTATTGTGTTGAGGGGCCAACCGAAGTACCCGAAGTGCTCAGGATGGGCGCTCCTGGATGCTGCTGGTACGCGTAAGCAAGGACCAGCAGCCACGCGAGTTGCAGCCACCCGGGTAGCAACCCGACGTGTCAACAAACAACACACGACATGGGCCTGCCATAGGTCGGCACGGTGCCAACTGTCAAGCAAATGGTAAGTTGGGTAAACCCCACCACCTTTTCACCGCCCCCTTGCGCCAACCTCCCCCGCTAACCTCCCATTGCTGCACCCTCCCCTCGCGCCTTTCCTCTTTCTCACCGTGTATCGCCGGGTACAGCACCCGCAGCTTGAACTCCTCCCCCGCGTCACACAGCCGCTCCAGCTGCTGCTGCCACCGCACCGCACTGCCACCACCACCACCACCACCATCACCACCACCACCGCTGGATCCCCGCTGCGGCGGCGGCGGCGGCAGCGGTTGCTGCCCTGGCTGGGGCTGTTGCTTCTGGATCCCCCCCAGGTGCGGCGGCGGCTGGCAGGCGCGCGCGTAGGACTCGGCGCTGAAGTAGGCGCGATCCTGCGGGCCCCAAAGAGTGCAGGAACCCCTGAGAGGCGTTGAGGTGACAGGGTTTTACGTTACCGGTAAACACGCGACACACGTACAGCAAGTGTGTGTGCGGGTTCCGCGCCTGCATGCAGATGGTTGTATCTGACCAGGTACCCAATCAACCACACCACCCGCTACCCCACTTCCACCCAACACGGGCCCCTAAACTTCCCGAACCGAACCCCCAGCCTCCGGTAACCCGGTAAGCCCTCCCGCCCTCCACCACGCTCCTCCCACCCTCCACCCTGCCTCCCGCCTACTACTCCCCTCCTCCCTCTGCCTCCCACCTACTACTCCCCTCCTCCCTCCGCCTCCCACCTATCTACCCAACCTACCACCTCCCACCCCGCCTCCCACACCCACCATGAGGAGCCCGGTGGGTGGCGCCGTGGGCACAGTGAGCTGCTGCCACTGCCGCCCCCCAGCACCCACACCTCCACCTCCACCTCCACCTCCAGCCGGTCGGACCTCCAACGCCGCGCGGATTGCCTCTGGCGGCGCCGCTCGCCGTGCCACCGCCAGCAGCAGCCCCACCGTGCGCCGGATCTGGTGCATTAGGAAGCCGGTGCCCACGAACACAATGCGCACGTAGGGGCAGGGGCTGGACTGGCTGCGCTGTTGCTGTGGGTCGGCCTGATGGGGATGATGATATGCTTGCGGTTCTTGTGCTTCTTGTCGTTGTTGCTGCCCTTGTTGCTGCTGGGGCGGCTGTTCTTGGTGCTGCTGCTGCTGCTGGATTTGTTGGCTGGTTTGTTGGTCTGAGGCCGGGTCGGTAGAGTTGTTGTCGCTTCTGGGGTGGCTGCCGGCGTTGGCGGCCCCCTGCTGCTCCTGCTGCTGCTGCTGCGGTGGTGGTGGTGGAGGTGGTTGCAGGTAGACGGGTCCCTCCGCGAAGGCCTGGTGGATGGTGCGGCGGAGCTGCTGCGGGTCCTCCGCTGGCTGCAGCCACCCGCAGGGGGTCACAGGGGACAACCACAGGGGTCACAGGGGTCACGGGGTCACCAGGACAAACTCAGGCACAGTGCAGCTGGGGTGTAACGTGTAGGTGCTGCTGCGGCCCCCACAGGTGTCATGCCGCCCCGCCCAAGACTCATGCGCCCCCGCAGCCGCTGTTCCCCCCCCGCACCGCACCCCTCACCTCCGATGTGAAGTTGTGGAAGCAGTGCGAGCCCACGAACACGCCCAGCATGAGGTTCAGCCGCTTCAGCTCCAGCGGGGTCAGCTGGAAGGTGCTGCAGGCGATCTCGGACAGCGCTCTCTGGCGGCTGCGCTCGGCGGTGGAGGTGGTGGCGGTGGTGGTGGTGGTGGTGGTGGGGGCGGTGGTGGTGGTGGTAGGGGCGGCGGTGGTGGTGGTGGTAGTGGTGGTGGTGGTAGTGGTGGTGGTGGCGGTGGCGCTGGTAGGGACCTCGGAGGGCTGTTGCGAGGGTGGCGGGTTGCCTTGCTGGGGCTGCTTTTGCTGTTGCGTGTGTTGTTGCTGCTGCTGCAGCTGGGAACGCGGTTTGCCGACTGCGGGGTCGAGAGCCCAAACAGGGACCAGGTACTCGTACCTGGAGGTGGGGGTCAGGGGAGGGCACGCAGAAAGAATACGGCAAGGCGTTAAGGCAAGGCGGCGGCAGGGGGCAGTCAGCTGGCCCACGCACAGAACAGTAGTCACAACGCTTTGTTAAGACCACCAGCATGATCTGCACGGCCGCCCGGAGCGGTCTCAAGCATCGGGCTCCACAACCCCAGTCCGGACACCTCCGCGCTCGCTCCACCCCACCCACCTCCGCCCCCGCGCCACTCGTCTCGCATCAAAGCGCGAGTCCGTCCGTACCGCGCCCCACACCCGCACCGCCGGCGGCAGCGCTGCATTGACGTTCCGGACTAGCGGCTCGAACTCCGCATCACCACCGCCGCTGCCGCCGCCACCGCCGGCTGCCTCAGGTGCGGCGGTGCTGCTGCTGCTGCAACCGGCGGTGGAGGTACGCCACCCGTCCTGTCCCGCGGATGTCTTGGCTGCCGCCGCTTCCGCTTCCGCTGCAGCTGCCGCCCCTGCCCCTGCCGCCGCCGCCCCTGCCCCTGCCGCTGCTGCCGCTGCCGCGGCGCCAGCTGGGACGTCCAGAGCCACGACATTCGCAGCGGCGCTGACCCCCTTGTCCGTACGGGATGTGCGGGTCCAGTTCACCTGCGTGCCTTGAACCCATGTACTGTTACGACAACCATGACTGCGACGCAAATAGTAAGGGACTAATAATAGACGCAAGCGCGGTTCTGGGCACTTGACCTGGCGTACGGAACGGCTAAGAGGGTCCGCTGCGCCTTTTGTCGCTGCTCCTAAGGCTGTTGCTGAGCCAAAGGAGAATCCGGTTCACCGCACTTGACGCTTGGCCCCCCGTCACACAGCCGTTCCCCCGTTCCATCATGCTGCATCCTCCATCCAAGCCGTTAGCTCACTTTATTCAGCGCACCCGCATTTCGCGCCGCGAGGGCCCCTGCCGCCACCAGTGCCCGCTCTAGCTCCTGCTCCACAGTGGGCTTGCCAGCGGAATCTGATTGGCGCTGCAGGCCCTGGTAAGCGCAAGGCAGGGGTTTAGCGTTTGGCAGGAACGTCAGCTTGTTGCAAACAAGCGTTCGCCATGGCGACGATGAACATCCGGTTGGTTGCAGCCGGTTACAGGCAATTTAGGGGAAATACACATGTTAATGTTAATAACCTAAGCGCCTAGCATATAGAAGTCAGTAGCACTACTCGGCTGAGTTCTCCAATCCCAAACAAGGCTGCAATCACTCACATAATAGCTGCCGCCGTCATAGCTGCATACAAATGCCACCCTATTCATCTGAAACGTTTGAGCTCAAGACAAAGGCAGAAGCCGTTAGGCATGTGCTTGCAAAATCGCTAGCAAATTTCGGAGCTGTTTGTACGACAAACGGCAACCCCGCCTGGGGCCCCACCCCTGGAACAACGGCCATCTTTCCCGGAGGTTGATCTGGAGCGTTTGCCTTGATCAGGGCGAACACCTGAGCTTTCCGTTTTGGTCCACCTATGTGCACTACCTTTCCTTGACTCCGTAGGGTGGGAACATTCAGCTTACAGGCATATACTTCGCGCAGCCATGGTTCGACCTTCTCTGTTGTACATCACAATCCTGGCCTTGGCGCCATTTGTCGCCAGGGCCAGCGAGGTAACACCGGTTATTTCGGACGAGCGCGTCGTCTTTCAGACTGAATACGGTGACATTACGTTTGGGTTCTGGCCTGAGGTAAGCTACTACTTTGCCCAAGCAATCGCTTGAGGCTTGAGCCGCACAACCAGATCCTGCATGTTACATGCGACTCTTCCGCATACCCAGGTTGCCCCTGTGACATGCGAGCACATCTTCAAGCTCGTGCGCCTTGGATGTTTTACAAGGTGCGGTTTATATGACGACTTTGGCGGTCTCGGTTGCTGCGCATTTCTCCCAGAATGCCAACAGGCCTGGCCTTCTTGCGACGCAGTAACCATTTCTTCCGCGTGGACAAGGGGTTTGTTGCCCAAACCTCTGACGTGGTTGGCGGTCGCTCGGTGCCGATGAATGCGGAGCAGCAAGAAGAGGCGAGCAAGACTGTCCCGCTGGAGGTAGTGGAGGGCGTGAAGCACCATGCCGGTAAGTACTTGCCGGCGCCGTGCTGATCGCTACCATTCCTCCGCACGAAACGACGAATTTGACCGCTAATACTATAGTTGTTAGGATAGAAGCCGACCAGCTCTGCAGCACTCGGGTTGGATAGTTAGGCAGTTCCGAAAGTCCGCAACCTGAAGTCAACCTGTGCAGTCCGGGCACTCGCAATGCTGACATCTGCAGCTACGCCCTTTCGTAGCTGACACAACCCAGGGCTAGCACTGTGCGGGCCTCTCCGGTCAGGATGCCGGCTAGGATGTGAAGTGCCTCCCTAGACATAGATTTTGCCAGCCTTATTGCTTGAAACCGGAAAAAAGCACCAACATTTCGCCAGCTCTCCTCTTCCCACTGCCGCCACCGCCGCCAATACAGTCGCCATTAAAACGCCGCCCCTGCCGCCGCCTCCGTTGCTGCCACAACCCTTTCACGTTGCCGCCGCCCCCGGTACTGTTCACTGCTGCTCGCCTGTCCTGTTATATGTTGTGCCACGGGCCGCGGTGGGCCCGTACGTCTCCATCACGGTGCCCTCACCGAGTCACATCTTGCCTCGCCCGCACACAACCGGCGCTATAACCGCCACCATCACCGCTGTTGCTGCTGCTGCTACTGTCGATAGTACAATCGCCACTGCAACCATTACACCCGGCCACCACAACCACCACCGCCGCTGTTCGTCACCGCTTGCCCTGCACCCACGTCGTCGTCACACGCACACCTCGGTGCCCAGGTGTGCTGTCCATGGCTCGGGGAGCGAGCAAGAGCAGCGCCCGGTCAAGCTTCTCGGTGCTGTTGGGAGACGCGCCGCACCTGGATATGCAGTATGCGATTTTTGGGTGGGTACGGCGGTGCTGTTACTTGGTTTTCGGCAACGGTATAGGCGTATAGTGGGGAGGGGTTACGGGGGTGGGGAAGAGTGGGGAGTGGCAAGTGGCGGCGCCGGTTGTGGCGATGGCGATGTGGCGGTAAGAAGTTTCGTGGTGGTGGCGGTGGCGGCGGCGGCGGAGCAAAAGCGACAATTGTGTCGGAAGGAATTTTTATGAGCAACGCGAAGGAAACTGGCCTCAAGCCACTCAAGACGGCTAACTAGTAGCCTGCAGTAGTCGGATCCCTATCAAAAGGACCCAGCAACATGAGCAGCACAAAGAGAAACAAGTGGAATCCAATCGAGCATACCTACGCATGCTCCTTACGTTAAATCATGCGATTGAGCATAAAGTGGCTATTCATTATTTCCGCACATGATGCGACGCACCCGCCGCCGCCGCCGCCACCACCCCGCCCTCCCCTGTCCAGGCGTGCTGTCCATGGGTCGCTACGACGACCCCAACTCCGGCGCCTCTAGCTTCAGCATCCTGCTGGGTGACGCGCCGCACTTGGACATGCAGTACACCGCCTTCGCGTTGAGTCTAGGGGTTGCTATAGTTTGCCGGGGTCCATGGTCCGTGTGCAGAGGGCGCTTAGGAGGGCTACGTTTAGTCATTGCAACGCGGTCTGGCATACTGTATAGGCTAGGGAAGTAGGGATGCTCGGTGCTCCAGGGCGCCCTGCGTTACACCCCGCGGTTGCTCCATTGGTTTCTGGCTGCAGCAAGGTGACGGAGGGCATGGAGACTCTGCGGAAGCTGGAGGAGCTTCCCACGCGGCGTGAGGGCATCTTTGGTACGTGGGGGGTGCGGAGGGTAGAGGGCCGGGGGTGTTGGGTTGGTGGCGCAAAACGTGATCATGGGGTTAGCAGAGCTGATCGAATACTTAGCTGGTGTTCTGGTATATAGGTGTCAGATGTGGAGCTCCGTGCTGGTGGAGTGTAAGCGGCATAACCCCGCATTACTGTGCTCGCAACCAAGATGCACACGGTGCCGAAGGAGACAGACGGCTGCCATAGGGAGCACTACCTATCTTATTTACACCTAGCGACTAACTGCCTGCCCAACCGCGTCGCCCATGCCATGGTGGTGCCCCAGTGATGCCGCTGAAGCGCATCACCATCACGGCCACCTACTGGTACCGGGTCAACCACCCGCAGCCGTCGCTTACGCTGCCTGGTAAGCCCTCCTCGGTGCTGAGGTACATGACCCTGCTGCTTTACGAAGGTTCTCCTCATGTAATAAACCAGCAAGCCATGCCGTGAGCGACTCTTTGACCTCCCTTGACCTTGCGTCTGCGCAGGCACCAAGGTCTGTGAGGATGCCCTCAGCGAGCTGACTGTCCGCTTCCGCAGCCAAGGAGAGGAGCTGCAGCGTGTGCGCAAGAAGTGCCTGCCTGCGTGAAGCGCTTGAACGAAAGGGCGTCGGCTGTAAACCCATGGGCTAGGCTGTCACATTAGCTATGTTGTTGACGTTGGAAATGCACGTTTGCGCCCCACATCCATGCGACGGATACTGGTGGACCAGCTAAGATCACCAATAGCTTTCATGTAACACCAAACACCCTGCACTGCTTGGGTTTATCCCCAACGGGAAGGGAGACTGTCTCGCGGTTGTGCTCATACCAGGTTCACGGACCTGAGACATACCCGCCACAAGCCGTGCCCTCCAACGGGTTCCAACAGGGGTCGACTAACAGCGACTTAATTGACTGCCACGACGACCGCAACAGTAGTCCCCGCAAAACTGGGATTGCCGTCCAGCTGAAGTTTAGCGGAGGTTGCAGGCCCCATCACAATCAGATAGACGCAAGTGCCCTCCGCACGTGCAGCAGGCGAAAATCCTGGCATCAGTCCCGCGGTGGCGGGACCGCATACAGCGGCCACGCAAACATAAGCCGCACGCTACCCTGCCATGAGCTACCCACTCCCGTGCATCCAAGCACGGGCGTACAAGTCATAAACCTCGCCTACTGTGGTCAGCGGTTCCACCCCAAAGTCCGCCATAAAACCTTCAGTACACCATTTCCGAGCAAAGCAAACCGACAGACTGCTTTCCACGCTCCGCACACGCACACCATAGTAGTGAGGTTACCCTGACCCTTTCAATGCAAGCTCCACCCCACAATTGCCAAAAGCGTAAAGCGCCATGCACAGGCACATAAGAAGGGTAGGGAGCCAGTACAAGCACACTGCACCGACGCTCCAAGGTTCGCTCCCAACCCCAGATAGCCCCTAACACCCCCAAACTCTCACATGCCACTGCACTAAAGGTCCTACGCTAATAATCCCAGGCCAAGTTCCTCGAGACCAACCCGTAACCCATCACGCACTGCGGCGCGAGTGTTGGTCCAGCAAACACAGATGCTGCCAAAGCGCCCTTGTCATCACAACTCCTAGGCTAAGGCGCCCGCTACAAGCCCGCAGGTAAGTCTTGTTAACATAACGCCGGCTGCTACAGCTTTTCCCACTATCGGCCGATGCCTCGGTCTACAAAGAGGCGGTGCATGGGGTGTCCACGCCAGCTGCTACGGTACGCCAGCTGCAAGGACGCCTCCATGCTGATGCTGGATGAGGTGCTTTATAAGCGCAGGGCAGCCGATGCTCCTGACGCTGCTGTGGCTCCACCTGCGCCGCCCCAACAAGCGCCAGCTGAAAATCAGCCATGCACCCGGCGCCTCACAGCAGCGATGCGCCTGCTGCGCAAAAACCTGCGCCCACTCCAGCTGCGCACTAGCGCCGCCCCTTTTGCTTCGCCTCAGCTGGCTTGAGGATCTGGAGGGATTTTACGAAATAGGTCACAATAGACCATGTTAACGCGGATGTGAGTCAGGGTTTATAGGTTTAATCAACGGTTGGGAACTGGAGGCTAGACAACAGTCCATAAGTGCTAGGACGCAGGACTACATATATATAAGCGGCATATAGCCGGGAGTGCGCTGACCTGGAAAGAGCACATCAGCGTCTCATCCACGCTCATCATCGCGCCAGCGTTCTCGAACTCGCCGCAGTAGTTCGGCGCCGAGAAGATGGTCACGAGCTGCCGCTTCGCGAAAAACTCGTACCCCTCCTCCACGACCTGCAATCAGTCATGTGTCAGACCGCATGTGCCATGCCGCAGAACCAACGCCCACAAACCAAGAAGACTTCCCAACCCACCTGGTGCGCACGGCACACGAGGTCGAGGTCGTGCTTTTGGAGGAATTCCGTGACACAGTCTGGCCCGAACGTGTACGAGACACCGCGATCGTTCTCTCCCCAGCCCTGGATGTCCTTGTCCGGGTCAGCCCACAGGAGGTCGCACAGCAGACCGGAGTCCGGCACATCCGTTGGCCGTGTGATGCGCTTAATCTGCTCCAACGACTTGAGCTCAGGCGACAGGCCACCGTGCATGCAGAGAATCTGCACGTGCAAGTAAGAGGGCCTCAGTGACAACCCGCGAAAAACACGTCCTCGCGGCTGTGCCCACGACTCGCCTTCTCGTCTATGAGGGCAGCCACGGGCAGGCAGTTGAAGCAATCCGTGAATGTCCGCCACAGGCGGATGTTGTATCTCCGCTTGCACTCGTCATAGAAGCCATAGATGCGGTTGATAGACGCGCACTCGTGGTTTCCACGCAACAAGAAGAAGTTTTCGGGATACTTAATCTGCATGAGGAATAGAGAGAACTTATGTAAATTGCGACAAGGTACTCGGAAGAAACGGAATATCGACATGCCGCCTTCCTGGGACCCGCAAGCAGCTTGTAACGAAGGGTACAAGGGTCTAACACGAGCAGAAACTTGACATATAGAATAACAGTTGCTTCCCAGGCACCTTGAAGGAGAGGAGCAAGCAGATGGTCTCCAGGCTCTGCTTGCCGCGGTCCACATAGTCCCCAAGGAACAGGTAGTTAGCTTCCGGAGGAAAGCCACCGTATTCAAAGAGCCGCAGAAGGTCCGAGTACTGGCCGTGGATGTCGCCTGCAGCCGGGGCGGGGCTGGGTTAGGCTTGTGATGGTCGGCGCAGGGCCGTTCGGTCCTGAGCCCTGTTGCGGCCGCCTGCCTCCAAGCTCGACATCGCAGTATCCCACGCTTTGAAAGACGCACCGCAAATTTTGATGGGCGCCTCTAGCTCCAGCAGGTTGGGCTGGCTCATAAAGATCTCCTTGGCCGTCAAGCAAAGCAGGCGAATCTCCTGCTCAGCCAGCTGCACCTGCTTGCCCGGGCGGCCATTCCGCACATCAAGAAGCCTCTCAATAATCTCATCGACCTGAGCAATATCCATTGCTGCTGCCGCGCTGCCGTGCGCTGTGCTATCCTATTGACTAGCTAAAGGATGGGTCCTGGTGCCACTTCGGGCCAACTTCAACTACTGTGCAAACGCCTCCATGGGCCAGGGGACACGCGTTGGTATAATAGCGGTAGCGTTCAAGGGCCGAAGCCCACTCTGAGGCGGCGACAAGTGTGCAGCCCCTGGCCCAAAACTATTATACCCAGCTCGGGCTCAATTGTATTAGCGTGGAGTTGCTGAGTTAGTAAAAGGTCCCAAGGAGGTAGGGGGAAGAGAAAATTTTCTAAGGCCGAACCCTCCAGGGAGCCCGGCACAGCAAATGGTCCTGTCCATTCTGATCGTAGCTCTCGGGTTAGATCGCAGTTTCGCTATACTTTTAATCCTTGGTATCCTTGCGACCTCTACTAATCTTGACGCTGGTTAGGCATCCCGTCGTTGGGAGCTTGGGACCCCGACAAGCACCCTGCTAGCCTAAAACCTTATGACGAAATTAGCCTGCACAACGCAGCTACAATGAAGGAATTCCAAGGCCACCCATAGAAAGAGGCAGCGATACGTTCCCCGACTGCCCTTCTTGGGGTGCTCTCCTTGTTCTTGTAGGACTGCATCGCCCATGTAGCGCACATGCATTCCCTTTACCGTGCTTCTAGTTGAATATAAAACGCATGGGTGCTGCACTAGCGGTTTGAGCACGAACCGCTACCCCTCGCGTAAGAGCTCTGGGTCCTTGATGTGCAACCTATTAAACTAGCCGAAAAGGCTCTCGTTGGCTCAAACCCGATTACGGTGTATTGCACCAAAGCATCCTTGTTCGAGAGCTTTGCAACGGCACCAACCGTTTGAAAAGGAGGAAAGTTCCTGGAAGTTCCAGCACAAACGACCAAATGTAGCAGGGGGAAGACCAACAAACTCTCAGCTGGTCAGTAGCGTTTTCCAGCCCTCGACGGCACATACGGCCCGTTCACTAGCAGAACTGTTAGCCTGAGAGCGCAACTGCCATGCACCAACGACAATGACGTGCACCTGACTCAATCCATGCCAAACGCGTCTCTCTGCGACACAGAAAGCGTCAACCTGCCAGGTCACCGCATGGCAAACCCCCTAAAGCTGGAGCTCCCCTAGCTGCTCCCTCACATGACCATGAGGGCTCGCGCCCGAGGGCCCTTGTGTCCCCCCTGGCGTCCCGAACCCCATCCCGCTGCAGTCACCAACATGTCTGGTAATGAGTTATGACAGCCACCCCAACCCCACGAACAGTTGAGGAACTACCACGTGCCAGCGCACAGGAAGTTAAAGGTATGCTGACAGGAGCCCGAAGCGGACCGAGCGTGAAAGTGCTGGCGAGGCAAACAACATCAACCCAACCACGGCAGTCACAGCACCCAACAGAACAATGCCAAACGTCGCCATACCCAAACGTAGCCACTCGCAAGGAGTTTAACGGCTCCGTAGCAAGGCCGCCTGTCCTCCATTGCACCACCCCACTCGAGCTTTATGCTACGTAACGCCCCCGTCCCCCATAACTTGGCCTCTCATACTGTTCACACCCATCCAATGAGCTGTGCCCCTCACCGCACCCCAGCGGTGTGGCATTGCCCGCCTGCAGCATGCAGCCCCCCACTGCTTTGCCCCTATCGTACAGCACATACCCCTATGCTCTGCGGAAAACGCCATTGCTGCGCCCCGCAAGCCCCCCCGAGCCTCATTCCGCCTCCGCACCTTACCCTCATGCAATGCTATGGCAGACACCGTTCTTCTCTTTCGCCCTGCTCATCAACCAGCCGCCACCATGTTGGAAGGGGAGTGTGCTCCACTTCATGCGTTCGGATGGACACCCATGGGCGACCCATCATGCCACGGCACGGCACCCCGCGATGCGGCTGCACCCTGCGGCACCTGCGCTCCGTTAGGCAGGAACCGCGCCCTGCTGCTGCTGCTGCTGCACGTGCGGCTGCCCCATCTCGTCGTCAATGGCCGCATCCAGGTCCTCATCCCCGTCCGCAAAGCCGTACCTACGGCAGCCAAGAACAACCGCATGGTATAAAATCGGAAGCGTGTCAAGAGTTCGCAGCCCTTTTACCTTTTCCCCCGTGTTGTGTCATGCAAAAGTCATGCAATTTACTCCCCTACCCTCCCAAATGGTCCCAAAACGAAACCCTCCACGCATGCAGCGCGCATGAGGCCAGCAGCCTAGCCTCCGCGCTATCCCCACTTTACCCCCCCCCCCCGAGGGAGTCCACTGCATGAGTCGGATATGGGATTGGGACTCGTTGTTTCACTTATATAATTTTTTCCCCCGAGGGAGTCCAGTTGCTGCACTTCTCATCTCCCGAGCCCCCACCTGTGCTGCGCGGCCGGCAGGACCGCCGAGGCCAGCACCTGGCGGATCTCCTCCACGCTCTGCACGCCCGAGTAGTCGGTGTGCGCCAGGAAGTTGTCGTTCATGGCCAGCGCGTCAGGCGGCAGGTTGGTCAGGAACCAGGGGTGTTGCTGCGAGGAGGACAGGGCGAGGAGGAGGAGGAAGAGAGGGGCGGCGGCATAGGGTGTGTGCGAACGTTAGGACGTTAGGGAAAGGGGACGGCACTACTCCTCCATCCCGTGTTCGCGCTCCCGACCCATTTCTCAGTGCCCTCCCATCTCCCCACCCCACACACCCCTCCCACCTGTATCTGCGCCATGGTGAGGCGGTGCCGCGGGTCCCCCACCAGCAGCTTGCACAGGATGTCCCGGCACTCGGGCGAGATGTCCACGTCGGAGGGGATGCTCCACTCCATGCGCAGGATGCGCTGCATCATGCTGTCCATGCGGGCCTTGCCCTGCGCGGCCCACCGAGGCAAGGGTGCGGGAGGAAGGGATGGGGAAGCGATTGAGAGGCTGGAGAGGATCATCAACCCTGACCCACATCGACCCTGACCCACATCAACCCTGCCCTACCTGCTGGTTCCTGCTGTGCGGGCACTCGAAGGGGTATGCGCCGAATAGCATCACGTACAGCATGACGCCGCAGCTCCAGATGTCTGCCGCCTGGCCCATGTACTGGTCGGTCGCCCGGATCACCTCAGGAGCCATGTAGGCCAGCTGGGAGGGGGGGAGGGAGCAGGGGGCGTCGTGGGGGCAGGACGATGGGATTAAGACCGGATGGAAGGGGGGAAACAGCAGGAGACAGCCAGGCCTGGGGAGCATCTGGTTCCTGTTGCCCACCGTACGGCACAACCGCATCTCTCCTACCGTATAGGGGCGCTCACGCTCCTCACACACACCCCACCCAACCATGCCCACTATGTGGCGTTGCGGCCCCACGTGCTGCCGTCCCGCGCGTTCCTACCGTGCCGACTTTGGACTTGGGCGCAGACATGAAGTGCGCCTTGCTGTAGCCGAAGTCGCAGACCTTGAGCAGCGGCAGCGGCAGGCCGGGCATCATTGTGAGCAGCGTGTTTTCCAGCTTGATGTCGCGGTTTACCACGCCGCGCCGGTGGCAGTAGTCGAGGCCGATGCAGAGCTGCCGGGGGGCGGAGAGGTCGCGGGGTTAGCACGGTGAGTAGGGTTGCAACTCGCAAGGAGGGGGAGGTTGAAGTAACCATGACTAGCCCGACCCAAATGCAGGAACGCCGGAAGGTGTTGGAGAAACCCCAACGCCCGATGTCCCGCACCCCACCTGCTGGAAGAACCAGCGGGCAGCCGGCTCCTTTAGCCGCACAGCGCGTTGCACGTAGCTGAACAGGTTGCCACCCGAGGCATACTCCATGCAGATGCAGATGTACTCGGACGTCAGAAAGACCTCCTTGAACTGTGCAGGCGGATGGGGGGGAAAGACGTTTGGGGACGTGGTGTTAATGCTCGGTGCGGAGCGGATACTGGGGAGCTGATGGGTGAACTTCCCATCGTAGCGCGGCAACTTTGCCTACGCTTGCTAGTGTTGACATGGCATACCCCCGAGCTTTGAGCAAAGATACGCACCTCAATTACGTGCGGATGCCGGAGCATCCGATGGTTCAGGATTTCAGTCTCAACATACTTGTTGACCTTCTCTCCACGTTCAAGAAACTTGATGGCCTGCACAGATTGCATGCTGCTTGCATTATGTTTCTCACAGCCCCGAACGACCCAACCCATCACTTACCACAAGCTCCTGTGGGTTCGTGTCCAGCTTTTTACACAGGTGGACAAACCCGAATGACCCGCTGCTTAACGGTTGCACTGATGCATATCGGGGATGGCCCTGAAGGGGGTCGGGCGTATTCATGCTTCCTTCTGTCTACGCCCTCCTCCGCAGCCTTGGCCGCGGCTTGCGGCTTCCTGTCCTATAGCGATGCTACGTTGCTTATAACGCTGGAAAGGATCTGGGCGTTCCTGTGTGCCGGCAGCAATCCGTCACAGGGACACGATGTCTAACTAACGCTACGAGGCAATGCACCAGCAAATAAACCAAGTTACTAGGCGTCGGAAATCCCAAGAACTCAAAGAGCTTTTGTCGTTAAGGAAGCCGACCGCAGCTAGAAGTTAAGCTGTCACAAGACGGTTGCAGCAGGGATCAATACATGGGAACGACGAAGCTCAGTGGGAGTCGTGTAAGCATGCTAGGCCCGTTATAGTTCCGAAGCCAGCTATCGCGGTTTGCGTTCTTGGAAACCTGGTACCGTACAGCCAGCGCATGCCCAGATGGTGCTCGCTTCCATCGTGCATCGATAGGCTGGCCTATGATGCTCAAGGAGCCTTTCACTGGTGCCTAGAAAATGCAACAGTAATACCGTATCATCGGCAGAGTCTCAGCAAATAACCCTACTTCTGAAGCGGGGTGGTGCTCCTGCTTTCACTCCTCTCTTAGTCCCACGTCGGCTTCGAGGAAGTTCCAAAGCAGAAACGCCCCAACTGGCCCCAACCAAAAGATACCATCCGCAACCACTAGCAGGCCAACGGGACGCGGGACCAAGATGCCAGTCCCTTTCCCCTCAAAACACACACAGTTTATCTTTCGGCGATCACAGTGCGTGCCGACTCGAGGCCAATTTTCTTGACACATGCACTGCTGATATCCTGATGCGCATGTAAAGACGCGCATGCCCCTTCAATGACCAGCTAGTGCCATCTAATACTACGTACTTCGCCGCACGAGCAGGCCAACATAGTCCTCAACAATAACGCATATCCTTAAGCCCGCATCCGCGATGCTACTATACTGCTTGGGCAGGATTACCCCTCAAGGGGAAGGAACCATGTCTGCACGGCGTTCACAACCGTCCTCTCATCACGCACACCTCTGCACCCACAGCACTGCAACCCATGATGCAATCCGTTCATGCACGAGCGTAAGACAGACCTGAATCCCACCAAAGGGCGCTTGCATACCGAAAGCAGCGTAGAAAGGCAGACCCTTGCACTCCCCCCTGGCACCACATGGGGGTACCGCGCCACGTGGGACCACAGGGGCTGGTCATCAACTCGACCCCCAACTTATTTCGTCACGAACAACTTATGCATGCCCCAACTCCAGCGTACCCGGAACCCGGTGATTGGTACAAAGCCACTGCCGCCGCCATCAGGGGAAAAGAAGGATACCCCATGTGTTGAATGAGGATGGCAAGCAAGCTGACGAGCGCCAAGCTGATGGTGGGGAAAAGAAGGATACCCCATGTGTTGAATGAGGATGGCAAGCAAGCTGACGAGCGCCAAGCTGATGGTGGGGAAAAGAAGGATACCCCATGTGTTGAATGATGCTAGCAAACAAGCTGACGAGCTCCAAGCTGGGGGGGGGGGGGCGTCTGCTGGCTGCATGCACTTCAGCCGCCGCCGCAACAGCCGCCCGCATGGGGGCCAAGGATGATGTCCAGCGGGCCACCCTGGGGCTCGGTGCTGCCTTGGGAGCCGCGCCTCCAGGATGCAGTACTAGTACCAGTTCGTTGCATGTCACATGTTTTGGTGCACCGGTTCCCAACAAGGCGCGGCGTACGTATGTCCACATCGGAAAAAAACGGTAACTAGGCGTGCAGTGCCGCGAGTTAAGAAAAACGTCCCCGCCTTCAAAACGTTGTAATACGCGCTCGTCCAATCATCCTACCTAAGGACACATCATCCTACGTTCCCTCCTAAGGACACGTCCCAGCATCAGCGCTCGGTGTTGTTGTTCTGGGCTGTACAGCTCGCACCCATCGTCTCTGTCGCTCCAACCTTCAATTAGCATGCTCCAAACCACCCTTGCAAGCCCTTGACCAGAAGCCCATCAACGAAGAACCTCGGGTCATCTCCCGACCAAACACACCACAGTACCCGCCTTCCTCGCGGCACCGCACCGCACAGAGGCCACCCATCCGCCCGCAATTCAATGTCTTCTTCTTATTTAGCCCTTATCCACCATCCGCCCATCACGTGACACCTCACGGCGCCCAGAGGGTGCCAAGGCTTAAACGGCAAGGCTGCCACCCACCGCCGCTATGCACAAACCGCACCCAGGGACAAGCGGGGGCTTCTAGGTTCGAGCCCAAGAGTGTAAGCCACTCGCGGGCGCGCCTGCTGGCCTGCCCTGACCCGCGCTGTCCTTTGCGACCCATCCATTGAGGTGCATTTCCTGCCGCGGGTGTGCAGGCGGTGACCCATGGGTCGCCCCACGCGCGACTTGCTGTTCCGGTGCGGCTGGGGGCCGTGAGCCTGTGCTGTGTGGGTGCAGTGTTTGCTGCTGCTGGGAGGCGTCGGAGTGAGCGGTGGGCTGGGCGACGGTCGCCAGGACACGGCGAATGTCCTCCTCACTCTGCACCTGGGAGTAGTCTGCGTTGGCCAGGAAGTTGTCATTCATGGCCAGCGCGCCGGCTGGCAGATTGGTCAGGAACCAGGAGTGGTGCTGCGAGGAGGAGACGAGGAGGAGGCGGGAAGCGTGAGGTGGCACATGATGTGGGAAGGTCTAAACACGCTGCTCTTTGCTGGAGTCGATCGCTGCATGCAAGGCCCTTGTTGGCGGACATATCCGGTGAGGCGAGGTCCCTCCCTACGAAAGCGATACCGCCTGCGACAGCAGACCCACCCTGCCCGTCGCCCTACCCCGCACAACACACCACCCCCCAGCCCGCCTGTAACTGCGCCAACGTAATCCGGCACCTCGGGTCCGGAACAAGCAGCTTGCACAGCAGGTCCCGGCACTCGGGTGAGATGTCCACATCAGAGGGGATGCTCCACTCGGCGCGCAGGATGCGCTGCATCATGCTGTCCATGCGGGCCTTGCCCTGTGCATGCGTGACAAGCGGGCCATGCAGGCGTGGGGGTATGGGGGTTATGTGGGTAATGAAGCGGAGGAGGAGGGAGAGGCATACCCGGCCATACTTCCAACCGCTGGCCGGGTCAGGGCGAGACCGCTGGCCGGCCACACATGCGTACATGTCTGCCTGTTTGCATGGGTGCCGCATGGACGGGCGCGCTGGGCGCAAGTGTGCACTTGTGAAATTGCCCGGCTGTGTACGTACTCCAGCCCATACTTCAGCAGGGTGAAGATGCATGCACACCAGTGGTTGGGTAGAGCAGGGAGGCAGCACGCGTGGGTGCTGTGGTAAGGCCGGGCTACCTGCGCGTTTGGATCCCTTACTTGGAGATACCTTGCCCTGCTAGACCACCTGCTGACCTGCGGATTCATGGGCTGCCTGCGGAATGCCCTATCTGTGCGAGCTCAGCTGGTGCCGTGGGGTCACAGGTACACATGCCCTCTCATTCCAGTGTTCATCATAACGGCATGTTCCTTTCCACTGCAAGGGGCTCCGCCCTTCCCAGCTGAGAAAGCTGAAACCCCCTTGTCGATCCGTATGCTGTTTTGCTGGATAGCTGGAGCCAGGCATTCTGAACAACTGGAAAGCAGCTTACACATCCTGCCCTGCCTTTTTAACGTGGCATCCCTGCCGCAAGCATATCCAGGAAAATGGCTAAGGGTTACCCTTGGGTTACCCACAATAACCCGCACCACCAATCGCAGCGGCGCCGCAGCCATGCTGTCGCTGGACTAGTGTTCCTGTCCTGACGCCCTCCTGCTTCGCTACCCATTCCTCTACAGCCACCTTGCTTGCGTTCAGCGGTCCATAGCCGCATAGCAAACACCTACATCACGGAAAACCCCTCTACACACTCGCCTGCTTAATTGCTGCATGGATTTTTGTTTTTTAATGCCAATACCCGATAGTATCTTTCGTTCCCACACCTACGCGCACGCACATAGACGTGGTGTAGCCCAACACGATAAGCACACACAGAGCAATGGCAGGACAGCGCACAAGGGCTTTATGCCCACAACAACACACTCTCGCGGCCAGCAAACACTCGCCACGCGACTTTCACACTGATATGTGCGCCAAGCCCATCAGCGGAAATATTACCCGCATAAGAAATGTGTGCTAGGGAATTGGCTCTGACAATTACCTACGATTGCAACACAGTGGCAGCCTAACAGCTCGGGAACTGGCACGCTTTGCAACACCCGTCATCAAAACAAGACCCAACTCAGCCCTAGGACGTTTGTTGCACCCAGTTTCCCGATTCGCAAACCTCTGCCCCCTGCCGTTGCGGCCCCTTGCAGGCAGCGCGACCCTCCCGGATTTGAGTATGCATGCGTGCGTGCATGCATGCGTGCTGCATGCATGTACATACATGCGTGCCCCGCGCGCCTTCTTGGCCCCACATGCGCAGGCGCTCGCAGGGACGCCCCACCTGCACCCAACGCCCCACCGTACTAGCCATCACCAATCCGCTCCAACCCCTGCCAGGAGACCGGGGCCTTCCCTTCCCTCCCTCCACGTCTCAGCGCGCCTACGCACACCCCTCCCTCCCTCATCTGCGACGCACGCCACCCCCCGGCATCCCAGGCGGGCCTCCCATGCGCCCCATAGCCATGCCGCCGCGCCCCGGCCCATGCCCAGAGTAAGGCCCGCCGTCGTACTGCCCTGCCGGCCCTCCATCCTGACCTCCAAGCAAGTGCAGAAACCGGCACCCGTCGCCATTCCGGCAGCCGCCCGGGGTATTAAAGTACGCGCACACCTTGCTGCTGGGCGGCCCGCCTCCCGGGGGCCCTGACGGCGCCCAGCCGCCGGCCATGGCATGCTGCCCGCCCTGCATGCTGTGCGGGTGCGGCCCCGGGTGACGCATTCCAATCCCTGGCCCCATGATGTGAGGAGGGTGCGAGTGGTGGGGATGCGGCGGACCTAGCGGCATGCCGGAACCCACCGGACCGGGCGGGTCGTCCGACCTGCGCGGCCGCATGAGTGTCGGCTGGCCCTCCTTACGCGGCGGCGGCGGCGGGGGCCCTCCGCCGCCGGGCCCAGGTCCTTGTCCTGGACCGGCTTCGAAGCGGCTGCCTGGTCGCCCCCCCGGCCCGGGAGGCACGCCGCCAGGCCCTGGACCCATGGGTCCAGGATGGGCTGGCGCGGGGCCGCCGTAAGGTATGGGGCCGCCGCCTGGGGGAGCACCTGGCGGCAGCAGCGGCTGATGACCCTGCTGCTGCTGTTGCGCTACCGGTCCGCCGACCAAGCGGGGGTTGGGGTTGGCGCCGTGTGGCTGGGGATGCGACATGGGAAGGGGGTGCGGATGGGGAAGGACGTGCGCCGGCGGTGGTGGGCCTTGCCCGGGCTGAGGACCTGGCACATGCTGCTGCAGCGGCGGCTGTGGTGGCTGCTGCTGCCCCGGCTGTTGCTGTTGCTGCTGCTGCGAGAGGGAGCTGATGAGGCCAGGCAAGGAAGCAACAAGGTCCGGGGAAAGCGTCAACGTCCCTGGGGGACCTCCCGCCGGCTGCTGCTGCTGCGCCACCACGGGCGGCTGCCCCGGAGCGCCCCCGTACGGCGGCGGCACACCGGGACGTGCTCCCACCACCACCGCTGCCGCCGGCTGCTGCTGCTGATGCGACGGCGGCGGCGCTTGGCCCCCGGGTCCGTACATCCCCGGCTGCAGCATGCCCCCCACGGCCGGCGGCGGCAGCACACCTGCAATTCCACCCACAGCAGGCGCGACGCCGGGCACGTTGAGGGGTATGTGCCGTACTCGGTAAAAGTCCGGCTCGGGTTCGTGCGGGGGTTCCGCAGGCGTCGGGGGTATCGTGGAGGGCGAGTAGTAGACAACGCGCGGCGTGCGCTGCCGTGCGTGGGCCTGCACCTCGCGCTCGGTGCTCTCCTCACCCTGCCCCGGCAGCTGCTGCGCGGGAATGGCGCCCAGGTAGAGCTCAGGAGGCTCGGTCCATGGGACGGTGGGACGCAGCGCGGTCCAACGCTCCTGCACAAGAGCAGACGGAGGATACGAATACGGATGAGAAGGAATAAAACCAGAGCGAGTCAGAGCGCGTCAGAATATATACAGGACCGATTCAGGGAGGCGCACACAGGACCCAGGGCGACAAACGTCTGCACCCTCCAGGTAAAAACCCTCCCAATGCCCCCATCATGCGCGTCCGTCCCAGTCCCAGCCTATCCAGGGAGCCCCCAGTAAAAGACACACAATAGCAATGGCCTCCTCCCTTCCGCATCCACACTACCCCTCCCGCCAGCCCTACCCAGTAGTGGTGGGGCCCTTCTCCCTTCCCTTCCCACATCCCAACCCCTCTTCGCCCGCACCACCCCAGCCCTACCAGTTCCAGCTGCCGCTCCAGCTCCTCCTGCTCGTGCTGCGCAGCAATGGCCATGCGCTCCGAGGCGTGTTCCCTCCGTGCTGCAGACTGGAAGCCGGGCGGGGCCAGCAGGCCGCCGCTGTGGCCGCCGCCCACACCCGGCGCGGCTCCTCCTCCTGGGCCTGCTGTGGAGGCGTCGGGGGAGGCGGCGGCGGCGGCAGCGTCCTCAGCGGACAACGTGGCGTCCGTAGCGGCGAGTTGCGGCGGGTCGTCCTTCCGAAAGAGCCTGCGGAGGGGGTTGGGGAACGGTTGGTTGGTAGAGGGGCGTGGGGAGCGCGTCGGAGCGGTGTAGGAGCGTTTGCTAGGGAGGGTGGGTACTACTAGAAGTAAGGTACGTACGGTGTGCCGATGCCGCTGGCGGAGTACGGTAGTTCACGGTGCTGGGGTAACGGCAGGGCAGCATGAGTGAACACGGCCGCATGCAAGGCCAAGGCTTGCACCCCCCCCCGTTTACCCACCTGTACGATGCCAGCGCATCATCCCCAGCCCAGCTAACCGTCTTCCGCTTCTCCTTCCGGGGCGCCGGCTCGGGCGAGGGCGCCCTGGCACGAGCCGCCATGGCCCTCGCATGCGCACTCTGCGGCCCCCCAGGCGCCACCGCCGCCGGCAGCGAAGCCGCGGCGCCCACGCGGCCACCCACTCCGCCAGCGCCCCCGCCTGCGGCGCCCAACCGAGCTATTCCAGCCGTGGGGAGGCTGCTGTCCCGCAGGCTGCCTAGCCGCACGGTGGGGGCGCTGGGGCCAGACAGGGTGCCTAACCGAGGCAGGGTGACCGGCTTGGGGACACCGGTGGCGGCGGCGCCGCTGGGGCCTGCAGGGGCGCCGTCGGCCCCGCTGCCCAGCGGCAACAACGTGGCTACCGTGTCGGCCCCGCCAATGCCACCGGGAGTTGAAGCGTCCTGCCCCGTGGAAGCGGCCGCGTCGCTCCCCGCCGCGCCCGCTTCCGCCGCCGCCGCTGCGGCGGCGGCGTCTCCGCTGGAAGTGGGGCTGAGGGCGCCGCCCGCTGCATCGCCGTCGCCGCCTGCTGCCCCTGCGTGTCCGGGGGCAGCGGCGGCGGACCCTGCTGCCCCTTGTGCTGCAGCTCCGCCGCCTAACCGCCCGGTCTGCACGTTCTCCAGCTTGATCGGATGTACCTGTAGTGGCAACCGGCAGTGCAAACAGTTAGCGCACAATACCAAACCGTGTTTACCGGAAGAGGTCCTAGGCGCAATGCCCAGGCGCCCTAGTAAAGTAGTATTAGACACGTAAGCTCAGATAGACCCCCAACTCTAGCACCAAAGAGTGTCGGGGCTCCCAAGTGAGCAACCGCAATGACAACATTCCAGCATTGGGCAGTGTCGTTTGTCCCATCCTGTCCCACACTCCACAAGCCACCCCTCGCTCCGCCGCCCCAACCCCCGACCCAATTCTCGGTACCTTCTTCGCCGTTACGAAACTGGTCAGGCTTTTATGTGGATGCGCCGGCGCCGCTGGAGTACCCCCGCCTGCCCCCCCCACGAACAAGTCATCGTCCATTACGGCCAGCTTGCTGGTGGTGGTGGTGGTGGTAGTGGCGTTAGCGGCAGAACCGCCCGGATGCGCCTCCGCGCCGCCGGCACCGCCGCCCGCGGCTTGCTTTGCCGTCGCCGCCGCCACGCCGCCACTGCCGTTGCCGCCAGCTGATGTTGGCTGCTCGGCCCTCTTGGCCCGCTTGTTGGGTCCCTCCTGGGAGGCGCTGTCGGCCCTAGGAGCAGGAACACAGCGGAGGAAGGCAACATTGGATCAGTCACCACCAACATCCTCAGCATGCGTCCCTCTTTCTCGGGGTAGGCGCGGTACCGGTATGTGATAGGTCGTAACAAGCAACCAACAAGCACCTGCACAAACACGGCCAAAAACCGGATCCCGACCATGACCGGGACCCGGACAAGTGTGCTGCTGTTCTCCTCCCCGGCTGCTGCGAGCAGGTCTGATTGCAGAGCACTCACTTGGACTTGAGCCCCTGTCGCGCCTCCCCCTTGCCCACGGAGCGGTCCACCACGCCCTTCCACTGCTCCACCAGCTCCGAGGCGGCGCCGCGCACCAGCGGGTTGGTGTGCTTGCGCAGCTTGCCAACCGTCTGAGGAAGCGGGGGAGCGAATAGCCGGGTGGGGCGAAGGGGTGGGAGGCGGAAGGGGATAAGGGAAGAGAGGGTGGGTGAGGGGGTGAGGGCGTACATGGGGCGGGGCATATGTTGGCGGGGTAATGACTTGCAACTGTAGCTCAGCAGGTGCTGCTCGGTACCCGGTGGTGCTCGAGAGCGGAAAGGAAGGTAATGCTCCTGCCCCTGTTACCATCCAGTGTCCATTGCCCCGCAGCACAACACAGCGGAACATCCCGTCAACTGGTACACCGTGACCCACATCCCAGAGCTCATCCCAGGGCTCATCCGGAACCCAGCCATCATGGCCAGCGGCAGCATGCGCCCTTCCTTGCCCCCTCCCATGCTCCCTCTGTTGCCCCCTCTCCTGGCCCCTCTCTTGCCCCTTCACGCATGGTTACCTAAACAACAGGGTTAGTCTGCAGCTTCTCCCAGCCCCCCACCCACCTGCCCGATGTTGCTCCCCTTGAGCGCGGTGAGGTCGATGGGCAGCATCTTGAGGCAGCCGATCACCGACACCAGCGGCTGGTGCTTGTGCTCGTCGCGGAACTGGACCACCCACCGCTCCAGGGAGCGCAGACCGGAACCCTGAGGCAGGAGGCAGGGGGCAGAGGGCGGGAGGTAGGAGGCAAAAGAGGCACAGGGCAGAGGGAGGGAGGCAGGGCAGAAAGTGGAGAGCGGTGGGGATTAGCAGGAGCCACAGTACCGTACCCACCCGTCGTGCCGCCCGCACAGCGCGTTACAGCACCTTGCAGTGCCCGAATACGCTTCGTGAGAAGGGCCGCGCCGGTGCTGGATCCCGGTACCGCTACGTCTCATACACAGCATAGGGTGTGCTGTAGCTACCGGTGCATGGTCTCAGGCGTGCATCCTCACCCTCCCACCCATCCTCTCCCACGCACCCTGCCACATCCTCAACCTCGTCATACAGCTCTTCCTTTTATCCCACATGGACTCTCTGGACACCCTGCAACCCCGCTCCCCCCCACCTGCACAAAGGCGCGCAGCACCTCCTGCGATGACTGCTGCACCACACTCAGCAGCGTCAGCCGCCCGCCCAGCCGCTCCTCCCCCTCCACCAGCGCCGCCAGCCGCCCCGCGAACCCCACCTCCGACACGCCGCCGCTCCGGGTCGTCACGATCTGGTGCAGCTCAACCGCCAACACGTCCGCTACCATGCCACCGCCGCTGCTACCCGCTGCGGCACCTGCCGCCGGAACACCCGCAGCAGCAGCAGCAGCTGCTGCAGGCGGTGCTGAGGCTGAGGGTGCTGCGGTTGCGGAGCCCGCATCGGCGCTGGCAGGGGATGTGTTGGCGGCGGGGGACGTGCTCGTGCCCGCTGCTGCGGCAGCGGCATCCGCGCTGGCGGGGCCGGAAGCGGGTTGGAGCGGGTGTGGTGGTTGTGGTGGCGGTTGAGGCGGGGGCAAGAAGCCGTTTGGGAGCCCTGAAGCATGTACGGACGGGTCAAAGGCCGAGGCGGGGGTGTCTGCAGCGGTCGCCGGCGGCCGCCCGTCTTCTGGGTGTGGGTGCGAGGGAGAGGGCTCTGCTGAGCCGTCTCCTTGTTGCGTGTCCATGTCACAGGCAGTACCTGGCGTTGCGGTGCCTTGAGAGTCAACCTCCATCGCTGCTGCCGTCCGCTTTCTTGTCCCTGTGCCTTCTGAGAGAGACTGCTGCTGCTGCTGGAGTTGTTGCTGTGCCTCTTGTTGCGTATGTGGCGAGGTTTCCGCTCCGTTGCTCAGGAGCGGTGTTGTTGACGAGTCAGGATTATGTGCTGCTGGCGATGGCCCCCCAAGCGGGTTCCCTTGCTGCAGCCATCCGGGTGCTGGTCGGGTATCTGCACCTGAACCTAGAGAGCTGGACGCATCTATAGATATGCCTGCTGCCTCTTGTTCGAAGGAGGAGCCAGGATCGCCAAGATGGTCAGCTGCTGCGTGGAACGGTGGGCTGGGCTGTAAGATTGGGGCAGCCGGGCCAAGCAAGTCCATAGCAGGCACACCAGGACCTGGACAAAGAACGCCAACGCATACTAGGGTCAGTTTAATCCTTCGTTTTCATGTTTCGCAAACATACAGGACATCCAGCATGAGAACAATGTACCGCTTAAAGCAAAGGGAGAGCCGAGCCCGCAAATAAGGGCATGCACCAACGTATGCGTGCATCTAGCAGGTTACAAAGCAGAAAGCGGGGCGCCAGGTCCTACCCGCTCCAACAAGGTCCGTCACCTCTCCAAGCGGCGCGGCGCCAGAGTCCGGACGCACGGACTTAATCAAACACGAAACATTGTTGCTGAAGGGGATATGCTCAACTTGCATCGACCGCCGCCCGAACAGGCGCTGCCCTCCCTACCCAGGCTGTCCACACTACTTCTTGGCCCTTTCAAGTTACTTTAAAGCTGTCTGCTAAACGGAGGTTTCCAATGATGCAGTTAGAGGTGCAGCGGTGAAGTTATGCGAGCCCGCCTGCCTTATCTCTGGGCCTTCCGCAGGCCGCTGCTCCAGCTTGTTTTAGGACTCAGGTTAGCAACAGGACAATTAAATGACTCGTGTCCACATTTACCGGATGCCGGAACAGATACAATGGCGGTCGAGGATCGTTAACTACAAAACCCTGGGGGGGAACCTTGTGTAAATGCTTTTCTGTGCAATTTTACATGCAACGCTACACGGGGCAAATGGCCAGGCATGGCCGCCGGCAGAACGGCGCGAGTTTTCCAGTACGGCAGCTGTGCGCGTGTAACGTTCAACGGCATCGTTGTTGCCCTATCCCCTATGGTGGCACAGAAAGAGCATACTATCTTGTGTGCATCTAAACGGTTCATGCTTCTGATCATTTTACCTACGAAACACGATAGGCGTGTTGGATTGGCCCCTTGCTGGCTACCGTATTCGGCAGCGGCTGTTATTTCTTACTCTAGCTCCGCCATTATTTCATCCACTTAGTGGTCATAAGCTATATAAACTTCGAGCAGCGCCACCACCCGTCGCTGTGTGGGCTCGAACGTCGTCAGCCGCGTCTTTTGGGGCCTGCCGCGAGCGCGAATCGATGTGCAAGCATTAATGCGTCAACCTATCGAGCTTTACCAAAGCACGGGCTGCCCGGCAACCAATCGCTGGGCTTCTTGCTCATTACGGCCGACCCTCGCGCCCCGGCCTCAACCAACGGACGTCCTTCCAAGCCGCCATGTGTACTCCCCCCTGCGTCTCGCCAGCCCTAATGCCCCCCGCTCTCGCACCTCTTCACCGGCCTCCACCTCCTCGTCACCATTCGCAAATCCCAGCCATTGCAGCACAGCAGCGCCTCCTTCCGGCATAGGCCCCAACCACACTCCACCCTACCATCCACAGACCCATCCGCCTCCCCCTACCACAGCCTCCCATGCCACGCCAGCCTCAAACCCTTCTCGTACGTTCAACGGCTTGTCGTACGACAGTCGTTCCTCCCCGGTTCCTCAGGTTGCTGCCGCTGCTGCTGCCGCGGCTTCAGGCGTCGGTTGCGGCAACAGGCGGGACAGTCGGCGAGTGGGCGGCGGGGTCCTGCGTCACGTCCGCAGCTGGCAGCAGGCGCTGGAGCTGCTTGAGCTGCTGGACGGACCCACGGGTCACCCGCCGTCACCCCAGCTGCAGCTGGACTTGCTGCTGAGGTCTCGGAGGTTTGCTGGCGGCTGCCAGGATGGCCTTTCTGCCGCTGCTGCGGCTGCCGCTAGTGCCGCTGGTGCAGATGCTGCTCTGGGCTTCGAGGGCTCAATTGACGTGGCGTTAGCTGGTGCTGCTGCCGCTGCTCATGGTGTTGATGATGTTGATGACGCCACCCTGCTGCCGCTTCCAGCTGATGCTGATGCTGCACCCCTTGATTGGGAGGTGGGTTGGGATGCGCAGGTGCAGCTGCATGCCGACTGGCTGCTGACGCCTGTAGCTCCGGAACCCCTGCAAGCAGCGCCGCAAGGGAGGAGCGAGGGACAGCTGGGAAACAGCAGCAGCAGTAGCAGCAGTAGCTGGGGTGGCAGTGGCGCCGGTGCCAGCAGCCAGGCGGCTGCTACAGGGAGGGTGTTGGCGCCGGGAGTGCTGTTGCCTGGGCACTCTGCCGCAGCTGCAGCAGCTGCTGCGGCGGCGGCGGAGGCTGAAGCGGCGGCGGGGCGGGCAGGGCCGCAGTACATCCCCATTCCACCGCTGCGCTCTTTTAGGCCGCCGCCGCCGCCGCCCGGGCCCGTGTTGACCACGCCGCCGTCGTTTGCATGGCAGCAGGAACGACAACAACAACAACAGCAGCAGCAGCAGCATCAACAGCGACAACAGCAAGGGCAATTAATGCAGCAGCAGCATCAAGAACGAGAGGTGCAGCATCGAGGGACTCAATTTCAGCGCAATGCCGCTTCATTAGCAGGCCGATGTACGACGGCTGGCGATGATGAGACTTTGCTAGCCGCTGCCGTACTGTCCAGGATTGTCAATGACGCGATTGTCGTACAACCGGAGGCCTGGACGGACGAGCAAGTGGCTGCATTGCTGCGGTCCGCAGCCAAACTGTCGTACCGCTACCCTCGCTTGCTGGCTGTAGCGGTGCAGACAGCCGCAGCACCCCCACCCGCACCCCCACCACCACAATATCATCATCATCATCAGCAGCAGCAGCAGCAGCATGAACAACAACAGCAGGAACTACAGCATGCAGAAAGGCAGCATCCACACCAGGTACTGCAGCGGGAGGTCTCGCAGGAACGATGGCAGCGGGAAGCGGACAGCGAGCGGAGACAGGGCAGCGAGTGGGAAGCGGACAGCGAGCGGGAACAGCAACAGCAGCCTTCCAGGATTCATCCACACGGAATGGCGGCGTCGTTTGAAGCCCCGGGAGAACAGCAAAGCGGGCGGCCGCCAAGCTGCTACGACAGCAGCAGCAGCAGCTGGGGTGGCCGCAGCAGCAGCAGCAGCAGCTGGGGTGATGGTGGTGGCGGCAGTGACGGGGGAACCTCCATTGCTGTGCGGTTGCGGATTCAGCTGCAGCAGCTACTGCTGCGGGTGGATGGACTGCTGCTACAGCCGGCTTCCCGGCAGCAGCAGCGGCAGCGGCAGCAGCCACAGCATCAAACCCAACAGCAGAGGTGGAGGCTAAAGAGGGACGACGCAGTGTCGGCCGGCAGCAACAGCAGCAGGAGGGAGGACACCAGAAAAGGAAGCTACACCGCCCCCGCCGCAGCAGCAACAACAGCCGCGTCGGTTGCCGCGGCACCTGAAGCCGAGGGGTTCCGCAAGTACCCCACGAGAGCGGTTCTGGAGGCGGCGGCAGAGGAGGAGCAGGCTGAGGAGGAAGAGACTGAGGAGGTTGAGGAGGAGAGTCGGAGGTTGTCCCCCGCAGCTGCGGCAGCGGCAGCCTGGGCTGCTGCGGCCCTGCAGCTCCGTCTCAGTCAGGATGGGGAGGTGTTGCGGCTGCTTCTGCGGGCCTTCTGGCCACAGCCGCCGCAGCCGCCACGTCGGCAACAGGCGCAGCCACGGCAGCAGCAGCTGCAGCCGCGGGCGGTGGTGCTGCCGGTGGGTGTTGTACGGCAGCGGCGGCAGGGGCGGCAGTCGTACTACAATAGCAGCCAGCAGGCTTACAGCAGCATCCAGCATCAGGACCGCTGCACTGCTGCGGGGCTGTCCCCCGGTGACCTGGCAGACGTGCTGTGGGCGCTGGCGGAGCTGCAGCTGCAGGTAGGGGGGAATAGAGAGGAAAGGAGTGGTGGCGAGGGAAAGGAAACCAACCCGTTGAGGAAAGGAAACCACAAGTGAGGTGGGTGGGTGAACAAGGGAAACAAACAAATAACATACCTTGGCTGGTCCCAACACATGGATCACTGGGGCTTCGATGCACGATTCGTGTGATAGCGGCTCTGATGCCCCTTGGGTTAGGCGTTGCTTGTTGTTACGTATCTGCACCCGTTCCCCCGCTCCCCCCTCCCAGGTGCCGATAGCCTGGTTGGACGAGGCCCTACGTGCGCTGACGTACACCCCGTCGCCAGCAGCTGCTGCCGCAGCACCAGGAGCAGCAGCACCACCAGCAGCAGCAGCACCAGCATTAGCTGCAGCAGCAGTAGCACCAGCAGTATCGGTCAGGGGGGCAGCACAAGCAGAGCAATGCGAGGCGGGCAGGAGTGCTCCCGCGCTACTTACCCGCAGTAGCAGCTCCGGCGGCGTTTTAGGCAGCAGTAGCAGCAGCGACGGTGACACTGGCAGCGGCGACGGCGGCGGCAGTAGCAGCGGGGCCGGTGGCGGCTTGGCGGCGCTGACGGGGGTTCAGCTGACCAGCGTGGCCTGGGCGGTGGTGGAGCTGAGCGGGGCCGCGGGGCGGGAGGGCGTCACGCGCGTGTGGGCGGGGCAGCTGTTCGCGGCGTCGCAGGGACGACTGCGGGGGCTGAGGTGAGAGGGGTGTGAGGGCTGTGTGCTGCTGCTGCTACGGGGCCTCTGCCCCTCCCGTGTTCGCAACCAGGCCTCTTCCTCATCCGCAAAAGCTAGCAGGTAGGCTGCGTACACACTGGGGTTCTGTGCCCCTTCCCATCACCCAGCCACCAACACGCCATTCCCTCCCTCATTCCTCATTCCTCATCCCCCCTCCTTCTCCCTCCTCCTTCTCCCTCTCCCGCAGTCCCTCCCAGCTTGTCGACTTGCTGGGCAGTGTGGCACGCAGCCGCCGCAAGCCCACCGGCCCCTGGAGGGCGGCGCTGGCGGCCGCACTCGCCGCCGCACTGCCCCGCCTGGCGCCCTGGCAGGTGGCCCGGGCGGCGGTGGCGCTGGCCAAGATGCGGCTGGCGGCTCCCTTCACGGTGGGGGTGCTGGCGGTGCTGAGGTCTGGGTGTTGTCAAGCGGGGTCATGTGTACTGGTTGAAGTGCTTCGTTTGTAACTTTGCTGCAAGACTCTTAACGTGCTGCTGTTGTTGTTTGCCTTTGCTGGCTCACTAGCTTGCTACAGCGCTATTTGCCTCGCTCACGTCTTTTGTTGAACATGGTACATATACCCTTGTGTGCGTGTGTGTGTTAAAATAACTGGCCGCGAGGCGAAACGTACTGTGCTGTCTTGCATTGCAGCTGGTGGTGGGGCTGCTGCAGTCGCTGCACTCCCGGCTGCACCTCGCGAGCCCAGCTGACGTGGCGGCACTGGTGTGGGCGTTACGGTTCGTGTCGCTGCCGTACACTCAGCTGCTCGTACGGATCCACAAGAGGTACGGCGCTCCGGCAATTGGGCACTCAGGCACTCGTCCGGGCGGTGTGGTGGGTCGCAGGTCGCAGCAGCAGCATGGAGGGTGGCGGCCTGGCGGGTTTGGGTTGGCTGCTCCCGCTTGGCTGCTCCCGCTTGGCTGCTCCCGCTTGGCTGCTCAAAGTCAGAATTAATAGCGCCAGGGCGCATGCAAGACACGGGCATGTTTGGGTACCTTGAGACCCCCATGCAAGGCACGGGCATGTTTGGGTACCTTGAGACCCCCATGCAAGACACGGGCATGTTTGGGTACCTTGAGACCCCCATGCAAGACACGGGCATGTTTGGGTACCTTGAGACCCCCATGCGAGGGGGGGGGGGCCGATGCTGGCTGTGTCAGTGTGCATGGCTAAGTACCGGTACCCCGTTCGCGCCCCCCTTCCTGCGCAGGCGGCTGCGCGACCTAGCTGCCGCCACCCAGCCGCACCTGGGCCGCCTGCCCGCGGGTCAGCTGGTGCAGCTGGTGGAGGGGTTCGCGGGGCTGGGGCTGCTGCCGGGGGAGGAGTGGATGCGGCTGCACAGGTGGGGGGGGGGCAAGGACCATGCACCGAACCATAGGAAGCCACAGGTTAGGGCAAAGCAATAGGGATAGGAGGCGGCAGGGTGGTGGGGGAGAGGGGGGGTGCAGAGGTTGTCGGAGCATATGTGTGTTAAGAAAATTGGCCTCGAGTAGGAACGTACGAACGTAAGTGTTACCGTACCTTGAGGCTTCTCGTCTCCCCCACCTTTCACCTCTGTCAGAGAGGCCTGTCTTCGCCAGCGGGCACGCTTCTCCGAGACCAACCGGCGGAAGATACGGCAGGCCTATGCCAAGATGTGGACGCTGTAGACCAGGGTGCCTGCAGCAGTGGCTGCAGCAGTGCGTTACAGCCACAGCGGGGGCAGGAGGAGCTGGAGGTCCCTCATACTCTTCTTGCCGACTTGAGGTGGTGAGCTCTCCTTTCTCTGGGCGCAGTTCGACGCACCGTCACATCCTCGCAAGGCTCGCATGGTGTGTCATGATGGCTGGCTATGTGTTACATCTTACATGTGGCGTTTCCGGCGCTCCCAAGGCACCGTATTCCGTGTAACCGGAAAAGCAGCTGGGTCACCAGTGCACCACACCGCGCCTTCACCCAGCGGCACAGCAACACCCACGAAACCCCGGCGTCAGCCGCCCTCCCCGCTCACCCACAGGTCGGACGACGCATCAAAGTACCCCGCTTAAGCAAGTTTGCCTCCTAAGTGCTCAATACTACCGATAGTGGCAACTGTTGATCCTGTTTCAACCTCATCATCGCTGTGGCAAGCAGAGGATGCACATCAGATCCACACCAGCGGCACATACGACATATCACTACACCCCTATCCTCCACAACTTTCCTCCCGTTACCGATATGGATTCATCGAGGCCCAGCTGCTCCCTTGCACAGCTGCATGGAGGCTTACAGGGCCCACACGGCGCCACTCGACAGGTGGCTGCAACAAGTGGCAAAGGGAGCCGCCCGCTGCTGCTAGAGGGTCCCCTTCATCAACTACTCCAACCAACTTTCTGCAATGAGCGCCCCCCGTGTCGCAGTCAGTCACACAGCATGGCCAGTTTTCTTAACACCCTTTACATGTCGCACAGCACCGCACGGGTCTACCCTGAACCGTACAAGCAGCGACCCCCACTGCAACCTGTTCCGCTGCTGGCGCCTGGCACACTCCGAGCAGCTACCGGTACCCGAGCAGCAACACATACAGGAACACACACACACATGCCAATTCTCTCAAGCCTAAACACATGCAGCAGACGTCATCCCCCTACCGCATACCCCCCGGCGTCGTCGTAGCAGCAGCACCCACCGCGCCCGCTGCAGGTCGCTTCACCCCGCGCCCCCCCACCCCCTGCTGCGCCCCCGCTGCCGCTCCTGCCCCCGCCGTTGCCCCAGCCCCCGCTGCTGCCGTATTGCTGCCACCAGCAGCGCCCTCCGCCGCCTCGCCCACCGCCCCTGCCGGACCCTTGGCGGCCCCCCCGTTGGCGGCCGCCTCCCGCTCCGCACAAACCCGCCGGCTCTCTGGGGGAGGCGAAGAACAAAATACCAAACATGAGAAACCACACAAAAAGTGGGGGTAGGAGGCGGCAGGGTGAAGGGGGGAAAGCGGCGTTGTGCTCGAGAATTAAACCATTCTGGGGAAGGCCGGTTAGTGAGCTACCGGTGGTGTCAAACAAAGAGCGCCGCACAGCACACTATGTCCCCAACCGCAACAACAACCTCAGGTAGGCATGCCCCGTCCCCCACCCGCCCTCTCCCCTCATAATGTTAGCTTCTTGTTGTTGCACTTCTTTATAACATTCCCCCCTCCCCACCTGCGTAGTACTGCAGCGGGGTGGAGATGCCCACATCCATCTCCGGCACTCGGTGGATGCCCTCGAATGCGGCCGCGCAGGCCAGCTGGTAGTGCCCCTCGCGCGCCTTGGACAGCGCCTCCTCCAGCTTACTGCATGGGTTGGGGAAGGGAGGTGGGAGGGTTAATAGAGATGAAGATTCCGCATAAGGCTGGTGGGGGGGGGGTAAGGAAGGCGACATGAAGGTGGTTGTGGAGAGTATTTGGTAGGGCCAGCACTTGCACCCCCTTGGCGTGAAACGTCAAATCACCTACTGACGTTGCCCCCAACCCCTTCTCAGCCGACACAGTTCCTCGTTCTTAACACACACACCCCGTCGCACCGGTCATCGCAGTTGAGGCGGCTGAGTGCGGTCCGCAGCGCCCCCTCGTCCAGCCGGCGGTAGGGGCAGCCGTGGTGGTCGCCCGCGCCGCCGCTGAACCCAACGATGGTGGTGCACCTGGTAAGGGGCGGGGGAAAGGGGGGAGGAGGTGGAGGGGGGGAAGGGGCGGGAGGGGGTGGAGGGGGTGGAGGGGGTGGAGGGGGGGATTGATAGGGATACATATTCCGCATTAGGCGGAGGGAGGGGCGACGGGAGGAGGTGGAGGAGGGGTTGTGTGACTGGCATGCATGCATGCATGCGCTGCCACCACCCACCTGACTGAGGTGGGCCGGGGCTACCAATTCATTGCACCTCCCATGCCGAAGCCTACATGTCAGATACAGCTCATCAGTTTCCTCCTCTTCCACCTCCCCCCGGCGCCCCCACCTGTGTGCCGTGTAGTCTGTCCGCTTCCCCTCCTTGCCGTAGTTGTGTCGGATGTTGTAAGCGTATTGCTTGTCGAACTGATCCCCCGGGGTGCGGGGGGCGAACTCGGAGCGCCAAAACAGCAGCGCCTCCTCCAGCGGCAGACCGATGCCCTGGTGCGGAGGGGGGGGAGGCGGAGAGGGGAGGCGGAGTTAGGCAAGGGGACCTAGAGTGAGTAGAACGGTGCATGGAGAATGAGACCGGCCTTTCCTTGGTAGACGGGCACAACAGCAAGGGCGAAAGCAGTGCCCCGTTGCCCCTCCTTCCAACCCCCTCCCCCCCATGGTCAGTGTCTCATCATCATATATATATTTTTTACCCCCCCATGGTGGACAGCCTTATCATACAGCTCATCAGTTCCTCCCTCCCCCCCCCCACTCCCCACCTCCCTTGGTTCGTCAGTTTTCCTTATTTTTACCCTCCCTTGGCTCCCTACGGTTTGGTCTTTGACCCCCACACCATCCCTCCCCCCCTTCCCCTCCCACCTTTAGGAACAGCCCCAGCTGCTGCCTGCCCCCGTGCCTCAGGTGCCGCTCCGAGTGCAGCGAGGTCATCAGGTGCGACATGCACAGCGGGAAGTGCCGCGACGCCAGGGAGGGCAGGCTGGCGGCGCTCACGGAGCCGTAGCGGGTGGCCACTCCGCTGTAGTCCGCAACCAGGGACCTGGGAGGGGGGAGGGGGGAAAATTATAAATAAGTGCAACAACACAATCCCAATCCCGAATCCCGGGGAGAGGGATGTGTTAGGAAAACTGGCCGCGAGTAGGAACGTATGGATGTGTGTGTGGGGGGGTGGAGGGGTGTTCAAAGACCATACCAGGCCATAGGAGGGGGCGGGAGGTTAGGAGCTAGGAACCAAGCAGGGAGGGGGATGGGGGTTCATGGGTTTACTCGCAAGGGGCGGAAGCAGCCAAGTCCAGGTGTGCGCAGCGACTTGGAAAAGTTGCGCCCCTTTCATCCTCTCCAGGGACCTCGAGGCGAGCCCTGCTCCCGTCCGACCCCTGGCCTGGTCTCCTTCTCCCGCACCCCCAACAAAACACCCACCTGTTCGCCAGCGACGCCACCAGCGGCTGCAGTCGCTGCTCCTCCTCGGGTGGGAACATCTGCCGCCACCGCCGAGCCATGTCGGACAAACCCTGGGGGAGCAGCGGGGGGAGCAGCGGGGGGAGCGGGGGAAGCAGCGGGGGGAGCGGAGTGAGCAGCGGGGGGAGCAGCGGGGGGAGCGGAGTGAGCAGCGGGGGGAGCGGAGTGAGCACACAAGTAGGGAGGGATGTGGCAAAAGGGGAACGCGCGAGGTGTTGGGAGACGCTTTGGGCTTCAGATGCGCAGTGGTGCACATCGGTCTCCACATCGGTCTTCTTCTTCTTCCCCCGCTACCCGCCTCGCCCTCCTCTCCCCCATCCCCCCTGTCGTACATATAGCTCGCCACACAGCTCGTTAGTTATCCTCTTTCCACCCCTCCCCCACACCCCTACCTTGCTGACCCCCGCCCTGAACTCCGCCACCACCAGCGGCGCCAGCGCGTCCCGGCTCACGTAGGCCCACCCGCCCCGCAGCAGCACCCGCCGCTGCGCCACCAGCTCGGGAACACGAGTCCAGGAAACCTACCGGGGAGTAGGGTGTTAGGGTGGTAGGAGGGAGGTAGGCGAGCGCACACAGCAACGTCAAGTACAGGAGATAATGTACATGTGGCATAAGTACGGCCCACATGTACAATGGGAGGGGCAAGTACACATGTGTTATATCGTTAACGGGCGATAACGGGCACCTCCTGGGTGTTGCAATCAGGGCAGGGCAGGGACGGGAGGGGACTTGGGCGGTGGGTCGATTGCTGTACTGTGTGACAGGAGCAAACCTGCCCTTCGAGCCGCTTTCGTGTTTGGAACACCCAAACCCGCCTGCCCTCCCCCCGCCCAGGCTCCTTATTTCCACCCCGCCTAGGCCGCTCTGCTGCCCTGCTCCACTCTGCCCGCCTACCTTGTAGAACCTCCTGTCGTTCTGCGCCCGCTGCAGCGCCTCCTTGGTCTCAAGGCCCGACCGCATCACCCGCAGGATGTCGTCCATCACCTCCTCCAGCTCCGCGGGGGGCACGGGGCGGTACTGGGGGGCGTGTGCGGCCAGGAAGGCCTCCTGCGCGGGTTGAGGTGTGGAAGGGGAGGGGAGGGGAGGGGGATGAGGACGAGGAGGAGGAGGAGGGGAAGTGGATGTGGGGTATGGTGGGAGAGGGAGCCTGCCCCCGCCATGGTTATGGCTGTACCAGTTAACTCCATAACGCTATTCAACACCTTTCTCCCTCCACTTCTTCCACTTTCCATATCATCGCCCCCCCAAGACGCTCTCCCACGAAACCCCCGACCCACATGCTCGGCTGCGTTGTAGGTCCCAAACTTGAGTCGAAACATTTCGCACTCCTGCGCCAGGAACCACTTGCGCAGATCCGCGGTACGGCAGTACGCCAGTCGCAGTACGTAATGCGAGATCAGATCTGTACGGACGTCCTCATCACGCAGGGAGGTGGAGGAGGCGGCGGGGCCGGGCTGGGCGGAGGAGGAGGAAGAGGAGGAGATGCCGCGCATGTGTTTCTGCTTTAGCTGGTTGAGCTTGTCCTGAGGGAGGGAGGCGGGAAAGGAGCGGGGGAAGCAGTGTGGGGTTGGGCAGGGGTGAGTTGGGAGTTGAGTAGTGGTCAGGCGTGCGCTGCGTCGCTCATGCGAAGGGGGCTGCTACGCAGCTAGCGGTACACCTTCAGTTCGGTGTTACGGTAGGGCAAGCCGTGATGGCGATGGGAGGACAGGTTAGAGCAATCCCGTGCTACCACGCCGCAGCTGTGGCGCTGAGCACCTACCAGGTACTCCTTCTCAGTCTTGTTGGGGTGTCGTAGTTTGTAGGCCTCCATCTCCTTCAGGACTGCTCGTGGGGCCGGGCCAGGCGAGACTATCGGTTAGAAATGTGTCGAGCTTTACAATCTATGGCAAAAAACGTATTTTTATGAACACCAACAGCTGGTTGCATGTTGGCAAGACTAAATACCCGGGGAGGGCGTCATCCAGGGCCATGCCAGTAGACGACGCACCTGATAGACGAGCTAACGCCAGCCGCTCAAATTCCTCAAGCGTTATATTCTCCGTCGGTGGTGTGTTATACATGCTCAAGTCGGTGAGCATGCGGTCACCGCTTTTGGACGCACTGGCATTGCTGCTAAGCGGTGTGAAGCCCGCGGGGCCGGCCCCTGAATTGGCAAGAACCTGCATCTTTTTCCTACGCCTCCTACGTTTTCAGATAACAACACTAGGAGGGTAGTCACGAGCTTAAAATACAATCGCTTTGCTACCTAAGAGACAGACAGTAAAAAACAAACTGTGATCATTGAAAAGTTATGATATAGAGAGGCGTCTTAATATGCTAACGTTTAGCCACCTTTCTCTGGGGATTTGCTCCCTACGTTGCTTCGCGCGTTTTTGACCGAGTTCCGTACAATTGACGATTCGGCTCCATCAATCTCGCTCATGCGGAAATGACAAAATAATTGATGCTAACATACACTCGGAAGGTTATGGTTTTATAGCCGCATGGACTACACGGTCAGGCGCATCCTTGCATGGAGGTGTTGAAGAGTAACGACAGAAGTTTGCCGGAAGGGGTTCTCACCTAACGAAACAAAGTGACAATTGCGTTGCGACATTCTCGTTTTGGATACGAACCCCCGCTTAGAAACTAGGTATCCCCAAAACGCCACGCCATGGCTAGCTTGCGATGTTCGTAGCCATGAACCGCTAACGGTTAAGCGACTTCTTGCGCATCAGACCCCGCCTGGACCGCTCACCGCGCATATGCTTTCGGCTTTTGAAGCTTTTTGTTTTGTAGAAACTGCCGGTTGATGGCACTCGGTACTGCTGCTGTCATGATGACTGTAGGGGCCTGAACGCCTGATCATCTAGCATCCCCGGGGTCCGCACTGGTCCCCTCCTCGTCATCATTCTTGGGCGGCTAACCCTTGCGTCATTACCCTTTCACTACCGTAGTACAGAAGCATAGGCACAAGCATAGTACACAAGCAGACTATGAACCCACCCACCATCGCTCTTATGTACTGCACCGCGGCAAGGCGTTTGGTAGTGGTTGCCAAGGGCATTCGGTTAGTTTCATACCTTTCTCGGCCTTTTGGCTCAGATCATGTGTAGTATCTGTTCTTGTAAGTCTAATCGCTTACATGGTCCTCATTGAGGACCTGCGATTAACTTCAATATTTTGAGGGGGTGCGGTCAATGGGTGCGCTTGCGCATCCGACCCACCAGCATGGTTGCGGCCTTACACTACCGCCGTAGCCGTGAACCCTACCCAAAACATTTAAGCAAGTAAATTATCACTCCCGGCTATGTTACCCAATACTAAGACACGACAACATATTCGTCCATAAAGGCAAGTCAATTTCAAGCAGCCGTTGTTGTCAGCTAGCTTTCCCAACAAGGGGTGTCACACCCGTGTCAGCGGGGACACGTCCGGGCACCTCTGCCTCATCACTGCCGAGCTTGTCATGATGCTAATATGTGCTGGCCTAGGTGGGAAGCACGGCACGCCCTTGTTACAGCTCTGATGAAGGAGGAGGATTAGCCGCCTCCCCCCTCTCTGTCCAGAAAGCAGAGCCTCATGCAGCCACACAACACCCCACTTATCATCATCGCCTACATGGTACCGTACACATCCCCTGTTCCGCCACCGCATATACATCCTCTCTCCTCGCCTCCAGTGCTTGGGGAGCTGTGGCATATGACATCCCCCTCCACAACTCCCTTCACAGCAGGCACCGCGGCAAAACGTCCACACAGCCACTAGCCGCTGTAGCCAACACCCGCCCTGCCTAGAACACACGTCGAAACCGCAGGTACTGGCGTACTACGATCCTCCCCCAATGCGGCTGCATGTATCATCATTTCAACAACCTAAAACCGCACTTGCGCGCCTTTCATGCAGCAGCCCTAGTACGGCAGCCAGCCCGCCTGCTGGGTGCACCGCACATACGTCCGCGTGCCCACCTCCTCACGCCAGTTGTTGTGCGCTTGTCTCACCAGGTGTGTGCTGCTTTGAGTGTGCGTCGCAACACCGTCCCCTCCTGCCATCAGCATCAGATCAGCAGCAGCGGTCGCAGCGGCTACATTCCTTCCTCATCATCAAATGGCCCTCAACGTGTGGTCTTGAGTCTCAACTCCTCCTCATGCGCTTATGCTTTGCAAATGCTTCTAGCCGACAACCCCTTTCATCCGATGTGCTTACCAACCTTACAAAGACAGAAAGACAGCCCTTGCCAGCGCCTCAATTGCGTATTGATACAATCAGCCCTACATCGGACAGCCACCACTCTATCAACGTCCCCACCCCCAAACGCCCAACCACGATGCAGCTGCCCTTCCCATCCCACTTCCAGCTGGGCCCTGCATCTCCCCCCACATCTCGGCCCCTGCCCCAACCCCAACCCCAACCCCAACCAAAGGGCAGGTCATCAACTCAGTTCAGCCAAGGACAGGCCACCACCGCCACCACCACCACCACCACCACCGCCACCACCACCGCCACCACCGCCACCACCACCACCACCACGCTACATCCCACCCCCTACATGAAGTAGAGCAGGTTGCCCAGGTCGCGGTGGATGCCCGCGAACTGCTGCGGCCGCCCGCCTGCCGCCCCCGCCTGCAGCGAGCCGGTCTCGGAGGCGCTGTCGGAGGAGGAGGTGGCCGCGGCCTGGGGGGGAGGGAGGAAGCGGTAAAGAGGAGGAGGGAGGAGGAAACAACTAACCGGCTAAGGAGTAATGCGCCAACACGGTGAGCCAACATGTGAGCCACCCCGACCCAGTAAAGAGGGGGAGGGAGGAGGAGGGGGTATTGCATCATTGCGAAGCAAGGGTGTCTTGCACAGGCACGTAGACGTGGAGGTGGCAAGGGGGCAAGGGAGGGCGCCATCGCCATGCAATGCGGTTGGAGTTGGTTGAAGGTAGTTGAGGAGTCGGGTTGAGGCGTGCTGCAATTGGCACGTACAACAGGATCCCCCCACCCCCCACTGCTCTCAGCGCCCGACGCGATCCACCACACCCAAGAAGACCCCCGCGCCTCTCAGCCCTGAGACCCAACCTAACCCTCCACCCTCCACCCCCCACCCCCCCCAGTGGCTCCCCTACCAGCAGCGTGCGGCCTCGGAACGCCGCACGGTCCGCGTAGTAGGCGGGCGGGCAGTAGCTGACAGACCTGGGGGGGGTGTGGGGCGGGGTGGAGAGAAGGGGGGGGAGGACGGGGGGAGGAGGGACAGAGATACCGTATACCAAAACTGCAGGTCAGGGCAAAGCATTAGGGATAGAGGGAAGCAGTGCGGAGGACCTTATACCCCAGCAAACCGCCCCCCCCCGCCACCCCTCCTTCCCCACCCCTCCCACCGGGTGGTGCGCTGATACAGGTAGCACATCCAGTAGGTCAGCAGCTGGATGCCATCGGCTCCGAAACCGATCTCGTCCACCAGGATGTGGTAGTGGGCGGGCTTGTTAGTGCCCTGGGGGGGGAGAGAGGGGGGGGAAGGGGGTGGGGGCGGGTTTGGAGGAGGGAGTGGGGGCGGGTTTGGAGGAAGAATTGTGAGGGGAGAAGAAAAGCGCTGGTGTGTGTGGGGGGCGGAAAGGATTCAGAGGATAAGTGCAGGATATGAGAAGCAAGGAGGAATCCCACTCCTGTGCAAGCATGCATCCATGCAAGCATGCAAGCGCACACGCCTCCCCCGCCTCCCCTCTGTAGTTAGTTTCTTCCTGCCCCGCCTGTAAGCTACGAAAAGGCGTACCTGCAGATGTCAGGATCGCGAGTGCGCGGGCTCACACTCCCCCCTTCCTCCCCCCCTTCTCCCTCCCTTCTTCCCCCCCTTTCCCCGCCCCCCACCTGCAGCCCCGCGTGACTGTTCAGGTAGAAGTCGAATGCGTCCGGGGAGGTGATGCCGCGGTCCACCACCGTGCCGGGGACCACGTTGCCGCTGCGCGTGTGTGTGTTTTGGGGGGTGAGGAAGAGGGGGTTGGGAGGGGGAGTAGGGGTTGGGCTAGCTTTTTTGTCCATCTCCCCCGTCCGCCCATAATCCTGACATCTGCCCTCTCTATCACCCCCTCCTGCAACCTCCACTTCACCCCACCCCCTCAACCCCCCGCCCTCTCACTTCTTGTCCGCCGCTGCCTGGTCCGCCGGGAAGAGCCGCGTGTTGTGGCGCTTCTGCACCACCACGAATGTGATGGCGGGCCGGTAGTTGGCCTCGAGGTCCAGGCAGGCCTGAAGACAGGGGGGGAAGAGGAGGGGGGAGGGGAGGGGGGAGGGGAGAATACCCGATGTGTGACACGGGGAGGGGAAAAGAAGAATACACGATGTGTGTGACATGATGGGGCATGGGATAAGAGAGGTTGGAGATTTCGCAACAGGCTGCTGGAGCACCTGCTCGAACTGCCCCCCTCCCGTGTGTGTGATTTCTCCCCTCCCCTCTTCCCCCCCTCCTCCCCCCCACCTTGCGTATGGCGGTGTACTCCTCCGCCAGCACCTGCTCGAACTGCCCCTCGCTCACTCCGTCACGGTACATCACCAGCCGCTGCGGCTTCACCCCCCTGGGTGGGGGCATGGCAGGGGGGTGGTGGTGTGAGGGAGGGGAGGCACTGTCAGAGTGTGTAAATTCCACCATCGGGGAAAAAGAAATTCCAAAGTGTGGTGTGATAATGATACAAATTCCACCATCGGGGAGGGGAAATGGGGGGAGGGAGCTCCTGCTGGAGTTCTACCAGGCGAACAGGTGGGGGGGAGGGGCGGGGGAGGGGCGGTGTGACACCTACACGCGGGCGACAAGGGGGCGCCGCCTGAAAGCAATGACATGAAAGCTCGCATTGCTTCCCTGTGCCCACGCCTGCACTTGTACGTGCAGGCTGGTAGCATTGGCAACGCAACGTACAACCCTTGGACCTGGTACGGGGCACCATTAAAGGTGCCTTTAATGGTGCCCCGTACCAGGTCCAAGGGTTGTACGTTGCGTTGCCAATGCTACCAGCCTGCACGTACAAGTGCAGGCGTGGGCACAGGGAAGCAATGCGAGCTTTCATGTCATTGCTTTCAGGCGGCGCCCCCTTGTCGCCCGCGTGTAGGTGTCACACCGCCCCTCCCCCGCCCCTCCCCCCCACCTGTTCGCCTGGTAGAACTCCAGCAGGAGCTCCCTCCCCCCATTTCCCCCCCCGACACACACGCATGCAAGCTATGTCGTACAATACACACACTCCCCCTCCCCCTCCTCCCCTCTCCCCACCCCCTCCCCCCCACCTGTTTGCCTTGTAGAACTCCAGTAGGAGCTCCCGCACCGCACCGCCCATGTCGCTGATCACCTCCTGTCGCCCCGCCTGCAGCAGCACCCGGCTGCCCCAGCGGCCCAGGCTGCCGTCCAGACTGGCCACCACCGCCGCCACGCTGGCGTCACGCAGGCTGCCCTCGCTGCCGCGGGCGGGGGCGGAGGCGCCGGTGGGGTGCGTGACGTCGGCGCCCAGGACCATGAAGGGCGGGGCGCGGTCGCCGCCAATGACCGGGAGGCATCTGGGGGGGAGGGGGAGAGCAGGGGGGGGAAGGGGGGGTTTAAGGGAGCGGTGGTGTGTATGGCGGCGGCGGCGGTGGGAGAGGGGTACAGGCGCGGAGGTAATAAGAGTGGGCGACACGTCCCGCGACTCCAACGCAACCCATGACCGCATGGCTGGCCACACCGCGCCCTTCCCCCTCCGCACGGTGTTTTGGTAGATCTTTGTCCCCCCCCATTGCTTTGCCCTAACCTGTGGTCTCCTATGGTTTGGTATGGCCTTTGACCCCCCCCCTTCCCCCTCACCTGATCCCCCCCGACAGCTTCACGTTGACTCCGCCCAGCTTGTTGTTGATCTTGAGCACCACGTTGGCGCAGTACTGCACCCCGCCGCCGCGAGCCGTGGTGCCCACCTTGGCCTGAGGGGGGGAGAGGGGAGGTGCAGGAGAAAAGGAGGATAAACTACAATGGGCTGTGTACCTCAAAACACCTCGACCCCCCCCTCTTCTGTATTCTTCTTTCCCCTCACCTTCCCCCCCTCCTCACCTTTGTCCCCTCCCCCCCTCTCCTCCTCACCTTTGTCCCCCCCCATCCCCCCCTCCCCCCCCCCCTCACCTTGGTCCCCGCCACCACTCCTGCCCCCCTCCCCTCCCCCGCCCCCCCTCACCTTGTTCCCCGCCACCACCTGCGAGGGGATGCCCAGCTCCATGTCCGACACGCGCTTCACCTCCTGGTACTCATCCGTGCACTGAAAGGGGGGGGAGGGGAGGGGAGAGTGGAGGAGGGGGGCGAATATGTGTTTTGTGTGTGTGTTAAGAAAACGGGCCGCGAGTCGGAACGTACTGTGATTGTCGGAAGATGAAGTCCCGTGTGAGTGTGGGGGGGGGGGATGTGCGTGTGTGTTGAGGTAAGCCTGCAACATGTATAGGGTGTAGGAAGAGGGTAGGGCCCTCCCTCCTCCCTCCTCCCGCTTCCCTCCTCTCCCTCCTCCCTACCTTCTCCCGCAGCACCACCAGCAGCAGCTTCGCCGGCTTGCCGTACCGCCGCCTCGCCGCCTCCGCCGCCTCACGCATGGCACCCTCCACCCCCCGCCCCGGTCCCCCCGCGGGGGCGGCCCACACCACCGGGGGGGACTGCTCGGGGTTGTCGGGGACCACTGGGTCGACCTGGTTTGGGGGGGGGGAGAGGGGGGGAGGAACGGGGAGGGGAGCGTGCAGGGGTATGTGTATGGGGTTGCCCGGGAAGGACTGTAATTGTCTTGGACGACTTGGAGGCGGGTGTTGGGAGGTGGGTGTTGGGAAATGGGACAACGGTTGTGAGGGGGGAGGAGTTACGAAGCGGGTGGCTAAACACCGGCATGTAGCATGGTGAAGCCACATCCATGCAACACACCAGAGCCCCCCCCCGCACGCATCCCCCCCCCCCCCCCGGCCCCAGCTGCCCACCACGTTCATGCCGCACTCCTTCATGACGCGGCACAGGTCGGTGAGGAAGGACCACAGGGAGCCCTCGCCGTCGTGGTCGCAGGACTGGGGGGTAGGGAGGGGTTGGGAAGGGTTTGGGAGGAGGGGTAGGGGGGGTTGCATAGGAGGTGCTGCTGCTGCTGTTGATGTTATGACCCATGGGTCACACCACACGCTGCTTTCGCGGGCCCCCTCATGATACCCCCGCCCGCAACCAATAAACTCTGAAACCCAATACAACGCAGCACACCCGCAGATTACCCACATGCAATTAACATGCACGCATGCAACAACATACCCGCATGTAATACACACACACACACAGACAGACACGCCTTCCCCTCCCCCCCCTCACCGCCTGCGACAGCAGCGGCACCACGGCCCAGGAGTCCAGCGGACGGGGCTCAGCGAACTGCACATTGCTGCGGAGGGGGTGGGGAGGGAGAGGGGGAAGGAGGACGGATTGGTAACGTGGTTGGTAACCACTGGTTTCCCCTCTAGGTAGGTACCCTCCTCGCTCTCCTGACCTGTTTTCCATACATACACACAGACACCTTCGCAAAGGTATGTGTGCGTTGCGGCGTGTTAGTTGGCACTCGCATTATCCAAGACCATCCTCGAGACGCGGGCGACATGGACCGGAGCTCGGCTGCCAAGTTCGCGTCGCTAGTCACCCCTTGTTCGCGGCGTGCGTTTTGGAGCGTTTTGGAGCTTGATCCCCACCTTCACTCCACCAGTGGTACCCTCGGAGCTCCAGGCGCTCTGGGCGGCTTCCTCTTCCAAGTGGCAACTGCAGTTATCCGACCGCACGGCCCTCTCCATGTAGCTTCTGGGTTCTACGCGCCAGCGCTGGGCGGCTTGGTGGCCCCTCCGTGGCGTCGCGTCACTTCACTGGGTTCTTCGCGGTTACATAGCGTCTGTGCCTGTCACTTGCGTACTGCCTACTCTTTGCCTTGTGCCCATGGGTTTTGCACACGTCCCCTGGTGCCCGCATGCATGGAGGCACTCGGGGCCTGGTGCGGTGGGGAGCTCACTAGGAGCCAGCCCGCCAGTCCTCCTTCCCCTGGCCTGCGCATCTCTGCATTGTCGTACGGCATCCCATGCGCACTGTTTGCCATATCTGTCTGTTTCCTTGTTCGCCTTGCAGTTCAGTTAGGTTCAGCATAGTTAGGTTGCGGCGCTCACGTGTGTTCCTGCTTTTCTCCCGCCCTCGCATGTTCCTCTTCTTGCCGTCGGTTATTGACACTGGTTGCTGGCTGCCGGATGCTTTCGTTCCTGCCTGCAGGTCAGTCTACGGTAACATCCGCACATAGTGGTCTTGCACTTGCTTTGCCTGTCTTGTTTTGCTCGCGCATGCACTGCGACGTCTCGGCATGCTCCCCTGTTTTGCTACCTGTTCAGCAGCAGTTCCAGCCTATCTACCTACCTACTTTACTCGATATTGTCAGCTACTACATACTCTCAACTTACTACTACGGGCCTTCGGTCCGGTCGCTTTACGAGAGTGCTTCTTACGTCTTACTTACTCTCAGCACCAGTATCGGACTTCTATATGTACATACGCTACCCTATTCCTCGGCTCCTGCGGCGGTTCTGTGGGGACTTCATCTTCCGACATCCCAGTATGTTCCTACTCGCGGCCAGTTATTTTAACACAGACACACGCTCCCTTCCCCTTGCGGCTGTTCTGTGGGGACTTCATCTTCCGACATCCCAGTACGTTCCTACTCGCGGCCATTTTTCTTAACACATACAACATACGCTCCCTTCCCCCTTCTCTCTGTCTCGTAACCTCAGCCCCTCCCACCCACCTAAGGTTCCACGCCCCGCTGCCACTGAGCTTGTACGCCTGCGGGTTGCCGTACGCCAGCACGGGCGGCGGCAGCACCCGGCCGGATACCTGTACGGCACAGCAGCAGCAGGACTCGTCAGCATGACGTCAGTAGCGGCATGACAGCAGCATCAGGGCCCCCGGTTTGTGCGCGAAACATCCACCAGCCAGGCTGTCCTGTCCCCTGCTTGCCCAAGCCATAGCCAGACTCCAACCAACCCACCATTTTCCCCCAACCTCCCTCCCATTAGTAAGTACAAGGACTACCCCCCCCCTCCGCTCCCCTCACATTGGGTATTCTTCTTTTCCCCTCACCTGCAGCAGCTGCGGGCTGCCCCCACCGCCACCGCCACCTCCTGCACCTCCCCCCCGCTGCTGCCCCTGCCCCCCCGCCTGCCCCCCACCCCCCAGCTGCAGCCCCCAGCACTCCCCGGTGCGCCCATCCCGCAGCGCAGCAGACACGCGGGCAGCCTGCGGAGAGAGGTGGGGGGTGGGTAAACGTTAAATACGTGAAACAACAAGTGGGGGGGCAAAAGATATAAACAACAGAGGGTGGGGGGTCCAGAGATACGCCCCCAACACACAGTTTAGGGCAAAGCAATGGGGATGGGTGGGCAGGGAGGCAGGGGAATGGCACACGAGTTGCACCCCCCCCCCACCCGCAAATCCCCCCCCCCACCCCCCCCCCACACACACACCAGCTGCACGCATGCGCCCTTCTTGACCCCCGGGTCCTGCTTGGCGATTGCGATCATGTTGGACGACTGGGCGGGCTCCAGCTTGAGGCGCCGCTGACCCGCTACCACACTGGGGGGTGGGGGGGGGGGGTGTTGGGGGAGGCCGTGTGTGTATGGGTGCGTGTGTTCAGAAAACTGGCCGCGAGTAGGAACATACTGTGTATGGGTGCGAGGGGGAAGCGGGGGGGAAGCGGAACCCACTCCTACTCACCCCTCTACCAGCCTCTACCGTAACCGCTGCCCCACCCCGCGCCCCCAATCCGCACTCAACTCTCCCCCCTCATTGCCCCCCCCCCCAAGCCTCACGTGCAAATCTCCGCGGGAATGTAGATGGGCCGTGCCCTGCTTCCCACGTTGGCACAGGGCAGGTGGGGGTGGCGGACGGGGCGGCCGGTGGAGGCGAAGTACTCGGCCACACTCATCTCCCTGGGGGGATAGGGAAACGCACAGCGCAGGGGGCGGTGTGAAGAGTGAGTGGTTTTGAAGTCCAAGTATTCTACCCACTTTTATCCATAACTTATTCTGTCGCCCCCCCCCCCCCACCCGCCCCTCCCACCCCCACCCCCACCCCCCACCTGCCCGCCTGCTCGTTCAGGAACATGGTGTTTGACGCCCCCCGGGGGGAGAGGCCGGTGAGCGGCTTGCGGCGCAGGTGGCCGCTGGGTAGGGGGTACTCGATCTGGGGGGAGGTAGGGGGGAATGTCAAAGATACACCAGAGGGGAGGGGAAGGGGGAGGGGAGGGGGTTAGAGGGAAACCAAACCAGGCAGATGGCTTGAGGAACGACCAGGACCAGGTTTTGGACGACCCATGTGATGAAAGACCTTGGGTGGTGGAGGTGCGCGGGGGGGAGATGGGAAGGGGGGAAGCAGGGTTACCACTGCACCTATGTGGCTGTGTTCCTGCTATTGGTGGTAGTCGTGCATTGGGAGGCACTCTTTTCCCCTCCGTCGCCCCCACACTGACCCATGGGTCACCCCACCTCCTCCCCGCCACCTCCCCTCACCCCTCCCCGCCACCTTTCCCCCACGCCTGCTTACCCTGAACCCCATGAGCGTCTTCGCCGCGTGCTTCACCCTCTCCGGGTCGTACTCCCCTCCTGCGCCGCCGCCGCCTCCCCTGCCGCCGCCCCTGCCCCCTCCTCCTCCGCCCCTGCCGCCCCCGCCCCTGCCACCTCCTCCATACCCCCCTCCCCCTCCCCCGCACAACTCCGCAAGCAGCTCGGGAAGCGGTCGAGCGCTCTGGAAGGCGGCGAAGGCGGAGTCGATGTTGAGGGACAGACCCGACTGAACCGCTTTGAAGCTCTGTGTGCATGCAAAGGGGAGGGGGAGGATGTGTTAAGAAAGCTGGCTGCAAGTCGGATGTGTGTGGCCCCAAACCACACCCAAAACCCCCGCCCCCAAACCGGGACACACACAGTTTCACGGCCAGTTTCCTTAACACACATGTTCCGTCTCGCGGCCACTCTTCTTAACACACATGCACCCCCCGCCCCCCCTCACCGCACCTGCTGGAATCCCCTCCACACCTCCGCGCCGCCCCCCAGCGGCACACAGCCCTCGTCCCCGTAGTAGAAGCCCCGACCCAGCACGGAGCAGCGCGGGTCGATCACAAAGGTGTGGCGGATCACCACGTCCAGCACCTGCGGGGGGGGGAGGGGGGTAAAGGAGGAGTGGGTAAGAGGGAGAGGCAGGCGCGACAGCAGGAATCCGCTGCCCCTGGAGCCAACTCGCACACACAAACAAACACAGCCCTCGTGGGCCAGTTTATTTTAAAATACAGTACACAGCAGCCCGCATTGCCCCAGTGCGCAAACCCACACATAGGGTTACAATCCTCAACTCCCCTCCCACCTCCCCCTCCCCCCCCTCCGAATGCGCTCACTGCATGAGTCGGGATATGGGATTGGGATTCGTTGTTTCACTTATTTAATTTTTTTCCCCTCTTGCCTGCATGGCGTCTCGCGGCGCAGTGGCCTGCCTCCCCGCCAGGTACGCCTGCAGCGAGGTGAGCGACACCACCGCAGCCAGCTTGGTGGTCACCTGGCGATAGGGGGGAGAGGGTAAAGAGGAAACAACTAACTGACTGAGGGAGTGGTGGGGGGGAGAGGAGGGAAGAGATATACAAAACCAAAGGTTAGGGCAAAGCAATGTAATAAAGGAGGGGGGAGAAAAAAGGATCCACACGCAGCCGACACTCGGTCAAACACACGCAGTCCCCACGCCCCACCCACCCACCTCAAACGCCTTGTCCCCCTCCCGCGTGTCGCCCTCGCGTGCCGAGATCTGAACGCGCCAGGTGCGCGGCTCCCGGGGCAGGAGCTGCGGGGAGGGTGAAGGGGGGGGAGTGAAGCAACGGAGGGGAACACAGATGGTGGTGGTGGGGGCGGTGGTGGTGGGGGTATCACAGCAGCAACGGGAGCGAGCAGAGGCAGCTGCAGCCGGCTGTACCAGTGGGACCCCCCCTTCTCTAGCCGTCTCCTCCCTTCCCCCCCCCTCCCCTCCCCTACCTCCTCCGGGAAGAAAAGGTTCCTGCGTCCATCGAACCGGAACGCCCCCGCCCGCCAGCCCTCCTGCCGCGCCAGCTCGGAGAGGATACGGTGGGCCAGGCGGGGGGGCAGGTCCTCACCACCCCCACCTCCTCCTCCACCTCCCTCGGCTCCTGCCGCCGGCTCGGAGGGGGCAGCTGGAGGGGGGGCGCCCCTGCCGGGGGGCCCCCTGCCGCCCCTGCCGCCTCGGCCCCCTCGCCCCCGGCCACCCCCGCCTGCATGGGTTGAGGGGGGTCAAAGACCATACCAAACCATAGGAGACCACAAGTTAGGGCAAAGTAATGAGGGGGGGGAAGCGGGTCAAGAGGGAAATGAAACCACCCCACAAGTGAGAAGAGACGATGTCACTTCCTGGCTACACCCCATTACCCCCCCTGCCCTTGTCGATCTGGCCTGAGGTCCCCACACACACCCTCAACCCCCCCCTCAACCCCCCCCCTCACCCCCCCCCACCTGGTGCGGGTGCGGTCAGGGAGCGGATCTCCACATCGTAGTGGTAGGCCTGGGGGAGGGGAGGGGGGTAGAATAAAATAAAAAAAATCCAATGTGTGGCATGACAGTGGTAAAACAAGCTGACAAGCCCTGAAGGCGGGGGGACGGGGGGCGGGGAGGAGGGGCGGGGAGGAGGGGCGGGGAGGAGGGGCGGGCGGATGTTGTGCACAGGGCAATGGAAGTAGGGGCCAGGAGGGAGAAGGAAGGAAGGAGGATGGGGGAAGAAGAGAAAGAGGAGGTACCCGAGCCCGGGAACAATGTTACGCCGGCAGACGGAAGGGGGTAACAGAGGAGGCAACAGGGGCAACAGTTGTAGCCGCTCCCTCCCTCTTCTCCCTCCTCTCCCCCTCCTTTCCTCCCCCTCCCTCTTCTCCCTCCTCTCCCACTCCTTTCCTCCCCCTCCCTCCCCCCCATTCCCCCCTCACATGCTGCGGGAAGGCGGGTGTGGTGCTGAGCATGAAGTAGTTGCTCAGCACGCCCACCGCGCGACCCACGGTTCCGTCGCCCGCCGGCCGCCGCATGACGTCGGGCGGCCGCTGGGAGGTCTGCAGCGACAGGCGGGAGAGCTGCGGGGGGGGGAGGAGGGTGCGGGGGTGCGGGGGGTGGGTGGGGAGGGAGGGGGTTTCAGGAGGGGTGAGCAGGAGGGCGGTTGGCGGTTGGTTTGCTAACGGTACACAATGTCCCTGTCCCAAAACACACACGTTTCACTATTGATGCCTCGCAATACCCCAACTTCTTGCCTCTTCCTTTTCCTTCCCCTCCTCCCCCTTCTTCTCCCACCCCTACTTTCCCCCTTCCCCCCTCTCCTCCCCCTTCCCCCCTCTCCTCCCCCTTCCCCCCCTGCCTCACTCACATCCGGGGCCGCCACCAGCGCCCGCGCCTCCCTCAGAATGCGCTCCATGATCGCCACACCCTCCGCCGGGGGCACAGGGGCTCCGCCGCCACCACCACCACCGCCTCCACCACCGCCTAAAGGGAGGGGAGGGGGAGCCAGGAGGGGGGATAAAGAGGAAACAACTAACTGACCGTGTGATAAGGCTCGTACGGACACACTGTACACGAGTACAGACTGTAACTGTAACTGATAAGGCATCATCATGGTTTGCAACAGCTAAGACTGCTTCATCAACTAGTGCGGCGCAAAAGGCGAGGAGGTACGAGACGGAGAGACGGAAAGAGAGCGAACACTCACAAACCGGTTCACCGACCCATGGGCCGGTCAAAAACACCGCACGCACAATGGGCGTGGACCCACGCCGCGACACACCCAGGAGGCAGGGAGGATGGTACAGACAGACCCGTGGGTCAACGAGAAATATCCGCGCTCGACAGACATAGCATAGAGCTAGCAGTTGGCTTACCTCCGCCCTTGCCGCCATAGCCGCCGCCTCCGCCACCTGCTCGCCCTGCTCCTCCGCCTGCTCCCCCTCCGTATCCACCTCCACCACCCCCACCACGGTAACCCCCACCGCGGTCGCCTCCTCCACCGCCGCCGCCGTATCCTCCTCCGCCGCCGCCGTATCCTCCTCCGCCGCCGCCGTATCCTCCTCCTCCGCCGCCGTATCCTCCTCCTCCGCCGCCGCCTGCTGGGCGACTGCCGCCTCCACCGCCCCCACCGTAGCCGCCACCACCTGTAAGATGGGTTGTCATGTGGAGGTGAGGGACAACCACATTGTGTTGTCGCTCTCAGGTTTGCCTGGATTTCATGTGGAAACCATCCAATCAAGGACGCGTGGTGTATACGCGTTGGAGTAAGTGCAAAGCGCAGGCGCGCGGTCTTATTGTGCTAAAGATCTATGGCATGGTCCAGCAATGACATTCAGGAGTTGGCACGACTAGGGTTGCATGGTATCCTATACGCAGTAATTATTTAGGCGTTTACGGCTTGGAAGCGCGGCCATTCATAAACGGGTTGTACGCCCCGGGGCGTCCGAGAGGAGCCATGAGCTCCTGACTTGTCCGCTTACCTCGAGCGCCACCTCCACCTCCACCGCCTGAGGTTTGCAATAACATCACCCATTAGCGCCTACAGTTGCAACGCGCCATAACCCGAGCGTGCTTGAGCGTCTTACCTCGGTCACGAGCTGACATTGCGTAGCGACTATCAGTTAGCAGCTATCAATGAAGGAATGGGTCCTTTGGAACAAACAAGTTGTGCTCCAACGCTACATATTGTGCATTTACTGCCGCTATGCACTCTACGGCGTACCCGACTACCCGTTATGCGCACCCGTCGACCCGTAATGGTTTCGGAGGCTGTCGGGCAAACGTTATTGAAGCTTTAAGATGCAAAGGTTGCCGTCAAGTGTCACGTTGAACAAAAAGGCTTCTTAGCGTTGGCTTCCTTGCAAATCAAGGGGTTCTACAAAATCCTGGCCATCTCAAAATATGAGGCAACCATTGTTCAAGAAGGTACCAATTCCTACACGTATATTTACATGCGGCTAATTTCGTGAGAATTGTTGTTCAAAGGCCGCCCAACCAACCGTCGCTTAGCATCGAGCATGTACAGACAGCCGTTTCCAGCACTCGCTAACAGCTTTACAGCCTGATTTATTCCCCATTATAGCGTTCACGCAAAGGCTTCCCAGCCATCCAATTCCCAGCACGTTGACATGGTGTAATTGTTGGACTTTGCTTGCCAAACCAGGCCAACCACCACATGCGCACAGTACCGGTATATCTCCGTTACACACAATGCGTACGTAACACGTCTGACAATATGATTCACAGGCCAAGCCCCAGTAATATTGGCGTTTTCAACCACACAAAGGGTTGCAATGGATACTCAACATGGTTACCAAAGGAAGAACCCGCAGCAATGTACGCGTCAAACACCTCAACCTACATTTTGTTCCCTGACTATGTTGGCTCTGACGTTGCCGCCAAACGATGCGCAACCCAACAGATACAAAAGCGCGCAACACCCACTCGAACCCTGAGCTCTGTCATTCGCTCACGCCGACCTCCGGCAGCTCCCGTGCCCTGCTGTGCGCTAACAGGTAACAGGGTAGCGCCTCACACAGCATTCCCGCCGCACACCACCTCAGGAAGAGCGTAACAATCCTACAAAAACACAGTGATAAAGTGATCCACACGTACCGGTATGCTACAAAGCCTTCCCATGTTCTTCTGTGTAGTATGTACCAACTCTGCTCCACGGAAATTAACCTCCACAGCGGCAAACCAAAGCAGAGGGAGTAAACAGACAGGATCCCCGTCTACACGCAATGTTGCGCTAAGCGTTGTTGCTGCTGCTGCTGCTGCGCAATGTAAGCTTCTGTTTGGGTGGACTCACACCACAGCACCCCCCTCAACAATTAACCAGCCAACCCCGCCCCCTGCTGGCTCTTCGCGGACCGCACCTCACATACCCCTTCGTCGCGCTCCGACGGCCCCTCCGGTGCCCCCTCCCAGTGCGGGAAGGGCCCTGCGACTGCTACTACTACTGCTACTGCTGCTGCTGCCGTCACTCCCTAGCGATCCGCAGCTTCATCCCTCCCAATACCCCCCCTAATAAGGGTAATAACACGCCCCCTGCCGCCCTCAGATGCGCTGGTGCCACAGGCTGCGGTCCGCCGGGCTGCCTGGGCCGCCCAGCGCCAGGATGATGTCCCGCACCTCCTCCGGCGGCGCTAACCCGAACTTCTGCGCCCGCTCCCATCTGGCGGCGGGGAGCCGGAGACCGAGGGAGGTGCGAGGAGGAGGTTTACAAGAGGAGCTTGCAATAGCCAGGAGCCCGACTTAGCCACGCCCGCTCACCACCTAAGATCACCCCTCGCAAGGCCCCTTACCGTTCGAGTCTTGTGAGGCCGGCGCAGGGACCGAACTTCGTTTGCAGGTCGAATTTCCGAAGCTTCTGCTCGTCCTCGGTCAGGTCCGCTGGGAATGGCACGTATAACAAACAGTCGGATGTCAGTCAGCAAGGAGTAACCGGCTCCAAAACATGTTCAGGAGCTGCTGAAAAACAGGCTGCTGGCCGGTCGAGATGTAGGAGCTGGATGTGGGGAGTGTGCATGTTGCCCATTCCAGGATGTGACCCATTCTGCCTGTGAACGCACTTACCGCGAGACACAGCGCCTTCACCAATGCTTCTAGATAGTACTTCAGGGTCTGGCTTGTCGTCTTCTTGAGCCCTTTGACGCTTCCCAAGCCTAGTCTTAGGGCCGGTGGTCGAGGGTTTCGTTTGTTGCCTGAAATGAGCCGTTAATCTGCCATCCTTTTTGCTGCTCATCATGCTGGGAGCCTAGCACTAATGCAAACCAGTAGACGCCTATCCTGGGGTTGAAGCCGCTGCCGATGATGCCCTAGTAGTATCGTGCTTTAGCTAAAGTCGGTAATGACTTTAAAGGCGACAGACCTTTATACCTAGGAGTGCAGAAAAAGTGATGTTGGGAGGTGGCACGCTGATTTCCATATCACGGCGGTTACTCGGCAAGGTTCCACGACATCCTGCAATCACATGTTTTGGGAAGAAGCTTATTATGTTCCTATATAAACCAATATGTTCCTAAGGCTTGACCCAGACAAGGGACAGCGTCGGCAACTGGGCAACCACATTACATGACCCGAGCCGCTCTTGCCATCGCACTGCCTGCATTCTGCATAACCTCCGGCTGTTACGCATATAGACAATGATACCCAGGCGACGCTGTCCTCACCGTCGCATGCACAGCAAACGCCTGTCCATGCTCAGCACAGCTGTCCATCATGTCCCCATGTGCTGCTTGTGTGCAAATGCACGTTCCAAGGCGTCCTTAATGAACCATAGCTACAGTGATCAACATCACTCATCAATGCCTAAAGCAAGTATGCTTCTTGGCCTGCCACATCGGTACGTACCACTTCTGATACCGGCCAGAATACATATGGCGTGCTTTCAAACCTGGGCACAAACTGCGCTGCCTCAAGGTGCGTAGTACATGTATTTGCTTCGAGACGAGCTTTTCATAAGCAGGCTACGGTGCCTGTCATGTGCTGGTCAAGATAGATACTCGTTTCGACCATACCTAGGGTCTTCAATTTCTGCTGCCTGCTTCCTAGGTTTACAGAGCTGCGTTCCTGTTGCTGCCCTACGCTACGCTGCTGTAGGATACGTGTGCGTTATACGGCGGGCACAGAAGAGACACAGGGATGTTGCCCTCCCCTCCCAAGCTGAGGGTGGGCTGAATATGTATGGACTGACTATATGTGGACTGACAACCTATGCACCCTTACAAGTAGTTGGTGAACGCTGGGCATCCCCCCACAACTGCGCCTCAGTCAACCCACACACTATTTCAACCATGAAAGCGCTATCAGGTTGTCGTACTGGTGCGCCACCAGCTCAGCTCGGTACGACAGGCTTCCGTAGCGGGGTCCACAGCGACCGTGTAGTTGCCGTACGCCATTTCGCTGGCAACCTGGTGCGGGTTGTTTGGGGTTGGGGTCGAGATTCGCAAGCTTAGAGGATATCGATGTGAACTACGATAAGCACCGGTCCAGTAAACACGAAGATGAGGTAACGGAAGATGAGGTCGTAATTGGGTGCCAAGTCGCAGGTCAACTAAGCCAGGCGTCATCACGAAGGGCGAAGCCTTTTGGAGTCCCTACATACTTCGTATCGATGACTTCATTAGTCTCCTTGGCACATCGTTGGACGCATCACTGTCCTCACCGTATGGTACAGCTGCAGGTTATGGCCGTACATGTTGAATCCGTGCCCCAGAGTCTTGCCGTACGACCCCCTCAAATGCGCCTTCAAGCTGTTGCTCTCCAGATGCGGCCGGTGCACCAGAAACGCCTCCGGATGAACCACCATGTCGTACCCCTCGTACGCAAGAGTACGAATATGCACAATCTTGTTCTTGCCGTACCCTCGGAAGCGCCAGTCAGCCCACGAGGAACTTAGGCGGTCCACAAAGACCCACGGTTCGTAGCGATCCGACCATTGTACGGTGTACGGAGCTGTAGCATTAAACCATGCGCCATAGTCGGTGTTCTTATGGCCGCTGGAGGCTGGGTCGAAGCGCATGATCTGCCGGGTAGGCCAGGAAAGCGGGACACAGGGGCGACCGCAGCAGCTCTCACTCCAACTTCCCAAGGTACAAGGTAACCAGCCATCCCGGCCCCTCACGCATGCGCCTCTTCTCCCGAACCCCTCCGCCGCCTCTTCCGCCCCTATCTACCCCTTGCCCCCCCCCCCCCACCTGCTGTCGCGCCCAGTACTCGCTTAGCTGCTGCTTGGGCAGCTCCACTAGCAGGTCGGCCCGGGCGATCTGAGCGTCAACACTGCCTCCCCGAGTCACGAACGCAGGCAGCACGTAAGCAACCCGTCGCTTCAGTCCTGCAGCAGCTGCAACAGCAGCAGAACCGCTACTCCCGCCCGCGCTCTGACTACCCTCTCCACTCAGTCGACGCAGCCCTTGCTGCTGCTGTCCCTGTTGTTGCCCCATTAACTTCCTCCACCTTCGTCCTCTCTGTGATTGCCGCTGCGATCCATTACCCATGCCACCCCCGGCCGCCGCCGCCGCCGCCTCCGCCGCCTCCGCCGCCTCCCGTGCTGCCAGCTCCTGGGCCTCTTGAGCCTCCAGCAGCTCCTGCAACCCGTTGCGCAACATCCACTCCTGTGGCCCTGGTGCCGTACCGTTCACGTTCAGCGCCGCCGCCAGCTGCTCCACACCGCTGACACGCGACATTCCGCTGGCGGCGGCGGCGCCGCGGCGGCGAGCTTCACCCGCCAGCACTGTCGCCGCCGCCTCTGCTTCCGAGACGTATCGCGCTGCCGCCGCTGGCTGCAGCATCTGTTGCCTGAGCGAGGAGGAGACGAGGAGGTCCACGTCAACCACGCCAATAAGGGGCGTGCGGGCCATGAGACGCGCGTAGTTGCGCATAATGTTGACTGGGTAGAGCACCAGCGATTTCCCTGTGGGAAGGCGGGTGGGAAGCAGGATGGGGTAAAAAAGGGGTGTGGACTCCCAAGGGGTAGTGCTCCATACGCTCCTATAAACATGCACGCTAGCACGAAGCGCCTGCCTGACGCCTTGAGTCATGTCCCAAACCCAGCGCCCTGACTCCCATCCCTCCTTTGCACCCTCTCCCTTTTCCGTATGGCTCCTGCCCACGCTTTATTCAGCCTGTCGTACCATCCAGGTACGGCTCCGCGAGCAGCATGAGGTCCATCTTGCAGGGCTGAGTGCTGTCGATGCGTGCATGGAAGGCGGCAACCGTGTCAATTGCTCGCTGCAGCAGCGTCGCATTGGCCAGATCCTCGAGCGTAGCGTCCGGCCGCCGCGTCAGACGTGGCAGCAGTACGGGCATGTGCAGTACGGCGGCAATGGGGCCGCCCCAGCTGCGGCACATGGCCTTCAGTTGCCACTTACGGTTCCATGAAAGCTGAGTGGTGATCGTGAGCGGCACGTCGGCGGGCTTGGAGGACCACCACATGCCCACCACTCTGAAGTGCGGGAAGATTTTATCTGACGTGGCGTGTTGCCATGTCGTACCGGTTTGACTAAGGTTTGACTGGTGGCTGTTGATGCAGTGCATGAGCTCCGCTGGAGTCGCTGGTAGCTCGTAGCTAGGGGTGTTGCTGCTGCTGCTGTCCATGCCATCGTTGAGGCTGCTGCTGCTGGTTGAAGCAGCAGCTACGCTGTCTCTAGCTGCAAGATTTCGCAAGGACTGAGAATTGAGCTGCTGTGAGGAGCTTGCAGCCGCCAAGAAGGATGCCCGGGGCCCAAAAGCTGGTAAAAGCAATGGCGCGAGGAGGAGCCCCAGTAGCGGTATAAGCGGTTTGCAATCTTCTGATCGCAAGCGCCGATACGCATGCGGCCGTTGCCCCCCTGAACTAGGGCTGGATGAAGCATCGGGCATGGATGGCAGCGGCCACGCCACCACGGCGCGGGAAGATGGAGGTGACCAGGTACCACCTAGCAGACCTTATCGTCGTGTTATTGGCAAACCCGAGTCATAGCGTAAGCATCCTGGCTGTTGCTATGGCCGCTTGCTATAGCAGCAAGGTACGATGGCCAAACGTAGACGTGTTCTCCAGCGCCCTGAGGATTGAGCAATTAATTTTCAGTGCGACGGGCTAGAGCGAATTGCATGGCGAGATACGCCTGGCGCTGTTGCTACCAAGGGTTAAGGGTTCGCAACGCCGTCCCAAGTTGATGTATACATAGGCTCGACGTCCAGCAAGAAACGCGCGTATGCAATATAGATTGAAGTGAAAGTGCAATTCAGTCACCCAATCTAAGTACCTCCAGCTTAGCTTCGCTGAAGCTCCAACCGCGGTTGAGGATGCCCTGGCCACAGCCCTTACAAACGATGTTCCTTGAAGAAATGTTACTATATTATGTCTTACAGATGCGCATTACATTTAGGTAAAGAAGGATGGTTGCAAATTGCCACACCTGTGAAAGCGAAGGATGATTAGGAACAGGCAAAGACACACATAAGAAGAGGTAACGACTCACAATCAAACGATGTCGGTATACTAGCGATTAACCATTGAGCGTCGTGGTTGGGTACACAATTGACCCAGCGGAGACCGCATGTCTGACATGGGGTTCGTATCAGTCAGCCGTGGAACTGTTACATGTGTTTTCCAAAAGCTTAGATACGCAATATAGGCATTAACTAACGCTAAGATAGGTGAGTGAGAATTGAGCAGGAAAAGTAGCATGCAGCTTTAAGCACAGCATGATTGTCCAGCCCCAGCTAAATGTCAACAACCCAGAAAGGGTTCTAAGTGGCATTGGCCCACTACAATAAATCCAACAGATAAGCATTATTCCAAGCGCATTATGTGCTTGGTAAGAGGCTAGAAGAGGACACATGCACTGTGGGCACGACCAACCAAGCGTGGTTTCCAACGCTGCGGCTAACAGCACACCGGGGACACAAACCGCCGCACCTATACAGCATGCCGGCATGGGCGACACAATCCGAGCTACAGGCCTCTCCCTACCGCGCCACGAGGCATACCCAGCCTTACTACACAAGACCTTCTACCACCACCAGTCCTTAAGTCCCCAGCAAAATCCTGCGGTGTACACTGCGTCAAACCATACCACGCAACCGCTATTCTTCATCCACGCGTCCAACATCCAACACAGACAAATGGTCTGTCAATAGCTATTATACCACCAAAATCCTTCCCAAACCTCGACCTCATCCACCTATCCTCAAACGCCAAACCACTCGCATTCCACCCACGCTCCTCCCATCTTACGCGCGCACAGCCCCAGTAGCCGCGCCTGCAGCTACCCCCGTCGCCGGCGCCTTGGCCCCCATGAGCCTCTTGAACATTACATTGTCCGCAAGCGCTGTCTGCACGTCCCGGACCATGACCCGCAGGCTCAGCCGCGTGGCCGCCGGAGTGCGCCCCTCCGTCAGGCGCAGCAAACCGTCGCAGTCCAGCCCCATGAGGGCATCCGTACGGAAGGCCGACTCGCTCATGGCGGGGATGTCCAGCTGGCGGCACAGGCCGCAGTAGGCAGAGTACACGTCAGCCAGGCTGAGCGCAAGGCCCGCGTCACCAGCCAGGATGCTGGCGGGGGTGCGGGAAGGCGGCGCGCGGGCGCAGCTACCAGGGGTGCCAGCGGCGCCGCCGCCGGCTCCAGGCCCTGTGATGCCACGCACGCGACTGACGGTCGGGGTATTAGCGGGTGCAGCACCAGGCTTGCCGGCCTTGCTGGGTGTAGGGCCGTCAAAGCAGGCGCCGGGGTTGTTGATGGGCGCGGCGGCAATCTGGTTGCCAATTTCCCGGAAAGCCACCGAGTCGGCGAATTTGGGTCGCGCGCCGGTGAACAGCGCGCCGTTGGGTTGAAATCCGCTTCCCGGCACGACGGCGGCGTCGGCACCAGCGGCGGCTGCGCGGGAGCCCACGGCGGTTGCGAGGGCCAGCAGCACGAGCTGCTGCTGGGGCGGCAAGCCCTTGATTTTGGCCACCATGGCCGACTGGCCGTTGCCCTGGCTGTTCATGCGCTGCAGAGCGGCGTGCACCTCGCGGATTCCGACAGAGGCACGCGCGGCGGCTGGCTGGGAGCGGTTGTGGTCCAACACCACGTCCAGAGCAGTGCGGCAGGCCTGGAAACAGGAAGTAAGAGCCAGAATCAACCGCAGGAAGAAATGCTTTAAGCAACAAGCCTTCCAACAAGTGATGCACAGACTCATGCACACTCTGATCCATCTGATTTATACATTCTCCCATCACATGCACGGCCTCGGTTCCGCGCCTCCCTACCTTGAGCGCATGGCGTAGGTCCCCGCTGCTGCTGCTGACGCTCTTGGCAATCATGTCCAGTGCTGCATCGTCGAAGCAGCGGCGCCCGCGAGGGTGGGCGCTCAGCTGCGCTGCCAGGATGGCGAGGACCTGCGGGCGGCTGTAGGCGGTGAAGACCAGGTGGCGCGGCGCCAGCCCCCTGGCTCGCAGCAGCGGCATCATGCGCTCTGTCAGGTCCAGACTGTTGGCCACCGCCAGCAGCACCAGCGACACACCTTGAAGGAGAAGAGGGAAGAAGGATAGAGGGAATGAACAAAAGGCAAGGAGCACTAAGCAAAACGTTGGTGTTGAAGAGCCTTGCAGTTTTGGGCGGAATGTGATCCTCGCTAAACGTCTGGTCTCTAGACGGACGAAAGAAGTCGAAGGAAGTCGACCTTGAACCTAGAGCGGAAAGACCCTGATCTGGTGCTGTGCAATAACTCACCCGGCGCCGTCGGCAGCTGAAAGAGCCTCGCCAGGTCCTCCCCGCCCTCCTTCCGCCGAAGCAGCCGGTCCACCTCATCTAGAACCACCACCACCACCCGCCGACCCAGGGCCTCGTCGCTTCCAGCCGCGCTCGAGCCGGCGGCGGCGCCGCGGCCGCGCTTCGTGCCCTTGGCCTTGCCGGCGCCCTTGCTGGATCCGCCGCTCGGTTGTACGACACAGATCTTGCGGAGGGTGGCAAGAAGGTTGTCGTACGCTGTGGCAGCGTCTGTGGCCGGGGTCGAGCCGGGTGTGCGCAGCAGCTCGTGCTGCAGCCTGCCGTACAGCTGAGCGGGGTCGTCCAGCGCCATGCAGTTGAGAGTGGCGCAGCAGAAGGAGACGCCCTTGTGCGCGGCAGCGAGGCCAGGCAGGGAGGCGAGCAGGCGCGACACGGTGTACGTCTTGCCGGTGCCTGAATGAGTGGCAAAGCAAGGTGGAGAAGAACACTTTAAGTGGAAGCGCGATCGTGTGCACTAGGTCACAGACTCACAGCCGTTTTTATTCACATCCTTGGGGTGTCGCCATACAGGAACAGTTTTGAGTCAGTTTCCAAGACCCGCAGACCCCTCGCCGTCTTTCGACTATATCACACCCGACCCACATGCTTTAGTCCCCAACCCACATGTCTCAAGCGCGCTACCCACCTGGTAGGCCGCTAATGTACACCGAATTGCCGCGTCCTGACGAGCAGCACTCCGAAACCATTCCGTACAGCTCCTTGAACTGCCCTCCGCGCCCAGCCGGCTCAGTAGCGCCGCCCACATCCGCGGATGCCTGGCCGTCAACCCCCGACGGTCCGGCAGCCGCAGTGGTGGAGTCAGCAGCGGCTGTTGCTGCGCACCCCATCAAGGTGCCCGCCAGGGCGCCAGGCATCAGCAGCTTGCGAAGTTGTGAGATCTCCGCGTCGGTGAGGGGGACTTTGGGTTGGGCAGAGGGTGCCACTGCGGGAGGCGCTGCCACAGGCGGTGCAGCAATAACTGGTTGCGGGGCCGGGACGGGTGCCTTGGGAGATGCAGGGGCAGCTGCTGCTGCGGTGGCGACAAGTACCCTACGGGGTGAGGCCGGTGGGCTGCGGCGCGGAGAAAGTGCCGGCAGCTGCGGCTGGCTCGGGATTACCGGGGGAGCCGGCTGGGGCTGGACCGTGGGCTGCGCTTGTGGCTGCGGCTTAGGCGCTTCCTCGCATGGCTGCGTGGAGGAATCCTGCAGCTGTAGCTGGTGTGCAGCGTCGGCCGCCTGTTCTCCAGAAGGTGCCGCAGTCTCGTTAGCGGCGGCAGTCGTCGCCTTGTTGCCTTGGGTGCAGGGAGCTGCGGCGCAGGCAGACGGACTAGCCGCAGCAGCAGCAGCTTTAGCAGCAAGAGTGTCGACCTTCGAGGGGCGACCGACCCTCCTGGAGCGCTTAAGGGGCCGCTCCTCGGGCTCTGGAGTAGGCTGCTCTGGTGCTTCGGCAGGAGCGCCGTTCTGAGGTGATGGCTCGGTTGCAGCTGATTTACGACCTCGGCCGCGTTGTCGTTTAGCAGCTTGCTGTTGGGTTTTGTCATCCTCCTTGGTGATGGCTGCAGGTTGGGGCTCCTTGACCCGCGAGCGCTTGCCTCCCTTTGCTGAAGGGGCGGCCACCTCAGCTTGCGGAACAGCTTCCGCCTTAGCATTCGCTGAGGGAGTAGCCTTTGAGGGCTTATCGGCTTTGCGAGCGGCGACACGAGATGATGTGCGCCTCGTTCCAGCTGACTCCGCTGAAACTGCTGCAGCAGCCGCGCTCGCACGGCGTGTTGTTGTCATAGTCTAATGTTTGTAAGCTTACAAGGCTCAGATGCAGAAAACAGCTTTCCTACGCCAAGTTTACCAGAAGGTCGCACTCCAATGTCCAAAAGTGAAGCTCTAGAGGCAGCTGCCCTTGCTGTATGTCAATTGAGGTGACCTTATGCAATAAAAATACAGGTTTTGCTACGAAGCAACTTCCTGGATGGCGCAGGTCGGTTTCTGACACCGTTGCTCGAACGCGACAGCCGCGGCGTTGGAATTGCCAGCAGCAATATATACTATACCCGTTTAAGATGACCGTGGTCACAAAGGAGCAAAGAAGATTAACTATAGTGCTCTGCGGTAGAAGTAGGCTAGGGACAGCCTAGGTGTACGGCGTGCTTCGAATTCGAGCAGCATGCTGCATCGCAGCACGGCATAAGTCTATAAGTAGTGCTCCCTGTCTGCTTACCTCCGCTTCGCCGAAGTCCCTGATTTACCTCAGCACAATGAAAGGCTCACAATTATCATCTTCGGCGAAAAGGATTCAGAAGGAGCTAGCCGAGATTAGCCTCGACCCGCCGTGCAATTGCTCCGCTGGGCCTAAGGGTGACAACATCTACGAGTGGGTTTCTACCATTGTAGGCCCTTCAGGTGAGCGGACTGAAATGTGAAGCCCGGAAAGTTACAACAGCGCGTACCCAAGTATCATATGCTGTGCTCTGTAGGTTCTCCTTATGCCGGGGGCGTTTTCTTCCTTGACATTACCTTTCCACACGACTACCCGTTCAAGCCACCGAAGGTGACTGGAGGGCTTTGGACAACAATAGCAGCTGTCGCGTGGTCTCCAGGAAACCAGGCAGTCTTGGCCTTTATCATCCTTCTGGAAAGCGCTATGTTGCAAACATAAGTTCCCATACTATGCTTGCGTTGCAGATCGTCTTCCGCACTCGCATCTACCATTGCAACGTAAACAGCCAAGGGCAGATCTGCCTGGACATCCTCAAGGACCAGGTTAGTACTTATGTCATGCTGTTTAAGTTTTGTCAAAAACTTTTATGATTTCTTGGACCCGCAATGGTGTTGCAGTCGCGATGTGCGTACTTGCCCACAATCGGGTAACGCCTCCGGAGCCTCTCACCAGTCTTTACTTTGTACTGAATTCTGCGCCCCACACCCGCACTCCACCCCTTCTAGTGGAGCCCGGCGCTCACCATCTCCAAGGTCCTGCTGTCCATCTGCTCTCTCCTCACTGACTGTAACCCAAGTGAGTGCCTAACTTGCGGCAATGTCTAGCGCTGTAGTTGTCGACGCGTTGCTGTAAAAACCCCTTGCTAATTCTGGCAGTTTACAAACCAGAAACAGGATAGGTGCAGCTGCTTGCAACTTTAGTAGCAAATCTGTCTAAAGTCGCTTTCCCGAGTTCCTTCCCCCCGTCTTCTTCCCATGCAGACGACCCGCTTGTGGGCAGCATTGCGCAGCAGTACCTGACGGACCGCGAGGGGCACGACAAGACTGCGGCCGAGTGGACAAAGCGCTACGCGCAGGGCTAAACGAAGCTGTGGTAGCGCTCACAGCGGCCGTGGGGAAACCCAGGGGTAATCTCATGGGGAGTCTCCTTCTCACATGTGGACATGTACGGCCTGACTTCGCATCCACGCATCACACCTTGCATGGTCAGCGGAAGGCCTTGAGGAGCATGTAAGATGGGGGAGGGTTGTGCGTGATGTATCTGCGGCCGCTGGGGTTTTTGCGCAGTGTTTTGAGATGTGGCGTTGTGGGGCCTCCAGCTGGTCCCACATTGGGGCCGCATCTTGCTGTATGTTGCAGGACGTGTGCGTTAGTCGGCAAATCGACTGCAGGTCTGGGGGTTCGGGCAAGGCAGCAGTGGTGCATGTGTTTTGACTGACTGACGCTATAGCGTAGGTTAGCCTAGAAATAACCGTAAAGTGGGTAGGTTAGGATCTAGGTTAGCGGTGAAGTGCCTATGGGTTATGGGCCTCATGGCCATTTTTGACCAAAAGCCGAGTTTGTAGGACATATGCGGTTCCTTGCGTTGGCAACGTTGTATTGACTTGCGCTGTTCACTCGTTTTGTACTTTGTACCTCTGGCCTGACATTGCGCAGTATGGCTAAGTGTCGTACGGCTTTCGCTTTTGTATGAGAGATGAGTTTTTCAGGAGGGAAACGGCTTGGGAAGTTCACTGTGGGCGCCAGTGCCCTTGCGCGACCCCCCATGTGGCAAGGTCCGGTGTAGCTACCCTGTGGCTGGTGGGGCATGCAGGTTGCGCTGGAATTGGGGCTGGAGTTGACGTGTACGGCTGTCAAGTAACAGGGCAGGACATGTCTGTATCATATTTAAACGGATGGGTTTGCTTTCATGCACAGTTGCTGTTTTCTCCGTTTGAAACACCTGCAACTGCAAAACGACAGTTATGTCTTGCCGTCTACGGATGGCTCATACGTCCATGTTCTTCAGCAGCCAGTGACCTTGTCATTCTTTAGAAACACACACGACACAGACACGTATAGCAGCCGAGAGCCCTACTGACAACAGAGCCCCATGGGCCACGAGACGCGTTAGTCAGCTTCTCAACTCTTTAAAGCACAATGCAGTCTTCAGTGCATATAAGCAAAACCTCAAACCCTCCTTGCGTGCCAGCCAGTCCCCCTCCTCCCCTTGACGCGCCCGTGCCAACTGCGCAACGCACATACGGGTAGTCATGGCTTGGCCTGCCTGCCAGCCATCACCTCCACAGTTAGCTCCCATCCGCACAAGCAGCACTAGTACCGTAGTCTCTCACTTCATTTAAACACCCGCACAGGCACTCCAACGCACACACAACGTTCCAGCAACAATCTACAGCTCTGAAGCAACCACAAATCAAGCATGCACATCTCCTCACCACCACCCCCTCACTGCAACCCAAAGTAAAACTACCCCCCCTTCCCCTCAATTTCTTCTTCACCCCTGGCCCCCCCAAGGTTTGGTCTATATCTTGACCCCCCCAAGCTCGTCAGTTTCCTCATTTTTCCTCCTAAGTTCCCTTGCAATCACCCCGCAATGCCCGCAATGGAGTCAATGATGACCCGGTATCCCTCCAGCACGGGTCGGTGCTCCCGCACAGCCTCGCACAGCAGCGCCATGTCGTGGGGGTCCAGATTGGGCTGCTTGGCCAGCCACAGCAGCAGGTGGAAGTCGGAGAGGCGCTCCACGTAGGGGCGGCCGGACAGGCGCTTCAGGTGCTCGCGCAACTCCGTCTTGCCCTGGAGGGGGGGGAAGGGGGGGTTCGAAAAGACAGGAAACCATAGGAAACCACGAAAAAGGGCAAAAACATGGAGGGGAAAAAACAAACAATGGGGGATGAGAACGCAAGAGTGCCACAAGACAATGGGAGGGTTAGCGGCCCCTACCGAAAGGAGGAGGAGGAGGTGAGGATAGGGAAGGTGGTTCGCAAGGGGTTGGGGCTGATGAAGCCGCTGTAGAAGAGGTCACATGCATACATGAAACGAGAACAACAGCAGCCATATGAGGCTCCCTCCAACCTCTCCCCCTAACCTGTGGTTTCCTATGGTTTGATATGGGGGATAATGTCTTTGACCCCTTCCCCCTCCGTCCTCTCTCCTCCCCAGCTCCTCAGTTCCCTCTGCTCCTCCCCCACCTGCGGGGTGAGTCTGTTTTCCACGTTGAAGGAGGTGGTGAGGCGGCCCTCGTGGTCCATGATGCGCACGGGGCACAGGAAGAAGTCGTTGTCAACCTCGTCCGCGTCCTTGCCTGCAGCGGTGGTGGAAAGGGAGGGGAGGGGTAAAAATAAGGAAACTGACGAGGCAACTAACAGGCTGAGGAGCGGGGGTAAGATAAACACACCCGACGTGTTGATTGATAATGGCAAAGGGGAAGGGGGAGGGAATGGCCAAGGCAGGGGGCCAGGGCCGGGAGGGAACGTTCCAATACGGGGAGTCTTCTAATGCCGGTAATGCACTCCGGTCGGCGTTGCTCTGCTTTGCGGCTCTGTGTTGCTTACACACATACACGCACGCACATACACACGCACACGCGCCGTGGCGCCCCCTCTCTCCCGCCCCTCAGCCCCTCCCTCTCCTCCCTCCCCTCCTCCCCACACAATCCCGCAATCCCGCCCGCCCGACCCCTCCGCACCGTTTAGCATGACCGGCTGCTTGACGTCCGGCTCCTTGGGGTTCACCATGCGCGACACGCCGTCCACCGGGTCTCGGGGAACCACCCAGCCCTCGCGAGCCAGCCGCACGGCCAGGTCGCTGAGAGGGGGGCGGGGAGCCGGTGGGAGGGAGGGGGGAGATGTGCCAGAAGAACCACGGGTTAGGGTAAAGCAATGGGGATAGAGTGAATCAATGGGGGGGGAAGGGAGGAGGAGAGGTCAGGGTTGGGAGAGGGGGTGGTGGTGGTGGTGGTGGCTATTGGAGGATTGGGACTCAGGACTGAAGAGGTGATGAGGGAGCAGCAGACGGCGGTCCAGCTTAAAACTTTATTGTTACGACTGGGTTCCCCGCTCTTTACCGCGCTTCTCCTCCCCCTTTCCCACCCTTGCCCTCCCTTGTTTATCTAATCCCCCCCACCCCGCCTCACCTGCATTGGAACGCCTCGAAGTGCACCTGCGGCCCGGTGTCCGCCTCCTCCACCAGCGTCACAAGTGCGGTGGTGCAGTGCTCGCCGATCTCATCCTGTGGGGGTGCGGGAAGGGAGGACAGCGGGAGGAGGAGGGAGGTGGGAGGAAGTAGCGGTAGGGGGGGATAGCGAGAACAGAGCTGCCGCGCCGCCGACGTCCAGCCAGCTGCAATTAATGACCCCCCCAAGAACCCTTTCCCTTACCATCCTCCATCCCTTCCCCGCCGTTTCCGCGGCTTAGTTTCTCTAACCCCCCTTTTTAATAGCCCGTTTCGAGTAACCCTATACACATTACCCCCTCCCCCCCCCCTCCTCCATCTCCCTCCCCCACCTCACACAACACAACACATGTGGTATCCTTCCCCCCTTCCCCCACCTGCATTGCTTTGCCCTAACTTGTGGTCTCCTATGGTTTGGTATGGTCTTTGACCCCCCCCACCCGCGCCGTTTTTCAATAGTGCCGTTCCGCGTGATATAGGCTTTTTGGTTCATTTATTATTACACTGCACTTTTCCGTCCTCCGCTATTCCTTCACTACTACCAACGTTTCCTCCTTTCCACCTTCCCACATGTTTCGTCCCTGGCTGGCCTCGCTCTGGATTGGTCCCTGGACATGGCGGCTGGCCCTTCACGTGGTTTCCCGGTACACACCTCTTTGTGTACCTAGGTACGTGTTTTATCATGTGTCGGTCCGTGTTGTTTTTTATGAGTGCTCGTGTTGTGCTGTTCCTGCTGTTTGCGTATGCCCCACGGCGCGGTGGGTCTCCACCTCACCTTCAGCAGCCTCCACACATGCCCAAGCCTATGGTAAGGTTCCTCCATAATTGGTAAGTTTAGCTCGCTTTGCTTTAACCACCATTTCGGCTCGACTCACGGTTGATTCCAACAGGGATTGTCAGCAACTTATATCATTATCACACCACACTTTGGAATTTCTTTTTTCCCCACCTGCATGGCGGCCATCATGAGCAGCTCCTCGCTGTTGATGATGTAGTCCCCCTCCGCCGCCGCCCGCTGCGCCCGCACGCTCTGGCAGAAGATGAAGCCCACCTTGCGGTAGCCCAGCAGCTGCGCCAACAGGTCCACCTGCGCCTCCTCGGCCGTGTGGCGCTGCAGCTGCAGCTTGTCGGCGGAACCCTCCTGGGAGGGGGATGAGAGGGAGGAGGGGGAGGAGGGAGGGGAAAAAAGGAATTCCAATGTAAGAGGGAGGGGAGGAGTTTAAGAAGAATACCCAATGGGTTGAATGTGGGCTTCAGCATGGGGGGTGCATACATGATAGCCGCCCTAGCCGGCCCATCCCACCCGAAGGAGCAAGGAGGAACGGAGGAGAGGGGGTTGGGGGTACAGGAGAGTGCGTGCGGTACGGCATACCGGCAAGTGCCGTACCTGCGGCGGTTCGTATATGAAGTCCACTTTGACGTGTTTTTCGTCGTCCACATAGCCGTACAGCAGCCCGCCGCGCTTGATGGAGAAGTTGAAGGCGCCTGGGGTGGGGTAGGGGTTGGGCGGGTGAAGCAAAGAAGGAAACTGACGAACTGTATGACGAGGCTTATCACGGGATCCAAGTCCCGGCCATGGCCTCAGCCGCTGCCGGTGTGTTATGAGACGCCCTGACTCCCATCAGCCCTCTCCTCCCTCCTTCCACATTCCCACTCCCGCCTCCCCCTTCCGCCTTCCCACAACCCACACCCGCCCCCACACCCGCCCCCCGCATCACCCCCTCACCTTGCAGGTAGGATTGGAACACGTTCGCCGCGTTTCGGTCGAAGCTGACTGCCGGCACGTGCGGCTGCTCCTGCCGCTCGATGCGCACCACCTTGGCCATCACGTCACTCAGAGTCATGTGCGCGCCGAAGGGCTTGGCTGCGGTGAGGGGGCAGGGTGTGGAAGTGGGAGAGAGGGATGTGGAGAGTCAAAAGGAGGAGAAGGACCTGCCCCGGCGGACGCCATCCTCCTCCTCCTCCTCCTCCTGGTTAATCCCACCAGGGATTGCCAGCAACTTGTATCATTATCACACCACACTTTGGAATTTCCTTTTTTCCTTTTCTCCTCCTCCTCATCATCATCATCATCCGATCTCCGCATTAGCCGCTCAGTACGGTCAAGAAGTACAATCAAGTACGGCAGTTCCCCCCTCCCGCCCCCCCCCCGCTCACCAACCGGCTTCACGGCTGGCTCCACTTGGCGCTCGAAGCTGTAGAGCAGGTAGACCATGTCGCCGTGGGACACACCCAGCGACCTGCGGGAGGGGGTTAAAGAGGGGGTTAAAGAGCAGCATCGAAGACCCGCCCAGCCTGCTTGGCCTCAGCTGCTCTGCTCACTATACCATCATCACCCTGCCCCCTCCTCCAACATCCTGAAATCCTCCTTTCACCTACACCGAGACTTCAGACCTCAACAAAGCTTTTCATCCTTTCCTTCTCCTTTCCCCCACTCCTATCGTCCTATGGTTTGGTCTTCCCGTCCCCCACCCCACCCACTTGAGCGACGCATCGTTGATGGCCATGTCTCTGAAGCTGTACGGCTCCTTGCTAGTCAACAGCCCGGGCTGTTTGGAGAGGTGCATGTCCTCCGCGGGGATGGCCAGCTGCGCCTGGATGGCGGCCTTCAGGGCAGCTAGGGTGGCGCCGTCGTCTACCTGGATGCGCTCCAGGCCGTCACGTGACCGCAACCGGAGCAGCATTGTGGATGGATGGAGGGAGGAATGGATGAAGGAGGAGGAGGGTGATGAGGGTGATGAGGGGAGAAGAGATTCAGCTACACAGGTTGCCGCCCGGCTGCTGCTGCTGCTGGGGCGGTACCAGGGATGATGCTGGGGACGTACGACAGCAGCTGCTGCTGGGGCTGCTGCTGCTGCTGTAGTTCACTGCTGATGCCGCTGCTTGCAGGGCAAAAGCTCTTAGCAGGCTTTGTACACAAACGCTGGCGCCGGTGGTGCTGCCGCCGCTGCAGTTGTGCAGAGCCCAGCGTCTGCTCCTCCCTTTCGCTCCTTTCCAGCCAGCAACACGCTGCTGATTGCGCCTCCGCGTAAACAACAAATTGTACTTCTCTCTGTTGTTCGTGATGTTGTTGTTGATGTTGTTGTTGCCCTGCGTAATTCGCTAGCGTGTGGTCGGGCCTCAGACGTCCCGGACAAGGGGGCGGGGATAGTTGGGGTCCCTCTCCGGAAAACGTTCAAAAAGTAGGTGGCGGTCTGAGGGCTGCAATCGGTCCTGGGGTGGCTGGAGAGATGCCTGTCCTGCGGTGTCAAGGCGGGAGGGCAGGGCGGGGCGGCGGCAGGCAGAGTGAGGGGCAGCCGCAGGCAGGCAATGAAGAGTGCTAGTCGTGCGACCCCGTGTTGCTTGGCTTGGCTTTGTTGCAGGTTTTACAAGCCAGGCAGACTGTTTGGCGCATGGTATGATGCGCGGTTAGGACTTCCTCCTGATGGCATGCAATGCTCCTGGGTCGTGGCATGGTATCTCTTTTTGCTCTCTTTCTCTGCCTTCCTTCCCCCGGACGTCAGGCGATCTTAGCTTTCTTCATGCCACACCAGCCTACGGGGGCAGCGTGCCGCGCGCGACTGCTAGAGAGTCGCCGCGCGGCAGCTTTCCCCTGCAGCTGTGGGGGCTGGCAGGTGCGCGGCGTAGCAGCGGCAGCGGCCGGGCAACCCAGCCGGGAGGGAAACACGCGAGGCGGCAGAGGGGGCTCTGGGGTTTGCACCCCGTCACAGACCCCTGCTGCCACCGGGGGATCCTCCCTGCCGTACCGGCCGCTGTCCTGGCTGCAACACCCCGCATTGCCATGCCCATCACAGCCGGGCTGGCGAGCGCTTAGCAGTACCTGTCGCGTTTCATCATCCGTCCAGGGAAAGGAGGCTAAGGATATGGGCAAATGATTTGGTGTCCCTGGTGCTGTTTGCAGGCTATTTAAGGGAGGCCGCATGCGATGGCGTAAGTTGGACCTTGACGACATTTGGTTAGAACGCGGTGTGAAAGCTACGTCCGTTTGAGAGACTTGGACGTCATAGATCCCGGGCCAGAATAGGGATGCTGCTGCTGCTTGTAAGCCATGCCTGCTGCGCAGGTCTTGAGTGGCAATCCGCTATCTCCATGACCAGCTGTTAAGACTCTCCCATGCTAAACAAATGACGCAACTACTTAAGCGAACAACAGAACAGTGCAAGGCCGATCCCAGGTCGCGTCAGGTAAAAAGACAGTATTCATTAACACCTTTTTCAGTAGTCAATCACCTATAAGTATGAAGTGATCCAGCCAGCGGCCTCCTATTCAGTCAGTGCCACGAGCTGTTTCGACAGCTGTTGATAAAACAACTGAGATCTGCAGGTGACACCCGTAACAAGCTTAGGGAAACTAGTAAGTACTAGAAGAGCATTCGGTGGCGTAATAGGTCATCATAGGAAGCTTCGTTGGAGGCGTGGGACGAGCATAGTACAGCAATGGCCATAGCGTAAGCGCACGCTTGCCCATGCTTCGAGCGGGAGCTCCTGGACGTCAAATGTTATCTGAACTTGCATGATCGGCCCATTCCTGCAGTACCATTGAGTATGTGGTTCAGGGGCAGCTAGCTGGTCTGTACTACTGCGCAAGCTGGTCGAAAGTATCTGTGACCGGTATTGTGACAGCACAGTGTGCGTTGTGCTATAATACCTTCCAGATGATCAGCCTAAGGCTTTTTTTCCCGATGTGGACTGTTACAGAGGAAGGACAGGAAGACCACCAAGAAAACCAGCGGAGAAAAAACCCACTGGATACCAGGGAAGCACCCCAGGCTGCCTTTCAGTATAACCGTCACCCCACAACGCAACCTACCTCTACAACGTTAGTCCTCCCCCCTCTTCAGAATGCGTTTTTCACTTCAGGATAACGAAGTGTAGAGGACACAACCCTGCACGTGGTGTGGTCCTTCCCTTACTCTCCATACGGTGTGCGCGTCTCGACACGCCCTCCACCGGGCATCAGTGCTTCCGCTTATAAGACAACCCGCCCTCATCTTCATCCCCTTAAATACATCACAACACAAACTAAACTGGACAAATCCTCTCAAGGCAGCAACCCCCTCCCACCAGCTAGCACGAGTTGAGAACGCACGCAGCCCCTTCCCGTCTGCCAACCATGAGCACCATGCACCGCAGTATCCGACCCAAGGTTCACACGCACGCAAGGGTCCACTAACCCAGTCATTGTGAGCCTTTGCTGCACGCTTACTGCTGTACCCCACGTGACGCAACGCACGAGCTGTTATCCCTGCAGTGCATGATTGCATGCACATGCTCACAGGTCCAAATGTAGGTCGAGTCAGCAACAGGTGGTGATCTCCTCCTTACCAGTCTCCGTACCTACCTTCCCCTGCCTCCAGCCTCGATAGAAACCACCTCGATAGGAATCACCCCGATAGGAATCACACCGCGTTAATGCCGTTGGTGTGTCTGCCCTCACAGACCCCGGCCTTCCAACCCATCTTGTGTCGCACAGGGCAGCTGGAATACGGTGCCACCGGCCTCCAGACCAGCGGCCACCAGCACACCACACGGCAGGTAGCCACCGCACGGCCATGTCAAGGTGGGGGCAGCGCACTCAGCCGCCCCTCTCAACTGAACACGCTTGACGCACATTGCAAACGCGAGTGAAAGAGCGCGCGCACAGGGCCCATGCGGCCCTACCCCATACAGGTACACCATCTCATCTCATTTCCCTCCTCTCAGTCCGCCTGGCCGGTGTAATTGCCGCTGTCCTCCACCGCGCCCGGTGCACCCGCGTGGGCACCGCTGCTGTAGAAGGCGGGCGGGCCGCCGCCACCGCCACCACCGCCCGCTGCTGCCGCGTTGGCAGGCGCGCCGCTGTAACCGCTGCGGCCGGACGCCGGCCCCTGCGGCAGCGGCAGCGGCGGACCGCGCTGCATGCCCTCCGCCGCGTGCTTGGTCACGTCTGGGGGCGGGAGGGAGGCAGAAGGAAAATTATTTTCAAAAAGGGGAGGAGAGTAGGAGGAAGAGGAGGAGGGATGGGTCGGCCAAGGAAAGCAGGGCCGAGGTGAGGTTGAAGGGATGAGAGGAAAGCCAGGAGGTTACGCCCCCCATCAATCGCACATCACTCCTCCCTCAGCTGTCTAGGAGATGCTGTTCCCATCCTCCCTGCCCTGCCCCACCTAACCAACCACCCCTGCCTCCCCCCACCCACCCCACCCACTACTTCGGGTAGGGTGGGATGGAGCGGCTACCATGTTTGCACCCCATGGTGAAGCATTGTCATACAGCTCGTCAGTTGCTTCGTCAGTGTCTCACCCCCCCCACCCACCCAGTCCCGCTAGCTCCTGGTCCACCGGCACCCTCAGCCTCCGCGCCGCCTGCAGCACGTAGAAGAAGGCGCCCATCATGAGCCCCACCCAGCCGCAGATGGACAGCGCCTCGATGAACTGGCACAGCAGCACCTGGCCGTGCCCGCCGTAGAAGATGCCGTACCTGGGGGGACAAGCACACACCACAACCACAGGTTAGGGCAAAGCAGGTGGAATAGAGTGAAGCATGGGGTGCAAGCGTGGTGAAGCACTGTCATGCAGCTCATCAGTCTCCTCCTTTTTACCCCACCCCACTGCTAGCGCAGGGAGTACGGTACTCACTTCCCCGCTGCGTTGACGCTGGATCCAAAGCCGTACGAGCCGTACACCTCCCGCACGTACTGCGGCTTGGCCAGCAGTCCGGGGAAGGTGAGGCCCCACAGGCCGCACGCCAGGTGCAGCGCAACCGCACTGACGGGGTCGTCTGGCGGGGGAGGGATAAAAAAAAGGAAGGAGGGGGAGGGGGATCAAAGACCATATCAAACCATAGGAGACCACAAGTTAGGGCAAAACAATGGGGGTAGGAGTTGGCTGGGTGCCACAAGACAAAGGGTTGGTTAGTATTCCCTACCGATACCGGGTCCGCGTTGCTGATGAAAGGTTGAAAGGGGGAGGGGGAGGGGGGGGCGCGGAAAGAGGGGTGGCGGGAAGGGGGGTATGGGGGAAAACTAAAGATAAGTGCAGCAACGGAGTCCCAATCCCGAATCCCGACACATGCAGTGAGGGGGGGGTCAAAGAAGGAGAAACTACGTTGGACGGTTTGGACGTGGGCAGGAGCAGGGACTCAGCACGCGAAGCCAAACCCTTCCTAACAAAACCCAGAAAGGCAAGTTAGGGCAAGCCAATGGGGGTAGCAGGGGGCTGTGCAACTGGATGCTTTCATTCTCTCCTCCCCCCGCCCCCCCTTTCCCCCTGCCTCCACGGTGGGAACTCCTCTTCCCCCCCTCCCCGTGCCTCTACCCACCAATCTTCATCTTATACCACCAGCCTAAAGCGCAATATGTATCCCAGCCTCCATCCCCCTCCACCTACCAATCTTCATCTTGTACAGCACCACGTGCTCGCTGCCAATGAACACCAGCGCCGCCACGCCGCCGCACAGCACCGCCGCCCAGGGCTCCACCACCGCGCAGCCGCATGTGATGCCCACTAGGCCGCCCAGGCAGCCGTTGCACACCAGCACCGTGTCCCAAGTGGAGGACTGGAAGTAGCGCCAGAAGAGGGTCACCAGGCCGGCGGTGGCGGCGGAGAGGGTGGTGGTGACGGCGACGCGGGAGACGACGATAGCGGCGGCCTGGGGGGGGGAGGAGGGAAAGGGGGGAGGAAGGTGGTGTGGGGGAAGGGGAGGTGGGGTTAGAAGGGGTGAAATGAGCGGGTGCGTGTGGGGGTGATGAATTGATCACCCACGGTGGTCTTCTTCTGTTACCCATCCACTCAGCCAGTCACCCAGACAGACAGAGGCGCCCATTCCATCCGCCAGCCCACCACCCTCCCCTTTCCCCGCCCCGCCTACCCGTGTCGCAATGGTGAGGTTGGACCCCGGGTTGAAGCCGTAGAATCCGAACCACAGCAGGAAGGTGCCCATCACCACCAGCGTGGCGGAGTGCCCCTTCATCTCGTTCACCTTGCCGGACGCGTCGAAGCGGCCGATGCGGGGGCCGATGATCTGCAGGGGGGGGCGTTAAAGGGGTGAGCGTGTGTATGGGAGTAGTTGGGAGTTGGTGGACACACCCATGCCTCCGTGCACAACACACACGACCCTCCCTGCTGCTGCGCCCCGTCCCCCCCACCCCTCTCCCAAGCTCCTCCGGACCCCTGCCAGCCTGCAGCTGCACGCCAGCCACGCCTCCTTCAAGCCCCCCGGGTGCTGCAGCCCCAGCTGCTGAGCCCTCCCTGCACCGCACTGCGGCACCCCCTCCAACACACACCTGACCCTGACCCCGCCACCCCACCCATGATGACGCCTTAGCACACGGCCAGTTACCGGTAGTTAGGTTACCGCCCCCACCCCTCCCTCCCTCATTGCATGAGTCGAAATTCGAGATTGGGACTGATGCGATTATCTATATTTTCCCCCCTTGATGACGCCTTAACACACAGTCAGCTAGGTGTTTCTTCTTTACCCTACCCCACCCACCGAACCCCAACCCTCCCCCCCGCCCACACATTGGAATTTCTTTCCCCCCCGCCCCCGCTCACCCACGCCCCCATGAGCGCCGCCATGCCTCCCGTCACGTGCACCACCCCGCCGCCCGCGAAGTCAATGGCGCCCGTCTTCAGGATCAGCGCGTGGCCGTCATGGGAGCTGCGGAGGAGGGCGGGACACGGGGGGTCACAGACCATACCAAACCATAGGAGACCACAAGTTAAGGGGGGGGGGGGGAGAGGTGAGAGGTGAGGGGAATGAAAGGAGGGAGTGGGGGCACTCGGGACGTGCGGGGTAACCAATTGGTGGCATGCAGTGACGTTCTTGCTGCTGACGCGCGGTCTAGGCAGCAGAGGAGGCGGGTCCGTGTGGTGCCGCGGCCCCAAGGCAACAGCAGCAGCTGCCTTGGCGCGCGGCTCTCCCATGCATGGCTCTCCCTTGCGAGCATGCAACTACCTCCCCAACCACACATCCGTTCCTACTCGCAGCCACACTGAACACCCCACCCTCCTGTGCTTCACTTCCATCATCTACACCCCCGCACCAGCCCCCTCCTCCTCCCCCGCCTGCCCCTGCCCCTCCTCCTCCCCCTTTCTCGCCCGCCCCTCCCCCCCTCACGTGTTGAACGCCGACAGCCAGCCGTGCTGCGACCACACCCAGTGCACCACCACGGGGTACACGAAGCTGCTGATAAAGAAGGCGTAGGCGAGGTAGGCGCCGAAGGAGCAGCGCTCCGCCACCGCGCCCGACACGATGGTGGTGGCGGTGGCGCAGAAGGTCCATTGGAAGAACCAGGCGTGCCAGCCCTGGGAGTCAAATCAGACCAGGGAGGGAGGCAGGAGGCGGTGTGGAGGGGGAGAGGGGATGGAGGAGGAGCGGAAGAGGGGGTGCGGCGAGGGGTAAGGTGGGGTAAAAAGCGGGGATGATGAGGCTGGATGAGGGTGAGGGGAGGAGGCACGAGCGGGAGGGAGCAGCAGCGGGTGGGTTGGGTTAGGGGCATGTCGCAGGTCACGCGTGTGTTAGCCTGATGGGTGCACCGGTGTACCTGCATGGCGTAGCCGTCGTAGGTGGCGTGGGAGTCGTCGCGGCTCATGTCGGTCGTATACGACAGGGCGAAGTTCCTGAGGAGGTGTGTGTGTGGGGTGGGGTGGGGGGTAAAAGGGATACATATTCCGCATTAGGCTGGGGTGTGTGTGGGAGGAAAATTATAGGTAAATGCATCAACGGAGTCCCAATCCCGAAGGAGGGAGGGGGGCAGAGCGGGTGTGTATAGCCGGGTAGGTAGGGTGTAGCAGTGGGGGCGCTTGCCGTGGGAAAGGGACAAGGTGGGAGGGGTGTGCGGTTGCGATGCTCCTCGCTCTCCCCGGATGGGGCATGTAACCACCAGGAGCGGGAACACGTCGATGTGCTGTGCTCGACACACGGGCCCCAATAGTTGCGAGTAAACCCTTAGTTTTGTGGCATGACTGAGCCCCCTTGGCAACGCACCAGTTTCCAATGAACCGGTTGGATGAACGGTTCAGGTGGTGTCCGAACGCAAACGCGTAGCCGAACAAGTAGAACCCGATGGCACCCGTGCATGCGTCAAGCACGTTCTTCATAAGCACGTTTAGGCTGTTTTTACTGCGAATAGCGCCTGCGCATAGCTGGGCGTAGGAAAGGGGCAATCCAATGAAGTTTGTCGACAACTCCGACGCCTTAGAGCCCTGCATGCGTGCCTACGCCAATTTGCTCACCAGCGCGAAGCCAAGCTGCATTGGCCCAAATACCAGATACGCGCTGAATAATAAGAAAGCTATATCCAAGCTCAAAGACACCTCCGCCGGGGCTGTCTCCGCGACCACCTCTGCAATGTCCTGCTGCTGTGTCGCCAAGTATTTGAGTACGCAAGACACTGCCGTAAAGCTACAGTCGTAGGTATTACAAATGGTGTTGGCGACAGTCTCATCGCCAACCAGAGCAAGCACCTCCGTTTTCTGGTCATCGGTACAAGAGTAAAGAAAGCTAGACATTTTTGTCAAGGTCGCAAGATATGTTTCAATATGGCTCAGAGACTTAGTGTGACGTCGTTACCGCTAGAACAGTAATTGTTCACATTTGGCAACCTAGCCGGTGAGTACATGTTTAGCCTACGAGTAGCCGCTAATACCTATAGCCATAATCCTTTTCAGAAATGGATGTTCCCATTGGAACCCCAATCGGTCAAAATCGTTGGTCGTACGACCGTACTTCTTGGGCTTGCTCCCGGCGACATGCCTATCACGGCGCTTTCCACCCTGTGCGAACTTTATCCGGGCTTCAGCTAAAGTCCATTGCTTATTGTGTAACTGAAGGTTGCGGCAGGCACCAGGTGCCTCAAGAACAAGACCCAAGGTGGGAATGTTCTACACGTAAGCAAGGGCAGCAGCAGTCTTGTCCCTACCCTAGAACGGCAGAAAGCCGGCGTGTTGCAGCGTTTCCTGTTACATGCTCCCTCCTCAGCCGCCAACACATGGCCAGCCGGTTCCGGCTGGTACGGAGTTATGCCTCATGGCAAGCTCCTTCAAATTTTCCATATTCCTGCAAACCCTGCCTTATGAAGTGCACCCCCATGCAAAGCATGCCGGACCCGAGTTATCCCCAAGCCAATCACAGGGGCCAATGAAGCAAGGCCGATCATGTGTCCTGGACTGCGCTTCACGGGACGACAGCTGCGGATCCCGTGGATCCCGTTTTACAGTGGATCTGTCGTACTGTTTATCTCATTCAGTTTAGAAGACAACAACCACCACTACAGGGACAGACATGGAGCATGTGCACAAAGGCGCGAACGTTGAGCATTCTTCAAGCAGCATACCTTTTCTACTCACACAATGCACCACACCAAAACGGACGCATAAGGGCCATAGAAACCTTAGAAAGCAACCGCCCTAGCGTAGCATTCCTGCACAAACCCAGACAAACGCTCACACTCTGCTAACACCTACACACACCTACACCCGCACCAACACGCTTCCCAAGAAATGACGTCAGCACAGCTTCCGACGCAAGCACCCACCGCTGCATATCACCGCACGGACTGTTAAAAGGCCCCAAAATCTTGCTGCCACGAACACATTTGCTGCAAGGGCGTTTCTGCTGACGTACAATACCAACCAGCAACCGCACCACGGTACGCCCCTCGTGCTGAGGTGGTGCAACCCACAGTCTCACCCGCGCTCACGGACACCCACACACGCATGCATGCAATACGCACGCTTCTTGTATGCACTCCCACCGCTGGCTGCAGTACATTGTACAAACCACCAACCATGCAACTTTGTTAGCGTAACCCATCGGGCTGCATCGGGCTGAATAAGCCAAGGACCAAGGACCCATGGGTCGTCATGCACATGGGTCGTCATGCACTGCATGGCACATTGCGTCCTCATCAGCAACAATCAGGCACCTGTCACCGAGCAGCAACACTACAACCTTACACAACAGAACAGGCGACCATCATGCAGCCCGGCATCTGTTTGGCTGCTACCTGCTATCCCCCTACCTAGCCTAACGAATCCAGCCGAATGCGGTATATTTTATCCCTATGAGTCCCCTTGCTGCTCTCCTCCTCCTCCTCCCCCTACCCCCTGCCCCTCCTGCTGCTCCCCCCCCCTTCCTACCCACATTAGGTAGGAATTTCCTTCCCCGCCTACCGCCTCCCCCCTACCCCCTCCCCACCCGCTGCACCAGCACCGGCACCAGCTCCGTGTTCTGCGGGCGGTACGGCTCGCGCCCCACCGCCAGCAGCACCGAGCGAGTGAAGCCCGAGTGCGTCACAACCACCACCACCCGCTCCGGCGCGTGGGCCCACAGGTCGGCCAGGAAGCTGCGAGCGCGCTTGACCTGGCGGGGGGAGGGGGTAAGGCGGGGGGGTGAGGCGGGGGAAAGCGGGGTGAGGCGGGGTGGGTATCATGGGTGTCAAACTCATGTCAGGGGTCTGTAGTGTGGTCCTGTCATAGGATACCATTCTTTTAGCGGTGCGTGGAGGTGGGAGGGGCGGTTCCTCCAGGGGCGGCTCCTCAGGGTTGGGGCGGCTGGGGGCCAGGGGCGGCATTGACGGACCCCCCATGCAGCGCCCGCTCGCCCCAGGCGCGCACAACTGCGGTGCCCTCCCCTTCGACACCACCCCCATCATCCTCACCTCCCCCCCCCATTTATAATTCCCCCCCATGCAGTTGTCTCTTCCCCATTGCCCACTCTCCGAACCTACTTCCCAATACCGGCACCACAACCACCCTCACTTGTGCTTGCCTATGTTTCAACCTGTCCACAGTCCTCCGCATACACACACCCCAGGACTTCATCTTTCGGCAATCACAGTACGCTTCGCCTCGCGGCCAGTTATTTTAATACACACCCCCCACCTGATGCGCCTGCGTCTCTCGCTTCTCGGTCCACAGGGGGTCCTCGTCCGCCAACAACCCGAACCCTGACCGCGTAGACCGCTCGTAGCCCTCCTGCTCCCCATCCTCCCCCTGGCTGCTCCTGGCCTTGGGTGGGGTGATGGGGAAGGAGTACTGCGGGAAGCGGGACCTCAGCCCCTTCTTGAAGCGGCACACGGGCTCCAGGGAGCCACCCACTCCCGCCTCCTCCTCCTCGGCCTCCGCCTCCTCTGCATGCTCGGGATCGGAGGCGGCCCTGCGCACAACATGTACGCATTTACGCATTTACACAGGAAAACTAAGAAGATTGATACCTTCGTAAGAAGATTTATATCTTTCTTAAAAAGATTTATATCTTCTTGAGAAGACGCAGAAGTGTTATGTTTTCATCGGTAGGGGTCGCAGCTGAGTGTATGGTGGCTGTGGATGGTGGCTTTGGAGCATCCCGTGAGAGCGGCCTCATGCTGTTCCCCCTTCACAGCAGCACCAGCCTCCTCCCTATTTCCCCCCCCTCCCCCCAGCCCCCCCCGTCCCGCCGCGCCTCCTATCCCCTTTTCCGTCTTGCCCCCACTTGTGGTTTCAATTCCTGCTTTTACCTCCCCGCAAACCCCACCTGCGCGCATCGCAGGTATCCTCCCCCAGCGTCTCCCGCACGTTCTCCTCCACGTTGGTGGCGGTGAGGGGCAGCCCCTCCAGCACCACACTGGCCGTACGCAGGCACCTGAGAAGGGGGGAGGGGCGGAAGGGGGGGGGGGCGGGACCCCGGGCAGCGGGTTCGGGTGGGGTGTGGATCGCAGGAGAGGGGTGCAGAGGTGCTCTAGAGGCGTGTAGAGGCAGGCGTGCAGAGGCATGCGTGCAGAGGCAGGCGTGCAGAGGCAGGCGTGCTGAGGCAGGCGTGCAGAGGCAGGTGTGCAGAGGCAGGCGTGCAGAGGCAGGCGTGCAGAGGCAGGTGTGCAGAGGCAGGCGTGCAGAGGCAGGCGTGCAGAGGCATGCGAGGGGCCTTCTTGGGAGCTTGGGACGCAGCAAGCTGGGCTCTCCATCATCTACTGCCGCACTGCCAGAGCAGCAAGCAGACGAAACATCCAGCCACCCAGCCAGCCAGCCAGCCAGCGAGCTGGGTGGGTGGGTGGGTGCGCTCACCGAGTGAGAGGGCTGACGATGGCTCGTGCGGGCTTGCCGGCTGTGAGGGTGTTGAACCAGCCGCCATCTCGCAGCATGGAGTTCAGCGAGTCAGCCTCCGCCACTCCCAGGTCCGTCAGGTCTGCGGGCGGGGTGAAGGGTGAATGAGAAGTGCAGCACCTGGAGTCCCAATCCCATATCGCGGGGGCGGGGCGGGGCGGGACGTGGAGGCGCATTGCGTGGCGATGGCCAAACGAAGGTGAATGGCTTGGTGGGGCAGAGGCACCGGTAGTACATGGCCATTGGCCCCCACCCTGCCGCCTCCTGTCCCCATTGCTTTGCCCTGACCTTTGGTGTTTCCTATGGTTCGGGGTACGGTCTTTGCACCTCCCCTCCCCCCTGCCTGTCTGTTGTTTCCTCTTGCCCCTCCCTTCCGCTGCCTACCCGCGTCGAAGATGCCCCACTTGGTTCCGTTGCTGTCCGTGTATCCGCATTTGGTCTCCCACTTGAACCACTCGTCGGGGCCCAGCGAGTCGGACAGGAAGTTGCTCACGGCCTGGCCGTGGCGCACCAGCAGCAGCAGCTTGGAGTCTGATGGGGGGGGGCAGGGAGGGAGGGAGGGAGGGAAAAAATTAAATAAGTAAAACAACGAGTCCCAATCCCATATCCCGACTCATGCAGTGAGCGCAGGGAAAGGGAGGGAGGGCCCCAATGTGAGGGAGGGCGGAGTGAAGATAATGAGAGGGGCAGAGGAGGCGGACTATCGTTCGGCCAGGAGGTGAGTTCTGCTCAGAGTGCGTGGGATGCCATGCGGAAGGGAAGGTGGATGGGGGCCTGATGCAGCTGGGAGGAGTGAGCGGTGGGGGGGGGTTGCAGGGCGCAGCAGCAGCAGCCCCGGGAAGGTTAGATGCTGCCTCTTCTTCCTTCCCACCTCCCCTCTCCTTCGTTGCCCCCCTTCGTTCCCCTCCCCCCTGCATGCGCTCACTGCATGAGTCGGGATATGGGATCGGGACTCGTTGTTCCACTTATATAAATATCCCCCCCTGCCGCCCCCCCTCCCCCCTACCCGGCATGCTGTCCATCATGCCGTGTATGCGGTCCCAGCCCACCAGCGCGCCGAAGGAGAAGTGCTGTCCGGGGCCGGGGAGCTGCTTGGAGGCGCGCTCCTGGGAGGGAGGGAGGTGGGAGCGGAGGCGGGGAAGGGAGGGAGGGGGAACAGGTTAGCATGGTGGAAAGAGCAGGAGATGGGGAGAGGCAGGGAAGGTGGGGAGCAGGGAGGGAAAAGGGGCTATGGAGGGGATGAGGGTCAGCGAGACGAGTGGTTTCAGTACAGAATGCACGGAGGAGCAGACCAGGCGGCCGCGGGGGACCGGCGCACCAATGTGAGCTAGGAATCGAGCTGCTTGGAGTTCTGGGCTGTGAATACGGCAGTGTCCCAAAAGCGTCCCAAGAGCAAACGGGCCATTACGGCAATCCATCCGGCAGCAAGGCCGTTTCAACACATGTACTTCTATTCACAGGACAATCCAGCAGTAGGAGCATTCGGTTATGCAGCCTACACCCGCCCCTCGCCATCACCACCGCTGGCGCCGATGGGATTACCTGGATGAAAAGGTCATGTGGGGTGTGGTAGGGGCTCTTGCCCTTTTTGCCAGCGCCGAGCATAGCAATGTCGTTAGTGTCCTGCTCTTCAATTGCATTTCGCTGCATAGGCCGCGCCGCATGTGCAACCGCAACAACAAGGACTGCCATCAGCAGCCACGCTGCTTTTGCCATCTCTGCCTTTGAACGCCGAAATATTATATTTCTTGGGACGTTATACGTGTTCAAGCGAATGGAACGCTGTCGGCAAGCTACGAACGGAAAGCGCAGCCGCGCTTGTGCTTGTAGCACGGCTGGTAGCACAGATAGGGAATCGGACCGGTGTATAACCGCTTAACAGGTATTCAAGGAATTTAATCCGAGTGGAAATTTTGCTCTGGAGGCAACTGTACGAGGTGCTAAGATGCGATTATCCCGCGCGATTGATTCCCGCCGTGGTTTGGTTGCGTCAGCACTCTTCAGCAGGATATGCGACAAAGATGCATTAGCTCCAGGCATTATAGCAATTGTCAGTTGCATATGTATTCTTGAGAGGAGAAAAGCCTGTATTGCTTTTATCGACATCCTAGGTCGCATGCGGTGTCCATAGGTGCGAAGATCGCCCGGCTTAGCAGCAATGCAATATGCAGACCCTTTCTTTAATGCATGGAGAACCAAGAACCATATGTTCGACAGAGCCGTTTGCATAACATTACTCATGTCCATCTCCATGCCTTGCTGCTGCGATGCGCTGTTGTCGGAACAGCACTGTCAGGTACCCATAACTATCCCATACGTGTACTGCAGCATTGAAAAGGCTACAAGATCTTTTATTTGCAAGGCACGGCTGCTTCTGTGACACCAAGTGATTAGAGCAAGGCCATGAGCAGGCCGGATCGCATGTGGTGGTCACGGGGCACGAAACGGGGTAATCACATGGGCTAGACTGGCAAACCGACATGAACACATTATTAAAGGTGATAAAAAGCCTGCTTGTACTCCAACCCTGCCACCAGCTCCGTGGCATGTCGCCGCAGTACCATGTGTCACTGCAGGCCAGCACGGAACTCCGGAGACATGGAGGCGACCGCATTATTGCAGTGGAATTATTGCCCCTGCAGTGGGCCAGTCTCCCATCAAGCACATAGATCCTTGCAACCATGCTTGGCAACAACATCAGCGTCGGCAGCAGTGTGAATTAGCGACGCACCCGAAAACCCTCCCCGACAGGAACTAGACACGCATCTCTCCCGGCTCTATCGCTCCAATGGTTTGCGCTCATCAAAACTCCTCACGACACAACTCAGCAACAACACGAATCTAATTGCTCCAAAGAATTGCGCTCAACCCTCCTGACATGGGCCTAAAATGAACAACACTTTACGAGTACAGCTTCGGGACTCCCACTTGTCGTACAGCTTGAAGACTCCCACTTGTCGTACCGGTAAACCAATTCTGTCATTCTGAAGCACATTGCAACGCGTCGAACTGCTTGGCCCAGCCAGCCACCTCAAACTAACCCGCCCCACGCCACTGCCCCGAAGCGCAAGGTGGGGCGAAACAATACAACTGATTCTGAAGAGTCAGAGCCTTCGGATGTAAAACCATGCGGCTAAAACGCCATGCACCCAACCCCACTTCAGGCCCGACTACTCAGCGGCCATCCTCCCCAGTGCAGGCATGCTGCAACATTTAATGCGCGTAACTCGCCAGGAAACAACTCTCAGCATTCTCCGAATATCGTCATGCCTTTACTCTATGCGCCTTATCCATCAAGGCGCCAATCTTCGAATGCACGCCGGCTTTCTCTCAGAAGTACGGACGGTACTGCCTGCACCGCCCGAAACGAAAACAGATTAAACAGTTGGAAGCACGATAAAGCCATACACCCACTGCTAATCACCATGTGACTTCCAGTTGAAAGCAAAAGAGGATAGCTTGGCACTTAACCAAAATGGGCCGTAGCGCGAAAAAGCTTGGACAGATCCGGTGGGCCGCTCTTTTGCGTGCAGCGGACTGACCATGGCAACCGAAGGTAATAAGCCCCACCAGAAAACATGTCGTACAAAGCATGCGTTGACCGCCCCAGTCAACCTTGCCCACATGCAGCAAACACGCATCGCTCCTACAAGCAACCCGCTGTCACACCCGACATACACCCTTAGCTTTACGCATTCAAACTTATCACGCATTGCAACTTGGCACGTCTTCAACATTAGAAGGGATAGGTAGACAGAGCCCCTCCGTCATCCCCATAAAACCTCATAAGGCCCGCGTTAACAAACATGGTAGCAGGGCGCAAACAACCAAAAGCACTCATGTCCGCAAAACCTTACCGCACATACCGTACTCAAACATGGTTACGTCATCATTCTCTCTCCTTAACACTTTTGCTTCACGCACGAATTGCAACATTACCAGAACCCTGCCGCGCCAAACCCAACCAGCCAGCTTGGCCGGCCAGCTCGCATGAAATGTGCAGGTGTCTATCGATCCTAATGCAAGCCCGGTCAGTAAACGTCACTATCCATGCAAGAAATGAACTTGTAGCTGCACTTGACCCTGGCCTGACGTCCAGGACCTATTTCATCTCTGTGTTAACTGACCTACGGAACCCCACAAGCTAGGATACCCCGTGACACGTGCGTGCGCACACGCAGCTAGGACAACACACGCAGCCGGAACAAGCCGGCGGTAGATCCACACGCAAGAGCGCCCAAACGGCTCTTAAGTCAAGATTCGCAATCGAGATCCGCGATCGAAATAAGCAACTGACAAAACGCCTCGTCCCCCGTCATCCGTCTGTTCGTCTGTTCGAGCGAGCGACAGGTCCTAACAGTTCTTATGTGCCGCATGACACCGCAGCAGCCAACCAAGCAGCCTTTGAGCGGACTGCTCCTGCGTTCGGACCGCCAAACCTCTCCCACAATTCTACCCAAGAACAAAGAGGGTGATTAACCCCACGCAGCAGTAACAGTTCTGGCTACTTCTCCCTCTCCCACACCCCCGCTCCTGATTGCCTCTACATTACCTCTTCCATGCCCCCTGAAAAGCGCCCCTAATTGACGGCAGCGGGCGTCAATGAAGGTTACTGCCGTAGCATCATTGCCTGACTAACGAGCCGCTATACACAACCCTGGGCCCTCGCTTCCAGGCGCCACCTACGGTGAACCTGACACCCACGGAGCCGAATGACTTAACTATTGGGCTATCGGAAATGCTGTAGCTGATGCTGTGCCGTTATACGTAACAGCACTGCGCTGTTAGCGCGGAAAGCCCCATCTCCTACCTCATCATCCACACACCCCAGCGGTGTGTCTTCCATGCTCCCCAACCCGGCACCAGGGGCAAAGCACGCCGCGGCTGATGAACTGCGCGGCTACGTAATCTCGAAACCCCTCCGCCGTTCCCCTTGCTTCCTCGCCCGCCACCAATTGCCCCGGACCATCACAAACCCACACGACCAACACCTGAACGCTTGGCGCCAACTATTGCTCGCTCTGTTCGCGCAGTAAATACTAGTTAGCATGCCGCATGTTTACTAAATGACACAGGGCCACCACTTCTCCGCCTCTGGGTCCTGGGTTACACCTGGGATGCTGGAACCACACTTCTAGCATCCACACTTCCCCGCAGCATTCCCCTCCGTCCATACATTGCCGTTCGCCTAGTTAACCATATTATTACTGTTCGCCTAATAATAAACCACGAATCAAAAGCCACCAGCTTCATCACACCCCGCTCCCCCCCCCACACAACAAGGCAGCTGCGCCGAGTCCGACAAGCAACTAACCACCAACGCGCCACCACACCCACCACCGCTCCCCTATGACCGGCCTGAACACCACAACGTGCACCTCCTTGTATGGCCGCATCACAGGCATTACAACCCGGCTCCTCCCCAACCAGTCAATCTTACCTGCGTGGGCCTTACTTGCGTGGGCCGCATGGGAGCCGCCTGCCGTACCCCATCACGAGTTGGGCTCCTCCTTGATGGTGGGACACTCCCTGAGCAGTCGGCTGGTGCTGCTGCGGCGGGGCGCAGGGGAGTGGTGCCCGCTGCCACTGCGGCGGAGACCGCTTCCACCCGCAGCCGCACCCGCGCCGCCTCCCAAGCCGGGGAACTGCAGCTGCAGTTGCATGTGGAGGTTTAGAAGCGCTGGGTTGGGGTGCTGGTTCGGGTGCTGCTGTTGCTGGTGGGGGTGGGGGTGCGGAAGGTGAAGGTGGTGTTGTAGCTGCTGCTGAGGGGCGCTGCTGATGACCTGACCGCAAACTGCGCGCTGCTGGGATTGCGGTTGCTGCTGCTGTGGTTGTTGTTGTCGGGTGAACTGGGTTGGGGATTGCGGCAGCTGTTGGGGTTGAGGCTGGGCCCCGGCAGCTGCGGAGCTTAGCCACGGCAGCGTCGCAGAGGGATTAGCGCTGCTGCCTGCCGAGCCCAGGACGGGTGAGTTGACGGCGTTCCCCGGACTGCCAACGATGAAGGAGGAGGCGGACGCTGCAATTCCAGAACCCCAAATACCCCTAGGCGAGGCAGCCACCCTGGGACTCACGACCTCGGCTTCCTCATCCAGGATACCACAGTCATAGTCGCTCACGGGGAGCAGGATCCGGCTTCCGCTGTTGTTGTTGTTGTTGTTATTGTCGCAACCAAAGCAGTTGCGGCTGCTACTGTTGCAACGCCCCCCGTCGCAGATGCTGCTGTTGCTGCTGCCGCTGCCGCCGCCGACGCTCAATCGCAACGGCAGCAATGCCGGCAGGAGGGTCTGCTGCTGCTGCGGCGGCTGTGGAGAGGGTTGCTGCTGCTGCTGCTGCTGTAGGAAATGCGGTTTTGGGGCAGCAGCAGTGGCGAAGGAAGAGTAGCAAGCATTAGCGCCCTCAGAGTTAACGACCAGGCAGCTGGTGCTGCTGGTGTTGTCAAAGCCGCTGTCCTTGTTGCTCCGGTGGCTGCCACTGTTGTTGGTGCAGGGCGGACTGCTGCAAGTGCCTTGGGAGCCCTCTTCTTCTCCTTCTCCTTCTTCTCCCTCTTCGACACCAGGTGAGGTCGCCGGCCGGCTGCTGCGCCCGGCTGCTGCTGCTGCTGCTGCTGCTGCGGGGTCAGTCGCTTCCGGATGAGGGTGACGACAACGATGATGATGCTGATGATGATCCAACACCCCATCATCTTCACAGCGGTTTGAGATGACGCGCCAAGCACGGGGTTGCTGCTGCTGTAGCTGCTGCTGCTGCTGCTGAATCGTCCCGGCGGCAAGCTCCTCGTCTTGCAGCTCTTCCAGCCCTGGCGCCACGCGGAATTCCCCTCCTTCGCCGCCCCCGACGGACCCATCCCCACAGGTGCTGTTGTTGTCGCTGCCTCCAGCGCTGCTACCTCCGCTCAGGCGTGGCACACTGGTAGTCAACGGCGCTGCATGCGGCGGCTTCGTTCCCTCCTCGGCCATCGTGCCATAAAGCTGCCCCTCGCTGCGTTCCTCCCCCTCCGCCTGCTGCGGCTGCTGCAAGTCGTCCTTCGATTGCTGCTGCTGCTTCCGGTACCCCTCCTGCCGCTGCACCCCACCCTGCTGCTGCTCCTCCCGCTGCTGGTCCTGAGTGCAGGACGGATGCTGCTGCTGTTGCGTTCCCGCCTCGGGAGAAGCCAGCGCAACAACACCAGCAACAACGGACGGAGTGCCGCTGGCCCCCTCCTCTGCGACCCGTCCACCGTTCTCCTGCTGTTCCTGCATTGAATCCCTGTCATCCTGCCGCTGCGGCTGCTGCTGTGGCTGCGTCTGTGGCTCCCGATGCAGCTGATGTTGCGACCCAAGATGTGCCGCAATCGCGGGTTCAGTTGCCGCAGCGCTGCCAACCTCCTCGCGCTGCCGCAGCTGCTGTCGCGGCCCTTGCTCCTGATGCTCCCGCTGATGCAGATGCGCTTGCTGGGGCTGGGATAGGGGCTGTTGGTCAGCAAAGGAAGTCACAATAGAAAACGCGCTGCTCTCCCGGGTGCCTGCCACGCTGTTACAGCTGAAGCAACCCGCCACCGCCAACTCCGCCGCAGCCGCTAGGGCAGCCGCTGAGGACGCCTGCTGCTGCTGCTCACGGCAACTGGCGGGCCGGTCTAAGAAGTTACCCGCCGACCCCTTGCCTTCGTTACAAGCAGCAGCAGCAGTAACGGTAGCAGCCGCAGCCGCAGCAGCAGCTGGCGTCTGCGTCTGTGCCTTCGTCGCAGCTGCGGCAGCACCAGCGGCTGTCACTGCAGGCATCCCGGTTTCACACTCGGGGAGGTGCTCCTGGTGCTGGTTGGCCCAGGGTGGTGGTTGGGACGGTTGGGGCTGGGGACGGGAGCTGTGCTGAGCGTAGGGTAGCTGGGGGAGGGTTTGCGAACGCCTGCATGGGCCTTTTGCGGATGCCACCACCTGCGCCCCCTGCTGCTGTTGCTGCTGTCGCGTAGTCGCCGCACTACCGAAACCAGGTAGGTTCCGGTAGCACTCCAGAGAGGACCGCTGTTGTCGTTGTTGCTGTAGCAGCGGCTGTTGCGGCGATTGCAGCGAGCGCGGCTGCTGCTGGGGTTGCGGATGGTGATGGCCGCCGGGTGCTGTGGAGGCTGCTGCTGCGGACGTGGCACCGGTGGCCGTGGTGGCCCTTCGCAGCGGAGTCGCATCAACACTCAGTCGGCTGGATGGTTGCCTGCAGCGCGGCAGATAGCCCGGTAGCAGAGCAGCACGGCAGCGGAAAAAGGGAAGGGATCAGCAGGCAAGGGAATCAGCGGATGACAAACAGCGCCCAGAAGCCGCAGCGCGGCAGCGGACAGCGGAAACAAGAAAGCTGCGGCAGCTTGCGACCAAAAGAAGGCAAATAACCAGCAGGCAGCGAGGAAACCAGGGGGCACCGGTACTCGTCAATGGACCCGTCAAGTAGAGAACCATCCGGGTTTTGTTGCGGTATACTATACTTCAGCCCCATCTCGCCACCTGCCCACCCACCCACCCGTCCGCCATTCATAACAAGAACTTCCCTTGTTCCTTTTACCCCCTTACCTGCAGCTGCTCGCCGCTGCTACCTCCACGCTGGTGCTGATGCGCGGCCCCTCCAGCCGCACGCGCGCCTCCAGCAGGGCCAGCTGCTGCATCAGCTGCTCGAAGCTGGGCCGCTCGTGCGGGGAGGCAGCCAGACAGGCGCGGCTGATGCGCACCAGCTCCTCACACGCGTCTGCGAGTGCGGCAGCGGATGGGAGGAGAAAGGGAATGGTGAAAAGGGGGAAAATGGAAGGGAGGTATCAGGTAAGGAGGACGACGAGGCAGCAGGGGGCTTGAAGAGGTTAAGAGCGGTGAACGGTGAAGAAGATCCGGAAGGCGTGCGGTTAACAGCAGGACAAGTAAGGCGCGGCACACGTTACCCCCACAGCAAGATGCGGAGATGCATGGGTGCAGAATGAGCAGCGCGGTGGTGCTTGTGACACAGCTGGCAGGACGACACACAACCCTTCGCCCCAATCATACACGCACTTATCGGTATGCGGCCCAGTTGCTTAAATGCGTAAAACACGGCCAGTTGTGTTAAATACACACATGCAGCGGTGTGTCTCACCCGGTGCCCATGTGAGGTGCGACACCCCCTGCGCACACGCCATCACAATCTGAGCCGCGTGCAGCCCCTCGTAGGGCCGCTGGCCGTGGTACATCTCCCTGGGGTAGTGGCGGGGGCGGGGCGGGGGCAGTGGGGTGGTGTGTTGATGGTATTGAACGTAAGGAGGCATGGGCTTAGGGGGTATAGCGGTATGGGTACCATCGTTTTGATATAGGAGGGTAAATGGGGCAAGTGAGAGCGCGGAGCGGAGGGGAATGCACGTAGCGTAATGCTAGGGCTGGTACAAAACATCCCCAGCTTAGGGCGTGCATGCATGCAAGCAGGCAGGTATGCGAGCAGCACTCATCATGCATGCAAGCAGGCAAGGGTTGGGAGAGCTTTCCAAGCACCCAAGCCATCAGCAGCTGATGTCAGGCCGGCGGTCAACCTGCCCATGAGGACCCTTGCTGCCGCCCGCTCCTACGGGTTGGTTCTTTTAAACTGCGAATGGCTCATTAACTCAGTTATAGTTTAGTTGACATTACATAGCACCTCCATGCCCTTTGCAAGTGTAAACCCGAAGAAACCGCTGGCTAGTCTGTTATGTGTTATGTGGCTACCACCCCACGAGATGAAAATTGTTTTTTAGTTATTATCTCGTAGCCCCCACCATAGCATGACTCCGAAGCTGAAGACGTCTGAAGCGGGGAAGAGTTGCCCGTGCAGCAACCGCTCAGGAGCCATGTAGACAAGCTGCGAGGGGACGCGGACGGAAGAGGTGAGGTGAAGTGAGGTGAGGAAGGAAGCAATGTAAGGGTTAGACAAACTGAGCCGCGGAAACACTGACCCAATGTAAGGGTGTAAGGTTGGTCACTTGGTGGAGGGTGAAATGCGAATGTGTCTCCGCTCAGACGCGGAGAGTGTGTTAAAATAACTGGAGAGTGTGTGTGTGTGATTGTGCGTCATGGCAAAGTGTGTGCCCCGAGCGACCCACGGGTCCCTCACCGTGCCCCAGGGCGCGTTGGAAATGTGGTCTTGGTCCTTGTTGCAGAACTGCGCGAGGCCGAAGTCGGAGACCTTTGCGATGTAGCCGCGCCGGTCCTTCCGACTGTTGATCAGCAGCACGTTGGCAGGCTGTTGGGGGGGCGGGGAGAGGTGGGAGGTGACGGGAAGGAGGTGGGCAGGTACCAGGGGTGTGTCTTATAAGAGGTAGGGTGTTGAGGCGGGCCGAGCAGCCTACTTGAGCTGCTGCTTCATTAGCATCTTAGCATCCTGGTTACCTCACCTTGAGGTCGCCGTGCAGGACATTGTTGGAGTGCAGGTGGAACATGCCCTGCGCCACCTCACGCACCTGCGGAAGAGTGGAGGAAAGAGAGGGGGAGGGAGCTGGAGGAACAACCGCAGGGGGAACCTCACAGCAGCCCTTGTACATGACCTTACTTGCCCGTTCCTTCCCATTCCCTTCGCTCGATCCTGACCCCTCACTCACAGCCCCCACTATCACTTCATGCCGTGTGCTGTGCTGATACCCGCTGTGAGCAGCAGCAGGAGCATGACAGCAGCCGCAGCGGCAGCCGCAGCAACAGCAGCAGTGTTACCGGTAGCAGCTCTCACCGTGCGGATGAGCGCTCGCAGCGCCAACTTGGGCCCCCAGCGGCTGTTGGGTTTGAAGATGCCCCGCTGGATGGCGGCATGCAGCGAGCCATGGTCGCAGTGCTCCATCACCTGCATATGTGTACGGCACGGTTATGTGTGTGAACACACGCGTGTACGACAAACGATGAGTACGACACACTCCCTCGTTCCAGGAATGACAGCCAAGAGGCCAATGCACCGTTTGCAACCCTCGGTCCTCCCTAATTTGATTATGACCCAGACATATCCCGTCCCAACCCTAACACCTGGCACAGCACCCACGCACGCACCCACCCACCATCTGCGTAATGAAGTGCCCTGGCTTAGCTCCCATGCTCGCCAACACCGCCCGCACATCCGTGAAAGTGCTCCGCCGCCCAAACGGATCTCCGAAACCATCATCGCTTTGGAAGGAATCCGTCCTCCCAGCCATTTGCTGACTCGGACTCCCGCAGCTCGGCAACGGACCCAGCAGCGCACCGCTGCCACCAAAGCCCGCAGTGGAGGAGGGGAAGCCGTTAACGGAGGCGCCGGAGGCGCCGCCGTTGCCCGTGCTACGTCGCCTGCTGCCTCGGGCGGTGGGGATGGAGCCGCCACCCAGGGAGAGGACACGGGGGGTGCTGCCGCCGCCTGCGGCGGTGGCGGCGCCTGCTGCCGCTGCTAGGATGGGTGCCGAGGGGCGGCAAAGCGCGGCCGAGGCGGCGCTGGCAGCAGCGCTTGCGTTAAAGGATTGGGAGGTAGTGATAGGTTGTGCGCCTGGAACACTGATTGCAGCGGAGCGGAGGGGCGGGTGGGCTGCTGTCGCTGCCGCTGTCGCTGGGTGGTTGTGGTGGTGGCTGTGGTGGTGGCTCGAGGAGTGGTGGTGGTAAAGGAAGGGGGATCGAGATAGGGGGGAGCTGGAGAGGTCGTTGGGGCGGTGTTGTTGCGGGTGGATGGTTTTCTCGTCCAGTACGGCGACCTGTGGGGAAAGAACGATGGAACGACGGCGTGTCAAAACACATGCATGATGACATCAGAGGCGCGGGGGGCGAAAGAGGAGGGAGGGAGGGATGCAGGCTGAAAGTGGATAATGCACCAGTAGTTCTTTGAGCAGGCTTGCCCGGGCAGGAAGCGAGGAGCAGCAATCACAGTGCGCGAGCGAAGGGCCCCAACCCGCCCTACCTTTGCGACGTACGTTTGCACCACATTGGGATGCGACAGCAGGCGGGAGAAGAGCAGCTCATAGGCGGTCGTGTCTAGGTCCTCCACGATACTGAATTTGACCGCGACTGGAGCAACACAGCAGCAGGAGCAGCAGCAACGCAGAGCAGGAGCAGCAGAAAGACGAACAAAAGGATAAGGGCAGGCCAACACCAAAGGAGGGCGGTAGAGGAGGCAGGGGCAGGGGCAGTGCGTGCGGGGCACAGAGGTACAGAAGGAGCGGAAGGTGGAGGTGCGGAATGAGGAGCAGCAGGAGAAGGGTGGCGGGGGGGGGGAGAAGGCAAGACATGCAGTGCACATACGGTACGCTTTGGCTACTAGGGCATCTGTCATGAGGCACTTCGAGCAGCCCTGCTGCTGCTGCTATAACGCCCAGGCCGGTGGCTCACCCGTTGCACCCTGCCAAATGCCCTCGTACACCACTCCTTGGGCGCCTGCGGGCGTTGCAGCGCAGCGCAGCGCAGCAGCACAGCAGCAAGGCGCGTTCGGCAAGGCAAGCGTTGTGTTGGGGAGGGAGCTAACGAGGATGGACTAACCATGTGATAAGGACCACCGGGGGTTGGTTTGGGTGAAAGAGGTGGGTATTTGACACCTGCTGTATTTCCTACTGTACGATTCCGCTATGAAGGAGAGGGACTGGTCATCGCCTCACCTTGCCCCAGCCACCGAAGGTCTTGCACGTCTTTTACGAGCTCATCAGCCGTGGAGTAAATAACATTTGACCTACGCGGTATTTAGTTCCGGGGCAAAAAGCAGCGGGCAGGACGAGAAGGCAGTGCGAATAGAGAGATAGGGATGTGGGAGAGGGAGAAGGAGAAGTGCGAATGGGGTTGGGAAGGGAGCATGGTAACGGGGAGGGACTGCACTCTAGTGCAAGGGCACGCAGGTAGGGTGTATAACGCCTGGACGGTTCAGCAGAGGTAAGTTCCCAAGAGGCGTGGCGCGGACATAGCACAACTTTATTACTGTTGTATGCTACCTACAAGAGTAACAGTCACCGAAAAGAGCATCCGGTTCAAAAAAACGTGCAGGCAGGCCCGACCACCTGCCTGGTGGTAAGCGATTGCTGCCGGACCTCGACGCAGTGTATTGACCTGCTGCCGCGCTGAAGAGCTTCTCTAGTCGGCAATGTCAAAAAAGGCTCCGTGCGAGCGCAGCAGTCCGCGTCATGGGATGTTGGGAGAGCCGCCCGTGTCTCATAAGCAGTACCAGGTGCGATGCTAGCAGGACCTGGCGCGCTTGCAACGACTTCGTCTTTTTGAGACAATGCGACCGACACCGTGTCATCAGGAGGGCGGAGGCAGAAAGAGAAAAAACTTGTCACCCGCATTTTTACGCTAAGCACCTTGGGCTTACTGTGAGGCTACATGTTATAAAGCAGGGCATCTGTTTAAGGCGTGTTGCTCATTAAGCGGCCCGTCGTATTGGTTATGCTTGCCTCAACCGTCGTCAACTGTGGAAAGGGCGCCGAATCAGGACAGACTGCCCATCTTCCTAGTACGTAAGGAGCTTACGGAAAGGAAGTAGAGTGCAGATACTGTTCAATGGCGCTTTCATAAAGGTGGGAGGCGGCTTGCCCGAAAATGCTCGCATTTTGCAAGCACCCTCGTGATTTCAGAAGAAGGGCGTGCCTATGCCTTTGTAAAGTAAGCATTAAATTAAGTTGTCTATCAAGACTAGCAGCTTTTGCGACCTCACTTTTCACAGGATATTTACAGCTCGTTGCGCCCAGCCATTATCGTCTCGATCTCTGCGCCGCAAGCTAACGCATCACTAAATCATAAGGGCTGTAAGTTCTTTTCAGCAAATGATTAGTCGCAGGCTGTACCAGGTTGCTTGTCCATCGCCCACCCTTCCCATACTTCAAGCCCACGCCTGGGCCCATGAGGACACTGCGCAGTTCAGGAGCTCCAAACAGACGGCACATGCCTTAGACAACCGCTGCAGCATTGTTGTGAGCTGCGTGCAGCTCTGTGCTCTCCTGCTACACATGTGGGCCCTATGCACATCCCAGTGCCACGCACGCGAATCTAAACTGTCCCAACCAAACCGCCACAACCACCTGTTATCTGCAAAAGTTGGCCGATAACGACACGCCCTTATTATACCCCCAGGAAGTGCATCCCATGCGCTGCTGCTGCTGTTCCCAGGGGCAGCATACCGCACCTCACTTGCCGCCCAACGCGCGCGCGTATTTGCATCCGGCCACCCTAAGACAAGTGCGTACGGCGGCAGATAAACACAAGTCGCACCCTATCTCACGCGCGCAACGAAGTATCATAAGTACGTGTATGTATGTGTCATCACTGACAAGATTACGATAGTTCAGTAATGTACGGCTAGTAAACGGAACACACTAAAAGTTAACACGAAAATCCGCCTTCCGCCTCCTGATACCGCCTTAACCGCTCCAAAACGCTCCTTCTGCTCCTCCCCCTTTTAGGACCTCCTCTCCCCGCCGCCCCGGCCTTCCAAAAGCCCCTGCTGCACAGAGCACCATGCACCCGTCACACGCGACACCACACCACATGCCCTCACCACATGCCCTCACGACACCACATGCCCTCCTGGACTCGCGTCCAGCTTTCTTGACGCCACACGGCGGCCTCACACCGCCCCAGCCCCCCAGCTACTCCGCTGCACCTTCGCAGCAGCTTGCCGCTCGACTCCTCCTCCTCCTTTGCCTCCTCTTCCTCCTCCTCCGCTTCCTCCTTACTTTGCTGCCTCCGCGCTCTTCAGCGTCAGGATCAGCCGCCGCAGCCGCGTAACATCCCGGCTGGGACCAGCCTGCCCCGCAGCAGCACCCTTGTCACCCGCCTTCTTCCCAGCCCCCGCCCCCGCCGCAGCAGCAGCAGGTCCACTGCCGCTGCCGCTGAAGCCCACCAGCTCCGCCACCCGAGCCCAGCCTGTTCCGCCCAGCTGCCCGCTCTGTCCTCGTTGGCCTTGTGCTTGGTGTTTTACTTGCTGTTGCTCATGTTGTTGATGTTGCTGATGAGGAGGCTGCTGTTGGGCTCGGTTGGTGGCGAATCGCTGCTTGAGACGCGCCTCCCGGGTCTGGTGGGGCGAGCGGTGGGGCGAGTGAGGTTGCGGGGTTTAGGGGTGCAGGGTTGAAGGTTTGCGGGTGGAGTGGAGGTGTGCGCGAGAGGCGGCGGGAGTGGGGGGCAATGCACCCCAGTGGGGGCTTTCATCACACGCACCCACGCGGCTCTGCGAGCCATTATACGTACATGCATGCATGATGCGGGATCTATGGACCTACCGTGCTGCCGCTCCTCCGCACCCCACCCAGCCTAACTAACGGTGCCAGTAAATCACATCACTCGGTCCGATTATTCCCCCCCCACACACACACGCTCGCACGTTTCGCCTCGCGGCCAGTTATTTTAACACACACGCAGCCCCCCCACCTGCTGCATGCTCTCCAGCTTCCGCCTCGCCGCCTCCCGCAGCCCCTCTCGCGCAGCGCCCTCCTCCCGCAGCTGCTGCGACAGCCGAGCGGCGTTGCCCGCCCGCCACTGCGCCCGCGCGTCGCCGCCCGCAGCAACCGTCTCAATGGGCCATACTGGAACCGTCTCAATGGGCCCTACTGGAACTGCCGCCGCTGCTACTGGCGCTGCCGCCGCCGCCACTGGCGCCTCCACCGCCGGCGGTGCTGCAGCTGCTGTCACTGGCGTCCAGGGCGTCCCTGGCGGCGGCGGCAGCGGTGCTGCTGCTGCTGCTGCCTCCTCCTCGGCTGCTGCTGCTGGTGCTGCCAGTGAGGAGGAGGGGACATCAACCCTGCTTGAGGTGGTGTACGGCGCTGATGCTTCGAAAAATGCATCATTGCCACTGTTATCTGCAGCAGCAGCAGCAGTAGCAGTAGCGCCGGCGTTTGTACATGGGTCAGCGGCAGCGAAGGGTGCTACCTCCGACAAGTCAGCCGCCAGCTCATCAGGGACTGCAGCGGCTGGGAATCTGGCGGCTGCTGTGGGTGCTGAGCTGACAGGGGGGATGAAGTCGATGAAGTCAGCGGCAGCGGCTGCGGGTGCTGCTGCTGCTGTAGGCGATGACTGGGCCTGCGGGGCAGCGGCGACGGAAGAGAAGAAGTCGGCGTCCAACACAGCAGGAGCAGGAGCAGCGGCAGCTGCAGGCGGAGGTAGCGGCTCAGACTGGGCAGCAGCAGCAGGTGACTGCTGCTGTTCCTGATGCTGCTGCTGCAAGGAGGAGGCGGGTGGCGGTGGGGGCAGCATGGCGTCTGGCGCCAGGCCTAGACCGCTCAGCAGCTGGTCATCTGGTACCGGTACGCCCGCAGCACCGGCAGCAGCACCGCCGCTGGTGCCGCCGCTGCCGACGTCTGGACCATCATCCGCAGCACCTGCCGCCAGTGCTGCTTCCTCTGTTGGCTGGACAACCCCTACCGCTGGGTCGACATCCCCTACTGCTGCTGCTCCCTCGCCGCTGAACTCGCCTGCAGCGGGGGATGCAGAGGTGTGCCGCGGCGAGTCAAAGGTAAAACCACTGGCGCCGCCGTCGTCGTCGGCGGCTGCGGCGGCGGTGGAGGCTGAGGCTGCTGCCTTCACCTGGGCGGCGCCAGCATCGCTCTCTTCCTGCTGGAGCAGCAGCCCCGGTACTTGCTGCTGCTGCGGCGGCGGCTGTTCTGCGGCCGCTGCTGCAACATCATCGCTATTGAACGCCTCCGTGGCTGCCCCCGGCTGCTGCTGCTGCTGCTCCCCCAGCTCCTCCTCCTGCTGGTGGGCCCTGGGTGAGGGCTGTGCGGGCGCCACGAAGAAGCAGCCACCGTCCTCCACACCTGGGGGCACAGCGAAGAGAGGTCGTGAGTGTGTGGTTGGGGGGGCGGGTAGGTAAGAGGGCAGACGGGAGCAGATGTGGTCCATCCATTCACACTGACACCGGTACTCTCCCAGGTCCCGCAGCAATCGTGCTGCCCCCTCCCCCCCCTCCTCAACACACATCCCCCCTCCCCCCCCTCCTCAACACACATCCCCCTCATGCCTCCCCCACCTACCTGGTGGCAGCAGCGTCACGCCCCCCGCGCCGTCCCCCTCCTCCCCCTCCTCCTCCTCGTCCTCCAGCTCCACCTCCTCGTCATAGGCGGCCGCACGACCCGGGCTGGGAGGAAGGCTGGCGGGCAGGGGGGAGCCTGGTGGGGGGGGGGAAGCAAGGGGGGTGGGGGGTGGGGGGTCGGGGTCGGGGGGCATTAGTGAATAGTGAAGCACTGGAGTCCGGACGTGGGGGAGGGGTGGGTGCAAAGGAGGTAACTGACGAGCTGTATGTCATGTAGGCTTCGCCATGGGGGTAGTTGGGGCCGGGCAGGCGGACTGCGTAGGCGGTCTACCTCGCCTGCTCCTCCCGCCCGACCCGCCTGCCTGTCCTCATGCTCACTCTTCACGTCACCAGTCATCACCCGATTCATCACCTGTAGGCGACTTGGGCGGCGGTGGGGGCTCCCGCCGGCCCCCACCGAACAGCGACCCATCCGCAGCTGCCACGGGGCAATCCGGCGGCGCCGCCGCCCACTCCCCAGCAGCGCCGCTACTGCCGCCGCCGCTCGTACCGCCGCCGTCAACACCAGCAGTGTTGCTGCTGCCGGTGCTGGTGCTGCCATCAGCATGCGGCTGCTGCTGCTGCTGCTGATGTGTCGGAGGAGGAAGGGAAGGAGAGGCAGGAGGCGGTGGTGCTATCCACCAGGGCCGCACCGACTCGTCCAGCTGGTAGTGTACGGCACCCAGATCCTCCTTGCTGTTGAAGTCGTACACCTGCGTGAGTTGGGGGGTGGGAGGATGGTGGGGCGGGGGAAGAGGAAGCTAAAGAGAATAAAATTAAGCCGTGACCCAACACAGACACGGGTGGGATGAGGAGGTGGTTTGGAATGGCGGGAAAGACACGCGGCGGCGGACAAAGTAGCGGTGGTAGCGGTGGTACGGCAGGGAGGGGGAGTGTCATGTCTGCATGCGGGTAGCATACTGCACCCTCGGGCCCATCCCGCACCGCATGCCCGCCCCGATCAGCCCTCCTGACCCTCACCCCGCCCCGCCCTGCCCCGCCCCCCCCCACCTGCATCCACGTATTGCGGTCGGGGTCCAGCCTAGCCCGCTTGAAGTGCTCGGAGAGGCCCGGGTAGGCGCCCCGCCAGCAGCTGAAGGTGATGCGGGTGCTGGTCTCGATGCTGGGCTGCGTGGCGCAGTAGAGCGCTGGCGGGCGGGGGGGGGAGTGGGAAGGAGGAGGAGAAGATCCAATGTGTTAAAATTGGTAATGAGCATGGAAAGAGGGGGTAAAAAATATAATGAGACACTGACGATGCAACTGACGAGCTGGAAAGAGGGGAGGGGGCGGTGCCAAAGGATGGGGAGCCAGGTTGGTCCCTCCTGCTGAGCTACTTCAGCTGCCCTCTCCCGGTCCATCCCTCTTCTGCCCTCTCACCCTGATCCCTCTCTTCCTATCCTTCGACGCATAGTTCTTTTCCCCTCTCCTCCTCCTCCTCCTCCTCCTGCTCCCCCCCGCTCCCGCGATCAAGCTAGCAAGTGCCCGCCCCCCCCCCGCGCTCTCACCCATGTCCAGTCCGTGGCAGTCCCGAGTGCGGAGCTGCCGCGCGGCAACACACAGCTCGCAGTCGCGGCAGTCGCGCAGGAAGACGGAGCCGTCGGTGGGACCTAAGGGCGGGGGGGGTGTCGGAGATGGGGGAAGGTGGGGGCGGTGGGGGAAGGTGGGAAATCGGGTGGGCGCAGGAGGCAAGGAGGTGAGGCAGGAGGCGGTGGGAAGAAGGGGCTGGTGGGGAAGGTTGGGTGAGAAGAGGGTGAGGTAAGGGAGGGACACGTGGAGGTGACGCGGCGGGGAAAGTGAGGTGAAAGTGAGGTGGAGGGGAGGGGGAAAATTATATAAGAAATGCAAACAACTAAGTCCCAATCCCATATCCCGAGGGGGAGGTGGAGGGAGCGGGAGGGACGTGGAAGGCGAATGGGGTATTGGAGGTGCGCTCCAAGCCCGAATCTGCACGGAGCTGGTGGTGTAGGGCGAGGATCGGCTGCAACACGTTTGGTGCAACGCACCTATGAAGATCTTGCAGTTTATGCAGTCGTCCACTTGCACTTGCGAGCTGTGGTCGAGGATGTAGACCTCGCAGTCTTGCAGGGTGTCCAGTACAAATCCATTTCTGCATACAGAAGGAACAAGAAACACGGCGGGGATTGCGCGTGAAAGGTGACGAGAACCGGAGCCCAACGGGCATGTAGGAATGATCTTGCAGAACCCCTTGACCCCATGATATCAAACACGACAACCCGTTACTGCAGAAAATATTTGTGTACACAATACGCACTGGGGACATGCGTGACATATTAACCGGAATTTTCAGCTGAGTGCAACCGCTCTCACCCATTGATGCTGCCAGGCGGTTTAATAAGAGCCTCTCCCTTTCTCTTGTGAAAGATAAAGTCCTTGGCGTTCATGGCTTGCTCAAGACCAAAGAACTTCCGCAACCGTCAGCCCTTGCTGCCCGTATCGCGGCTATTTTCTCTTCTAAAGTTTCCTCAACAATTAGAGGACAGCCCAAATGCAAGTCCGTATGCTGCAATCCTGGCTGCTCACAGATACCGGATATCCACCAATGGCCGCGTAAGCCACACATTTGGACGAGCGTCGTACGTGCGTTGAATATTGGTGATCATGCTCGATAGCAGAGTATTGAAGGGTGCAGCGAACAATCTTTGGTCAGTAGGGAGGTCAGCTATTGACGCTGTTGTCGGAGTCCGTCGTTATGTTCCCGTCCTCAACGTTTCCCACAGCGCCTGGCACAAGCCGTGGACAGTGCGTTGCATTGCATCCGCCTTATCCTTGCGGTCACAATGGTCCTGCGCTCAGTGCAAGGTGAGCAGAAGACAGCACAACAGTTTCGCCGCCCTTGCCGTGAAAACCCTTTGACACAGTAGTTCTCACGGAAGGCCGTTACTGTCGTTTTGACTGTTATATTGCAAGCATCACACAGTTATCGCTGATAGTGAAATTGCATGCTCTTGCCGACTCTCCGCCATTGCCTGCAGGCTGGTAAAGCCCTTGCGTGCTATAAACAATCAGCACAGCCATGTAGAGGAGGAACTTGTGCGTATGCAAGCTCAGCTACTTATTGCTCAGCAGCCACAGAAGGCGAGGCAAACTTCCCATGTGTTTCACGACACTTCTGAACATCCGCACCAGCGTCAGCCACAACGCCACGTATCTAATTGTAACTGTTAAATGTTAGAGATGAGGCATGCATCTAAGAAAGCGACACGCTTCAGGGACGCCTAGCTCTAGTGCACCCAAAACAGCACGTTTTAAGACAATAACACTTCCACAACTAGTTGAAAGAGCTAAAGAAGCCAGAGACGCGATAGAAGCGGCGGCGGCTGGAATGTCCGGCAGCCGCAATGGATCGGGGCCTGCGGGCAGCAACCCGCAGCCGAGCCTCTCTGATCTCATGGCGGCGATTCAAAACTTAGAGAACCGGCTGGACAAGCGGCTTGAGAAGATCGAGACTAGGCATGATGAGATGTGCACTGGTCTGGCCAAGGTGCAGTCGCGAATGGATACCCTGGAGGGGAGGCTGGAGGCGGTGGAAGCAAGCAGCACCAAGCAGTACGTGCAGCCCCGCAAGCTGATCCTGCGTGTGCCGCCACAGCACGTGTCGGAACTGCACACCATTGTTCCCAGCATCCTCAAGGAGGTACGCCCGCACGATGTCATCGGAGTGCAGCTCATCACCGTGCCGCCGAAGCTGGGAGCGAGAGGCGCCGCAGCAGATGCCGCGGCTGCCGCAGCCCCGGCGCAGGGTGGCCGGCAGCAGGCACCCATGACGCGGGTAGACCTGCTGGTGCACGAGGACGCACGCAAGACGGTCGCGGCGGCACTGGGCAAGCCACTCCGGGAGCGCTACGGCATCAACGTCCAGGACTGCCTGACCAAGGCCGGGGTGGACGCGAAGACGAGACGCCAGTCCACGTACGCGCGCCTCAAGGCCGAGGGCAAACAGCCCCGCTGGGACCGCGGAGCGGAGATCAAGATAGTGGGAGCAGATGGGAGATTGGTGCCCTACACCGGGCCCTACGGGGCCCCGGCAGGAGCGGACACCATGGAGGACACCTAGAGGAGTCCGAGCCAGAGGGCTGGTGCGTTGAAAGTAGTACAATGGAATATTCGCGGGCTTAAGGACTGGAAACTTGATAACAATGAGTTACGGGGTATAGCGGGTAGTTATGACATTGTGGTGATTACGGAAACGCATTTAGTGGGAGATACGGTAGTGAAGGAGATGCTACCGTCGGGTACGCTCCTGTTCACAGTAGATGGCACGCCCAACAGAGGTGGGGTAGCTGTCTGGGTAAATCGTATGTTAGCTAGGGATGTGCAGCTCCTTGGTGTGTCTAAGGTTCCTAAGGGCATGGAGAGTATCTGGTTAAGGGTGAAAGGGCATGCTCTTAATATGGGGGGGCGTAGTTTGCTGATAGCAGCCTGTTATGCAGCACCCCAAGGTTCTGTTCAGTACAATGACCATGCGGGTAGAAGGCGTACTGACACCGTGGATCGTGTTTTTGGTCGACTCCGTGCCTTGTTGCGAAGATATGTGCGTCCATGCGATGAAATCCTCATTTTGGGGGACCTCAATGCGCGAGTAGCCAGCTTGAGTGATATACCAGATCTCCAGGCTGATGCTGAACTGGAGGCGGCGGCAGGTGTGTCGATCGGAGGTAATGGGCTCATTCAAGGCATGCCGAGCAGGCGCAGTAAGGACCCATCCAGCAACCCATTTGGGCAAGGTTTGGTCGAGCTGTGCCGCGAAACTGAACTGATTATCATGAATGGTCGTGTGCCCGGTGACATGGAGGGTGAGTTCACGTTCTACCACGCCCACGGCCTTGCCTGCAGTATGATTGATCTTTTTGTCTGCACGCCTGCTTTGTTCTCGCGGGCGTCGCATTTGCAAGTGCTTGGCATCCCCATTGCTATAGAGGGGCCTAAAGTGGGATCGAGGCTCAGCGATCACTGCCCGGTGTCACTCACTCTGGACGTTGGATTAGGAGGAACGCGAAGGGGTGGCAACACGGGTTCCTCTCGCCTGGGGAAACGTGAGTGGGAGCGGTACACGCGCCTATTTGAGGTAGAAGATGCTGCTGTCGTACAGAAGATTGACGAGGCTGTTAGCCAACTGGGCCATGGTCTTAACAGTACGGAGGTTGTTACAGTGATCTGTCGGGCTCTTAAGAAGGCTATTGACGCCACGTTTCGTCTTGAGAGGGGGCAAGGGTCCATTCCTAGTGCAGGCAGGACGGACAAGGATGCGCCTTGGTGGACACATGAGTGTGCGGAAGCCCGTGAGGCCATGTTTGCTCAAAAGGCGCTCATGCGTGCTAACGGTCTGCTGGGGGATCAGGATGCCAGAGCTGAGTTCAGTCGGTTGCGCACGAAGTATCAACGTCTACGCAGGGAGGCTAAGGACAAGTTCCGGGTCATGCATTTTGAAGGAGTTATCGAAGAATGTCGGGGGGATCCACGGGCGCTGTGGGGTCGGCTGAATGGCAGATTTAGTCAGGGGTGCCCTATCACAGATGTCAACAGTTGGGGAGCCTACTTTAATGCGCTGTTTAATGGGGAAGTCAATGCGTTTAACGAAGTTTCCGCGGACACCATCCTTAGTACCATCAACGGTGTGCCACATGGGAGGGGAAGAGGATGGGTAAGGGCGACAGGCGATCGGGTAGCACGAGTCACCGCTGCTGCTGCGCTCAATGTTCCGTTCACCTTGGCGGAAGTCATTGCTGCGCTGAAGTCTTTGCGTAATAACAAGTCTGGGGGTTTGGACAGAGTACCGGCTGAATGTTTCAAGTGTGCGACGAGAGAGGTTGAGGGTAGAAGGATGTTTGTTTTAGCCCCTTACCTGCTCAAGCTACTAGAGCATATCCGCAGCACGGGGGATTATCCTGTGCAGTTTGAGGTCTCTGCGCTCACGCCCATCCACAAAAAAGGCGATGTGATGGAGAAGGGTAACTATAGGGGTTTAGCAGTGGGTGGTGTTTTGTCTAAGCTTTATGCGTTTATGTTGGAGCACAGGCTGTCTCGTTGGGGCGAACTGGTGGGAGCTAGGTCGCCGTATCAGGGAGGTTTCCGACGCAAGCGGGGTACCTGCCACAACCTGTTTTTGTTGCGACATCTGACGGACAAACATAAGGGGGGGCGAGATGCAGTTGACCCCCTGTTCGTTTGTCAGATTGACTTTGAGAAAGCGTTTGACAAGGTGCCACGTGATCTCTTGTGGTTAAGGTTGGAGGAACGGGGTGTGCATGGCGCTATGCTGGAGGCTCTCAAGACTTGTTACAACAAGGTCATGATGCGTGTCAGGGTAGACGGAGTGACGGGGGATCCTTTTGAATCTTCGCAGGGAGTCAAGCAAGGATGCCCTCTCAGCCCTACGCTTTACGGGATTTTTGGCGAGGGGTTTGCTGACTATGTTGACGCTAAGGATAAGTGGCTCCCTGATGCTATGCGCGCTAAGCAGCAGACTCCCCATGCGGATGGCCGGCGTATCCCGTTGGAACTGTATGCCGACGACCTCAGCCTTTTCGCTACGACGCACAGACGGCTGATTGTGTTGCTTGCTGATTTGAGAGAGTGGTGTGAGGCCTTTGGGATGCGGGTGAATGTTCGTAAATGTGAATTGATGGTTTTCCACCCTCGTGCCAATATCCGCGAGGCTTTTGCTGCCCTTTGCCCCGTGGTGTGGACTTCTATTGAGGGAAATGCGCGAGTACCTATGGTTATTCCTTGGGTACAACGAGCCCGTTACCTTGGTTTGCACTTTGGTCCTGGCACACCGTTTGTTTCCTGCACAGAGGAACTGTTGACCTCTGGCCGACGTGCTATGTTTTCTCTTCAGCGTAAATTAAAACGCCTAGGTCTTTTGGTCCCTGCTGTTGCAGTTAAGTGCTTCGACGTGCAAGTCCGCTCCATCTTGTCGTACGGTGTCCAGGTGTGGGGGCCTGATGTGGTGCTGAAGCTAATGACGGACTGCGAGAATTCCGCGAGGTACTTTGACAGATCCTTGCGGGACCCAATGGTGCAGTTACAAAGGGAATTTCTTCGGGAGATTGCGGGTGTGAAAGTCTCGCCTGATAAGTTGCTGTTTAAGGAGTTTAACCAGCGCCCCTTGCATGTCTTCTGGCTGGAACTGTTTCTGAGGTTTTGGAATGACCTGGTCAAGCAGAAGGACACGGTCTACCACCAGACGTTGCGAGGTGAAATTCGTTCGGCTCTCAGTACTGAGCATTATGATGGCTGGGGTTCTAAGGTGTTGAAGATTCTGAAAATGTTAGGGACGGATTTGACGGCCTTGGGGGGTGAATTGGACTTGAATGCGCGTGTGGAACGTATTGCTGGCACGGAGCTAAATGTGTCTGCTCTCACTAAAAAGTTTGCTGATAGAATGGATGCGGATTGGGAGGATAGGAGTTTGGAAGATGACCCGCGGCTTTTCAACCCAGTAGACCCCGTACCAGGGGTTGGAGTTAAGATGTGCAGGTACAAAAATTGGATGGGTGACCCGGTTGACAGGGGGTACATTACTCAGCGGCAGCATGTGAACCTGATGCGTTTTCGGCTGTGTGTGTGGGGCATTGAAGCCAATCGCCCTAGGGGTAGGCAACGAGTAGCGCGTGTCTGTCCTATGTGTGTAACGTGGCGCGAACTGACTTAGACGAAGACGAGAGAAGGCGCCACTTAAGGCGCAGTCCGAAAAGATGGTGTTGAAAAACACCGGGGAGCCAGAGGCTATATGCAGTCGGCGTAGACAGTGATAATGGTCTCGGAGCCAGTCGTATCAGATCACGCGGGCCCAGTGTACCGATGTACCTGGCCGCACATGAATAATCATAGCTCAGGAATTACCTTGAGTTACGTTAACTATCCGGTACACACTGATACTCGGAAGTAATGACATGTAATGATCATGACTGATAGCAATTACGGTCCGGGACTTTGATTCCTCTGTTTTGCCTCGGAATTTCTTAAGTCCGATTCTTATCGTTACATTCCTCCCCACCTAGAGCGAGAGTCCCTGCGAGCTTATGTTTGCTCCTTGTTGGCACGTCGCTCCGTCGTACCGTGCTATTGACGTGTACGTTTTGATGGCTTCCCCTCGGCTGTGGCTGCCACACGTTTTTGCTGTGCTGGTCCATCAGCTCGTGTTTTCCGCACCTGTGTAGCATGGGTGGCCCAATACTCGTCTATTGCTGCTTCTGTGATGTTGAGTTCGGGCTCCCAGCTGTTGTGCTCTGGTCCGTAGCCTTCCCATGCAACAAGATACTCACGTCGTGTTTTCCTGCCATGCTTAATGTCTCGGTGGGCTAGTAGTCTGCTGACGGCCCAGTAGGCGCCGTCCTCCAGCACTGCCACGGGACCAGCCGGCGTGCGTCCTGTGCCTTCTTTGAAGGGCTTGATGAGGGACACATGGAATACGTTGTGGCACTTGTATGATGGTGGTAGGTCTAGCTTGACCGCGACGGGTCCTATGCGCTCTAGTATAGTGAAGGGTCCTATCCAAAGTGGTAGCAGTTTGGTTGTACCAGGGTGCCGTAGCCGAATGTTCTTCGTGCTTAACAGTACCTTCTGTCCCTTCTTGAATTGAGCGTCACGGCGAGCTGTGTCGGCGTATTTCTTGTATCGGTCCTGCGCTTTGGCAATGAACCGTTTGGCGATTTCCAACTGCTCTTTCATGTCCGTACAGAATCGTGCTGCTGCCGGCACGGGGCTGTTCTCCATGCCTAGCAATGTGGGTAGGCGTGGTGTACGGCAGTAGTTTAGTTGGAAAGGTGTTGCCTTGATGGACTCTTGGTATGTATTGTTGATTGCAAACTCGGCTAAGGAGAGCTTGACATCCCAATCAGTTTGCGCTGGATTTACGTAGTTGCGTAGGATTTCCTGCAACAAGCGATGCATTCTTTCCGTTTGCCCATCCGTTTGTGGGTGGTAAGCGGTTGACAGCTTTCGTTCGGTACCAGTGAGGCGCAGTAGCTCAGTCCAGAATTTGCTAATGAACTGGGGTCCACGATCCGAAACCACTTCTTCCGGGAATCCATGGTGGCGGAAGACATTATCGAGGTATAGCTGGGCTAAGTCTTCAGCTGTCACATCTTCGGTTGTGGGAGCGACCCGACACATCTTTGTAAGACGATCAACGAAGGTGACTATGGTATCGTACCCCGCCGTGGTTTTTGGCAGGTGTGTGATGAAGTCCATTGACACACTCCCCCATGCGGCAGTAGGAATGGGCAATGGTTGTAGCAACCCTGCGGGCTTCTCATGCGGTGGTTTATTCCGCTGGCATAGCTCGCATGCAGAGACATGGCGTCCCACGTCTACTGTCATTCCAGGCCACCAGAACTCCCTGCGGCAGAGTTCCAAAGTGCGGGTTATTCCGCGGTGTCCTGCATAAGGTGAGCTGTGCAGCTCCCTTATGATTCGGTTGCGTAGGTCATTGTGTTCCGGAACCACAATCAGACCACCACGTCGGTAGTAACCGTCTTCATCATGTACGATTCCCATTTTTGTACGGAAGCGTTGGTCTGCAAGTGACTCGTCCGCTTCGTATCCCTCGAGAATGAGTTTCGGCAAATCTGATGATACTGTGTACCTTGCTTGCACTTGTGCAGCTAGAGCTGTAGAATGCATTCTGCTCAATGGATCAGCAACATTTATCCGACCTGGCCTGTACTCCCATTTGTAATTATATCGGGCAAGGTATTCCATCCAGCGCACTTGGCGTCTGGAGAGTTTGGACAGGCTTTTCTGTGTGTCGAGGAATGTGTTTGGGTTGTGATCCGTTACCAGCGTAATTTGTGGTCCTTCAAGGTAGCAACGCCATTGCTTAAGAGCATTTATGACGCCAAGAAGCTCTTGCTCCGTCGTTGTGTAATTGCGTTCTGCTGGACTAAACTTTGCGCTTGTGTATGCGACTGGTTGTCCATCTTGCATTAAAACTGCTCCTGTGCCATGCACGGAAGCATCGCTAATGACTTCAAATGGTTTCTTAATGTCTGGGAATTTTAAAATAGGTGCATTGGTGAGAGCGTGTTTTACGCCATCAAATGCGTCTTGTTGCTCCTTCTCCCAGACCCATGGTTCTGTTGAACCTGTGAGTTTGGTGAGGGCTGCAACTAATGATGAGTATCCTTGGATGAACTTCCTAAAGTAGTTTGCTAACCCAAGGAAACCTCGTAGGCTTGATACGTCCTTGGGTTTAGGCCACTCTCGGACAACCTTGACTTTGCTGTCGTCCACTTGCAAACCGTCCTTGCTGACGACCATTCCTAGGAATTTTAATTCCTGGCGGTTAAACTCGCATTTGCTGAGTTTTGCTTGCAGTTTTTCCTTCCGAAGTAGTTCAAGGACTATCCGAAGGTGCTCTTTGTGCTCTTCGGGCGTTTTGCTGAAAACTATAATGTCGTCTAGATATACTAGTACGAACTTCCCAATGTACGGTTGGAACACCGTGTTCATTACTGCTTGGAACGTCGCTGGCGCGTTTGCTAGTCCCATGCTTAGTACTAAGAACTCGTAATGACCACAGGGTGTGCGGAAAGCCGTTTTGTAGCGGTCTTCCTCGCCTATCCGTATTTGATGATAGCCTGACTGGAGGTCGATTGATGAGAATATGGTTGCGCCCTGAAGCGCATCGAATAGGTCTTCAGGGTTGGGAATGGGGTAACGGTTCTTTATGGTAGCCTTATTAAGCTGCCTGTAGTCTATGCACATCCGTAGCCCGCCATCCTTCTTTGCTGCGAAGAGAACGGGGGCACCCCAGGGCGATGTTGATGGCTGTATTAGACCTTTCTTTAATAGGTCTTCTACTTGCCGTTTGACCTCTTCTTGTTCAGGCGGCGACATGCGGTACATTCGTGAGAAGACTGGCTTTGTTCCCGGCTCTAAGTCGATTGTATGCCGTATGTTACGGTCTTGTGGTAGGCCGCTAATTGGTTCAAAGACGTCTTTGTACTCATCCAGTAAAACCTGCATGTCTGCTTGTGGTATCTTATCTTGTGAAAGTTCGTTGAGTGCGTCTGTGTTTAACTCAACCGTCGCAACGCATGCTTGTGCTTGAGGTGCCGTTTCTGACCCATGGGTCACTTCTGCAAGGAGTGGGTTGTTTTCCTTTGCTTCGCGCACCAAGACTAAGCATCCGGGTGTGTTCTTCTTTATGGCCCTTCGCGCTGCGCTGGCTGACATCAAGTCTGGCGTTGTTTTGGTCGCCAGTAGTGCACAGACACGCTGTATGGCGATTATGCCTGCGTTTGTTTCCTCCCCACCTGATCCGGACTTACCCTTGCGTGAATCCGCTATTAGTTGGTAAGTTTTACGGGATTGGCCTGCTGGTGAGGTGAGTGTGCATGTCATGGCTGGGATATCCAGAATCACGCCATTGCTCTCCATCCAATCCATGCCAAGTATGACATCTACACCTGGTAGTAAGGTAGGCATTACCAAGGCCTTAATTGTGTCAAAGTAGCGTTGGATATGGATTGGTATCCGGACTTGCCCTAGTATGGGTACTTGCCGGTTATCGGCTACCTCCACATTCAGTGTCCCTACGTTTTGTGGTTCGCATCCAGCTGGCAGGGCGGACTGGTGGATGATAGTATGTGATGCACCTGTGTCAATGAGAGCTGTGACTTGCTTTTTCCCGACGGTGCATGTGAAAAGCAATGCGTTGTCTGGGTTGATTACCCTAAGCTGCGGCTGTGTTGGCGGGTCGTACCAGACTTGTAGTGGCATAGGCAACCCGTCCAAGTACTTTCTCGTGCCTTCTTTAGTGGTGACCGTGAATAGCTGAGTACGCGGTTCATACTCGTGCAGCAAGGTCATCCCCTTAGTCAGCCTTTTGTGCACTTGAGATCTGGGGAAAATGAATACCGCACTGGTGTTGTATGGGCTGGTTGCTTTGCAGCGCTGGTAATGTTTGACCCATATGGCTGCTTGCTCAAATGGTGAGCAGATCCAAACGTGATGCCCTGCTATGTTGTGTTTGAAGAAGGAATTGCGGGGTGTGGCATATGTGGAGCAGTGAGCATTGGTGCCTTCATCGTTACAAGCCGCGTCAAAACTGAATTCCCGTCCGGTCAATGCCTGGATACGCAAGAATTCTGCACGGCTAAACATGCGGTCAGGTGTTGCAAATCCCTGACCCGTACGACGGCAGTTAGCTCGCTGCCCACAGGTTGGCGCAGCGGAGCTACCCCCTAAGCCTACACACTGCGCATCCCCCTACTTCGGATCCGGGGTTTGCTTGGCTTCGCCTCTGCTAAGGCGTTCGCGTGCTTCTATGGGGTCGTGCTTCAGGGTAATGTCACCGAACGCGCGGCGGAATTCTTCTGCGAATGCCTTGCCGTCTAGGGGTGTGTTCTTTTGAGCGTAGTAGCTCTGCAGGCTATCGTACCACTTAAGCGCGCGCCCTTGCAGGAAGAACTTAAAGTTGGAAACTGAGGCCATCCCCGTTAGGCGCATGTACTCTACGACCATGTTGTACCAAACCTCCCTATCGTCAATGCCCTTGTCGGTCTTTGGGTCACCGCTAAAGGTAGGGGGTTTAGGCAGATGGCGTGCGTACGCTGCCGGATAGCTCACCTGTTCCAGCGTGTTGTTCATGCTGTTCAGCTGGCCCTGCATGGCCATGGCCATGCTGTTGGTGCCGTCGGACAGGTGCCCGATGCTGTTGAGGTTGTTGGCCATCGTGCCGAGCTGTCCGTTCAGCTGAACCAACATGTTGTTGGCGGTGGTCACTTGCTGGCTCACGTTGCGAACGTCATGCTGGATGTTGTTCGCGGTGATGTTGCCCATGTTAATGCGCCCCCGCAAATGCTCCTCGGTGCGGTTGATCGCCTCCAGCACTGGCAACACCGGCTGTGCTTGCGGTGGCTGCTGCTGGCGAGCGCGCTGCCCTGCGGCGTGCGGTGAGGTGGCCACTTGGGCTCCCATGGCATCGCCGGTCTGAGGGTCAAGGGGTTGTATGGGGGGTCGGGGTACACCATTGTTGTTAGCTGGCAGAGTTGTATTGGTTGTTTGCTCTTGCCGTGCGGTTGGTGCTTGTGTTGCTGGCGGTTCATTTGGCGCATCCGAATGCATGCCCGGAGTGCGCGTCGGCCTAGCCAGTCTGTGCTGCAACTCGTTGATCAAGTTGCGCATACGTGAGGAATAATTGTGTGTTTGTGCCCGTGTGGTGTCTTGGTTGGTTGCTTCGCGGGTTCCGGTTCCATCAGTGGAGCCATCATCGACCGCAGCACCACCAGAGCTCCCATCATTGGGGTTGGTTTGTTCACGAGCATTGTCGCTACTAGTTGATGCGTTTGCATTTTGGTTGTGGCCTAGAGTGTTCTGGATGAATGCGTCCAGTCGCAATAGGGTCCTGAAGGCAGCACGTGGGGAAAGGGAAAGCATATGCTGATGAAAACTTACTTCGTTTGCCTCGGGCTCGCCCAGTGAGGCAGCGCTGAGCATGGGGTCCTCCTCGCGTTCGCCATGTGCAGTCACACCGGCAGCGGCAGCAGCAGCGGCAGCGGCCGCGCGCGCAGCGTCCTCGGCGGACATCTATGCTAAGCGCTACCTAAAGAGAGAGAAGCTAGACCGGAGAGGTCGCTAGTTGGTTCCAGATGGCAATTCGCACCACTGTAACGTGGCGCGAACTGACTTAGACGAAGACGAGAGAAGGCGCCACTTAAGGCGCAGTCCGAAAAGATGGTGTTGAAAAACACCGGGGAGCCAGAGGCTATATGCAGTCGGCGTAGACAGTGATAATGGTCTCGGAGCCAGTCGTATCAGATCACGCGGGCCCAGTGTACCGATGTACCTGGCCGCACATGAATAATCATAGCTCAGGAATTACCTTGAGTTACGTTAACTATCCGGTACACACTGATACTCGGAAGTAATGACATGTAATGATCATGACTGATAGCAATTACGGTCCGGGACTTTGATTCCTCTGTTTTGCCTCGGAATTTCTTAAGTCCGATTCTTATCGTTACAATGTGTGCCGTGCAGGGGTCGCCGGGGAGAGTGGAAGATGAGAAACACATCCTCATTGAATGTCCCGCTTACGATGATTTGCGTGATAAGATATGGGAAAGTGGTGTCCCACGGGATGCTGATATGATTGCTGTCATGGGCATGGAGAATCAGGCATTGCTTGCTAGCGTAATCACTAGCATGCGAAGTCGCAGGATTGCGCAGACAGGGTTTATCATATGATTAGCGTTCTGTTTGTTGTCTCTTTTGTTTACTTTTCTTCTTTTGGTTGTTTTCGCGTTTTGTGCTCGCGATCCATGAGCCTTCTGGCTCGGACGGATCTTACGAGCTCGGTACGAAGCTTGTAACACATACATACATACATACAACGCCACGTGCATCACGAACCTATGCACCACAACGGCCAACTGCAGCCTATAGACGTTGCTGCAGTGCAAACGGTTCGCGAAAGCGAACTTGCCTACGCCGATTACTCGTACCAATACTCCAGCAACATAGTAAACTACAATCCTGGCAAACAGCAAATTCATAACCGGCAAAATGGCCTAATCGGAACGCCGACGACGGCGCGGCCAACCATCTACCGCGCTCGGGTGCAGTGGCCGGCGCTGACCCGCCATCCTGCGTGCATGTACAAAGGTTTAGGTTCTGCATGCGCCGACAACGCGAGGCACGAAGTACTTACCGCCGCGGGTTCTTGGTCATGTTCTCCTTGTGCTTCAGGCAGCCCCGTGGCTTCCGGTGCAGTGGCTGGTGCTGCCCTGCCATCCTGCGCGTGTGTAAAGTGGGTTAGGTTTTGCATGCGCTGGCGTTGCGAGGCACGAAGTACTTACCGCCGCGGGTTCTTGGTCATGTTCTCCTTGTGCTTCAGGCAGCCCCGTTGCTTCCGGTGCAGTGGCCGGTGCTGCCCTGCCATCCTGCGCGCGGGAAAAGGGGTTACGTTTTGCATGCGCTGGCGTTGCGAGGCACGAAGTACTTACCGCCGCGGGTTCTTGGTCATGTTCTCCTTGTGCTTCAGGCAGTCCCGTTGCTTCCGGCGCAGTGGCCGGCGCTGCCCCGTCATCCTGTGTGCATGTAAAGTGGGTTAGGTTTTGCATGCGATGGCGTTGTGAGGCACGCAGTACTTACCGCCGCGGGTTCTTGGTCATGTTCTCCTGGTGCTTCAGGCAGCCCCGTTGCTTCCGGCGCAGTTGCCGGCGCTGCCCCGCCATCCTGCGTGCATGTAAAGTGGTTTAGGTTCCGCACGCGCCGACGTTGCGAAGCACGAAGTACTTACCGCCACGGGTTCTTGGTCCTGTTCTCTTTGTGCTTCAGGCAGCCCCGTTGCTTCCGGCGCAGTGGCCGGCGATGCCCCGCCATCCTGCGTACATGTAAAGTGGGTTAGGTTTTGCATGCGCAGACAATGCGTGGCACGAAGTACTTACCGCCGCGGGTTCTTGGTCCTCTCCTCCTGGTGCTTCAGGCAGTCCCGTTGCTTCCGGCGCAGTGGCCGGTGCTGCCCCGCCATCCTGCGTGCATGTAAAGTGGGTTAGTTTTGCATGCGCCGACGTTGCGAAGCATGAGGTACCCACCATTTGCTCTCCTGATTCGCTTACGTCCATTCCCTCTGGCTCCTGTAGATTGGCGTATAAGTCATTTGTAAGTAAACCTATGCAATGAAATGTATACTGTCACTGCGTTACAACTAATACCCACCGTTTCATGATCGTGGTCCATGGCGTCCACGTCACCAGTGTCCGTGTCACCACCCAGGTAAGCCGCAGCGGCCAGGGCACTGCCCGGGTAAGGCGTGGCGCCCGGTGCACTGCCCGGGTAAGGCGCGGCGCCCGGTGCACTGCCCAGGTAAGGCGCGGCGCCCGTGGCATTGCCCGGGTAAGGCGCGGCGCCCGGGGCACTGCCCGGGTAAGCCGCGGCGGCCGGGGCACCACCTAGGTAACGTGCGGCGGCCGGGGCACTGTCCATGTAAGCTGCTGCGGCCGGGACACTGTCCATGTAAGCTGCTGCGGCCGGGACACTGCCAAGGTAAGCTGCTGCGGCCGGGGCACTGCCCCTGTAAGCTGCTGCGGCCGGGGCACTGCCCAGGTAAGCCGCAGCGGCCGGGGCATTGCCCTTGTAACCCGAGTCCCCTTCTTGTGAGGCAGTGAGGTCGAGTGGCCCGGAAGGACCTGCGGCTGGCGAGCCCCCTTCTTGCTGTGTAGAGGCAGTGAGGTCCAAGGGCCCGGAACGACCTGCGGCTGGCGAGCCCCCTTCTTGCTGTGTAGACGCAGTGAGGTCCAATGCCCCGGCAGGAGGACACCCGGCAAAATCACGCGAGCAACAAGCTGCGGCGGGATTGCGTGCATTCGCGACTCTGTTACTCGAGCAAATGGCATTGTAGAACCACCTCCACATGTCCTGCAGCTGTACATGGTCGCCTCGCTTGGATTGCAGTGACCAATAGTAGAGGAGGGAACTTAACCTCGCCAGGTGCTTACGAGCTGGGTGATCATTTGCCACTAGACAGTCGAGGTATTCCACTATGCCACGGGCGGCCTTAATGCGCTCTTCAATGCTGTAAGAGTCGTCGGTGTAAACGGCTGCCATCGTTTCGAGCGTGACACAATCCTTCCTCGTCAAGATCAGGGTTGGAAATGGTTCTAACATGGAGACAACCGGCTCTTCGACAGGCGGCTTATGTGGAACATCTTCTGTTGGCACTGGCGGCATCCGCCGCCCCCCACCCGGCTGTAGCGGGGGCAAAGGGTCACGATGTTGCTGCTGTTGCGCCGGCGGCAGTGCAGGCTTGTCACTCGGTGGTGCCGACACACGCTGATGTTGCTGCTGCTTTTGCGCCGGTGGCAGTGGAGGCTTGGCGGCATGTCCACCCTGAGGTGGCGGCTGCTCCTGCTTTGCCTGTGCCCCTGCTGCCGCTGTACCAAACAACGGCCTTAGCTTGGCGGCATGCCCACCCTGAGGTGGCGGCTCATCCTGCTTTGCTTGCGCCCCTGCTGCCGCTGTACCAAACGCCGGCCTCGGCTTGGCGGCATGCCCACCCTGAGGTGGCGGCTGCTCTTGCTTTGCCTGCGCCCCTGCTGCCGCTGTACCAAACACCGGCCTTAGCTTGGCGGCATGCCCACCCTGAGGTGGCGGCTGCTCCTGCTTTGCCTGCGTCCCTGCTGCCGCCGTACCAAACACCGGCCTCGGCTTGCAGCGGGGCGGTGGCGATATACCGCGGGTGCGAATCACTGGCCGGCGTTTGGTACAGCGGCAGCAGGGGCGCAGGCAAAGCAGGAGCAGCCTCATGGTGGGCATGCCGCCAAGCCGAGGCCGGTGTTTGGTACGGCGGCAGCAGGGGCGCAGGCAAAGCAGGAGCAGCCGCCACCTCAGGGTGGGCATGCCGCCAAGCCGAGGCCGGTGTTTGGTACGGCGGCAGCAGGGGCGCAGGCAAAGCAGGAGCAGCCGCCACCTCAGGGTGGGCATGCCGCCAAGCTAAGGCCGGTGTTTGGTACAGCGGCAGCAGGGGCGCAGGCAAAGCAAGAGCAGCCGCCACCTCAGGGTGGGCATGCCGCCAAGCCGAGGCCGGTGTTTGGTACGGCGGCAGCAGGGACGCAGGCAAAGCAGGAGCAGCCGCCACCTCAGGGTGGGCATGCCGCCAAGCTAAGGCCGGTGTTTGGTACAGCGGCAGCAGGGGCGCAGGCAAAGCAAGAGCAGCCGCCACCTCAGGGTGGGCATGCCGCCAAGCCGAGGCCGGCGTTTGGTACAGCGGCAGCAGGGGCGCAAGCAAAGCAGGATGAGCCGCCACCTCAGGGTGGGCATGCCGCCAAGCTAAGGCCGTTGTTTGGTACAGCGGCAGCAGGGGCACAGGCAAAGCAGGAGCAGCCGCCACCTCAGGGTGGACATGCCGCCAAGCCTCCACTGCCACCGGCGCAAAAGCAGCAGCAACATCAGCGTGTGTCGGCACCACCGAGTGACAAGCCTGCACTGCCGCCGGCGCAACAGCAGCAACATCGTGACCCTTTGCCCCCGCTACAGCCGGGTGGGGGGCGGCGGATGCCGCCAGTGCCAACAGAAGATGTTCCACATAAGCCGCCTGTCGAAGAGCCGGTTGTCTCCATGTTAGAACCATTTCCAACCCTGATCTTGACGAGGAAGGTTTGTGTCACGCTCGAAACAATGGCAGCCGTTTACACCGACGACTCTTACAGCATTGAAGAGCGCATTAAGGCCGCCCGTGGCATAGTGGAATACCTCGACTGTCTAGTGGCAAATGATCACCCAGCTCGTAAGCACCTGGCGAGGTTAAGTTCCCTCCTCTACTATTGGTCACTGCAATCCAAGCGAGGCGACCATGTACAGCTGCAGGACATGTGGAGGTGGTTCTACAATGCCATTTGCTCGAGTAACAGAGTCGCGAATGCACGCAATCCCGCCGCAGCTTGGTGCTCGCGTGATTTTGCCGGGTGTCCTCCTGCCGGGGCATTGGACCTCACTGCGTCTACACAGCAAGAAGGGGGCTCGCCAGCCGCAGGTCGTTCCGGGCCCTTGGACCTCACTGCCTCTACACAGCAAGAAGGGGGCTCGCCAGCCGCAGGTCCTTCCGGGCCACTCGACCTCACTGCCTCACAAGAAGGGGACTCGGGTTACAAGGGCAATGCCCCGGCCGCTGCGGCTTACCTGGGCAGTGCCCCGGCCGCAGCAGCTTACAGGGGCAGTGCCCCGGCCGCAGCAGCTTACCTTGGCAGTGTCCCGGCCGCAGCAGCTTACATGGACAGTGTCCCGGCCGCAGCAGCTTACATGGACAGTGCCCCGGCCGCCGCACGTTACCTAGGTGGTGCCCCGGCCGCCGCGGCTTACCCGGGCAGTGCCCCGGGCGCCGCGCCTTACCCGGGCAATGCCACGGGCGCCGCGCCTTACCTGGGCAGTGCACCGGGCGCCGCGCCTTACCCGGGCAGTGCACCGGGCGCCGCGCCTTACCCGGGCAGTGCCCTGGCCGCTGCGGCTTACCTGGGTGGTGACACGGACACTGGTGACGTGGACGCCATGGACCACGATCATGAAACGGTGGGTATTAGTTGTAACGCAGTGACAGTATACATTACATTGCATAGGTTTACTTACAAATGACTTATACGCCAATCTACAGGAGCCAGAGGGAATGGACGTAAGCGAATCAGGAGAGCAAATGGTGGGTACCTCATGCTTCGCAACGTCAGCGCATGCAAAACTAACCCACTTTACATGCACGCAGGATGGCGGGGCAGCACCGGCCACTGCGCCGGAAGCAACGGGACTGCCTGAAGCACCAGGAGGAGAGGACCAAGAACCCGCGGCGGTAAGTACTTCGTGCCACACAAGTGCTGCTGCTGCCTCCTCCTCCTCGGCTGCTGCTGCTGCTGCTGCCTCCTCCTCCTCGGCTGCTGCTGCTGCTGCTGCCTCCTCCTCCTCGGCTGCTGCTGCTGCTGCTGCCTCCTCCTCCTCGGCTGCTGCTGCTGGTGCTGCCTCCTCCTCCTCCTCGGCTGCTGCTGGTGCTGGTGCTGCCTCCTCCTCCTCGGCTGCTGCTGGTGCTGCCAGTGAGGAGGAGGGGACATCAACCCTGCTTGAGGTGGTGTACGGCGCTGATGCTTCGAAAAATGCATCATTGCCACTGTTATCTGCAGCAGCAGCAGCAGCAGCAGTAGCGGCGGCGTTTGTACATGGGTCAGCGGCAGCGAAGGGTGCTACCTCCGACAAGTCAGCCGCCAGCTCATCAGGGACTGCAGCGGCTGGGAATCTGGCGGCTGCTGTGGGTGCTGAGCTGACAGGGGGGATGAAGTCGATGAAGTCAGCGGCAGCGGCTGCGGGTGCTGCTGCTGCTGTAGGCGATGACTGGGCCTGCGGGGCAGCGGCGACGGAAGAGAAGAAGTCGGCGTCCAACACAGCAGGAGCAGGAGCAGCGGCAGCTGCAGGCGGAGGTAGCGGCTCAGACTGGGCAGCAGCAGCAGGTGACTGCTGCTGTTCCTGATGCTGCTGCTGCAAGGAGGAGGCGGGTGGCGGTGGGGGCAGCATGGCGTCTGGCGCCAGGCCTAGACCGCTCAGCAGCTGGTCATCTGGTACCGGTACGCCCGCAGCACCGGCAGCAGCACCGCCGCTGGTGCCGCCGCTGCCGACGTCTGGACCATCATCCGCAGCACCTGCCGCCAGTGCTGCTTCCTCTGTTGGCTGGACAACCCCTACCGCTGGGTCGACATCCCCTACTGCTGCTGCTCCCTCGCCGCTGAACTCGCCTGCAGCGGGGGATGCAGAGGTGTGCCGCGGCGAGTCAAAGGTAAAACCACTGGCGCCGCCGTCGTCGTCGTCGGCGGCGGCGGTGGAGGCTGAGGCTGCTGCCTTCACCTGGGCGGCGCCAGCATCGCTCTCTTCCTGCTGGAGCAGCAGCCCCGGTACTTGCTGCTGCTGCGGCGGCGGCTGTTCTGCGGCCGCTGCTGCAACATCATCGCTATTGAACGCCTCCGTGGCTGCCCCCGGCTGCTGCTGCTGCTGCTCCCCCAGCTCCTCCTCCTGCTGGTGGGCCCTGGGTGAGGGCTGTGCGGGCGCCACGAAGAAGCAGCCACCGTCCTCCACACCTGGGGGCACAGCGAAGAGAGGTCGTGAGTGTGTGGTTGGGGGGGCGGGTAGGTAAGAGGGCAGACGGGAGCAGATGTGGTCCATCCATTCACACTGACACCGGTACTCTCCCAGGTCCCGCAGCAATCGTGCTGCCCCCTCCCCCCCCTCCTCAACACACATCCCCCTCATGCCTCCCCCACCTACCTGGTGGCAGCAGCGTCACGCCCCCCGCGCCGTCCCCCTCCTCCCCCTCCTCCTCCTCGTCCTCCAGCTCCACCTCCTCGTCATAGGCGGCCGCACGACCCGGGCTGGGAGGAAGGCTGGCGGGCAGGGGGGAGCCTGGTGGGGGGGGGGAAGCAAGGGGGGTGGGGGGTGGGGGGTCGGGGTCGGGGGGCATTAGTGAATAGTGAAGCACTGGAGTCCGGACGTGGGGGAGGGGTGGGTGCAAAGGAGGTAACTGACGAACTGTATGTCATGTAGGCTTCGCCATGGGGGTAGTCGGGGCCGGGCAGGCGGACTGCGTAGGCGGTCTACCTCACCTGCTCCTCCCGCCCGACCCGCCTGCCTGTCCTCATGCTCACTCTTCACGTCACCAGTCATCACCCGATTCATCACCTGTAGGCGACTTGGGCGGCGGTGGGGGCTCCCGCCGGCCCCCACCGAACAGCGACCCATCCGCAGCTGCCACGGGGCAATCCGGCGGCGCCGCCGCCCACTCCCCGGCAGCGCCGCTACTGCCGCCGCCGCTCTTACCGCCGCCGTCAACACCAGCAGTGTTGCTGCTGCCGGTGCTGGTGCTGCCATCAGCATGCGGCTGCTGCTGCTGCTGCTGATGTGTCGGAGGAGGAAGGGAAGGAGAGGCAGGAGGCGGTGGTGCTATCCACCAGGGCCGCACCGACTCGTCCAGCTGGTAGTGTACGGCACCCAGATCCTCCTTGCTGTTGAAGTCGTACACCTGCGTGAGTTGGGGGGTGGGAGGATGGTGGGGCGGGGGAAGAGGAAGCTAAAGAGAATAAAATTAAGCCGTGACCCAACACAGACACGGGTGGGATGAGGAGGTGGTTTGGAATGGCGGGAAAGACACGCGGCGGCGGACAAAGTAGCGGTGGTAGCGGTGGTACGGCAGGGAGGGGGAGTGTCATGTCTGCATGCGGGTAGCATACTGCACCCTCGGGCCCATCCCGCACCGCATGCCCGCCCCGATCAGCCCTCCTGACCCTCACCCCGCCCCGCCCTGCCCCGCCCCCCCCCACCTGCATCCACGTATTGCGGTCGGGGTCCAGCCTAGCCCGCTTGAAGTGCTCGGAGAGGCCCGGGTAGGCGCCCCGCCAGCAGCTGAAGGTGATGCGGGTGCTGGTCTCGATGCTGGGCTGCGTGGCGCAGTAGAGCGCTGGCGGGCGGGGGGGGGAGTGGGAAGGAGGAGGAGAAGATCCAATGTGTTAAAATTGGCAATGAGCATGGAAAGAGGGGGTAAAAAATATAATGAGACACTGACGATGCAACTGACGAGCTGGAAAGAGGGGAGGGGGCGGTGCCAAAGGATGGGGAGCCAGGTTGGTCCCTCCTGCTGAGCTACTTCAGCTGCCCTCTCCCGGTCCATCCCTCTTCTGCCCTCTCACCCTGATCCCTCTCTTCCTATCCTTCGACGCATAGTTCTTTTCCCCTCTCCTCCTCCTCCTCCTCCTCCTCCTGCTCCCCCCCGCTCCCGCGATCAAGCTAGCAAGTGCCCGCCCCCCCCCCCGCGCTCTCACCCACGTCCAGTCCGTGGCAGTCCCGAGTGCGGAGCTGCCGCGCGGCAACACACAGCTCGCAGTCGCGGCAGTCGCGCAGGAAGACGGAGCCGTCGGTGGGACCTAAGGGCGGTGGGGGTGTCGGAGATGGGGGAAGGTGGGGGCGGTGGGGGAAGGTGGGAAATCGGGTGGGCGCAGGAGGCAAGGAGGTGAAGCAGGAGGCGGTGGGAAGAAGGGGTTGGTGGGGAAGGTTAGGTGAGAAGAGGGTGAGGTAAGGGAGGGACATGTGGAGGTGACGCGGCGGGGAAAGTGAGGTGAAAGTGAGGTGGAGGGGAGGGGGAGGTGGAGGGAGCGGGAGGGACGTGGAAGGCGAATGGGGGTGCGCTCCAAGCCCGAATCTGCATGGAGCTGGTGGTGTAGGGCGAGGGTCGGCTGCGACACGTTTGGTGCAACGCACCTATGAAGATCTTGCAGTTTATGCAGTCGTCCACTTGCACTTGCGAGCTGTGGTCGAGGATGTAGACCTCGCAGTCTTGCAGGGTGTCCAGTACAAATCCATTTCTGCATACAGAAGGAACAAGAAGCACGGCGGGGATTGCGCGTGAAAGGTGACGAGAACCGGAGCCCAACGGGCATGTAGGAATGATCTTGCAGAAGCCCTTGACCCCATGATCAAACACGACAACCCGTTACTGCAGAAAATATTTGTGTACACAATACGCACTGGGGACATGCGTGACATATTAACAGGAATTTTCAGCTGAGTGCAACCGCTCTCACCCATTGATGCTGCCAGGCGGTTTAATAAGAGCCTCTCCCTTTCTCTTGCGAAAGATAAAGTCCTTGGCGTTCATGGCTTGCTTAAGACCAAAGAACTTCCGCAACCGTCAGCCCTTGCTGCCCTTTCTCTTCTAAAGTTTCCTCAATAATTAGGGGACAGCCCAAATGCAAGTCCGTATGCTGCAATCCTGGCTGCTCACAGATACCGGATATCCACCAATGGCCGCGTAAGCCACACATTTGGACGAGCGTCGTACGTGCGTTGAATATTGGTGATCATGCTCGATAGCAGAGTATTGAAGGGTGCAGCGAACAATCTTTGGTCAGTAGGGAGGTCAGCTATTGACGCTGTTGTCGGAGTCCGTCGTTATGTTCCCGTCCTCAACGTTTCCCACAGCGCCTGGCACAAGCCGTGGACAGTGCGTTGCATTGCATCCGCCTTATCCTTGCGGTCACAATGGTCCTGCGCTCAGTGCAAGGTGAGCAGAAGACAGCACAACAGTTTCGCCGCCCTTGCCGTGAAAACCCTTTGACACAGTAGTTCTCACGGAAGGCCGTTACTGTCGTTTTGACTGTTATATTGCAAGCATCACACAGTTATCGCTGATAGTGAAATTGCATGCTCTTGCCGACTCTCCGCCATTGCCTGCAGGCTGGTAAAGCCCTTGCGTGCTATAAACAACCAGCACAGCCATGTAGAGGAGGAACTTGTGCGTATGCAAGCTCAGCTACTTATTGCTCAGCAGCCACAGAAGGCGAGGCAAACCACCCATGTGTTTCACGACACTTCTGAACATCCGCACCAGCGTCAGCCACAACGCCACGTGCATCACGAACCTCAGCACCACCATGGCCTCGCGCAGCCTATAGACGTTGCTGCAGTGCAAACGGTTCGCGAAAGCGAACTTGCCTACGCCGATTACTCGTACCAATACTCCAGCAACATAGTAAACTACAATCCTAGCAAACAGCAAAGTCATAACCAGCAAAATGGCCTAATCGGAACGCCGACGACGGCGCGGCCAACCATCTACCGCGCTCGGGTTGTTGACTATGGGCATCCATCAGCTCTATCGAAGGACTTGGTCGCTGCTCTTCAAAACGGCGATAAGCTGCTTTTAGAGCTCCCAGATGAGCCCGTGGCGGTGTCCAGCCTCATGACAGCGCTGGGGCACGCCTCGGACAAGCTGCGCGCCTCAGGTGGGTGCTGCAACACAAGTGCGCTCCTCAAGTGCCGCGGTGTTGGCCTCCATGGCAAGCAACCATTGTCCTTAATTGAGAACTGTCACAGGAGTGTTTGCGGCGCACTTGCTTACATCCCCGCCTCGACGGAACCTGACCTATCTGTTATCGTAAGAATGGCGGGTGCTGTGGTCGCGTCAAAGTTCTGAAGCCCCCCCGCTGCCACCCAACCCTAGGCCCGCCCCGCCGCTGCCATCCCTCCCCTAAACCCGCCCCTCTCGCGCTCCCCAACAGGTCTAGCCACAGCACTGGACCCTGTGTGGGATCCAGCCGCGCTCCTGTACGGCAACCACTCCAACGGTCATAGCACCCCAAACTCAACACCAACCGCCCCAAACACAACCGCCAGCAGCACCACCACCACCACCCACAGCGCCCACGCCCACACCAACCCCCACCTTTCCACTTCACCCTCGGACGCCACCGGCCCCAGCCCTGGCCCCTCACGCCTGCTGCACCACCATCACCAACACCTCCGCCCTGACGCCATCTTCACCCTATGCGCTCGAGCAGTCCACATGCCACACGCAGTATCACCAGGCCCCTCCGCGCCACCCGCACCGCCGCCTTCCCCGTCCTCCTTAACCTCGTCAGACGCCTCATGGGGATTCGAACCAGAACCTGGATCGGCAGGAGCAGCGGCAGCAGGTACGGCAGCAGGGCCGGTGCCGTACCTGCCGTCGTATAGTACGGTTGGATCCAGCGTGGGTCAGGAGGTGCTGCGTGTGGGTCCCTCCGCGGGGCCGCATGCGCTGCTGCGGGCGCTGCGGCGCGCTGTGCTGCGAGACGGGCTGGTGACGCTGCAGTGCTGCTGGCTGGATGAGGAGGTGGAGGAGGGTGACCCATGGGTCAGCAGCAGCAGCAGCGGCAGCAGCGACCCAGCTGCAGCAGTAGCAGGTGTTGCTGTGGAACAGAGCCTCCGCGGCAGTCAACATGCTGCTGCTACTGTTAAGGAGGAGAAGGAGGAGGAGGGCAATGCGGGTTATGCCTCACGTCACGCGACCACCCTGTCGTACGAGCATCAACAGCACCGGCAGGACCACCTTCAGACTCACTCCCACCCCCACCAGCCGTACTCGCACCCTCCTCCTCCCTCCTCCCTTGGCCTCACCGGCGGTCTAGTGCGCGTGCCGGCTGTGTTGCGCGCTGTGTTTCGTTTGGACCTGCAGCTGCGGGGGCTGGAGGCGGGGGGGCTGGTGCTGCTGCCGCACTCGTTCAGCCGGGGCGGGCGGGGGGGCAGGGAGCCGGTGCTGCACCTGGATGTGGTGATTGCGTGAGGGAGGCAGGGAGGGTGAGGGAGGCAGGGAGGAAAACACACCGGTAGGCAGGACCATGTGGCTCACCGTGTTAGCGTTGGGGAGGAAAAGAAGAATACCCTGCTTCGGGTAGGAGGGAGGGGCGGCAAGGAGGGATGTGTAGGGTGACAGGTTTGGGGGGAAAGAGAGACACGATGGTTGCAGGGGTTAGGGCGGTGCCAGGAGACGTTGCATGCTTTTGTGTGGCAGGCAAGAAAGGATGTTTCAAGCTAATTATTCAGAGAGCATCCGCTTAGTTTCGTTGCCCGCTTGGATTTTGGTTGTCGTTCGGGGTTACATGTATGTTTGTTGCCAGTAGTACACGTTGTAAGCATGTTGTTGTTCCTGTTGTACCTATATGGTTTGGTGGTGATGATCCTGATGAAGGAGGTGTGCGGGCACCGCGCTTGCAAGGCATCCAGCGATGTCCTAATCCGTCGAGGCATACCGATGCCAGTAGGCGTTACAAGTGCGTACCGGTTTTTCCAGCATGCACGAAGCGTTCCGACTACCGTATGATGCTTCCAATCCAGCGTCCATTATAGCCATGCGTGTTAGCACCCCGCTATAGTACGTAACTCGATAGGGATGATAGCCCAAGTGTTTTGCGGCGATGGTACCAGCAGTACACTTGCACCGGAAACTGTGTGAGAAACAGGTTTATCGTTGTGAGCCTTACGTGTGCGCCCAGGGTAGTGGCCGCGTTGATTGTGACGTGCCACGGGTGACCGCACTGCAAGACGTGTGGCAAACTGGCATTGCATGCACCCAATGTCATGCACTCCCCGGACCCGCCCGCCCCAAATAGCGGCAGCAGTGGCGACGGCTGTTGGCAGGGCCGTCGTGACAAGAGGGCAACATGCGTGGCGCAGCCGGCTGTGGAGGCGTCTGGACGGAAACGGGGGTACTAATTAACTCGCCTAGCACGTGAGGAGTAAGTGGGACGTGTTGGCAGTGGCGTTGGGTGGATTGTGCTTGCGGCAGCGGGTGGCGGCCTCTGTCGCCAGAAGGGTCGTCCGGGCGGAGGCAATCGGCGCCGGTTTGCGTACGGTATCCGCTGCATTTCATGCTGTTTTGATGTTTTCATCCATTATGTGTGGGTTCATCTGCCGATTTGCAAAAAAGGTGGCGGGCTGGTGGCAGATGGGTGTATGCGTTACATCCATGCAAAGCAGGCTGAAGGTTCAAGGCGGGCGGGCTTCAGCAGTTGGTGTTTCACAAGTTGCCAGCCAGCAAAGGGTTCGCAGCAAGGGGCAGGGATCGCAATGGTTGCTTGACTGCAGGGTGCGGAGGCATGTCATGCGCACCTGCATGTGCCCCCCTGTCCTGCCTAGTCCCCTTTATTAAGCCTTGCCTCTCTAGTTGCACTGGACTATTGGAACATGTATGGGGGTGTAGGTTGACAGGAAAATGGTTGTTCAGTTGCGGTACCGGTATTTGGCCCCAAGTTGCTGTTCGGCATGGGTAGATTCCCAGCTGGTTGTTGTGTGGGTTGCCTTGTGTTGCTGCCTGCCTGCCTGCCATGTACGGCATAGGAGGTATATGCTTTGACCCTAACGGCATGCTGCTGCCGTGCGGTATGTGAACTTCCGATTTTGGAATCAGTGTCTTCAACATTGGCTTACTGCTTACGGGATGTACCAATATCCTGCTGACAAGGAAAACGAGGCTTGCAAACAAGACCCAGTACGCCGCCTCCAAAGCCCCTCGTCTTTGCCCGTCCTGCATTACATACGACAGTGAACCATGTTTGCAACAGCAGTAGATTGCTTGGTAGCTCGAAATCGCTCACGCACACCCCTTACAGCATCGCAGCAGCGTCTAAATGTACAAACTTAATAGAACAACTTGTCGTACGATGTGTGTGAGCCCCCTCCGGTGATGTACGGCAGTTGGTAAATCTGCCGTCACGTGAAGCACTCCATGCTCTTCGCAGCGCAGGCACTCAAAAATCTATTGCATTCGACCTTACTACCCAGCACAACCACGTTCCGTTAAGCAGTGAACCGCCCCCGCGAAGGAGGCTTACATGTTATGTTCTCTCGCGCCAGCAGCAGCAGCACGCTGCCAGTGGCGCCTTGCGGGCGTGCAAACGATGCTACAACAATACCGGCAACCTGGGTGGGGGCTATTAACCTAGCAAAGCAAATAGCTAAGGGTTGCTTGCGGTCACCGCAAGCGAAACATGATGCACAGCGCCTGAGGAACGCAAACAGGAGCGGTAAAAACAGGCCGCGTTATGCCAACAGAAGGAAGTGTTGTAAGGAACACGGTACGCTGCGGACGTTCCCAGCTGTCATTGGAACGCTGCCCAGTTAGGCAACAACAACGAAACACGCGCACATCCCGGGTTGCCATGCATCATATCTGCTGTACATGGACCTTCCCCACCCGAAGGCTCAGTTTATCTACTTCCCACCCGATGACGACGGCCCGGCTCATCATTCTCCACCTGCGGCATTAACGCACCATCACTAAGACTATATGTACATACATCTAGTCGCGGACGCTACGTAGCCCGCCTTTACACCGTTAATGCCTAGGGGTACAGCTTAAGAGGTACTAGATAAGCGTACTACACCCCGATTACAAGGCGCGCAAAACCCGCATGGTGCACTGCTTCAAACCACAAAAGAATCAGACTAGCGCGGACTACCCAACCAAGCTGCCTACGCACAGCACCAACATGGGCCAATGCAAGCCGCCTCTAGTAATAGCGGGGCCTCTTCCCAGGCCCGGCCCTGCCATGCGCCTCAACCCAACCCACAACAACGCATCGCCCAACCCTCTCTCAGCTCGCATCTCTTACATTCCCAAATTTCGGCACCCAAACCCCCGCTGCACCCAAACCCCCGCACGCACCCAGCCACTGGACCCCCATTACATCACCACCCCGCGCCGCACTCGGTTCCTAAACTCCAGCGGCATGATGTCCTTCTCCGCCTCCCGGAGCAGCCGGGCGTTGGCCTGCACGTCCGTGACCAGCCGGTACACCTTTTCACCCTTGGGGAACGCCGCCTTGAGCTCCAACGGGTCGCCCCGCCACAACCGCGGTTCCGGAGCCTTTGGCGGCGGCGGCAGCCTGAGGCCGGCGGGCGCTGTAACGGCGCGGCGGCCGGCGGTGTCCGGTGAAGGCGATCGACGACCGGTAGTGGCGGCAGTGGCGGCGGCGGCGGCTGGGGTGCTGGAGGTGGTGTAGGAGGAGGCGGTTGCGCGGGCGGTTCGACTGGAGGGTGACTGCCATGGATGGTTGCGGTTGCTGAGGGCGGCGGCGGCGGGGTGTGATGGGAGGCTGTGTTTGGCGGTTGCGGCGGCGGCGGTTGCCCATGCAGCTGACGCCAGGTGTTGGTTAAGGGGCTGCAGGATGTCGTATTCGTCGAGTTCCTCCCGACCCCACACGGACTGTGACGGCCGCAGCAGGTTTGATTGCATCTGTGCAAGTGCTTCGGCATCTGGGTCGGCCGTACGGCGGCGTCGCCGTCGCATGATCTCATCGTAGCTGCTGTTGCTGCCGCCGCCAGCGCCGCTGCCGCGCTCCTGTGGACCGCTGGGATGGACCGACCCGTGCGTCAGATGGTGAGCTAGTTCCGCAGCGACACGCTGCGGAGAGCGCTGCTGCCGTAACGCCGGTCGGACGCCGCCGCCGCCAACACCTGGCGGCAGGTGGTTGAGAGCTTTCAGGCGGCCTCCCTCGGCCATCATGCTGTGAGGTAACAGGGGCATGCCTGGCGGCGACTCAGAGCCTGTCGTACCCACGCCGTTCTCGGCGTTGACGGTGGCAATAGCCCGTGAGATGGGGTTCAGCAAGCTGGCGATTGAGGCGGCGGCTTTCGCTTTCGAGCCGGTGATCCGCACACCGCTGGGGATGCCCATCAGCGACACGTCTACGCTGTTACTTGCCAGCGACCCCAGCGGCAGCTGCTGCGACAGCGCGGCGGACAGGCTGCCCGACGTTGCCGTCGTGACGGCGGCGGCGACGGCGCTGCTGGTGCTTCGGTTCCTGCTCTCCCGCCGGCCACCCTCATGTTGCATGTGCCTGTGCTGACTCATCATGACGGGATGTACGGGAGACTGGTACTCCACGTGCATCTCGGCACCCGTCACCGCTGCCTCCTGCCTAGCCGCTTCCACTCGGTCCATCAAGTGCGGGTTGTAGGTGCCAGCGACGTAGTCCGCCTCAGCACAGTAGCCGGGCCGCAGCGCACCAGGCGCCGCCGGATTCCACCTCGCTCCCGCCAACCTGTAGTGCCTGCTTAGGCCACGGTTCGGATCCAACTTTTCCAAGTCCAGTACGGAAGGCACGGCGTCTGGCGGCGGTGTGGGCCTGGGAAAGGGACCTGAAAGCAGGTGATCAGCTGAGAAACCGCCGGCGGCAGCGTCGGTGCCGCCGCCGCCAGCGGCGGCGGCGCTATCCGCTTCGCTTGTGAGGCCCTCCGTGGGGGTCGTCTGCTGCTGACGCTGCAACTGCGATTGCGTGCGCAGGATGCCGGATGACGCCGGCCGACTGAGCGCCGCGGCCGCGGCCGCGGCAGCGGCGGCGGCGGAGCCGCCGCCATCACCACGCGTCAGGGCTTCCCATGGCGGCAATGGGGCCAGGGTAACGGCCGCCGAGCTAGCGGCGTACGTGCTGCCGTACTCGCTGCCATCCTCGCTCGCAAGCCGCGTGCTGATCCAGCCGCTGCCGGCGACGGAGTGCGCCTCCGCCGCATCCACGTCGGTGTGTGTATCCGGCGAGCCGGGCGCACCTCCTCGCACCGCACTGCTGCCGTCTGACAGCGCACCAGCCTCCCTGTCCGGATCTGCATGGCCGGCGCCGCCGCCCTCATCGTCATCATCCTCGTCATCGTCCTCATCGTCATCGTCAGAGGACGACGCCAGCAACCCCGCAATGTTGGCACTTGCCATGGATTGAGGCGTGGAGGCGCGGCGCCGGCGAGTGGCCCCCAGGAGAAGGCCCACGGAACTAGCCATCATGGATAGCCGCCGCAGCGCGTTCCTGCGTGCAGCGCTGGTGCTCTTGCCGCCGCCTTCGCCGGTGCTTCGTCGACCTCGCTTCGTGGCGCTGGCGGGGGCGGCTGTTGTCGTACTGGCGGTGGCGGCGGCGCCGCCGCCGCCACGGCTGTTGTTCCCCCGTCCGGTTGGGCTAGCTGACACCACGACCACAGGGCCGGTGCGCGGCTGAGACCGCAGCGATGAGGGCGGCCGGCGGCGGTCACGCCCGCGGCTTACGTGACGTCCCGTGCGGCCAGGGCTGTGATCCGCGGCCTGCTGCCCACCTCGGTTGCGTTTGCGACCCTCAGCACCCTCAACAACCCCTCTTCCCGGCTCGTCAGTCACCGCTGCAGCCTCCTCCGCATGCGCCACGCCCCCGCCCTCACCGTCGCTACTCGCACGTTCGGATACCGGCGGGATGTCCCCATCCCATTCCTCATCCCCACGGCCTCCTGCTCCTCCGCCGCCGCCTGCTACGTCGTCCCCGTTGGCGCCGGCGGCCCGCCGGTGCGGCGACGGCTCCCCGCCAGTCACCATTGTGCCCCCACGCTGCGACCTTTCCGATGCCCCTCGCGACCCAGGCCGCCCCCGACGGCGCGACTGCTGCTGCTGCTGCTGCCCGCGATCGGACGTGCCCGGCCGGGAGTTCCCGCCAACCGTCGCAGTCGCCGTTGTCGAGGCGCTGCCGACGCGACTCGTCGCCGCTGTACGCGGCGGCGATGCCGGGTCGCGACTCCGCGCGGCGCCGCCGCCACTGCGCTGGCTGCGGAGAGACGGGCCCGGGCCGCCGTGCCGCTTGGCTAGGGTTTCTAGCGCTGCACGCGATGCCGCCTCTAGTTCGACCTGCCTAGGGTCCGTAGGCTGTAGCCCCTCATGTGAGGGCCCATGCGGCACCCCGCGACCTAGGCTGATGAAAGACACTCCGGAGCGATGGTGGTACCAGAGTGCGGTGGTTAGCGGCGACTCGGATGCCGATGCGGCTTGAGCCTCCGTTGGGGCAGCGGCGGCAGCAGGGTCCGGAGTGGTTGCAGCGGCGGAGGCAGCCCCGGTGTCGGCGGTGGACGCGCCTGGGCCGGCGGCTGTGGGGGTTGCGGCAGCCATAGCAGCTTCCCCTGCGGTCACACTGGTTCCCGCTCCTGTGCCGCTGCCGGTATCACCCCTGTCGCGCATGGTTCCGCTGGTACCGGGCCGCGGGGTCGGGGGTGTGGTTGGCAAGGTTGACGCGGCCGCTGTGGCGGCAACGGCGGCGGCGGCAGCGGCGGAAGCAGCCGCGGCCGATGCGGCGGCGGCAGCCGCTGCTGTGGTGTGCGCTCGCACGCGCCGACTGATCAGAAGCGCCGCGCCGCGTAACAACGCAGTGGCGGGTGTGGCGCGAGCCGCCGCCTGTTGCTGCCGTACATTCTTACCGCTGCTGTCTCCTCCCGAAGCCGTCACTCCCCCTGGCGTCTGCGCGGCAGTGCCAGGCTCCGCCTCCGTCCCTGCCGCGACCTCCGCGACCCCTCCCGGAGACCCAGGACGCCCCGCCACCGCCCTTAGCACCGCTCCCCAGCCCCCTCCTCCCGCCTCAGCTTGGCTCATATGCAGGGAGCTCATATGCAGGGAGGCGTGGGCGGTGGGTGTGGCTGGGATCAGGGTACTCGCACGACCGCTTGCTGCCGCTGCGGACGGCGTCGCCGCCATCGACAGTTCGTCCCCTGGCGATATCGGCAGCGCCACCGCCACATGCATTCGCCGCGGGCGGGCTAAGGAGATCTGCGGCTCCTGCGGCTGGGCTCCCATCGTCGTCGCTGCGGCCGCCGCTGCCGTTGCTGCCTCCGCCGCCGCCGCGGCTGAAGCAGCAGCCGTGTCGTCTCTGAAGCCGCCGCCCGGAGCTACCGTGCAGGCTGCCGCACCGCCCTCGCCTCCTCCCTCCTTCTGTTGTTGCTGCTGCTGCTGCTGCATGTGCTGCTGCAGCGGAGTCGTGGCGGCGGTCTGCGGGGGAAGCTGTACGGGCCGCCGTACGGGCATGAGCTCGATGCGCCGGTCCTGGTGTGCGCCCGCCACACCCACCACGTGCCCGCCGCCGCGCCGCCCGGTGGCGCCCTGGCCCCCGCGGCAGCTGCTGTGGTGCTTCTTGAGCAGCCCGATGAGCGTCTCAACGGGGACCTGCAGCAGGGGGTGAGCATGCACGAGGGCATGGCACCAACACATGACAACATGAGAAAATGGACCAGAGGGCGATGCGGTAAGGGATGGGCATGTGACTTGTGACTGCCAGCACGCGTCAAAACCCGCTACACAGGCCCCCCTGCATCAACACTATCACAACCCACGTCCTTTTGTGCATTCCCGTTGTTGGGTTCCTTTACCCCTGAACCCACCCGCCAACTTAACCAAAACACCTTACCCACACGCCCCCACCTCCACCACCCACCGCCACACCCACCTGCAGCTGGTAAGCCAGCGCCGTCAACCGCTCAAGCGCCTCCGAGCTCAGCCGCACGCTACCTCCGCCACCGCCGGCCGCCCCCGGCGGCGTGGATAAGCCTCCCGGTCTGTTCCCCTGCGCCCCACCGCGCTTGTCCAGCTGGTGCAGGGCATCCGCATCAGGTGCAGCCACGTCCATGCCGGCAGCACTGGGCCGCAGGTTGTGGCGCGGCGAGTGGCCGCCGTGGTGGCTGCCGCCGGGGGCGGGCGCGCGTACGCCGCTGCCGTCGTCGGGTGGCCCGACGGCGGCCGCGGTGAGGAGGCGGTCGAGGAAGTGAGGGCCCCAGCGGGCCACCACGGACAGGATGTGATCGTTCAGGGATTCCTGTGTGGTGGCGGTGGGGGTTCAAGGGTTGGTTGCGGGGGGGTTGCAGGAGGGTTGTTGAAGGAGGAGGTATGGGATTCAGCGCAAGGTACGGAGGACGGTGGAGGGATAAGGGCAGGGAAAGAGCGCGGCAGGTTTAAGAAAAGAAGCGCAAAGGGAGAGTAGGAAGCGTGTTAGGAAAGAGGAAGTCAACTGTTGGTGTCCACCTGCGCCTTCGCCAGCCGTTCAGCCATCTCTTCGTCCGCTGCCCGCTGCCGCTCCTCCCTCTCCAACGCTATGTTGGGCTGATAGTACCTGGGGTCCGGCAGGGGCGATCAAGAGAGGGACAGAGACATCCCAGCACGTCAGCGGAGGCTTGCTCGCAAGGACCGAACAATGCACGAGCACCCCACATACGGCCCCCCACAGCACGCCCCGCTTCCTCTTCTACTACGGTATGCTCGGTACGCTATCCTGATCGGTTGTTGCTGCAGCCAGCCCTCGGCCAATCGCACCTGATCATCCCATCGCGCAGGCCCCTCTGCGGCGACGTCTTGGTCGCCACGCCGCTGCCCGCCGGCGAGTAGTACAGCCCGCTGTCCGCTTCCAGCGCACGCACACTGTTGGGCAGCAGGCTGAGGTTGAAGAAGGTGCGCGCCTCCGTGTGATAAGGCCGCGCCACAACCACCGGCCCGCGGCCCCCGCCTGCAAGCGAGTCCGCAAACTGCCTAAACTCGTAATCCACAGCAACCTTTTTGGAGGAGGAGCCAGCAGCGGCGGCTGCGCCGCCGCTGCCGCCGCCGCCAGGCGGCCGGCGGTCGCCGGCGGGTGTGCTGCTGGCGCTAGCGGCGGCGGCTGCCGCCGCCGCCGCGGCTGCTGCTGCGGCAGCCGCAGCAGCAGCAGCTGCCGCGGCCGCGGTTGCACTTTCGGTGTTAGGCGAGGAGGGCTTGGAGGCACCGCCAGTGCTGCCGCCGCCGGCGCCAGCGGCGCCGCCAGCACCGCCGCCGCTGGCATTGGCGGCGCCGGCTTCGTAGGCTCTGCGGCGGAGCTCGCGTCGGAGTGCCGCCGAGCTGACATGTGGCGCGACGGCCTGTCCGATGGTGCGGCTGACGCCTGAGGGCGCGCTGCCGCAGCCAGGGGAGATCTTGGGCGGGTCGGGCATGCCACTCGCCTTTCGGTTGCTGTGAAAGGCCTCACGGGCCGCCTGCAGGGCGGGAGGGCACAAGGCAGGCAAAAGCAGCAGGCATGAAGGCGGGATGGGTAGATACCGGTAGGGACTCAGGGGGCCGCCTGATGGGGTCCAGGAGGACCTCCGCCCTGGCTCTCCGCGGAGGGCTGTGGCCGTTTCCTTGTGTGCTGTTCTGTTGCGCCGTTGGGCCGGGGTTGTGTGACTGGGGTTTGGTTTCGGCGCCCATGTAGGGTTGCCAAGATGGCAACATGTGTACGGCACGTAGAGGCTCTACGGCACTGGGGATGTCCAGGCGCGGCTAGGCACCGGCGCTGCTGCTGGTGCTGCAGCAGCGAGCCTAGCAGCCAAGGGCGCATGAAAGACGGGAGCTACGCCTGTGGTGACGGTGGTCCGAGCCTTGTTGCTGAATTCCCATGTATTGCAGCATCCTGTTACCGTGCTGTGTGCTGCTGCTGCTCCTGCCTGCTGTATGTGTATTCGCAGCTGCGGAAGCTGCTCAAGGCACTGCCGCAGATCGCTCAGTGGCTGATGGGTGTTGGCCTGGCGGTGCTCCTCGCAAGCAAGCTATGGCGATGCTGACATACTGGGTGCAAGCAACCCGCGCTGCCGCCTGCAAGACAGCGGGGCGCGCCATTCAGGCTCACCTCAAGCTTCTTCTCCAGCGACGTCAGCTGGCGCGTACGCTTGGAGTAGTAACGCACACCAGAGCCATCTGTTGTGAGAGAAAGGAATGAAAGAGTGTAAACTTAGGCTGTGATCCGTGGGCACAATTAGAGTGAGTGCAAGGCAAGGAGCTGGGGTTTTCCCATGCCCAGGAGCAGCAAGGAGGTGCAGCCTTTGCAAAATGCGTGACCTCATAACCGATTGCACATTGAATCATGTCCTGTTTCCTTTTCGCCTATATTTTTGTTCGTAACGTTCATTCGGCGGAATACGTACAGGCATGACCCCGACATGCCCTGGCCATACTTCGCAGGCGTAGTCGCAGTTTGGCCATATCACACTCGTGATCAATGACATACCTAGAATGGCCTCCAGCGGAGGCATACTCTGCTCCTGGCGCATTTCGATGTCGTTCGGGGCCGTGTTAAATGTCTAGCTTCACTTTTCTAATCTATCATTTTTGCACGAGGTGATCCTTATTACAAAGAATTGGTTCTGTATGCAAAAGGCATAGCGCTAAAACGCAAGATCAATAACATTGTGTTTCATCACAATACCCATACCGCTAAGCACCCTTTCTAGTAAAGCATTAAATGCTCGAGTAGAAAACGTGCTTGTAGGGGCCCAGCTCTAAGACCCAGTTGTACGGCATTACCGCTCCAGGGCGCAGTCGCGAGGACCATTCGTGCCGTTGCCCTCACGGTTCTCTCTCTTTCAACCGGCGGGCCTAACTGTGCTCCACCCTGGGAAGGTGAGGGCTCTAGACTTAGCAATCGCGAGCCCTAGGGAAAAGTGCGGCGCCGGACTTGCTACTTATCTACCGAGCTCCTGAGCTCGGAGCTGTTTTCCTAGGATTACATTTACAGTGCCATTATAGGTTATCTCTTGGATACTACTAGGCAGAGTACCACAGCTCTTGAACAAGGAAAGCTCTTCCATTTCGCCGCAGGGCCTATAAAAATGGTGCAGCCACTGAAGAAGGTCAAGATTGTCAAGAAGCGCACTAAGCACTTCGACCGGCACCAAAGCGACCGGAAGGACTCGATCAAGTCCTCATGGCGCAAGCCCAAGGGTATTGATAACCGCGTGCGCCGCAGGTATGGAGCTTGGAGGGGTTGGGGGAATGCAGGATGTTTAGTTGGCATCGATGTGACATTGCCAGCCAACCAAACGAGTTGCCATATGCACCGCTCCACCATGCCAAGTGAAACACGGTGCACGAGTTGGCTGCAATGATGCATGGGTTTAACGCATGCATGTCATGCCATATGGTAAGGTGCGAAACCACCATCCTTTATGGCCACTCCGCCTTAGGCCGTCCTGGTCCCCAGGCCTCTGTGGGGGGGCGTTCTATTGTTGGGGCATCGATGTCGTTCGTGGGTGGGAAGCACCATGTGTTGAACTCGAAGTGCGGTTGGTCAGGATACGGTGTATGTGCACCCATCATAGCATGCGTTGATGGACCCTGGCAGCCACTGAAGCCACAGCCCAGCCCAGGGAGCAGGCGCCAGATGCAATCGTGGACGAGAGGGGCAGCTTTCACATGTCCTGCTGGCCAGCCAGTCTCAGTGCATTGGAGACACTCTACTCTGCCCTGCTATCCTCCGACCCCGCACATGCGGACCTCCGCCTGGTTTCGCTCAGCCACATTTCCTTCTCCAGTTCCGCCGCTCAGCCCCGTTTTCCTCACCCGCCGAGCGCAGCCGGCTTGTTTCAGCAACGTTGTGCCGACTGCTGCTCATGCATCTGTTTCCTGAGCACCATGCACCGCGCTCGCTTGCACCCCCTAAATCCCTACTCACACCTCCTCCTCTCCTTACCTTGCTGCCCGCCCGCAGGTTCAAGGGCGCCCTGCCGATGCCCAACATCGGCTACGGCTCCAACAAGAAGACCCGGCACATGCTGCCCAACGGCTTCCTGAAGTACACCGTCAACAACGTGCAGGACCTGGAGCTGCTCATGATGCACAACAGGTGGGGAGGAGCGGGGCGGGGCGGGGCTGGCAGTACGGGGGTGATAAACTGTAAATGATGGGAAGCGGGGAGCGGGCTGGCAGGGAGAGCGGCAGGCCTTAGTAAAGGGTTGATCCTTAGTAGGGGGGGGGGCCACAAGGAAAAAGCCGTCGTAAGGTGCGGCGGCGTAGGGGGCTTATCAGGCAATGAGAGCAACCCATGTTGGACCCATGTTGGCACACGGCTGGTTTCTTCCTATTTACCTTGCTCTACACCCCTTCTTTCTCTGTTCCCTCGTGTCCCGTCACAGGCGCTTCTGCGCCGAGATTGCGCACAACGTGGCCGTGCTCAAGCGCAAGGCCATTGTCGAGCGCGCTGCCCAGCTGAACATCCGCGTCATCAACGGCAGCGCCCGCCTGCGCAGCCAGGAGGACGAGTAAGCGGCTGTTGCTGCTGCTAGCTGGCTGGCTGGCTGGCAGCACGCTGGCGGGGATGTGGCTGAGCTGCGGCAACTGCGGGCTAGGGCCGCAGCGGCAGCAGCGGAGGCAGCATCCTTGCTGGCGAGTGTAACTGTTTCGTCGGGATAGCTTTTTCTCCTTTGGCCCGAGATGTACTTTGCGTGTAAAGCACTGTGGGATGAAACCCCACGGAAAGGGCTTGGCAAGGGATGCTGCCTACGTGCTAGTTGGCGGCTGGGGTAAAAGGAGGGAATGGAGTCAGCTTCACACTTGCGGCATGCTTGCGACTGATAAACGTATGGGAACCCTCTCCTGAAACATGGCGAGCTGGCGATTCCGCAAGCTGGAGGATTGGGGTTACAAAATATTAAACCGCACATATCATAATTAACGTCTAAGTCACAAGCTTGCTTGCTTGCAAGCATACGTTCCAAGCATGACAGCTACATACGACCTCGAGGTGCAGCTGTTCTTACAACACCCCGGGATGCCCTTCCCTAACCTCAACTCGTCTACCTGGGAAATAGTGGAAATACCCCTCTCTGCCACAACAAAAGCCGCAATCATTGTAAAGTTAACTCGTACCGCCCCATGTGCCCATCGCCAACGCCGATTGTCGTTTGTTTTGCCGTCCAATCACATCTCCACGACGTCACGTGCGCACAGGACCCCTCCGTACACACGCCGCCGCTTAGCACCAGAACAGAGAGCAGCGGCCGTCCGTAGGTGGCGGTCCAATAATCAGCACGAATACGACAAGCAAGATGACGCTGGCAGCAGTCCCAGCTTTCAGGAAGTCCGCTGTGCTCCAAATGTCCAGGAGCACTCGCTCGGCACGCCGGATGCGCTCTCCCTCCTGGCCGCCCCAACCGCCGCTAGCGCTGCCTCTGCTGCTACTGCCGAAACCTCCACTCCTTGGCGCCTGGCGCGGGGCTGCCTGGCGCGCGGCTGCCTGGCGCGCTTGCGTCCTTACATCGCTTGTAGTGTTTTTGACTTCCACTTGGGCGTTTAGTTGTCGCTGGAAGCTGTAAGGCGGCGGTAATGGGTTCGGGTGCCGGGTCCAAAACAAGATGGGATGGGTGCAGTGAGCGCTCATGAGAGGGTCTTTTTCCTGTGGACGCAACAAATATCATTACAACATACCGGAGCATTATTTGGACAAGGGTGTAATCAGGACTATTTGGGTTATCCAGGACTATCATTACAAACCAGGCAAATTGGCTTAGCTTGTACTGAGCAGGCGCTTCAAGGGAAAACGTACCTTGACCAAGCAAGGTCCCAATCAACTGTGGCTTCATCGCTGCGTTCGTCATCCTTTGCGTATGCACGAAGCGAGCGATGCCATGCTGGACCATGGCGAGCAAACTTGTTTCCTCTGCAGGTCGCCACACCATGTCTCTTAACAAGACCTGAGTAGCAGCTGCTATGTAGCATTGTATGCGCGATGAGTGCTAGCGGGCTGTATGCAACTAATACAACTTGCGCGGGTTGGTGGGTCTTCGTGCGCTGACAAAGGAAACGGTCGCGCTTAATACAACATAGACTAGACTACCTGATACCAGCTGAGGGATGTAACTAGTGGTTTAGGACATTGTCGACTTGCTTGTACGACGTTCTAACGCTTTCAACGCGCCAGCACAACCTGGATGCATACATCAACCAACAGCAAAGTCATGTCATGCGGAATAGAAAAGCGAGTACCGTAAGCGTACCCTGGCGTACCTCTCCTTATTAGTCACGAGTCAGTCGAGGCTACGAACCAACTCGGTCCCACCCGACTTGCATTGCTCTCCGAAGCCTTCCTTACATCGCGGCTGCTGCTGTGGGAATCAGGTAGACATGTTTCGTGCTCCTCCACCCATCCAGCACGCTCACGTCGCTGGTTTTGAGAGAGGCCAGCTATGCACTTGCATGTGCCGTACGCATATGTACAGCGAACCGGTTGTACGGGATCCCAGCCACCGACCGCCTCAAAAGGTTACACGCCTGGCCGGCCTTACAGAGTTACAGTACCCTCCAAGGGCTTTCGTTCGCATGATGCAATACACGGTTTCCGCTTATAGCTGCAGATCACGAATCAGTAAGAGCAAATAAAGCAAACAGCACGGCCCTGGCTACTACCGAGCCCGTGTCGACAATATCGAGGGCCAGTCCTGAACTCCCTGTACATCATGCACACATGACAGCGTTTGCCAGCCTCCTTCACCCCTCTGCTTTGCCCATGCATGCATACCCCTCCACCACCATCACCGGTTTGCAACATGCGCCGCGACCCGTACAACAGCGCATTTGCATGCCTGCGCCCCGGAAACAACCCAAAATGCAGTACTTGAATTGTTGCTGCCTACGCCTCAGCGCAGCTTCAGTATCCAGGTTACCCTAGCTGCTCCCCACGTCCGGCTTGCCTAGCAACCGCAGGCATCACACCTCAGCTCATCGCCCTGCAGAATCCAAACAGCAATTGCCACGCAACAATACCGAGCCCGCGCCCGCCCAATGCACTCCAAGTTCTCAGCAGCAGTAAGGCACGCTAATAACGTTTGTGTTGCATTACATTTGTTCGGCTGCTCGTCCCAACGGACCCGACGATTCGGCTGCCGTACCAGCTACCGGCATAATAGGTACGGCTCCGGGTGTCCGGGATTGGCACCCGCCGCGAGATACCGATCGACCATGCTTCATCCCGGTTGGGGAGGGGACATGTCGTTAGGAACAACATACCATACGCAGGGGAGGATGGCGGCATTGTAAGGAACAACATACCATATGCAGGGCGGCCTTGGGCACAGCCATCAACCCAGATGCGGACCTCAGCGTCAAGGAATACATCCAAACCGCATTGAGGGAAAAACAAAGTAACGACATGCATGTATGCATGCGCACCCGCCCCTTGGTCCCGAGCATCAGCAGTCGCCGTTTGGTTTGCCGTCCCCTGAAGATAGCCTCCACAGATGCCCTAGCTTGCGCCACCTTCAAACATGCTGTACCCTCCCGGCGTGCACCGGCTTAGGGCCATGACCCCAAACACGCACATACCATGCGGCCGATTCATAAACACATACCATGTGTGCCAGTGATGAGCACCATGCGTCTTTGTTCCCACGCATATCACATGTAAGCACCTAACCCAATACCTCCTCCTACACAGGCCTAACATCGAGGTTACGCACCTTTTGTGGGGCTTAGGAGACAGGATGACCCCTCAGCCACGGCCTGAGCCCCAATCACACACAACACCGGCAAAAGGAAGGCCCAACAGTTCCGGACGCATGCATCAGGGCCCCCTGCATGCTTGTCCAGCCGGCACTTCTGCGCCGCCGCATGAGGCAGATTGGCCTTTCAAAGTCTCTTCATGTTCGTACAGCCAGGTGAGGAGGAGGAGGAGAATCCCTGGTGGTGATACACCGTAGGGAAGGCAAATCATCACACCACGATAAGACACAGGTGCACTCTCGCTGGAGCGGTATATGTTATCCATGAAACAGCAACTCACGCAAACTAACATAGCTTTTGGTACTATTCGACTTAGCGCAAGGAGGCCCCGCGCACGTCATACTTCAGGCGCAGGGACATCAACGCCAACGCAGCGCATTACGGGGAATCCACGCAATGCAGAAACCACGAGCAACAACAGCAGCAGCAACAATAACAAAAAACATTTGCTCTCCAGCAACTAGGGACATTTTCTCTCCAACTATTCGGGCATAACATTAAGAACTTCATACCTAGCTCATTAGGAAGTCGTTTTCTCACCACCCACAAGCAATCCCCGCATCAACTCCTACGCATAAAACACGCTCTGCCATTCATACTTCTCACAATAAAACATCACAGCAATACAACCAAACCGCTAAAGCCAGGTTTGCACGCCACAGGTAGCTCAATAACAGCTCACAAGCCAACCAACAAACAGCTCCTCAACCCGCCATATGTTTCATGCTCAGCCTCGTCATTCATTCCTTCGCGCCAACCTCACTCGATATCCATCCTCTATACACCCATCCTCTAATGGCTGCCGCCGCGCGCCCCAGCCATCCAGCCACGATCGCCACCCAACCCTCCGCGCACTCTAATCCACATCTGCCATCTAGCCAACCAGCGCCCACGCAAGGACCGTTTCCACCTTGCTATCCCAACCCCCATCTCACGAGCATCATGGCCTCCACCCCCACCCCCACCCCAACCCCAAAGTGAAGCCTCGTCATACAGCTCGTCAGTTCCTTCCTCTTCACCCCAACCCCAAAGTGCATTTCTGATTTCATTCCTTTTCATCACACTTGGTTTCCCCTCCCTCTCTGCCTACCGCCAAGCATCACCACCCTTCCAACCTGCCTTACTAGCTTCATGCCGCCCCTAGCACAGAGCCGGTGCGACCTTTCCTCTGCCCCACGCCCCCGTTACCTTCCCTGCACACCCCTGCCAACACACTCGCGACTCGCGATGTGAACACCTCACTACTCTCTACGCCCTAAAGCAAGAACCCATCACCCCTCAGCCTTGACTTCGCCCGTTGCGACGCCCACAATCCGCAACCACCCCCACCCCCACCACCCCCTCCTCCTGTCATCATGGCATACACGTTACCGTTACCGTTGCCGTTGCCCGCCGTGAACGACAGCTGCTGCAACAGGTGCATGTCGGAGGTGGTTGCGCTGTTGAATGTGTCGTACAACTGATGGTGACTGGGCGGTGACATGTCCACAGAGGCCCTATGGTTGATTGCCCAAAGCGGCCGCCCTCCTGAAACTCCTCCTCCTCCTGCTGCTGCTGCTCCGTTGGTTAGCATTCCGGTTGCCGATACTTGGTGGTGGTTATGGTTATGGTGGTTGTGGTGGTGGTGGTTGTGGACCCCACTTGCGAAGAAGATGTTGGTCAGGGTGAGAGCGGAACGGGTTGATCCGGTGGTGGTGGTGGAGGAGGCGCCGGGCGGGGGAACCAGGAAGTGGATGGGGTCCTCGGGACTCCACACGTACTGCGGCGGAAGGGAAGGGAAGGGGGGGATAAAAATAAGGAAACTGTATGACGCGGCTTCACCAAGGAGGGTGTCGGGAAGGAGGGAAGGTAGGCAAGGGGAGGGAGCAGGAGGGCAGCAGAGAGGTGGCGGGTGAGGGGTGTGGGGTACGCCAATGGAAAGGGGGTGGGCGCTAGGCGGGAGTGGGTACAGGGGAATCGTGTGGGCGGGAGGGGGTTGATGCGGGGGAACGAATGGGGCGGTGCTTGCAGAAAGGCGGGAATCCGGGTGGCGAGGTACTGGGAGCAGGGCCAAAGGGTAAGGTCACCCAGCCACAGTGCTGCATGTTGGGGGGGTGATGGTGGGAGCAACATGCAGTCCTAGCGCTTGGGCGTGAGGCCATCCTGGCGACACGACCCAGAGCCCCAACCCATCATCCAGGCGACACGACCCAGAGCCCCAACCCATCATCCAGGCAGCACAAGGTACGCAGCCCACCGCCCCACCGCCCCAGACCCACCGTGTGAAGCAAGCCTTTCCCCTTGATCTGCGACACGGGTGGTCACAGCAAAGCAAACAAGGAGCGGGGGAGGGGAAAGGGGAAGGGGAAAGGGCAGAAGGGTAAAGGTCAGGGCTGACGCGCACGTGAAAAGGAAAGGGGCCACCACTTGTTGCCTTCTGCCTGCCAGATACATGGACAAGCCCGCAACCATCTCTGTCCCTCTCATACTTTCAATCGCATGCAGCGAAGCTTTGCCGCCGCCCACATCCAAGCCCACCCGAGTCACGTGGCTCCGCTGCGCGCATCAGCACGCTGCAAAACACACACACACACACATCCACATTTCGGCAATCACAGTACGTTTCGCCTCGCGGCCAGTTATTTTAACACACATCCCTACATGCATGCATGCACAACCCCCTGCATGCGCATCCTTTTCCGCACCACCCTTAGCCGCTTCTGCACGCCCCCCACCAGCCGCCAACCCCCCCCCCAAGAAACCCCCCCAACACCCCACCCCACTCCACTCCACGACCTACCCTCCTCCTCCACCTCTTCCTCCTCCTTCCTCTTCACCCCCTCCCGCACCTCCCACCTGCACGCCCCCCGTGGGGGTCCAGCACTCATGCCGCAGCAGCCGCCGTGTGTCGTCCGACACATGCAGCGTGCCTGGGGTGCAGCTGGTCTGCATGCGGCTGGCCGTGTTGACGGTGTCGCCGAACAGCACGAAACGCGGAACCCGCAGCCCCACAATGCCGCTCACGACGGGACCGGTGTGGATGCCTGCATGCGTGCGTGGGTGGGTGGGTGGGGAGGAGCAGGGTGAAGAGGAGGAAACGAAATTAACCAACTAATCTTCTCCAGCACTGCGCCCCCCGCCCCCCTCTCAACCCACCTATCCGCAGCTTCACGGGCTCGTCCGTGTTGGGCATCTTGGTCCGCGCAGCCACGTTCAGCATCGCCTGCAGGGCACGCCAGGGGTGGTGCGTAACACAACACCATGCACACGTTCAGCATCGCCTGCAAGCAAGGCGCGACGCTGCAAGCAAGGCATCCAACACCATACACACACACCCGCATTATCATGCAGCGCTCATTCAGACAATTCACCCCGGCTGCCTGCCCTACCCCGCCCCCTGCGCCCCTGCTGCCACCCGCCCCCCCCTTGCTGCCCCCCGCCCCCCCGCTGCCATCCGCCCCCTCCCCCCGCTCCACCCTGCATGAGTCGGGATTCGGGATTGGGACTGTGTTGTTGCACTTATTTATAATTTTCCCCCCGCTCCACCCCACCTTTGCGAACATGAAGACCTTCTCCGCGTGCAGCGGGTCCCACCGCTCCCGCACCGCCACCGCCCCGTCCGCCTCCTGCCGCAGCAGCCCACCCGCCACGATAAACAGCCCGCCGATGGTCTCCATCTGGGATGAGAGTTGGGGGGGGGGGCAGACCGGGGGGCGTGGAGGCAGACAGGGGCGGAGGGGGGGACACAGACGGGGGGCCGAGGAGGCAGGTGTGGAGGTAGGGGCAGAGGCAGGTATAGGTCAGGGGTATCTCGTCCCGCTGGTTCAGTTCGGTTTCTTCGTCTTCCTGTCCTATTCTTTGTAAACAATCCAGATTGGGAAAGAACACTGGGCTGGAGGGATCGGCATGGGCCATGCTACACGCAGCAACCCCTGGCGAGAGCCCTTGTCGGCTGGTCACCTGGGGTTGCACATGCACCTGCACTCCTCCATGCACTCCATCGGGAGCCCCCCCTGCCTGCCCCCCCTGACTCGTTGCTGCACTTGTCATTAATTTTGCCCCCCCCCCCAACTACCTTGTGAACCCCGAACGGCTCAATAGAGTCATCAAACTTGGCAAACAGGTCGTTCAGGAACGCCAGCACCCGCTGCGGTGGCAGCTCCCGGCAGATGTCGTCAAACCCCGCCACATCCGCGAACAACACGGTGGCTTGCGGGTGCATGGTCGCCAGCTTGTCAGCGTCATGCAGCGCCGGCCGCCAGCCGCCCCCGTCCTGCCAGTCCTGCGGGGGGTGTTGCTGCTGCTGCTGTTGCTGCTGGGGCCTGCCGCTGCTGCTGCTGCCGCCCCCTGGCCCCTCCAGGCAGGCGCTGGAGCGGAGCAGCGGGTTGGACTCCACGATGTGGTTTAATACGTGGCGCGGAAAGAGCCTGCATGTGCCGGTTGGGTTAGGTCGTGGGGGAAGGCGAGGCAGTGTGTAGAAGAGGGCGGGCGGGCGGGCAATGACCCCGGCTTAGCCACCCTCCCAAACCACCACCTCTCCCCCTTCCCTCTTCCCCGCCAGCTGCTCTTTCCCTCTCCCCTCCCCTCCGCTCCCTCCTTCCCCCCTCCCACTCACTGCATCAGCAGCCGCCTCTCCGCGCACATGACATGGGCCAGGTGCCGCTCCGCGCGCACCTTGGCCGTCACGTCCACCTGCGCAATACACACACACGCACACACGCGCATACAGGGAGGCAATCACAAATTCACAATACGTTCCGACTCGCGGCCGTTTTCTTAAGCACACACAGGGAGAGAGCCCACCCACATACACGCGGCTCAGCTGCTTGCGCGCACATGGGGCTGAACAGAGAACAGCAACACACTGACACAAACCCCGCAACCGCTCCCACCCTCAACCCACCCGCGGCTCAGTTTGTCTAATCCACCACCCCCCGCCCTCCACCTCCTGCCCGCCCCTACCGGCCCTCCAACTCCTGCCCCCCCACCCACCTGTGTGATAACCAGCACCAGCGCCCCGCTGACCGGGTCCACCGCCGTCACAGCAGCCACTTGGTGCCACACCTCCGCCACCACCCCCGGGCTGTCCGCAGCCTGGGTCTGCGGCGGCCCCACCTCGCCGCTCCCGGCCTGCTGCTGCTGCATGTGCGGGTTCTGCTGGTGTTGTGGGGGCGACAGGGGCGGCTGGTGCTGCTGTGATGGTGCCTGCCGTTGCAGCGACTGCTGCTGTTGCTGTTCCTGGTGTTGCTGGCTGCTCGGTGGTTTCGAAGTGGGAGGAGAAGGAGGAGGAGAAGGACGAAGACGGCGCGACAGCGGCGCCGGCGGAGGTGGTTGCTGTTCCTGGGTCCGACTGCTGCCTTCTTCCTGGTTGCTGCTCGGGGAATCCCTGTTGCTAGCGCGGGGTGATGACGATGTTGTCGTATGGGTGGTGGGACCTGAGGACGTTGCAGCAGCAGAAGCTGCAGCAGATGCTGACGGCGGTGGCAGCAAAGCGGGCCCAGTGTATGCGGCGGCGGCGGCTGCATCGCTGCCTGCTGCTCCGGTTGCTTGTGATGGGCTCGGGTTGCTGTGGAGGTGATGATGATGAGGATGCGGATGAGGAAAACGGCTGGAAGAGGAGGCGCGCGGCAGGGCTGCTGCCAGAATTGCAGGGGCCGTAACAGCAGCAGCAGCATTAGCAGCAGTTGCTGCTGTTGCTGATCCTGCGCGCGCATCTGCCACTGCTTGCGGGAGGCTCAATAACAGTCGCGGTATCCCTTGGTCTGCGTCCTCTGCTGATTTCTCCGACTCCTCCACAATCTCCACTTGAGCCGCGCTGACCGACGGTCCCAGCACCGCCACAGCCGCAGACGCAGCTGCCGCGGCTTGCACTGCCCCAGCTGCTGCCCCTGCAGGCGCTGTTGCAAGCATCAGAGCTGCATTTCCTGTTCCCGAAATCAACGGACTTGCACCTGGCGTTGCTACGGCGCCGTACGGCTGGGGTTTACTGAAATCGTACGACAGCCGTTTGCTGTACCCCCCCGGCCCGCCTCCCCCCGGCGCGAACGGAGCGCTGCGCAGGCTGGAAGCGAAGAGCAGCACCCTGGGCACACCCACCACCCCAGTATCCATGCGCCTGTGCCCGCCCGCATTGACCGGACTACTCTCCCCCGACTCGCCCAGCAGCCCCCCGCCTCCGCCCAGCAAGAGGGGGCTGTTGGTCGAGGAGGGCCCGGCTGCGAGTGCGTTATTGGCAGTGCCGTGGTTGCTGCTGCTGCTGTTGCGCGGAGGTGCCGGCGCAGGAGGCTTCGCAGCGGGCGCCGCACCTGGCGCTACCGAAACCACGCCGGTCCCTGAACCCGGTGCCGGCGCCGCAACAACCTCTAATGCGCCGCCACTCAGCACAAACGGGAGCTGCGGCTGCGAGTGAGTGGTATGTGGGGCCAGACGCGGCGGCGCCATGAGCGTCGAGGGGTAGCGTTGCGTGGCGCTTCCCCAGCGTCGCGCCAGACCCAGCGCAATGGCCTCCAGATTGTCGTCTCCCTCGCGTCCCTCGCTCTCGCTGCCTTCCGCTTGGTGCGAGGCGGGCGCTGTGGAGGGGTTGATGTTGTTGTTGATGTTGACGTGCGAGTTGAGTCGCCGCAGCGGCTGGGTGCGCCCCACGACGCTGGCGACTGCGCTGCTGATGGCGCCCACGCCGCTGACGCCCGACTCGCCGCGCCGCAGCCGGGTGCTGCGCTCCGCCAGGACGGCCCACGTGGACGTCTGGCGGAGGGTGAGCAGGGCAGGAGAGGGGGGAGGATCGTGGGAGGGGGAAGGATGGCACGAGGCAGGCAAGGAAGCGGTTTCAGGCGTGCAAGGGCATCATATCCAGGAGAGCCGGGAAGGAGGAGATGGAAAGGTAGACGACAGGAAAGGTACGGACATGCATGTCAGCCGTGCAATCATCCGCTAGCTGCCCTACCGCTAGGGGATCTGCCTCGCCATCATAGCCACTCGTCGCCGTCACCGTAGCCGCCGCCGCCGCAGCTGCTGCTGCCGCCGCCACCCCGAAAGGGCTCATGACATAGGGACTCGCCTCCCCGGCGGAGCACGTTACATTGGACCTCCGACCGCAATACGGGTGCGACCCCGACGTGCCTGGGCTGCCCGCGCAGAGGAACGCATCCGAGGCATCCGCATGCAGGGGCTGCTGCTGCTGCTGGTGCAGATGCTCGTGCTGCTGGCTGTTGTTGTGGTGGTGGTTATGGTGGGAGTGGTTGTGGTGGTTGTGGTTCTTGCCGGACTCGGGTGCGGTGCTGGGGGGCATCAGGAAGCTCGTGAGGGCGCGCAGCTGCTGCGGCAGCTGCCCCTGCAGGTGCCCCATGGCGCGGCGGATGGGACCCAGGCTCAGCGCGCGCTGCGTCAAGCTGGCCGCAGAGGGGTGCAGGCATGCGACCGCGGCGTCAGCACTCTTCCGCAGGGCGGGGCGAGCTCTGCTGTGTGAGGAGGAGGCGGCTGGGGCGGCTGCTTGACCCGCAAGAGGGGGACTTGCGGAGCTGCGGTCTGGGAGCGCGTTTTGGCTGGCGGGGCGCTGCAGGAACTTGCACTGCGCGGCAGCAGCAGCAGCAGCCGCGGCAGCGACCGATGAGGACCGCGAGGGTGGTGGTGGTGGTGGTGGTTGTGATTGGAAGGTCGTGGTAACAGGAGCCGTGGCCGAAGTGACAACAGCAGCAGCAGCAGCAACAGCAGCAGCAGTCGAGCTCCTAGGTGCTCCTAGGCCTGCAGCGGCGCTGCTGACGTCTATACTGGTTGCACGTTGTTGGATCAGCAGCTGCTGTTGTTGTTGTTGCTGTTGCCGCTCCGGAGCCGAGGCCGCGCAGCCCAGGGGCGCCCGGAAGGAGGCGCCCAGGCTGGCTGCACGTCTGCCGGAGCTGACTCGGAATCCGCCAGCGTTGCCGGGGCCGTTCGCGTCCTGGCCACGACACCGCAGGGGGCTCGGAATCTGGCCGTGGCTGGCTGCGCGCTCGGCGCCCTTCTTGCGGCCTGCTGCTGCGGCCACCGCATGCGTGCTAGGCTGAGGGCCCGCAGGGACCTCTCCGGAAGCAGCGATGCCGCCGAATACGGTGCCTGTGGACGCCTGATGAGTCCGAGAGTGCCGTTGGTGAGGGTGTTGTTGGTGGTGGCGGTTGAGGGTGTTGCTTTGCAACTGGGCAGCCGCAACGTCCTGCCTTATCTCAGCGCTTGAGGGCACTCGCACAATGCCTGGATACGGAGAGGCACGAGCGAGGGAGGCATGAGAGGCAAGGAGGACGAGGCACGGGCGTGAGAGGCGAGGAGGAGACAGACGGTGGGGAGGCGGAGACACGGCAGCCCAGCCAAGGGCCGCATGCAACAGAGCACGTGGCAGGTGAAGCGACTACAGGCAAGGAATGAAGGAGGCTGCTGCTGCGAGCTGCTGCCTCCACAGGGACGCAGAGAGCGCTGACACTTGCCTTGCCAGATGGCGGCCTGTCCTTGTAGAGTTTCTAGCATGGCCGTCAGCTTGGCCTGCGTAGGCACACATGTCAGCATTAATAGGCAATTCTCAAGTTGGTGACTAACGCGGGAGGACCAGCTCCCAAAGCGACGCTGCAGACGTAGGAAAGCGCAACAACCAACGACAGCAGCAGCATCACAAGCTGCTGCGACACCGGTGGCAAAGAGAGAGCCCCAACGCTCCCAAACCAGTTGCGTGTCTACCGACCTTCTCGTATTTGAACACGATATCCAGCATGCCGCGTGAAGCAGCAGTAACAGCAGTAGCAGCAGCCGCTGCTTGCTGTTCCTCCCCTGCCGCCCCCACTGCCCCCACCGCCTGCCCCAGGCCGAGGCTCGCTCCTCCCCGCAGCAGCGCGCCCCGCAGCGCACCCAGCGTGCTGCTGGCTGATGCCGCGGGACTGCTCGTCGCTGCCGGCACTGCTGCTGCTGCTGCTGCTGCCGCGGGGGGCACCGAGGGCATGGCTCCCATGTACTGCACGCTGGCTGGGTCTGCGGGGGCCCGCAGAGGAAGGGGGGTAAGGAGGAAGGAGTTCCTAACCGCCTGATAAGGCTTCATCAAATGGAAATGGGGGCTCTGCTGAGATACAGGGGGCACGGCTTGGAGGGCGGGAGTCGGGGCTGGACAAGAGATGGCTGTACGGAGTACGAAACGGTTCCGACGTGTGCCGCACGGGCCCATGTGAGGCTATAACGCGACAAGGCCCAGGACCGCAGCCCCACATTCCTCACACACGCCTGCATTGCATTGCAGGAGGCGTGCAGCCGCCTACACAACGCATGGCGTTACATACATCCCTGCATTGCCCCACTCAACCCGCCCGCCCTGCTATACGTACCCCCCAACCCTCCTGCTCTTATCAACACCCCACACGGCACACCCCATGCGCAGGAGCTGCGCCCCACATCGTCCCCATATCATCCCCACGCCGTCCCCCTCGCCACACCCACTTTGGTGCAGCACCCTCCCCTCCCACGTGAAGACCGTGATGGCGGCGGGCAGGTGTGCCGCCACCATGGAGTCCCGCTGCCGCCGCGCCGCCTCGCTCTGCTGCCGGCTGCGGGGGCTGACGCGCTGGCTGCGGCCTCCGGCCCCCTGAGGCTGGGAGGGCTGAGTCCGCGAGGGCTGAGGTTGAGGTTGGGAGGGATGAGGCTGGGAGGCCCCCACCTCCGGGGTCGCCGCATCCGTAGAAGCGAGGTTGTTGGGGCTGCTGTTGCTGTTGTTGTTGCTGCAGTTCCCGGGTGGCTGCTCTGCCGGCACCTGATGGCCATCTCCCTCGTAGGCGGTGTCCCCGGACTCCTGGCGGACCTCGGGTGGCGGGGCTTCCGGAATGGAGAATGCGACGCGGTGGGAGGGTGCCGCATCCGGGTGGTTGCTGTTGGCTGGGGTCATGCCTCGGCGGCTTGAGCCTCGCCGGGGTAGCAAGGGCGAGCGGCAGACCAGCAGCAGCGCGTGTGGCACGAGGGGGCCGGGCTGCTCGGGCGCGAAGCGCACCGAGGAGACGTGCACAGGGATGGTGGCTGTGGATGCAAGCTCGGTTGGGGGTAAATGAGTCGTTGGAAGCTGGTTTGCAAAGGTGGACCTAGGAACTGAAACGACTTGCGAGGATGGAAGCTTATGGAGGGTCATTTTGGCCATGGTGTCCAAAAGTGTTGGAGACACTGCCCTGTCCAAAAGACGCTCCCAGAACACCGCGCCAAGGCCATTGCTCCACAAAACTGTGGGCCGCCTGGGTTGCGCGCTGCTTTCAGGCTGCTCCTCCATTAATACGCAGGCCACAGGGAACTGTGCGCGGGCCCATTCCTCTGTGAGGCTTGCGACTTCATACAGCGGGAGAAACTCTGCTGCTGAGTCGGTCGGATTGCTGTCCACAGAGCTCCTTGGAGAGTCTACTATATACTTTTTGTGAGGATTAGGTTTGGTAGCGACTGTTTTGAAGCCGCGGAAACAGGATAATGGCCACATTGCCGGATTGCCCGTAGGCTACGTAATGTCCTTTGGCATGTTGGCTCTAAACGTTAAGTATGACCAATACGAACCTGAAGGGCAGATAGTATTATAGCATACGGCAAAACGTTGTACAGATTCTTCCACATTGTTTGCGAAATCCCCCTACTTACAGCCAAGCCGCTGCTAATAATAATACCACCAGGGGAGCAAGTTCTACACATACTATGCATGTACTGTCACTCTCGTGTCAATACTGTGCCTTATGTGGCACCGTTACTGGCTGACAAAGAAGTCGACAACCTGTGGTTATGGCATTCAGTAGTACGCATCATGACTGAGTGTTGTTAAGGGCTGCTGTACGAGCTTCCCTGACAAGCTGACCTGTCGAGCGCCCCGTGTAGTTTTGTACAGCGGTAAGCCGAGAAGCTCGAGGCATGAGCCGCATCAGGCATAGTATATGTTCCAACTTGCATTCCGAAGGTATATATATGGATAGAACTAGGAAAGAAGGTAAAGGAGTCGTTTTAGACCGTTGCGTCCGAGCCCTAAAAGGGCCCTGACGAGAACAGTAAGGAAAAGAGTTGCATGCCCTGCCCAAGAGCTTTCTGTTCGGTTGAAGCAGAAGGCAAGGGGAGCCCTGTCCTCCTTTCCTGTTAGCTTCAAGAAGTTTGGCCGTGCTGCCTGGTTAGGACGACCCTGCATCCTCCAAGTCCTACCCTCCTACGTCTGTTGCTGCTGCTGCGGGCTGCTGCCATGCCCAAGGGTTAAGACCTTTTCGCGCCATACCCATCACCATACTCGTTATCCCCTTGATAGCCAGCCTTCACTGCTCCCCACGGGACGATGTGCAGTCTCCGTCTCTGCCTGGGCGCCTTGCTAATCAACCCGCACGACACTCCAGGGCTATAGCCCCTGGTCTGCAACTGACCGTTGCTGCGACATGCACGTGTCACTGAATGGCTAACCCCCAACGGCGACAGAGATGCTGATACGGTACCCTTGTGCAGCATGCCGTATATGCACCTGTGGATGGTAGCATGCCGTATATGCACCTGTGGATGGTAGCACACGGCAGCCAAAGTGGCGCCTAGTCATTATCATGCACCACCAGGGACATGCACCACCAGGGGCCGCAGCACTGGTTCTATCTGGCTATTGGGCGTAACGACAAACGGACCACCAAGCTGCATGCCATGCATTCGGCTGAGGAGGGCCCATGCCCTCACTTGCCCTCACACCTTCAAAAAGCAGGGATGGACTCGGGACCTGCAGGCCCTCTAGCTACGCATCTGCTGAGCGGGTCTTTGTACCGGGATCCGAGCTGGTGTGTGTCAGGTGGTAACCGGCGTGCAGGCGCCACTTTAACGCGTTTTCCCCTAACCCCAGAAATCCGCCCAAACCCCCATACCTCAGATTCTTCATACCGTGACTCCTATCGCCCGACGTTCCCTACGTCCGCCCGCTCTCTTAATCGGCTCCTCTCTAGTCTCTACTCCGGGGCTTATGACGGGTGTGCTTCTGCCAACCGTGTCACTACACCAGCGTTACAAAACGTGCCATGGACAATATCGTAGCTGCCTCCAACTAGTGGATGATACGTCGAGTGATGCTGCGACCAAGCAGTCTGCCGGACAAGTCACTCCCCTTCGCGCCGCTTCGACTGCCTCGCTCTGGCTGACTCAGACATGCAGTCGCCCCTGTCCGCCCGCAGACGTCCCTTCGTGCCTCTTCTATCTTAAATAACATACGGTGCATTGCAGCGCTTGCAAGTCGATTATGGACCAGACCTATGCAGTTTGGCGTGAAACAGTACGTCTAGGCCTCTAGGGCCTGTCGGATTGCAGGTGTAGCACCTGGTTGCAAACTTAAGACCTACTACCGGTACACATATCTAACTGACGGCTTTTGTTTGCAAGAGTTTATTAGGTCGTCACGCGCCAAGCGATGCAGGAAATCGCGGACGCGTTCGTTTCGGCGCTTGCCAAGGTTGGCAAAACGTTCCGATGCGCGTCCGATAGACACCGACGCTCTTACGAAGACGCATCGCTCCCTCCGCGGGGATGTTCAGGCATACGACTCTGTATCCCCTTTATTCGGCAAGTCACGAGTCGAAATGAACGGCAATTGCAACATCCCCAACCGCAGCATGACCAGAATCAGCCGCTGCTGCGACAACTGCATTCCTTGCGAAATACGCACCAGCAAGAGCAGCAACAACTGCAACCGCAACTGCTACCAGCATCATTAACGGAGCCCTGCCTCCCTGGCGCTCCCTCCCACTGGCATCGTCTGCCTCCTGACCTGCTCTCGCACATTTTCCGCTTCCTGTCTCCCAACGAAATCGCCTGCACAGTGCGTCTGATCAACAAAGCAACCGCCACGCAACTTCGCAGCCCGCACTTCACCACCGTACGGCTCTCTCAGCCCTCGCCGCCGCACGCCTTCGCAGCCCGCTGGGACCGTCCAGGCGCCATGCGCAGCCTCACACTCCAACAACGCACCCACCTGCTGTGTCTCACCGCCCGCAGCGGCAGCCTCCGCAACCTCAAGCTCGCATGCGCCCGTGCGGGCTGCCTCCTCACAGCTCCGGTCTTCCAGGCCGCAGCAGCGGCAGGGCAGCTGCACGCATGCAGCTATCTGGCACAGCAAGGCTGTCCCAGGGGCGGCGCGCTACGATCCGCGGCGGGGGCTGGGCAGCAGGCGGCGTGCGAGTGGCTGCTGACCAACCGCTACAGCGCCTGGGCTCCGGAGGCGGTGCTCGAGGCGGTTCGTGGGGGCCATGTGGGGCTTGCGGAGTGGCTGATGCAACAGCAGCCGCCGCAGCAGCAGCGGGGCCAGCAGGGCTGCCGTGCCCGGCCCAGCAGGGATGAGGTGCTGGTGGAGGTGGTGTACGGCTGCGAGCTGCCGGCGCTGAAGAGGTTGTACGACGACAGGTTGCTGTTGTTGTACGGCAGGAGGGGCGCCGGGCAGGAGGAGGAGGTTTGGGGACAGCGGCGGCCGGCGGCGGAGGCGCAGCAGCAGCAGCTGGCGACTGCAGCGGTGGGGGATGTTGAGGAGCAGGATGAGGCGCAGGATGAGGCGCAGGATGAGGATGAGGAGAAGAGGTGTGCTACGAGGGCGCGTCTCCTGGTGGCGGCTGCCTGCAGCCCCACACCCGACTGGCAGGCCAAATTCACATGGCTTGAAGAGCTGTTCCAACAGCAACAACAGCAGCAGCGGCATCATCAGCGGTGGCAGCAGCAGGCTGATGCTGCGGCCAACCAGAGCAGCTCCAGCGGCTCCCACATGGCTCGTGTTGCGGTCCCAGCGGTCCACATGCGGCTAGCCGCGGGGGCGCCTGACGCGCTGTCCCGGCTGAGGTGGCTGCAGGGGCGAGGCTGCCCGCTGCCGAGCTCGTCAGAGGGAGCAGCAGCGGCTCAGCTGGCCGGTTTGGCGGCCGCCAGGGGAGACGTGGAGATGCTGAAACACCTGCTGGGAGAGCCTCAGCCTGCCGTACATCAGCCTGCCGTCGTACATCAGCCTACCGTCGTACATCAGCCCGCCGTACATCAGCCTGCCGTCGTACATCAGCCTGCCGTACATCACAACCAGGAGGAGTACAAACACGGGGCTGCAGTGAATGCGGCGGAAGCGGCCCCGCCCGTCATGATGGCCTCGACGGCGGGATGGCTGCGCTCGCTCGCACCCCTCGCAGCCGGCGGGGGGCACCTGGCTGCCCTGCAGTGGCTGCATGCTCGCGGCTGCCCGCTGTCACCGCTGCAGGTGCTCCGTGAGGCGGCTGAGGGCGGGCAGTTGCATATAATCGAATGGCTGGTGGCGCGGGAGGGGCCGCTGGGGTGGCGGCGGGTGCTTGAGGCGGGTGTGTTCAGTGCCGCGGCTGAGTCAGGGAACATGGAGCTCCTGAGGTGGCTGCGGGAGCGGGGGTGCCCCTGGAATGCGGGGGCGGTTGCGGCGGGGGCGCATGCGGGGTGCGAGGAGGTGTTGGAGTGGCTGGTGGGGATGGGCTGCCCCATGCCGGTGAGTGGGGGGCGTGCAGGGGGTGGGGTGTTGTTTGGGGGATGTGGGTTTGTTCTGCATGTGAGATGGATGGGTGGATTGGGGGTCGCGCGCAATCCAACACTGTTAGCAGCGTCGCAGCGCCGGTAGGCCCAGTGTGAAGCATGCATGCAAATTGCAATTGCACCACCCGCCGCAAGTCGTTCTGCCCCTCCGCCTCCCCCGCCGCTGCTGCTGCTGCTGCTGCTCCCCCTCCGCCCCGCCCCTCAGGTGGACGGCTACCCGCACCAGCTGGCGGCTCGCAACGGCGACACGGCCACGCTGCGCTGCCTGCGGAGGCTGGGATGCCCCCCCGGACCACACAGCGGCATGGGGCCGCCGCTTCTCACTGGATCAGTAACTGGATCAGTATCTGGGATGAGGGGTCTGTTCTGATCAGCAGGCGTTATGGACCGCTGTGAGGCTGACCGGTGACCGCTGACCGCTGTGGGGTGGTGGTGGTCGGAGGTCCCGAAAAGGGCAGTTATAAGACGCGATCAAAGTTTCGTTGGCTTGTTGGCAATTTTGGTGGGTTGCGACGGGGCGTGTTGTGATGGGCTGGGTTGACAGGTGCAGGCGCTGCTGGTCGGAGCACGCGGCGTGTCGTTGAAGAGGGTTGTTGCCTGCGGAGGGGGGGGTGCCTGGAGGGTTGCTCTCCCCTCCTCAATGTGAACTGCTCGATTTGAAGGATTGTGGGAGGGTACCGAATACCATTAGAGGCGAATGTGAGTAGGGGCACGTGCAGAAGCCGACACCAGATTCGGTAGGCGGCGGGGCAGGGCTGCTTGCTTGCTAGGAGGCAGGCAGGCACCTGGGGGGCATAGCGGCACAGGGCTGATGTGATGCGTCCAGCAATGTGGGCCGCGTAGTGCTGCAGCGAGAGACCGCATGTGGATCGATGCAGTCAATGTATGTAGAGGCTACATATGGATGCAGTGGAGCGACCCATGGGTCCGAACCAGCTGATCAGGACAGCTACTACACCGCATGAGGACGCCGCAATGGAGCGACGATGCAAAGCCGCGGGTTGCAATGAGTTGCCGTGTGCCGTGTTTGGCCTTCACAGGTTCCACAGCCATCCCTCCCTCCCTCCGTCTCTTGATGATGGATTCCTCCTGAGGATGATCCGCTATTTCACATGGTCACGGACTTCGTCCCATTACTACCATATTCACCCTTCCTTCCTCCGTCCAGCTCCATCCTCCTCCCTCTGAACGCCCAACCTAACCCACCCTCCTTTTCTCCTTCTCTTTACACTACCCTCCTATCTCCTTACACCACCCTCCACCTCCCCTTCTTCCTCTCCCTAAAAGTCCACGTGGATGCGAACCCGCAGGATGTCAGACAGCGGAATCACCAACCGCTGCGCCAACTGCCGCTTCGACAGCGCGCGCCCCTTGACAGTCGCGTTGGCTCGCACGTTCGCCAGCCGCCATTCGCTGCGACCCGCCGACTCGTCCAGATCGGCAAGCAGCAGCACCGCACTCACCTCCTGCCTGGCGCCGCTACTGCCACTGCTGCCGCCACTGCTATCACTGCTGCCGCTCGAAGCAGCAGCAGCGGGGGCAGCAGCAGTGCCGGGGCCGGCGCCCGCTTGGGGCGCACCATCCGCAACTCGGTACTCGACCTTCAGGGAGCAGCGGCGGCCGGGAGGTTGCAAACATGCAAAGTGAAACACACGTGCGAAAGATAACATATCGATACCCTTAACGATAGAACAGTGTATTGCATCTCGTCCCCACTCTTTCCCCTTCCTCCCCTCCCCTGCTCCCCTGAGTCCCCACCCTGAGAGGCAGCTCCCCGAACCGCCGCAGCTCTTCCGGCACGCGCACCAGCCGCTCAGCACCCGGGGAGGACACCTCGAACGAGATATCGCCGGCAGCCTCGGCGCCCAGGTCCCGCTCTAGGGCTGCGGGGGGTGGGGGGGGGGTTTGAGGAAGAGGACCCGATGGGGAAGGGGGCAGCATGCGGGATGGTTGGAGGCGGGAGGTGCGGTGCGGCTGTGATCGGTGCTTTGTGTTTCTGGCGAGTGTGAGATGATCAGATGAATGGCCTGCAAAGTGGTCAAGTGTTGTGAGCCGCATGCTCAGCGCCACAGCCCAGCGGCGCCCCTGTCGCTGCTGTAGTGACGGGCAGAGAGCGGTGTGCGGTGTGCTGCTGCTGCTCGGGTTGTTGCTGCTGCTCCGGCCACAACGCCCCCACACTGCATCCGGTGATGATGTTGTTTGGAGGTGCGTGAGGAGGGATCCGCGGTCCGGGGGGGATCCTGGCGGTGAGACTCAAAAGCATGCACCCCAGCTCTGCACCCATATGAAAAGCATGCAGACCTTTGCTTCCCCGCCCCCAGCAGCCACCCAACCAACCCCATGCAACCCCCTGGACCCGCGCCCCCCCCAAGCCAACCCCCCAACCCCCCCAACCAACCCCCCCACCTGCCATCAGCCCCCTCTGGAAGCGCTCGATGTCGTCAATGGACGGCGAGCCGTACAGGTCCGTCAGCTTGTCCAGCCGGATGTCCACCTTGCGACTGCCGGGCAGCGCGCGGAAGAGGTAGAGGTCCAGACCCTGGGGGGCACACGCACCAGGGGGTGGAAAAAAGGAATGCGGAGTGGCAGGCAGGGAGGTGCGGGTGCGGGTAGGGTAGGTGCGTGGGCATGCGGGATGCGGAGCTAGGGGATATGACAACGGTGGAGCAGCGGCAGAAGTGGTGGTGTTGCAGAGTGCGGCAACCTGCCCCCAGAGCCACGTGTGTCTGATGAGTTTTTTCACTCACCCCACACGACCAGCTGCACCCAGCTAGTTCCCCTCAGCTGCACAAAACCTCGTAACACCAGTTACGTACGTGTCCCAGCTCCCCATTCCGCCCGCTGCCCATCCACCCCCACCTGCATGTTGGGCTGTGCCAGCACGCCCTGCGCCGCCCGCAGCACTGCCTCGCCCCAGCCCGTGTCGCCCGTGAGGACCTCCCGAGGCGCGTCGTCGGGCTCCAGAAAGGAAGAAGCGTAGTCCTCGCCCCCCTCTCCATCATCATCCTCATCATCATCATCATCATCATCATCATCGCCCTCCTCACCAAAGTCAGCGTCAGCGTCCGCCTCCTCCTCGTCCTCCTCGTCTTCATCACCAAAGTTGAGAAAGCCATCACCTGCTGTCAGGTCCTCTTCCTCCTCCTCCTCCTCTTCGTCATCCACGCGACCGCGAGGCGATGCTTTCCGAGAGGTTGAAGATGACGAAGAAGAAGCGGAGGAGGGCGAGGGCGAGGAGCGTGGCTGGGAGGAGGGTGCGGAGGAGGAGGCTGCGTCATTGTGACGTGGCGACCTGGCATGCGGGAGGTGGGATTGGGACGCGGAGTTTCCGAGGGCGTGTGGATGGGAGGCGGGCGAATGCCAGAAGGGGCGGTTCGAGTTTTTCCCCGGTTGGGTAGCACAAGCATTCGGGCCTCAGGAGACCAGTGCGATCAGGATCGGAAAAGGAAGCGAGTAAGCTGGAGCACATGGTGTATGGAATTGCAGTGTGTACGGAGTCGCATGTGTGGGCTGGGCGGAGCACACCTAGCGGCGCAGGTTGTCAGGGGTGGCGAAATGGCAACATGGGCGGGGCTGAACCACCCAGCCATGTGGCGATGTTCGCTGCCGGGGTGGCGCCATGAATGCCCCCGGGTTACGCATCCCGGGGACGGCAGTCGTAAACCGTGGCGAGCCCGCAGGCGCAGCGATGCGGATTGGGTGCCTGCGGAGGAAGGCATGAGTTGAGTTCGTGGCTTGCAAGGGTTCGCTTGTCGATTAGGGATTGAAGGGTGTTTCCCGTCGTCAATTGGGTGTCTTAATGAGGTGTCCGTAGCATGGGTGTCCTCGCGTTACCTTGCATTCCGCAGCTTGGCGCGACGGTCGATGTCCACATTTGGCCGCCGAGACACAGAAAAAGCTCAATGGGTTATTCCATACACCACATAGTCATTATTAAGTGAATGGAACGATGTAAATGAATCGCAGTAATGTGGCCCTTGCTTCAGAATCGGATGATGGTTGATGCTCATTCCGCTCCAAAACTCGCTTCAACCGACGAAGGCAACTTACCGAGAAAGACATGCAACTTCTTTGCCTATGGAAATTAATACTGGACACTAGGACTGTGAAGTAGTGCATTCCTTGACTGTCTCCCTTGCATAAGTTCTTTTCCTTCTTACAGCTTCTTTAGGCATTATGCCGTCTCAGGACCCCTTCTACCTGATACGGCAGGAGATACAGGATAGCGTGAGTGTAATACTTCAGCTTAACTGTGCAGTTGGTGTGCATCGCTTCGCTGCGCAAGCGTAGAAAGACGTGAAGCTTCTGTCTGATACGTAGGTAAATGACCTACAACAACGCATGTCAAGATTCCACGGGTTAACGGCGACAAACCCAGAGCGAAAGAAAATTGCACAAGCAGTGGACGAAGGATGCAGCTCGCTGGCTTGGCAGGTAACCGCGATTGGGAGCTTGACCTTATAGGCACCAACAGCTATGCTTCGAAGAAACCCTGTACCGGGCTTTAGGATGGCGGACGCCCCAGGTCCCCGCGCTGCATGGGGCCATGGGCATTGGTGCAGTCCAGCTCACGCGGGGCCCCGTGCTTCCCTGCAGCTAAATGAGCTGGACACGGCGGTGGACCGCGCCTCTGAAAACCCCCAACGCTTCAATTTAACACCAGAGGAGCTGAGCAGCCGGCGACGATGGATAAGGTACACATGCGGGTCTTAACCAAGTGCTGCCGCACCTGCCAAGGGTGCATTCCGTCTCCTCCTAGCGCAGCGCAACACACAGGCGTTCATGAGGGTGGTAGGAGCATGGAAAGGCTGCACGGGGGCACTCTCCCACCTTGCCCCTTCCAGGGACATGTGCTGCTCCTAGCCTCCCCTCACCCCACTCCCGGGATCCTGCCATGCAGCAACCAGCTGTCTACCGTGCCGCCTTGAGAGCAAACATGAACCCCAACCTTTTTCAGAAACCCACTCCCATGTATCTTACCACCCTCGGCGCCCACCTCCCAACGCTGTCCTCCTCCCTTTCCTCCTCCTCCTCCCCCTCTCCCCCCCTCCGTCCCCTCTCTCAGCAACACCCGGCGGCAGCTGGACGGCATGAAGGAGACGCTGCGCACCGCCACCGCGCCGCCCCCCCCGCTGTCCACCGCGGAGTCCAAGCAGGTGGCGCAGAACGACAAGTTCGTGTCGGGGCAGTTCGAGTCGCAGCAGGTCATGATAAAGTGGGTCATGATAGACATGGGGGGCAGCCAGTGGGCGGGCAGGGCAGGGAGGGTGGGAGACAGGGAGGGAGGCGGGGAAGGACGGGGGTCTTATGCAAAGGCAAAGGTAGGAGCCACCGGGGATTCGAATGCAAGGGGAGGGGTCTGTGGTGGCGTGGCGGGGAAGGACATCGTGTGACGGCATGAGCTGAGGTGCCGGAGATGCCTGCGCGGGCGGGTGCGGGTTGTGGATGGGGAGGTGTGCTGTCTGGAGCTGTGCCAGTTGCTCCTGTGGCGGCCTGGACGGCCTGGGCGGTATGGACGCGGCATGGGCGGAAGCACCGCCCCTCCGCAGACTGCCAACAACGCGCCCTACCGGCACCTCCGCCGGGCTGCCCTCCCTGCCCCGTACCTCCGCCTCCCTGTCCCCTCTCCCCATAACCCCTCATCCCTGCCCCCCTCATCCCCCCTCCCGCCAGGCGTCAGGACCAGGACCTTGAGGACATCGAGCAGGCGGTCATCCGCATCGGGCGGCAGGGGCGGGCCATGGCCACGGAGCTGGCGGAGCAGGTGGGGTCAGGGGGGGGGAAGGGGTGCTGAGGGGAGGGGAGGGGTGGCTGAGGGGTGGGTGGTGGTGCAAGAGGGGGGGCTGGCTGGTGGTAGCGGAGTGGGTGGTGAGAGCGCTAACACAGGAAGCTGAATGGTCAGAAACAGGCGAGCGGCAGGCAGGCGGGCGATGAGGAAGGAGGGTAGCAGGTTGCGAGCTTGCTGCATGGCGGCGGCAGCGCGGGGGGGGGGGTGGTACGGACAACACCCCCTAGGTGCCACCGCCCTGCTGCAATAGCTTTCCTACCAGTAATTGTACCAGTAATACGTGGTTGAATGTTAAATAACCGCTACACTCCTACCCTACCATGCTGCCTTCTCCTCCGGCTTTCCTCCCCTCACACAACTCTATCCCTCCCTCTTCTGTTTCTTGGCAAACCGCCTCCCTCTATTCCCATTGCTTTGCCCTAACCTGTGGTTTGGTGTATCTTTTCCCCCTCCCTCCCTGCCGCAGGGCAACCTGCTTGAGGAGCTGGACCAGGACGTGGACACCACCCACAGCCGGCTCAAGGCGGCGCAGAAGAAGATGGCGGAGCTGATCCGCAAGAGCGGCTCCAACACGCAGCTGGTGCTGATCGTGGCGCTGATCGTCATCCTGGTGGTCATGAGCATCTTTGCATTCATGTAGGGGGGAGGGGGGAGGTCAAAGACCATACCGAACCATAGGAAACCACAAGTTAGGGCAAAGCAATGGGGGTAGGAGGCGGTAGGGGGGGTTTGAGTAGGGGGGTTAGTATTGAAAGGGAGGTGAAGGAGGGTAGGTAGGTGGGGGGGAGGTGGAGTGCAGTGTGTGCGGCTGTTGGGGACGGGTGGGGGTGGAGTAGGAGTGCGTGCAGAGGGGCCCGCTGGCTTAGCGGCGGGTTGAATGGGTGCTAGTAAGGTAGAAGCAAGCATGGCGTGAGGGCTATAGGTGGCGGTATGCGGGACAGGGGCTGACGGGGTGTGGGGAGGCGGCGAGGGAGTAGTGCAGGGTAGCGGGTAGAGGACACGAACGAACCAGTGAAGGGTACTTGCTTGGGATGCGGCCGGCCGAAGGTATGGAGGGAGGTCACGCATTGATACATGGGCGCATGGCCACAGACAGGAGGGCTGTGGCGTTGTAGCTGCTTGCGACGTGAGCACACTTCACCAGATTTGATTCGAATACTGGATGCGTCTTCTAGAAGGTGCCTTGCTTGGCGCATTGCTTGTCAGGAGTGGGCAATCGGCTGTTGTCGGGTGTCAGGCACGGGTTTCCTCGTCCCGTCCCGTCCTGCATGCCGGGGTCCGCGGCCGCTTGCACGCAATGTGTGTGTGAACCCACATAAGGGCTGTCGGACTTCTTTTCGTGCGGGGTAATCCGTGCCGTCCCTGAATGCCCCCCCGGGCATGCACCCTTGATGGCGCTGCGTGTTGCGGTTACTAGCTGGCATTGCTGTCCTTCAAATGCTGTCTGCGTTCGTGACGGTCAAAACTTGCCTCTGGCTGTGCCGCTGTGGCGGTTAGCAGTGTCATAAAGTGGTGGTACCACTAGCACAGTGATGAGGGTGTGGCGGCGCACGTGGCGGCTTGGACGAGCGCTGCGGTATCGAAGAAGGCCGGGTCCCACTATAACGTACAACGGGTGTGTAGGAGTGAGGGTGCAGCCTCAGCGACCTCGGCCTCAGCGCAGCATGCAGCACCTGCGCGCGCACGCGTGCTCCACACTCCTTATCGCTTCGCCCCCGCGGCCTTCCCCTGGCCTGTCGCGCCCGCATCACGAAAGCCGCGAACCATCACCTCGCAACACCACCACCGCAGCGACCCCTCCAACCACTGCAACCCTTGCAAGGGAGGGGTTGCAAGCAACACGGCGCAAGCAAGGACTCCCCTCCCTCCTCATTGTCAGCCCGTCCGACCGTCACCGAAGTGGGATGCAAAGAGTCAGACCGAGAAGAAGTTAGGACGAGGACCCTCAACAGAGCACCCACATCCCCTCCTCCCTCCTTCACTTCCACGCCTTGATCACCCCGTCCCGGCTGGCGCTCAGCAGCAGCCGGCTGCTGCCCGGCGGGTCCGCCACCGCTAGGGCCGTCACCGCGTCCGCGTGCGCCTGGTCGTTGACCCGCACCTGCACAGACATGCATGCAGGGGGTGGGTGGGCAGGGGGATTGCGTGCCGTACAACCTTGCACCTCCGCAGCACGCTAATGCCCACATGCGCCAGTGCGGCAAGCATCCACCCAGGACTCCTCCCCGAGCGCGCGCGCAGCGAAAGAGAGGTGTGTCCCCAGCCCATGCCAACTTGCATAGCCCCTCCCCACCCCGCCACCCACCCGCCCCCTCAGCTCGTGGCAGCTCTCCGTGAGTCGGGTGCCGGATGTGTCCAGCAGGCAGAGCTCCTCGCATACCGCCACGTCGCCCACCGCCCGGGCGCGGTACTTGTACCTGCGGAGGGGGGGGGGGGACAGTGGGTGCATGGGGTAAAAAATATATATGAGTGCATCACAGTGGGTGCATGGGGGGGGAGCTCATGTCCGTATCGGGCTTGGAAGGGGGTCCTCGGTGCTGCATAAGAGCATCACCGGTAGTATGGAGCTGGGGAGGGGAGCAGTGCAGGCAGCTGCAGGTGCATGGGTCGGGCAGGCGGTGCTGCACTTCCAGAGGAGGCCTCTTGAAGTACGCTTGCGCCACACTCCTCTCCCTCCCTCCCTCCTCGCCCCCTCCCTCCCTCCCGCCCCCCCGCCCGCTCACCTGTACTCGGGGACGCTCAGGCCGCTGAGCGAGGTGCCGTCGCTGAGCGAGTCGCCCGGCCACAGCGGCCCGCACACCGCGTAGCTGCCCTCGGGTCGCGAGGCGTCCCAGTAGCGCACCGCGGCGTCGCTGCCGCCCCACAGCAGCGCACCGCCCGGCAGCGGCAGCAGGCAGCGGGCGCCTGGGGAGGGGAGGGGGAGGGGGCGGGGAGGGGCGGCGAGGGGCCGGTTGACGAGAGAGGCGTGTAGGGGGCAGCGCACACATACACGTTTCTCCTCGCGGCCAGTTATGTTAACACACACGCAAATGGAAACATCGTCTTCCGACAATCACAGTACGCTTTACTCGCCGCCAGTTTTCCTTAAACACACATACATGCATGCGCCCAAGCAAGCAGCCGCACACATGCATTCGCGGCCAACCTTCCCAACAAACACACTCGCGGCCACTTGACACACACGCACACGCCAGTCTTTTTAACACACACGCACACGCCAGTTTTCTTAACACACACCCGCACCTGCCGTACGGGGCTGCGGTTGTGAGATGGCCTCCACGCCCAGCGAGCCCGAGCCTGCAGGACCCCCTCCTCCTCCTCCTGCTCCTCGACCCGCACCCGCACCCGCACCGCCCGCCCCCCCTGCCACATCCCCGCGCTGTGAGCCCCTGCCGCCCGCACCCTCCAAGCCCGCTAACCCCGGCTGCGGCGGCTGCGGCAGGGCCGGCGGCGGCGGTGGCCAGGTGTGCGGGCTGAGTGCTGCGGGCAGGGTGGCCGCGGCGGCCGCCTCCGCCTCCAGCGGACCCAGGCAGCGCAGCACCTGCGGCCGGTGGTTGATTCCCCGGGGAGGGGGGGGGCGGCAGGGGGGAGCAGCACACGGCGGGGGAGGCAGAGGAAGTGTGTGTGTATAGGAGGTTTGCATGCATACCCACGTTGGCAATTTAACCCCCCACCTCTTCCTCCTCCACACAGCCTCGCCTAGCCAACCCTCTCTCCCTCCCCACCAACCCCCCCCCCAACCCACCTGCCGACAGCGGCCGCTGACGATGTCCCACAGCCCCGCCTCGCCCTGCCCCGCCGCCACCCACACCAGCGGACACCCACTGCAACCCCCTCCTCCTCCTCCTCCTCCGCCTCCGCCTCCTCCTCCGCCCGCCCCCGCCAGCAGCACCCGTGCAGGCGGCCCGGTAGCTGGCGCCATGGCGTCGATGGGGCAGCGCAGCGGGTGCTGCCAGGCGTGCACGCACTGCAGGAAGCGCACGTCCCACAGACTCAGGTAGCCTCGACTGCTGCCTGCAGGGGGGGAGGAGGGGGGGGTGGAGGAGGTGGTGGTGGTGGTGGTAATAAAAAGGGGAACCTGACGAGCGGCAGGGGAGGAGGGGGCCCGGATGGAGGTGGAGGAGAGCGAGAGCGAGAGGAGGGGGCGGAGGGCGGCAACTGCATGCCACTCTGCAACCACACCCCCATGCATCATGCAACTCACTTCTTCCAAGGTGAACCCTGCAGAGCCATGTACACCTTGCATGCCCCCCCCACCTGTCATCAGCCACGCGCCCCCCGCCCCCCCACCTGTCATCAGCCACGCGCCCCCCGCCCCCCCACCTGTCATCAGCCACGCGCCCCCCGCCCCCCCACCTGTCATCAGCCACGCGCCCCCCGCCCCCCCACCTGTCATCAGCCACGCGCCCCCCGCATCAGCCACGCGCCCCCCCCGCCCCCCCCCCACCTGTCATCAGCCACGCGCCCCCCGCCCCCCCACCTGTCATCAGCCAGGCGCCCCCCGCCCCCCCACCTGTCATCAGCCAGGCGCCCCCCGCCCCCCCACCTGTCATCAGCCAGGCGCCCCCCGCCCCCCCACCTGTCATCAGCCACGCGCCCCCCGCCCCCCCACCTGTCATCAGCCACGCGCCCCCCGCCCCCCCACCTGTCATCAGCCAGGCGCCCCCCGCCCCCCCACCTGTCATCAGCCAGGCGCCCCCCGCCCCCCCACCTGTCATCAGCCAGGCGCCCCCCGCCCCCCCACCTGTCATCAGCCACGCGCCCCCCGCCCCCCCACCTGTCATCAGCCAGGCGCCCCCCGCCCCCGGGTCCGCCACCAGGTGCTCCAGCAGCCCCCGAGTGGGGCAGCAGGGCAGCACCCAGCCCTCCCGCTGCGTGCGCGTGTCCCAGGCGCCCACCCCGCCGCGCTGCGTGACGTGCAGCAGCAGGTGCGGGCCCCAGCCGCACACATGCAGCACCGCGCCCTGACCCGGGGAGAGCTGCCGCACGGCAACCACACCTGGGAGGGGGAGGTGGAGGGAGGGAGGAGGGAGGGAGAAGGGAGGGGAGGGGGAGAGAGAGGGGGGAGGGATGGTGACATGCGTAATGCAACTGAGCAGGGAGGCAGGGGCACTGAAAAGCCGTGACAAAAGGAGGGATACCACTCGCGACACACATGCCGCGCTCCAACTCGCGTTCGTCCTAGCAAACCGCAGCCTGCGTTTTGTGGGGGCACACCGCGTCAACTAATCACACCCCCTACCCTCACCTCCCACCCCCCACCCCCCCACCCGTGTATTTGTCCGGCACGCCGCCCTGCCGGGTGGTGTACTCGGGGCGCCACAGGTGCAGCGAGCCCGAGCTGCTGCCGGAGCACACCGTGGTGCCGCTGCTCCAGGGGGCGGCAGCCGAGGAGGAGGAGGAGGCAGCAGCAGTCCCCCCGGAGGGTGTGTCCGCCGGACCGCCGCAGCAGCAGAGCGCGGTGATCCTGCCGGACTGGGCGGCGTAGGTGAGGCGGCTGTGGAAGGAGACGTCGCGCTCCAGCCGCCGGAGGTCCCAGACCTGAGGGGGGAAGGGGGGGAGGGGGGGCCGGAGGGGGGGGGTTCGAGGAGGGAGGAGGTGAGGGCGAGGAATGGAGGTGTAGGTGAGGGCGAGGTGAGGAGGTGGGGGTATCGACTGTCGAGTCCTCGGGTGTGGAAGGAGGCTAGGAGGAGAGGAGTGGAGAGGAGGAGCAGGAGGACATGGTTCATCCTCTTTACCCTCTGTAGTGTGACTTCCCCCCTTCCCCGCCCCTCCCCCCCCCCCCGGCCCCCTTCCCCACCTTGACAGTCTCGTCATGCGAGGCCGAGGCCAGGAAGCAGCCCCCCGCCCCCACCGCCAGCCGGGTGACCCCCCGCCGGTGCTCCGCCAGGTGGGCCACCAGCACTCCGCGGGGGCGCCACCAGCCGCCGCCTGGTGACCCGTGGGTCGCGGAGGGGGGGCGGGGAAACTTAAGGTTGACGTCCATTCCGTGATGGAATGGACAGATGGGGCTGCGAGCAAAAAGAGGGCGCTTTCCATGCGCTGGTCCTCCCTCCTTGCACCCCCCTCGCATCCACCCACCACCCACCCACCACCCACCCACCACCACCCACCACCCACCTGCAGACTCGCTCCACCCGCCTCCTCCTCCTCCTCCTCCAAAGCCCTCATGCCCCGCCGAGGGGCCTCCCGCCACCGAAAAGTAGTCCCCGTGCTGCACCGCCCCCTGCAGCAGCCCCAGCCCCAGCCCGCCCCCTGCTCCCCCTCCCCCTCCTGCAGCGCCCTGCAGTGGCGGCGGACCCCGCTGCGACAGCCCCACCAGTCGCCAGGTGTCCCGGGCCGCGGTGTCGCGCACGTCGGCGCCCGCCTCTGAACGCAGACGGGCCAGCAAACCGGCCAGCCTGGGGGGGTGCCGGGATGTGGAGGGGGTTGCGGGGGGAGTGAGTGGGGGGGGGGGCGGGAGGTGACAGGTGACAGGTGAGCTAAGCGGAAACCCCATGCCAGGTTTCCTCTCACCCTCTGTACCCTCTTTCTTCACCCTCCACACCACTCACACGGGACTCCATCTTCCGGCAATCAAAGTACGTTCCGACTCGCGGCCAGTCTTCCAAACACCCACGCCCCACCCCACCTGTCCGCCTGCTGCCTCTCCAGCGGGTCCACCCCAAGCGGCTCCCGCACCACCCGCTCCGCCACCCCCACCACCCGCGCCTCCAGCACCGCCAGACGACCCGGAAGGCTGGCCAGGGCGGCCGCATGGGCACTGGGACCCGGGCCCGGGGCGGGGGGTAGCAGGGGAGTGGTGGAGGTGGAGGTGGAGGGGGTGGCGGGTGGAGGGGTGGTGGCGGCGGCTGAGGAGGAGGCGAGGGAGGTGGCTTCGGAGGCGAGGGCGGTGGCGGCGGCGGCGGCGGGGTCGAGGGTCATATCGTAGGTGTAGAGGGGGGCGGCTGGGGGGTGGGGGGGGAGAGGATACGGGTTGTGGAGGGGTTAGGAAGTGTTTATCACTGTGGGGGGCAACATGTGGGAGAGCTTCTCCGTCTCACCGCTTTATAACCCGGGTTCCTTTCCTCACCTGCACCCCTCATCCCATTCCAACCCACCCCGCCCACGCACCCTCACTCCCCCCCACCCCCCCACCCCTCACCCGGCCTCAGCAGCAGCTCCGCCGCATCCTCCGGCCCGCCCAGCCCCCCCAGCAGCGCACCCCCCACCCCCGAATGCAACCATGCAGCAGCGGCATCCGACCCGCCCTCAGCTGCTGCTCCTGCTGTTGCTGCTGGCCCACCGCGCAGGGTCGTCAAGCCGGCGGAGGAGGACCCGCCCCCGCCTGCCGTACCACCACCTCCGCCGGCGCCTCCGCCACCACCCCCGCCCCGCAGCGGTGCAGCCAGCTTGTCCATCGCCGCCGCCAGCGTCTCCGCCTGGGAGCCACTAGACCGACCGCTACCTGAACCCCGGTAACCCCGCCCGCCGCCTGCTCCACCTGCTCCAGCAACCCCTCCAGTGCCATACGATTTCCCCCCATCATCCCCTCCCACCACCAACAAACCCCCACCGCCTCCTCCTCCTCCTACCGCATCCCCTCCCCGCCTGTGCCCCCCGCCTCCCTCCCGCTCATCCCCCTCGCTTTGCCTCCCCGCCTGTTGCTGCTGCTGCCGCCCCGTATGGCGCTGCTGCTGCTGCTGCGGGGTTTGCATGTGCGAGTGAGGGTGCTGCTGTTGCGGGTGCTGCAAGGGTAGGGGCTTGAGGCAGGTGGCCAGCAGGGGCGGGTCGGTGAGGCGCGGCGGCAGGCGGGCCAGGTGCGGCGCCACCAGCACCGCCAGCTGGGCGTACACGTCGGCGGGGGGCAGGTGGCTGGGGGGGGGGGGGGAGGGGGGGCAGGGGGGGTGAGAAGAAGATTAACCCATGCGCAAAGGTGGTGGGCAAAGTGGGGGAAGAGGCGGAAAGAGGGTGAGGGAGGGAGAGAATTAAAGGCAACAGACACAGGGTCGGGTTGTGGGGTGTTGGGGCAGAGCTGTGTCCGCTCCTTTCCATACCCTCCTCCTCCCCCTCCTCCCCCTCCCCTCACCTTGCCGCCGCCGCCACCAGCGCCACCGCCGCCCCCCGCACCGCCGAGCTTCCCCCCGCCAGCAGCGGCGCCACCCGGGCAGCGGCCGCCAGCAGCGAGCGCTTCCGCATCTGCCCCGCCACACAGCCCAGGCAGCGCACCGCGTCGCACACCACACGCGGCTCGGGGTCGGTCAGGGCCTGCAGCAGCAGGGGGGGGGGGCGGAGGGGGGTGCAGCAGGGGAGGGGGGGCGCGGGGGGGGGGTGGAAATAAGGGGACTGACAAGGCAACTAACGAGTTGGGGGCGGATGGGGAAGCAGCTGGGTGTGGCGGAGGGGGGAGCAGCAGGGGGCGGATGGGGGAGCAGAGGAGGAGGGACTGAGGGGCTGGGCGACGGGGCTTCACCCGCATGGGGTATGCTACATGGGACCCGGGGGAGTTGGGTGGGGGGCCGGGTGCGGACGGGGCGGAGGTGGGGAGGGATGTGGGGAAGGATGTGGGGAGAGGCATGGAGGAGAAGCCCGTCCGTCTACTACGCCCCTCCCTTCCGTTCCCCAGCGCCTCTCCCTCCCTCCTTCTCCAACTCATCTTGAGCCGCCTCCATACACGCCCACTAGTACGGTAAGGTGCTCCATAGTTGGTAAGTTTCGGTAAGTTTAGCTTGCAATGCTTCAGCCACCACTTCGGCTCGACTCACGGTTGTTTCCACCAGGGCTTGTCAGCTACATGTACCACTATCACAACACACATTGGAATTTCTTTTTCCCCCTCCCTTCCCTCACCTTAGGATACGCTTCCCTCCCTCCCCCTTCCCCCCTCCCCCCCTCCCCCCCACCTGCTCCAGGCAGGGCAGCAGGAATGCGTCCAGCGCCTCCCCCCCCAGCTGCTCCGGCCCCAGGCTGCCCACCGCCCTGAAGAAGGCGCCCCGCAGCCGCCCCTCGCCCGCGTTGAGGCAGGTGATCAGCAGCGGCAACAGCAGCTCCGTCACACCGCGCCGCCCGAACGCCTCCGCCAGCAGCGACACGTGGGACAGCAGCGCGCGCTGGGGGGGGGGGTTTCAAAGACCACACGGAACCATAGGAAATCACATCCCGCCCCCGATGTCGCGTTCCAACGAAGAGCTCTTTACGCAAAACACACACAAATGTGTTCCGCCTCGCGGCAATTTTTCTTAACACGCACATATACACACGCACGGCCCGTTTACACGCATATTACACGCACACACCCCTCACGTTTACACGCATATTACACGCACACACCCCTCACGTTTACACGCATACGCACACGCACACACCCCTCACGTTTACACGCATATTACACGCACACACCCCTCACGTTTACACGCATACGCACACGCACACACCCCTCACGTTCCGACTCTCAGCCAGGTTTGTCAAAAAACCCCTCACCCTCCCCCTCACCCCCCACCTTCACGTCCGCTGACGACCTCAGCCCCGTCACCAGCTCCACCACACCCCGCTCGATGAGGGTGCGTACGGCAGCAACCTCAGCGTCGTACCTGACCGGGAGGAGGAGGGGGAGGGGGAGGGGGAGGGGGAGGGGGGGACGCAGTTGGTGAGCCGCGTTAGTAGGGTAGCAAAGCAGGGAGCGGAAGGGCTGCGCAGTAATGAAGAAAGAGCGAGAGACACACCAAAGCCGCGCACACAGCCACGTCAGGACAAACCCCTGCGGATTGCACCCCCTCAGCCACCACCACCATCATCTCTGCTGCTTCCCGGTCTCCTTGCTACTCCCCATACGGTACCCCCCCCCGCGCAAACATGTTGCAAACCATGATGATGCCTTATCACACGGTCAGTTAGTTGTTTCCTCTTTACCCCCCCCCCCTCGCACCGTATGGGTGGCGGCGGCGTCAACCCAGGCGCCACACCCGTCGCCGCCGCGGCCGCTGCTGCCGCCGCCGCCGCCGCCACCGCCGCTGCGTTGTTGTCGCTCTGCAGCCGCAGCAGGTGCCGCTGCGCCGCCGCCGCCAGGTGCGCCAGCCCCATGCCGTACTCCACCCGTACGGCCTCCTCCGGGTCGTTGGGGATGAGCGACATGGATGGCAGCAGGTAGTCCTGGAAGACCTTGATGTCGGAGGGGGGGAGGACCTGGGGGAGCCGGGGGGGGGGCGGGGGGGGGGTACAGGGATACATATTCCGCAATAGGCTGGATTTTAGGCGGGGGGGAGAAGAATACCCTACGTGTTGAATGAGAATGGCATTTCGATTGACAAGCTCCTGGTGAGAGGAATCAAGTTAGGGAGAGGCGAGGGGGCGGTTTGGATTGACCAATACCGGTATGGATGGGAAGGCGGCATGGGCACAGTCTCGGAATAACATGCTCCTACTCCAACCACCGGGCACCGGAGAGGACCAGAGAGGTGTGCAGCTCCCACCTCTCCATGCACTCCATGCACTTCTATGCACTTCCATAAAGCGCTGCAACCTCCGAGACCACACCACCTCCCACCCAAGCCCCCCCCGAACCCCTCATACCTGCACTCGTGACATGGTCCGTACGATGCCGCGTACCGCCAGACACCGTACGGCAGCGGAGGGGTCGTGCAGCGCCGTCAGCAGGTACGGAAGCACCACCTGCAGCCGTACATGGTCGTCGCACTCCTCCGCCGACGCCACCAGAAGTCGAAGCGCCGCCAGTCGGGATTCCTGCAGTCGGGCGCCGCGCAGGGAGCTGCAGAGCAGCACCGTAACCAACACCAACCCAGGAGCGCCGGAACTGCCAACGGCGCCGCCAGCGGCGGCGGCGGCGGCGCCAGCAGGAAGGAGGTGAAGAGCGGGAGGGGTACCGGCGGCGCCCGGGGGGCACACGCCGCCGGCGACCACGCCCATGGAGCCGTCGTCGTCAATGGGTTGGTTTGTCGTCGCCGCACATGAGGCGTCCACACCAGCGGTTGTAGCGGCAGTAGCGGTGCTGGCGGCGGCGGCGCCGCTGCGGGCCGAGGGCATGCGGCCGAGTAGCGCGTTGGGTGCGGGCTCCGTGGTCAGCGGCGCAGGCAGCCGCCGCCGCCGCTGCCGCACCCAGCGGCGGCGGCGGCTGGTGCAGGTGGCCTCCGGAGCCGCCGACCAGGTGCGCTGCCCGGGTGTCCCCACGGCGGCGGAGCGGTACTCCCAGCCCTCCGCATCCACCGCCGCCGCCGCCGCCGCAGCAGCAGCAGCAGCAGCCCCGCCGGACCCCCCACGCATGTCCACCGTCCAATCCCCCGCCCATTGCCAACCGCCGCCTCGCGGTAGCTCCACCTCCTCCTTGCCGCGCCATGCACTTCCACCGCCGCCGCCTCCGCCGCCAGAGGCGGCAACTCCGCCGCCCACCCGGGCTGCTGCTGCTGCTGCTCCCGCTGCCCCTGCATGGTGGTGGTGGTGATGGTGGCTGTGCCCGCCATGCTGGGGGTGGCGGTGGGAGGAGGAGATGACGCTCATGCCGCCCACAAGCGCCTCGTCATCGTCCGCGGAGGCACCCTGCCAGGCGCCCCAGGGCTCCCGCACCTGCAGCGGGTGCAGCGCGGGGGTTGCGGTTGCTAGCCGGCTATGGTGACCCGCGGGTCACATGAGATACGAGGGATATTGGTTCGGTGTGGATAGTAGGTCCCCTACTGCCGGCCCCTGAGCCGCTCCTTGTGATGCGGTCTGGAAGTACGGCCAGACACACACTACACCCCATACCCCATACCGGATGATGATGATCAAATAATGTTCCGGCAATCACAGTACGTTCCGACTCGCCGCCAGTTGTCCTAACACACCCACCCACCCGCCCGCTTCACCCGCCCGCCCCCCCCCCACCTGGTATTCATACACCACCTCCTGCACCACCTCCTCAATCACCGCCGGCCCCACAGAGACACCCATGCTACGCTCCCCGCACTCCTCGCCGCCAACCGCCGCCGCTGCCCCCGCCGACAGCCCGGTGGCGGCGGCACCGCCGCCGCCAACGGCCGCCATTGCTGCAGCTCCGGAGCCCCCCGGCCGGCCGCCAGCGGCGGCGGCGGCGGCGGCGGCGGCGCTGTCGTCGGGCTCTTCGTCGCCATCCAGCAGGAAGGCGTCGCTGCCTCCCACGCTACCGCTGCCGCTGCGGCTGTCAAGCATGCCGCCGCCGCCAACGCCGTCCGCTGCGGTCTGAGAGGTGTGCGGGGTGCGGTGGGGCGACAAGTGACGCCAGCGCTACGCAAATACTACATGCGCTACTAACCCTAGCCCTAGCACGATAAGCTGAACGATGTAACCTTGGGCGCTTGAACCGCTAAACTAGCTATCTGCTTGGGAACAACAATCCTGTCAAGCCCTGCCCCGAAACCGCAACCCCTACTCACCCTGAACCGCCTCGCCATGGCTCCGCTGTCCGCCAGCAGTGCCCCAACCTCATCAAGCAGGCTCACCAGACCCGCCGCCGCGCCGCTGCCGCCAGCACCGCCCAGTACGGCACTGGGGCCGCCGCCGCCGCCAGCCGCCGCCGCCGCCGCCGCGGGCGCCTGCTGCGCGGGAACGCTTGCACCGGGACCCACCGGCGGCGGCGAGGAACGAGGCGCCGCTGATGAGGTTGCGGTTGCGGTTGCGTCTTGCGCCAGCGTTGCCGTACCTGCGCTGGCCACCGCAATCACCACACCCTTATCTCCAGCCGCCGCCGCCGCTGCTCCCCCTGGCGTCGCTGCCGACCCAGCCGCCGCTAGTATTTCCCTGCGCAGGCGCGGGAACGCAGCTGCGGTAGCGGCCACGCGGGCGTCTGCATCCAACGGCAGTAGCGAGGCGAAGAAGGAGTGTAGCGCGGGGAAGTACGGCGGGAAGAGCGGCTCCGACCAGTCAGAGAGGTACTGGGCTGCGGACCAGCGCGCGTCTGCGGAAGCAGGGGGCGAAGAGAAACCAGGGGAGCAGCAAGCAAGGGTTAAGAGGGAGCATGCCCGAAACGAACCGGGACGAAGGGTGTGAGGCGTTTGTGGCTAGGTAAGGTAAGCACACCGGTAGTTGGTTTGCGAATGGCTCAAGTTGGCCGAGCACAGTTTTCTAATGGAAAGGGGATTAAGGATTGAGCACGACAGCTGTAAGCAGGTTTTACGGATGGCTCCCGCTTTTCCACAGGCCGCCGGAGTTCTGCTGATACCGGTAAGGGTTGCAAACTGGCGATCATAACCAGGTCATAGCCCCACAAACCCACTTGGATCCAGCTGAATCATGTGCAGTACGAGTCGCCGCACATCCGGATCCACCGCCGCCAGCGCGCCATTGGCCGCCGGATCCGCCGCCGCGTCGCCGCGTCTGTACGACAGAAGCGCTGAGAGGTCGAACAGCGCCTTGCCGTCGCAAAACACCTCCGCTATGACACAGCCCAGCGAGAAAATGTCCTGACAGGGGGAGTGACAGGGGGGAGTAATGGGATATACGGGAGGAACGGGGAAACGGGTAGCGGGTCAAACCGTGTCACCCGCCACGCATGCAACTTCAGGGAGCCATCGACTCCCTGAACTCGCAGCGGCTGTGCAGCGTCCACTACTCCGCACCCATGTGCTTATGTACTTTTTGCCGCCCCGCCATGCGAAGGCTCCCTGGCCCTTCCATTCGCCACCACCCCACCTCCAGTTTTCCCCCAACCATGCGCACAAACACACACACACACACACACGCATCGCGGCCAGTTATTTTAACACACGCATCTTCCTCTTCCGGCAGTTAAAGCATGTTTCGCTTGTTTCGTTTCCTTTCGTTGACACAGGCGCAATTTGGACCCGTGCACGTGCGGCCGCAGTTCCGTACGCACCATCTGCGGGCTCAGCGCGGCCGCCGCGCGGGCCTCCCCGGGTGACCCCGGCGTGTAGAAGCGCTCGGGTGCGATGTAGGCGCGGCGCCGGCCGCCCGTGTCGAAGAAGAACGAGTACTCAGCCTGCGGGGAGGGTGAGGGTTAAAGAGGAAACGACTAAGAAACCGTCTGGGATGAGGGAGGTGAGGGAGGGGTGAGGGAGGGATGAGGTTAACGTACGCGAACACGCAACCCCTGGCACGCATGCATGCATGCAGGCAGGCAGGCAGCTGCCCCCCTGCTCCTCACCGCCCCCACCTCATCGCCCCCTCACACCACCCCCTCACCGCCCCCACCTCATCGCCCCCTCACACCCCCACCTCACCGGGTTGTCAGCCGGCAGCGCCACGGGTTTGAGTCCGCTCGCAAAGTCCGCGAGGCACGCCCAGCCCCAGCTGGTGAGCAGCACGTTCTCGCTCTTAATGTCGCCGTGCACCACCCCGCGCCCGTGCACCTGCGCAGCGCCCACCAGCAGCTGGTAGGCCACCCAGCGCTGCAGGGGGGGGAGGGGACGGGGAGGACCATACCAGACCACAGGAAACCACAGGTTAGGGCAAAGCAATGGGGATACGAGACGCTGGAGGGGGGTGGAGGGGAGGGGGTTGAGGAAGAAGAGGGAGAGGAGGGAGGAGCAGGCAGCGGCTTTAGGGTTGTGTGGAGCTGCCCCTGAGCGGTACACACTTGGGAGCTGCCTGGCGTGCGAAGACGTACGGAGACACAAGCCTACATGAGCGGTCCATGAGCCTTCTGGCTCGTCTGGGCCTTAAGTGCCTCAAGCTTGTAATCATCAGCATGGTAGGATGCGTTGAGGTGTATGGACCTCGTAATTGCTTCCCATAGTTGCATGACACTGTGTAGTCAGGGGCATACGGCACCATACGTGCTTCCGGTATTGTATGTTATACACTACCACAGAGACCGGAGACCGCGGCGGCTCACACACCTAATAAAGCATCGCAGCACCCCCGCATGCCCCCCCGTACCTTTTCCAGCTTGGACATGAAGGGCCGCGTGGAGAGTCTGTCGTACAGGTTCTGCGCCAGGTGCTGTCGTACCAGGTAGCCCACGTGCTGGCTCTCCACCCAGGCCTGCCAGGGCCAGGCGTGCTGGCAGGCGGAGGGGCCGCTGGACAGAGCAGCCCTGCAAAGGCGGGGGAGGAGGAGGAGGAGGTGGAGGAGGAAGGGAGAGGGTTGCGATGCGGGCATGCGCGTGAATTCAGAGAGGCACACGGGAGAGGCTTACCCACCCTCATCACCTCCATCCCCACCCTCACCCGCTGAGCGCAAGCCTCCGCCATCGCCTCCCTGCCCCCACCTACCCACACGCACCACCCTCGTTCACAACAGCGTGCACCTAGTTCCACCCCACCCTCCCTTTCCTCCCCACCAACCGTACCTTCCACCCCACCCCGCCCACCCCCACCACCATTCGGGTGGGGTGGGATGGGCCGGGTTCACCTAGCAACCCATGGTGAAGCCTCGTCATACAGTTCCTGGCTTCCTTGGCTTTATCCCCACCACCACGTCATCAACACCACCCCCCTCCCCCCCCCGCCCGCACCTGACGGCCGCTAGGTGCTGCTTGTACGGCTCCAGCCCGCTGGCCGCTGTGTCGGGGCGCTTGAAGTACACCTGGTAGGGAGGGGGAGGAGGAGGGAGGAGGAGCGGGGGGAGGTAACAAACGGGCAAACCATACGAACCAGGGAGGGGGGACGTGTCAGCTGCCGCCGCAACCACTCCACCACCTCCAACTCCACAAGGGCCATGTTGCGCATCCTGGCCCCACCAGCCCAGCCCAGCCCAGCCCATGTCAACGAGGCAGCCGCAGCGCCCAGACGACTCCAAGCAGCTCCTCCAGTACCCCCCAGCACCCCCCAGTACCCTCCAGGACGCTCCAGGGCGCTCCAGGGAAAGCAGTCCCGCTTCTGCATTGCCAGTTCCCAGCCTAGGCCCCAAAACACCCGTCTAGGCTGCGAATCTTCCGCCTCGCTTCAGCACCGTTTCCGCAGAGGAGAGGCCGATTCCTCCCTCGAATGCCCACAAACGGCCGGTGGCAGGCGGCTTGGCAGGCACCTAGCCCAGCCCCGAGAGGTTTGACCACCCGGCTGCCCACCCAGCCGACCTCCGACCAGGGTGGGGCTCACGCCTCGCCTTTCCCCCATCCACGCATGCCGTACCATCTATGGCCCTCCCCCCGCGGGTCCCCTCTCCCGCCCCTACCTTGACCACCACCAGTCCGCCGCTGTCGTGGAGGCACAGCAGCGTTTTAAGGAAGCGGCCGCCGCCTGCACATGCGGCGCAGACAGGCGGGGATGAGGAAGTAGTCGTGCAGGAGGAGGAAGAGGGGAGGAGACAGGAGCGGGTCGGGAAGGACGAGTGGGGGGCATAGGGCAAGCGGGGCGGCTTGCATACTTTGTTTTAAATGCAAGTAAGCGCTATTTTCGGGCTTACAGCAAGGCAATAGGATTGCTGCAAACTTACCTAGGGTGTCCTTGAGCACCACGCCAGGCAAGTCGGCAAGAGGGTCCACCGGCACACGCACCGGCTGCGCAAGCACGTTCCCCATGATGACGCAGATCCAATTGTTGCAGTGAAGGTATTATGCACGGTCCCTCTTTGGGAGTTTCCCGATGAGGGCTATTTTGCTATCCTCATCCCAAGTCGCCTTGGCTTTTGACTCTACAATTGTATATTTTTATAATTACTAGCCATAACCATATGTTGGTTAATCTTTGCGCTTGGCACTGGCAAGGGAAGCTTGGGGTACTCGGCGCATTTCTATAGCGAAATCGCGCTGCGTAGGGCAATGCGCAGGGTTACACGCAGAAACCTAAATAACACAATGTTGACAGAAGTGTGCAGTCGATATTGTCAAGAACTATGGATGCCAGGCTGGGCCAACTGACAGATGGACGGTTGGCCGCTCGAGACACAAGCTGCTTGGCCAGGGTGCAGTCGTGGGATCTTTCTTGTATGCGCGTACCTAGACTCACAGCGCTATAGTGTACAGCACAGCGATTGCTGTTGAATGGCTTCAGGCCAGGATACGCACATGGACTAAGGTGTACAGCAAAGGGATGAGCAGCCAGTTTCAGGTGGATAAACGCAAAGGGTGGCGTGGTAGCCTTCAGCCGCTTGCAGTTGGCCCAAATCCAGCACGACGTGGGGCGCACGCTTGTATGGCAGCGCAAGTACCCAGCGCCATTCCGCCCCTGTCACTTAGGAGGAGCAAATTGCAGGATGCCACTTGGGAACACCAGAGGCCTCATGATGGAGGTATGGGCAGGTGTATGGAGGAGGCGGGGGTATGCTTAATTGGCATTCCTATTCCTGCCATGACGAGTAACTCCTTCACTATACTGCGGCACAGCTCCCAGCACGGCAAGCATACCACACGCCCCTTGGAAAACCACGTCTCACAGGGCCCTTGCAACCTCGCCCTCCACACACCTTATGCAATACAACGCCGCTCCCGAAAGCCCTCACCTTTCTATGGCCCCACGGGCTGCAGACTTCCCACGATACATCTCGCCCATCCCTTGTGCGTCCATTGTAAAGTGTCTCATGGAGAAGCACTTCAACCGCAACCTAGCTACCTAAGCATGCCGGTAACAGCGTAACACCCCCCCCACACACAGCTTCAAGTGGGAGGACTTCATCTTTCGGCAATCACAGTACGTTTCTCCTCGCGGCCAGTTAGTTTTAACACACTGTTTCACGTGTGTACCGGATGCATGCATCCTCTCACCTGCTGGGCTCCGTTCCAACCTAGGCGCATCGATCGGCCATGCGGCCTTGTACTGCGCTGGTCCGCAACGTGGTGTGCCGTAAGTCGTACAGTTGCCCGTCGGTTTGTAACCGTTCGTAACTGCCGGGCTGCTGCATGGGCAGGTTCCTCTGCCCCTGCGGGTTTAGGCGGCATAAGGTGTGGTTTGTTGGAGGATGTTGTTGTCGTCAAGTAGACATGAAGCGCAGTCAGTTGCGGTAGCTGTAGGGAAGCACGCTGCAGGGCTGATGCTGCTGCAAGTGCACTGCCGATTGGTAATTAACCTGCATGGGGTTGAGAGTAGCTGGACCTGCAAGTGTGTAAGGAGTAGGGGGGCATCGTTGGCAGGCCAGTAACGGTGGGGCCAGGAGGTTATACGGTTGGGTTCCCTTAGGTTGGGGTTCAGGACACCGTTTACGGTAGTCTGGAGGATAGCCGTAGGCCCTCGTGGGCCTGACAGCATGTTGTACGTCGGGGGGCGCTTACTCGTGGACATTTGCATCAGGAGTGTGTTAGGACCAGTTGTCTTCACTTTGGCACCTGCACGTTAATGCGGCGGCGGGGGGTTTCCTTTTATCGCTATGTTGTAATGAGTTCATGGGAACCTTTACAAGTTGAACACATTGAACTGCAGTATGCATGTCGCCCTTCGCTGGTCGTGTACTGGGCTGCGCTGCAGGTGTACGGCAGACCGTGTATAACGCCTGGATGATGAGCACAGGCGGGGTGCTGTGCTGTTGAGGATTAAGTTTCCTGGCTAGCTACATACCCTGTCACACGGTTGTCCGAGTACAAATTGCCTCTCCTGTGCCCACCATGCACCACTAAGTGCGACCCGAGAGCATCACACACCACCTTCATCACCTCCACCCGCCACTGCATACCACAACTCTTTGCTGCTGCTGGTAGGGCACGAGGCTAGCGGGGGTCCGAAATCGTGGTTTGAGGCAAGCGCACATTCAGAAAGTGTTCTTCAAGATACGGACCCCGGGGGTATTCTCGTTCAGGGATTCTGATGGGTGGTGCTCTGGTGCAGCTGCATGCGGCAGAACGTGCGGGTGTCGACTTGGACGGGGCCCAGAAGAAGTTACTAGCGCTTAGTTACTAGGATGTTAAAAACAACAGCTGAACCCTATTACAGCAACATACACTCAGCTGCTAAATTTAACCATGCCAACCGGTTCTGCTGGGCCAATGAACAATTTGGCAAACGCAATACTTAGCTCTAAGTTGGCTGCAATCAGGACCTAGTACAGCCGTTTAACCATAGCCTTACAGAAAAGTTGTTTCATGGCAAGCTTCCGAGCACAGTAGACAGTGCGCTCTATGGGGCCTTAGATAGAGCCTTGTACGACATGACTTTCGACGGGGGAAGAACATTCTTGCGTGCGCCATACTCGCGCGTGCGAGCTGTTTCTTTCATATTATAGCCTTATGGTGGTTAGGTTAGTAATTATGCAGTTACATTAGTAATGCTTTGGAATTACAGAAACTAGGCGCTTTGGTAATAGATTGGCGAATCCCCGTTCTACTTTAAAAGCCTCTGAGGTTGCTTTTAGCACAGGTGTGTGCCTTCTAGTTATCTTTGGACAACAGAAATGCCCTTCTTGACTGTCCTGACACCTCGGTGTGAGGTTGGACGCAAGTCATATGAGCCAACGCATAACTTGGAGGCCGCTGTTCGCGAGCTGTTACGCACAGCAGAAGTCCCGTCTGAATATCCCTTCATCGTGAAGAACGGTGCCGGGGATGTCCTCAACGTCACACCTCAACGGGTTGTGGGCGGGCAGGACCTCATTGTGGAGGTCTGCACTTTAGTGCTGAGTGTCTTCCAGCAGCAAGTGAAGGAGTCCGACCGGAAACTGGACCGGAAACTGGATGGCGTTACCCTCATCCTTGAGAACTTGGCTGAGGTGCCGCTCCGTGACTGCTCAGCGCAAATTATGACGACAGCACTTGGGCTTATCCAGCCACACAGCACGGAGCACGACGTAATTGGGAACTTGAACCCTGGCGACCCGGTTCTCAAGGGGATGGCCGGCTTGGCAGGCGAGGCTGTCAACGTCTTCCAAACTAAGGCGGACGCGGTAATCGAGTGCTGCAACAACGGCGGAGGACACCAATGCACCTTAAAACTGCTGGAGGAGGAGGCGCGGCGCTGCAAGCTGTACCTGGACAAGCTGCCCAGCCTAAGGGACAAGTGCAAGTGGGAGGCGTGGACGCTCGACAATTACGAGAACATCAAGAAGCTCTGCCCAGAGCGCTTCCAGACTGAGAAGTCTTCTAAGAAGGTTAAGAAATGGTAAGTCCAGTTTTTGGTGAATTCTTTGTAGGCTGCACGGAGCAGGGGTAAACAAGTATATTGGGTACACCACTACTAACAAAGGACCATTTGACTGAACAGTGACGTGCCGCAGCTCGCTTGGGATTGCTTTTGTGACTCGCAACGTGTAATGCATGGTGGGAGGCCACAAAACGGCATCTGCCACTGCCCACTAGCCCTTGGATGGCTCTGACTGTACACCGAAACATGTCACAAACTACTAATGCTTGGACCGTGGGCCGTATCGATTATCCTGCAGACCAACTTCTGGGGCCTCTATCATGGCGACTAGCAACCGCCCTGAGCATGTAGCTGGGCTGCCCTGGCACTTATCTGGGAAGCACTTCATCGCCTGCGGCACTCCAACTTCCTGCTCGATGTGCTTTGCTGCCTGCTAGGAGCTGCTTGCCGGGTGGACTGAGAGATAGTGACAATGGTAGCGGCTAGTGGAATGGAGACCTCTCTGCATGCTGGCTTGCAGAAGATACGAGCTGTTCGTGGCTGCAGGTGAAGTGGACGTGGTAAATGCAAGAGGTTGGGCACAACAGAAAGCTAGTGGGGATGGGTCTGGGATGTGGGATGAAAGGCATGTTGTACAGAGAGGGCTGGTAAAGGTGGATAGCAAAATGTTTATTGGTGGGCGCTGGCATGGGGTCACTCATGTGGATGGGCTGAAAAGGCGGTCAGAGAGTCGTCGCGGCTATAGTGGCGCATCGCGCATGCCAGTGGCGCCTCGGGGGGCATGTTTTTGCCCATCTTGTCCATGTTGCACGCCATGTAGCCAATCAACGACGGCGCGTCAGAGGCATCATGGGGACCCCATCACTATAGGCCCTGACGAAAAAGAAGGCGGGTGGACGGAGTGGCAACCTGGCCGGAACACTGCTGGCCGCCATGTACCTCTGCCTACCTAGCTGGCGCATTGGTGATGAACACCGTGTTTCCGTCGCCACCTCCGAGCCCGCTGTCGCCCCGGCCGGCAAGGGCAGCGTTATGGCTGCAACGGGACGACACCAGCGGCTGGTGATGCAAGAGCCCCGGGGCAAGGCCAGTACGCCGTGGTGCCCGTACGTATATCAAGCGGTGACAGAACACTTGGAATGGGAAAGGGTGCAGCTAGGAGTAGTGACGGACGAGGGCTATGTCCTGGGTGGAGACCCAGAGGCAATCAACGACGCGACGTGGCAGGGGTCTAGGGGAGGCAGACCCGTGGGTCACATCGCTGCGGGTCTTTAGGAGGGAGGAGCGCGGCGAAGCGGCCATACCGGACGTCTTGTGCTGTGAGTGTCTGAACATATTGAGTGTTGGCAGCTGCATGTGGGTTACGTGCGCGGACAGAGCTGGCTGGTAAGGGGCAACGGGTGATAGGCAGCCGAAGGCACAGGGGCTGAAGGGGCATTAACTATGTTTTGGAGGCATAGTTAATGCCCCTTCAGCCCCTGTGCCTTCGGCTGCCTACCACCCGTTGCCCATTACCATTACGTATGTTTTGGAGGCATCCAGTTTATGCAGTGAAGGGAATAGGCACAGTCATCGTTTCCCGACGAGGGCTAATTTGCTATCCTCATCCCAAGTCGCCTTCGCTTTGGACTTTACGTTCATGTAATTTAATCAGTCACTGCCATTCGTAGGTTAATCTTTGCGCTTGGCAGCGAGAAGGGAAGCTTGGGGTACTCGGTGCATCTCTATAGCGAAATCGCGCTGCGTAGGGCAATGCGCAGGGTTACACGCAGAAACCTAAATAACACAATGTTGACAGAAGTGTGCAGTCGCTATCGTCAAAAACTATGGATGCCAGGCTGGGCCAACTGACAGATGGACGGTTGGCCGCTCGAGACACAAGCTGCTTGGCCAGGGTGCGGTCATGGGATCTTTGTTGTATGCGCGTATCTAGACTCACAGCGCTACAGTGTACAGCACAGTAATTGCTGTTAAATGGCTTCAGTCCAGGATACGCAGTTGAGCTAAGGTGTATAGTTGAGTAGGACAGGAGCAAGCAATGGGGAGAGGTTCGCATGTGAACCGCGAGTACAGGCAAAACAAAGTTGACCGAACCTGAACCGTAATACAGAAAACTGCTTAAATGGCTGTTAAGAAGAGTGGCGAGTGATGAGTGACGACGCATGTCGGTGATGCTGATGGAGTCGGAATAAACTAAAATACTACCGAGAACTAAAGCCCGCTGACCAAAGCTCGACGCCGGGAGCCCCCGCTCTGGACACGCAGACGAGACACCACAATGCTGTGCATGCGTGCGTGCAAACGCGCATTGCGTACCTGCGAGCAAAAACGCCGTAGTCAGCACCAGAACCAGCAGCCGCAGTAATGCGAGGAATGCCATGCGCAGAAGCATGAACCAGAGCGAGGAAAGGGGGACAGAGTTAGAGACAAAATGAACCTATATCTAAGTGCGAAATGTACGGCAAAACAGGATGGCATGCGATACAGGACGAAAAACAAGCACAGCACAACATGAATGCAAATGCAGAAGACAAAAACAAACACAACCGGCGTGAGTGGTCGAGCAGACGCTGAGCTGTGGCTGCAGCGGTCAGCTGAACCGCACTGAGAAGCGCACTGACCGTAGCGTTGTCTAGGAGCAAGCTGACGGTGCAATGGTATGCGTGCAGCGAACAGGCAAAGGCCAGCAGAGGGGCACGGCCGTGTGGGATGCGGTGCGGTGCAGTGGGGAGTGACCGGGCTCGAAGGAGAGCACCCCAGATGCTTACATGCCACAGGGCAAAGCAAAAGCGGCAGGGCCGCAACAAACCCCCCAAAACCCCCCGAAAACAAAAACAGCACCACAACAAAGACCAACGACCACAACGACCACAACAAAACCCCGCCCCTCTCCCAAGCCCGAGACGACCTAAAAATCCCGACCCTGCTCAGCCTGCCCGGCTGCAGAAAAAACAACCTAAACCCAAAAACACGCGACCACGCAACCACACCGTGCCCCGGGCCGTACCGCGACAAAGGGCAACCTAAAACTGCCACGGCACGACCCACCGTCAGTGGACCGCATAACCACCAGCCAACCCGCTAGCCTAAGGTCCGCAAACCCTGCCGCCGCTGAACTGGACGCCACGGCCCACGAAAGCGACGGCGCAGGTCCGAAAGCCCAAAGCGTCCGTAAGCCCAGAGCTGTTGCTGTATCTGCCGTCATGACCGCTGCTGCTGCCACAGAGCAACCAGAAGAGACAACAAGGCGTTAGGAAGGTAGGAGCGTACGCTGCAGCTGTGACCAACGGGGGTGGTGAGGGAGGAGGTGAAGGTGTAGCCGGAAGAACCGACGGAGGGCGAGGAGAAGGAAAGGACGTGGATAACCGCGGAGATGGAGGTGGCGCATAGCATCTTGGGCGGCGGAGGTGAAGGCGGAGGCGGTGGAACTGAACCGAGCGTGCGTCATAAGGATATTAATGACGAGGTTAAGTTTGCTGTGGTGGGGAAGGGTGCTGGTGAAGAGGGTGTAGCGGACGATAGGGAGGTGGCGAAACTTGGGGCCGTCGCGCTTGTCGTAGGGAGCAAGGGTGAAGAGAAGGGGCCCGGGGAGGGTGGAGGCGGAGGCGGTAATGGCAAAATTCATGTAGGGGAGGGAGGGAGTGGTGTGGGAGGAGGCGCCGGAGGAGGTAAGAGTGAGGGAGATGGGGTAGATGCCGGGTAGCAGCCCAAGGAAGAGCTGGTTGGCGCTGAGGAGGTGGGGGAGGAATGGATTGTCCAGGCTGAGGAGGTCGTCGGCGAACCGGTATGTCTGTTGGAAGGCAAGTAGGATATCCAGCGCGAGGCTGGGTGGAAGGGGGAGTGGTGGAAGGAGGGCATGTGGCTGGAAGGCGGCGCAGTAGAGGGTGCGGAGGAAGCGGTACTCGTGAGCACACAAGGCCATGTTGGCGACGTACGTGGCGAAGTTGGCGCCCATGGCAACACCCCGCGTTTGCTGATACAGCTGGCCACGGTAGGCAGCGTAAGCGTTGCGCAACAGAGTGAGCAGTACATCCGCAAACTGTGGGAGGGTCCAGCAGTAATAGGCGCCCAGAATGTCGCTGCCACGGGAAAGCGGTTGATACACCTTAGTTGAGCTAAGGTGTATAGCAAAGGAATAAGCAGTCAGTTTCAGGTGGATAAAGGCAAAGGGTGGCGTGGTAGCCTTCAGCCGCTGGCAGGTGGCCCAAATCCAGCATGACGTGGGGCGCACGCTTATGGCAGCGCAAATACCAAGCGCCATTCCGCCCCTGCCACTGAGTAGGAGGAACCCCCGAGGAATCCCCATTGCAGGATGGGGGATAGGAACACCAGAGGCCTCACCATGGAGGTATGAGTAAGTGTACGGAGCAGGCGGGGATATCCTTCATTGGCATCCCTATTCCTGTAATAACGAGTAACTCCTTACACTATACTGCGGCATACCTCCCAGCACGGCAAGCATACCACACACACCTTGGAAAACCAAGGGCCGAGTGTACTGGGCCCGCAGACACACACCGCCTCGCGGCCAGTTATTTTAACACACACGTACGACATACCACCCGCAAAGAAACCAAAAAACGCCGTACGACGCGCTTGCGGCTGGCCGCTGGTACTGATCCCTCACATCCATGCAAGTGATACGCGCATGTGGCAGCACAGGCTAAGCCAAAGCGACATTAAAACGGTGCGCTGCTTCGCCAAAATCAAAACACAGCGCCAACTCAAATTTGCGCGCCTGAAACGCCTCATAGGGTCTTGCAAGCTCACCCTCCCTCCTTCTTTCGCAATACAACGCCGCTCCTGAAAGCCCTCACCTTTCTATGGCCCCACGGGCTGTAGACTTCCCACTATAAATCTCGCCCATCCCTTGTGCGTCCATTGTAAAGGGTCTCATGGAGAAGCACTTCAACCGCAACCTAGCTACCTCAGCATGCCGGTAACAGCGTAACACCCACCACCATGAGGATAGAGTGTAAATGCCCCCAACAAAAGGTGAATTTCCAAAACTGGAGCAACGGGGTGTCGGTGAGCCCGCAAAGCCCTGCCATGTGCCAACTACCATCCACTCGACCCACCAAGCCCGGTTCAAGCATAACCTCACGCCTCCCCAGCTCAACGGTCTCCAATCCTAGCGCCTCCAAGTATCAAGCTAATACTCCTGGAATCTTGAACTCGCTGTCATTACGTAAGTAATACGTTAGTAGCATGGCATTCTTTCCACGCCCGCGAAAATGTAGTATTCTATGCTCGCCTCGCCTACCAGAGACACCCACCACCACCGCAGATATGCAGAATATTAAACACCCAATATTCCAATCAGCGCCAAGTCTCCAATTCGTAGCACATGCGCTTCTCTTCTTACGACATGCATTTTATCGCTCTGGGGCACAGTACAAACAAACCAAGTGTTCCTCCGTTCCGTTCCGTGCTAAGAGGGCCCCAAAGGTCGCGCTGAATTCGCAACTGGCTGCCGAGGAGTTCCCGCGACGCACACCACCACCCGCAACCAATCAAAGCCATACGGGCACACACGGCAGGATAGTGCCGGCAGTAGCAGCGATCTTCAACCCACAACGGGGGCCCACGCCAGCGTTTCCACTTGCTACACAGCCAAGGAAAAGGGTCATGCGCATGCTCTAGCGTTGTGCCAATGCCGTGACAGAAACCAACAGTCCAATCCAAACATGTGCGCCCTAACTTCATTGCACAGTCCGGCCAACGCGATACTATTTGACACCCCCCACACGGGCTGAAGACAAAAGAAGATGAAAAGGCTCATGGCACATGGCACGGCCCTCCAATTCAGGATATGCTCACAAGATACGTTGCCGTGCGTGCAGCAATACAGGCAGGGAATGCGGCCACAATTTAAGGGCAAGGCGGTAAACCAACAGTCTCCAGAAAGCTACGATCACAGAGCGGGAACCTAAGCCACACGGGCATTAATTTGAAGGCGCAGGACCGCAACATGTGAAAATTGTGATATGCCTAAAACCAGCAATATAGGCAAGGCTGCGCGCGCGTAGACCTCCAAGCGGGCCACTAAAGGGCGTGGCTCCCAAGCCTGGCTCAGTAAATTACGGGTGCTAGCAAGAAAAGATGCCAGCAAGAGCCCTTTAAGACTAACCTAAGGGCGGCACTCCTGCATGCCGTACATACTATTAGCGTCTGCATCTCTAAAAGTCGCCGCTGTTATTATATCAAAACGCCAAACCCCCCACAAATGTATATCGCAGCACGACCGGAACCGTACAAGGACAGTTCGAGCTGCAATAATAGAAAGGTTCGCTTTTCCAACATACTGCCTCGTTCACGGGCCGTTCAACGCCCAATGACGGGATGAAGGGCGACGTTTGCTCCTCACGCACCTTCACAGAAACACCCCCACGGAATTCACACACGAGCATGCGCCCCCCTTTCCTCCACCCACATTTATGTATCTCATGCCCCACCTCATCCGTTTCCTCTCCAGCTTCTCGCCCACTCCTCCCGTCTCTTTCCTCTACCCTACTGTTCCCTACTGGGTCGCACACACCACCTCGCCAAGTACCGACCCCAGCAGGTTCCTCGCCGCCTCCACCTGCGCCTTCCCCCCGGAAATGACCAGATGGAACAGCCCAGTGGCTCCCGGCGACAGCTGAAGCGTGGCTCCACTCACCGTTTGCACGCTGAACATGTGCTGGTTCACCGCCGCAAGCTGAGCAGAGTTGAGCGCCAGCGTCACAGCGGCCTGCTGCCGCAGCCCTGCAGCGGCATCCCATGCACCGCCGGCAGCAGCAGCAGCAGCACCCGCATGTCCCACCATGGCGCCGCCGCTGACGCCGACGGGCATGCCGCCGGTGGCGGCGGCGGCAGCCAGCATCATGGGGTAGCTGCCGCCGGCAGCAGCGGCGGTGGCTGCGGGCGTGCCTGAAGCTGCAGCCGCGTCGTCTGAGGATAGACAGGAGGGGAGGGACGATAAAGAGGCAGTTGTGAGCGAGGAAAGATGTATGTTAGGGCACACTTAGCAGGCACAACCTTGCAGCCTTGTCAGCCCTCAACCACAACTCCTGTCTACACCACTCCTACCATCATCACCCCATCAGTCCCCCACCGGTCCCTTACGCTGTCCCCTCTCCTCGCCACGCACCTGTGCCGTACGCATGGTAGATACCCGCCGGCTGCCCGCCCCCCGGCGCCAGGGTAATGACGCCCTGCATGGATCGATCCGATCCCGCCGCGCCCGCACCCACCACCCCCATGGACTGATGCATGAGCGCCGCATGAGCTGCGGCGGCATGCGGACCCGCAGCCACCACATGAGGCATGCCACCGCCAGCCATACCCACGCCCATGCCCGTCGCCAAGCCTCCCCCTGCTCCACCCCTAGCTGCTGCTGCTGCGGCGGCCATGGCTCCGGAACCATCCACCAGCTGTAGCCCCTCCATGCCAGCCTGCAGGGAGGCCACGGAGAGCCCGCCGCCCATACCCACCACACCGCCCATGTGGCCCATGCCTATTGAGGTGGGCGCTGCGGCCATGCTACCCACTCCGAAACCCAACGCATGGGGAAAGTACGGCGAGGCCACCAGGCTGCCTGGAGTCATCTGCGGTGGGGACGCAGAGTTGCGGCAGAAAAGGGCGAGGGGAGTGAGTGATGACAGGGCAGGCAGGTAAGACGTTGGGACTATTTGAGCCTCCGCCGCAGACCAACACCCCAGGCAGTTATGACACAAGTCGCCACCCCTCCAGCCAAAAGCGCCCCAGCCACCCCGTCTCACATGTCCCAGCGCTGCTGCAAAGGGCCCCGGCGGCCCCATCCCTCTGTTGCGCGCCTTGGCCCGGCGCACCACCAGTGGGCGGTCCTGGGCGCCCGAGGGGTCGGGGAAGATGTGGCGCAGGTTGAACTGGATGATGGCGCGCTCCGCATCCGCACGCGTCTCGAACCAAACAAAGCCCGAGCCCTTGGACTCGTGGGTGATCTTGTCGTACACGATAACCAACTCAACCACCTGGGATCGCATGTGTGGAAAAGCGAGAGGAGGAAGTAGGGAGACGGCGAGGGAAAAAGCACTGCGGATGCGCTAATCATTGCAGGTTCATTGAGGTCAGAAACAGCATGCCAGCGGCCTTGCTACAGCACAGTCCGATTCCAGCCCCTTCCCCCCATCTCCGCCCCCATCGCATCGCACCTTTCCGATGGTCTGGAACAGCGGCAGCAGCTGCTCCTCCGTGCAGCTCTTGGGCACGTTACCCACAAACAGCTTAATGGCATCCGGATTGCAGCCCGGCGGGGGCGTCTCGAGCGGCGGGTCCAACACCTCGTTCAACGCCGCAGTTAAACCGGCACCTCCCGCTCCTCCGCCAGCCGCAGCAGCGCCGGCGCTCGGGGCCCCCATCATGCCCATGCCCAGCGCGGCTCCGGCCCCAGGAGCAATGCCCGCCGCGGAGGGCTGCATGACGGTGTAGCTGGGGGCGCCTCCGGTGGCGAGGCCGGCTGCTGCTGCGGCGGCGGTGGCCGCAGCGGCACTTGCACCCAGCGGCATCAGACCGGGCATGGAGGGCACTGCAGCGAGGATGACCGGGGAGGAGGAGGCGGGTTGGGACGCGCCAACAAGTCCAAAAACGGAGCCCCACCACAATCCTACTACAGTTCCCATGGATTCTAGCAACACCGCTACTAGCCGCCTAGGAAACCGCTTGCGCCCGCATCTCCTCGCTCACCACACACCTCCACACTGCTGGTTAAAACATTCTTTGACCACCGCTTACCCGCTTAAGCCCTGACCGTACTCCATCCCGCCTACTCCCACCCCATCCACACTGTGCCCCCCTCCCCGCCCCCGCACCCCCACTCACTGAGCGCCGCCTGGTAGGTGAACTGCTCTGCTGCGGCATTGCGCTGGGCGCCCAGGATGCCGCCTATGCTGGCGGAGGGCAGCGGCTGGCGCAGGGCGGCGAGGTGCTGCTCGCGCCGCCGCCGCTGCAGCGCCGTGTCCATCCACTGAGAGGGCGAGGGGGGGGGTGAGGGCGGGATAGGAGATAGGTAGAGCAGCAGGGAGAGTAGATAGATAGAGCAGCAGCAGGGAGAGAAGCGAGAAGACGGCTGAAGCAGCGGGGGTATAGCAGGTGGTTGTGTGCGAAGAGGCTTTGGAGGTGTGGAATAGTATGCTGGATGAACACATACCCCTCAATTCGTTCCCCACTTTCCCCACCTCCCTCTCGCAGCTCAGCTCCAGTCCAGGTCCACCCCCCCCTCACCTTGACCACCATGGGGCAGTCCATGCCCTCCCAGGTGAACTTCCCGTCCAGCGCGTTGATGGCCGCCACCGCCTCGCTGTGGACCGACATCGTCACTAGACCGCAGCCCTGACAGCAGCAACGGCAGCAGCGGCAGCAGCACCAGACGGGGTACAGTTAAAGTGTCAGCTACAATTACCAACTAGAGCTAAAAGAGTTAGTAGGAAACATGGGGCGTTGCAGCTGTTGCGCGCAGCTGTGCACACAAGGCCGGGCCCTTGCCGGAGTCGCAAACCCTGCGCCTCCCGGCCCCCCCTCTCACACACCCACACCCTCCCCAGGCCCGCATGCACCCTCGCTACCTTGGTGGTGGGAGCCCCCTGGAAGGCGCGGAAGAGGTTGACGTCGTGCACCTTGCCGAAGCGCGAGAAGAGCCGCCGCACGTCGTCCTCCGTGGTGGAGCGCAGCACCTTGGCGAAGAAGAGCTGCGGAAGGGAGGGAAGGAAAGAAGGATACCCAATGTGCTGGATGAGAATGGGGGGATGGGAGGGGGGGATGAGGGAAGGCGAGAGGTTTGGACCAACTGAGAGGGGGGTTCGTGGGCGGCTTGAAGGCAATAGCGATGACGCAGAAAGGTGGCAATGGTGGCCCGGATGGGTGCGAGAGGAGTGTTCGCATGCATGCGGGGTGGGCGGGTGCATAGGCGGATTGAACAAGGGGTACGGCGGGGCATGCAGGGCATGGCGAGGCACCGCCCGGGGGTGCACTCGGTCGTGCCTTCCCGGCGGCTGTCGTACCATTCGGTTGTCCGAGTTCGCATCGTCCATGGCCAGCTTCTTGCGCTGCTGCAGGTCGGGGTCCGCCCAGCGCACGGAGATGGCGGTGCCGGTGGCCTGGGGGGAGAGAGGGGGGGAACAAGGACCGTGAGCCAAGCCATGAGACAACTACAACACATGCATGTGAAGGTTATGAACAAAGATGCGCGTTCGTGACGGTAATTGGTTCCGCTTTTTTTACCAGTTTGGCGGGGAGGCGTGTTAACCTTGGTGGCCTAGCATGCAAACATAGACAAACTCACATCGAATACATGCCGCTCATCTAGCTGCTCCATGGCACTTATAGCCGCCTCGCGTGTTTGCATCTGCGCGGACAGGGGGCGGAGTGGAACAGGGGGGAGGGCGGATTAGAGGGTCGAGTCAAAACAGAGGACAGTTGCGAGTGGCGGCTTTCTATTGCTTATACACACCAAAGCACAACTGGAGAAGAGGCGTGGAAGGGACCGGACCGAGGGAAGGGAACGGATCGAAACGCTTCAACACAGGTTGCCTCCATGCGACCCTGCTCAACCTGCCTCCATGCGACTAGACCCCGCTCAAGCCGCCGTCCGCACCCCTTCCGGCCCCAGTGCCGCACCTCTATGAATCCGCAGCCCTTGCTGCGTCCCGACTTGCGGCACTTGAATACGTTGATGCCCTCGACGTCTCCGTGCTCCAGGAACAACGGTAGGATGTCCTCCTCCTGCGGGAATAATTGAACAGAGGAAAGGGAGGAATAATTTACTAGGTAGTGGCAACACTATAGTTAGTGGCAAGTCTGGCAGCATATATGATACCATACCTTGTAGTTCAGTGGCACTCGGGAGAAGAACAGCTGCCGGTTGTCTGAGGGGCCGCTGCCAGCTTGCACGTACGAGTGATTCTTGGCGAAACGAACCTGGAAGAGGAGGAGTCACAGCACGGCATGGCACGGCATGACACTCAGCAGAGCAAAAGAGCGACGCTGACAGGGGGGGGCGGCTGGGAACGGGGAGGGAGGGAAGGCAGCGCAATTCACACACAGGACACCATGAGAGTCAGCCATGGAGATACCCACCCCCACCCGCGCCCTGGACGAAGTCTGGGTTGTTCACCATGCGTTCAGGTACCCCATGGCAGCTCAGAGGGAACTGCCAGGACCACACATGCTAGACATGCATCAAAAGGACAGGCTTGTTCCCTCCTGCCGTACACCCCTACCCACTTTCGACCCCCACCTCTAAAGGGGCCTGTGCTCCTGGGAGGATCAGTTGCCGGTCAAACCGCCGAATCGCCTCCTCAGCGTCCTCTTGTTTTAAGTAGCTGACGAACGCACAGCCGCGGGATTTGGCTGAGGAGCGGTCTCGCAGAATTGCGAGGTCGCCGACAACACCGCACTGTGTGTGGTACGGCAGTGGGCAGCAGCAGTAATGGGGCCACAGCAGGGCAGGGCATCAGGGGAAAGCAAAGGCCGGCGGGGGCTGATTTCAGTGGCGGGCATGCGAGGAGAGGGCTACCAAGGAGGGTGAGCGCATGCATAACTGGTGAACTGGTGTGTGCAAGAATGGCCAAGGAACCACCCTGAGAGTAAAAAACGGACATGTTGTTGGGATCTTTGAGGGTAAGATTAGGGTGGTCATGGCGGTCGCTTACAACCCCATGCCAAAAGCACACAGGAGGACACCGGAGAAAAGGGGGTAAATACGGCACATGCCCGCCCTTGCAGCCACGCATGCCCCTCCACAGCTTTTCAAGCGTATGCATACGTCGCACCCGCTATTGCACCCGCATGTGGCACCCCCTGAAAACTGGGGCAACTGCACCTAAGAGCCCAGCCTTACCCACCTGTTCGAAGTAAACACGCAAATTGGCCTCGACTGCAGTTTTTGGTACAGAGCCCACAAACAATCGATGTGGAGAGGTCGATTCCTGGTATGCAGAACTTGGTTGCTCAGACGGCGGTGCTTCCTCCGACTGGACAAGGATGCGGAGGCATGGCAGGCTGGTCAGGCTCCAAACGGACTAATGTCTGGTAGGAATAGGTAACAAACTTCATACAATTATGGACGCGCGTGGACTTGCTCTGGCGCACTCCTTTCACCAGCGTAAGGGTGCGACCAATTACGAAAGGATGCCACAGCGAACGTTAGCAACTCGCTATAGACAAAGCGACAGTCTCCGACTGACAACCACAGGCCAACGTAAAGCTGGTAGTTAGTGAAACACAGACGGAACTTCAGCTTTGCGCGCCGTCTGCGTTAGTAGGGAACTGGCCGCCAAGCATACCTGAATAGATTAAGCAGGTACTGTGCCTAACTAGTGCATACGCGCACAGGACTGGTTGCAATAAGGAACACTGTACCAAAACGAGGTGAGCAGGCAAGCACCTGGAAGCCAGGTGCTCCAGGAGGTCTGGCAGATATGCTTTCAGCGGTTCACCATTCCTAGCAAACCAAGCAGTGCCCCGTGAGTATTTGGGAAGAGTCAAGGGGTGTGCAAGGGCAAAGGATCATAAGTAAAGGCTCTAGGAAATTTACTCCCGAGTGCAATACAGTACTCTAAACACATATGCAAGTGCAAAGACGGCTGCGGGTGCTATAACATTTAAGGAAAGCCTGTACAGCACTAACGACAGGTAGGTTGGTCACGGGACCCCAACAAAGTCATAATCTGTTGGTGCTATTGGTTTCAGGTTATATGTATATATACAGTATTATCAATCAACAAGCTTTACAGCGGCAGACGTGCACCGAAAGCAACTAACCATCCACAAAGCAACCTTCAATGCGGCGCTACACCCGAAGTAACAGTACAAGGAAGGCACTGGCACGGTGAATTAAACGCAGCGTCCTAGCGGTTGGCTGGGAACCCTGCTCCAAATGAACAGTTTCGTACGTTGAACACCAATGCCAATCATTCCACTATCGCCATCTCACCTGTGCAAGCATTGTCAACGCGTAGCGGTCTTCTACAAGGAACAGCCGGTCGGTGCAACAGTAAGTACTTTTTGCAGGTTCCCTCCACCGTCGGATTCGGTCCACCGTCGGCAGCCTTCACGTCGTTTTGGAGCCCAGCCATGTGTACCACATTCTCTCTTACGTCGAGGAAGCGTCTATGCCAGTTTTCATTCTGCACCACGCATCTGAGACGGCAGCAAAACTCCCAAGTCAGAAGCCCATTTTCCCCGGTCGTGATCAAGTCTTGTCGCTAACAGTGAAAGCGGTCTGTCCTTGTCCAATCAGATGGAGATGAACACCGTTGTCAAGGGTCGACGGAGCATCATCGTGAAATTGCCCTGTCGTAATATAAATAAAACTTAACCAGTAGCCTATTTGTTGTCATCGCATAAGAAGTTAAGATACATGTTTGTCCGCTGTGTGCTCTGGTCGGCGGTATAGTGCTATAGTCAAGAACTCCGTATGCACGGGACAAGGTCTTCATCCAGTGCCGTAACGGGACGAGCCGGCTGAACGCATAAGCAAGGAGAGCCCTTACCCATCTGAGTTCATTTCTTCACCAGCCTTTGCTCTCCAGCTATATGTTGTTGTGGACGACACAACCAGCGTTGCTCCTCTGGCGCTTTACGCCGAACCGGTTCACGCATGAGCTGCCAGCAGGCCGAAGTACTATATAAATTTACAGGCCTAACCATGCTTATAAACCAAATGTTATTTTACCATTGCCTTACTGGCCGTCGGTAGATATTGTTATTCCCAGACGTGTCTCCCGTAAGCAGCCGAAAAGCAGCTTCCTGTCAGATTGAGTGCTTCATATTCAGACAGTCAGCAGGGAGCGGTACTCCTTCGTACATTGATGTTTCTGGGCTGGGTTTTTTTGTCGGCCTGGGAGCCTGAAACGCTGGTTACTTCATTATACGCTCCAGAGTCCAGACTTGCCTGGTCGGGGAGAAATGATGCTGAGTATACAGGTTGTGCAAACCAGTATATCAGGTGAGAAACTCTGGACTGTATTCCTCATGGAAGCAAGGAAGCCACGTTAGGCTCTATCCATGCTCTCCTTTGATCGCGTCTGGGACACAAACTCCACGATGGTCCATTCCATGTGGCTTAAATACCTCTTACACTCATAGGAGTAAAAGGCGTACCATGCGTATTATCCCCCAATGCGGGCCTTTAACGGCACCTCCAGTCGCGCAACGGCATGCTGCAAAGCTGCCGCAGGGAACCGACAGGATAAGCTTGCTCAAGCCTAAAATGCTGAAAAGGTTTTCATTTTCCTTTTCAGCTCCGCGTCTTGAAGAACGCCAGACATCTGGGGTCGCTAGGCCACAGCTGTAGCCTGCAGCTGGTGTTCCCACAGCGGACCCGGGCATGCAACTGCAGTTCGCGGTATAGAGCCAAGACGGCTTACAAGGCGTGTAGCGGTGGGGGCGGCTTGGTGGGTGCATTCCCGGCCAAATGCTGATGCGGGCCGCGGTTGTTAGTTTTGTTGTAGCCGAGGAGAGTGCCTGATATGATATGGGTGGCCGAGTGATTAGCAATCCTGCAGTGTTGTGGTAGCCCTTTCCAAAGGGTGTTGCCTTGCCGTTCCTGGTGTCCTAGGGTGCGGCGCGATAAGCATCTTCGCCCCCCATGTTATCAGCGTTCGGGTGAGTAGGGTGCTGCGCACAGCTCGCACACCATGCAAGCTTGTGAAGGCCGTGTCCGGTCCCCCCGGGCATTACTTGTCGCTTTTCTGTATCACGACTATTCTTTTCTGTTGACAGCCAACCCGCCGTGGCAGGCGTCGACCTCACAGCTGGATACTGCTTACAGCTGACTCACAGCATGGTGACCTTTGTTGACGGGCAGCACCCACTTATGACCGTACCGGTACTTGATAATGTAAGAACCTAGCTCGGTTCCACGTCTCCAAGTCTCCGGGTTTAGCTTGCACACGGACGTGCCTTAGGCCCCCTCTAAAGAGTATTACCTACGTCCGCTCCCGCTTACCCCACGATAACCCTTCCAATCCCACTGACATTTCTTTTGCTCGGCTGCGTTTCTTGCCAGAGGGCCAAAGAGGGCATTCAGTCATTCATGCACGTTCGGCTTAGGACGCCAGTTTGGAGTCCTCAGACATTTTATCTGGCTCCCTGGAGTCATCGGACAACCCTCCTAAAATGACTAGTTATCGCAATTGCAAATACACCGAGGAGTATGTTATAACGTTATATAATAGTATCAATTGTCCTCTGCCTTCAAATTGGTGTGGTCGACATACTTACCGCATGCACAATGTGCCCAAGCAAACCTAAACGCTGTGCCTTTGTTACGCGCTAGCTGTTGTGGAATAAGGAGCTAGGCATATGAGATTTGTTGCTTTAGTATGTTGGCAAGTCACTGCTGAGCCAGTCGTAACTGGTTGCGATGGTTAGTTGTAGGTGGCCGCGGAAGCACCTTCCGGCGCTCACAAGGCACCTATTAGGAAGTTATTATCAATAACTATTGTTCTGTAGTTTGCCTGGCTGGTGGCTGTGTCGTGCGGCGAAGTTGTGAGTTGACTCCAGGGACCCTAATAAAATGTCTGAGGAGTCCCGTACGGAGTCCTTCGGCTTACCCCACCTCTTGCCGTACTCGCCGTTGAATTGCAACGGTCTACATGTCTAGGTATCGTTTGCGGATTGACTTTAGAGCGTACACAATTGGCGTTTATTATGAAACAAACATAAGGATGCGTGAATGCCGCTTCCTTTTACGCTAGCACATAGGAGCTACCAACTGCAACCAGCAGCTTCGTCCTTGTAGTTGCCTTTAGAGAGATGTTTGAGCATCTCCGTTGTGCTGTATTGTTAATAGCGTTATTATGTCTTCTGTCATCTTGCGCTGGCAGTGGGCCCACTGGTGAATGGAAACAGCTCAAGGACCTTCGGGCGTCGATGTATGCAGAAATGAAGTACAGCAGGGCTTGCATAAAGTTAATGACAAGGACTGGGCCACAAGGCTGCGAGGGTGAGCTTGGTTAAAGACTGGGCAACCACACCATGCGGACCTTACAGCCAAACCCTTTCATTACGACTTGCAGCTGCCGACCAGGAGTTAATTACCGCTCCGCTAGTGTACAGCTATGACTTGCCGGCGCTTCCCCGAGGTGCGAAGCGTGTACGAAGCGTCCTTGCCTAGGTCATCCCAACTCCGCGCACACACGGGATCCGTCACACGCGCAATGGGAGGCACTTGATACGCGCTACGATGCAATGGGGGACCGTAGATCACGCCATCCAAGAGCTGTTGCTCATCTCCTGCCCCCACCGGGGTTTCCCGTCCCTCCCTGCTCCACCAGCATGCCTAGCAACAGCAGATTCCCGTTTGTCCCCGGCCTACATCGCAACAAGGTCATCAACCCCTTGTGCCTGCTCCCTTCGTCGCCCGCAGGTGGCCGCAAGGTGGTGGTGCTGCCGGCCTCTGACGTGGACCCCTTCCTGACACGCCTCGAGACAGAGCCCGCCCTGCGGGAACAAGTGGCTGGCGTGCTCGTGGATCCCACCTCGGGTACGACATAGCAGCCACCTCAGCCGGCTGCCTGTCGTACAGAATACACAATTCACATTTCAAGACATGATCTCTGTCGTACATAACGTCGTTGCCTGACCGTTGAGCCCTTCATTGCGCCATGCGAGCGGCAGCTTGCTTGCACCCCCTCCTTCCAGCACACGGGTGTTTCCTCTTTGATAGCATGACGTGCAGCTGTCTACCTCCGCACCGGATGGCCCCATCAGGACCGTGGTGCGGTCCTTTTCCTTCTGATTACCGTTCTTACTGTTATCCCATTGCGGCCCTCATTGTGACCCATGTGCCATGTCTGTCCCTCGCAGGCCTACCTGCGCGGCAATCCGTCGCGCCCACATTCCCGGGCGCCGCCTTCGCGCCGTACTCGGCCCCGTCGTACGTTTGGAACCCCGCAGGCACCGGCTTCAACCGCCACTTCTTCGGCATCCCCATGTACATCCTCACGGGGGCGCTGGCCAACGAAACCTCCTGGCGCGCCGCATACAACGCGGAAAACAAGCTCAAGGTGCTCCGCCCTTGCTGCTGCTGTTTGCTTGGTTGTGCGTTTGCTGCTGGTCAGCATGTACTGATGCTGCTGCGTGTTGCCACCCCCCAACGGCTCCCTCTCCCCCCCTCCCCAGGGCGGGCGCCACGTGGCTCGCATGCAGCTGCCCATGCAGGCGGAGGGGAACTCCTCGCAGTGCATCCAGGAAAACACATGCCTGCCGGTAAGAGCCTCTGAGCCCCCTTCCTCGTGGCTCTAGCAAAGCAACAAAGCCGTAAGGCGGCAAACAAGAGTGGGGGGGCTCATGGTGTGCACTCCTTAGGACCATCGTCCAAGGTCCTTCGTCCGCGGGCCCTGGCGGACCCCTCCATGTGCCACAAGGGCGGCGGCGGCGGAGGGTTCATTGTGTCATTCCGTAGCGCACATGCATGTGGGGTGCAGTCGTGCAGAGGCATATGGCACTAGAGCACACCGGTACAGCTTGCCGTTACAGCTGCCGATGAGAGGCACGTGGCCACGTGCCAGGTTAGCAGCTTCCTCCGCGGTCCGTCATGCGAGCCCCTGCCTGGCCCCTCCTCGCCTCCCTGCTCCTCACCACCACCACCACCAACCCTCCCACTCATCGGGATCCACCGCGCCCTGCATGCTGCGCGCCCTGCATGCTGCGCGGCTTCATGCTGCGGTCTCCTGTTGTGGCTGCTGCAGGTGGGCGGCTACGGCGTGTGGACGGCGCTGCCGCCGCTGCCCGACCCCTCCTACAACACCACCGGCAGCGCGCGGCCCATCACACTGCTGCTGGCGCAGACGGACAGCAACTCCCTCTTCCACGACGCAACCCGGGTGAGAGCGGCGGTGACGTGGGTGGCGGGTGGCAGGCGGGCGACCACCCCGGTCCGGGGATATGCGGCGGTCCGGGGGCGGTCGGTTTCCTGGTTTTGGTATCCTGGGTCTGCCATTGCAAGGGACTTGCCGCTGTTGCGTCCTCGCTGATCCGTGTCCTCTCATCAAGACAAGTCATCATCCTTACGCCCCGCCCTGGCCACATCATGGCCACCACTACCTCACCACCCGGTTCCCATGCCCGGCATCCAACAACCCACCGCCCTACCCCCTGCCCGTTACCCACCCACTTGCATACCCACCTACCACCGGTGTATGTCCCCCATCTATGTATCCGCTTCACGCCCCAGGCTGCCGGCACCGCCACCTCGGGCCTGGTGGCCTGTCTGGTGGCGCTGAATCTGCTGGCGAGGGCGGGGCTGGCGGGCACGTACGGCAGGCAACTGGCCTTCGCAGCGCTGCCCGGTGGGTTGGGAGGGGAGGGGTACGAATGAGGAACTGACGAACTGTATGATGCAACGCCGGGGGGGGACAGCGGTACCGAGCCCGGTCCCAACATGAGAGGACGGAGAGGGAAAGGCAGCAGCCCCAAGAATGTGGGGGCACTCCATGGGGGTACCGGTAACAGAGTGGCAAGCTGGCAGTCCGAGGGGGCGTGGCAGGGCGCCGCCTGGTGTTGGGCCATGGGGTCCCACATGGGAGGGGGAGGGGGCCCCGGGGGTACCGGTAACCGGGGAAGGAAGCAGCAGCTGTGGGGCTTACTGCATACCGTCGGCAGGTGCTGCTCCATGGGGCGGCATGGAGCAGCAATGGGGCATGTTCCATCCTTTCAGGTGGACGTGGGAAACTGAGAGATGCCGGGTGGGGCGCACTCACGGGGTGGCGCACCGGACCTCCTGCGTCCCTATCTCACTCTCCCTGCTCAATATATATTCCATTTTTTATTTTGGCTTGCCCAGGCGAGGCGTTTGACTTCATGGGCAGCAAGCGGCTGCTGTACGAGATGTCGCTCAACTCGTCGTACGTGCAGGGACTGCGACTGGACCTCATAGACCAGGTGGGGTGGGGTGCGGGTGCGGGTGCGGGTGGGGTCAGCGACGCACGACGCATGTGAAGGCTGTAGAAGTTGCGGAAGATGCAGATGCAAGGATATGGCTGCTACCGGTATATGGGTAACTTGGGTGCAATTGGATGTCACTGAGAAACTACTACGGGAGAACTGGATTGGACGGAGGCCGTGCACCCACGGGTCATACTTCTCACAGACCGGTGGAGCTTGTAGGCCGGTACAACTTCACGTCGGGATGGACAAAAGCCGCCGCTTGCAGGGGCGAAAGCCTGCCTAACGTGACCGCCTTGTCACTGCTGCTGCCACTGCGGGTGTAAACAAAACACCTTTTGTCGTGCTTAACTTGTCGTACCTACCCCGCCGTACCGTACCGCACCGTAGGTGTTGGAGGTGGGGCAGGTGGGCTCGGCCTTCGACGACGCCAGGAACCGCTCCAGCTTCTTCGTACACTCGCAGCGGACGGCCGGCTTCGGAAACGCCTCGGCACTGCTAGCGGCCGCACAAACGGCTGCGACCTTGGAGGCTCCCCAGGTACGCGGCTGGGGGTGCTCTTTTGAGTAGATCCAGAGTAGATCCAAAGTGCATTGTTGAGAGAGTGGACACGCGAACATGTTGCGATGGTTTGTTTCATTTCATCGTGTTCCCCATGCTGCTGCAACTAACATAGTATGGGTGTATGGCGTTCCACATACCGGTACCCTCAAGAAGTCGGTATCGCGTTTCGTTTCTTCTTCTTACAAACCCCGGCCGGGTACCAACCGCCATGTACCGCCGGTACAACCTCTACCTGTGACCCATGGGTCGCTTCCTTCTCCTCCCTCCTCCTGACCCCACATGACACCTTCCCCGCCCCAGCAGCATCACACGTTGCTGCTGCTCACCATGCCTAGCCTCATTCCTGCTGCTGCTCCCTGGCTCCGCCAACTCCGCTTATTACCATGCTGCCCCACCCACCCCTTTCTTCTATCTCTCCCGCCCTCCCTCTCCCTCCCCCTCTCTCGCGCCTGCAGGTCTCCGTCCAGTCTGCCTCCGCCGCCAACCCCGGCATCCCGCCCTCCTCGCTCATGAGCTTCCTGCGCGTCAAGCCCTCCATCGCCGGCGCCGTGCTGTCGGACTTTGACAGCGCCTTCACCAACCCCTACTACCAGAGCGACTTTGACATCGGCACCAACGTATCCCTGGAGGTGGGTGGCTGCATGGGTGGGTGGGCGTATGGGCGCATGGGCTGGCGTATGGGCGCATGGGCTGGCGTATAGGCGCATGGGTGGGCGCATGCAATGCAATGCAGGAGTGCAGGATGGACGCATGCGGACGCATGCATGGAACCGCATTCAAAGCCCGGCGCGACACAGCTGCTTCCCGCTGAGCCGCAGCTCGCTGCTGTCCCCTCCCAACTTGTAGAACACCCTCCCACCCGCACCCTCTTCCCTGCTCCCCCCTTCCCTGCACCCTGCCGCCTCCTACCCCCATTGCTTTGCCCTAACCTGCGGCTTCCTATGGTATGGTATGGTCTTTGACACCCCACCCCCCCGCAGGCCCTGGTGGACGCCTCCCTGCTTGTGGCCCGCACCCTGCACCTGCTGGCCGCCTCGCCCGCCACCCCGCCCCTGCAGCTCAACCGCACGCTGGCGCTCTACCTTGTGGCCGACCTGGTTGTGTGTCTGGTGTGGGACACGCCGGGCATGCGGTGCCCCACCGCCGCCCTGCTCATGAGCCCAGGTGGGGGGGGGGGCAAAGAGGAAACAACAGGGTGGTGGTGGTAATGATGGCTTGTTGAGGACTAAGGTAGGGGGCAGGGGCGGCAATGATGTGGTCATGTTGAGGACCGAGGTAAGTGTTGGGATAGTCGTAACATTCCGTGTGGAGTGATGCCTTGGTAGAGGTGGGGTCAGGGGCGCTCGAGCCCTGAGGAGGTCCTCTGGTGGGGTGTGTGGTGGTGGTGGTGGTGATGGTGATAAGGACAACGACCCCTTGTTGCGCCTGCTGTTTTTGTGATCGTTGCTGCTGCTGACATTGCCTTTGCTGCTACTGACACTGCTGCTGCTGCTACTGACACTGACACTGCTGCTGCTGACATTGCTGCTGCTGACATTGCTGCTGCTGACATTGCTGCTGCTGACATTGCTGCTGCTGACATTGCTGCTGCTGACATTGCTGCTGCTGCTACTGACACTGACACTGCTGCTGCTGACATTGCTGCTGCTGACACGCTGCTGCAGACATCCAGGTGTTCTACGACGGCACCACCTCGGCGGCCGTCAGCGCATACCCGGGGGTGCTGCCGTGGGTGGATGCGGACCCCAAGGCGTCCAGGCAAGTGGGGGTGTGCGGGCGGGCGGGAGAGGGTCGAGCAGCACACTTCAACAGTAGCGGGGGTGGGGACAGACGTCCACGCCGCTGCGCCTTCCTGCTATTGTTACCAATTTGGTCTTGTCCTTCACGCAGCCCCACTTCTCCTCCCCTCGCCTCCCCCCTAACGCGGTATTTGTTTCCCCATTACCCGCAATCCCCTCCCCCACCCCATTTGTGCTTTCACATGGTTTGGTCTAATTTGATCCCCACCCCACTGGGTATTCTCCCCCCCCTGCCCCTCAGGAGCAAGCCCAACCTGGCTCGCTTCCTGTTCAACTACCTGGGCAACATCACCGCCGCGCCGCTGCCCGCCAACCGCTCCAACAGCTCCTGGGAGGGCGCGCCATGCGACACAACCGTCAACATCTGCCCCGCCAGCCTGGCCTGCATCGGCTGGCGCTACAGCACCACTGACACCGCGGGCATGGGGCGCTGCCGCAACACCTCCACCAACTACGTGCCGGCGTACAGCACCAGGTGAGGACCCCCTAGGTACACTGCCAGACAAACAGCTAGATGTTTATCTAGCAGTTGGTTGCGACATGCTGTCTCGTTGCCTGTTGGTGATTGCTGGGTGGCAGGGATGCAGATTGAGACAAGGTGTTCCGCACCGGTGGCTCTCGTAATGTCTAGCAAAATAGCAACATGCGCTCGTTCACTGGCTCCTCCATATGATACTGCGCCGCGAGTAAACACTGGGCGTGTCCATAGGACGACCCATGGGTGAAGGGAGCAGCGGGGGCTGCGAGTGGGGTTGCGGGTGCGGGTGTTGCGCGTTATGCCGTGGTGGGATCTGCAGTATCATCGGCCTCCTCCGCGCTTTCTCCCTCGGAACAACGCCTGCTGCCCCTCCCTCGACTCCTCCCTCCCACCCTCGGTATGGTCTTTGACCCCCACCCCACCTCCCCGGCTCCACATGAAGGCTGTGGTACGGCTTCAACAAGAGCTGGTGGGGCTGGTGGCTGAGTGACGCAGCGGCCGACTGGGAGGCGGCCTACGACTGGCCGCCCGACCCCATGTGGGCCGAGTCCAACTGGCCGGCGCGCACCCCCACCCTCACCGTCTTCCAGGAGGAGTCCACCCGGGTGGGTGGGCGTGTGGGCTGGGTAGCAGCAGGGGCAGGGGCAGCAGGGGCGCGGAAGGGAGATGGGTGGGGCGGGGGTGCTTGCTGTACGTGTACGGGTAAGGTGTTGGAAAGTCTCCGTTGCATTCTGCACTGGGAGCTTTTAATGAAAAGACGCAGAGTAGCACGGTGTGCGTTGTACCACTAACTAACAACCCCCTGCTTTGCGTTGTACCCGGAACAAAGTCCTGCGCATACCCCATCCTGCTTGTTGTGCCCCTAACAACCCCCTGCTCACACCGCGTGCTGCTGCTGCTGTCTTTGCGTCCATCAGACCCAGGTTGCTACACTGGTGGTGGGGCTGCTGCTCTCCGTCGCCACCGCAGCGGTATCCTGGGCGGGGGTCAAGGCATTCGAGCGGCACCTCAAAACGCAGTGAAGACGGCGGCGGTTGGGCGCCGTTGAGCATTGACCAACAACGATTGCAGTTTGACCGAAGCCCTTGTTGCAGTGAAAGCCTTCTCAACCGGGCGGTTTCAGCCGAAGAGGCTGTTTGGTTGGTCTTGCCAGTGGGATGTTGGGGCCATCTGGACCTCCCTGGCGCCGTGTGAACGGGGGCGTGTGGTGGTTGTGATGTTGGAAGGGTTTGGTGGCATTGTGGGTAAAGAGGAAACAACTAACTGACCGTGTGGAAAGGCGTCAACATGGTGGGGGCTTGGAAGCATGGTGGTGGTGGTGGTGGTGGTGTGGTTTATACTTAACAGGGCACCTTTGCACCTGATGTACATACACTTTGGGCTTTGCGCTAGGCATGAAACAACCATAGTCGACGAACTCAATGGCTACCCGCTTTTTATGAAGTTTCACCAAGCTAGGCAAGCTTCGCCGCACGTGAATAGTTCCCATGTCCTGTGCCAAGTGCAAGGCGCTGTCCAGACGTGTGTCTGCATTGGCTGTGCGTGGTGTTCGGTGACAGTTTAGTGTTGGGCACTTAAGACGCTGTTGCTTTGCGTTACATGGCTTACATCACACCAACAAAGGGGTTTTGGCTCAGGACTAACGCCCGTGAGCCTCAGCTCGGCTCACAGTGTCACGGCTCAGCCCAATCAGGGCAGTGCCGCATGTGCAAGTGAGCCCACTGTAAGTATATTGTTATGCACACCGCCTCCTTGTCTGCACCCCCCCTCCTCCGGCTCACATATCACCTTATGAGCTTGCCAATTCCCTGGACACTGCCGCAATCTCCAAACGCAAGGGCGGCATGACCAGCGTAGCATCCTCCCAAGCGCGTCTCGGCAGCTTGCAGCTCAACACACACATGCCCGCAGCACTCGCCCGTTCCGCAGCTGTTGCGCTGCATTGCAATACCGTACCCTGTGCACTGGCACAGGCACCTCCTCCTTATGCCTGGCCCAGCCAGGCCACCTTACAGCAGCCACCATGCAGCCAGCCCGGTGTCGATTATACGGTAGTCCATTAGCCCATCCCACTACCGAAAACGGGCAATCCAAGGTCAGCAGCAGCATCAGCTGACCACCGCCCAGCACTCCTCCCAAGTCCGCAATCCGCCACATCGTCCTTACACGCGCCTCCTTCTCAGCGCCCCAACCTGCCGATCATCACCCCATGCCCCTCCTCCTCCTCTTCTGCCATCTCCCTCCTCCTCTTCCACCCACCTAGTGACCCATGGTTCACTGGGGGCGCTCCAGCGTCTTGGAGTCCATGGCCAGGCCCATCACGCTCAGCCCGTTGTCCACGTACATCACCTGGCCGGTGACGGCGGAGGACAGGGGGGACACCAGGAAGGCCGCCACGTTGCCCACCTCGATGGCGGCGAGCTCCTTCTGGATGGGCGCGTTGGCGTAGGAGTACCTGCGGGGGGGGCGTGTGAAGGGCGTGTGAAGGACGTACTTTGGGTGAGTTAAACGGGGCGGCAGCAGTACACAGAAGACGGGTGACAAAGGGCGAGGGGGGAAGAGAGAGAAAAGGCTCCAACGGCAGGCATCCCTCAAACGACCCTTGGGGATTTAAGCAACAACAAACGTGTCCCTAGTCCAGTGTGGACCCCGGTGTGTGTCAGCCCAGTGTGACAGACAGCGCCCCGAATCGTCGTACGCACCGGATCATATCGTCAATGAAGCCGATGGCGCGGGCGGCGCGCGAGCCCAGCGGACCCGCTGAGATGGTGTTGACACGCACGTTGTACTTGCGGCCCGCCTCGTAGGCCAGCACGCGGGTGTCGGACTCCAGAGCCTGGGCGGTGCGGTGATGGGATGTGTTATGAAAACTGGCCGCTGGGATGCGTGTGTGCGGACATGGGGTGTGTCGAGGTAAGCCAGGGATGAGCTCGTCATGTGGGCCATCAGGTAGCACCGGCATGAACCCGAAGCTTGGCGAAAGCAGGTTTATTAGTTGCATTCGCGGCAGGTCTTGTCGCGGTTTAAAAGGGTGTGGCTTCCCCTAGTCCGTGTCCTCGTCCCTCGACCTCAACTGTCCCAAGGCCTGGTAGGACCGCTACGGCCGCGGAGCTGCATCATGTCCGCCCCCGCCCGCCCGACCCATGGGTCGCCACGTACCGCCTTGGCAGAGGACATGCCGCCGCCGTAGCCTGGGATGACGCGGTTGGATGCGTCGTAGGTGAGCGAGATGGCGGCACCGCCCTCGTTCATGAGGGGGCCGAAGCGCTGCATCATGGAGATGAAGGAGTAGGAGGAGGCGGACAGGGCAGCCAGATAGCCCTGTGGGGGTGCGGGGAAGAGCGAAGGTCCGGGGAAGCGGGAAGCACAGGTTACGTCAGGTTCGTAGCATCGGTGGTCAATGCGGTTGGTGTCGTGTGCAGGTAAACTGGGGTTGAGGGCCAGTGAGCACAAGTGTGCATGCGGGCAAAGACCCTCAAGTTCGCTACACTTTGACGTTGGGTACGAGTGCTGCCAGTACCCAACATAGCGGACGTCATCGGGGGTTGGGTGTCGCTACGTGCTTTGCTAACAGCCATACAACACAATCGAAGCCCCATGCAGCGAGCTGACTGGGGGGCGCCTCCAGCCATGCTTGGCATCCAAGGATCCATCCACTCCCCCACTTGCAATTCCGCGCCTGGTTAGACCACCCGCCCACCACACCAGCTGCTGCTTCCGGGCTCAACCCCGAACTCCCCGGCCCCCTGCGGCTCCCGGCGCTTTCCCGGCCCCAGCTCCCGACCCCCGCTCACACTGCCTCCCCGCCGCCTCGCATCCCCATTGCCTTGCCCCAACTTGCGGTGTCGTTTGGTTTGGTTTGGTTTCTCCCCGACCCCCCCCCCTGCTCACCTTGCTTTGGTATGGTATGGTCTTTGACCCCCCTGCTCACCTTGCGCGAGGTCTCCAGCAGCGGCTTCATCACCTCCGGGCCGTTAGCCAGCGAGTGAATCTGTGGGTGGGAGGGGGGAAGTAACGAGACGGGGGGAGGGGCAACGGAAAGGCACCAGGAAGGGTACCGTAAGTGGGCGGTGCATGCGGCAGAGTATAGCAGGTAGGCGCGAGGACACAGGAGCAGCAGCGGGGTGGGTTGTGCGCCATGTGGGAGTCAGGAATCCTGGCAGCGAGTCATCGCGGGACTGTGCGGGAGGGAGACCCCTTCGCGCAGCCACCTGCGGGCGGACATGGCCTCCTTGTAACTGGCAGCGTCCATTGTGGCAAACGTCCTTGCCTTGCCTTGCCTTGGGAGCACGAAGCATACCGTGAAGTGCCCAGGTGCACTGATCTACGCTGCTGACTCGCCTTTTGGACTCCTCCCCTGGGCGCCTCCAGGCGCGCTAAACGACCACACCAGATCCAAAAGGCTTTCCCACAATCTGTGAGCCAGCTCCCAACCCCCTCCCATGCCCTACTGACCCTTCAAGTAATGCCCGCCCAGACTCCGCCTGCCGACTCTAGTGTTGCACCTGTTATGGCTCTCCTCGTCAACAAGCACAAGCCTAGCTCCGCGCAACCTGCGCTACACGCCCCAGCCCACCCACCTCCCACCCACCAGGATATCGATGTTGCCGATGTCCTGCTTGACGCACTCCGCCACCTCCGACACAGTCCAGTTCTTGTTGCCCGCGTAGCGCTTGTTGGCAGCAACCTGTGGCGGGCGGCGGGTCAGGGCATGGGGCATGTGAGCGGGTACAACGGCCAGGGTACTAAACGACTAATGGTCAGGGTAGGGGCAGAGGGCTAAAATGGCATGCTTGCAGCGAATGCCCCCAGGGCAAGGACCCCCTTCAAATAGCTTCACAGCGTCCCTGGCGTCAGCAGTTGAGCTCACGCGGCCAATTTCCCAGATGTCCCATGTCGCTTGCGCATGCTGCAGACACCGTATGCGGATGCCTCCCTAGGCAGCCGTACTGCGCTGCACTGCAGCACAGCGCAGTACGGCACGGGCCTGTGTCGTACGCTCGTACCTCCTCGGGCACATCAGCCATGGTGTCGAAGACGGCGTCCATGGGGTAGATCTTGCTGAAGGTCATGAGCGAACCGTCGGAGAGCTTGCGGCTCTCATCGAACTTGCCCTTCTCGAGGCTGTTCTTGAAGATGTTGAGGGCGGGGACCTGGAGGGAGGGACGGACAAAAAACACACCGGAGGGTGCTTAGCATTACAACATGTGTGTGGGTGGTGTGGTAAACACGGCGGTTATCCCGGCCAACATGCAGCCTGTGATATGCTGGCTGGAAGAGCCGCACGGGACGCGCATGTGCTCCGGCTGGCACAGAGGACCGCGGAGGGCAGTGACGGTAGGTGACTTAGATTGTCAGCCAGTGGTGCTGTGTGGGCCCCTCAGCCAGCTATCGACGAATTACACACAAGCGCAACACCAATCCATGCCCCCTGGCAGAGTTCTGAGTGGGAACCGTATCCAGCAGTTTGCTTACCCAGACACCCAGCGAAATTTCGGCGCCAGCCTCAGCCAAGGCCTTGGCAATTGCCCATCCGAAACCCTGTGGGGAGTGGAGAATCGCCGTTACAGCAAATAATCTATGACCCAGTATTGCTGGGTCATCGTTATCGCCTGATGGCTCAGATCAAGCGTGCAAGCAAACCTGGTCATCAGCAACGCCAGCGATGAAGGCCTTCTTGCCTGAAAATTCACGAAGCAAGTATAATAGTAAATTTTAATATACAGCGTATGGAATAAGAACTTACTACTAGAATGCATTAATCTTACCACGCAGGTCGACCTTCAGGCCCGAACCGTTCACAGCTGCGACTTTGACGCTCAGAGACCGACCGCCCACGGCCTTGCCCAGAACATTTTTGGCAAATGAAACAGGCTTGACTGAGCTGAACGGCAGCGGCTGGCGCGTCGAGGCAATTGGCCTAGCACTGACACGCACAGCCGGCAGCGCAGCCACGAGGGCCTCGCTGTGGGTGGCAGCAGTGCGCTGGATACGAGAAACACTCTTAAGGGCCATGGTGCTGATGTTGTGAGGCAAAGGTCGTCATAGCAACGCAAGTGCGCTCTATCAGCTCTTACAAGCCGTACGGCATAACGCCTACGCGATGTTGCATAGCGGTTAAGCAAGAAACGTTTACGCACGCGTTTGTAACGCTTTTCTGATAACGCATGGTCACGTCAAGTCCTGTCTTCTATAACCTAAAGTCTTATCCTATGTATATGGTGCACGGGCATGCACAAGCCAAGCTTGCTGGCAGGGTACATCCTCCTAAACAGACACCCTTAAAACTGCTATACATGTTGTTAACAGCAAACCCATTTTCAGCGCGCATGCTTCTTTGGCTGAACGGCGAAATTGGGTCTCCCGCTCTCCCCTTCCCTCTTGGCCAATAAGTCACTGCATGTCTATCACGGTCTGCTGCCCAAACCGTCACCTCTAGGGCACTGGTGTCAATGGGGGCAGTTCCAAATCTCCTCGGCTGGGACGGGAGTCAGGGAGACAGGGCGGGAACGAAGCTTCTAGCACCATGGATTACCTTTCCTGCACAAGAATCACCCTACTCTACCGTGCACACACAGTAGCACAAACACCATGTACACGTGCACCAGCTAGCAAAACACACGCTTCCACGTGTCCTAGGCCATGGCGTGCATGGGTGTGCATCGCCACTGAGCTTTGCGACCCTCGGTTGCAAACCCTCAGGTACCGTTATCAGGTCAGGTGTCAGGTTGTAAATGTAAGGTGAGGTCCCAGCCTCCATCCTCCATTCCTCCGCAAAGCCCCTTGTGTCCCCTGCACAAGGGACATCAATGCCATGACGGTCCACCCCTTGCCTTTTCCTGCTGGTTGTCTTGGAGGATTCGCCATGGCTTGTGCCTGAGCTGCGCAGACACTCTTGGTACAATCGTTGCCCTGAGCTGCGAAATGTACTGTTTATGGCACTTTTGGCATAGCGTTATGATTGTGGGCATAGCGGGGCAGTGCCGCATGTGGCGACCTGTAGCACCCAAATGTTGCCACCATGTCTCCAAGTGCACATGGGGGTCTGAACACTACATTGCGTGTACTAGGTACTAGCCAAGCCCCCTTCCTTCAATTGTAGCTGCAGTTTGAACTATGCCCATGGTCCCGTTCGAACCATACATTCCGGCGTCGCGGCCAAATTGTCGCTGCCGATCCCTCGGTGTACGGCGCCGTACGGCATGGGCAGTGCACCATGTCCGTTTGCCTATGCGAAATCCTATGAAATGAGTTATACCGTTCATCTGTTATGCTAACATAGTTGAAGACACTTGCAGCAAAGGAAGTGTGTTGCTTTCCATCTCACCTTTACCTCTTAACATCGTAGGACGGTCCTAGTAAATGCTTACGGGGTTGGCCGTCTGATTACGAGGCCAGCCCCGGATAACTTTATGTCCTATTAGCTTGGTTAGGCTTTTGCGGCGGAGGGCTATTCGTTCCCACGCTTTCGCACTCTCCTAGCCCATAGATAGCGCCTTCCCATAGTGCCAGCTAATTGGAACAGAGCATCATGAGCACACCGGCTCGCAAGCGGCTTATGAGGGATTTCCGCCGTTTGACGTCCGATCCTCCACAAGGCGTCAATGGTAGCCCTAATCCCGAAAACATTATGCTATGGAATTGTGTAATCTTTGGGCCGGAGGATACCCCTTGGGACGGAGGTAGGTGGCACGGCGTTGGTTCCAAAGAGCAATGACGGGTGCGAGTGCTGACGCGCCGGTCCGCAACCTGCTTAGGGACCTTCAAACTGACAATGGAGTTCTCGGAGGAGTACCCCAACAAGGCGCCTGTCGTAAAATTCAAGTCGAAGCTGTTTCACCCGAACGTGTATGCGGATGGCGGCATCTGCTTGGACATCCTACAGAACCAGTGGAGTCCTATCTACGATGTTGCAGCGATCCTTACCTCCATCCAGGTGCGTTAGGATGGATGACCAGTTCTGCAAGGCATGCTGCAAAGCAAGCCTGTAAACTTTCCCCTCCCACCACGCAGAGCTTGCTGTCAGACCCCAACCCCAACTCGCCGGCGAACGCTGAGGCGGCCAGGCTGTATAACGAGAACAGGTATGTGGCAGAGGGGTTGGACCATTGTGTGTTTTCCGTGGAGAAGGCTGTGATACCACACACATTCCGCGTCATTCACGCCCCGGGTTATTTGCCGTGGCTACTCACGGCTGGTCAGGCTCGAGGTGCTAGTCTTGTTGCCCAGTGGCCATGGCATTTGGCTATGGCCCATGTTGCCTGTGGTCCCTAGTGCATGTGGGTCGTCGCATGCTGGAAGTTGCCTGGGTTATACATTGCCATAATGACCCTTGGGACCAACCAGAAGTCGTTTTTCGTGGACACCTCGCTGCGCTGTCACCGGTCCTACGGCCCTTGTTGGGATTCCGGTTGCTTCCCGTCCCATGTTTGCTTGCGGTCCCGCACCACGACAGCATCCTGACCATTAGCACACCCACATTTCCATCACGCACATGGTCATGGCTTGCGCACGGCGCCCTCTTCTGCTGCGCTATAGGCGCGAGTACAACCGGCGAGTGCGGGAGGTGGTGGAGGCATCATGGGTCGAGGACGTGCCAGCCGAGGAGGCGGCGGCAAGCTGAGCTCTAAGGATGCAGCATTACCTCCGGCGCAGGGGCAACATATGAAGCGCAGCCCACAGCGCGGGTGCCGCTGCGTCCCTGCTAGGCAAGATGGTACCAAGCGGCCGGTTGGGCAGTGGTCAGGGCTGAAGACCGTAGCTGGCGTCTGCAATGACAGGTGGCGTGGATAAAAGCTACTCGCATAGCAATGGGCGTCGGGTTGGCGTGAGAGAGAATTGACGAGCGTGGGCTGATGGCTGCAGGGTTGTCCATAGCAGAGCGTGGAAGGTCGCCCCGGGCAGGATGCTAAAGGGCCATTCCTGCATCTCTTTTCTTCGCATTGATGACGTGTGTTACGAGTGTAGGGGAGCGCTGCGGTGTGCATCAGTGACGCCGCTGGCTAGGGGCTGGCACCTACGGGGAGTTTGGAACGCCCTGGCAGTTAACGCCATGTAGCTGCTGCTGAGGGCCATGGCCAACGGAAGCACGCATGCCACGGCGTATGCTCGCTGCTATGAGCATGTCGGTTGTATTGATGCTTCTCTCTGAGGGCTATGGTGGGGTAAATAGGCGAGTAGTCGACCCCTGCGTTTTCTGGGGGAAAGGCTCTGGTGGCGTCACGTGCGACTTAGGAGGGCTAGCGATCTCGGCTGCCTTTGCTCTGACGAACAATGATGTTGGGGCTTGTGTTTGGCAAGTATTTGTGCAGGCATGGCTGTTAGCACTGCATGACGTTAATTCCGTCCCAGGCCGCCGTGGACTTCAAAGCAGCAACCCAATACAATGTTGGCCGTGCAAACGAAGGATAGATGCCTAGCAGGAGGTGCCATATGTCCTCCTAACTCCGGAGCAACAGTGTTTGCTCATCGGTGTTGCCGTTGTAACAAGGATGACGCAGTAATCAGTGGGGCTGGCTTTCTGTTCATGGGGGTTCGTGCGGGACATGAGGCTGGTGTTACTGGGGGAGTCGGTTCGTGCTTTAGTGTAAGCGACTGCGTTTGCCGCAAAAGCGTTAGTCAATTCGTTACATTACTCCCTGCATGCAGCTGTACCCATGCAGCGCCGACAATCGTCTTGAGGTTTACCAGTACGAACCAACAACCCCGATAGCGTACTGCAGTCTAGGGATAGTGGACAACCCAGTTGCAAGGGCAGCCTCCCAACAGCCGCAATAGAACTACGTCCAGCAACAGAGCGACAACTGTTCTTGTCGAACAACTTGAGTACTGTACTGAAACATCACATCAACTTGAGCAATACTCCGTCTGCCGGTACAGGGCTGCACAAAGCGCCTGCCAAGAATCTGTACGACCGCGCTAAACCGTGAAGCTGCATTTTGTTCGATGCAAGGCTTAAGCATAGAAGGAAGGTTCCCGCTTTATTCGTGGGGGCATAATAGCAGTGCGAGTGCCACGAAGCCATGCACGATTGCACGGCAAAAACGTCTGCAAGTCCAGAAGAAGAGCACAGCCTGCCTAGGTAGAAAGAAGGTCAGGTTTTGGAGTACACCATGAGGTCCGTGCCAGCTATGTAGCAAGGATACAGCCTCCTGAGCCCCCAAACACCGTGAAAACACACGCCGGCGCAACCGGCACTCCGCCTCCTGCCACGCTGCACCCCTGCAGCTGCATACATGCTTAAAATAGCACTAGACGCGCGACCACCGCGATCAAGGCCGCAAAACTGATTTGGAGCATATTAACGACGTCATTTGTCAACCACGCCACGCGGCCCTGCAAGCTTGCCCCAAGGTAGCTCTCCGCGAAGTTGGCGATGGTTGCAGCCGCAGCCACGACCGCAGCAGACCGTAGGTCGGGCACCTGCCGGCATACCGGTATCCCAAGCAAGGGTCGCGCTTAAGCCTACGGTAATAGTACCGGTAGCCAAACTGCAAGAGCTGCAAACACCGCTCTATGAGTTACAGATACCGGACTAGTTACCTATGCCCAATGCTGAAAGTTCCGTGCCCATGCGCGTCAGCATTGGCAATCGAGGTGCTTAGGCGCACACAGCACCAGCCCCACTCGTACCTGGCCTGCCACAAGGGCCGTTGCAGCGAAGAGAACCGCCGTCGCTGCACCCGCTGCGGTACCCTCCAGGCTGACAGCGCCCTCGGTGCCGCGAGGTACCCGCTGAAAGGTGGTGACGAGGTACGTGGTCTTACCGTACGCCTTGCCGACCTCGCTTGACACCGTGTCAGACAGCTTACTGCAAAAGCTCGCCACGAAGCCGATCTGGGTCGAACGCGCAGAGGGAAAGCGGGGGAACACATGGTGTTAGCGGGGCAACGTATACTTCAGTATGGTGTTAAAGCGGCCCAGCATGGGAATATAAGAGCCCACACGCCTGGATAACGCCCATTGTCCACATAGCTTTACCCTTCGCACCTGCCACAAGTCGTAGTCGCCCGTGAGGAGCGCCAGCAGCGCACATGCAACCCCTGCAATGCCTGAGCCCCACACGCTGCCCTGCGGCACAGCAGCATGCGAACGGCGGGAGCCAAGGCAACAAGTTAGGATGGGCTAACGCCGCTAACGCATACTACCAAGCCTTGGCTTCGGCAGAAGAAACGAAAAAAGTCAAACGAAGATGGCATGTTCGTGCCGTGAGGGTATGCCCCATGTGCGTTTCCCTTGGACGTTCCATACATGAAACATGATACCCACCGGCCCCCGCTGCCCAGACCGTGCTTCAGCAATGCCCTCCTTCTGCTTCTGCTCCAACTTGAGCTTAGTCACCTGGCGGTTTGCATAGCGAAGGGCAGGAAGCTTGTAACACATGCCGGTACACACATCGCAGAGGTCTACTAAGGAGTAAGATGGTCGTTTCAGCCGTGCGCATGCTGCATCCATCCGAACTTTCCACCCAGAAGCAGGATGCTTGCAGGCAGCACCGCTTGGAGACGCCTTATTGCAGTCATCTCACCAGTGTGCCAAAGATGAAGTAGATGCAGACAAGTAGATAGCCACCGATGCCAAAGGCTGCGAAAACGCTAGTGCCAAGGAACCAGGAGTGCGCAATACCAGCAACCGTTAGCCCCTTCCGTAGGACTTTAAATCCCAAACCGAACACTGCACTGTTGCACAGAGCACCAGCTAAAAAGCCAGGGTGTCCCGATAACTGCAAAGGGAAAGAAGGTATACGTAAGAATAACCTTGCACGCCTTTAGGGTCAGTGGGTCAGCTCGCAAAACGGACCAAACTGCGCAACTGCATGTAAATTATGACAAACCTCCTGGATATTAGGAAGGTCAGGTAGTGCCGGACATGCAACAACGCGCTTGGGTGCGCATCGTTGCCTTGCAGCTGCCATAGGGCACCTCTGTAGGGTTACACATTGCCGATGTGCCAAAAGAGTTGAACGCATTCCAAGAAGCGGCGTGACAGCGCAAAAAAGGCAAGCCAGAGCAAAAACTGGCACTAAGGTACGATGTCACTCTTCGCCTAAGCTGTTCACCATCACAAGGGCAATTTCTTAATTGAATCGTATGTGATTAATGGCTGCTGTCTGCCTAGGTTAGCTAGGTTTAGGTGATATGGTCTTCACTGACATGGCACCGTGGAACCAAGATTTCGAGCTGCGTACGGCGACAGAAAGCAACGGAAGACCTTAGGCCAAAGCCTGGACGGACCAAAATTTGCTGCTTGGTATTAAGTTTTGTAATTATAACGTTGTGTGACTCGCTTACCAAAGGGTAGGATAGCTTGTCTTGTGCCTAGGCTAGCCATGGGTAGTCGCGCTCCTCCAAAGCCTCTGGCCTAGCAGACGTTAGGAAGGACAGAAAAATGGAAAATATCAGGTTAGCAACTTGGCCACAAGCTATGCTTTGACTTTGCCAGAGCTACGATTTAGACTTTAGACTCTTACTTTTTTGTCTCTTTGCTTACAGTGTCAGCGTGCGCGTGCGCCCTTTGAACCGCCTAGAGGTTCAGGAGTTCTTTGCATGGAAGATTGAGGGCAATAGCATCGTGCAGCTGGACCCCACCACGCGAGATGTGGACAGAACTCGCGACACAAAATATGGCCTGGACCACGTATTTGGCCCAGAGTGGTCAACGCAGCAGATTTATGAGACGACGACGCGGGGCATTATTCATAAGGTTGTCAACGGCTTCAACGGCACCGTCTTTGCGTACGGCCAGACCAGTTCAGGCAAAACCCACACAATGCTGGGCGACTCAGAGGACCCCAGCAAGGCCGGCATCATCCCCCTCGCGGTCGCCGAAGCGTTCAGGATGATTGAAAGCAACAATCTCCGCGAGTACCTCATACGTGTTTCCTATATGGAGGTGGGCGCCCTGGACGGTGTTGCGGACGGTGTGTACAGGATGGTGTTGCAGGATGCTCTCGACTTAGACCTCCCTAGTCCTCGACGCTGTAAGATGCAAACGCACGGATAACCCTTCAGTGCCTGCACTCTTCACTTGCCAATACCGGTACGTCCCCGCCCGCAGCTCTACAACGAGGAGGTCAACGACCTTTTGAACCATGGCAACGTGAAGCTGCCTATCCACGAGAGCAAGGAGAACGGCCCCTACGTGTGCGGCCTGTACGAGGAGATTGTGACCGGCCCCGAGCAGGTTATGGCGCTCCTGAAGAAGGGCAACGATAACCGACACACTGGCGCTACCAAGATGAACGAGAGGAGCAGTCGCTCCCATACCATCTTTCGCATGGTAAGGATACCCATACAACTGCCGGTTAGCTGCGTCACAAGCGGCGGGTTAGTGGCACACCTTGACAATACACACGACCCAAGTGCATGTTTGGTGGATTATCTTCATGCGTGCACAGGGAATGGTGCTTTTACCACGTTCGCACTCTTTTAGTACCCAATGCTGTTTGCAGGTCGTGGAGAGCAGGGCTGTGGACACGGAGGGCGACGGAGCCGGCGCGGTTCTGGTGTCCGCGCTTACCCTGGTGGACCTCGCTGGCTCGGAGCGCCTTGCCAAGACGGGTGCCGAGGGAATCCGTGCGAAGGAATGCACCCACATCAACAAGAGCTTGCTCACACTTGGCACTGTCATTAACAAGCTCAGCGAGGGCGTTTTGGCCGCGGGTAAGGCGGATTTAGGGGTTGTCGTCAGTAGGCACGCAGGGGGGCGCCGGGTATAAATGTCGCCGCCAGGATTAACTTACAAATGCTTCTTTCTGTGTGCCCTCCCCCATATTGATTGCAGGAGGTCACATTCCGTACCGTGACAGCAAGCTCACCCGCATCTTGCAACCCTCCCTGGGCGGCAACGCTAAGACTGCCATCATTTGCGCCATGACGCCGGCCTGGTGCCACGTTGAGGAGAGCCATAGCACGCTGCGCTTCGCCTGCCGCGCCAAGAGCATTGTCAACAACGCGGTGGTCAACGAGGTGCTTTCCGATGCGGCTGTCCTTAAACGACAGGCGAAGGAGATTGAGGACCTCAAGAGGCGGCTTGCTGAGAACGGGTGGGTTAGCATTCGCCCTTCCTCGATAACCCGATTATCTTGACACTGCATGAGGGCGCATAAACACGGCAACCCAACCAGTAACCTTCGGGTATCAAGGTGCCCAGTAGCTTAGATGCCGTTTAACTAGTAACGGCGGTGCTCGTTCTACCTCCCACACGTAGGTCGTCCGCGGAAGTGTCCGACGAGATCAACAGCCTCCGTGCTAAGCTACTGCGCTTGGAGCAGCGTGAGGAGTACCTCCGGCTCGAGCTGCAGGAGCAGCAGGAGCTGTACGCGAAGGCCCAGAAGCAGGTAAGGTATTGCCAGTTGTTGTGCCACCACCACTCATTTGGGTGATAACAGGAAGGTGGCCACTGAAGCTGCTGCGCTCCAACCTACCAATCGTAACCGTCGACGCCTGCTGAATTTGCTGCGATGAAACGCTTATGGGCCATGCAGGCGGAGGTGGCGAAGAAGATCATGTTCGAGAAGAACCGTGAGGAGCCGGTAGAGGGGACTAGCCGAAAGCATAACCGCCGGGAAACCTGGTGTCCAGGCAAAAGCGCATGGGCAGCGCCAGCAATCTTGGCCGCGGCCGACACTCCCACGCACTCAGGTACGATTTGCTACGCAACCAAAAACACTGCAACGCGGGTTGTTCTCCTCAACTGTTTTCGTTGTTGCTTTGCAAGGCGGCGGCGATGCGATTCAGCGAAAGCGGGGCCTTGAGCGGCACGATGGCGGCATGCCCGCCAAGTCCAACGCGGAGCTTAGCGCTTTGGTGGAGGAGGACGAGGAGGAAGGAGATGTGGTCGAGGGCCCTACGCCGCAACGCCGTAGGCGCGAACGTAAGTCTCCGCGTTCTACGTTCACCTCTGCTGTCTGTCATGTATGTTACTGGTTTGCTATTTTAGGCGAATCTTGCATTTGACACATAGGGCACGGTTGCTGCGGAAACGCCTGGCCCGTATACTGACTTGTATATGTCGGCTGGCACACGCAGGATCGTTCGCTTTGGACGAGCTGCCTGAGGAAGAGGAGGAAGAAGAGGACGAGGAGGACGAGCAGCAAAAGCAGGCAGCGTCTCACCCCGAGTTGAACCGCATCATGGCAGCTCTACCAAGCCAGGTGTGTTGCTGCTGTCGTTTGGGTTTCGTCAATACCAAAGCGGTTGGCATGGAGTCCGTGTGCCTATCAAAGAGGGGGTTGCGGAGCCCGAATCCATGTTCCGAAACCCTGACCCAGTGCCCCCGAGAAGCGGTAAGAGGGATGTTAACACATCTGTCACCATACTTCTACAAGGCTTCTACGGAGCATCATAGCGGAAAGAGCATGGTTAGGAAGCGAGGATTACACTGGAGGACCAACCAGTAAGGAGTCCGTACTGGCCAATCGTTAGACGTACATTCCAACAGAGCGTTGACCGCCCTACCCCAGGGGGCATACGAGGCCCGACAGAAAGGCCGCAAACCACCTGCACCAAGCACGGTCAGCTGAAATACCAAGTGCAGAGAGCCACAGGGCCCATGAATGAACTGAAAGAACCAAGTCCGAAGGGGGACATCCCACACGGAGGAGGGAGTCGAATGGGAGCATGGTTAGCCTATGTCGTATTCTTACTCACATACAGCATAAAAACGGTTGCCCTAGATCATTAGACGCCCTTCGTGTAAAGGGAATTCTTCTAGAAATACTTTCGTTGAGTCCTCAGGGAATAGTCCGCGGGATCAGCAATCGCTGTCTTGCAATTCAGACTGCTTGCTACCGTATAGCGACTTGGTTACAAACAATAAGTCCAAAATGTTTCTAAGATTTGGAAAGGAGCACTGTCATGGATATCCGGCAAGTCTCTGTGCGATAGAGTGTCCTTTCTCCTTCGGGCGCACAGTCGCTATACCGCTGGAGAGGCACTCTGTTGGTACCATGCAACGAGCAAACTAGCGGTGCCCATACCCCAACTGACACACTTGAACCCTACGCCAAATAACCGCTTGTCGTACCGCCCAATTTGCGTTTCACTTCAAACGCAGGAACGCGTGGCGCTCAATGCGCTCGTGCAGAACTGGATGGGCGTCGAGGAGCGCTTGGCGGCGACGCAGGAGGAGTTGCTGGTCGCACAGCAAGCGGCCATGCAGCACGAGGAAACCGCACGGTCAGTTGGACGGCATGGGCATGCACGGAAGGCAGGTTGGGTAATTCTGCATGGCGTTTACATGGCGTTGCCCATCTCTTGCCGTGTAGGTCTGCCCTGCAGCAGAAGGACGCCATGGCTCAGCAGCTCGAGCAGGCTAAGTGGCAGTCACGACAGCTGGACAAGAAGGTTGAAGAGCTGACAGCAGCGTGCCGCGCTGCAGAGCAGGTGCGCAATGGGGGCTAATGGTGCGGACTTTCTGTGGCCCAGGGGTTTTCTCGTCGCCTGCTGCGGTGATGTTTCTCTCAGCTGACCCTCATTGACACCTGTTAGGCTGCTTTGGATAGCAGCTTCTACCTTGACAAATTCAACCCATTGCATTCTTTGACAGGAGCGCGAGGAGCTGGTCGCGTCCCAAACCCAGTTCCAAGAAGAAGCTGCGGCGAAGTACGACGAGCTCCACACGCGCCACAAGGAGGTTCAGGAGGCGCATGCGGATCTGAAGGAAAAGCTGAAGGCCATGAAGGCCGAGCTGTCGGACGCGCGCGGCCGGCTGCAGCTCCGTGACTCTGAGGCGGGCATGCGGGAGGCCAAGCTTGTAGAGCATGCGCAGGAGGTGGCCGAGATCAGCGCAAAGCTTAAGGAGAAGGTGGAGGAGCTGGAGGCCACACGGCGCAACGCGCAGGTGAAGACAGACCTTTGGGTGGCTCTTCTCAGGGGCGTATCTGCAGCAAGCGAATCCATTGGAAATCCAATCCAGGCCTCGGGTCAAAGCCACTGCTAGACTCAAAAACTTTCTTGCTCCTCCTGGCAACTCGCCAGGCAGCCATGGGACCTCCGCGTTACATTCGAGGGTGCTGTGTATGCCATGACCCCCATTCTTTGGCCAACAGGCGGCCGAGGAACGCACTGCCGAGATGGAGGGCCGGGTCCGGGAACTCTACGAGTGCAACAAGCGCTTGGAGCTCCACGTAACCGTGAGTTTAGAGGATGCAGTTGCTTCTGACGGTCGGTCAGCCCATTCTCTCATGTAGCGGAGCTGTTTTTGCCAGCAGTTTGATGCATGCAGCCTCATGTGGTGGTGGTTGGTGAAACAGTGTTTGTTCCTGCAGGAGCTGGAGTCTCGGAAGCGGGCGCCTCTCTACCAGAAGAAGCAGGAGGAGGAGCTTAAGGCTGCAGTCGAGAAGGCGCAAGAGTGCGAGGTGCGGGCTGTGGAGGCTGAGCTGCGCGCGAAGGAGGCGCGCACGGAGTTAGAGGCAGCCCAGAAGAAGCTGACTGAGCTGCAGGAGGAGATGGATGCGAAGGCACGTCAGGCAGCGCGCTCACAGGAGGAGCTTGCCGAGCGCCATTCCTTGGAGGTGCAGCGCCTCAACGTCGAAAGCGGATTGCAGCAGGTGGGTGGGCTCAGGATTGGCAGGGGGGCATTAGGCGTCACGGTGACTCCACCCACTATAGTTGCTTTTACGGGCCCATCCCGGCCAGTCCACTTTTGTCGTCTTTGCGCACCTTTTCAGCGTCTTCTCCATGTGCACGCACAGGAGCGGCACGAGGAGGCCCTAGCAGGCATGAAAGCAGCGGCCCAGGAATTGGAGGCTGCCAAGGCGGCACTGGAGCGGAACCTGGAGGCGCGGGAGCAACGCATCTCGGAGCTCCAGCAGGAGATTAAGACGTTGCAGTCCCGCATTGCCGAACTCGAGGCTTCGGAAGGTGCGAAGGTTCGCAGGTGTCGTCATGGGCTCAGGGCGCATAATTGGATCCCGGCTTGCCACCGAGCAACGTACATTCTGTGGCTATGACACTAGCTCCACTTAACTGGTGCCCTGCTTGTGGTTGCAGCCGAGCTTTTGGCTTGCAGCACTGCTGCTAGTGAGAAGATCACCCTGTTGGAGCATACCGCCGAGGAGGAAAACGCCGCCCATGAGGCGGCCTTGGCGTCAGCTCAGCGCTCGCATGAGGAGGCCATGGCCGCCGCCGTAGCAGCGCACGAGCAGGCCGTGGCCGCACTGCAAGCAGCAATGGAAGAGGCGAAGGTGAGCGTCGGCAGTTGTTCTTTCAACGGTCATTCCGGTTACGATTTAGGCCTTTGGTATCATGAAGATGCCTTTACGCCTGAAATTTCAGCCGCAAGTAACCCGCGTTGTGGAGACTTTGAACACACATGTGCCCCTCTGTCGCCGCTGCTGCAGGCGAGCAACGCTACTGCCGTGAAGCAGCTTGAGGAGGAGCTGCGCGGCGCTCACGACCGGGCGGATGAGCTCGTCAAGTCGTCTCTCGACCAGTCACAGCAGGCCGAGGCAACGAGGCTGGACTTGCAGCGTCAGGTGAACGAGTTAGCCGCCAAGGTCCAAGAGGCCGCCGGCGCGCTAAAGGCGAAGGAGGAGCTCAAGGAGGAGAGGTAGGGTCTGTCCGCTCCATACGTTAGGCAATACACAGCATTTGCTCGGTGTGACACGATCCCGGCTGTTTGACTGTCCTTGTAGGCAGCGGAGCAAGCAGGAGATTGCCAGCTTAAAGTCCGAGCTTCAGAAGCTCCAGCTCGAGTCCAAGACCGGGGCTAAGGGCAAGGACATCGCGCAGAAGGAGATCGAGAGCCTCAAGTGAGTGCTGATGGGGCTTAGGAACTGTTGGATGTTGTATCTGTCCGTTGGGTGTTATACCTGTCCGCTTTCATTAGACCATTACGAACTTGTCACCCACGACATGGCCGTACGCTCAATTGGGTATGTCTGCAGGAAGCGGCTGACCGACACAGAGACGAAGCTGCGTGCAGCGCTGCAGGACAAGGCTGCTGCGGTGCAGGAGAAGGGCAACCTCGAGCGGCAGCTCAAGCAGAACCTGACCCAGAAGGCGATGATAGAGAAGACCCTCGAGAAGAAGGACGCCGTGGAGAACAAGAAGCGGGAGAGCATTATGGTGGTGAGTCTGCTACTGCAACTCAATGCAGTGCGCCGATTTGCCTTGGCAGCTTGTTGCCTAGGTGAATGCCGTAGTTGCCATTCGAGGAGCCGGTAATGAGGATGGGGTGGGTAGATGTTCGTTGGTTTCAGCTGATGATGCAAGCCTTTGTCCTCACCCTCAGAACCTGAACAAGACCAAGGAGCAGGTGAACAGCTACGAGGAGCGCTTGCAGAGGGCCCATACCGAGTTACAGAAAATCCAAATGGACCTCATGGCCAAACAAAGTAAGTATTGGCTGCCATCTTCACCAAGGGTCTCGTACGGCATTCATGTAATTGCATCGGAACGCAGGCGAGTGTGGCTCTCTGGAGGAGCAACTCAAACATCAGCAGGAGGAGAACGCGCAGCTCCGTGAGGAGAGCAGCAAGCTGTCGGCTGAGGTTGATGACCTGCGGAAGGAGACTGGCGAGCTGTCGACCCAGCTTGCCGAATCGAACTGTTGAGTCACAAAGTATTGGCTTGGACCCTTACATGCTGCCAACGGGCAAGACTATTTATGTTAAATTCTTAATGAGCATGTTCCGTGCTTGCCCTTACCATGCCCTTACCAGTCTCCAAATCGGGGGCAATCCGTTGAACTACGTGCATCCATAAATCCACCAGGCAAGCTCGAGTTTGCAACCGAGAACTTGGAGTCTGCAAAGACCGAGGCTCAGCAACTGGCGGCAGACCTGGACCGCGTACAATCGGAGCTTGCAGCCGCCCGCAGTGACGTGCAGCAACGCGACCTTACCGTTGAGGCACTTCGCGGGGACCTTGAGCGGGCGGCCACGCAGCATGGCTTAGTGCTGGGGCAGCTTGAGCGTTTGCAGTCCGAGAACGCGGGCGCGCAGCAGCAGCTCGAGCAGCTGCTCGCCGAGGGCGATCAGCTCAGGACCACAATGGCGGAACTGCGTACGGCACTTGACGCCGCACATGTGGCGACGGCTGCCGCAGAGGAGGCTCGCGCCACCACACAGGTAGGCTAGACCACACGCAGTCGCATTCATGTCTGCATTGGTACGGTGTCTATTCCGGCTTGGATGCACCTTCTATCTGCTCCTACGCCATCTCCCTACAACGCCTGTTCCGGTTGAAGGCTCCTGTCATTGAGGGTGAGCGTGTACATGTCATCTTGTTGCCTTTCTGTGTACAGGAGGCCGCACGGCAAGCACGCCAGGAAGCTTCTGAGCTGCGCAGCGCCCTGTCGGCCATGGAGGAACAGGGGCGCTTGCTTTCCGCAAACTATGCCGCGTCGCAGGAGGGGCTGGCAAGCGCACAGACGCATCTAACTGAGGCTGTTGCCGCGCGCGAGAGTCTTCAGGGTAGGTCCTGTTCGTTTGCCATGCCCTTAAGCTCTGTCGGCTTCTATGCCGACGACGTCAGAAGCAGCTGTAACGCCAGCAACCGGCTTTAGCATGCTACGCTGAAAACCACGGTGCTTCCTTTCGTACCTTAAACGTCCGTCTTCTGTTTCCAGGGCAACTCCACATGGCCGAAGCGACGTGCGCGGCATTGCGGTTACAGCTGCAACAGGACGCTTCTTCCCACGAGCAGCTACTCGGCCAGCTGTCTTTCGCGGAGGCCGAGGCCAAGCAGCTGGCAAGCAAGCTCTCAGCCGCAGAGGCCGCCGTAAAGCAGCGTGACGGCTGCCTTGAGCAGGCATCGACTGAAATGCACCGGCTGGCGTCAAGCCTCAGTGCGGCAGAACTCGAGGTCCAGCAGCTGTCCAGCAAGCTTGCTGCGTCGCAGGCTGAGACGCAGGGCTTGGCAGCCAAGGTTGCCGCTGCAGAACTGGAGATTGAGCAGTCGCGAAGCCAACTTGTAGATGCCGCGGCAGAGACGCAGCGGCTTTCTGAGAAACTTGCGGCCACCGAGTTTGAACTGCGGCGCCTCGAGAGCCTTTCTGCATCCTTCAACGCTGCTTCGGCGGGCCAGGATGAAGCAGTGCAGCGGCTGGCCGGTGACCTGGCGACTGCGTCTGCTGAGGCCCAGCAGCTCCGTGAGCGTCAGGCAGAGCAACAACATGCAGCGGCCGCCGCAGCGCGCCAGGCAGCGCAGGAATTGGCTGATGCCAAGGCGGAGACGGAAGGGCTCCGTGACCAGTTGGCGGCTCTCAAGCAGGCAGCGGCGGCGTACGACGAAGAAGCAGCCAGCAAGCTCGCGGCCTTGGAAGCGGAGGTTCAACGGCTGCAAGTGCAGCTCGACCACGCGCTGCAGGAGGCTTCCGGCTACCGTGCGCAAGTCGCTGATGCCGCTGAGCAGATACACGCGTTGTCAACGCACGTCAGCAGCCTTGAGGCACAGCTTTCCGCTGCTCCGGCGTTGCATCACAACGGACAGCAGGTTGCCGGTGAACAGGATGACACGGTCGATCTTTTGTCCAGTCCCGCGCCCCATGCATGCAAGCCAGCAGCCCAGTCTCTGCCAGACGGCTTGCGCGAGTCACTCGAACGGCTTCTGGACGAGTCCGCGGCGGAAATTGCGGAGCTGAAGGCAGCCTTGGGTGCTTCTGAGCAACGCGCAGAGTCTCTGCGCGAGGAGTTAGTCGCCGCCCGAGCTCAGGTTGTGGAGGTGCAAAGCGTGGCTTCCGCTCTCAATGTCACCGCTGACATTACCCGCTCCCTGTCCGCCGCGGGCGGCTCCCGGCGGCAGCAGCAGATGACCGAGCTGGTTCAGCACGTCGATCGCCTAACGCAGGAGAACAACGACCTTAAGTTCGAAATGGATGAGGTCCGAATGAACTCTGCCCTCGAGCAGAAGCAGCTGAGGGCCTTGGCCGACGCCGCGCATGCGGAGCTCTCGCAGCAACGGCAGCAGATTGAAGTACTGCAGGACAGGTGCGCGTCCTTGGCAGCGGATCTCGATGCGGCGAGGGAGGCGAGTGCCAGTGCGCAGCAGGCAAGCAACCAGGCAGAAGGTGACGCCCGTGGAAGCGACGAGCAGAACCGGGAGGCCGCCAGCTGCATAACTGCGCTCCAGGGTAAGCTCAGTGCATATCGTTACGCAGTTGTCGGTTCAGCACCACAGTCCATGGTTGCTACCCGGGCCCCAAACGGCCATGTCCTGTTTCTTGCCATGCTGTGTTTCGTCGCCTTACAGTACACCCCCCCTGTGCAGCCCGCGTCGCCGAGGTGGAGATGGAGCGGAATGCCCTTCAGGCGCGGCTCTCTGAGGCGCTGGCTGCAATGGACGGCCTTGCGCACGACCTAGCACTGATGGCGTCGGAACGCGAGCGACTGCAAGGCGTCGTTGAGGAGCTGACGGCCCAGGCTGCAAGCGGGGCTCATCTGCAGGCGAAGCTAGACGGCTACAAGGACAAGCTCCGCCTCGCGGCGCAGGTGGGTGCTGGAGCTAGGATTGAACGCTGTGGAAGCTTGGAACGGCCTTCTGATGGCTGCGCTGAACGCGTTTCTTCCTCGTGTTTCAAACCGGCATTTATGGTTTGGAAATCCTCCCTTTCGTGCAGGATGCCGAGCAACTGGCTGCTGCAAGGAATGCTTACCTTGAGCTGCAGGGCACAGTAGACGGGCAGGCGGCCAAGCTACGTGAACTTGCCACGCTGCAGCTCCGCTACGAGCAACTACAGCAGCAGTACGCGGGCCTGCAGGAGCAGCATGCTGTCGTGCAGAGGCAGCTGTCAGGAGTCCACAACGACCACGGCACCGCGGCTGGTACGGCCGAAGCCGATTCCGAGGTCGACGGACTCCGGTCGCGTGTTGCTGAACTCCTCGAGAGGCAGCGTGCGTTGGAGAGCGAGATGTCGGACTTGCAGGCTGCGTGCAACGTGATCCATGCCGAGAAGGAGACTCTACGACAGGCCATGGACCGCAGGTGCGCCCGTAAGATTGACTTGGAACAAGGAGCAAGCCATGTGCCCGTGTTGCCCCGTTAACAGGACGCTCCACCTTAACAGCGGATTTTGAGTCCCGTTTTGCCCTGCTTCTCCACGCGCAGGGTGCTAGAGCTGGAGATCGCCAACATCGGTCTGCAGGACGAGCTGAAGAAGCTGCGTGGCGAAGAGCCCGGCAACACCACTGCTGCCTCTGCATCGTCATCAACCGCGCTGAAGATGTGAGGCCGCTCACAGTGGTTGCTTGCGCATGTTGCCTCTGATGATAGCTAACCGCTTTGCCTCCCGTGCAGTGACGCTCTGCTGGCAGAACGCGATCGCCTGCAAGCACAGGTCCAGGACCTGTTGCTTGCCCTGGATAACGCGGCCGTTGCCAAGGAACAAGCCTGTGCGCGGTTGGAGGCCGAGCTGCAGGACCGCCGTGCGGCATCGGTCGGCATGGAGGCGATCGTTGCTTCATTACAGCAGACGCAGCAGGCCTTGGAGTCAGAGAAGGCCGGCATGCAGGAGAAGATCAGCATGCTACATGTGAGGATTGCGCTCTTGCGAGCCTTTGACTTTTGTAATAGCCGCGTGGTTTCAGCATGACCATGTGTTCTTGCGACATGCAGGAGGCCTTGAGCGCTGCGGCTTCTGCCCGTGCTACGGCTGATGGTGACGCTATTCAGCGGGCGACTGAGGTTGAGGCGGCGCTTTCGTTCCTTCAGTTGCGCTTCGACGAGCTGTTGGGCAAGCACGAAGAACTGCAACGGGAAGCGGCGGACAAAGCAGCGGATGCAGATGCCCTGCGAGCTGGCATGGCACGGGAGCTGGAGAAGCGGAAGGAGGCCGAGCGCCGAGGTACGCCGTTAACTTTGGGGTGGTCGTAAAGGCTGTTCCAGGGTTACCGGTATACATAACGCCTGCCGCATCCGTCCTATACCTGCCCATATTAAGCGGTACCCTTCCCACGGTTCGTGTGTCCAGGTGAGGAGTTGGCCGGCGCCGTGGAAGAGCTCCATGGGCAGCTTCTGCACGCACAGCAAACTGCGAACGACTTGGCGAGCAGCCGTAGCGAGGTGCGTATACCAGTTTTCGGTTGGAATGACATGCCGGCAGGAAGTTGATCAGAGGGGTGGTGGTTACGGCGCCAACCTCAATGAATGAATGACCGTTACATTGTTAACTCGGACTGTCCTGGCTTCCTCTTGTAGGCATGCCAGCGACTTGCTGTATCTGAAAACGCGCAAGGCCAGGTTCAGCAGCTGGAGTTGCAAGTGTCGTCGCTGCAGGCCACGGTGAAGCGCCTTGAGTCGGATCTAACAGCGGCCAAGGCTGCTGCTGCCGAAGCCGAGTCAGAAGCAGAGGGGCTCCTTGACCAGAACACCGTGCTAGAGTCCCAGGTGAGCAAGTCCATGTCGCTTACGCTTGGGGGTAGTACTCGCCAGCACTTTGGGTACTGAAATGCACGCCGCGTACCACGCTTTCGCAGAATCGCGACCTGCGTGAGAGCCATGCAGCTCTCCAGGCACGTGTGGCGTTCGTCACTGGGCAGGCTGAGGAGGCAGCTGCTCGGCTGCTGGACTCGGAGGCGGTGCGTTCCAGGCTCCAGACGCAGGTGGGTTAGCTAATTGTGCTTTGCCTCCAGTCACTCAAGCTGCGGCTGTTCGTTGCGATCGTTAACCCGTGAATACGATACCCCAGGTCCAAGAGCTGACGGAGCAAGTGAACGTTGCCAACGAGCAACGTGACGCCAGCAAACACGAGCTGGCTCAGCTACACGGGGCAGTCGCTGCAGCGGCAGGAGACCGTTCGCGCCTGGAGATGGAGCTTGTTAACCTAGATAAGGTACCGGTATTGCTTAGCAAGTTAGCATGCAAGGCGGTCGGCCTGGCTGTTGCATTGACGTGTTCGTTTTCCCGTTCAGGCGTACAAGGAGCTGCGTGAGGAGAACTGCCGCCTTGAGGACGCCCTGCAAGCAGCCCAGGCCAAATTGCTGGCCGCCGCCACGTCTGTTGACCACGCGGCACGTGAGCAGCTGTCTGAGCTGCAGTCACAGCTACAGCTCCAAGAAAGCCGGCATCGCGCCGCCATGGAGCAACGCCAGCTTGAGCTGACTGCTTTGCAGGAGGTAGGTTGGCTGGGGACAACATGCTTGGGCTGCTGCAGTTGCCGTACGGAAAGGCAGGCGATGCATTTGTCATGTTATGTAACCCCTTCCTTCTTCCGCTGTCACTTACAGCGTCTTGCCCACGATCAACGGGGCTTTGCTGAGCGTGAGGCGGACCTGCAGCAGCGTCTTGCGGCGCTGGAGGGAGAGCTGGAGCGGGTGCGGGATGCGCAGGGAGAGGCTATTGACGAGGTGCGCGGGATTGCGTGGCAAGTTGCTCCCAGAGTCGTTCGTCATGTTGCATTTGGGTGTAACAACATCTGCGCACTCGTCTGTTCTTTGCAGCTGGAGCTGAGCGCCAAGCAGCGCGAGGCGGAGCTGAACGCGGAGAAGCTGTCCCTGCAGTCGCAAATCCACTGGCTGCAGGAGGAGAACCAGCGGCTGCAGCAGCAGGGCCCTTCGGCCCCAGCGCAGGCGGTGCCGTCACGTGAGTCTTTGCACTTGCCTTTCTGCTTGCCTCGGAAGACGGGTCTTCGGTGTCACGCACGAATGCTCGCATGGTATTGCGTGTAACATGGTTTTGTACCCGTTTCACAGATGTCGCCGAGCAGTTAGCGGCTTTGGAGAGCGAGCTGCGTCGCGCAAAGCGTGGGGAGATGAAGCTGCAGGCTATGATGTACCGCATCCGCAAGGATGTGGAGGCTGCGAACGGTGATCTGGCAGCGTACGACAAGTTGGTCGACACGCGCTCGTTGCAGTACGACGTCGATTTGTGGACACAAAAATACAAGGTGCGACTTCGAGGCTGTTGGCATGGGGCTCCGCCTAAGCAAGGACCGCGTTCCTGTGGTGGTTTGGTGTAGGCTGCACCGTATTGCTTCAGTAGGGCCTGCTGCTGCATGCGCTCGTATACTGACACCCAATCTCTTGTTGCCTTTGCCATTGCAGCGCGTTGCACGCGAAGCGGAGCAGATTGAGCTTGAGAAGAGGCGGCTGCAGGCCCTTGTGGAGAAACAAGAGCAGCAGCTGTCGACGCTGATGCAAGCAGGTGGATCGAAGGCGCCCATTCAGCCCGCGGCGTCTAGCATGGGAGTTTTCGTAGACAAGGAGAACATGCCCTACCGCTGAAGCAACGGACATGGGCGCAGCTGGCCTCCCAGAGGAGGCCAAGAATGTGCCATGTCACCTGTCTCTGTCACGTGCTGCTGGGGTTGTGCTGGCCATTGATCAGCACTACGCAGTTTGGCTTTCCTGAAACACATTCTTTCTATGCTACCCGATTAGGTTTTAATGCGTCGGACATGTATACATGTTTTGGTAGGACCAGCTAGCGTTTTGGGTTTGGTACGTAAGACTGGCAACGGCACGCCTAGCATTGACGTATTCTGCAGATACCGGTATCAGGTATCTTAAGCTCCGTTTGACAATAACATGTGCTATGACCATTTGGGCGGATCAGCTATCCCCGAACATGAATCCCCGTGGGTATTCTAGTGGCACTTTGCCATGATACTGATCCTGTTGGTGGCACAAAACAGAAGTGTTTATACCTTCTATGACACGACGGACCATGACCCTTGGGACACTCCGTACTCGAGAGCATTTAAACGGGCGTGGTGCCCTTCAACATAATTGTAACTTTCATGGTACCGTACAATTCCTCCTTCCGTCCTTGCTGGTAGGCCGCATCCCATGTAATGCCAACCTTTTTACAGGTCCGTTCAGGATGATTGCGAAAAAGCTCTACAGCTCCGTAGGACACTTGCCGCACTCCAGAGGCGAGCTGCCCGAAACAGATGCCTGGTGCAAGTCACCGCCCAGCTGCTCAAGCATCAAGTTAAGTTTCACAAGTTCGGCTAAAGGGGTCATCCGCATGGACAGCGCCAATGCAACAAAACGGCACGCAACGATTTAGGTTCGCTGAAGGGGCCTGCAAAAACATCTATAATACGGCAGCTACTGCCAACGGCAGCTAAGTTCCCATGTCAGCCCCTAAAATCGGCCAGTGGAGAAAGCCATAGCCGTTCACATGCATCCACTCGGTCAATGGTTAAATGCAGCTAGCGAACAGCCCCCAGTCGTGCATCTACTACACAGCGATTAGGTAACGGTTGAAGGCAGGCTAATACACGTCCTTGCCGCGCATCATTTACAGCCTAACACGCAAACCGGCTGCTCGCAGCACCGCCCACACAGTTCAAGCACTTCCCACCACACCGACCCACTACACCGCGCCAGCGGCAGCAGCACCGCCCCCGCCATTCCGCTTGCCCGCGGCCGCCGCAGCCGCCGCTGCCTTCCTTAGCCCTAGCATGCTCTTAATCTGCTCGCCGCTGAGGGTCTCCTTCTCCAGCAGCTCGGCCGCTAGGCGGTGCAGCTCGCTCTCGTGGCCCTTGAGCAGGTTCTTGGCTCGCTCGTACGCCCCCTGCACCAGCTTGCGCACCTCCTCCTCCACCGCAGCACGCGTCTCGCTGCTCATGGATTGCCCATCCTCGTAGTCCAGAGCCACCTGTGGGTCCAGGTAAGTGGAGCACGGTAAGGAACATGGGTCCAAGAACACGCGTCCTCAACCGCCTATATGCCCTCCCTATGCGATGCAACGTTGCAACCTCCTCCTTCCCTCCCCTCCCACCACCCACCTGCCCCAATCGATCGCTCATGCCGTACTTGGTCACCATCGCCCTCGCCAGCGCCGTGGCCATCCGCAGGTCCGACGACGCGCCAGTGGTGACGTCATCCGGCCCGAAGATCAGCTCCTCCGCCACCCGGCCGCCCATGCACACATCCAGCCGCGCCAGCATCTGCCTGCGCGACATGCTGGTCGCATCCTCCTCCGGCAGCTGACTCACCATGCCCAGCGCAAAGCCGCGAGGCACGATGGTGGCCTTGTGCACGGGGTCCGCTCCCTCCGTCAGCAGCGCCACCAGTGCATGACCGCCCTCGTGGTAGGCGGTCAGGCGGCGGGAGCGCTCGCTGACGGCTGCTGACTTGCGCTCGGCACCCATCATGATGCGATCGCGTGCATACTCCATGCTGCGCATGCCCACCTGTACGACACGGGAGGAGAAGGGGGTGCAGCGTGGGAGAAGGATGGACAGCGCAGGAGGAGGTGGATGGGCAGGGTTGTTGGGGCGAGCAGTGGAGGGGAGGAGGAGGTTAGGGAAGAGGCGGCATGGTTGGAAGCCGGGAAGGCGTCAAGATACGCACACTGCAACGCGCAACGCAGCAAACGCTGACGCGCACCTCCTTGAGTCCCGTCTTGGCTGCGTGCAGGGCCGCTACGTTGACCAGGTTGGCCAGGTCGGCGCCGCTGAAGCCCGGAGTGGCGCGAGCGATGACGGAGAGGTCCAGGTCGGAACTGGGGGTGAGGGCGGGAGAGGGGGGAAGTGCGGGGGAGAGGAGGTAGGAGAGGTTTTCCATTGAGGAATGTAACAGAGATAGGAAATGCGGGAGGGGTGTGGGAGAGGTCGGGGTGTCACAGCGGGTAAGGGGCGATGAGGTGGGAGAGGCCGGGGCGGGTTAGGGCTACACGAGTGTATGGCGGTGGTGTACGTCATGCCGTGCATATACCATTCCCTGATGCGTGATACCCCTCTCCCCAATGCAACCTCCATGTTGCATTCTGCTTGCTATCCCTGTCGCCCGTCCCTCCCTCCCTCCTCTCCCCCCCGTGATGACGCCTTATCACACGGTCAGTTAGTTGTTTCCTCTTTACCCCCCGCCGCGCACCTCTTGGGGATCTTCTGCATGTGTGTCTCCAGGATCTGTTTGCGTCCCTCCACATCCGGGTTGGGCACCACAATGTGCCGGTCGAAGCGCCCCGGCCGCACCAGCGCCTTATCCAGCACCTCGGCGAAGTTGGTGGCGGCGACCACGATGATGCCCTCGGTGGCCTGGGGGGGGTCAATTTTTGGACCAATTAAAACCAAAGAAAAACCAAAAAAAAAAGAAAAAAGCAGGCATGAAAAAATTAAATAAGTGAAACAACGAATCCCAATCCCATATCCCGACTCATGCAGTGAGCGCATTCGGAGGCACTAAGAACACGCGGGGGGCGGTGGTTTTGGTTCGGTTGCGGTGGATGGATCTAGGTGGTGGTGGAGGGTTGCTGTGGCAACCCATGGGGAATCCCACACATGCCACACGGCTAGCTCACTTCTTCCTCTCCACCCCCCCACCCTCCCACCCCACCTTGAACCCGTCCAGCTCCACCAGCATCTGGTTGAGCGTCATGCGCATGTACTGCTGGTCCTTGGGGTTGCGGTTGCCGCCGATGGCGTCGATCTCGTCGATGAAGATGATGCAGGGCGCGTGCTTCTTCGCGGCAGCGAACAGGTCGCGCACGCGGCGGGCGCCCACCCCCACAAACACCTCCTCGAACTCGGAGCCGGAGGTGTAGAAGAAGGGCACGCCCGCCTCACCTACACGAGTGGGGTAGGCGCATGCGCATATCCAGGTGGCGGTGAAGGGGGAGAAGGGAGAGGTGCTGGGTATGAGGGGAGGAGGAGGTGGTAATGTTGGCTAGGGGTAGGGAAGTATGGGAGGTAGCAGCAGCACGGGAGTGCTAAGCCAGCGCCCAGCCAGACTTCTGCGAGCCTGCAGAGGCCTGGCAAGTGCACTGCTGCGGCGTCCGCCTCCGCACTCCCCTCCACTCGCGCTCCCAGCGGCGCTACAGCCGCGCTTAAATGTCCCACCCACCCACCAGCCCACCCCTCCCCGCCCCTCCCGTCTCGTCTCGTGTCTTAGGCTTACCTTAGTACTTCTTTGTTCGCGTCTTCACCATCGTCCTCTTTAACTTATACTTAACTTCCCCTTTCGCTTTCCTTGCCTCATTCCGCATATCTGGCTCTCCGCTGGACATCGCTATCAACTCGCCTCGACCTAACTTACTCCATGGTCCTGGCGGCTTGCCATGGACATGTCTCATGGTGCACATATCCTGTGCACGCAGGTACGTGTTTTATCGTGTGTCAGTCTGTGTTGTTTTTCATGCGTGCTCGTGTTGTGCTGTTCCTGTTGTTTGCCTTTGCCCAACGGCGCGGTGGGTCTCCAGCTCACCTTCAGCAGCCTCCACACATGCCCAAGACTATGGTAAGGTTGCTCCATAATTGGTAAGTTCGGTAAGTTTAGCTCGCATTGCTTTAACCACCATTTCGGCTCGACTCACGGTTGATTCCACCAGGGATTGTCAGCAACTTGTATCATTATCCTACCACACTTTGGAATTTCTTTTTTCCCCGCCCCTCCCCGCCCGCACCTGCGATGGCACGCGCCAGCATGGTCTTGCCTGTCCCCGGCGGCCCCACCAGCAGCACCCCCTTGGGCAGCTTGCCACCCAGCCCGGTGAATTTGTGCGGGTCACGCAGGTACTCCACGATCTCCTCCAACTCATGCTGCAGGGAGGGAGGGAAAGGGGAGGGGTGAGCGGATGAGGAAGGAGGGAAGAGGGCGACCCACGGGTCAGACCGAACGGGGGTACTCCATTGCATGCTAACCGGCGTCCGCTCACAACTCCTCTCTCTCTCTTTCAGCACTCCCGCCCTTCTCTTCCTTTCCCTTCTCCGTGCCAACTGCCGCCTACCAGCCAGGCCCCCTCTGTCCCAGCCCACCTCCTGAGAGTCCTGAGAGTCCTGACCGCCCCCCCCCTCACCTCCGCCCCGCACCGCCCCTCCCTACCTTGGCCTCGTCCACCCCCTTCACGTCTGCGAACCGCGTGGAGCTGTTCATCTGCGGCTTGAGGTCGGGGTTGTTGAGGAAGGACTTGGTGAGGCCCTTGTCGTCCAGCAGGGTGCCCAGACAGGTCACCAGGATGAAGGCGCCACCCAGCGTGCGGACGGTGCGCCACACCTGGGGGAGGGAGGGAGGGAGAAGGAGGGGCGGGGGGAGAAAAGGTAAATCTTATGTGAAGCAACGGAGTCCCAACCCCGAATCCCAACTCATGCAGTGAGGGAGGGGGGGGGGGTGGAGAATGAGGGGGTCAAAGAAATACCGGACCACCAGTGAGGGCAAGAGGAAGGGCATAGGAGGTTAAGGGTGTGGAGGGTGTGGAAGGAAAAGGGTGTGAAGCACACATGGCGACTTGGGTCAGGAGGTAGGTGCTTAGAAGGCGTAAGACGGCAGGCTCTGAGGCTGGTAAGCTGTTCTTTACGTTTGGCATCTTTCTCAAAGGCCTCTAGCGTCAATTGCAAAGGGGCGCAGTGCTATGGGGACACTGACTTGACTCATGGGTAGGTAGGCATTAAAGCACAGACAAGGTAGCCGTTGCCTTAAGCCCCCACCAGCAGCAGGTGGGGCTGCCGGCTGGCCGCACGCGCACCTGGCTGGAGAAGCTGGGCTCGGCAAACGTCATGACCAGCGGGTTCTTGGGCGACCCCATAGCCCCTTCCGCTGCGGCGCCGCCGGCACCGCCAAGGGCGGCAGCACCGGCGGCGCCCAGGGCTGGTCCAGCAGCAAAGCCGGCATTGCCCGCCCCGCCGGCTCCATAGTAGCCGCTGCTGCCGGCCCCGCCCCCGCCTGCGCCGCTCCCCCAGCCGCCGGAGTGGAATGCGCTGGTGCTGGGGGCGTAGTCGGAGGCTTGCCGGGCAGCACTGCCGGCGGCCAGGCCCCCACGCTGTGGGATGGATTGTTGAGGGCATCAGGACGTGATGGTCAGGCAGAGTGTGTTTCCGGGTGGTATGTGCATCGGGTGGGGTGGAATACGGCCTGGTTGGTAAAGAAGGTGGAGAAAAAGAGTATCGGGTTTAGCGTTGGGTGGTGTTTGCGAGGTGACCCAGACGGCATGTCTCGGGATGTTTGGACCTAGAAGCACAGGCACCAGCCAAAGCACAACGGTGGGATAATGTATGCGCGATGTGTTTGACGACTAAACAATCGACGCAAACAAAAGCCCCGAAAACTCCAGTATCAACAAATAAAAGCCATCCCTCTATGGATCTGTTTCCAACCTGAGCTAGCGCATGGAACCGCGCTGGGTCTAAGCGGTCCAAGCGTGTAAGCGCCTTGACATACTCAGCCAAAGTTTCGGGCGTATTGGCGACTCGGTTCTGCTCAAAAGCACTGACAACTGCCTCATGCTGCCCTATGCGGTTCAGCGTGCGTAGCTGCTCCGCGCCCTGCTCAAGAATGGGGGCAGTAGTGGCAATTTGGCTTTCGTTACGGGCCTCCCCAGCCAGCAGCAACCGTAGAGCTTCCGCACCTCGTCTGCGACTCTTGGGTGGTAGCCCCTACGGCTACACTTTAACACATCCTTAATCTCCTTGTGCCGTCCTTTACCAGAGACTATTAGCTGAAATATTTGTCGCGTTCCACGCATACCGGTAATAGTCGCGTAAGGCGACCGTCCTCTACCTAAAAGCCAGCAACGTTATTCTTTGAACCAATGCAGCAGTGACTACAAGAATGAACGCAATGACTTCTTCGGACAGCGAGGAGGGAGAGAGAGGCAAGTTAGCCGCCGTACAGCTGCGCACACGCCTGGGACCCGTGGATCAAATAGGCACCCACAGTGAAAGCAGAAAGGGCAAACACGTCCTTGATTAATTTTGCTCTTTCATGATGACTAATGACAACTTCGTCGTGTGTCATGTCGTGGTATGGCCTGGTGGCTTATGCTACACGACTGGTAACCGCAAGCCGTTGTGGCATCCACACGTGCGTGAGGGGAGTACTCACGTTCCTGGGGGCGGTAAGGAGGGACTCATAGGTCGTAGCGAGCCCAGCTAAGGCTAATCCGCCAACTGGAGAGAGGGAACATGACAACCTATACAGCGTGAGCGGTACCCACACCACGTGCTTGTAAACCCTCTAAACCGTCACGTCTCAAAAAACAAACCCCTTTATGGGTAGCATCACCGTGTACGAACCACTGCACGACCTTACAAAGGCACCCTTTCACTCTGTGCCAACTGCCGAGCCCAGCTGGACCTCAAATAGATAACCCACACTGTGCGCTCAGCCAGATTAGGGCGCTCTAATTACCACTATCGCAATGCGGCTCTACACCAGCACATAAGGACAAGCCATCAGCACCAGTTCGTTAGGCTCAGACTAACAAGTTCGGTTTCCATTCAACCACCCTCCGGTCAACGCCTCGGCAACATTAGGCTGAGCCTCTCCGCAACCCTGCACACGGTATGGAGGTATCTGCCGCAACGACCTTGAGCGTACTTCCACACAAATACACCTGCTGTGTCTCTCTCACTCCATCTCTCACTCCAGTCTCAGCCCCTCTCATCTCCAGTCTCAGCAGTCTCTCTTTCACCTGCCTACAGCATGCACGACACCTTTACCACCCATACCACCCTCTTTCCCCAAGGCGCTGACATGCGCCTTTCCGCAGGCCTCGTCCGTTGCACGGCACACCGCGTCGGGGCTCCAACGACTCCTGACGCGGCAACACGACTGCATCGGCAGCTACTGGTACACCTCGCCGCCAAGCATCAAAGACAACACGGGCTGTCTCATCGCCCCATGCAGCCATGCGGCCCTCGTCCCCCTCCCGCAACCTATATACACGTCTCATCCTTCCCAGCCCCATACCGGTGTATGTCCTATCCTGCCTCACTCCCTGCCCCTCGCCGCCCTCACGCGCCCCTCATGCCCGCTGCATTCTACAACAGCTACCATAACGTCCATAGGACCCCCGCTACCATGCTCTCTCTGCTACTCTGCACCCCTCTCCTCTATACTGCTACCCCCTCTGCCACTCAGCTTCGTTCTCTGCGCCCCTGCCTCCACCTCGCTAGTCGCCAGTCAACAACAAGCACTTCCAAGTCTAGTACCTTTCCTCAGGTTTTCATACCTCCCACTCACCACCAAACACTCCCCTGCCCCTACCTCACAAGTTACCACCAAGCGTTCCCAAGCCTCTCCCTCCCTCTCACCACCAAACATTCCCAGGCCTCCCTCCCTCTCCTTACTTTAATCCCTCTCTCTCTCCTCGTCAGTTTCCTCATTTTATTCCCTCTCACCAACAAGCATTCCCAAGCCTCTGCCTCCCAGGTCCCCAGTCCCCCCCCTCACCACCAAGCGGTCCCCAGTGCGAACACCAGCAGCGGCACCGCCACCGCCAAGTACACCATCGCCAGACCCGCCACCTCGTCATCCTGCCGCGACACAGATGATGAAGCTGATCCAACCGGGCCCCCTGCCGTACGACGACGGTACTGCAGCCACTGCTGGACCTGCTTGTCGTACGATGCCGAGTCAGTGGTGGCGTCCGGCGGCCCCGGCGGCGGCACGTGGGTTGCGGCGGTTGCGGGCTTGCCGGCGCGACGCTGCAAGTCAGCCCAGAGCTCGGGGCGCTCTTCTAAAAGGTCACGGAGTTCTGGGTCGGCGTTGAGAAGGGGCTGGGCCCAGGAGGGTGTGGAGTTGGTTGCGGTGGGGGAGGAGGTTTGGGAGCGTGGAAAGGGTGGTGGAGGAGGAGGTGGGGGTGGAGGAGGTGGAGGCGGAGGGGGAGGAGGCGTGCGGTGAGGGAAGGGTTGCTGGGAGGGAGTGGTGTTGGTGCGTGTGGTGTTGTTGCGGGGATGGGGGATTGAGGGAGGTGGGGAGGGCGGGGGTGAGGGCTGAGGGGCAGGGGATGGGTCGTTGGGAGTGACTGGCCAGCGCCAGCGGTTTTGCTCGAAAAGGAGGTCCCCGGCACCAGCATTGCTATCGCTACTGCCGCCCCGTCGTTGAGAACTAGGTGGATGGAATCGCTGCTTTCGCGCAGGGCGTTGGACCGTTGGACAATAACGTGCGGGGCTTTTATAGCAGAGGTTGCCTGCTCTAGAGCTGCTAGTGCAAGGGCCCAAAGCTGGATTGACGAATTGGCGAGCCGGTCGCATGCTTGTTTTCAAGTAAACGTGCTTCGCCGTGCAAAAAGTTAATTGGTTTGCGTTTCCTGGCTACCCATTATGAGCAAAGCTTAATTGTATGTTACCGAAACAAAAGTTGAGTCGTTGGCGACAAGTGCGCTCTAGCTTGTGGCGAATATCCCTCCAAGTTTAACGTGCTGATATGTGCGACCTGCTCAATTGACTGAATCTGCGAATAGAGGACACAGTGCACGCTTGCATGCAACGAAGACTCGTCAAAGTACGACCGTGCAGTCGCAACGTAACATACATGACAATCAATTAGCTGTAATGTCACAGCATGCCGAGTGATGCACTTTGCCGTCCTTACGCTGCCGCTCTATGAAGAAGATATTATTTTACAATTTGTAACCCGTTAGCGCTCATGGGCTGCTGTGACCTTGATGACTGAAGCCTTCGGAGAAATAACACCTAACTTCCTACCATGGACTTCGTGAGGGCGGACGCCGTAGAGGCGTTCCTTCACATGAACATTTACCGGGAGCTGAAGGTCTGGGTATTGCCAAGAAAGTAGCTCCACGCTAGCACGTTACATGCCCCCTTCAAGCTTACCGCTAAAACCATTAGGCAGCGGCAGCTAACGGAGACACGCTTACATGCAGGCAACCGGGACATGTGGCGCCACGGTGGTTCTGAAGAAGGTTGGCCGATATCCATTTACGCTTGCAAACTGCTACGGGTAGGAGTGGAAGGGCGAGTGCAGGCTCGGGAACATCCTGAATAGCGTTGTGGACGAAGCATTGTCGGTGGGGTCGACGCTTCCATGAAAGCGTATCCATCCGCATGTTCACAAGGAAGATATCTTGTATGCCGGCAAGGGGCCATATACCTATGAATTAATACAGATCCAAAACGCCCATTCCAACGATTTATACGCTTGCGTGCTTGTCTCGTTGCACCCAACTAAGCCATGATGTCATATGTCGTTCCTTGACATGTTGTACGACAGGTTCCAAGACGCTTCTCGCGGTCTGGTGCTGGATCCTCGGATCTCGCTTATCGACTTGGGCAGCTGTGCCAAGCTGCTTGCTGCGATGGCTCTATTGAAGCTGCTGCAGGTGGGAAGGGAGGCGGATGGGGGCTGGAAATACAGGACGAAGGGTAGCGTGTATGGTCGTGGGAAACATGCGCTAGCAGCCGGGGTAAAGAGGAAACAACTAACTGACTGAGGGATAAGGCGTCAACATGGGTTGCAACATGTGAGCCAGCCCGACCCGCCCAGCCCGAACTAGCAGCCGGGGTGGTTACCGCACCATACCATACTCCAACGCGCCTTCTGCACTGTCACCTTGCTGTGTGTTTACTGCTGTTGCTTTTCATGTCCCTCCCTCCCCTCCCTTCCATGTATGGTTGCCGTACGACAGGAAAACGGACTGACAGTGGCGGCTGACGTCAACTCCCTCCTGCCGTCTGGCATCGCGGTAAGCCCCAACCGCCGCACCATACCTGCCTAGCCCACCCAACTCCACCCCCTGCGCCTCATCCGCCATCCAGCTGTCCTGCCGACCCTCAACATCCTCATAAGCAACCACCGCCTCCACAGCAGCCACCATCGCTCCCGCGCCTTCTTCGTGACGTAGCTCTCTTTCCCCTCCTTGCCATCCCCTTCCCTCTCCCCAACATTGGGTATCCTTCTTTTCCCTCTCCCCCCTCCCTCTCCCCCCCTCCCTCCTCCCTCCCCAGGTCGACACCTCCCGCTACGGCAGCGTCACCCTGCAGCACCTGCTCACACACACCTCGGGCCTGCAGCGGGGGCGCAACGCAGCAGCCCCCGCAGCAGCAGCAGCAGCCGGCAGCGGTGGCAGCAGCGGCAGCGGTGCGGGTGACGAGGCGGAGGCCCCTGCAGGGCCCGGCGGGGAGCCCCCGGCCCCCGGCGCACTGCTGCTCAGCCCCCGGGCGGCGGCGGAAGCGGCTGAGGCGGCGGATCGGACGGTAGGCGAGCTGGCTGGGTAGGGATGGGCATGCATGCATGCTAGACAGGCGGGCAGGCGTCAGGGTGGCAGAGCACGCTAGCTGCAGGGGGCTTGGCCTGCCGCCTCCTTGAGCGGTGTGTTGTTGTGAATGTGGTACGGTACAAACAGAAAGCCCGGTTGATGTTGATGGGTAAGGGGATAACTGCCCTCTCCCGTCCCGCGGTCAACCGACCCGCCCTGCACCCCGCCCCGCCCCGCACGCGCTCCTCCTCCGGACACCCAGGCGCTGCAGCCGCCCCTCTCGCCGGCACCCCCACCCGGCGTGCCCCCCGCCGCCCCCAGTCCCGGCATAGGTCGGCGGCGCTCCTCCCTCCGTAGCGCCGAGGGCAGCATGCAGGACGCGGGGGAGCAGGGGCCGCTGAGCGAGTGCGCGTCAGGGCTGAGTGCTGCGACGGGAGGGGAGGGGGCGGCAGGCGGCGGAGGGGCAGGCGGCGGCGGAGGAGGAGTGGGAAGTGAGGCGTTGTCACCGCGGCCGGCTGCGGAGGTGGGGGCGGGGGCAGGGGTGTAAGTCAGCGGCCATGGTGCAACACATGGACCTGCCCCCCGCTTGGAACACCATCACCTTGTCGTCAACTTTTTACCACCTTCCATCACCTTCTCGTCAACTTTTAACCACCTTCCATCACCTTCTCATCACCTTTTCACCACCTTCCATTCGCGTCAACTTTTTACCACCTTCCCATTGTCTTCCCCACCTGGTTTAGTTTGCGCACACCGAAATCCCTTCCACCCACCCCCCTACCTGCCCCAGGCGGGCGACCTGCTAGACACGCCCCTCAGTGCCTACCTGGTGCGGCAGGAGGTGTTCGGGGCCAAGCCGCCGGGAGTGTACCGGTGAGAGTGTGGTGTGTGGTGTGGTGTGTGGGGGCGGCTGCGAGGAGGGAGGGCCTGGTGGAGAGCCATGATGAAGCCCTGGACGCATGTAGAGTGTTCCAACGGAAGAGAGCTGAAACTAGTGATATGTCATTAGCATTGCCTCTAATAAGTGAATGCCACACTTACAGGAGTATTAAAGGAATGAAAGCCGCCATGACCCGCATTTCGCCGCCGACAGCCCTTCGAACACAAGCAAGAGGCCTGTACGTGCTGTCCGGGCCCAGTGCCTTGGCTCTATGTCAAAAAGTTCAGCTATCAAACAGAGGCGAACGGAATGACGCCCCGGCTCCTCCAACGCAGGCCCCAGGACCTGGACTACCTGCTCATCGGCGCCATCATCGAGAACCTCGCGGGAGGGCCGTACGACACCTACGTACGGGAAACCCTGTTGGATCCGCTGGGTGTACGGCTGCCGCCGCAACCGCAGCTGCTGGTGTCCGGGGCCGTCGCCGGCGGCTTCGTTGACCCACGGGTCACTCCTGGCGGCTCGGCGGGGCTGCTAGATCCGCAGGCCACTGGGTCGGATGTGTGGGTGCATGTACGGCAGTCGCGGTTACGGAGGGCGCAGGCGGCGGCGGCGAGGGAGGCGGAGGCGGAGGGCGGGCGGAGAGGCGGGGATGAGGACCTTCTCATCGGCGCGAGTCCTGGGAGCGATAAAAGGTCAGCGAGGTGTGAGAACGTGCTATTGCGATTGCCGTGTACGGCAGCAACGCAGTGCCGTACAAGTGCAGAACAGTGCTCTCACCCTCAGTCCCTCAGCCGCACCCTCACCGGGCAGATTAGGACTGTGCTGCTTCGCTTATCTTACCCTTACCGGTATTCTACCCTCGCCCTTCCCTCCTTATCTCCTCCTCCTTCCCTAACCCGCCCCCCCTCCCCCCCCCCGCCTGCAGGGTGCTCTACCGCTACCCGCCCGCCCCGCTGAGCCCGGTGGGGGGGCTGGTGCTCACCGCTGCAGATGCGGGTCGCCTGCTGGCCTTGCTGGTGCAGAGCCCGGCAGCAGCGGGGGGCGGCGGTGGCGGAGGGGAGGAGGAGGGGGCGCAGGGGCAGGGGCAGGGCGGAGGCGGGGGCAGGTCCATACTGTCTGGTGGGTGAGGTGGAGCGGGGCTTCGAGTGGGGCGTGATGGGGGGCTCTGATATAGGGTTCGGGTGCAGGAAGCTCAACCGCTTCCTTGTCAACCTCACGATGTTACGTCACCCGCTCCCCGTGTTGCATGGACGTTGCTGGTGTTGGCAACTTCTGCTGTGTTCCCCGTTTATAGCCCCGCTACAGTACCCCCTCTTATGGTGTCCTCTGAACCCCCACCCACCCACCCGCAGCTGTGTCCGAGATACGGCTCTCAGATTTCATAAAGGTGCGTGGAGAAGGCCGTAGGGGCGGGGGTTGCAGGGCCGCGACGAGGCCGTTGCTCGGTTGCTGGGACGGTGCCGCAGTAGCAGCTCTCGGTGCTCTCCACAACCCATGCCGACTGCATACATTTGCGGCCAGTTTTCTTAACACATCCTTCAGCATGCATGTACCGGTACATTGCTAAAACGCAGCAACACCGCTTTCCTATCGCTCAGTCGGCAGTCGCCACCGTACACTAACGCCGCGCTGTCCCCGTCAGCGGTAACGAGCCCACCCGCACACCGCGTCCGATTCCCTCTCCCTCTGCTTCTTCCCCTCCCCCTCCCCCTTCTCAAAACACACACACGCACACGCAGGACGTGGGAGTTGCCTACGGCGGCCTGGTCTCACTGGGTCTGGGCCGCTGCGGAGACGCCGTGGTGGCCATCGAGAGCCCCCCGCCTCCCCCGAGCACACGGGAGGTGGCACTGGGAGGAGCAGCAGCGGCGCAGCAGCGGAGGGAGACGGGGGGCGATGGAGGAGGTGGAGGTGGAGGTGGTGGCGGTACGGAAGGGTGGGAGTGCTCCGTTCGAACTCCCTCGCTGCTGCTGCTGGCGCCGGAGAGCGGGTTGGCGCTGCTGGTGGGGTGCAACGTGGCGGGGCCGGAGGGGACAGCGTTCTGCCGGAAGGTAGGCGTGGTGGGGGCGGGGTGTAGGGGGGTGAGGTAGGGGGGGTTGGGTGGAGTGCAGTGTGGGAGGTGCTGCTGCAGGGGCTGGGTGGCTGTGGCGGCTGGCTGGCTGGCTGGCCGTATTCCTGCAGCACCAGCGGGGACTGACGAGCTGCGCGTCTCAGTTCCTCCTCCTTTTCGCCTTCCTCTCCCCTCTCCTCTCCCTCCTATACCTCCTCCTCCATGCCCCTGCTCACTTCCCGCCTTCCTCAAAACTCCTCCCCGACCCATGGGTCACCCCCCCCAGATTGCCTCCCTGCTGCTTGAGCAGTTCCGCCCCTCCGAGCTGCCCGCCCCCTCCGCCCGCAGCTGGCTGGCTGCCCCCCCGCCCGCCCGCGCCGACCCGGGTGCGCACCTGGCCGCCTTCCCGCCCGCCTGCTGCCTGGCCCCGCTGAGCTACTTCGAGGGGTGGTCGGGGCTGCTGCCCGAGTATATCAAGGTAGGGAGGGGAGGGCTGGGCTGGGCTGGGGAGGAGGGTGCACAACTTCCGCAAGGGCGTTGACTCGACAGCTGACAGGAGGAGTTGTGGCTGTTGACGCTGTTTACGTTACTGCCGGTATTACGGCACCGGGGGCACCGCCATCCTCCCTTAGACTACTGTCAACGGTCAGGGTCCGTACTTCTCGCAGCTCAGTTTACCTACCGGTAATCCCCTTCTCCCCCCGCCCCTCCCGAGGGGTTTGCCTCGTCAGTTTCCTTACTTTTACTCCCCCTCTCCTTTCCGTCCCACCGTAGCTTCACTGCCTGCAGGCGCCCGGCCACGGCTCCCGGCGCGGCGAAGACTCCCTGCTGCGCCTCTCCAAGCTGGTGCCCCCCTCCACCGCAGCCATCAACTCCGGCCTGCCGCCTGACGCGCCGCTAGCGCTGTTTGGAGTGGGGCTGGGGGCGTTGTGGGCGTTCGAGGTGGCGCGGCGGTTAGAGTGCCTGTACCGGCGGCCGCTGGTGCACTTGTTTGTGTGCGCGTGTGCCGCGCCGCAGTGCTTCCCGGGCAGGAATGGCAGCGAGGGAGGCGTGGGAGCAGGCGGGGGCGAGGCTGGGGGAGCAGCAGGGGGAGGAGGAGGAGCAGGCGGCAGCCCTATGAAGCGGTAGGGCGGCGAGAGAGAGAGAGAGAGAGTGGGAGGAGGGGGGGGGAGCATCTCAGTTTCATTCCTACGTCTGCCATGTCATCCCCCTCTGCTAACTCTGCTACCCTTCACTCTGGGGCAGCCTTCTCTCTCCCTCCTCCTATGGGGTTGGAACTCCTCACTCACTGCCTTCTACCTCCTCTTACCTCCACCCCGGTGCAGGTTCGAGCCCTGGCGTACCTCTGCGCCTGCTGCTGCTGCTGCCCCCAGCGGCTCCCCGCAACAGCAACAGCAGCCCCAGCAGCCGCCCGCCTACCCGGGTGCCCCGGAGCTGTACGAGCTGCCGGACGAGGGGTTCATCACCGCCTGCCGCAACCACCCGCGCTGCTCAAAACAGCTGAGGACCAATGTGAAGGCGCTGGTGGTGAGGGCGGGGGAGGGCGGGGGAGGGGTGAGGGAGGGCGGGGGTGAGGGGCGGGTAAAGAGGGCTAAACTGACTGCGGTAGGGCATGTATTGTGGCATGGGGCCATGGTGAGTGGCGGGGCCATGCTGGACTCGTGTGCCCCCCCGGTGGCAACGCCTACCCCGCCTTGTCCTGTCCTGCCCCGCCCTGCCTTACACCGCCCCGCTCCGCACTTCTGAATTAGCTTTTCCCGCCCCGCCTACACAGGAGCACGTGCCGCTGCTGCGGGCGGACATCGAGATGGAGATGACGTACAACTTCACACCGCCGCCGCCCAGCCTGTGCGCCTCCGTGGCCGCTGTGCTGGCCAGCGTGACAAACAGGTGGGTGCGCTGCACTCCTCGCTTCCTGTGTCGTACATACCAAATACGACCATGCCAATCGTACATCACGGGGATCACGCCCTCTTGCCCAACCACTCGCTCTCCTGCTCTGCTACCGTATCGCAGCAAGCCTTCCTCACCCCCTCATGTGCACGCTAGCAGCTCTTAGGCTCCCTCCATCAAACCTCCCATGTAGCCTTGTACACATCGCACGCCCATGTTTACACCCAGGTAGCCATGTTCACACCCATGTCGCGCTCCCGCCCCCACCCGTGCTCCAGTTCGTCAGTTTTCCTTATTTTTACCCCCCGTGCTGCCGCTGCTGCAACGCAGGGCTGACGAGGAGGCGCGTGTGAGCCAGGGACTGCTCAGCTGCCCCATCACCGTGATAACGCCGGAGGACGACACCGCACTCACAACCGAGCTGACGGCGCCGTGGGACAAGGTAGGGTGACGTAGTTTGGTTGGTTGGCTGGTTGTTGTCGTACACAACCGTGCGCAGCCGTATGAAGTTGTACAGTTACTATGCCGGTACATCCCCTTGCCCTGTTGTCTGTCCCATATGTGTGATGAAGTGAACGCCATGCATGTATGCTGTGAGTGATTGATGCCGCCCTTCACTCACGACTTCCTAGTCCGCTACCCTAACCCCTTTAGCCCCCCACCCCCCGGGGTGTTGTCCGCGGCAACCCATGTCCATGTCCATGTGCGCATCCCTTCCGCTCCCTCCCTGTGTGTTCATGTTCCGCTCCCCTTCATGTGTCCCTTCATGCGTCCCTTCATGTCCCTTCCACTCCCCTTCACGCGTCCCTTCATGTCGTGCAGTGCACCGAGGGCCAGGTTCGTTTCCTCTCCGTCCCCGGGGACTACCACTGCCTGGAGGACCGCAAGTGCCGGGCGCAGGTGGCCGGCTGCATCGCCAGCACGCTAGGCCGCCAGATGACGGCGCATGTGCCCTGGCTGGCCAAACTGCGGCCGGCGGGGTCGGGGGGGCGGTGGGGTGGTGGGGGAGCAGCGGGAGGCGGTGGCGGGCGGCAGCAGCAGGGTGGCAGCGGTGCGAGTCGGCCGGCGTCAGCGATGGTGGGGGCGGGGGTTGGGGGTGGGATTGCGGGTAGTGCGCTGTCGTTGCACCTGCCGCCCGTATACCCTAGAGGGTAAGGAGGCTGCGGCGGTGGTGGTGGTGAGGTAAAAATAAGGAGGTTGACGAACTGGGTGGTGGTGGGGTGATGGTGGGGATTGGATGGCTGGACGTTGTGGCGGATGCATGTCTTGGACGGATGGATGGACGGATGGATAGGACAGGTGGGACGTATGTGTTCAGATGTGTGTAGTTGTGTATATAGTTGTTGTTGCGCCCATGTCTGAGTTGTGCGCCCGTACGTGACTGTTACCTACGCAGCACTGTGCTCGAAGGAAAACGTGGGCCGTTAGCGTGGCGGCCAAGAATGATTATTGTCGTGACTCCTTTGTGCGTTATTCTTATGTCTTATTTTTAAATTATGAGCCGCCAGAGGCGGGCTGAGGAAGAGGAGGAGGCATGCACGTTGAACGCTGGGTACCCCGGCGGTTTCGGCGCTATCATAGGCTTGCTTAAGATACATGCGCTTGTGCCCCGGGTCGTTGTGCTAGTGTTGCTGTGCTTCTTTGGGAGTTGTGCTTCTGGGGAAAAGATGGGGCATTTCATGGGCCTGCTTGGAGGGGGGCTCCGTGACGAGACGGTTGTGAGGCTTGTGTTGCGTCACATCAAAAAGGCATTTGTCATGGCTATAGACGCTATCCTGATTATCCATGCCTTGGAGGGGCATTGGGATGTGATCCATGCCCTGGAGGGGCATTGGGGGGTGAGGGCCACCAGGCCTTCTGTGGCATGTGCGCATGAATGAATGATTGTTACGGCATGCTTATAATGGCTGGTCGTGAGGCGCATGCTTCATGAGTGACGCAGCTCCGATACATGTTGCTTCGGTGTCATTGCGCCGTGGGCCAAGTGGGTTGGGGCTTGGGGGTGCTTGAGAGCACACTCCAGGGTGACGTGACATGGGAGTTGGTTTTGGCCCAATGCGTCATAAACGTTGTTGGGGGCACATTGTTTGACACTCGGATGGCCGCCATGTTGGCACGCATCAGACTCGGCGCAATCCGCCGCAGCCCTGCACATCTTGTCGTGCAGTTGCATCCATGTATAAAGAGGTCCAAGCAACACGGGCTCTCTATTTTTTGCTTTGCTTTTGCAGCCTCAAGCATGTGTTGTGCGACAAAGCATGCTCAGCAGGGTTCAGCCCGTGCTCAGACCTCATCAGACCCTTTTACGACATGGGAAGGGTTCCGGAAGCCCATTGGAAGTCGACTGACGTGTCCGAACGTAGGAACCCACATCTGTTGATTGGTTTAGCAATACTGGGTCGGTTTGCACGCTTGTGTACCAACGCAGTGGGCACGCCATGGTCGCACCTAACATTGCTGAAACCAACAAAACAACGCAGCGTATCGTGTTTACACGTGGGTAGCACGACCACTACCCATGTCGTGCTTAGTACTCCCACTGTAACCACATCCGCATTTGAGCACTACCGATACGGCTGCACGCACGCACCATAAGTCCATAACGTTTAACGAGCATAAAAGACGCAACTGTTGGGCCCAGTTCCGCCCAGGTCACGCATATCCCATGTTCGTACGAGCACAACGCTCCAAGTACGGTACACATACACCGTATACGACATGCAGACAGCAGGCGGGCCCTAACTCCTAATAGGAGCATCCCCCCAACAGCTCGCGCGCCCAACAAGGATAGCAGCCTTCCCGAATGCTGGCTGCCCGCATAGCCGCATACGTTACCGTGCGCGTGCTTCACTGTATGCGCAGTTTGGGCTGTAGTTCGGAATAGCCGCGTTCTTCTATTCCTCATCGCCTACTACCGTAATCAACACGTTCCTGCAGACTAGGAACGTCTAGTCAAGGGAAGAATGCTATCCTTCTATCCTCGTGTACTCCAAGCGTCTCGTCAGCGATACGTCAGAAGACCTCGACTCGGCCCCCCCTGCCGTTGTTCCCCTTGGGCCGTGTCACCGCCGCTCGTGCACCGCTGTCAACATGCCTGAGCGGGGTCAAAGACCATACCGAGAGGGGGAGGGAAAAATGATATAAGTGAAACAACGAGTTCCAATCCCATATCCCGAGGGGGAGGGGGGCGGGAAGGTACGGCAGAGCAACAAAACCAAGCCTTGACAAGAGAGCGCGACGTACTGCACACGAGGACACGCGGTGTTTCTGTTTCTTTGTTGCATGGTCCCCATACACGCACAAACGGGCACTGTGCAGCATGGCCATGTACTACGCGTTGACCCGTCTCCCCCATACCAAAGTGCATGCAAAGAGCCGCGATTAAGAAAAAAAACGAGTGAGCAAGCCTTTCCCCCACCCGCTTTCAGCCACTGTCGTCACACGCCCCCACCTGAGCTCGTATCCTTCTCCGTCCCGCCTGCTGACTGCTGCTGCTGCTGTTGTTGCTGGTTGGAGGTGTCGGTTGCCTTGTCAGTTGCTGTGGTGTTGCCGGCCGGGGTGGTCACATTGGATGCGGGCGGAGGCGGGGGCGCCGGGTCGGGCGGCATGATAGGCCGCAGGTGCTCGATCCGCTTCTGCACCTCCTCCCCTAGCCTGCGGGAGGGCAGGGCAGGGCAGGGTGTGGGGTAACAATTAGGAAACTGACGAACAGGCAGGGCAGGGTGGCGGGAGGGGGGCCCAACGGAATTGGTATTGTGGGGGACAGGACGGAGGACGAAGTGATCCCTGGGTGCGTCAGAGAGCCTTTCGCAAGGGGGGGCGCGGGAAGGTGATTGGCAGACGTTGTGACCTAGTTGGCGAGCAGGCTTAGACCCAAACCGCCAGCACCTCAGCAGAGCTTCAAGCAGCAACATTGACAGCGTAATCAGAGGCAGACAGCGGACCCCAGCCTACTTTTTGTTGTCGAAGCCTCCAAAGAAGCTCTCCGCATTCTTCAGGTGCCAGATCTGTGGGGTGCGGAGGGGGGGGAGGTAGAGGGGTATGCGGGCGGCGGTGCACGGCGGTGTTGAAGGCACTGTTGCAGCTTGCAAGTGCAGCATACTTGCTTAAAGCAGCCCTAGACTCAAAACGCGCACCCCGAAACATCAAGTATCATAATAAGCCACATCACCTCATTACCGCAAGAGCGAGCGAGAAAAAACACTCAACCTAATTCAGCGCCATCGCTTGCCCCCGCTCCTCTCCCTGCTCCCTATTCCCTCGCCTCCCGCCACTATCATTCTCAGTACGGCGAATCCTTCTACTTTCCTCTTTAGCGGCCTCCATTTATCCCCCCTCTATAGCCCCTCCGGCCCCCCCGCTCACCTTGTACGCGGAGTAGGGCGCCAGCATCTCCCGTATGGCCCCCTCCGTGAGGTTGACGGGCAGCAGCACCACCAGCCCACCCTCCTGCACCACCCACTTCTCAACCGGCTTGGACACACTCTGTGTGCGGTAGCAGCAAGGGAGGCGGGGAAGGGAGGTGGGAAGGGAGGTGAGAAAGGAGGAGCACAGCAGCGGCAACGGGAGACAGCGCCCTTCTCCCCCGTGACAGCACTGGCACAGCCCAAACAGCAGCGCGGAGAAGTGCAAGCTAGCGGATTGGCATTTGTACCCTGCTTGTTCGGAACTGAGTAGGATATGCCAATGCTCAGCCGCTCCATAACACCCATGCATGTCGCCTCGCGAAGGAGTCGTCAGCTCCCGCCCCCCTGGCACACACGCACCACCTGACACAACCCCTAACATGTGCGCGCCTCCACACGCCTACAGCTGCAGCCCACAGTAACCCTGCCGCCCCTCCCAAAATGCATGTACAGCTTAGCCCCACAGCTAGCCCGCACGCGCCCCCCCGCTGCCAACCGCCCCCCCTTGTGGCTTCCTATGGTTTGGTATGGTCTTTGACCCCCCCCCTCACCGCGCTGCTGTAGAAGGTGACCCAGGAGCGCTTCACCCAGTTGGGGCAGCGGGGGTTGGCCAGGAAGGAGTGCTCGCGCCACCGCACCTGAGGGGGGAGGAGGGGGGCGAGGGGAGGTGGGTGGGGGTTAGGAAGGGAGACGGGGGCGGGCGTGGAAGTGGGAGGCGGGTGAGGGGGCGGACGGGTGGGGAGCGAGTGGGTGTGTGGTACCCTAGGGAGCTCTGGGACGAGGGCACGTAGCAGCCAATACACAGCGCAGGGAAAAAGCGGAACAGCGGGCTTCAATGCCCCCAAACTGCCGCCCGAATGCGCTCACTGCATGAGTCGGGATATGGGATTGGGACTCCAGTTGCTGCCCTTATCTATTTCCCCTCCTCAAGGCACCCCCCCACTGCACTGCACCACATCACACACGGCCGTGCCCCTCTGCTGGCCTTTGCCTGTTCGTTGCACGCATCCCATTGCACCGTCGTCTTGCTCTTAGACAACGCTACAGTCGTCTTGCTCTTAGACAACGCTACTTCTCAGTGCGGTTCAGCTGACCGCTGCAGCCACAGCTCAGTGCCTGCTCGACCACTCGCGCCGGTTGTGTTGTCTTTGTTTTCTGCATTTGCATTCATGTTGTGTTGTGCTTGCGTTCGTCCTGTCTCACATGCCATCCTGCTTTGCCGTACATTTCGCACTTCGATCTAGGTCCATTTTGTCTCTAACTCTGTCCCCCTTTTCCTCGCTCTGGTTCATGTTCCTGCGCATGGCATTACTCGCATTACTGCAGCTGCTGGTACTGGTGCTGACTACGGCGCTTTTGCTCGCAGGTACGCAATGCGCGTTTGCACGCACGCATGCACAGCATTGTGGTGTCTCGTCTGCGTGACCAGAGCGGGGGCTCCCGGCGTCGAGTTGGTCAGCGGGCTAGGTACTCAGCAGTAATTAGTTTTTCCCGACACCATCAGCATCACCGACATGCGTCGTCAACCCGCCACTCTTCTTACATCCAGCACCCGCGTTTTAAGCAGTTATTGAGTTACGTTTCAGGTTTGTTAATCTCTGCTTTGCCTCTGTTTTGACTATACTCGCGGTTCACATGCGAACCTATCCCAACTGCTTGCTCTTGTTTCTACTCAACTACACACATTGCGTGGTCTACTTCCACGCGCAGGGGGCCTGTTTGAGCCGCGCTCGCTCTCCCCACTGCCATTTTGCTTTTGCTCCCTTCGCCTGTATCTCGCATTTCGGGTTGCTGAGCCTGCCTGGCCTCGCAGGACCGCACTGTGCCTCTACCGGGTGGACGGTAATCGCTGCCACCGCTCCTCTGGTCCCCTCTGCCGCCGCTGTTCCTATGTTTCCGCATCAGCAGCAGCCACTGCAACCACAGCAGCAGCCGTCGCTCCCTCTGTTGTCTCTTTTGGTTGCTCCGTGGCAGCACGAGCGGCAACGACGACAGAAACAGCAACAGCTCTGGGCCTCCGGACGCTTTGGGCTTTCGGACCTGCGCCGTCGCTTTCGTGGGCCGTGGCGTCTGGTTCAGCGGCGGCAGGGTTTGCGGACCTTAGGCTAGCGGGTTGGCTGGTGGTTATGCGGTTCACTGACGGTGGGTCGTGCCGTGGCAGTCTTAGGTTGCCCTTGTCGCGGTACGGCCCGGGGCACGGTGTGGTTGCGTGGTCGCGTGTTTTTGGGTTTTAGGTTGTCTCTTCTGCAGCCGGGCAGGCTGAGCAGGGTCGGGACTATATAGGCCGTCTCGTTTCGGTGGCGTACGGGCGTGGGGGAAGGGCGGGTTTTGTTTGTGCTTTTTTCGTCTCCCCTGTTTTTGTGGTCGTTGTGGTCGTTGGTTTTTGTCGTGGCGCTCGGTTGTTTTTTTTTGGGGGTTGTTGTGGCCCTGCCGCCTTGCCTTGCCCTGTTGCATGTCAGCATCTGGGGCGCTCTCCTTCGAGCCCGGTCACTCACCACTGCACTGCACCACATCACACACGGCCGTGCCCCTCTGCTGGCCTTTGCCTGTTCGTTGCACGCATCCCATTGCACCGTCGTCTTGCTCTTAGACAACGCTACAGTCGTCTTGCTCTTAGACAACGCTACTTCTCAGTGCGGTTCAGCTGACCGCTGCAGCCACAGCTCAGTGCCTGCTCGACCACTCGCGCCGGTTGTGTTGTCTTTGTTTTCTGCATTTGCATTCATGTTGTGTTGTGCTTGCGTTCGTCCTGTCTCACATGCCATCCTGCTTTGCCGTACATTTCGCACTTCGATCTAGGTCCATTTTGTCTCTAACTCTGTCCCCCTTTTCCTCGCTCTGGTTCATGTTCCTGCGCATGGCATTACTCGCATTACTGCAGCTGCTGGTACTGGTGCTGACTACGGCGCTTTTGCTCGCAGGTACGCAATGCGCGTTTGCACGCACGCATGCACAGCATTGTGGTGTCTCGTCTGCGTGACCAGAGCGGGGGCTCCCGGCGTCGAGTTGGTCAGCGGGCTAGGTACTCAGCAGTAATTAGTTTTTCCCGACACCATCAGCATCACCGACATGCGTCGTCAACCCGCCACTCTTCTTACATCCAGCACCCGCGTTTTAAGCAGTTATTGAGTTACGTTTCAGGTTTGTTAATCTCTGCTTTGCCTCTGTTTTGACTATACTCGCGGTTCACATGCGAACCTATCCCAACTGCTTGCTCTTGTCTCTACTCAACTACACACACCTGGTACTCGCTGGCGGGGTCGTTCATGAAGATGGGGTCCAGCACGTGGTCCATGGGGCACAGGAAGGGGATGCGGGTCTGGAAGGCGCCTGGGGGGGGGGTTTCAGGGGGATACTAAAACCACAGGTTAGGACCCGCAAGTTAGGACTAAGCATTGGTGAAGCGGGGAAGCAGTTTACCACGAAACGTGGGGAGGGGAAGGCAGGACAGGGCAGTGGTTCGCGGGTAGGGGGGCCGATGTGATCCACGGCAATGATGGCATGACGGCCAGCCGCGTTAATAAGACCCGCAGAACAGACCCGTCCAGACCCGTGCAGACCATGTCATGTGGCAATTACTCCGCACCCCTGCAGCACCCACCGCACAACCCCCCTTCACCCCCATCCCCCCCCCACCCGGCACGCGGCACTGCTCCAGCTCCGTCCAGTACTTGTCGCAGTAGCAGGCGAGCGGCGGCACGATGAGCGAGCGGTTGGTGACGGCGGCCACTCGGATGGCGGGCCACACCTGCGGGGCACCGACCCGCGGGTCACCAGCAGCCACACCGCATGCAGATTGGTGTCTATACCCGCCACACTCGTTATATCACCGGTTTATGCATTTCCTGCACCTCGCCGCAACTCCTGTCACAACCAGCGCCCTGCGCAGCCTACCAATTGTCGTACCGACCCATCTACCTCCCCTGCCCCCCGCTCGTCTGCACTCCCCATCTACTGTACTCCCCCCCTGTCCCCCTGCCACCCACTCCCCCTTCCCCCCCGCCCCCTCACCGCCTCCAGCTGCATGTCCAGCCCCCGGAAGTGGTAGCGCTTCATGGCGGTGTTGTTGCGGGCGCTGTGCTGCGACCAGGTGGCGGAGGGGACGCGGCGCAGCTCCACACTCACGTAGGAGTCGCCTGCGGGTGCAGGGTGCGGGGTTGGGGGTCAGAGAGAGGCCACACACACACACGGACTTCATCTTTCGGCAATCACTGTACGTTTCGCCTCGCGGCCAGTTATTTTAACACACGGAACAAAACAAAACAAGACAAAGCAACTGACGAACACGCGAAGCTTAAGCAGCCCTGAGGACTCGGGCTGCCGTCATGGTGTCGTACATACACCACCATGCCAATAACCCACCCAGTACGCAAGTTAACCCGGCTATAGCTACGCAAAGCCCGCATTAACTCGCGTTGGGGCTCGACTGCCAAAGAAAAGAAACCGAAAGGCCGCTACTGGTTAAAATACTGGCTCACAAACGGCGCCACACGCCGGGCCGCTAGCTGACCAAAGATAGCACGCGCACAAGCACAACTCGGAACACTCATATCAAGGTAGTGCTCCCGCAAAGCAACAGAGCCCGCACTCCAACTGATATGAGTATACTCTACCTTGATATGAGTGTTCCGAGTTGTGCTTATGCGCGTGCTATCTTTGGTCAGCTAGCGGCCCGGCGTGTGGCGCCGTTTGTGAGCCAGTATTTTAACCAGTAGCGGCCTTTCGGTTTCTTTTCTTTGGCAGTCGAGCCCCAACGCGAGTTAATGCGGGCTTTGCGTAGCTATAGCCGGGTTAACTTGCGTACTGGGTGGGTTATTGGCATGGTGGTGTATGTACGACACCATGACGGCAGCCCGAGTCCTCAGGGCTGCTTAAGCTTCGCGTGTTCGTCAGTTGCTTTGTCTTGTTTTGTTTTGTTCCGTGCACCCGCCCTGCCCGCCCGATTATGTTCGTGCATTTCCTCGCGGTTTGGGCTTTAGTTTCTTTTCCTTAGTTCGTGGCCTTTTCGGCCGAGCCTTAGGCATAGCCAATGTAACCAAAACGGCATACGCTACCATATTCCTCGGCTCCTGCGGCGGTTCTGTGGGGACTTCATCTTCCGACAACCCAGTACGTTCCTACTCGCGGCCAGTTTTCTTAACACACCGAATGAAACCGGAGTTGGGGCAAGGCTACAGGAGAGGACGCGGTGCAGGTGCGGGAGGGGGGGGTGCGGCGAGTAAGTGCGCGAGGACCCGGATGGGAGCCGCAGAAGGGTGGCGACAAGGAGGACACAGCGCCGTTGGCCGCCGATGACAAGAGATCATCCTAGCTGCCCTAGCTACATCCGCTGCCCTAGCTGCCCTAGCACAACCGCTGCCTCAGCTACCCCCCCCCCCCAGCTACTCTAGCTATGCCCCCTCCCAGCTACCCACCCGTGTAGTACTCTGGGGGGTCGTGGAAGAGCATCGCCTCCCGCAGCCGGTTGCGCTTGCCCGCGTTGGCGCCGTACTGGAAGGTGCAGTGTACGGCGTACGGCTTCACGCGCTGAACCTGCGTGTACGACACAATACAACACATACAAACACCTTAGTGGGGACTTCATCTTCCGGTTCCGACTCGCGGCCAGTCTTCTTATCAGACACGCCTCTCATCAAGGGGTTTTACGCCCCGACTGTGTCCTCCAAGCAGGCATGCATGGGGAGGGTGTGCCGCAATCGTACCTCCACCGTACATGCAGCACAGTGCGGTGCAGGCAAGCAAACAGCCCTGCGCAGCCTGCCAGCCCTAGCCCGATCAGCAGTCCCCCCCAGCAGCCCTTCCCCCTCGTCTTCATCCCCCGCTCCTCACGCAACCCCAACAAGCCCCTGCTGCCCCCTCCTTCCCCTGCTTCTCTTCAACCCATCCATAGGATGTTCTTCCTTTCCCCCGTGCCTCCCCTCCGTCCCACCTCATACAGCCGCTGCACGTAGAAGGTATGTCCGCCCGAGAAGGCCGCCACGGGCAGCACCCCCACCGCCAGCGTGCCGTTGGCACCCAGGAACACGCGCTTCTGCTGCGGGTGGACCTGCGGAGGGGGGGAGGTGGCCGGGGGGGGGGGGGGGGGGTCAAAGACCATACTGAACCATCGGAAACGACAGGTGGGGGGGGGGCAGGTGGATGGGGGTCAAAGACCATACCCAGCCACAGGCTATGACAAAGCAATGGGGGGTCAAAGACCATACCATACCAGTACCATAAGAAACCACAGGTTAGGACAAAGCAATGGGGATAGGAGGCGGCAAGGGTGCGACAATAGAGAGTGTTGCTTAAAGCAATGGGAGGGGGGCAGGTGGCGGGGGGTGGCGGGGTAAAGAGGAAACCAACAAGCTGTACCACTCACGGCTTCGCTGACTCGGCTGTTGTGCGGTGCGCCATGAGTAGCATCTCACTTGCCGTACACATGTCGCGCCATGCGTCTCTCTCCGACACGCCGCTGCCGACCGGGCACCCATCTCACACCTCACACCGCCCCTGCGTACCTTGGTGACGGGGTCCCAGCCCTTTCGTGCCAGGTCGTTGAAGGCGTTCTGGTCCCAGTACTGAGGGTCCGCGTTGATGGCAGCCAGCCAGGAGTCCACGAACCCCACGGTGCGCTCGGAGTACCTGGGGGGGGGGGATTAGATAAACTGAGCCGCGGAAACACTGACCCTGACCGTAGGTTACCGGAAATTGCTTGATCGTGTTCCAGACGTCAAAGTATAGTAGACGTCGGGGGGGGGAGCAGCGAGCGTGGTGGTGGTGGTGTGTGTTAAAATAACTGGCCGTGTGTGTGTGTGTGGAGGTACCCGTTACGGGGGCTGTTGGCAGGCCCATGCAGCCATGCACCGGACAGGCAGGCAGATGGCGTGCGGGGGACGCCAATCCCTCCCCCTCCTGAGGAACCCGCCCATGAGCGACTGTGACCCATGTAACCCTCCCCAGTTAGTCGTTTTCTCTTTCCCCTCCCTCCCCCCCCTTTCCCACCCCCCAGCCCTACCTGAAGTACATGAGTCCGATGTTCATGGGGCTCTGCGCCCGGTCCGGCAGCTCCAGCCCCTCGTCCCCCGGCTCCAGGGTGGACGCCAGCTGGTCCGAGGTGACCAGGATGTCAGCCTGTGCGGGGGGCGGGGGGGGGGGGGGGTTCAAAGACCATATCGAACCATAGGAGTTCACAGGAGGGAGGAGGACAACAAGATGCCACGCTGTGGATGATGACCCCTGTGGCGACCCGTGGCGAATCCGGCTGGTTAGGTGCGAGGGAGCGCACACCCGTCACTGCGTTTCCTTCCCATGTGGACTGCTACAGAGGGAGGGCAGGAAGACCACCAAACCTAAACCCCAGCAGACAACGAGACTGGGTGTTGCACTGGCCTGCTTGGCCCCTGCACCGAGCCAGCTAGCCCGGCAGCCCGCCGCCCCACCCACCTGCGGGTCGGGCTGGCTCACATGTTGCAACCCATGTTGACGCCTTATCCCTCAGTCAGTCAGTTGTTTCCTCTGTACCCCACTCACCTGCGGATAGCGCCCAAAGTACTCCATCACGTCGCCCAGCAGAATCACGTCCTGGGAGCAGGGGGAGCAGGGGGAGGAGGAGGAGAGGTGGGAGAAGCGGGGAGAAGCGGCGAGAAACGGAGAACGTTCCAAGTTGGAGGACAAGGAAAGGGAAAAAATGGAGAAGGAAGGGAGAGGTTACGGACAACCTGGGATCCGCAGGCAGACCTGACACCCTTGCAACCGGAGCACCCAGTGGCCAACACTACCCCCACCGAGGCTCCCCCCGCCCCCTCCCCCCCCCCGCGCCCCCTGCCCCCGCCCCCCCCCTCGCTCTCACCGCGTCCACCAGCAGCAGGTCCAGTCCTAGTCCCAGAAACAGCTGGGCCAGGGTGATCTTCTGGCGGCCCTGTGCGGGTGGGGGTGGGAGGGAGGGAGGGAGGGGCAGCCGGGGGATCAGGCAAAGTGAGTGGGGGGTGGGAGGGGGGGAGGGACACAGGTATGGGCTTTGCACCGGGCTGACCTCCCAGAGGAGGCACGCAGGGTGCTGGAACCCGCACAACCCGGGGACCCCCGTCAGAGCTCGCCGCGCACCTGCATCACATGCAGAGGCCCATTAGGCCCATTACGCACTGCCCCCCATTGCAGCTCGCCCCCCACACGCCCGCTCCCACACCTCTATTGCTTGCTAACACCCCCAACCCCACTTACCACCCCCCGCAACCCAGCACCCACACCTCCAACATGATCCCCACCCCCTCCCACCACCCAAACCCCCCCGCCAACCTACCCCCCCTCCCAGCACCCCACCCCCTACCATCTTGTGGAAGGCCTCCCCGCCCCACTGCAGGTGGTCGCTGCCCACCCCCGAGTGGTTGGAGCCGCTCTGGAACATGGCGAAGCAGGGCACCCCCGCCGCCACCATCTCGCGACCGATCTGCGCGTCCATGGCCCCCACCAGGAAGTTACGCAGGCCTGCGGGGGGGGGTGGGGGAGGGGAGGGGAAGGAAGAAATTCCAATGTGAAAGGGAAGGAAAGGAAAGGAGAAGAAAGGAATGAGAAGAATGTGAAGCACAACGGTGAGGTAGGTGGGGAAAAGGGGGAAGCAGCGAGAGATGAACCATGTATGATGGACGCGGGAGGATGGGACAGAGGTGGTGGGAAGACCGGTCGATGGGAGACACCATGAAGCGGGTGCACTCCATGTGGGGGCGGATGCGGGTTGCAGTGGCCTTACAGGCAGGCGTGGCGCAGGTGGTGGTACGGCGGCGGTGCACTTGGCAGCTTGGCACGACAGTTTACGGGTTCATGGCCACTCACCCACTTCCCTGGCGTGGTAGACCCACGTCTTCACGAAGTCCCACAACGCGTAGTTCGCCCACCTGCGGCAGACAGCATCCACACGCAGCGTAAAGCCTTACCAACCAGAAAGGAGTCACCAGACAGGAGCCACACCGGAAGCGAGTCACCAGAAGAGAGCCACGAGGGTGCCACAGCAGGGCCGCCGGGTTGCCGGGCAGCTTCACGTCCCGAGGGATCTCAGTCACACATGCAGGGTTTCCAGATACCGGCAATACCTCTTACGGGTCACGGCATAGCCGTATCCGGCAACCGCAATCCATCCAGACAGCCCCTCAAACACGCTGCGCATCACACAGCTCAACTCACGTCACGATGACGGCGTTATCTCGTGCAACGCTCAGCGCAAGCGGCTTGCTGATGGGCGGCGCCTGCCCGTCCACCACAAACCTCATCCACTCGCTGCCGCTGCTGCCACCCCCTGCTGCGCTCTTGCTGCTGCTGCTACCTCCGCCGGGCACGACAGCAGAGGCGTTCACCGCAGGAGAGGCCGCCACCTCCTGTTGCTGCTGTTGAGTCGCGCCCGACCCGCCGGCGGTAGTGGTACCGGCCGTGACGCCTGCCGCTGCCGCTGCATGTGGCAGTGCGGGGCAGGCAGGGCAATCCCGCTGCGGCGGGCATGACCGCTGACCGCTGTACGACAAGGGGTCACGGGGGAGGGGAGGAGGGGTGTACACCGGGGACACATCGGCGTGTCACGGGTATTAGTTTCCAAACTCCCCGAATTGGGAGGCGCGGGGATGCATTGCTACGGTCTACACACCGTCGCCTTGCTGTCAAGGCACCACAGCCTGCGCAACTTCGGGCCAGGCATGCGTCATAACGCCGCTCCATTGTTGCGTACCTAAGTGTTGCCTTGCCAGCATCCACCAGGGATATGGCAGACACAAATTCCCGCTCATTGGCAGACGCCTTTGCGGCCGTCCATACCGCGTGCCAGTCAACGCTGCGTCCTAATCCGGACGAGCTGGCTACTGCAGGACAAGGGGAGCGGCCAAGGGACCCGTCAAGCCAAGATGTCATGGGTGCGAACACGAGCTTGCAAGGCGGCCGCGGAGGCTGGAGGCGCTTATCAACGGCAGGATGGGAAAGGTACACCAGCTCCCATGGCGCATGAGACCCGTGGCGCAGCTCGCTCTAAGGCATGGCTTAGCGTATACCTTTCTCTCTATGAAGGGTATATGATAGGTGATGCGTCTGCAAACGAAAGGATGATCACGAGTTGGCCAGGTTAGCCTCATCGTCGCTTCGTCGGCAAAAGGATTTTGTCTTTTGGCACTCACTTGGCGATAGGAAGTGTACACAAGGATACCCAGAGCCAACACGGCTAGGCCGGCAAGATGTTTCACCCTCATTCCGTATCAGCTCCTGCTGCGCCCAGCAATCATACCGTTATTAAATGTTTCCTTCTAATATTGCTCCTCTTTCCAAATTACTAACTAAGAAAGGCCAAGTCTATTCTCACACAAGGTCATGGTGAGGTCAACTCTTCACCAAAAGCCACCCATGAGCTTAAAGTAACACGACAGAAATAGCAGCACCGCATAACCTCATTATTGCGGCGTAAAGCTACCCCTAAGAGAACTGCTGCGCTGTACAATGCCAACTCCGGTCTGACTGGCAACGAACCCCATGAGGCGTTGATCGGCGGGTTTACACGTGTTTCCCCCATCAAATGATGTCGGGGGAGCTTGGGGGCGTATGCCTCATGATGGGGGCGGATCAGCCGCGCAATAGGAGGCACACGTGCTGAGGAGACTCCAGCGAAGAGAGAGAGACAGGTATTCTAGGGACAGGACACCAAGTAGCAGGAGACCCTTTCGCACCGTGTCGTATTCCCATCAGGGCTGGGCAAGGCAGGACAGGATTGCCGGGCGTGAGCAAAGCAGCTGTGCACCTTGGATATGGACCAATGTGGGCGGCCCGGAGCCTTAGCAGCCCCAGTAGTAATGCCCTGGGTACACTTTTGCTCAAGGGCAAAACGTAAGAATCATTGTGTAGGTATTGGGTTCAGCTGCAAATGCAATGTTCGCACTTCCCTGCAAAAAGAACTCCCGAGGAAGCCCTGGCCGCACTCGAGTTGCAGACCGGATGCGTAAGTGCTAGATGTATAAGAACGCCGAGCGATACCATGTGCAGGTTTAACCATGTGCAAACTAAAGCTCACCAATGCAGCCCTAAATTCGAAACGATTCAGCCTGCATGACTAATAATGACGGGAATGCTTACACGGGCTAATGGCTCTTGCAATTATCCCTTATCTCGTTCTGGTATTCGTAGAATCAATCCCTAGAAGCGCCCTTGAGCAGCGCCCGGGGGCTGACAAATGTACGACGAACATCGCAATCTCAGCTACTGGTATTATATAAGCCTTCCTACTATGTCGTGCCGACAAACGTTGGCGTATGTACGAGATACTGGACCGTTATAAAGGCAGACGGTCCTCACCGAAGAAGGCACTCGGGCGTCAAGGCGAAAGCATATGGTCATCGCCTAAACCATGCAAGCACAGCATATGTGACACTTACGGGGCCATGGAACCCTTCAAGGTGGCTTCTTTGAGCGCCGAGCACCGGGCTCGTCGATAAAGGAGGAGGCAACCGAAAGCTTTCGCAGCCCTGCTTATTCGCCAGGTAAGTCTGGACTCTTCAAAGTGTTTCACTGCGTATCGTTAAAGCGGCGAAGATAAGCGCCAAGCCTCCCGTTCAACTAGGCTGACAAATACGAGTAGGAAATAGCAATCCTATGCCGACGTGATAGCTTTTCTGACTTTCCAACTTGTGTTATCGTGTTCTCCTTTGCGTGGCATGCCCTGTATCTTGGCACCTGTCGGCTGACTGAGACATTCCCATGCCCTCTACACGTGCGCAGTTCGCTTCTAACCAGATTATGACGGATGATGGCAGCCAGGTATAGGAGTTCTCCGGTCATAGGTTTTACCGTATGTCTCGGGCGCCGGTCGCGGACTGCCTAGGATTGGAGCCGGGCAGTGCTCATCCTCCGCAGGTAGGAATCGCCAGCAAACAGGGAAGAAAAGTGGCCCTTAAACAGCTTTGCGAATAGACTGTCTACATTTCCGCTTCTCCGCGTCTTGCAGGTACCTTTGCAAGGAACATGGGGGTTGTATCTGCAACCGTCCGACCAGGTAAGCAAATTCTTTGAGTACTCTCATACTCTCAATCGCCTCATTTAGTGTCTTGCATAATTACACTTATTTGTCATCCTTTTCCGCAGGCCCAAGCAGCAACAAGAACGCTAGTGGAGAAGCCTGGCGGTCCTAAAGCGCTTGCCGGTGCGGGTCCTGAGCCCCTTGTGCCGTACAACCACAGGACCCATGCCGCGGTTACAGGACAGGCACACCACACGGCGCCGCTGCCAGTTCTATCCATGGACCTCCCACTCTCGAGCGAAAGCAGCAGTGTCTTCAGCCGCAGCCTGAGCATTGGAGAGTCCCTCACAGGGCCCCTTACATTCCAGGTAAAGCCTTTGCGTGCTACTCATGGTTAAAGGGCAGTGCTAGCTGCCAAGCCAACTGTCACGACAGTCATGCGCTCTTGGCCTTCGCCTGAAGAACCTTCTCTCTCTATCCCATGCCTTGCAGGGCTCGAATACCAACACGCTGTGCCCTCCAGGCGACGAGCACACCCTTTCACTGCTGCAGAGCCTTATGCATGCGCCAACTCAGCCACCTGCTGTGAGGGCGCCGCATGCTGCATCCGTACAAGACACGCCCAAGAATGGTCAGGTGACCGCTGAGCACAAGCCTGGAACTTTCCCGCGTGCCGCTGCTCCGGGCGCACCAAATCAAGCGGACCAAGCAACTCCATACGCTCAGCCTTTTAGCAGCGGCCATGGTTATGGTGAGTATATACGTGCGCCCAGGAAGCTCCAGATTTCGTGTTTTACAGTAGCCCTCCATGCGCGTTATGAGTAGAAGGTCTGTGGGTTTCGGCTTGTTTAAGTCTTGCAAGGCTAGGCCTCATAGGGCCACACCATGTAACAGCGCACCACACCAAACACGCGTTAGTTTTGGTTCATTGGCCATCATTGGCGACAAACCCACGTGCCATGTCACACCTAGACGGCATACCGACACGCGAGCCTCGCTTTTGACACGCCTGTATGTGTTTCACCGCAGGTGCTGGCGGCCCCGCCGCTGCCCCGCAGCTGTGCGCTTCAACAGGAAGGCGTGCGGAGCCCTTTTCGGATCCCGGATCCACCTCCTCGCACGGGAGCATGCTCGGCGCACCCCTGTCCACAACCGCAAGCCTTCGCCCAGACGTACCTCTGCTCGGCAAGACCCTCGCCGCCACCGCCAAGCTGCCCCTCGACGTGCTTGCAATGCTGCCGCCCCTCGTTGTCCAACCGCTCGATGTTGGTATGCTGGCCAGCATGCAGCCACCGCCGCAGCCGCCGCCGCTGCTGCCGGTCCCGCAGGACTACCGAGAGGCACTCCTATATGCTGCTGCGGGGCATCCGCAACTGCAGGGCTTGCATGGCCTGCAGTGGCAGCAGTTGCTATTCAAGGCAGGCCAGGCGATGTTCAAAAGCGGCGGTTTGCCCATGGAACATAATGCAGCTACTGCTACGGCTGCTGCGGCTGCGGCTGTTGCTGCGGCGGCGGCGCTTCCTGGCTTGGGACCGGGTGGGCTAGCATTGGTCGGCAACACCGGGAGCTCGCTGCAGCCCCGTACGGCTGTGGAACCAAATGGCCCACATGGGGGCGAGGATGCTGTCAGGCAGGGCGCGCAACCGGCTGGGCTGCCGGGTCCAGCTGGGTCCCTGGTCAGTTCGGTTGGCGATGGCGATGCACGTCTGAAAGGCTCGCCGGTGAAACGGCCTGCTGGGGTGATGGAGCGAGCTGCTACTGCTGCGCTGGACCCGGACCTTCATCCTGAAGAAAAGGGCACTCAAGATCTGCGCCAGATCGGACGTGAGGGCGGCGCCGAAGAGGAATTGGGAGAAGATGAAGAGGAAGACGAAGACGAGGTCTCCACGGGAAGCGGTGTGGACACGCGCCAGCAGCGGAATCGGAAGCGCAGGGCGCCGCCGCGTCGCGCCGGTCGAGGCGCAAAGAAGGTAAGCAAGGCGCGGGAAGGCGGGTTCTGCTATATAGCTAGGCTCGTGCTGCTCAGCGTCTCGATCGGTTTCCTCGCGCCCTGTCTTGTTGCTGCTCTGCCTTGTTCTTTCGCTGTAAAAGTGCATGCTTACTTTGGTATGTTCCTCTCATGCAAACGGTGCCCTAAGCGACCGCCACCCTTACCTCGTACAACTTGGCAGGAAAACTGTCGTGAGCGCAACCGCACCGCGCAACGCCGGTTCCGTGAGCGGCAAAAGGTACGACAGCTTCAATTGTTCCGTGCATGGCTCCCATGGTTGCTTGGTTGCCGTACGCATGTAACACTTGTTATCTGTTCACGTCCGTCTGTTCACGTCCGCCGCATTGTTGCACGCATCCTGAGCCGCACGTCTCGATCGACGCTCCTTATGACCGACCCATGGTTCGCAATGTGCCATGAGCCCATGACCCGCTTCCCCGCATGCAGGACATGATTCGGTCGCTGCAAGAAACGGTGCAGCAGCAGGGGAGCCTCATCCGCGAGTTGAAGCGGCGTCTGTCGGCATACGAAGAGGTCGGAGACCCAGAGGAGGCAGAACAGTGAGGGCTGCAATCTTTTGGTATCAACATCTTTAAGGCGAGGTACAACAATCGAACAAGGTATGAAGCGGAACAAGACATGCGGCGGCATTACATTCGTAACGCAGGTGACATTTACGCTCGACGGTAAAGAGGGAGTGAAAGGCTGATTAGGAAGGCCTTGCAAGTCCATAAGGTGTGCGTGTACGACTACGGTATGCTATGGTGATCTATGGTCATCTATGGTAGGGTTATGGTGCAGCGTGGTATTGATATGCAGTGGGTGTGGAAAACTGAGAACTTGTATGAACTGATAGGTGCCAGCTACACGGTGGATGAACCTGCACTGTGCCTTGGACGCTGGGTGTGAAGGGGCTAATGAAGAGGACCGGCAGGGCGCTTGCCTTCCCCGGAAATTGGCCCGTGGCTACAGTTCGGTGTTTGCCTTCATCCGGCATTGTGATCCTGAAGTCCTCGTGCACGTGCAGTCCCCCACCGTCGGCTTCGCTGGCTAGGATTGCACGTCGTATCACAACGACGTAGCTCTGAACTGAATCTTTACTTTGTCATAGGCGTGAAACTTTTATCGCTGGGGCGTGGGAGCGGGAGGGAGGGTGTCGTTAGCGATTCGGGGCGGTCTTTGTTGGCCATTACATTTGGGATGCGGCATGCTCGTAAGAGGTACGGTAAAAGGTTGAGGACCAGGATAGTGAGGCATGAGAGGCGTGATTGCAACTCTCTTGCTAATGGCTACCGTTTGAACGCCTCTTTATGAACGCCTCCTTGAACATTGCTCGGTTCATGTTATGTGCCTTATATATTATGCGCTTGCGTGCTTATTCGGGTGCATAACGGTGTGAGCTATAGGCTTGGATGTAATCCGATATCCGAAAGACAAGACAAGAGGCGGATACTGGGTACTGGTGGATTGTAGTGGGCACACGCAATGTTGGGTTGTGGGCCCCGTTCCTTCCGTGTATGTATACATTGTTTGTGGTGATGTTCTTTCATGCCCTAAAATTATTTGGCTTGGGACGTGGTCTGTGCTGCTAATGGGCCGATCAATTTGATTGTACGGCAAGTTATACTTGCCGTTCACGTCATCTTGAGCTGTGCAGTACAGTGCCGTCTTTGTCATGCCAAAACCCACACTCGGTCCAGGGAAGAGCGTCCGCGCCCGCCCAGCCTTGAGCCGTCTGTACCTTTAATTGCCAAATAATTTTTGTAGGGTGTAGTTGTCACCTTGCCTCAAGTGACTAACATGGTGGAAATAAGTGAGGTAATGTTGGCTTTGGGTTCGTACCCCGTCGTAAGCGATGTAGTACAGTGCTGTGCTTTGTGGTGTCGTACATCTTATCCTGTACAGGAGATGGGGACATCTTACCCGTGTACGGCATAGAAGGTCACCTCTAGCCGACCCCCATTGCTAGTCCTAGAACCCTGTCTATGGCCTTTGTTTTCCAAGTGGAAGTTCTGTTTTGGCTGTTCTTTCACTGAGCCGCTCTGAGGTCGTCTTGCAATGTGCTTGCTTGGTTTGCCAAGGGGGCTCCATTTCTTGGCGTACAATGAGGCGTGTGTTATGTGGATCTATGATGGCCGTGGCTGTGGCAGTAACGACTTGTATTGTTTGTCGATCTTTGTAGTTTAAGTTTCCCAGGGGAGGCTTTGCGTTTTGCTCAAGAGGTAGGTACCTGCAGTGTACACAGACGGCATGCCGTGGGTGTTGCAGCGGCTTCAAAGCGTCGTTAATGAGAACGCCGGCAAACCCATAACACACTATACAATGTAACATCAGGGGTTCATGGAGGTAGTACACGTTACGGCCGTTAGGACGGCTGGGATTGAATCCAATGCCGTATGTTGCACTGTACTGTCACGTCAGTGTCTTAGGTATGTGAAGCACCAGATCGGCACCTTTATAATAACTTCGAAAAGCCACATGACTAAGTTGGAGGCAACCCATAGACACAGCATTGCAGATTGGCATATGACTTGCTGAGACTTGAGCCCTCTGTCACGCCTTATGCAGACCTTTATTGGACTTGTTCTTACGATGGCGGGCAATTAGCAGTTATACCGGTAGTTGATAACTATATCCAAGCTGCAGAAATGGCAATCGATGGCACGCCGCTTTGTGGGATCCAGTGATTTGCAACATAGCTGGCGTAATTCTCCAAACGATAAGCAGAAATGTTGGCAACACGGCTAGGACTTCAGGGCCGGCAAGGATATCGTGGCTTAGCAGCGGCATGTCCGTTTCGCAAGCATAGGCCCCTCTCTACCAGCCTCTATGGCACCCCACTATCATCACTTTCGTTTGGGACAATTGGCGCGAACACCGGCGCCCAGGCTACCGGATCGCAGCAGCGGGAGCAGCATAATGGCGTCGGGGCGGAACCCAACTCCTCGACGTTCCCGCACGTATCCGTGATGCTTCGCGAGGTGGTGGACGCTTTCCAACCTATAACCCTAGATACGTTTCTGGACTGCACTCTTGGCGCTGGCGGACATTCCTCCGCCATCCTCGCTGCACATCCGGTGGGTGCAGCCAGGTGCAGGGCCTCATAAGCAGACGTTACCTAATTCCCTGCATGAGGTTGAACACCCCTCGTTGCATTGCGTGTAACCTGACTTTGCGCATCTTCCACCGCACTTTTCGCGCCCAGGAAATGCGCACGCTCCTAGGCATTGACCTGGACCCCACCGCACACTCGCTAGCGGAGCCGCGCCTGCGGGCCGCTGCGGGCGGCCGGGAGCACTTCAGCCTGCACCTGCTGCGAGGGAACTATAGGCGAGTCCAACCCGGGTCACGACGTAGAGGCTGAGAGCGGTGTGGGGTTCCAGTGGGACCCCGCAGGTGGAGCGGGGCTTATACTCGTAGCCCCTTGCGACCGCTGCAAGGTGCAGCGCTATGGCTGGCGCATAACGCAATGGCTGGGTTTGCACAGTAGGCAGACGCCACATACCTGATAGAGGCGGCCTTCCGGGAGTGGTCAGCGCGTACGGCACTGCCGTATCAGTCATACCACGCTAGGAGTGTGTTGCTGTCCAACCCAGTATAGGGTATGCTCGACTGGGGTTGACTCCTTTCCTTCCCAAACGCCTTGGGGAAATGCCTTGCCTGGCAGGGACCTCAAGGCTCTGCTTTCAACCGTCAGCAGCCCGCCGCCGCGCCCCAACGGCATCCTGATGGACCTGGGTGTGTCATCCATGCAGGTACAGTAGGCCCCAACTGCGCCACAAACGCGCCAAGCAACATGGCTTTCACCCATTTACGTACCGATATGTTACTACCGGTATAGGCCTGACAATGATGAAGTGTTTTCAATGCACCCCACTAGCTTCCCCATCCATCTGCGTGTACCGTTATCTCGAGCCCGCTTAACGTGTAAAACAACGTGTTGCGTCGACTCTTAGCTGCGTTACCGTACTGGTATTGTGGGCGGAGTGCTTAACTCTTGCTTAGCTCCTGCCTCCCTGCCGTGGCCGCAGGTGGACACGGCTGAGCGCGGCTTCAGCTTCATTCGTGACGGGCCGCTGGACATGCGCATGGACCCCAAGGCAGCCCTGAGCGCTGAGGAGGTACGGCACCGACGTACCGCACCCGTGAAGGGGGGCACTGGGGTGCGGCCCAGTTGGGTAGTTACCCCACATCTTTTGCGTCGGTGAAGGAGGATTATGGAGTTCCCAATCGGCACTGCCACTGACGGCATACCGCGCCAGCGAAAAGCATGTCATGTTAAGCGCTACCTTGCGGAGGTCGTTCGCTTGCAAAGGGTATCGCTTCGCTGTGTTTTGTAGCCCGAGGCAAAGAAAGAGGGACGTGTTCATGCTGTCGTCAACGCTTCCTGGTCCCTTCCAGGTTGCTAACCTTGCTGATGGCTTTACAAGCCCGGTGCGCTTTAGAGACAGTAACGGGTAGTTGTCCTGCACAAATGTTGTCCCGGGTTGTGCAGGTGCTGAACACCTGGTCTGAAGCTGAGCTGGCTCGCATCATTCGGGACTACGGGGAGGAGAAATTGTGGAAGGTGGTGGCACGCAGGTGAGGCGCGCTTGCATTGGTAGGTATTCGACTTGTTCTACAGGCGTTTGGAGCAAACGGCATCCTGAGTACGGCGTGAGCTCGCAATTCTTTGCCTGGCTGAACCTGGCTGAACCAAAGCCATGCAACCCTTACAAAGGGACGCTTTGCAAAAACAGACCAAGAGGTTCTCGTTGTTTCTCTTACGGCTGGCCCCGGTTGCTCTTCTCGGCCCCGTGCTGCCTGCATGCGTCCTTAAGGATCGTACAGGCTCGTGAGGTGGAGCCCATCCGTACGACAGTGCAGCTGGCCAAGGCCATCGGGCAGACCCAGCTGGGCGGCCGCGGCGGGAAGGGCGCCGGAAAGGGCGTGCACCCCGCGACAAGGACGTTCCAGGTGAGGTCCTGGGTGAGGAACCTGAAGCAGAATAGTGCAATATGTCGTCCAGTGTGGTACTTTAACCCAGAAGGGGGAGCCCAGCATTGTGTGCGCTACCGTGCGCAGCTTGCTCAAGGATAGGTCCATAGGCCGGCTATCCAGGTGCCAGGGGTTCTGAATTTGAGTTTTCCTTATGCAGGCGCTACGGATAGCCGTAAATGATGAGCTGCGTAAGCTCGAGCAGGTACGTATTTTTACGAGGAGAGCGCTTTCACTAGGATATGCTTTCAGCCGACGTGCTTTGTGCAGGCGCTACCAGACGCGATTGAGGCGCTAGCCCCAGGTGGCCGGCTGGCGGTTATTTCTTTCCACAGCCTGGAGGACCGCCTCGTTAAGCATGCCTTTCTACGTGCAGCAGGTATGATGGGGACTGATGAGGCGGGGATTGATGACGAGTATCTCCTGCGAACATGTTTGACCGCTTCTGTGCAGGTAAACCAACACCGGAGGAAGAACACTTGACCTATGGTCCTGGGAAGTTCGACTACCTTGAGTCATTGGAGGCGAACAGGGTAGCGGACATCATCACCCGGAAGCCAATGAAGCCTACTGATGACGAGACAGACAGAAATGTCCGTGCGCGGAGTGCGAAACTTCGCGTATTGCAGAAGCTTTAGGTGCTTGGGTGGACGCGGGGATTCATTCCGGGAGCGACATTTCTTAACCGTTCAATGTTACAATGCGCACGTTCGGCGCAGAGCTTGCTTAGCTCTGGATTCAGGCAATGGCCTGTTGGCAAGTTCCTTGCATCACATATAACATGCATAATAGTCCGACTAGATAACACACATAGGGTATACCGGGTTTGAATGCGCAGTGCGAAGCCAACTAACTGTAAGCCCAACTAACTATCAGCAGCCATGGCTGCGGCAGAAGACGCCTATGTACAGAGAGCTATCCCAAGCAAGATCATGTAAAGGTAGAGTCAACGCATGCCAGAAGCATGCAAACCAAGACGGTCTCTGTCTAACAGTCAGTCAGGTTATGTCAAGCCTCTCGCCGCTATCAATTAGCAAATCTCAAGCATTACGCCAGCATAGGCAGGCCGTCCTTCTTCTGCTGCTTGCTGATGAGGGACTTGTGGATGTGAGGAATGACACCACCGCCAGCAATGGTGGCCTGTACAGGGAGGTTGAGACCGGTAAACGGAAACCGTCAGCAAGCGATATCAGGAGCCAAGCGGTGCCCGGCGTCGGAAAGCAATGAGATGTGAAGTGTTTACCAGTAGCAAAGTCTCGTCAGAGGGCAACGACACAAGCACGGGCAGTCAAACATCGCTGCGACATACCTTGATGAGCGTGTCCAGCTCCTCGTCACCACGAATAGCCAGCTGCAAGTGACGAGGAGTAATACGCTTCACCTGTAGGGTTGAAATCAGGGAAGGTTGGGTGGTCAATATACGGTTATTGAAACAACGCAAAAGCCCATGAATGGTCCGAACCCACCTTCAAATCTTTCGAGGCGTTGCCAGCCAACTCCAGCACCTCAGCGGTGAGGTACTCTGTAAGAAGTAAAGGGTTGTCGAATGAGGTGCTTGTTGGCAAAGAGAAGAGAGAAAGCATGACCGCGAGTGCAATTAGCCCAGCAACTTACCGAGGATAGCGGCTGCGTACACCGCGGAGGTGGCACCAACACGTCCGTTAGCAGTCACACGGCTCTGTAGGGAACGCAAACTATGTCAAGCGACCTTGTCAACAATAGATTGACAATCTTCTTGCGCACCTTCAGGAGACGGTGAATACGGCCCACAGGGAACTGCAGACCGGCCTTAGCTGAACGGCTGGTGGGCTTCTTCTTGTCGCCCTTGAGCTTGTCGCCCATGGTGCCCTTGGCACCCTTGCCAGAGAGACCCTTAGCACCCTTGCCCGACATTTTGTGATAGAGAGTTTAAGGTAAAAAGAAAAGGTATAAGGTCAAGAAGTGCCTTTCGCAACTGTGCTGGGAATAGGAGGCCAACGCGTTTTGAAGGCTTCCACGCTGTACGGTCCGTCGTACATGACCCGGTGAGAAGCAAAGCAGAAGGCAACCGTAACGTCCCGAAAGTGCCTGCTAAGCAACTGCACATTCCCGTATTTTTCTAGCAAACCAAAAGACATGACCGGTGACTGAAACGTCACCAATTGTTGAAAGCTAGGGAGGTTCGGACAGTACATCCAACTCATCAGTTTTCCTACTTGAAAGACAGCGTTTGGTATGGAAATGCAAATTGAAACGTTCTTGTGTTGAGCGACGAGGACGCTGTAGTCATCGTACCTTCTTTCGGGCGATGCGGGAGTAGGGGGCCTAAATTGTGCTTGATATTTAACCAAGTGGGGCTTGTACGTTTCTTGGGCATGCATGGTTCCTTGTCCCGCTTCCCCAATCCTTGCCAAAAGTGTTGAAGGTTTTCTGCACGTTTTCTGCAACGGAGGGGTGGAACTCCAAACTGTTTGCCCTGTTGCTGCTGTCATAACCACTCGCGAGGCACGCCATGGGTTCCTGAACGCTGCGAGGATGTTGCGCAGCGCGTGTACAGCAAAGCTAATGCACAGCACCCCCAGCATGCCCGTCATGGCAACAATTATCCCTGTCATGGCATTTACCATGGCTTGCGTAACGGCCTTTAGTGTGTTGCTTCTGTCTGGGAAATCTTGTCTTAACGGCGACTTGCCTTGTTGGTAATAAAACGTATTGTCTTACTAACCGGCAACAAGCAAGTCACGAGCTGTACAACCAATGCCTTGATTCCTAAGCATCAACGTCAATATAACCCTCCATGGAAAGAAGCCTTGGTACAAAGATAATAAGAAATTCACTTGCAACTAGGCTATTCGATCCCGGATATCACCCGTCCTTCTGAATGCGGTCTTTCCGGCCACATGCAACGTACTGGCACAGCATTCTTTCCCCTGAGACCCATGGGTCTCACTCTCCACGTCGGATAGCCGGGTAGACATCACTTCTGGAGCCGGCTGGGCCTTAACTGCACCCTTTACATCGGAGACCTCTACCTTCCTATCGGGGTGAAGTCTCCGACACCGTCGTAGCAATTAGAGTCAACACGCAAGTGCACCGGTGGCGTCTGCGGGTGGGATTGCTGGACCTTCTGTAACTATGCGACTTCAGTTCCCCAATTTCCTTTCAACGTTGCCTACGTTCCTGGTATGCTACGGTCTCGGCCAGTATTCATCGAGGCTCGGTTTAGCTCATCCCACAGCATCAGGCCAGGGTTGTGTCGTCGTCCAAACGCCGTGCAAAACGGCGCTAACATCACAAAAGATGGCGAGGGCATTGTTTCCCATCAGTCCGCATGTTGCCGTTGTCGATTTACAACATTCGTAAAAGTACAGGAGAGGGGCACGACCAATGCTCTGCAGCACTTGATCAACGGCAACGCAGGCCTCCCAGTGTTTGCTCGTTGGTGCGCAATCACTGGTGCACAGGGCGGTTGCCTCTTCATGCCTGCGCCAGAACACCAGCTGAGTGTCTGGCACAGCCAGCAACCCAAGCTGCTACCGGTATGCAGCGCTGTCCGACGGCCACTGCCGTGAAGCTCTGAACCGTGTTTAACCGCTGCTGCTGAGAGCTATGCCTCATGCACACCCACATCACGCACCCAAACACACCTCAGGGACCAGCCGTGTGTCGTACGTCACAACATCCTGCAGCCGAGCACGCTCCCGGAACGCTCCAGGGGCACACCAAACCCTCTGGATACCCAGGGAAACGCCTCTCCCCACAACCCAACCACAATGGCCTACCCGCCTACCTAGCACCCACACAGACCGTACCACCATGCAAGCCCACCCTGCCTTTCTACACCTCCTCCCCCACACCAGATTCCTCTCTCCCACCCCCTGTCATCATTACCACCACCATCAATACCCCCGCCCCCCACTACCTCCCGCTACCCGGCGCCGGCGAGCCCTCCCGCCCGCCCTCCCCCTCCAGCCCCGCCAGACTCGGCGACGACTCCCGGAAGCGGTTCAGGATGTGGCTCCACTTCTCCGGCACACGCACCGAGCCGTCGTGGTCCAGGAAGTGCGGCGCCGCGGGCAGCGCCAGCGGCAGCTCGCCGCGCCGCTCCGCCTCTATGAGCGCCAGCTTGGCGCAGCCGGCGCCCTGCATGCCCTTGCCCAGGTCGGGCACGGGGTCAAAGTCGACGGAGCGGGAGGGGTCGGTGGGGTAGAGGCGCTGCAGCTGCGTGATAAGGCGCTTGATGGACTGGTAGGGGGGAGGGAGGAGGGAGGACGGGCAGGGTTTGGAAGGTTTCAGTAAAGGGGGAAGGGGATGTCCCTGGGGTTCGACAACACGGCGTACATGGCAACGGAGAGCTGCAACGTCCGCGTGTGCCAGTCACCTCGATGAGCAAGGTATGCGAGACCACACCAGCTGCTGCGCCTGACCCTCAGCGGGTGCTGCCACGACTACACGGATGACGATTGTTGCTAAGCCGGTATCACATGCAGCGGCAGCGTCCCTGCTGCCGACACGCCGCGCACAGAAAGTCCGAAGCAACCATGCAGGGACACCCAAACGGGACCTTCCGCGTTGCCTCCTCTTCACAACTGCCTACCACAGCGGTTTACTCCGGAACGATGTGCTGCTGCTCTCTCTCTCTCTCACCCATCCCTCACCTGAAGCTACTTTCGCGCCGCAACGGAGAGCCACACCATACAAAACCACATTTATCAGCCAATCCGGCTTGGCGGATTTCGCGTGTTCCCTCCCTCTCCCCCCTTCTTCCGACCGCCCACTGCTGCTGCTGCTCACCTGGAAATACTTTCGCGTGGCCTCATCGTTCATGATATGCGCCTGGCTGTTGGCGTTCATCACGTGTGAGATCTTCTCACGCGCGGAGCGCTCGTGGATGCCCACGCTGGTCACACCAATGGGCCAGGGCGCGTTGCCGATGGCGAGCTTGAGGTAGATGTCGTTGGCATGCAGGTAGTTGCGGTTGCGCATGGCCTGCACCATCATCCACAGCCCCGTCAGCAGCTCGTCCGTGATCTGGCGGTTACGGAGCCGGTCGTACAGAGGCTCCATGTTGCGTGCGGTCTGCTTGAAGGCGAAGGTGGCTTGGATGCCTGCAAGCGCATGGCAACACACATCAAAACGCTCGGCGCTGCGACAATGAGCGACAAGCCACCACCACCTACACGGCTACACCACATGGATGCAGCTCAGTGACGGAGATGTGCTTCTTGTCAATTGGTTTTTACGCTGTCATGCAGCCAGCATGCACCCAGCACGTAGGTAAGGCTATGTGATGACGAGACACGGCCTGCAAGAAAGCCCAACCCGCAGCGCGAACGCCGCAAAGCCCCGGTAAAACCATATCGAGTACACCGCATCCACTTACCCCGCCATGATCCCATGCACATCTTTTTCGCAACTTCCATTCCACCACAGCCTCCAGCCCCCCACATCACGACCACGCACGCGAACGTTACATCCGCCACAGCCCCTCCCACCCTGAGCTGCTACCGAGGCTCGGTACATCTACCGGTAACCCCACCTGAGCTGCTATCGCGGCTCAGCTTGCTCCGATCCCACCAGTTTACCTAACCCCGTCTGAGCTGCTACCGGTATCGCGGCTCATCTTGTCCTACCCCCACCTGAGCTGCAGTCCTTGACCTCATCCGGCCGCCGCTCCAGGTCATCCTCCCACTCCTTCATCCAGGCCTTCAGGTACTTGGCGATGCGGTCCTCCACCGGCATGGCCTCCTCCTTGCGGCGCTCCGCCAGCTCAGCAGCGGCGCGCTTGAAGGCCTCCAGGGTGGCGTCCTCGCCGCTCGACCCAGCAGCGGCTGACCCGTGGATCTGCGGAGGGGAGGGAGAAAGATTATAGTTAAATGCAACAACACAGTCCCAATCCCGAATCCCGACTCATGCAGTGAGCGCATTCGGGAGAAGGGGGGGAGTAAAAGAAGGGGAAGAAGTGAAGCACTGGAAATCCAATACCATGGACCGTAAGAGGGAGTGAGGAGGTGGTTCGACTGAGCTGCGATAAAACACCGACCGGGATCGTATAAAAAGGGAAGGGGAAGAGGGGGGGAAGCGGGGAGGGGAAGAGGGGAGGGGAAGAGGGGAGGGGAAGAGGGGAGGCCGGAGGAGTAGGTGGAGCTGTGGGGTGGGTAGGTATATGCGGTGGTAGGTATGGGCATGAGCATGGAAAGGAGCAACCGCAGGGGAGCCGCTTCGGTACGAGCCCTTGCGCATCAGGTGGTGGTGGTAAATGTTTGGGGCGTGACGCCCCAATGTCGACATGACCGACTCAAGTAGGGTCTCTTTCAAGTCATCCCGCGGCACAACCTCACCCCACCCCACCCACTTATATAATTTTTTACCCCACCCTTCGCCCTTCAACCCAGTGGTGAAGCCGCCTCATACAGCTCGTCAGTTCCCCTTTTTTACCCTTCACTCGCCAACCCAGTTCAGTCCTCGCTCTCCCCGCCTCCCCCTGCCCACCTGCTCGCCGTTCGCATTCTCCGGCACCACCGCGGGCCCCTTGCCGCCCGCCGGCCCCGCCCCCGCCTTGCTGCCCCCGCCCCCGTCCGCTGGCTTGGAGCCGCCCAGTGCTCGCAGCCGCGCCCGCTCCTGCGCCTGCCGCTGCAGTTCGATGAGCGCGTTGCCCTTGCCCGCGATACCCGCCACATCCTCCTCCAGGTTCACCGCCATCTCCGCCTCCGCCTTCCGGAGCCGCTTCAGGCGGTCGAAATCCGACTGCGGGGGATTCCAGGGGGGCAGGCGCACGGACGGGGCAAGAAGGGGTGGCTTTCGGACAGCAGATTAAAACTCGCGGGGTTGGGGGGGGGAGAAACTCCAAAGTGTGGTGTGGTGTGGTGTGGTGTGGTGCGGGGGGGAGGGGCAAAAACAACCGTATCCACCGCAGCACTTCCCGTGTGGACTTCCCGGCACTGGTCCCACCACACCTCCGCAGCCCAGGTACGGCTGCCTCCTGACGCACATGCTGCCATCCATGGTGCCCCGCGACCGGAGCTGCACACCCCTCAACGCGGTGTGTTAAGAAAACTGGCCGCGAGGCGGAACCTACTGTGGTGTGTGTGCGCGTGCGCCTGGATACATTACCAAATCAACGCGGACGTGCCCCCAACTCCCTCTCTCCCTTCCACCATGCCTTTCGCCCCCTCTGTTCCAAGCTTCCCCCACAATGCTGTACCTCCCATCTGTTCCAAGCTTCCACCATGCCGTACGCCCCCTCTGTTCCCCCACATGCCGTACGCACCTCTGCGAACAGTGTCGCGGGCTGCCCCAGGGCGCGCAGCCGCCGGATGACCTCCTCCCTGGTGAGCACGGTGGGGCTGTCGGGCTGGGGGGGTTGGTGTGGCGGAGGGGGGCAATGGGGTGGGCGGTGGATGGGTGGGCACATAAGGATAAAAACAGTATCGGAGACAGCAGCAACCCAAGCAATGTGGGAGGCCGGGGTTACCGGAGGCGGCTGCACACATGGCGGGACATCCATGCTGGACTGGGAAAGAACGCCGCACGCCTGAGGCCACAAAAGCGCGGTACATGCCCCCAAACCCAAACACTCGATGCCATGTTCAGGCTTTGGTTGCATACGCCTCAACCCTAACCAGCTACTCTTCTGGGGCTAGTCCAGGTGCTTGGCGGGTTCCCGCTTGGCAGGAATGGCCCATGAACATGATTGTCTAGCAGCACGCAGCACGCACCGGCGAGTCATCATGGCGGGCGGCTTTTTGCGCTGGAGTACTATCGTCGGGTAGCTGAAGCTTGCGCTTGCGTTCCTGCGTCGGCACAACAGAGGTTCGGATGGGCAAGGTCTCGCATAAACAGCTTGTCCAGGCCAGGTGGGAACCAAGGGAACACAGGAGCAGAAGGATTTCGTATGGATCCAACTGTTCAAGCCTGATAAGGGGCGCAGGTCGTGCGCGCGCCCCCCTTTCACCCCATATCTTCGTCCCACGGGACCAAACAGACCTTCTCTTCCCGTTCTTTCGCCTCCTCCTCCCTGATCTTTTGCAGGCGGGCCTCCTCCAATTGAGAGCGCTTCACGTATTTGTTTGGGCCAGCTACATCCTGCGCCTCCTTCTTCAGTTTAGTTGCCAATGCCTTCAACGCGTCCATTAAGCCCTTATCCGTCCAGTAGTGAAATTAAGTTCTGGTAATTTGTTTTCGCAACTTTACGTTGATGCTTTCTATAGCTAGTGCCAGATGACGTTGCCGCGCAACAATTGCCTTCTCAATGATAATTATGAGCGCAGTTTCAGTATTTCCTGGAATTGCAACCTGGCATAGTCGAATGAGCGGTATGTTAGTGCCACATCCAGTCGTTGGTCTGAGCAGGACCGGTAGCGCGAAACAAAAAAGTCGCATGCATGTATAGATCCTTAAGCTGTGATAGGAATATGTGTAGTTGGTTTTTTCCAAGGGCGCACAGTGGGAAGGTACTCCAGGGAGAGGCCCAGGATGGCCCAACGATTCACCAGGCAGAGTTACATTCCTGTACTATAGAGAACTGTAACGCTGCTGCAAAAGAAGAAGAGACTACGTATTTTGCCCTACATTTTACTTGTCCACGTTGGCGAAATGGCCACAACCTGACACTTTTGGACCCGCCTTTGCTTATGCTGCGCCCTCCGGGAGCTTAGGGGTGGTGGGGAGCTGTGGCTAGGTAGGCGCACTAGCTGAGAGCGAGCCTAGCAACGATGTTGAAGAGCATGAAGCAGAAGTTCAGCGGAAAGAAGGACGCCAGCAAGAACAAGGACGACTCCCAGCCCTCGACCAGTGCCAAGGCGGGTGCTCCTGCAGCTAGCAAGGCTCCGGCTCCTCGGCCTATTTCAGCTATCCGGGAGAAGCCGCCGCTGCCGGTCATCAATGAGCAGACCCTCCAGCAGTACTACGCGGAACCCCTTCCCAGCTTCCGGGATGTCTCGCCTGCAGAGAAGCAATACCTTTTTGTGCAGAAGCTGCATTTGTGCAGCTTTGGGTTCGATTTTTCGGACCCCACCAAGCACGTCCGCGAAAAAGAAATCAAGCGGCAGACGCTATTAGAGCTGGTGGACTATGCGAACTCTGGGGCAGGAAAGTTTACAGAGGGCGTATCAGAGGACATTGTGTACATGCTCAGCAACAACTTGTTCAGGACGCTCCCACCGGTGCGAAGCCATGGCGACGCCGAGGGCAACTATGACGCCGAGGAGGAGGAGCCCAGCTTGGACCCGGCGTGGCCGCACCTGCAGGTGTGTGGCTGGTGCCTGACAGCTAGCTGGGCGCGAGCGGGCAAGGGTCCGCCTGCTAGGGAGCTCATGCCAGCCCCGCCCATCTCTGCCCCGCCCTCCCCCAGATCGTGTACGAGTTCCTGCTTCGCTACGTGGTGTCTAACGACACGGATGCGAAGATAGCGAAGAAGTACATCGACCAGCAGTTTGTGCTGAAGCTGCTGGAGCTGTTCGACTCGGAGGACCCCCGGGAACGCGACTACCTCAAAACGATCCTGCACCGCATATATGGCAAGTTCATGGTGCACCGGCCCTTTATCCGCAAGGCCATTAACAATGTCTTCTACCGCTTCATTTTTGAGACGGAGCGGCACAACGGGGTCGCTGAGCTGCTCGAAATCCTGGGCAGCATTATCAACGGCTTCGCGTTGCCGCTGAAGGAGGAACACAAGGTGCGCTTCTGCACATTGTATTAAAGAATGTGTACATATATCCGTTTTGCTACTCCTAACACGTAAACGCGCAACCACATGCTGCGCGCAGCTCTTTCTGCAGCGAGCGCTTATGCCGCTCCACAAGCCCAAGTGTGTGGCGATGTACCACCAGCAGCTGGCGTATTGCGTAACGCAGGTGGGTATCCCTGATTTCACTTTGCGCATGGCTCCTGACATTTGCCATCTGCCAGAGTTACCACACCTGGTAGTAACATGCGGGCGTGCATTCTCGCAGTTCGTGGAGAAGGACTCAAAGCTGGCGGAGCCGGTGCTCACGGCGCTCTTGAAGTACTGGCCGGTAACCAACAGCCAGAAGGAGGTGCTGTTCTTGGGGGAGCTGGAGGAGATCCTGGAGCTCACGCAGGCGCCGGAGTTCCAGAAAGTCATGATCCCGCTCTTCAAGCAGCTAGCGAAGTGCCTCAATAGCCAGCACTTCCAGGTCAGCAGCCACTGGGGGAACAGCCACTGGGAGGAGGGGCCGAAACCACCACGTACTCCTGCAAGGGTGCAGCCGTTACCCAGCCTGCTGGTCCTTCGCCCAACCTAGGCATGAGCGGCATATGATTTTGGAATGTTTGTGCATGCATGATTTCGGCAAGTACTGGGCTATAGGTGTGACATTGCCCGAGAACGCCCCACATCCTCGCTGACGAGAGGTTTCCCCCACTTGTCCACGCTTCCCCTGACCTCCCGACGCGCCACTGTCAGGTGGCGGAGCGCTCGCTGTTCCTGTGGAACAACGAGTACATCGTGAACCTGGTGGCGCAGCACCGGCACCAGCTGCTGCCCATCCTGTTCCCGGCCCTGGAGGAGAACACGAACAGCCACTGGAACCCGGCGGTGCACGGCCTCACGTGCAACGTGCGCAAGATGTTCCAGGAGCTGGACGAGCAGCTGTACGATGAGTGCAAACGCAAGTACGAGGAGGAGCAGGCGTCGGAGCGGGATGCCATGGAGACGCGGGACAGGAAGTGGGACTACCTCAAAAACTTGGCGCTGCAGAAGAGCAACGGCCGGTGAGTGGCGAGCTGAGAAGTTTGCTATAGAGGCAGGGGAAAGTTGGTCTGGCAACGCTAGCCGCTGAGGAGAGTAGCCTTGGGTTGGGTAGCGGAATAGCGCTTAAGAGTCTACGCTTTGCGACGAGCGGTAGATTGCTGAAAGTAGCCCCCACAAAGGAACCCTGCACTGGGATGCAAGTCAACAGCTCGTTTCGTGAGACCATCCGACCAGCCATATGACACCCACGCACCGAAGGTTTCCTATGTAGGCCCCCTACGCTAGCCTTGCACTTCCGTTTATAGGGTCCAAGCGCTGTGATTGGCACTTCCATACATTGAGGAAACGATCGCATCAGTCCCGACCGAAAGCGGCTGGCTTTCGTGACGATTGCGTTGAAGCTGGCATCCGGCTATCTTTGCACCCTTCACAAGCTTGCCGCCGACCCACGCACACGAACGTCCCCTTTCCCGTCAGGAAGTCAGTGTTTCCGCGGCGCATTTACCTAATTACCCAATCCCCGATACCCTGTAGGCCGCTCCCGGAGGTCAAGCCGCTCTCGGCGCTGCTGCGGGTCTGACCTAATGTAGCCTAGAGCGTGTCGCCACGCGCCAGGCGCAGATGAAGGCGGAGTCCAGGTGCCATGGCGGCGAGCGGTCTGGTGCGCTGCAATCCTGGGCAGCCCCTGTGCGGAGTGCCTGCTCGTGGCGCAGCGCGCGATCATCCGTTGGTGCGCAGCTCGCACTGCGGGCAGCTCGAGAGTCGGGTGCGAGCGGTTTGACTGATGAGCTGGTCTGTCCCGCGTCCGGGACGGATATACGGCTCCTTGAAGGGCGAAAAAGAGCTGTGGTAGGCCGCTTGCGGTATATGGAACGCCGTGGCGGTTACGCAGTAGGTCGTTAGGTTGTGGTGGTGGACCTTGCTGCCTCAGGGAGCCTTTAGGAGCGTTTGGTGTCGAGATGTGCAGTGCGGGTGTGTTGCGGCGTTGCTGCCTGTCCCCACATGGAGCTAGGTCACCATGCGTGTACTAATAATTCACTATATACGCAACGCGGCGCGTGAAGCTGCAGAAACGGGTTGTGCTTGAAGTGCTTGGACGTATGTGGTACGATGGTGGATAGTGACGGAATAGGGCCGGGTCGCTGTATGACCTTATTAGACAGGGGGCATGCGAGGTGCATTGCATGATGCACCGCATACAGGGTTGACAGATCGGGGGATTGGGTAGTGTAGGGTGCCGTTGGATAATGAGGGCGCTGGGACATAAGAGCAACTGTCAATGAAGTCGCAGGCGGGTGTTTCCACGTTGGCCGCTGCTGCCACAGCTCCATGTGTGAGGAAGGAACTGATGTACGTTGCATGTATGCCCTTCTTTTGTGTGAGTCCCACTCCGACTTTTAAAGGCTGGCCTTGCGGCGGCTGTTGAGCTGGGGCGGAATGTCATGCGGTTGGGCTTCCAACAGGTTGCGTAGGGACGACAGGTGCTTGCATCATCTTTGGCCCTGCCCTGTGCAGAAAAAAGCTAGCTCAGAAGGAGCAGCTTCCGTGCAAAAGCCCTCGCGACGGAATCCGTTGTCTGTACGGTATTTTTACTCGGCACATCCATCTTGCATTCCTAAAAGCAATGTATTCACCACAGCAAATCGTTGTTAAGAAGAAGCTTTTAAGACCAAACTGCAGCTAACTTACTTCGGCGAGCCGCCATTGTTGTCACTACTAGACGCGTTAGCAGCTTCGTTTCTCTTGTTTAACAGTGATACACTACGCAATATCTTGAAGCGTTAAGTAAGTATACTACCGTTGTAAGACTTTACGCTTAAGCAAAGGACGCATTAGCCATGAGGCCACCGCTGCGGGGCGGTCGTGGTCGGGACGGCGGTGGTCGCGGTGGGTTTGGCGGTCGAGGAGGAGGCCGTGGCTTTGGTGGCCGTGGAGGCGGACGTTTCGGAGGCGGCTATGCGGATGCTGGGCCGCCGGAGGCTGTCGTCGAAGCGGGCGAGTTCACCCATGCTTGCGAAGGCGAAGCTGTTGTGAAGTTGACAAACGAGAAGGTATGCTAATGCCCACTAATGAGCAACGTGTGAGCGAGCGGTGAGCAATCCTTGCCGGCCGCAGATTCCCTACTTCAACGCGCCCATCTTCCTTGAGAACAAGACGCAAATTGGGAAGGTGGAGGAAATCTTTGGACCCATTAACAAAGTGGTAAGTGGGTGCCTGGCAGCGACCGACCCTATGCCTCCTTAGCTTTGTTAAGGAGTGCTGCAACTCCGTGCCACGCCCGTTCCTGTACCCACCCCGCGGAGCTCCGTGTTTTCCACTTCCAAACGCTCACTGCCGGCGAGCGGCCTAGCGGCACACAGTGCATAGCAGTGCCCTTGTTTGGCGTGGTCCGCCCTGTCTCCCTGGCCTAAGCACCCACTCCCCTACGCATCCCAGCGTGTGTTCTAATGCTGTCCTCCATAACGCTCCTGACCCCTCCACTCCTCCACCCCTCCTTCGTCCCACCGCAGTACTTTACAGTTAAGATGTCGGAGGGCGTGGTTGCCACCTCCTACAAGGCGGGAGACAAGTTCTACATCGACACCATGAAGCTGCTGCCCCTGGAGCGCTTCCTGCCCAAGCCAAAGGGCGCACCCTCGGCAGGCGGACGCGGAGGTAGGTGCCTGCAGCGTGTCGCAGGAGGCCCCCCCCATGTGTGTCAGGGGGCTCGTCGTGCTGCTGGGCCGTGTCCTCACTGTCATGAGCCGTGTCCTCACTGTCATGAGCCGTGTCCCCACTGTCATGGTCATTGAGGGTTCTGTAAACGCACGACCGGTCATCACTTGCTGTCTTCTTAACTCCTGGTTCTCGCTCCTCCATCCTCCCCCACTGCAGGCGGCCGTGGCGGCGGCCGGGGCGGGCGTGATGGCGGCCGTGGAGGCTTTGGCGGGCGGGGTGGCTTCGGCGGCCGGGGCGGTTTCGGCGGCCGTGACGGCGGTCGGGGCGGGGGCTTCGGTGGCCGGGGCGGCAGCTTCGGCGGCCGGGGTGGCGGCCGCGGTGGGTTTGGCGGCCGGGGGCGTGGCCGGTCATAAGCTCTGCGGCTAGCGGGCTTGGACCCGGGGCAACATGCTTGCTGCTCGGGGCGTTGTATCTCAGGATGTAGATGCCATGACTAGAGAAAGAGACATGGGACGATTGTGACTTAGAAGGGTAGTGGGTGGCTGCGGAGGGGCCGGGATTCGTTTGCGGGTGGGCTAGGGGTGAGCCCAGGCCGCGTAGGAGTAACAACACTGCACAGAGGTTGATTCGGGGCTGCGCGCGGTGCCAGAAAACTGGGGTGAGGGGGGTCCCAGGGATTTGGGGTTTGGGGGAAGGCTTGCATCCCCTGGTGGGGATTCTAACTGGCGCAATGACGTTGTTGTCTATGACGTCCGATTAATGCAACTGTTGAATAGCACGTTCAGACATGTATAATGCGCGGGCTGTGTCGTGACACTGCTGGGGTGGGTCCCGTACGTGCAGAGGGCACGGCTGCGGCAAGGGAAATAGATTAGCTCTTCCGCCATTGACGTTGGCGAAGCGCCTGTGCGCGCGTTGGAACGCTACTGATGGGACAAGTTGAGCATCGGCCGTACTTTGACGCTATCGGCGATTGACTCCGGGCCGCAACCCGCTCCCCGAAATGCGCCAGGGGGGAAGGCTTACCAGTTACACACGGCGGGGGTAAAGAAGGGAGGCTAGCTTTTAGCGGTTTGTTGGGCGCTTTGAGGGATATGTGCACTCGAGACACTGTCTGTGCACGGCTGGCTATTGGGATCCCGCTGCACAGAGGAAAGAGGAAGGGACGTGGCGTCGCTGTTTGAGCGGCATTTTTTGTTTGCGGCACACCTTACGGGCCATGTGGGTGGGTCCCGTGCAGTTGCTACTTGTAAAGATATGGCTCGGGGTCTCGCTTACTTGTGTTGCATGCACCTTTGCATGTGGGTATGTAGTCCTGATTGCTCAAAAGTCATGAACAAGAGTGTGCAAAGTTGTTGAAAGCGGCCAATCAACAACCGCAACCGTTACAAGTGTACGGACGGTGACGGTGAGTGTGTGGGATGCCATCATCAACGTCAGCCTCAGAGCGCACGGGGTCCTGTAATCGCTAGACGTACTCGTTTTTCGTAGGTTGTACGGCTGCTCATCATCAGCGGTTGGAGCAACCACTTGTCTGCGCGACGTTTCACAGGCACAGAAAGTACGAGCAGGCTAGGACACGAGGGACGTGGAGGGCCCATGCACAGCTGTCCTGGCGATGTTCTAGGCCCCTAATATGCACTTGAGCACAGCATTTTCCCGCCTTCCTTAGCCAATGAAAGCCCATAAGACACATTTGCGATGCACGCACGGTACACAGCTGGGCTACCCAGCCGTCACACATTCCTTTCCTTTCCTGCCACCGCATCCGCTCACAGGTCAAACATTAGGTTAAGCAAGACATCAGTACGCACAGCCCAACCCCTTAGTGAACACCGCCCCAACCCCCCCTCATTGTCTTCTTTTTTACCCCTAATCAGTTCCAAGTTCGGTAAGAAGAAACCCAAGCAACAGCACACGCCCTACATCCCCGCCACAAACACTTGGCGCAACTTATTAGTTCCGCAGCATTCCACACGGCCCCCTAACAAAGCCTCCCAACATGCTCGCATCCGACTCCACTGATCCACCTACCCATGACAACACCAGTAAAGCAACGTACGACAAAACAACTTACACTTTGGGCAATCACAATACGTTCTTCTCTTCCGCGCGGCCGGCTTTCTTCACACGCCGCAATGATGTGGACAGCATACCGGTTCATTCGTCCCCTCGGTAGCCGCAACCCCACGGCTTCAGGCCCCCCCAATCAACGACAAGGATTGATCCCAGCTGACTCCAGACAGTTCGGAACTGGCTTTTAGGCGGACAACAACCACGACATCAAACAACACCGCTGCTTCACCAACACATCCTAAGGCGCACATGACGCAGATACACAAGGGCGAAACGAACACAGCTTTCGCAAGTTCTTCCAGCAGCCACAGGAAATCCCTGTGCATGTAGAGACCCCCGAAGGGCAAAGACGGGCCTTCATCACTCAAACCTCTCCACAGTCCACACACGGCGGCCAAGAAACACATCTCCAGTCCACAACGGTCCCACAAAGTGCTTGCAAGCAGTGCTGTACCGGCCCCCTCCCAACATCGCGCGTCTGAGCGCTCTCAACGCTACAAGCAGTTCTACCCCGTCCTCTTCTCATCCGCATCTATTCCTCGTCCACAACCCAACCCCCTCCACCCTCATCAACTCAAGGACACCTGTCATGGCAATCACGAAAGGGTTGTCATGCAACAAGGTAGGATGGAACTTGCTCCCTACGGGCGGCAGCCGAACGCGGCCAAACGGCGCATTACGTCAACAGTACGGTAAATCAAGCTGAATGGAAACATACGCCAAGGTGCCGCCAGGGTGCTGCCATGCCGCTGTTCGCCGATCTTGGAAACCTGAAGCCCGAGTTGTCAGCGACTCGCCAAGCCACGGACACAGCAGCGCAGGAGTCGTCCTCGACACCCACAACGCTGGAAACCCGGGCCAGCGGTCAAGCAAGCCCAGTCCAAAAACCCTGAACCCCAAGCAACACTTAAACTCCCCTACCCAAACGCAACACACCCCACCTTCCAACCTGCCCCATTCCAGCAACAACAGTCCTCTTAGAAGTGCTACAGGGCGTCTCAACCGCTATCCCACCCATGCAACGCTATCCTCCCCCTCACCGACAAGGCAACGACCTCCTCCTCACGTTATCAGGAATCCGCCTGAGATCGCCACTCCTCGTCACTCGCTCTTCGCCACACGCTAGGATACCAGTAAGGGGTAAGGAAAGGAAAGGCCATGCAGAAACCATGCAGAACCCTCATATGCATCACAGAAGGGAACCATTACCACCACATAGCGTGTTACCCCTACTCTGCTGCGCTCTCCGCATTTCTGTCGTACACACCGCGCCAATGTTTCAGAGGTCACATCTCCGTTTCTGCGCGGTGTCGCACCTCGCATGCACCATGTACCGTACCATGTACCAAGACCGCCCATGCGCAAACCAAACCGGTGTACTCTCTTGCAGTCCTCCTCGTATGCGTCCTCCTCGTATGCAGACCCAAAACACCACCGCGGCACCCTTCTCCTCGTTTTAACCTCTGCCCTCTTCTTCTTTGTCGTCCCTTCAAATTTCCTCGTCTCGTCCTCTCTCGAAAACTCTTACGTGGTCGAGGCAGCCGATGACAGCAGCCGCGCTCAAACCCGCGCGACATGATGCGCGCTACTCTTGATGCGCTCTCTCGCCCTTCAACCCTCTTTCTTGCCCTCTTCAACCCCAACTCACCAACCGCAGTGACAACGCAACGCAACCCCGCCAACACCAGCTTCGCACCAAAGCCTGTAAATGCTCTGCATGCGCGCAGCTACCTCGCACAAAACAGCAAACGGTTATTACCAACCGGATTGCGCCGCTGTTGAACCCCAATCACCAACCGCCGCTAAGGCCTGGAAGCAATCACCAGCCGCGAAGTCTGCTGCTGCAGCTGCCTGCCATTCGTCGCCTCAGGCCAGCCGCCCATCATACCTGCCCCCGCCATACCCACACCACCCGCAACACCACCCGCAGCAGCAGCACCCCACCCAGGTGGCGCCTCATAGCCCCTCTGCCCCACTCCAATCGCACCCGCACCCGCACCCGCATCCCCGCCTCCCGCGGGTTTGTCTTCTTCCTTTCCTCCCGCGCCCTTCCCCTGGAACAGCGTGTGTGGCGCCCGAAGCGCCTGCAGGGCCCGACCCAGGATAGACCCCGATTGCTCGCCGCCGCCGCCCTCATCATCATCATCGTCCTCGAAGATCACCTTTTCGTACATTGTGAAGAACTGCCGTAGCGTCACCTGCAGCAGCAGCAGCAGGACAGCAGTAGGTCAGCATCCAAGCCACACCGACCCCCCCCCAGCCCTCCCCACCCCCAGCCCACCTGCAGGTCTTCCCCCGGCCCACTGAGCCCCACACTCATCATCACCGCCGCCTGCATCTCGTTGATCGGCAGCCCCAGCCGCTCCATGCCGTCCATCAGGGCGGGCATGTCGATGTAGCCTTCAGGGAGGAGGGAGGTGGGAGGCGGGAGGCGGGAGGTGGGAGGTGGGAGGTGGGAGGTGGGAGGTGGGAGGTGGGGGTGGCAATGGAACCCAATTTGGTGGGGGGGAAAGAGGGAACAACTAACATACCCAAATTGGGGGGGGATGGGGGAATGGAGGGGAGCGAAGTGGGGGAGCGGAGCCAGGAAAAAAAGCAATGAAAAGCAAGCACCGCTGCTGCTGCTGCTGTGCCGTACACTCACCCAGCTGCTTGACATCGAAGAACGCATACGCCAGGAACTTGACAAATTCATCATAGCCGATGCTATGCGAGTTGTCGACGTCGATTTCCCACAGCATCGCCTCCACATCCCCCGCGGTGGCGTAGGTACCCAAACTGCGAATCATGTTGGCCAACTCCCCGAACGTCAGCTCCCCCGAACCGTCGTCATCCAGCTCCTCGAACGCCTCCCGCAGCGCCGGGGAGTGGGCTGTGCGCAAGGAGAGCGGGTTGGGGATGTAAAATGACCCATGGGTCATCAACCAAAGCGACAAAGAAAGGCTGGAGAGGGGGCGTGAATGGCTGCGGGAGCTCGTGGACAGGACAAAAGACATGTATGCCTGGCCCCAGAGGGCGCGCGGCCCATCTGCTGCCGTCCCAGGTCCCCGGCAAACCAAGAACTCAACTGACCGAGGCCCCATTCCCCACATCGCTCCCGTCGCCTTCACCCGCCATCCCTTCCAGCCTCCCAAAGCACGCATACACACACGGTACACACACAAACGGTTCATTATTCCTTACGAAAACGCCGACATATTCAGCAGCCTCACCCCAGCCCAACAGCCGCCTTGCCGTACAACTCACTCTTGATCTTGTACGTCGTGGTGAGGTCGCCGTACCAGGCAATGTCATGCCACACCATCATAAGTTCGATGTACAGCGGTTTGAGCTCCCCGCGGTTGATGTGCTTGTCGGCTCGGTAGTCTTTGCCCAGAATGATACCCGCCTGCGTGGAGGGGGGGGGTGCGGTTGGTGATTCGGTTGGTGTTTCGGAACAATTCGTAGCGAGAGACATCCAGCAAGCTGTATAACGGTAAGTCGGCACGTTGTGGTGAAAGTAAGGTTTGTAGCAGCCTTGAAAGGAAGGAAGTGTGCGCGGCATGAAGGGTACAATGGAGTACATTGCGAGCGCGCTTTGTTCCACATTCCCAACGCTCAGCCCCCCCCCTGATACCCGTACCTGCGAGGCGAGGCACACAATGAAGGCGGTTGACAGCCGCGTTTCGCCCTCGTGCATGCCGACAAAGTAGTGCGTCAGCTTCTCAAGCACAATACTGCATTGAGGGAGGGAGGGGAGGAAGGGAGGGATGCGGTAGGGGGGCGGTGGATGAGGAAGTGGGGTAAGGAGGAGGAAGAGACGCAAGAAGAGGCAATGGGGGGAGCGAGACGAGGCACCAAAACCCCACTTGCACGCGCATCCCCATACCCGCGAACCGGAATACCAAGACACCCGCACTCCCGCTGCCCACCCCCCCAACTAACTTGACCTGTGGTTTCCTATGGTTTGGTATGGTCTTTGACCCCCCCAACTCACGCCGACACGCCCTCCTCATTGTCGTCCTGCGTCTTGCTGTGCTTGATTTCCGTCATGACCTCATGCGGCTCCAACACGCCGCACACCGACAGCAACGCGTATTGCGGCAAGAAGACCCAGCACCCAAACACCACCAACACAAAGTTCATGAGCACCGCAGGCAGCCAGATGTAGGTGGGTAGCGCCATATTTCGAATCGAATCAAACTTGTCGTACGGAATGACAAACGCCATGGACATTGTCATGGTCAGCGACGCAACCGCAAAGATGATGTTGAAAACCCACAGCAGCAGGAAGGGCCGACCGTAGAAGAACAGTCGGATGATCTTCTCTTCAATCCCGGACGCCAGCTCGTGCTCCAACATGGACTTTATGGAGTGCTCCTCGTCCTCGGAATCATCGGAACCGTTGCCGTGGCCGTGGCCGTGACCATGGCCGCCGCCGTGTTTTTTGCCGTCGCGACGCGAGGCGCCCAGACTCTTCTTGGACTGCATCCCGCTTCGCAGCTGGTCATTGCGGGGATGACCGCCGCCGCTGCCGCTGCGGGAGGAGCGGGAGGAGCCGGTGTGAGAGGCGGAGGAGCGAGACGCCTCGTCGCCCTCCTCGGGACTGCCGCTGGAGGGGGTGGAGCCCCAGTGCGCGGTGTTGTCGGCGACAAGGGCGGCAGGGGAGGGCGCTGCGGAGCCCGCTGGGGCAACCATGGACAGCATGGGGTTCATGGGCATCATACCCATGCCCCCCATGCCCCCCATCATGCCAGCCATTCCGGGGGCCATGTTCATGCCCATGCCGGGGTTCATGCCCATACCCATGCCGCCCATTTCAGCGATGCCAGCCATTCCGGCCACGCCCATTCCGCCCGCGCCCATTCCGGCGGCCATGCTGTTTATGCCGGGAATTCCCCCGGACATGCCGGGTATTCCATTCGCAGCCATGCCCATTCCATTCGCAGCCATGGCCGGTGACACGCTGCCGCTGGCGGTGGTTCGCGTGCTCGTCGCGCCGTACGGTGACGCGGCGGCGGCGGCAACCAGACTGACGCCGCTGTTGACGGCACTGGCTAGCTGGGAGGGCGCATTTGGGCTGCGCCTTTGCGCTGCTGCTGCTGCTGCTGCGCCAGTACCGTCAATGGCAGCGGCGGTAGCGGCGGCGGCGGCGCCTAGCTGCTGGCCCGGGTACATGTAACCCAGCCCGCCGCCACCGATGCCAGCTCCAGCTCCGCCGCCGCCGCCGCCACCTGCAGCGGTGTTATATACGAATAGCGGGTTACTGACGGTGCCCTCTCCCAGTGGCCCGGCACCGCATTGCAACGAGACATTGCCACCGTCGCCGCCGCCACGCCGCCCGCTGCCGCAACCGTCACGCCAACCGTCCATGCAGCCGCCGCCGCCGCCGCCAGCACCGCCGACACGGGTGTCATGCCAGTTGCCGCTCAGTTCACCCCTGCAATGGACAAGCACCCCGCCTACTTGCGGCCTCGCGTGCTGCGACCCACGGGTCAGTCGCCGGTACCACGCAGGCGGCTGCACACAAGCTTGCGCAGCTTCCCACGACGCGCCCCTTCCACGAGCGCCCACTCCCATTCCCATTCCCACTCTTGCTGCCGCTGCTCCCGAACGCGCCAGGAGCCGCGCTTGCAGCTTCCGCGCCGCCGTCCTGCGCGCCGTCTTGCACGCATCTAACAGGTCCGCCAACGCGCCCGGGCGATGAGATCCGGATGCAGATCCAAATCCGGGTGAAAATCCGGGTGCTTGAAAGAGATCTGCTGACGTCACGCGTGCTGTTGAGACGGCTGCCTGCGCAGCGGAAAGAGCGGCCCCAGCTGCTGCTGCTGCTGCTGCGGGGTCCAGTGTTGTCATTATAATTGTGGAAAGCGCCTCCGTCGACTCGCCCAGCGGCCGAGGTGCAAACCGCAGCTGCTTCGCCGGCTGGGCCGCCAGCTGCTGCGCGCCTGCGGTGCAGGAAGCCAGGCGGTGCAGGAATTCAAGGGGTGTTAGGTAGCGAAACAAAGTGGGTTTGCTCAGGTATGTCGGCAAGGGGGAGGGGCCATCCCAACGCGGGTCACTCTCCTGCGCCGTTCCAACGCCACCCTAATCCCGCGCTGCCTTCATTTCTCTCTCTTGCAACCCTGGCATGCGACACACGTGTGTCGCTCTCCACCCCCACTCGCTATCCCCTTCCCTTCCCGTTCCTCCCCTCCCCTCCCTTCCTTTCCCGCTCACCGTTCATCGCCCAAAGCTGATCCTGCCGCTGCTGCGACCCCACATCTCCCGCCTCCAAGTCCCCTCCTCCTCCTCCTCCGGCTCCTGCTGTGCCTCCTCTGCCCGCAACAGCCAACCCCGCCATGCGACCTCCAACGTATCCCGCCAGCTGCAGTTGCTGCAGTCCCCCCATCTGCTGCGCCTCCGCCAACTGCCGTGCCGCCGCCATCGCCGCCATTGCCGCCGCGTCCTGCTCCCCCTGCTCCGCCACCTCCCCGTCATCCTGTTCCAACCCACCCATTCCCTGGATCTTCCGCCACAGGTTGCGCGCCTCCCGCGCCGTCTTCTTCATAACCCACCTCAGGTTTCCCGCCATCAGCGCCATTGCTACCGTACACACAAACGTCAGCCACACAATCTGATACACCACCTTGTTGTACAGCAGCAGCATGCCCATCATGAAAACAAGCAGCCAGGCGTGGCTGTACACCTCATTCAGCTCAGCTTCCAGGCACTGCTCGCACATGTTCAGGAAGTTGAAGTTTTTTAGTACGACGGCGTGCGCTCTGAAGCGCTTCTCGCACATGAAGCGCAGCAGCGAGTAGAGGTCCTGGTCCACGTAGCCGATGGCGTCACGCCACAGCTCGCGCAGCCGAACCGCGAGGCGCTGGTTCTTGGGGTCCGTGGAGCGGCCAATGACGGAGGAGATGCTGCGTGTGTATTTGGAAGGGAGGGGGGTGATAAGGGGGGGAGGGGAGGGGAAGGGGAGGGGGGACGGCGAGGGTGAGGGCTGGCATTGCGGGTGCTGGGAGCAGGGGTGCGTAACCCGGACCACGCTGCCCTGCTTCCCCCTAGCCCCCTGACTCCGCACTCGCTTACCGCAGAAAGGCTACCGCGGGAATGTTGTGCTCCTTGCGTGCCGTGCGCTCTAACACGCTCCATTTGGAAAGCTGGGGGCGGGCGCGCATGCATGAGTGCGGGAGAGCGGACAGAGGAGGAGGGTGACGTATGATTGTGACTTTGTGAGGGTAGGGGACAGTATGCGGTGAAATGGAGGCAGGGGCGGAGGAAGGGAAAGAACGGCCAACACGGGAATAGCGGTGGGAGCAGGTCAGGCGGGCGGGGTATACGCCAGGGGTTTGCTAGCGCCACGGACGCCCCCGTGTTGTAGGCACCCGGGTACGGCATGTACGGCATTGCCCCCATCCCAGTCCTCGGGGGGACCCAGCATGGGGTGCCACCCGCAAGCCCAGCCAGGCCCCGCCCTGCTGCGGCTCCCAGCCTGCCGTACCTTGACATTCGTAATGACGCTGGTTAGCAGACTGAACAGGATGTGGACGATGGCCAAATAGAATAGGAGGTAGTGGGCAGCATGGATGACTTGTTTGGAAAACACCTGGCGAGTGCCGTACGGACAGACGTAGGTGCCGTACGCCACAGGTGGCGGTGGGGGAGGCGGCGGTACGAACTCATCGGTGTATTCGATGTGGACGCTGCCATCCTTCATGCAGATTTGCTGTAAGGGAGGCTGCAGAAACGGAAAAGCGAGGAGGGGTTAGGGTAAAAATGCGTCCTGCCAGGAAGAGGTAGAAGGCAGGATACAGGTAGCATGCAGCCCACACGCAGGGGGTCCTGCCCTTTAAGCAAGGTGTGTAGTCAAAGGAAACAAAAGCATCGGGAATACCTCGATGAACAGAAGTACAAGTGTGACCACTCCCAGCGCCAGCAGCTCTTCCTTGACGCGGGAAAGCCAGTTCGCCTTTCGACCGCGCAAGATGTTATTTACAAATGTGAGGACGCCCTGCGCAAGCGCGTGTTGGCCAACTGAGCGCCTCGCAAGTATGTGCAATGCATCCATTGAGCGAACAAAGAGAGCTACCCGAGGCTTTTACCTACCACGAGAAGGTCCCAAAAGAGGGTGATTATGAGGAATACAAGGAAAAGCGCTGTCAGCTCCCACCTAAGGGTCGCATGAGAGTTATTGGGTCTTTAATGGGGCACCGCTCGGCCAGGAGCAAGACGTAGATGTACTTCATTAAGACCCACCCTTGTAAATTCGCTGCAGCTCCCATCCTACGCCTTGCTTGCAGGGCGGCACGACACGGCGTTGCCCCTTGCCCGTGCCCCGCTGCGTCTCTAGTTCTATCTCGACGTCATGGGAACCGAATGCGACAAACTAGAGCCGAAGGTCATGCAGATTCACCTGTCTCAACGGTCGTATAGGTTGAGGCAAAAGAATTACTAATTATTGCTTGCTTACTTCATGTTTAATACTGTATTGTATTCTCTTGCATCAGGAGCGGTGAAGATGGAGGAGCCGACGAGCGGTGAACTAAGCAGTACATGCCATTTGGGTGCATGCGACTGAGGTTTCCAACACGGTGCGTGTATCCTTGTGGCTCTTTTACAAACTAATGCTGGCATGAATACGTGTTAGCATTAATTCTGGCTACGAACATGCTCGTCAACCGAGATGGGACACCAGAGCCGTTTTCCTGGTTTACGGCAAACTAAACGACATAAAATCGTCCACTGTGAATGCTACATTGAAAACCCACTGCTGGTTACTTTCGTGGTTATAACTGTCATGTTAAGACGAGTTCTGTTACCGAGGCTTTGTTGGTTCAGCTGACAAGAACTCAAGGCACTTATCACCGTTTTAAAGGTAGCACGGTATAGCTGACTTGGAAGTTTTTCCGCCTCGTGCGATTCCAGAACTGTCTTTGCCTCCGTTGGCGCGGCCCCTCTTGAGACACAGCAACACGCTTCATGCCTACTAGCCTTCTTAGGTTATCCCAGAAGGTACCCCAAAAGAAGGCACCCACCTGGGCGAAGTAAAACCACGGCATATTCCCGCACGTAAACTTCCATCGTATCGTAACGATCCGTGCAATCCATGCGACCGAAAATTGAAAGTCCACACCGTTGAGCAGCGAATCGAAAAAGGGGTAAGCTCTTGCCCTGGGGACCTTCCTCCACCTCGCTAAGAAGGGCAGGGAGAAGCGTCCTAACTGCTACCCCTATCCATCACTTCAGCGCAGGTAAAGAAGACGCCGTCCCATCCGGCCCAAAGCTATTCCACAAGCCGCAATAGAAGCGTGTCCGTCGGTTGCATGCATGTCCTGCATGCGAGATCGACCTCCGCAACCACTTCCCAGCAGCTCCTACTAAGCATCCGCACGCTCAAAAAGTGAGAAAGAAGAGCCACACGACCCGACTGAAAGGAAGGCTATACCGGTATGTACACACTGCCATACACGTCCTCTCCAAAACCCGAGCCTTTTTATTCGTTCAAAACCGCTTTCATGGTGCAATGAGGTCCCATTAGCACCCAACAAAGGTGTAGTCTACGTTACGCATACTCACATACCGGTATTTAGTCCAGACGTCTAGATAGTCAGAATGCAACAACAGACTGCAACGCTGTTGCATTCTTATTATTATTGCAGCGCCCACGCTACCTCCTAGCCGCGCGCTTATGGTGCAACATCATCCCTTATTAAGCGACTGCACAAGCAGCACAGCCACACTGCCCCCTAGTACTATGTACAGCAGGCGGCTTTCCCGAAGACAGACGCGTTCGCAGCGACGAGGGCTCAAAGACAAGACACGCAGATAAACCCAGATGCCATCAGAAAGCGCGTACGTATATGCACATCCAACGCAAGCTTAGCTCTCATCCAGCATCCTTACCCCGTGCCTCCACCCCTCACGTCCGCTCCCTAGCCTTATTTTGGTTGGGGAAAACCCCACCCCTTTATTTGTTCCTTCATCCCATACCGGCCACCCATCCCGCACTCCCATCCTCGCATCCAACACCAGGCACCCAAGCGCACGCAATCACGATACCCTCATGAACCATCCGGCCCTTGGCGGCATTCCTCCACCACCGCCTTTCCCCGCTGGCGTCTCTTACAAAGTAAGCCAGAGCACTATAACAGACATCATGTTACAAGCTCACATGCACAGTACCTCCGGCTGCCGTCCCCCTCCTCCTCCTCCTCCTCCCGCTCATGTGTCCTGATCTCACATGATGGGCGCCTGCCGGCCATGCATGTCCTCGAAGTAGATCAGCTGGTCTATGAGGTGCACGTACTGCATGCGCCCCTGCCCCAGCCGCTGCAGCAGCTCCTGCCTGAAGGCGGCGTCGTCGGTGAGGCCCTGCGCCATTCGCTTGCGGATGTAGCCGTAGATGAGCTCGTACAGCGGCTGACCCAGGTTGTAGGCGCACACCTAGAGGGGGAGGGAGGGCGACAGGGAAAGATGAATACAGGATACCGGTAGGGGGTGTGTTTTGGTTTAAGTAGGACGCGATGAAGTATAGCGTGGCAGCGAAGAGGGCGCGGAGGTGGTAATGATGTGGGTTTTACTCCAGGGGTGCACGGCAGACGGCCACCAAGTCAAAAGGAGGACCGGAGCTGCCCTTAACTTTCACACCGTTTCACGTTCCATCCCTGCCCCTCGGCGCATCCTGAATACCTGCCAGCAGCAGCAACCAGCTTAGGAACACGCCTGTTCGCCCCAGGGACCCGCATCCCTCCCACCCATGCACCCCCCCATGTCTTACCTCCCTCAGCGCCAGAATGCGATCCGCCAGGCCGCCCCGGTCGAGCGCCTGCTGCAGCTGCGGCGGCGCCACACCCGCACCCGCACCCGCACCACCCGCCGGCGCCGGCGGAGGCGCCCCGCCCACTCCGTTCACAAGCTCGGCCTCGAACTCCTGCATGGCGGCACCGTCATGCTGCGGAGCGCGGGCGGAAGGGGGGCAAAGAGGGAGCAGGCCAAACACGGTTAGATGGTGGCGAACACCGGAGGTGAGGGAGAGGTAAGTCGGGTAGGGGGAAGATAGCTGCATGTTGAAGGAGACGGACGGTAGTTCCGACACCATGCTATGGGGCCCACTTGAGGGCATTGAAGCTGTCTCCGCACCGAAGCAAACATTTGTACGTAACGCTGCCGTTAGTGACATACAGCGGGGCAACTGCGCCGCTCTTGACAACACCCCCCCCCCAACCCCAAACACCAAACAAAGCAAACCAGCACGCCCCGCCTGCTTACCCCGTACGCCAGGTGTCCGCTGTAAGCCTCATTCAAGTCGTCATCACTGTCGCTCAGCCCCAGCCCTGACACGCCCCGCTGCGGCAGGCCGCCGCCGCCGCCACCACAGTAGTAGAACCCGCCCTGCGCGCCGCTGCAGCTGCCGGCGCTGCCGCCAATGTCCAACCCGCTGGAGTTCTCGCGGGCTAGCGCGGAGTCCATACCGCCCGCCAGCCCCCCACCAGCCCCGCTAGCAGCATGCAGGTGGTGCATGGAGATGTAGTTCTGTGAGCTGCGGACGGACGGCGGGTCGGCGGGTCGGCAGTGCACTGGGGAGCTGTCGGTGACGCGCCTGTGTGCCGGGCAGCAGCAGCAGCAGCAGCGGCAGCGGTGGCGGCAGGCAGGGAGAACGTGGGAAGAGAAAAAATGAGGAGAACAGATGGGGGGGTAGATGGATGGATGAGGAAGGAAGTAGTGTGGGGTACAGTCTTGCAGGCTAGGCGTTTGCAGGCATGGGCGAAGGTTGAAGAGCGTGGTAGGTACGGATGACGACGTGGGGATAACGGTAGCAAGGGGATAAAGCGGAAGTGCAGGAATGCGCCACACAGCGGTCCATCTGACAACGCTTTCCTGCCCGTTTTGTTGCGTTCTTACCTGTTTGCGGCGATTCCGTTGCAAGCCGACGGCGAGTACAGCTGTTGCAGCCGCGCCGCCGCCTGCTTGCGCTCCTCAAAGTAGGCCTTGCGCGCGTGCAGCAGTTCCGCCTCCCGCCGCCGCGACTCCTCCTCCTTGCGCACCTTCATGCGCGTCTGCACCCCGCATGGGGGAGGGAGGGAACAACAACGCAGCGGCAATCTCAGCAACCCTTTTGCGTCTCTCACAGCGACGCGATGACACGTCAGAGGCCCACATCGTCATTCATCCCAAATTAACTCAGATCACTCCGGAAACACCCTTTCTCACCGTAACCAGCAACCACATCAGCAGGTGACACCCGAACCCAATCTAGACCACCGTGGGCTACGCTATTAGACGGTTCGTACCTTGGGATCCATTATACCAGACGCGCCTGGCGGCGAGCCGTTCCCCAAGCCACCTCCTCCTCCTCCTCCACCCCCGCCACCGCCACCACCGCCATAGTCGGGCGACTGCGGTCGTGAGCTGCGCAGCTGCCGCTGCTCCCGGTGCCGCTCTAGCGCCGTGTCTACGTCACCCGCCAAGTGGGGCAGGTAGGGAGTGGACACGTGCGAGTACTGCCCACCACCCAAACCCCCACCCCCGCCCAGACCACCGCCTCCCCCGGGCGACTGGCCGGAAGGCGGCAGCGGAGACACTTGCATCATGATCTCGCGCTGACTGCTGCGCGCCTTGGGGTGCGTGTGTAGGGCGGGACGGGGTGGGGCGGGGAGAAGGGGGGGCGGGTTGGCGATGAAGGGAGAGAGAGAGAATTAGCGGTGAGGGGTGCAACAGGCGGCACCGTATTAGGAAACCCGTTGGGCCCAACAATCAACTGCCGTTTTTTACCCCAGCGTTCAAGCCCGCTTCAGCCCACCACCAGCCCTCCCTTCCCACCACACCCCCCAGGCTGTCTACCTGCAGCCGTTGCAGCGCCTCCTCCTTTTCCCGCCAGGACCTGCCGGCCAGCCCTGCGCCCCCCGCCACGCTCATCTCCGAGTGTTGGCTGGCCAGCGGGGGGCTCTGCGCCGCCTGCTGCTGCTGCTGCGAAGAGGAGTGGCGGTGGTTGCCGGGGTTGCTGCCGTTGCGGCCGCCGGAAGAGGAGGGCATCCCGGGAGAGCCCGCATGGGTCACCTGGGCGGGGGTGGGATGGCAGGAGTACGGCACAAGAAGCAAGATATTTTTAGCAGGTTTCCGTACATGAGAAGCCGTACAACAGGGACACGACACAGTCCTTCCCCTTCCGCTGCGCCACCCAACACAGGCTAACCTCGGAGATGGCGGAGCCATTATCCCACGGTCACGTCCCATTCTCCTGCGATATACCCCGCTTCGCCTTCCTTTAGCCTTTCGCTTAATGGTATATATGACTCTCACCGTCGTGCCGCCCTGAGGGCGCACTCAGCCCCACCCTTGCAAGTAATGGGCTCCATGGCCCGACATACACCGGCCCCAACCAGTGCCTGCACGCCAACCTCGCTTGACCCTGCCGTCGCCCATCCTCTTTGCTTTTGCCCAAACCTGTGGTTCTCTATGGAAAAGCTATGGTATGGTCCTTGACCCCCCTCCCCCCAACCCTCCGCCCCCCCCTCACCTGCTTGATGAGCGCATCCCGCTCCAGCTGGATGCGCCTCAGTCGCTCCTTGGCGGCATCCAGCTCCCGGTCCAGCTGGCTGGGGGACAGCGCGGCACCGCCCCCCTGGGGGGCGCCACCCCCCGCCGCCCCGCCCCCGCCGCAGCCCGCACCCTCGCCGCCCAGACCCATGCCCACGCTGTAGCTGTGGCGGTTGAGCAGCGGGGAGCTGCAGGGGGGGAAGGAGGAAACCCAATGCAGGGGGGGGGGGCGCAGAGAGGGAGGGCGTGCGAGGAAGGTACGGATAAGCGGGTAGAAGAGATGGAAGAAGAGAAGGTATGGAAGCGGCACAGCCGGCAGGGAGAGACTCCCGTGTGCCTCTGAAGTTGAACACAACTGAGCCGTAGGACGAGCCGTAGGACAAGCTGTGTGCGTGAGCAGCGTGGGGACAAGGTACCGCCAGGATTCCCAGGAGCGCAGGCGGGGGGGAAGGGGGCTCACCCGCCAGAGGCCTGCCCCCCGTGCTCCGTTGGTCTCCCGCTGACGCCGCGTCCACGGGGCCCGCCACCCCGCTGCTGCTGCTCCAGCTGCGCAACCGTCTCCCGGCACCGTGCGACATACTCCTGAAGGGCGTGTAACAAGGCGTAAAGAGGGGTAATGCATGTTTAGAGGGGTTTCCAAAGGTGATTTTGCGATAGGACGGGGAACCGTCTGACGGGGCAAGGTTCTTATATCTCCTGGAGCTTCATCTCGGTTCAAAGGCTGTGCCGCGGGTGCTGGAACACGCCAGTTTGCCGGACGCTGATGTTTGCTGTTTGCAACGTTAGGGCACCAGGCAGGGCAGAGGGGTGTACGGATAAAGCGCGCGCGTACCTTCATGAAGGGCATCTTCAGTATCTGGTCGGGCGACGGACGCATTTTTGGGTTTTTGCACAGCAGCTGCCGTACCAGGTCCTTGAGCTCCTGGCTGAACGCCTGCGGAACCACACGTGTCGCAGCCGCACATGCAGGGGGTCAACGTTGCCGCCATTCTGGATATGGATGTGGATGTGCATGCATGCAAGAGCTGCTTGCCATGTGTTCCTATTTGCCATGTGTTCCTAGCCACGTACACCATGCGTCCATGCACATTTTGGTTCGCGCATTTGCTGCCCCCCCCAGCATGCCGCAGCACCCCGGCGATACCCCTGACATCGCAGAGACAGCAACCACGCTGCATCCTTTCCAGTCCCCACCTGCGGAATGGGCAGGTGCTCTCCACGCAGGATCTTCATGACCAGGCTGGACATGTCGGTTGCATCGAAGGCATGCTTCAAACTCATCATCTCGTACAGCACGCAGCCCAGCGACCACATGTCGGATTTGAAGTCGTACGGCATGGACGACATGACCTCTGCAGCGAGCAGCGAGGGAGGTAACACAGCAGTAGCGGCAGTAGGGCTTCTGTACACGACGTACAGACTGTAACGGTAAGGACTGTCAAAGTCACTGGCGAGACCCGCCTTTCCCTGTTTGCCCCATCATGTACTCCCACTGGCTGGACTAGCCGCAGAGTTCCCCCCGCCAGAAGTTGCACCTGGAGACATGTAGTACGGCGTGCCAATGATGGTGGAGGCAAGGTCCATAGTGCCGTTCAAGGGACGGCTTATGCCAAAATCGCCTAGCCGAATACTTCCACCCGATGTAAGGAATATGTTCTGCGTCTTCAAGTCTCGATGCAGAATATTCTTGGAGTGGACGTGCTGTATGGCTAGTACCACTTGCGCAAACAAATCCAACAGCTGTGGCTCAGGCAAAGCCGTCTTCCGGGAGCGAAGGAGTTGATACAAGTCACCAGCATCGCAATACTCCGTCACGATGCAGAGATGGCCCTTGTACATGAAGTGATCAACATAGCTGCAGACAAAGGGACGCCAATTCGTGTCGCGACGCTTGGCACCAACACGTCCCTTTACAACTACCCAAGAGCTGATGATGTAGTGAATGCTTTCTAGCAAAGTATGGCTCCAAAAGTAGATTGTGTAACCGAAATTTACCTGAGGACCAGCGGGTGTGACAGGCTACGCAAAACCTTGACTTCCGAGTCTGCCGAGGCATCCCCACCATCCACCTTGACCTTTTTAAGCACATACTGTTGGGCGGGGTTGGCTTTTAGGGTCACAAGGTACGCAGACCCATATGTGCCAGTTCCTAACTTCTTGACAACCAGGTAATTTTGCATTGAAAGTAGAAATAGAGTACGCAACTTGTGCCTCTTAAACAGGGCTAAGTCTATTAAGTATTGGTCATACTTGCTGTTGGGCTGCGGAGTCGAACAACACTATTGCAACCACACATAACAATTGATGATGAGTGCCTATATAATATGTGATCGCATGTAAGAAGTTTCTTGCTGTGAGCGGTTTAACGGTCGTCATGGTGCAGTACCTTCAGAAGGTTGATTCGGTGATGTTTTTCACGACGGTGACACGTGACAGACGGTGAACACTACTTTCAGTGGCTATTGCTCATTCTACCAGTAGCTTTGGTAAACTCAACTCTCAAGTTGCGCCGGGAAATTCATGTTGCTGCTTTTCCTATAGAAAGATTCCAACTATGTCGGCAGACAGGGAAGCGCTGGCTAGTGCCCAGGGAGCACGAAATGCAGGGGTTGGGAGGTGCAAGGACAGCCCCATGGGACGCTGGTGGAGGCTAGGGGCCGAGAGAAGATTTCCAGCAAGAGCGTGAAGGTAAAGGTTACACGTTGTAAGACGCCCAAACCCCGCCCCCTGCACAAGTTCTCTTCACTGTCATCTGAACTACCGTTACCGCAGTTACCATGGTACGCATGAAGCATTTCAGCGTCCCAGTGGAGCACCGCTCACGTAACACCAAAACACTCATTTTGCTCCGGAACGCCACGGACCCCACTGCGGCCTGTAAACGCATAGAAAACAGCTTCCAGGAGCAGAGTGGGGCTGGTGCCAAGGCCTGCGCATGCGCACGCCCTAGCCCCTTTCCACCAGTAATATATTTAAGATCATCAAGGACACTAACATGACTAACTAGGTCGGTATAAGCCATGAGCTGAGCCGGACGAGGACCTGCCGTTGCTGGACGTGGATGTGCATGCAGGCTCATGCCAACAACACAATCCACCTCCTCGCGCCCGTCGTTCCGCTGCCACGGCCGCGCTCGCTGAGCGGCGAAAAGGGAATAACCCCTTCACAACGAATGCGTCGCCTGCTGCTCCCATACTCCAGGCAAGGAGTTTACTTCGCCAGCTTGGCCTTGTCAGCCCCGGCCTCAATCTCCTCGACAACGTCGCCAACCTTCTTGACATAGTCAACCAGCTTGAGGACGTAGAACTCGCCGTTCTCCACGAACTGGCGAGGGGGCTCGTTCTCCTTCAGAACGCCCCACACAACAAGGGTCTCGTCCTCGGGATCAGTCACCCCAATAATACGCTCGGGCTCTAGCGAGGGGACGACGATGGGGTCCTCCTCAGTGCCAAACTTGTCCTCGTACATCCTATAATGGCGAAAGTCAAAGGTGGGAAGCAAGCACGTTAGAAGGGGGTGGAGGCAGGGTTTGCAAACCTTGCTTCTATGTTCCTTGTTGTGCTGAAAGTAACATGTTGCTTATAAAGCTTTAACTGATAGTGGATAACGGGTAGGCCAAAGAACGTCGAGGCCGCGCAGGTACAATCCTTTCCGACTGCTAAGGCGCCTTAGACCACGTCCAACAGGAGGCGCGCGCTTTTTGTATTTGTGGAGCTACAGATTGGAGCTTACAACAAGAGTTGTATGCCGTGTGTAGGAGGGCGTTGCTATTGCGTCCAAGTCCCTTGGCACGCAAGCAAAGCGAAATCGAAAATACTTACCAGGCTTCGTGCCACAGCTCCTTGTCGGCCAGAGGACGGTACTTCCTGGCAGGCTCGGCAGACCTGCAATTATGGAGAAGCGCGCGTAAGCTAGGGCCCTCCACGCCGGCGACACAATCGTCCGCCATCAGCCCAACGAAAAGAAGGCACAGGAGACGCTTTAGCTATTGAAAGCACTTCCTATACCAAGGTATTGCTGTTGAACCCAACCTACAGGGCACTAGGCTTGGCCTCAGCTGGTGCGCTCTGGCATGTTGTCAAGCTGGTGTGCAGGCTGCGGACCTGGACAGCGACCTCCTGACCAACGACGCCGGCCGCCGCAAACTGCATTCAAACAAAGCAGTTGAAGGCCATTGTAAGTGTGCCAGCAATAAGTCGTCTGCCTTCAAAGACATCACGAAGGTCCAGGTTGCCGAACCGGAAGCAGGGCCCCACAACCAGGCTAGGTAATGGCCTCTGTCCTAATGGTCTCCTTAATAACCAGTATAAAGCTGAGGGACAGCGGTGCAGCCTTTGCACGAGTCCCGGCCTAAAGTCCCGACAAGCCCGCCGCACCTCAGCGGGCAGGCCCAGCGACCCCGAAGCCCAGCGCCTGCTGCAGCTGCGAGCCGTCCTCGCGAGCAGGCCAGACAGGGAGCCCAGCCGATTCATCCCTGCCGCTATGCTGGCTACTGTCGGAACTGGCTTGATTGATCCCTTGTCGAGCCTAAGTGGTCCGTGTCAAGCAGCAGCGTGCATCGGCCAACGACTACACCAGCCTGGAACGCGATAGGGCTGTTTTAAAGGTATAAGCATCAATTCACCGGGCAGCAAAGACCACTCCAGGGGAGGTTCCAATTCCCTGCTCTTCGCAGTACATCCATCCCCTACTGCGCATCTGTTGCACGTTACAGCCTTGGTAACTTATAACGTTGTCATGCTTTGGAGGCAATAGGATGCTCATGTTCAGGTGTACCCCCAAAATGTACCGCCACATGTTAGGGTGCACAAACAGGAAAGCAAGGAACAGGAACGCAATAGGGCGGTGCATAGACGTGGTCCTCTGTCAATGGGCCATAGTGATTCGGAAGGGCGAATTGATGACCCACGGAAACAAAACGGCCGCTATGGCCCCTAGTAAGCTCAGAGCCAACACGGCAATCAACTTAATCGTTCTGTGCAGAGTCTCCGAATACCCTTATATAGATACCTCCTGCTTGAAAGGCCCATGCGCATTAAATGGACAGCTACTCCCCAGCGCCCTCGCTCGGAATGCAGCTCTTCCTGTGCCTTTTCGCGCACCACCATGTCCCCCGCACGTACAGGCCCCAGCCCTTAGAGGCGCGTCGTCGTTGCACCCTGGGGTTTTGTAAACTTCTGTCTTGCACCCCACATGGTGGCACGCGTGTATGTGTTAATGCCGTGCACAGCCATGTGTTGCCGTCTTGCTTGGGGATGAAATCCCACGTACTTTTACAGCGATGTATTGCTCTCACCAACTTATGTTGCACTCTTGACCCGCCGGGAATCTAGTACGCTTGCTGCACACATCCCTTCGGCTCCATTGCGATTGGCGGGTTTCGGTGAATCGGAGCCTTGCATGAAGCGCCCCTCGTACACGGCATGCACATATTGACATATACAGTATAGCCCCGCTGAGCCCCGCCACCTTTTTAGGGCCCACGATCTGCCACAATAATCAAAATTGTTAACACCAAAAGTGAATATCAGAGACCTTAGTGAGCATTCTGACGACTCCCCCAAAACAGTCACGACTAGCAAACATGTTGGGTGCTACCTTTCGGCACCATATTAACCTGACGTTGCGCAGTAGCGCAGCGTTCAACTGCTGCCGAGCCATCTCCGGTGGAACTGCGGCCGGCGGGCCCGACTCCAATCGACTGATCAGTGAGCTTCCAGTGAATCATTGTGTCTTTGATTCCTTCTTCTAGCATCACTTCTTTAGTATTCGCATAGCCGCGCTGCAAAGGTTGCCGGGCAGCAACAGGGAGACACGTAGGCTGCGTGAGCCGACCTTTGGGTCATCATTCCGAAAACTCCGGAAGCTCGAGTCTCGGGCATTTAAAAAAAACTTGAGTAAATCCTACAGGTGGTCTGCTTCCTAAAGCCGCAAACCTAACGCTTTGGCCCGGAAGCAGCTCGCGTTGCCTGGCGCGGCGAAAACAGCTATGTTTCAACCACATACAAGCATTTTCCGGGCTGAAGCATGGCCCAACCAAAATGCAAGCTCAAACATCACGCCAATTAATTGACGCACCGACCGCACCGTCCGCAACCCCTCTTCCTTGCCCTCCCTCCAGATGGCGTGGTTAACAGGCTTGTCGAGCGCCTCTCACGCGGCGACTTCGATCCCGGCCGCGAGCCGCAGCCCAGCAGCGCCGGCGGCGCAGGTGAGGCCGGCGGCGGCGGGGGTGGCGGTTTCGTGACGTACGACTACGATGCCGTACCGCGCTCTGTCGACGTCGACGCCTTCCGCGAGGCCCTGTCGCGGGCGCTGACGGAGCATGCGGGCGCCATTGGCGGCCGCGGCGGCGGCGCGGGGGGCGGTGTGGGAGGCGAGATGGCACGGAAGATCCTGCAGGCGCCCCCCAGTGAGCGGCAGGCCATAGCTGAGCAGCTGTCCAGCAAGGGTGAGTGGTGCGGAGGAGGTGGGGGGTAGGGAGAGTGTGTAAGGGGGAGAGGAGATCTTGATTACGGTTTTCTCCTCCGGGGCTGGCTGCTGGTGAGTGGTGACCGATCACCCTAGGTGTGACCGCCATCCCATCGCATGCATGTTGCGCGGGTGTGCGTGAAACGTGGGTTTGCATCAAACTCATGCAGCGTGAAGCTCCGCTCTGTCCGGTAACCTTCCCCACCTCCCCACCCCTGCAACGACGCCATTCCTGGGTCATTCCTTCCCGTCCCGCGAGCGCATTGGGTCCTGTGCCGTACTGGTTGCCCTGCTGCCCTGTCGTACTGTGTACCGCAGTTCCGGAGCAGGAGCTGACTCGGATGCTGGCGGAGGAGCCGGTGCCGGTGGTGCGCAGCCGGCTGGCGGGGATGCTGCAGCGGGGCGGCTTCTAGGTGGGGCGCGAGTGGTGGGACGATGGTGGGACGGTGGTTCGCCATGAGGGCGGTGGTTCGCTATGAGGTCCGCTGTGAGGGCGAAGGGACACGCAGTTGGGTGCGGCGCGTGTGTGTTTGCTGCGACCATGTGGTCATGTGGCAGGGGCATTGCGTTAGCCGCGACGCGCTATGCAGGCTGCGTCATCTGGAATACGCGGATGTGACGTCATGCACCCGGCTGTGGCGGCCATGCAAGTCAGGCTGGGCTCTGGGAGCTTTAGACGGGCTGCGTGCGTAGAGGCAGCAGGCCACTCGGCAGCAGTAGCATCAGTAACAGGCCACTCCGGGGGAGGAGGGTGGAGGGGGGGAAGGGAGGAGAAGGCGGAATGGAGAGGGAAAGGCCGATCGAGGGAGCGAGGAGGATGGAGGAAAGGCATCAGCCTGGGTCTATGTGGAACATCGTCGTCGTCGTTTAGTTGTTATGTGGAAGGATAAGAATGCATGCATCCATTGCAAGACGGGCTTTACCGAGTGCGCTGGCTCAGGTGGTGTCGTATTTTGCCGCCTGTGTAAGGTGCTGGATAGGGAAGAAGAAGGGAGTCCTGTACGGGAATTCGTGTTTTCTATTGCCGTACGGTCGAGATCTTGACCTGGGATCTGAGGTCGTCATGCTGTTCCGCGGTTGTAGCAAGGGAGACCAGGCCTCGGCACTTGGCGTGCGGTAGTAGGCTGTGTTGAGTTGGTCGAGGCCAGTTTTGTTTCGGGCAAGACGCAGGCTTGCCATTGTTGTCGGGCAGCTGTTGTGTGCATTGTATCAACATACACCATGCTTCTTAGTTCTTACCCGGGGCCAAGCCAATGGTCCGGCCCCCATTGGGTAACCTTGTAAGACGCAACCTGTTTCGAAGACACATGTACTGTCCTCCTACCAAACGAAAGACAGAAGTGACGCTTGAAGGGAGCAGCGCCGTGCGCGCCCAGACTAACAAGTAACCACCCATCGGTGGTTGGTCGTCAGCTCGATATTAACCAGAACCACCACAACAGCAACGACAACATTACCCGGTCTGTTAGGATCTGTTAGGATGTGCAACTCGAATCTGCATGCAAATGCACAAGCAGCGTTGCTATTATAGATCTATGGCACAACACTCCGCATCTTCCTCAACACATGCAACCATGGTATGCGTGGGGCTCTGGGGAGGAAGCACTGCGCAACAACAACTGCCCATTCCCTCACGATGCTGCAAGTGCAGCACGGTATTGCAGCATACAACGTATATATGCGACCAGCGTATCGGACTCTCATCCCGCACCCCTCACAATGCGCAAAACAAGGCCCTCATGGGTGGGTCATGCAAGCCCAGTACAATGTCACTACGATGCTTCCAAGAGCGCTTCAATATCACTCAGCACACCTGCGCTCTAGCACAGCCCTGCCGTACAAGTACAGGGAGAGCACCGCCCCCATCTCGAAAGTACGCGGTCGGGGCCTGACGAAGTTACTCGGAAAGGACTCGCTCCCCCCCTCCATTCCCTCGCCCCTCGGCCCTCGCCCCTCGGCTCTCTCCCCATTCGCACCTCAACCCCTCTCCTCTTTTCTGTTTCCCACTCGTACAACCCACTCGTACAACCCGCAACATCCTACACCGCAACACGTTCTCGGCTCTTCCAACCCCAAAACATGAGGAACAGAAACTCAGCATGCAAGACACAAGAGCGGCCAGTAAGGGGAACGAACACCTAGCGCACCCACCTCCTCAACTGCCCCTCAACTCCCACTTCCCCGTCTGCACTCTTGCTCTGCACTCTCTTGTCCCTCTCGCTTTCCTTCACCCCTCGCTTCCCCTACGCAAGAGGTCTTCCCTGCTTCCTTCCTTCCCCTTCGCCCCTCACTCCGCAACCGGGATCAGGATGTCATTCGTCCTCAACCACGGCAGGCACCACGGCGGGTTATACGAGCAGTACTGTACGGCATTTGGGTCATCCGACAGCCGTACGCCCTCTCGCTCCGCCGCCGACCGCAGCTCGGCTTCCCGGCTGGCCGCCACCTGCTGGCTCATGCTGCCTCGAAAGGTAACCGCCGCGTAGGATCGCTCCGGAACCTCAATCAGCTTTACGCGGGCGTCCTTGGGCAGGGGGAGGTCAGCAACGGAGGAGTACTTGCTTGGCATGATGAAGGACATGACACGCTGGGTACCGGGAGCGGGGGCTGGAGGGGGGTTGGGGTCGGAGCCGGAGGCAGGGCTTGGGGTGCTGCTGGCGGCGTCGGGGGAGGGAGCGGTGGCGGGGGAGGTAGAGGTGGTGGGGGTGGGGGTGGGGCCGGTTTGCATGACCACGGGTGCGGTCATGGCGATCTTCTGGGAGTCGGCGGCGCCCTTTTGCATGACGACGGGTGCCGTCATTTCCACCTGTGTTAGGACAGGAGGACGAGGGAGGGGGGAGGGGCCGTTGGTGTGCCTTGGGAGGGGTCGGTTGTGGTGAGAGAGTGGGACGGATGCGGTGCTCATAAGCTTCGTAACAAGGCGTGTCTCCTTGCTCCTGGGTCTGACCTCCTGGGACATCTTCACCCAAGACATCTTCACCCAATTTCCCAAACAAGATGTTCCCATGCAGGCATAGTATCCCTCCACCTGTTAGTAGCTACGTAAAGGACCCACCTTCTCGCTGGCCTCGCCCGTCCGGGACGTGTTGCCGCCAAAGATGTAACCTGTGGCAGGTGGATGCAATGGACCGGAGACGTTTGGGTAGGTTGCCCTAAAAAATACGCAGCGGAAAGGCAAGGTATGAAACATACTGGCTGGACCTAATACCCAAGGGATGGCCATGGCACCGAACGTGGCCGTAGGTGAGGGCCATCCATCCCCGCATTTGTGTGGATGAGGGAGGACCGGACCAGCCTTGCCACCCGCGCCCTACCGGCCAGTACGCGAAAAGGCGAGTTAAGGTTGTTCATAATGGCGTCGTTGGGCGCGCTGTCATATAACACCTCGGCCCGGACTTGCGGTGCATATTTGCGAAGCTCCGCACCCTTCACGCCAGCAAACTGCTTCAGCACAGTGAATTTGGGAGTCTCGACTGATATACCTCCGAAGATGGTCGACATCTCTGCTATGGACTATCTTGTATAACGGTAGTTCTTTAGACCTAGGGCTTTACTCAGTCAGGTGCTACTGGCTATGTAAGATGTTGCAGATACTTAGCAGGTGTTAACATCGCTGCCTAGCAGCCCCAGAAGGCAACTGTTGGAAAGTGGCGTACTGGGTAAGCGCTTTGGAAGAACGTCATCGAATGCATTGTGCAGGAGCTGGAATTTTTGTAACAAACCCCTTTCATCAGACTCCATTGAATTGGCAGAGTGTAACAAGGTCGCATTGATTGTCAACACTTAACAAAAATGCAACACCCAGGGCTTAACAGTATCAGACTGTCAGGCAACATTGGCTTCGATAGCAACCTGTATTAAAATTGGCTTCTCTGCAATTGAAAGGAAGGGCCACTCCGAAGCAGCAGGGCCCTGATGCCCGAGTCGTCTTGGTCTCCGAGACCATTCTAAAGCGGCGGGAGAGGAGGGGCTTGAGGTATCTGGCGTTCCATACGTGTGTGGCCGACACTTATGCAATGGCAACATGCCGACGACTTGAGCCTTTCGAGCTGCAGCAGCTCCAGCACCTTTTTGAGCCTTTTGCGCATGTGTTCGGCACGCTTCCTTGCACAAGCTTGAAACAGAAGGAGCTTGGTAAGCATGATAACAGTAGAAACAGTACACATCGTTCGATATTTGCGGCGCTTGGTACTAGAGGGCTAAGAAGCATGTTTGTGTAACTTCAACGTTGCAGGGCGCCAGGCGCAGAAGAATTTCATTTTGCAGGATGGGAATCTTGGCCTCGACGCTTCCTTGCACAACGCGGCTGCCCCACTTGGGGGTGACCATGTCACTGCTCCACATGCCATTGGCATCGGCAACGAGCTTGCAGACATGTTCATGCCCCAAGGCGGTGATTCAGCACGTTCCGCAAAAGCCGCTGCAGCTGTCCCAAATCTCCTTCAGAGCCCTGCCGCTGCAAATGCGGTCGGCTTTGCAACTCCCGCACCTGCCCGAGACACATCCTGTCTAACCCCAAATGAGCCCACCAGCATTCCACCGTCCGTACCGCCCCTAAACAACGTTCCCCAAACCTGCTTCGTCCCAGCCACGGTATTGGACTTTGTGGGCACCTACGCGGAGTATGTACGCCTGCATGGCTCCGAAACCCACTCGGGAAGCGAAGGTGTGGGCGGCGCGGGCGGCAGCCACCCTGCGTTCAACCTTCAACACATCCACATGGTTCCGGAGACTTGCCTAGATGAGCTCGACCTCATGCCTCCGCCTCGCGTGCTGCCACCACCATTACCAGCTGCTGGTGGTGGTGCTGCTGCTGTTGTTTGCCCTCCTGGCGAAACAGCAGCAGCAGCTGCTGCGGCCGATGTTATTCCTGCCGAAATTGACGGAGTGGTACAGGAGAGCGAAGACCAGGCAGGGGCGGGGGCAGCCGGGAGCCTGGCAGTGACGGGTATGATGATGCCAGCAGGCGCAGAGGCGGGGCTAGGCGCAGGGGTAGGGGTAGGCACCGAACCAGGCGCAGAGTTGTTTGCGTTCATCGCGCATTCCCTGCCCTGCAGCTCGGAGGTGTCGGAGATCCCAGCAACCAACGAAGAACCGCAGGAGGGGCTGCCGCTGCCGCCGCCGCCGCAACCGGCAGCTGCAGCTGCTGCTGGCGTGCAGGAAGCCTCGCAGCCGCCTGCTGCAGGGCCCCCGCCGCCGCCTGCTGTGGAGCTTGGAGGCGGCAATGCGGTGTTGGAGGGCGGCGTCTCCAGCGGCACTGGCAGCGGTGACCTTGCAGGCTCGCAGCCGGGCGGTGACACCGCTTCTGGTGGTGTTGTTGCTTTGAACGCCGCCCCACAGCCGCAGCACCAGCAGCAGCAGCAGCAGCACCCGGAGCGAGGAGCGAATGCGGAGGAGGGAGCGGACTTGGCTGCACAGCCGCTCACCGGCGCCTCGCCGTTCACTGTTGATGCCCCACAGCACCAGCAGCAGCTGCAGCCGCCCGGACAGCAACCGCACCCACGCCCACATCTACAGCCGCAGCCACTCCATACAGCACTTGGTGTGGCATCGCTGCACACCGCTGTGGCGGTTGCTGTCAGCAGTGCAGCTGCCCTGGCCGCGGCAGCCACCCAGCCGGCTGCCGTGGCGGCAGGCGCCCTGTCCGTACCCGGTGCTGTTGCGGGGCAGCAGCAGCAGCCGCAGCCTGCACTGCTGCCGGCGTTTGACTACCTGCTGGATGAGCCCACACCGCCTCCCAAGCAGCTGCCTAAAGGCGGGTGTGCGGGTTGTTTGCAGGGGCTGCTTGATGCGCGGTGTGCGGTGCGGTAAACGGATTTGGGTGCACAGCAAGTGGGCCGGTTGGGTGCACAGCAAGTGGGACAAGCAAACGTGAGCGGATGTTCACCACTATGACCACAATGGTGTATGTTCTGTTTGGGCGGGGTAAGTGATGCATGTATGTATGAATGTATGCCGCAGGGCATAAGGAGGTTCTTGTTTCCTTGCAGGTACGCGCCTGCTCAGGCCGGGGCAGCGAGCGGCACCGCCGCCGCCACCACGTTTGGCGATGGACGCAGGTGCCTCAACTGCTGCTGCTGCTGTGGGTCCTGCAGGTCCTGCTGCCGCCACCACCGCCGCCGAAGCAACAAACCACCAACAATACAACCAACAGCAACAGCAATCGCCGCAGCAACAGCAATCGCCGCAACACGTCCCGTCCAACTACCCTCCATACCCGTCGCCGCTGCCGTCACAACCGCAGCTGCCGCTACCGTTGCCGTACCTCTCTGAACCGCAATTCCTGCTACCGCCGCCGCAGCAGCAGCCGCTGCTTCAAGCTCAGCAACAGCAGCCGGGTCCGCAGCAACCACAGCCGCAGCCACGCCCGCCACAACAACCCCACCCGCATGCATGGAACGGCAACAACAGCGCCGGAGGATGGCCGCCGGGGGCTAACCCAGATCACGCGGGCACGTTTCCAGCCCCCCCACAGCACCTTCGCCAGTCTTCTCCTACACCGGTTCCCCATCCGCCTCCACTCTCCACGCCCATGCAGCACCACCAACGCGAAAGCGGACGCGAGCCTTCTCCTCCTCCGGTTCTGCCCCCGGTTCCGGCTCCACAACAACACCAACACCCCCAGCACGGCGGGGCCCTAGGCCCACTGCAACCCACATCGTCATCGTCAGCTGCTGCTGCATGGTGCCCCCCTGGGGGGTGTCGGGGGACTCCTTCTCCACCACCACCGCCGCCGCCGCTGCCGCCGCCGCCGCCGTTGCATTCTGCTGCTTCCGGCGGTCCGGCAGGGCACAGTGCCGCTGGCAGGGGCAGCGCATCCGCTACGCACCCCCAGGCTGCTGCTGACATGCGTCATCAGGTGCTACACCAGCACCCGCACCCACCGCCGTACCAACAGCAACAACAGCAGTGGCCTCAGCGAACCGGAGGCGATGCCGGCGGCAGCTACCCGCATCAGCCCAACCAGCATCAGCAAGCTGCGGCAGCGTCGTGGGCCCCTCCGCAACCCCACCTGCAACCCCCTCCGCAGCAACAACAGGGTCAGGCACATCATCCGCAGCCCCCGGGCTACCAGCCGCAACCCCGCCACCCCACCCCACCCATGCAACTCCAGCCGCAGCACCCGCATCAGCACCAGCAGCACCAGCAGCCGCAACCCCACCACGGGCAGCAGCAGCAGGGGCAGCAGGGGCAGCAGCAAGGTTCTCTGTACGGCGCCCAAGCGGCCCCGCCTGGACCCGTACAGCAGCCTCTCGGCGCGCCAGAGGGCGCATGGAACCGCCAGGGGGCCCAGGGGGCTGGGGGGCCTGCTCCGGAACGACTGCTGCTGCCCATACCGACTGGACCCCACTCCGCCCACAGCGGCGCTCCACAACCCGGGTCTGAGCACCTGCACCACATGCTGGGCGGCCCGCAGATTCCACAGCAGCCTGGTATTTGGCAGCCGCCGCCGCAAGCGCAGCCGATTCCGCAGCAGCAGCAACCGGCATGGGGTCAGCACGCAGACACCAGCAGCCGTCGCGCTTCGCTGCCTCCGCAGCCGCCCGGCCATTCGTCACTCGTCCAGTCTCGGGCGCCTTGGGTGCAGCAGCAGCAGCAACAGCAACAGCAGCAAGGCCCGCAGCCGTATCACCACCACCACCCGCACCAGCAGCAGCCCCAACAGCCCCAACATCCTCACGGCGCTATGACACCCCAGCCGCCACATCAGCAGCACCAGCACCAACAACAACACTTCACACCGCAGCCGCAGCTACCGCAGCCTTACGCCACGGCATCCTGCCAGCAGCAGCAACAACAATACCAGCAACAACAACACCCTCCTCGTGGTGCGTTGACGCCCCAGCACCGCCCCTCTGCGGCCCTGCCGCCACCACCCCCGCACCACACACGCGCACGGAGCGAGCCGCCACCCGCGTTATCATTGTCCCGCATGCCCCCAGCAGGGGTGTCCTCAGCAGGGGTTGCAGGGGTGTCCTCAGCAGGGCTGCCTTCAGGCGGCGACAACGCTGCCCACCCCCCTCATCGCGCACCGCAGCCTCCACTGCCACCGCACCTGGCATGGCAACAACACCAGCAGCACCCGCAACAGCTGCCGCAGCCACAATCCATGCAACCCCCGCCGCATCCGGACATGCAGCGCCGGCGTACATCATCCATGTCCGGCATAACTCCCTTGCAGCCGCAGCCCGAGCACCTGCAACAGCCCTGGCAGCAACACCAGGCACCGCCGCCGCCGCCGCCGCAGCAGCAGCATGACCAACCAGCGCATATGTTGTCGTCGGCGCACATGGCAGGCGCAAGCGCCGCTGATGGGGCGGGGGCGCCGGTGCAGGGAGGAGGAGATGGAGATGGCGATGGCGGGCAGGAGGAGTGCGGCTTCCGTACCGCCGGCAACCGGCCCATCGCCCTGAGTGCAGCAGCTCGGAAGCGCGCCTCGTCGTTCTGGACCAAGGTCATGGAGGAGGCTGATGCAGCGGAGGTGGGGGCGGAGGCGGGGGCGGAGGCAGCTTCGGGTGAGCGGAGTCTGGACCCAGGGCCGCAGCAACAGCAACAGCGCCAAGAGAAATCAGGCGGTGGCGGTTCCGGCGGCAGTAACGTCGGCGCAGGTGGGGATGCCGCCGGCGGGAGCGCCGGTGACGTCAGCGGCGGTGGTGGTGGTGGTGGGTTCATGTTTGCTAGCGGCAGGCGGCCGCAGCTATCCGCGGCGGCGATGCAGCGAGGGGCCTCCGTCATCGCAAAGGTGCTGGCGGCGGCTGCGGCCGCTGATGGTGATGATGAAGAGGGGGGAAACATGGAGGCCACAGAGCGGCCCCCGGGGCGCTTAGGTGAAGCCTCATCTGCGGGGCTCCGTACGGCAGTTGCGGTTGCCGCCGCCGCTGCGGGCCCCAGCAGGGCTCTTGGCGACGCGGGAGCCGGTGTGGATACCGTCACTGCGACAGAGGGGCCCGGAGGCTTGGTAGGAGGAGGCGTTATGGTGGCGGGTGGTGGTGAGGCGCCGCCGGCTGCGGAGGCGCAGGCCGCATCAGCCCATGGGCGCATGGGAGCTCCAGGGAGGCCGGATGGCAGTCGAGGCGGAGCCGGGTCGGCAGCAGCAGCAGCAGCAGTAGCAGTAGCAGCTAGCGCCGCTGCTGGGTCTGCTGTGGTTGCAGCTGTGGCTGCTGAGGCGGGTGCGGGTGCGGGTGCAGCTCCTCCAGCCGTTGGTTTCGGAGGCTTCAGCACGGCAGGTGGGAGGCCGGTGGTGGTGTCTGAGGCGGCTCGAAAGCGGGCTGCGGGCTGGCTGGCCAAGGTCATGAAGGACGATGAAGGCGATGACGGTGACGTTGGTGGCCGCGGTGGTGGCGGCGAGGGAGAGGTGGAGGGCACCAAGGCCGACTTGGCGGCGGTTGGTGGCCTTGGTGCCCTCAGCAGCGCCGTTGTGAAGGCCGTGAACGCTGGTGACGTGGCCAGCCGTACAATAGCAGCGACCGCAACGGTTTCCAAAGCAACAGTCAACACAGCTGGAGCGGTTGCTGGGAGTGGTGCAGCAGCAGCAGCGGCAGGAGGTTTCGGAGGCTTCAGTACGGCCGGTGGAAGACCGGTGGTGGTTTCGGAGGCGGCTCGAAAGCGGGCTGCGGGCTGGTTGGTTAAAGTTTTTCAAGAGGAGGAGGACGACCCGAACAATTCCGATGTGACGGCAACAGGCGGGCGGGAAGGCAACTGCGGCGCGAAGGCAGGTGGCAGCGAACGAGCCGGAGCCGGTAAGAATGCAGCTGCCGCTGCTAGCTTCAAGGTCGCAGCGGGTCCCGGTGCCGGTGCCGGTAATGCAGGTGCCGGTGCCAACACTGGCCTAGGAGAGCAAGCTATAGGAGGCCCCCCGGATGGGGCCGCAGGAGGAGCCGCAATGCCTGTCGCTAACGCAGCTGGTGGTAGTGGCGGTGATGATGATTGTGGGCGTAATGATGCCCCGGGAGGAGGACCGTCAGCAGGGGGCTTTAGCGGAGGCTTTAGCACAGCAGGGGGATTCAGTAGCGGCTTCAGCATTGCGGGCGGGAAGCCGGTGGTGGTTTCGGAGGCGGCTCGCAAGAGGGCTGCGGGCTGGCTGGCCAAGTTAATGAAGGACGATGACGAGGGCGGTGAAGACCGCGTCGCCCAGGAAGAGGATGGCCATGACTCTACAGCCGGCACGAATGCCCCTGGAGTCGCCTCAGACGCTAAGCTGTTGGGCAGCATGGTGACAGCGGGTGCAGTTGCCGCCACCACCACCGCCGCCGCTGCGACTGCTGCTGCTGCTGTTGATGCCGCTGCTGGTGTCACGCCAGGAGGAGGGGAAGGAGCCGGTTTCGGAGGCTTTAGTACGGCGGGTGGAAGGCCGGTGGTGGTTTCGGAGGCGGCTCGCAAGCGGGCTGCGGGTTGGCTGGCCAAGGTCTTCCAGGAGGGGGATGATGAGGATGGCGGTGATGCGGGTGCGGGTGCGGCAGCAGCAGGAGACGCCGGCGGCAACAGTAACGGTGACGCTGCTAGGAGAGCTCCCGGCGTGACTGCCTTTGGTATGACTGCGCCCGGCGGCAGCAACAGCACTAGCGGACCCACGGGCTCATCTGCTGCTGCTGCTGCCGCTGCCAATGCACCCAACAAGAGGCCCAAGCCCAGTCTGCCGCGTGGGTCCGGAGCCTTCAAGCCGCCTGCACGCATCCCCGTAGCTGCCCTTGGCCCTTCAGCGGCGGCGCCAGTTGCCGCGGCTGCAACCGCGGCACCGGTTGACATTAGCGGCGGTAGTGGTGCTGGGAGCAGCGGCACCGGCGGTGGTGCTGGGACTGTCGGCGGCGGCGGCGCGGGCGTGCGGAGCCATGCCCTGGAGAAGCCAGCTACCGCGCATGCAAGCAGCAGCGGCATGGAGGAGGTGACGACGAAGGTCACTCTACCCGCCAATGCGGGAACTGCGCTGCCGCCTTCTAACGCAGCAGCAGCCGCAGCAGCGGCGCTCCATCCTCCCAATCCCAATCCCCAGCATCCTGAGAGGCCTCTCGCTGTGTATGCGGTGCCAGAGCGGCCAGGCCAGCAGCACCAGGGCCCCCAGCAGCAACAACAACACCCGCACCAACAGCCGCCGCAGCCGCATCACCAAGGCCAGCACAACACAGCACCACCTGGGCTGCTCAGCGGCGGTGGCGGCTTAGCCCCGAGCGGCATTACCCACAGCCAGCAGGTTTCCTCCAGCGGATCGCAGCGATCCATAGGTCGGCGCCTGGCGCCCGCTGCCTCCGTGGTGGCTCTTCCGCCCGCAGCCTCCGCGCTGCCTCGTGCCGGGGGCCTTATGCTGGCTTCTGGCAAGGCGGTGGTGGTGAGTGAGGAGGCCAGACGGGCAGCGGCGGCCTTGCTACATGGGGCCGTCGGCGGCGCTGAAGGCGGTGGCGGCGGCAGAAGTAGCCCTGAAACAGCCCATGGCGACGGCGGTGGTGGTGGTGGTGGTGGTGTTAGGGCGCTTGCCAACGCCGCGGGTCCTCCTCGCGCAGATGCTGCTGAGCGAGAGAATGAGAGACTCAACGGAGGCGCCGCAGCAGCGACCGCAGCAGCAGCGGCGGCGGTCGTACCTGTGTCGTATCCTGCCGTACTGCCCGGGCTGATGGATCCTGGCGGAAGGATCGTCACGCCCGACCCCCAGCGGTTGGCGGTGGCAGCGGCGTTGTTGTCTTCATCGGCTGTGGAAGCGAGCGGCACCGGCGACAGGCGGCAGACAGGCAGCGACAGTCCGACCACCTCGCCGGCGGAAACAGCGGTGCAGCAGCCGGCGGCGGCGCTGCTGCCAGGCCCCCAGCAACGACAGCAGCACAGCAAGCAAGGGCAGGAAGGACGTTTGCCTACGCCTGGTTTCGGTTTGATGACGGCAGGCGGCCGGACGGTGCAAGTAAGCGAGGAGGCGCGTCGCGCGGCTGCAGCCATGCTGGGGTCCGCAACAGCGACGGTAAGAAGCGAGGAGGCGGATGCGGGGGGCCCCCCTGCTGCTGCTGCTGCTCCCGCCCGAGCCCCGACTCCTGGCCTCATGACGGCAGGCGGCCGAGCCGTGCAGATAAGCGAGGAGGCTCGGCGCGCAGCTGCCGCCATGCTGGGTTCCGCCAGCAATGCCGAGGAGGGGCCCGCCCGCCCCGGTCCACCCGTTAGCGCACCGTCGCCAGGCCTAGGCCTGATGACTGCGGGGGGTCGTAAGGTTCAGGTCAGTGAGGAGGCACGAAGGGCGGCGGCGGCCATGCTGGGTTCAGCCGCAGCCACATCCGCGGCCGCGGAAGAGGAGTCGGCGGCTGGGAAAGCTACTGATGCTGATGCTGATGCTGATGCTGATGCTGATGCTGATGCTGATGCTGATGCTGATGCTGATGCTGATGCTGATGCTGCTCCCGCGCCGGCTCCATTCGCCTTAGGTCTAATGACGGCAGGCGGCCGGGCAGTGCAGATAAGCGATGCGGCTCGGAAAGCGGCTGCTGCCATGCTGGGTTCAGTGACAACCGCCGCCTCTGCAGAGGGAGGTGGTTCGCCCGATGCTGCTGCCGCAATCGCTGGTGACGCTGCTGTCGTAGGAGGCTCGGACGACAGCGCACATCAGGGCTCGGCTGCCGCTGCTGCCGCAAGCCTTTCTACAACCCTTTCCCTCACTACAGATGCATCCGCACTTGGTGTAACAGCAGCAGCAACAGCAACCACCCATCTGGGCCCATCCGGGATTTCCAACGCCCTCCCCGGTACCCCGCTGCGACAGCCGCTGCTGCCAGCGGCAGCAGCGGAGGCTAGCGGCGGCGGCAGCGGTGCTGCCGTCACCCCGCATGCTGCCTCCGCCGTCACCCCGCATGCTGCCTCCGCCGTCACCCCGCATGCTGCCTCCGCCGTCACCCCGCGCCCCGCACTGCCATCCGGGCTGCCCGCGACAACACCAGCCACGGGGCACCCGCGGAGTGCTGCTGCCCTCACCGCCGGGGGCTTGAAGCGGCCGCGAGTCGCAGCGGAGATGGGGGTGGGTGCTGGTGCCGGAGGAGGAGGAGGGTTGCCGACCCATGGGTCACGGTAAGCATTAGCCCTCGTACAGGTCGCGTAATTGTGCGCCCTTTGAACCGTGTCCATCCCAACTATTAACCGTCTCTCCGAACTAGTTGTCTCCCTACGACCACTACGATACCCCCGACGTTCATTCATCGCCCTCCCTCCCCCGCTGCGCCGCTGCAGTCGGCCTCCCCGGCCCGGCAGCGCCCCTGCTGCTGCGGGTGGCTCCAACAAGCGAAAGTTCGTGTCGCCGGTACCCGCGGGCTACAAGGGCAAGCCGGGGGCCTCGGGGGCGGCAGGGGCGGCTGCGGCAGGGGGGCATCAGGCGGAGGGGCAGACGCCGTACCGGCCCGCAGCAGGAGCGGGAGCGGGTGCGGAGGCGGCGGGCGGGAGACGTGTCAGCGGGCAGGGTGAGTGAACCTCCGGTGTGCCGGCAGAGGATGTTCCTAGGTATGGTAGCTTTGGATTCGTGACGCAGCTCATGGAAGCGAAGGCTCATGGACGGCAGTGAAGCGCCTCCCAAGCTGCTGTTTTCCATGTCCGTTGGTCGCAGAAACTGGCGAATTGCCTCGCGCCGCCGCCGTCCAGTCACCATCCACCCTATTCCCAGCCCTGTTTACTCCCACCCCTGGCGTCTCGCCTGCTCTCGACTCCTCCACACTTGCACACCCTTTTCCCCTCACACCCCCTCCAGGCTGCTCCCCCAAGCGCCCACGCCTCTCCTCCCTGTTCGACATGGAGGGGCCGGGTGGGCTGTTGACGCCCAAGTTGCCGCTTCGGAGCTACTTTGGCCAGCAGCCGCAGGCAGCAATATCCCCCGCGCCGCCCTTTCCAACCCTGCAGCTGCACTGGGACGGCTCTAACGCGATGGGCGCTCCTGCTGACGATGGCGGTGGCAGAGGCGATGGCGGTGGCAGAGGCGATGCCGGGGCGGCGGCGGGGCAGCAAGCTCCTGCTGCGCATGATGGAGGTGGTAGCTGGGGTGATGGTGACGGAGGAGGAGGAGGAGGAGGAGGGGTGCGATCGCCGCCAGCAGGGGCCGCCCCGGCGGAGGATCCGGTGGCAGCGGCGGTGGCGGCGGCGGCACCGCAGTACTTTGCGCCGCTGACGGTGGCAGTGCTTGACGGCATTGGCCCCGGCAATGCAGCGGAGTTCCGTTTCTGGGTGCAGTTGCCGCAGCCATCGGAGCCGCCGCCGCCGCAGCCTCCCCAGGGCGGCGGCGGCAGCGGAGGCGCCGAGGGTAACGCAGGCGGAGGCGGAGGCGGGAGCCCTGCCGCCGGTGGTGAAAACCCCCATCCTGCTAATCCCCCGAACGGCCTCGCCGCCGCCGCCGGCCCTGTTTGGGGCTGGTGGGGCGCCTCGGAGGCCCGGGCGGCGCTGCAGCAGCTGGAAGGGCTGTCACGGAGTGTCCGGGACCGCGCGACCGACCCGTGGGTCGCCAACCACTACCGGTGGATCGTGTGGAAGCTGGCGTCGTACGAGCGCAGGTGGGCGGAGGGGGGGATGGGGCGGGGTCGTGTAAGGGGTGTGTGTGGGTTTTGTGTGTGTGTGTGTTTGCGGCCCATTAGGACTGATCTCGGAGGGAGGATTGACGGGGTTCTGCATGTTGCCGTCAGAGAGGGGTGCTCCACGCCTCCATCCATCTGCCTCACGCGGCCTGCCCCTCTCTCCTGCATGTGCTTCCATCCTTTCTCCATCGTATCCTCCTCGTAGCGCATCCCGTCACCCGCTATGCTCCCCCCTGCCTTTCCCCCTCCCTCCCTCCTTCCCGCCTCCCCAGGTTCCCGGCCCACTGCCGCGGCCGCAGCCTCACGCCCTCCGGAGTGCTGGCCCAGCTGCGGCGGCGGGCGGCAGTGGAGCTGGCGGGCGGCGGGCGGCCCATCCTGGCCGCCATCATGGCGCACGACCGGCCCGCCGCGCTGCCTATGGTGCTGGCCATCAGCGGCCTGCCGCAGGTGGGTGGAAGGGGGGTCAAAGACCAGGTACCAAACCATAGGAAACCACAGGTTGGGGCAAAGCAGTGGGGGGAAGGGGGTGGCAGGTGGGAGGGTGGGGCCAGAGGAAGGGGGAGGGGGAGGGGATGAAAGGAACGGAGGACTGTGAAACAACTATACACCGATTAGCGGTAGTCAATCTTAGCTGCCGTCCCCATGCTGATATCAACCTCCGTTGCTGTCCCCCTGGCCACCTGCTCTACCTCCTGCCCCCTTTCAGTTGTCGGGTCGCTCCGGAGCGGTTGAGGGCATGCGGGTGGAGCTGACGGACGGGTGGTACGACATCGCGGGGGGGCTGGACGCGGGGCTGGCGGCGCTGGTGGCGGCGGGGAGGCTGGGGGTGAGGGGGGTGGGTGGGGGGGGAGAGGCTGAGGTTGAGTGTGTGTATGGAGGCTGGGGGGAGGGAGGGGATGAGTGAGGGGGCTGGGATTGGGGGGGAAAGAGTAGGGGTGCGGTAGACCCCGCGTACTTAACCCTAAGGAAGAGGGTTGGAAGGGGGTTGCCACCTTGTGATCCCCACCTCCACCTACCGCCCTCAGGTGGGCAGCAAGCTGCGGGTGTGCGGCGCCGAGCTGCAATCCGAGCGCCCCGGCGAGCCCCTCGACCCCGCCACCCGCTCCGCATGCGCCCTGCGACTGCACTACAACGGATGCAGCCCAGCGGCATGGGACGCGCGGCTGGGTGCGCAGGTGCGACCGGCCGCCATGGCGCTGCGACCCATGGGTCAGGTGGCGCCCGGCGGCGGCCCGGTGCCCGCCACGTTGCTGCTGGTGGCGGCGAAGTACGGATTGATGACGTACGAGGCGACGGCGGGGGGCCCCGTGAACCGGACGCCGAGGGCGCAGGAGGAGAGGCTGCGGGCGGGGGCGGCTCGACGGAGTGAGGTAGGAGAACGGTTGGGGTGTGAGTGTTTGTGTTAAGAAGACTGGCCGCGAGTTGGAAACGTACTGAATTGTATGTGCATGGGTGTGTTAAGAAAACTGGCGGCGAGTGGGAACGTACTGGGATGTCGGAAGATGAAGTCCCCACAGAACCGCCGCAGGAGCCGAATGGGTGTGTGTGCTTGTCGTGATTTCCCAGCGGAAGGCAAACACTGCATGCCCACAGGAGGAAATTGATGCCCGCCGCATGACCCTCTTCCTGGCTTACCCAACCTCCTACCTAACATTCCCAACCCTCCTACCTAACCCTCGCCTCCCAGGCCGCCTCTGCCGCCGCCGCCGCCGCCCAGCGTTCCGAGCAGGATCGCTGCAGTCGGCTGCTGCGAGCCCGGCAGCAGCAGCGCGCAGCCGCCCCCTGGCTCGCCTCCTTCCCCGGGGGCGGCTGTAGCAGCGTGAGGGTGCAGCGAGCGTATGCGGCGCTGGTGGTTCGGGGTGGGGGCGGCGGGGGGGAGGGCGGCGAGGAGGCGGAGGGAGGAGGGGGGCTGAGTGCGGAGGAGCAGGCGCAGCTAAGCAGGTGGGCGAATGGCGGGGGGCGCGGTAAGGGAAGGAGGAAGGATGTGGGTTAAAAAGGGGGTCAGAGGTTGCAGACGTGGCCTTGTCGTGTCTTGCATGGGTTACTTCCAGCCATTGACGCGGCATGTGTCAAACACATGGTGTGGTATCCAACACGCCCTTGGCAAGCCAAGCGGGGTTGGGCAACGCTAAACGGCTGTACGGCACCCTTGGTTGCATGTCGTACATTTTCCGTCTATCTCGTTGTCGTACACTGCAGGCTTATGTCAGACCGGCAGGCCTTCCTGGCGGCGGAGGCGGCGCGGCTGACGGAGGAAGCTCTCAGCGGCGGAGGCGGCAAGCCCGGCGGAGGCGGCGGGGGCGGTGGCGGCGGTGGCGGAGGCGGTGCGGATTGCGGAGTGCCGTACATGCGACTTCGGGTGGTTGGCGTTACACCGCTGGGGGTGCCTGCGGGTGAGGGGGGCGGGCCGAAAAGCGCTGCTGCCAGGAGGGCGCTAGCGATTCAGCCCGGGGGCCTAGCAACGCCGCGCTCACATCCCACTACATCCCACGAGACGCCACTGCCGCGCGCGCCCCTCCACGCTAGGCTCTCTAGGACGGCAGCAGCAATGCCCCATAGCTTGGCACGCGCATGCCGTCACCCGTCACCCCCGCCCCCCTCACACGCCCCCCATTGCCTCGTCTTCACCCATGCTTTCCCGCGCTCCAAACGTTTTCCTTCCCCCTCAAACCCCCTCCCTTTGCCCTAACCTGTGGTATGGGATACCTCTGACCCCCCCCCCGCCTCAGGCCCTCCCTGCATGGCCATACTCCGCGTGTGGCGCCCCCCCGCCGACCTGGACGAGCAGCTTCGGGAGGGGCAGGTGCTGCTGGCCACCCACCTGCTGCCGGGGGCGTACGGCGGGGGAGGAGGAGGGGGAGGGGGAGGAGGAGGAGGCGGCAGGGAGGGAGGAGGGGGGGCTGGGCTGGCGGAGTTGGGGCCGCATGGGCGACTGAGGTGGGTGGGTGCGGGGAGGGGTGCGCGGGGGGGGGGGGGAAATGAGGCGGGGCGGGAAGGGAAGGGATGTGCTTGGAGGGGAGGGAGACGATTGTGACACAGAGCTCCATGCAGGTGCTCCTGTTCACCGGCTCACCGGTTTACATGACCTGTTCCTCAGCCACCTTCCAACCAGTCCCCTTGCCCTGCTCTAATAAGCCCCGCCCCCACCCCTGTCGTTTTAGGCCGGCTGCCGTGTTCGTACCCCGTGGTGACTCCCTCTCAATAAACAGCTGGTCAGTTCCTACTTTTCTTATGATCCCCGTCTCTCCCGTGCCTTTCCCCGCCCTCCCTCCCTCCCCTCGCCCCCTCCCTCCCGCCCCGCCCCCCCGCCCCCCCTGCCCCCAGGTGTATGGAGCTCTCAGCCACCAAGTTGACCAGGTGAGTGGCGGAGGCGGTGGGGGTGGGGGGGGCGGTGCGGGGTGCTCTAGGTACTATAGTAGGCAATGCCTCCATCCCTCTTGTTTACCCCTCCTTCCTCCCCCCTTCCTCCCCTCCTCCCCTCCCCCCCGCCCCCCCTCCTCCCCTCCTCCCCTCCCCCCCGCCCCCCCTCCTCCCCTCCTCCCCTCCCCCCCGCCCCCCCTCCTCCCCTCCTCCCCTCCCCCCCGGCCTCAGGTTCCGCATCCTGGGAAGCGCCGCGGAGCTCTCCCACGTCCTCTCCCTGCCCGGCTACCAGCCCCGCAAGCAGCTGAGACTCGCCGACATTGCCCCCGCGCTGCCCCCGCACCTGCAACAGCGCCTGCTGATGCAGCAGCACCAGCACCAGCAGTTATTGCATGAGCGGGAGGGGGCTGGGGGCGTGTTGGCCGGGGTGTTTGAGTTTGACTTTGTTGGTTGTGTGGTGCGGGTGGGGGAGGTGCAGGGTGCTGGAGGCATGGGTGGGGGCGGGGGTGGAGGCGGGGGAGGTGGCGGTGGGTTTGGGGGGGGCGGGGGCGTGTGGCAGCAGTGGGTGTTTTTGGCGGACCATACCTCGGGGCTGTGTGCTGCGGGGATGGGAGGTGGAGGTGGGGGAGGAGCGCCGCTGCCCTGGATGCTGGCGGTCAAGATGATTGGCGCAAGGGTAAGGAGGAGGGGGGGTAAGGGGGGATGGTATCCTCGCTAGTCCTCGCCGCCGTATGAGATCATAATACTACCGCTACCGCTGTACGGTATGCCTTCCTGATCAAGAGCATGTGTGAGGTGACCCACGGGTCAGCAGCTGCCATGTCCCACACGTGCCCAGCCACTCTCATTCACCTTCCTTACCTCCCCCTCCTCCCCCAGGATTCCGTGGACTTCCTGCCCGACCCCGCCCGTCAAGTGGGTGCCGTACTCTCCCTGCGCCACCTGCTGCTGCAGGACCGCGACGCGAGCAACCAGCTGTGGGTGGCGGCGGCTCCCGACACTGCGAGTGTGACGAGGCTGGCGCCGCCGCCTGGGGGGAGTGGGGGTGCGGGTGGGGTGGGAGGAGGAGGGCGGGGGGGAGGGGGAGGTGGGGGGGATGATGTGGTGGGGTGGTCGAGGGGAGCTGCAGGGAGGGAGCAGCTGGCGTTGTATGGGGAGAAGATTGACCGGCTGATGGGGTGTGCTGGGGTGTAGGGTGTAGGAATTGAGGCACAGAGGAGGTGTAGGCGACAATGCGCGCCAAACCGTGCTATTCACATGTGCATGAATGTGGGTGGGAGGTTGGGGTTTGCGATGTGGCGTGTGTGTCGTCATCATGTTGCCGGGATATGGAGTCGCAGGCTTGGGGGCACCTCTGCATCGCTGCTTCTGTGTTTTGGGGTAATTCGGGTAGTAATGGAACTGGGGTGATGAGTCCCTTCGAACCCCTTCGAACCCTTACGAGCCCAACATGCAAGGAACTGCAGCTTTTACGAGTCCGGGGTAATGACTTGCGGGCATCACAGTGCAGGCCGCGCTGTGTGAGTGTGGGTGAGGACGTGCCACCGTGTTGTGAAGCGCGCCCCTACGTCGCACAGAGGGTTGTGGGTGATGTAGCAGCCTTTGTCTGGATCGTGCATACGTCTGCGTACCGTACATGCGTGCAAGCGGGTGTGTGAACGCAACCACTATAACGCAAATTCATTGGCATATATTATACCTTCACGGGGAGTTGCATCGTATGCTTGCTCCATACGCAATGGCAGCAGCATCAAGAGTGTGCAGTCGATGTCATGCGATGCAGTACGGCAATTGTTTTAAATACGAACCCGGTCCCTGTGGGTTTACAACCATCTGTTGTAACGTACGGCACTACCTACCCACTGCTTCATGAGCCCACAGGCCGACCCATGGGTCTACACCTCGATGCTGCGGACCCAAGCTACACATCATCACTACCGTACGTGCGCAGTCCGCTAATAAACAGCGAAGGCACACATACACGCATCTAAAGCAAGAAAGTACAAAACCAGCATTCATCAATCCCAGAGACGGCGGTCCTATGTACTCCGTTCTCTCACGCACCCCCCTGCTCAGCCCCCCAGCACATCAGCGCAGCCCCCCCCCGTGGAAGAGGTCTACATGTAACCCTCTGTAGTGCGGACGCCAGAGCCGTACCACACAAGACAGAACCCTTAAACCTTAGAAAAGAGCAAGTAAACCAAGTATTCCAAAAACAAACAGCATGACAAGCAAATTTAATCAGCAATACTCGGCTATCTGGGATTGCTGTTGCAAAACCCCTGACAGGCAAAATAACGCCCAATCAAGCGGGTGCCAACAAACGTGCCATACAAACGAGGTGTCAGTTGAAACCCCTGACTGCAGGCGAATATCGCCCGCGGCCAAGTGGGATATACCGCAAGAGTGCGATGTGTTGTGAAATCAATCCGCGACTTGTGGGCGGAATATCGCCCCATCACGTACCCGCCGAGTACCATACAAGTGTAATTCAGGAGAACCCTTGACTGAGGGCACAATACCGCCATTTCCAGTCAAACAGATGTCGTACAAGTGAGATGCCGTACACAGGGCAAAATCTCGTTTCAGCGGGGCTTGAGTAGCTCTTTTAAGTAACCAACCATGCAGAAGAAACATGCGAATCCCCTACAAACATCACCCCATCTTAAACACTACAGTACACGGCCAGCAACCCCCGCAGAGCCAAAATCCAGACCACCTCACACACACACACGCCAGTTCTAGAGCACCCCTCCCTGCCGCTTTCGACTGCAATTTGACTACATTTCGAGCACCACGATTACCACATAACTATCAAACATCAAAACCCCTTTCGAGCCATTACCGCGTACGTTCCGTACCGACACCGCTACACCACACCTTCCCCGCGCTCACGCACCCTCCACGCCCCCCTCCGCCCCCCCAGCCACCGCCTCCGCAACCACACACACCGCACCCGCACCCGCTGCTGCTGCTGCTGCTGCTGCCGCTCCCTTTCCCGTCGGGGCAGACACCACCGCCTGCTTCTCCATCCTCTCCGCCAGACCCGCACCCTCGCCCACCACCACCCCTGTCGGTACTCCCTCACTAGCAGTCGAGGAGCCCGCCCCAGCCCCCTCCTCCTTCCGTACCTCGCTTCCCTTGGCCTCCGCAACCCCCTCCTCCTTTGTCCCCTTTCCCTCCTCCACACCTGCCTCCGCCTCCTCCTCCTCCTCCTCTTCCGCCGTGTCGAATGCGAAGCTGGCGACCGCTCCGTTGCAGTGCGCCGCCTCCGCCACCGAGCCGCACAGCTGCCGCAACACCGCCTCCGTGGAGCGCCCGGAGGCGTGGCCCGCGCGGACCTGCAGGGGGTTTGGGGGGTGGGGGTGATGGGGTGGGGCGGGGGTCAAAGACCACATACCAAACCATAGGAAACCAGATGTTAGGGCAAAGAAATGGGGATAGAAGGCGGCCTCAGGGTGCCGCAAGACACGTGTTGGTTAGCGTCCCCTACCGATAACGAGACGGGAGACGGCCTGCAGTTAGGACATGACAGACCAACAGATACGCTCCGCTGCGCTCCTACCCCGTCCATGTTGCAACCCATGTTGACGCCTTATCCCTCAGTCAGTTAGTTGTTTCCTCTTTACCCCGTCCTCCTAGCCACTGAAACCCACTAACCCCAGCTCAGCCCAGCACCTGCAACCCTAGCCCTCACCCTAATGCCCCCAACCCCCCCTCCCCCCCCTGCTGAGCACCTTGTCCAGCGCTGTGTTGAAGTCCTCCATGACACGTGTCACGGCTCGTACGCTGATGGCTCGCAGGGCGCCCCCCAGCAGGGGCAGCCGGGACATGAAGGAGGGCATGCCTGAAGGAGCGGGCGGGAGGGGGGAGACGGGCAGGAGGGGGTGGGAGGGGGTGAGACGTGCTGCAGGGGGGGAGGAAGAAGACGGGCAGGAGGGGGTGGGGCAGGCAAGAAGGGGGGAGGAGCAGGAGGGGGTGGGGCAGGCAGGAGGGGGGGAGGAAGAAGACGGGCAGGAGGGGGGGAGGAAGAAGACGGGCAGGAGGGGGGAGGAAGAAGACGGGCAGGAGGGGGGGAGACGGGCAGGAGTAGGGAGGGGCAGCAGCAGCAGCCGTTCCAGCGTTCACACCTACATACGTTATTACTTACTACCAGCTACTACATACGTGTCAACATACTACTACGGGCCTTCGGTCCGGTCGTTTTACCAGATTGCTTCTTGCGTCGTACTTACTACCAGCACCAGTACTGGAACATCTTCCGGCAATCCCGGTACGGAGCCCAGCGTAGAGCGTGCCCCAGCACCCTACTCACCCATCCTCAGGCATCCTACCCCCCCTGCTTTGCCCCAACATGCATGCTGTTAGCGGTATCAAGTCCCTTCCTGACCACCCACCCCACACCATACAGTTGTCAGTTTCCTTAACTATTCGGTACTCACCCTTCGGCAGCACGTCCTGCACCAGCTCCCCGCGGCACCCCACCACGCGGCCGCTGGCGGGGTCGCGAACCGCCTCCAGCCGCCACGAGCCGCCGAACTTGGCCAACACGTCCTGGGGGGGGAGGAGAGAAGAGGATGTGTAAAGGAGACAGTGGGCGGGTAAGACAGTGTGACATGCACGGCGGCTGTGTGTCCGGGATATTGGCAAGCAACACACCCGCCCACGCCCAGAGGCGCGCCCCGTAATAGTGATACCACCCAATGCCCAATCCCCAAGCCTTCCCAAACCTCATGAATGACCCTTGTTTCCCCTTGTGCACCTTGTCCCTCCCTCCGCTGTCCCTCCTGCCCCCGTCCTGCTGCCTGCCCCTTGTCCCTCCCTCTGCTCCCTGCTCCTTGTCCCTCCTGCCCCCGCTGTCCGGACTCACACTCCGCAGCAGCTCAAATGTGATGTGCAGGCAGTCCGGGTCGCGCGTGTCCTCCACCACCCGCAGCCAGGTGCTGTAGGTGCGCCGCAGCCACAGCACCTGGAAGTCCTGCAGCTGCTCGACCTGCGGAGGGGGGCGGGGGAAAGGGGGGGGAGGGAGGGTGGGGAACGTGGGTTGAAATTGGTTAAGAGATGGGTAACGTGGAGGAGGTGAAAGGGATTGGTTTGGGGGACGAGCTGATCTGACCCACATCATGGATACCGGTAACGGGTATGGCCACGCATTACAGGTGAATGTGTTGTGGGTTTCAATGTTGCAGCGCGACTACCGGTAGCTGTACCGATATGCTGCACGAGACCTTTGCAACGAGGTGGCGGTACCCTCTGACAGGCATTCCAATTGGCGCCAGGTCGGCATTTCCCCCCAAACAGCAGGTCTGAGTGTGCAGCAGAGGTTGCTGACTCACCTGCACCTCCTTGTACCCCGGCTCGGTCTTGATCACTTTGCGGCTGCCGACTCGTTGGATGTCACGGAAAATTGCCGAGTTATCTGCGGTACGGCAGTGCACGGCAGAGCCAAGGGCGATTCGGTAAGGAACTTTGCACTGCAAAAAATGTGGGTTGCCGTTAGGGCATGCGGGACACAGCCATGGTGATGAAGGATATCCCTGCCATTTCAAGAAAGGGGTTTGGGACTTGGGGTTGCATCGCGGATGACTGTGTTGCCGCTGGTGTTCTTGTGGGCTGGATACATACCCCTAAATGATGAGAAATGTGCAATTTACTCAAGCTAGAAGCCGTTTTCTTACCTGGATGCGTAAAAATTGCAAAGGGAACCTCCGGGGGCACTGGCCAGTTGCCAGTAACATGGACATGACAAAGGTAGCCAGCCTTGTTGCTGACAGTGACGTCAAAATTTTTCCCAGACGCGCTGCTGCTACCAGCTAGCCCAGGAGGAGGAGGTGGTAGAGCATGAATGGCCTCTCCGCCCGATGTCACCCCGGTAGGGTCAACCGACGGCTCAGAAGACGTCAGTGCAGCTTTGGCTTCCTGGTGCCCTTGCTGATACTCCTGAGCGAGCTTAACGTTCATACTCTCTGCAGTTTGTGACGTTGCCTCGGTCATGCCAGACATGTTGATTGGCGAAATGGGTCGGCCTCAACAATAAAGCTTTTCCGACAGTAACTATGGCCTCCTCCTTTGAAAAATTAAGTGGCCTCGTTGACTTGTTTCTGTCCGAGATGTTTAAGTGCTGCGGTTGCGGAACGTGTTACGACCGGAGCATACACACATATATGCAATGTAGAATAATATTAAAGGTATCGCGATATGCTATACTCATCAACGCTAGCTTCAGAAGCTGGCGTCGGTTGATAGACTCCCGCCATGTAGGTAGTACGAACATTCCATGCTGGAAACAGGTAAGCAGCAGTCGCGGCGCTTGGACAGTCGCGAATCAGTTCAGTTGAGATTTCAAGGAGTTACATAAGGGTGCATACTTCGCCGCGACCGATGACAAGAAGCTAAACAGCCATGACTTGCCTGCATTATGCGCCCCAGTCCAAACCAAAATCCCCGTTACCGGTAGTCGCAACCTAAACGTTGCCCTTCACACCTTGATCACTTCCCAGTGTGGGCATCCTCCTACGCCGTAGGTCTCCAAACAAATGGCTAACGCAAGCTGGCTTCAGTACATAGCTAACTATATTCCTTCTGGGCAAGCCAAGTAAGGCAATCCTTATGGGCACGAACGCACGCCTGTATCCCCCTATATCGCACGCACGCCTTGTGTGCGGCTAGCAAATGCCCCATTTCCCATCAGCCACAGCTACCGGTACTACCATCCGCCTATCCCAAGCTTCGGGTTGCTAGCCAAGTCACACCTTTTAAGTCACGCCCGCTCGCGACCTTTTGTTCCTAGCACCGCACAAAACCCACGCCCCATGCCGTATACCATCATCGGCCGCCCTACCGATTCCCAATGCAGATAGCTCTTCCCTCGAGACACGCTCGGATCAGCAATCCGGCGCGTTGAAGCAGCTGCCAATCGGGTACTTGTCTAGCGCCGTCTTGTCACCCTCCACATACCTGCGGACCAAAAAGCATTAGGATAAGCAGCAAGCAAGGCCATACGGTACAATACCAACCCGTACGGTTGACGGGGCCACATTCCAGCCCGCTCAACAGGACGCTTAGTACGGTAGGTTTCTCTTACCTTCCTTGCCCCCGGCCCCTTCCTCCTTACGCCCCCCGCCCCCCCATCACGCCTGGTACTTACTTGGCCCAGATGGACTGCATGCGCTGGAACTTGTCCGGGTGGTAGTTGACGTGGATCATGACGGGCACGTGGTTGGCGTACTGCGGCTCGTAACTGAAGTACGGCAGGGGGCAGCAGCAGCGGGAGCAACAGGTCAACATAATGAGCGTGAGGAGGATCAGGATCATGCGGCAGCCGAGAACTACAGCAGCAACGCTAGCGGTACGGCAGTGCATAGGGGGCGCGGTACGGCACAGCAGCATGAGGAGCCGCAGCCCCCTCGCACCCCCTCACGCCCCGTGGTGCGGTTAGCCCATGCATGATGCTCCCACTGCTCCTTCCCCCACCTCGCCCCCTTGCTGCGCTTATCAATAATTTCCCCCCTCGCCCCCTCCCGGCCCCGCGCTCCTCTGCCTCACCGGATGGTCCTGAAGAGGCGCTTGGAGTTGAGGAACTTGTCGATGTTCATGATGCGTACGGAGATGCGGGAGGTGTGGTAGTCGTCGTGGCTGGGGAACCAGATCTCCATGTTGAACACAGCCTTGGGGGGGAGTGGGGGGGAGGAGAGGGAAAAAGAGTATTTATCCAATGTGGTGAATGATAGTTGGGAGGGAGGGCGGCGGGAGGAGGGAGGGAGTGAGAGTAAGTTGTACAAGTGTAGCACTGGAGGGAGGGAGGGGGTAAGGTTGGTGGGGTTACCCGCAACGGGCGTAGCCATATTGGGGATGGGTGGGATGGAAGACATCTTCGTAACCCCCACCGGTCAGAGCTGATGTTGTGACCGACAGCCGGGGTGGAAACAGCAAACTAACAAGCTGACAGCCGAGGGGGGAAGGGGGAATAACATCAGCTGCGCTAGACAGGTCCGACCTAGATGCACAACGAACATGCAAGGGGGCTCCTCAGCAGCGGCTAGGCTTCCCCCTTCCGCACTCCACCCTGGTCCCACACCTCGTCACTTTCCTATCTTCTCCCCACCTGGTCCCACTCCTTGTTGCGGTTGAGTCGGTCGGTGATGCGGTCCATGAGCCCGATGGTGCGGTTGTTGGGGCGGATGTAGAAGAGCCCCGAGTTGAGCGTGAACACGCGGATGGTGTGCGCCCAGCGGGACCAGCCCATCTTGGGGTCGTCGTGCACGTCGTCCCAGCCTGTGCGGGGTGGGTGGGGCGCGGGTGCGGGGCGGGAGCGATTGGTGCATGGGGATGGTGGGTAGTGTACGGCAGGGGCCGTTGCGAAGGCATGGCCAGCCCGGCAGTTCGTTATCGCCACCACGACTCATGCGGCTCATGCGCTGGCGGCCCCTGCCGTACACTGCCTCTGCCGTACTCCTCTCCCACTCCCACGGGGTCGTACCGTACGCCGTCTGCTCGTCGTAGCCATCGCTGAGCGCCTCCACGTCCTCATCCCTGCACGGCCGGGACGGAAGAGGGATGAGAGCTTCGAGGACAGGGTTTGTGGTCGGCATGCGGTGGGTGGTCCAGGGGTGGAGCAGCAGCAGGGCAGGGGGGGACAGACCGCTGTGACCGCAAAGAGCGCAACTGGGGACTGCGAGATGCAGGACCGGATGGAGGGTAGCGCTTCCTGCTGCATCCAACGACCCGACGACTTTGCATCCGACACCGCCCATGTAGCAGAGGCGGGGCGGCAGCAGCAGCCTTTGCCCACCCACCCGTAAACTGCGGTAAGGGTCATCAGTGTTTCCGCGGCTCAGTTGTTAGGTGTTGGACCAACCCACCCACCTGTACAGGTGCTCGAAGGGGTTCTTCAGCGTCACAATGTCCACCTGCGGGTCAGCAGCATGCAGCGCCGTACAACGTACGACATGGGACCCGTTTTGGATTTTGGATTTCCGATCCAGGTCAACTCTATGACCAGCCGCTGGGTATATGTCATAAGTCCCTAACAGCCCGCCAACACGCCTGCGGCGGTACTCCCACCCCCAACCCACCACCAGGGCTTGTCAGCAATTTGTACCACTATCACACCACACATTGGAATTTCATTTTCCCCAACCCAGCTTTGGACGCCCATCACTTGCTCTCCCGACATTCATCAGGAGCATTAAACGTCATTGCCCCCCCCCCCGCTTTCCGCCCTGACCCTTCCCCCCGCACCCACTCACATCCGACAGCAGCACCGAGTAGCCCAGCGTCAGGAACTCCTGCAGGGGCGGAGCGGAGGTGGCAGCAGCGGGGGCAGAGGTGGCAGCAGCGGAGGTGGCAGGAGCGGCAGCAGCAGAGGCAGGGCGAACGGGTTGGATGTTTGGCGGGAGGCGGTGGTGGCAAAGGGAAGAGGACAGCAAAGGCGGTCAACTAGCGGCATCCATCAACCGAGCCAGTAAAGGTTGAACCGTGCGACTTACCTTGATAAGTTGGAACTTCTGCGCGCTGATTCCGTGGTTGGAGGCGGCCTGGTCAGCGGTCTTCTTGGGCGTCTTACGCCAGTACGGCACCCCCAGGTTCTCACACGCCTTGGCCACCTGGGTGCGTGTGTGTAGTTGAGTAGAACAAGAGCAAGCAGTTGGGATAGGTTCGCATGTGAACCGCGAGTACAGGCAAAACAGAGGAAAAACACCTGGGTGCGTGTGTGTGTGTGTTTTGGGTGTGTGAGAAGAGGGTGGTGACAGGAAGGAGGAGAAAAACACGGCCATGCTGTTAGGACCTGATGGTGGCGACCCGTGGGGGGATAAAGAGGAAACAACTAACTGACCATGTGATAAGGCATCATCATGGTTTGCAACATGGGGGGAGGTGGGTGAGGGAGGGGGGAGGAGTCATGCGGGGCGCGTTGGGCGCGGCATGATGGGGTGTTGGGGCTCAGGACGCACGGAGGAGGGGAGATAGACCGAGTAGGCCCCACAGGAGCTGCCGCAACAGCCACCCCCAAAACACACACACACACACGAAACACACACACACACAAAAAGGAGTCCCCCGCTGCTTACATCATCATCAATCGCTATGACCATGAAGTTCTTCACCCCCGCTCGCTGGCAGCCGTCGATCCACAGCTTCAGCATGCCAAACTTTCCGTCCGGCGTGATGAGGGCGCCGTTGGAGACAGCGGCCATCACCTCCTTGTTAATTGCGATGCGCTCCTGGATTTTGCATGAGGCACGAGGCAATGGACAGCCAGGGTGCGGAAGGGGAAGCCAAAAGGGAGGTCACATGGCAAGGCGGTACGACAGTGTGAAAGCGAGTCTACGTGAGGCCACACAGGGCAGCTAGGATAGGCACAGCTCGCTGGTCAAAGGGAGGGCCAGGAGCCAGGCGTGGATAGCATGGCCAAGGTAAAGAAGCACGCACCAAGACGGTTTTGAGGTCGCTGCTTCCGAACTTAGTATCGCCATTTCCTTGCCCAGCAGCTGTTGTCGCCAGCAATATGACAGCCGCGGTTAAAAGCCCAAGCCAAGCCATCGTGCTATGTGCAACACACTATGAGAGGGAAACCGTTGAAAGGCGCTATGAGCCCTCGGCTCAAGAACTCGCGGTGCTCAAACGATCGACGGTGATAGGTTATGGTTTTCGTAACATAGCCGGTAACAGTACGTATGTAATACTTTTAAAGCTTGACAGCAGCGAAAAGCTTTAGGGTAGCCGGTTGGTTTGCCGTGCATGCAACAAATCTGCAAGTGCCGTGACATGCTCAAGCGCAACAATTTCTCGAGTTGACTGAAGTACCATATACAAATTGACTGCCTGTGCCATAGACCCCTGACTGCCTTGATCAGTGAACGTGCTTCGAACAGACTTCACATTCTAGCTTCGGACCTTATTACTTAGACGCACGTCATCCTTTAACCTTTTCCACAATCCTTCAGAAATGTTACTTTAATCTGTCAACGAGTATTCGGTCCTTTGAAACTGGCTGCCTTTCTTCCAATACGCTCGGAAATGGCAGAAATTCCACCTGATTTTGGGGATGCCTTTCCAGGAGATGCCCGGGTATGTACCGCTGCTGCAAAGGCAGCGCGCGGTGGCAAAACCGGGGCAACGAACATGGCGAGGCACATGCGATGCAGGTCGACGTCGACAGCACCTGGAGGGATCAGGTGGTGGGCAGCAACACCATCGGCACAGCTACTATTCCCCTAGCTTTAGCCGAAATGGAGACGCAAACTGGCAGCACGGCCACCAACGGCACACAGACGGAGGACCAGCCGGTACCTGCCTCACAAGCCAAAGTTCAGGCATCAGGGCTGGGAGACTTCATGAAAAAGTGGGTACACGCAATCTGCCTCTCTAACGTGAATCCCTCCAAACCTACACTTCACAAAGCACAGCAGGGCCCAGTAGGCCTCCTTATATAACGCACCCACCTCTCCTTAAGGAGACTGGTGGCCACCTCTTCACCCAACAGTCCTCACTGGCCCAGGCGCATCCCCGAGCAATTCCCAGTCCCCTCACCCCACGCACGTCCCTTCCTTCGCATTCCTTCCTTCCACACGCCTCCCCCCTGCCTGCCTGCCCGGCTGCAGGGTCGAGGGCATGTTGAGCGGCGAGCTGACCAAGGCGGTGGAGGAGGCGGAGGTGATGGAGCCCTTCACGCGCGCAGCAGACGACGAACAGGTGGGAACGGAGGGCTGAGCAGGGGGGGGTGGAGAGGGGAGGTGGAGGGAACCTGGCTGCCGGTCCCGATCCCCGCCCCCTTTCGCTGCTGCCGCCCTCATGCTTCATTCCTCATTCCTTTCAACCCCCCCACTCGCCCCCCAGGAGCCTGCCACCTGCGTGCACTACCTGTCACCCTTCCAGCAAAGTGACCCGGGGGTCGGTTCGGACCTGGGCTCCACCTCCTCCTCTGCGCCCGGCGGCGGTGGCTCCTCCTCCTCCGCCCCCGGTGGCTCCTCCGCTGCTGCTGCTGGCCCCGGCGGTCACCAGGTGAACAAGCAGCAGTGGCAGTTTGGTGGCCCCTAGGTCTTGTCCCCTGATGTGGAATATGTATTCCTGAATTCCCTATGAATTCCCCCTCAGGTGAACAAGCACGGGCTGGTGGTGACGTGCCTGTCATGGAGCTGCACGGGGCAGACCATTGCGGCCTCGTTTGGAAGGTGGGGGGGGGGGTGGGGGAGCTGGGCAGGAGAGGAAGGGTGGCAGCTGGGAAGAAGAAGGAAGATGGGAGCAGGGAAAGAAGAGGAAGGTGGGGGAGGTGTACCTGGGTGTAGGTAGATACCGGTAAAGAGGCAAGAAGCCATTTCCCGAATGCGGTTCTCGGAATCCAGGAGAGAGAGAGGGCCTGAAGAGCCATGGATGAAGCACCCTCCACCCGACCCTACCCGCGGTGCTTCCAACCCCCCCTTCACCCCCCCCTGCTGCCCCCCTCCCCCCCCCCCAGGTACGACGTGGTGGGCTGGTGCACCTCCCCCGGCCTGCTTGCCACCTGGAACCTGGCGAGGGAGGAGGTGAACGCCAGCCGCCCGGATGCGCGCGTGGACACCGACACCTGCCTCATGAGCTGCGCGTTCCACCCAACACACCCGGTGAGGATGGGGGCAATAGACCAAACAATAGGAAAGCACGAATAGGCAATACAAATGGGGGGGAAGAGTGAGAAGGGGATACGAGTGAGACACTGGAATCCAATGGAGCAGGGAAGGTGGGTGATAGGGCTATGGATGGGGGGAGAGGGTGGAATTGTTTTCCCCACCCGGCCCCCCCTCCTTAACCTGTGGTCTCCTATGGTTTGGTATGGTCTTTGACCCCCCCATCCTCACAACCCCGCACCCCTCCCTCCCCCACTTTTCCTTCGTGACAAACGGCTTCCCTCTTTCCCAGTTCCTTTGCCCTAACCTGTGGTTCTGGTGTATCTTTGACCTCGCCCTTCCTTGCCCTTTTGTGGTTTAAACGGTTTGGTCTAATTTGACCCTCCCCCCCCCAACCCCCCTCAGGCCCTGATCGCGGGCGGCACCTTCAACGGCGAGCTGTACGTGTGGGACCTCAGTCGCGAGGGCGACCCGCAGCGGGGCAGGTCGGACGTGCTGCTGGATGTACGGCACATGGAGCCCATCATCGCAATCACATGGCAGTACAACCTGACAGGTGGGGGGGGGGGCAGGGGGGGTGAGGGTGGTGGGGGGGGGAGCGGGGCGGGGGAGGGGAAGGAGGGGGGGAGGGGAAGGAGGTCGTGAGGATGTGTGCGAGGGGAGGTATGCCGGTGGGGTTTGCACTCGCATGCCACACGGGGCAGGCCGCACTGGCTCCGGAGGAAGGAGTGGCAGATGGCCAGGAAAAGAGACACAAACCCAGTTTCCCGCCCCCCTCCCCATCCCGCCGTTGCTTCCTTCTCATGTATCCCCCCCCCCACACACACACCCCAGACGCCAACAAGTACGGCACCCGTGACAAGGCGTACCGGCTGGTGACTCTGGGGGCGGACGGGCGGGTGCTGACGTGGCTCTGGCACAAACTGGAGGCGCCGGTGTTCGGGTAGGGGTATGGGGGGGTGTGGGGGGTGGTAAGGGAGAAGAAGCCCTGAAGAAGTGGATCAATGGAATCCCAATTCCATGGGGGAGGGTTGAGGGCTCTGGAGTGGCGGGTAAACTGAGCCCTGCTGCGGCTGTGACGAGTTCGGTCCTCCTCAACTTCCTCCAACTATTTTCTGTCTCTTATTTTCTGTCACTTGACTTCCCCCCTCCTCCCCACCCCCGCAGTTACCAGCTGCTGTTCCCGCAGCCGGGAGTGGACCGCCGCTTCGTGTGGGGCGGCGCATGCATGGCCTTCCAGCGGGAGCCCAGGGGGGCGGGGGCAGCGGGGGCGGGGGCGGGGGGAGGAGCAGCAGCAGCAGCGGGGGGAGGGAAGGGAGGGGGGGCAGCAGGGGGGGGAGGAGGAGCGGGGGCGGGGGGTGAGGCGGCGGGTACGTTTCTTGTGGGCACGGAGGGCGGCCGCATCTTCAAGTGCTACAACGACACGAATGACATCAATGTCAAGGTGGGAGTAGGAGGCGGGGGGGGGGGGAGTGGAGGTGGAGGAAGGGATGGGGGTGGGCGCTTGACCGCTCTTTTGGTGGCGTGCTTTGGGGGGGATGTAGGCTGCGGGAGAGAGGGAAGGCGTTGGCCTGTTGGTGGGATTGAGTTGCGCACACACCCTCTCCCTCCCCCTCCCTCCCCCTCCCCTCGCCTCCCTTCACCCCATGGTGAAGCCGTGTCATACAGCTTGTCAGTTTCCCCCTTTTCCCCACCCTCCCTTCCCCTCACCCTTCCCTCCCTTCCCCTCACCCTTCCCTCCCTCCCCTCACCCTTCCCTCCCCTCCCCCCCCAGGAATTTTCCCGCGCCGTGTGCGCGGGTGAGAAGGTGGAGCTGCGCACCCCGGTGCGGGAGGCGGGCTACTCGCCACATGCAGGGGCGGTGTTCGGACTGGACTGCTCGCCGTTCCAGGTGGGCAGGAGGAGGGGGGAGGGGGAGGTGGCGGCGGGGAAACAACTAACTGACCGCGTGGTAAGGCGTCATCATGGTTTGCAACATGTGGGGAGGCGGGGGTGGGGGGAGGGTAAGAGGGGAGTCCAGGTGGGATAAGGGACCGGTTGTCATTATCATCAGTGAAATCAACACATGATAGTGACATGTTCAACTCAACTTCTCCCTTCCCCTTTCCCCCTCCCCCCCAGCGCGAGCTCTTCCTCAGCTGCTCCACCGACGGCAGCGTGCGGCTCTACTCCTCGCTGCGCATGGCCCCGCTGCTGCAGCTGGAGCCCACAGCCGCCTACCTCTTCGCGGTGGCCTGGAGCCCGGTCAGGCCGCTGGTGTTCGCGGCGGCTGCGGGTGAGAGGGCTGGGGGGGTTGTAGGGGACTGGGGGAGAGGGGGTAGTAGGGATATGCATGGTCCGCACTAGGCTGGATTTTAGGATATGGTTGGCTGCGGGTGGGCCTGGGATTGGGGCTCCCTTGCACTTTTCAATTATTCCCCCTCCCTTCCCCCCCTCCTCCCCCCCCCAGCTGACGGCTGCGTGTTCCTGTTCGACCTGCTGCGGCCCGCCGAGGTGGTGCGCCCCGCCCTCACACTGGACACCAATGGCATGCGCAAACCCGTGTACGCACTCGCCTTCAACAGCCGCAAACCCGAGCTGCTGGCGACGGGGGATGCCACGGGGATACAGGTGCGAGCTGCGGGCTGCGGGCGACATAGCCGACCCATGGAGCCGACCCTTTCGAACCCTTCCGGCGACCCGCAGTCGGGTCAGACGTCGGGTCTCCTGAGCGAATGAGCGCCTGCCTGGCAACGAGTTACCTTGCACACGTTAATGCGTCTTGCAACGCTCCGTCTCCCCCTCCCCTCCCCCTCATTGCCACACTACCGGTATCAGCACCAACTTGGTACTGCTTATCCGTCTTCTCTAGTTCTCTTCCTCCTTCTTGTCCGACTCCCTCCCTCCCTCGCTGCGCCCACTGCATGAGTCGGGATTTGGGATTGGGGCTCCGCTGCTGCACTTCACACTTATTTTTCCCTCTCTCCCTCCCTGCCCGTCCCCCCCCAGATATGGCGGCTGCCCTCCTCCCTGACCGCAGTGCGACGAGGTGAGGAGGCGGCGCTGCGGCGGCTGGCGCTGGCGGAGGATGTGCGGGAGCTGATGCGGGGGCAGCAGCAGGGGGGCAAGTGAGGGGTGTGGGGAGCAGAGGAGGAGGGGGAGCGGAGGCAGGGGGGCAAGTGAGGGGGGGCCTTGCCACATGGTTAGTCTTACCCGTTAAGGGGGATGAACAGGAGGAGGAGGAGGGGGCGCGGGAGGTTATGCGGGGGTAGCGACACAGCTGAGGGGGAGGAGGGGGAGGAGGAGGGGGCGGGGCAGCAGGTGCAGGCGGCGGACCGTACCGTGTAGGCTTGTGTGTTGTTGTTGTTGGCGTGCTGACGTTGTTGCCGCTTGCTGTTCGCTGTTTGCTGTTATATGCCTGCTGCCGCCCGCGTGTGATGTGTAGGAGGGTGCAGCTAAGCGAATGAGGAGGATAAGAGGAGCGAGGAGGGGGCTGGGGGGGTAGCGCGCACTGACGACACTGATGAAACTGCCTTTAGCCCAGAAAGCTGTGTGTGTTTGTGTGTGTTTGTGTGTGTGTTTGACGGCGGAACCCCAAACACCCTTGCCAGCTTGTTTGGCTCCCCGACCTCTGCATCGCCGGTACTGCATCCCATCCGGTGCATTCCACTGCGGTACACACCTGCGTAAGGAGCTGCATACCTCCCAGCGTGTACGGCACGTTTTAGTCCGTTTTCCATGTACATTACAGTATACATTATTTACAGGAAGAGCTGGGCGGTCGTGCGATTTATATGGTATTAATCAACCAAGTAGCCAGCACGTCGTGTAAATATATTTATTATACCGGTATACCGGTATTGGAGAGTTCGGGCTTCGGGGGGTAATCAACAGCGATACGACTATAACGGTAGGCGCTGTGGCTGGGGTGTCGGGTGTGCTCGCGGCGGCTCACTCCGCTAACTGCACCAGGACACCACCACCACCGCGACGTTCCGTCTTCCAGGGCCTCCGTACGCTCGAGCCCCTTCCGACAGCCCACACGGAGGACATGAACGACACCACCGGCAGCACTCGCGTTCAACGCGTTTCAACCACCAGGTGTGCCTCGTTTGCAATCCGTTTGTTCGCTTCCCAATCCGCTCGTCCTCTCGCCTCCTCTTCGCCCTCACAGCGCCCTCCCCTGCCCTCATGATGACCCATGGGTCTCTCTTGCGCTGCTTCCCTGCCCCCTCACGGGTCCTCCTCCGAGGTGCTGACGGGCACATCCTCCCTCGCGCCGTACTCACTCCAGGAGCCGTCGTAAATGGGCGCCTGAGGAGGGGTGGGAAGGAGACGAAGTAGGGAGTATGCAAGAAAACTGAGTGGAAGGAGTGAGAAGGAGTGGAGCACTGACAGGTCACCCCCCTCCTCTCACCCCCACCCCGAGCACCTCAGCCCCTCCTCCCTTCACCCATGGAGGAAACACACGGGAGGTTCATCTTCCCCCACCCACCAGTGTTCCATTCACCAGGTACAGCCCCAGCGCCAGCACACATGCGGTGAGCCCCGAGCCGCAGCTGCCCACCAGCGGCCGCCTCGGGTCCACCCCGGCGGCGCGGAAGGCGGCCTGCAGCTGCTCGGCGGGCTTGTAGGCGCCGCCTTCTAGCAGGGTGGGGAAGGGCAGGCTGCGGGAACCTGGGGGTGGGGGAGGATGGAGGGGGGAAAGAAAAAGCAATGTGTTGTGTGACGTGCCCTAGGGAAAATGCTCGTGGGATGGAGGGTAAAGAGGAAACAACTAACTGACTGAGGGATAAGGCGTCAACATGAAGGGTGGAGGGGGGAGTAAGGAGGAAAGAATACCACCCTGTGACATGTAGGCTCCACCATGGCTTGTTTGGTGGTGGGTGGGGGGAGAGGGGTCGCATGGAAGGGGTTAAGAGCGTGGGAGGGGGGAGACGGACCATGGATGCAGGTTGCATCACCGGTTACGTGGTAGGGCTCCTCCTAACACATGTCGTCAGGGCTCCTCCTATCATACGTCGTTATGGCTCCTGCTAACACGCATGTGCCGCTACGGTGCTCCTCTCCGCTGTGCTGCGCTCGTACCTGGGATGTGCCCGCCCCGCAAGCCGGGCCGCGGCTCGGGCTCCGTGCCGATGAAGCGGCCCCAGCTGCGGGCGTCCATCACCTGGGGGGAAGGGTGCGGGGCGAGGTGGTTGGACACACGACCCATGGGTCGGGTTTGGGACAGCATATAGGGATGTGGGTGGTCTCTGGTGCTGCGAGGCGAATGACGGCTGCCAGCTATGTAACGGTGTGGCAGCAAGACGGCAAATAGCACCAGCAGGCGCGTACCAGCAGCAGCTGAGAAAGGAGCGCTGTGCCACTGACAACCCAAGCTACGGTATTCATTGCCGGAATGGGTCATGATGACCCATGGGTCGCCCCCTCACCTGCTCCTTGCGGCTGGTGGCGTTGGCCACCATGTCTTCCAGGGTGCGGACCTGCAGGGAGGGGGGAGGATGTGCCGTACGGCAGGTGCTGATGTGGCAGTAGTAGTACGATACTTGTTGTTGATGTTGTTGTTTTTGGATGTGAAGGGAAGAGACGCGGGATGCAGGCGGCGGTGTGCGTAAACAGAGAGAGAAAGGATGTCCTCGCTGGAAAGCCAGGGCAGGGTGCGAGCTGTGCACGCGACGCGTGGGAAACCTGGCTTGAGCTGTGACCCCTTCCAGTCTCCTCAACCCCACAACCATGTAGCAACACAACAACAGATCCAACAGGTACTTATCATACATGTTTAGGCCTTCCTCTTTACCCCTCTCTTCCTCCCGCACCCACCTTGCTCCCATCCAGCACCGCTCGGTAGCTGGTGGCGGGCGGCGGCGCGGCGCACGCCCTGCTAGCTGCGAACATGATCTCATCCGGGGGGGCGGGGTCGCACTCCAGGGGCAGCCCCCTGGCTCGCCAGGCGGGCAGACCGCCCTGCAGCACGGTAACCCTGGGGGGGAGGGTGGGGTGGGTAAAAAAGATATAATGAGACACTGACGCGGGTGGGGGGGGAGGGGGCCGAGACGGGGCCATGACACGCCCGGGTTATTACCCCAGTTATATCCAGATTACTGCCCGTCGCTTTGTACTTCGTACTTAATGTGCCCCAGTACCCGCTTTGTGTTTCCTGCACGTGCACTGAACCACATACATGGCCTCGTCTCGCGGCTCTGTAAAGAAGGTAAGTGAGGACGCATCCACGCATCCGCCCGCCCCGCACCTGTCGTGTCCAAACACCTTGAAGGTCCACCACACACGCGGCGCCGAGAAAATCCCCAGATGGTCGTACAGTACGACAGTGGAATCATTAGTAATACCCAGTGCGTCCATGGCGGCGGCGAAACCCTACTTGCAAGCAGAACCGCCGGGTGCGCAAGAGGAGGTGGAGAAGAGGAGGGGATAGGCGCCAAGCGGGGGGTAATGAAGAAGAAGGAGATGAAGGAGGGAAACAGAGGGCCAAGTGGGGGATATCTTGAGGCACTCTTTTTCATTCCTGACGGACAATACCGCGGGCAGTGGTTGCGCGTTCCGACCTCCCTAAGCACCTGTTATATCCGTCTCACGGCCTTCCGGAACCTCATGTTCCTAGCTACCGCCATAGTCCTCCCTAATCGTGTCTAACCGCTCTCACCTGTTCTGATGGCAGCATGTGCGGCAGCCCCTGAGCGACCCGCGGGTCGGCCGTAACTCCGTCGATGTCGAAGAACCGCGCTCCCGGAATGCGAGCGGCTCGGTGGTCCGCGTGGTTGTTACGCTGGTGTACGGGCATGTACCAGGCGGTGTCCAGGATGCGTACGGCAGGGTCGTTGAACCTGCGTGTGTGTGTTTGTGCGTATGTACGGGTTGGGTTTCACACATGCGTCGATTACTCGGCGAGTCGGCGTAAGGTTACTCGGACAGGGCAGGGCTGGGAGTTGGGTGTTGAGATGTGCGGGTACGGGACTGGCGGGATACAACTGCATCGGCAAACGGTCAGGCATGGCATGGCATGGAATGGAATGATGCGACAGGTGACAACAAGTGACGTGGCATGCGGCCAGCAACAGCCACGAGATTGCCGCATTTTCGACTGTCAGTACATGTATAGAAAAAATTGCGACATGTCCGTTCCATTACCAAACCTCAGGGCCGGCGTTGCCTAGCGCTGCCTTTGCCGTACGACGGCACGACCGTACCTCTCAGCGAGCCAGTCAACCGACACGAGGGGCTCCAGGGAGCCCGCGGCAGCTGCTCCTGCAGCAGCAGCGGCGGCGGCCGTGTTGGTTGTCGTACTGCTGCTCATGGCGCGGGAGTGCCGGGGCGCGGATGACGCGGGCAGGAGTCGTTGGGGCAGCCGAGATGCCTGGCGGGAAGTCAGGATTGCGGTGGGAATTTGGGTGGGATGTCAAGTTGAAGATATGGCATGTTGATGATTGCTTGGTGGCTAGAGTATAAATCATGAGAGAGGGCTTATGGGATTTTATCTCGTTGTGCTGGAGGAGAGTGGAGGACCGTGTCGTAGGCCGGGCAGGTTGGAGCAAGGATGGGAAGCAGTGCAAGCTTAGGTTCGGTCCAAGACCTGATCACACGCAACGCCTTATAAATTCAGAGCGCCTTCACGCGCACCTAGATTGCTGACGCTGTTTGCCGTTTGGTGGCTTCACATACGTGTTGCATGTGCATGCATGCTTCACAATTAGTTCCACTGGCCTTCATGACTGACCTGGTTGCGCCGGAGGGTTGGTCCAGAGGTGGTATGCTTTAAAGCAAGCCTCGCTTGCATCCTTAAGTGTGCGATATGGCCTTGGGGCCTTCGGTAATTTCCCGCACGGCCAACTGTCGGGGCCGATCTTACAGCGTCCACTATACAAAAAGAAAGTGGGCGAAACAAGTTTGTTAACACTGAGATCGTATGTGAACGGCTTGCTGGTGCAGGTGCCGTTCCGTATAGTCGATCGTCCTGTATTCGACTTTGTCAAAGTGATCACAATCCGCTGCTTACGTAAAGACATTTATAGGTAGCTATCCAAGTTGGTCCATTGATACATAGCGCTAACGGGCGGGGCATTTCCTTGAATGTTAATGCGGGGCCTGTCGCGGCATTCGCTTGCCTTACGGCCCGCACACGCAAAGCCTGTCCTCGGGGCAATCTACTCCCGAACAACAAGCGTCCAGTTCCTTGCTGCACGGGCGGCAGCTTCGCACAGCAAGGAAAGCAGCATGACGACCGCAACCGCGGACGATGCCATAGCAGGGCTGGAGCCAGCTCCACTTTGGCGCTTTTTCAAGGACCTCACGCAAATCCCCCGCCCATCGAAACATGAGGAGCGGTAAGTATTGCAACTCCGTAAGGCAGCCCTTGACTCCACGCCTCCATCCTCATTGCACCTCGTGGCAGTTTTCTTACATTGCCTCGTGCGCCGCACACGCAAACACAAACTCTTGCTGCTACTGCGTCCTTTGCATTCTTCTTGCACAATGCACCCCAACACCCGATGTATATATATGCCTGCCCTTGCCGATTAGTGATTGATTGCCGACTGCTAGTAGGCATAGACTCGCCTACTAGCAGTCGACAGTCAATCACTAGTTGGCAAGGGTAGGCATATGTAAATATATGTATTCAGGGTGTTAGGGTGTTATATATATATACAACACACCCCAACACCCCTCCTCCATGTTGCTGTACGACATACACCCACACCCCAACACCCACCCTCCAGCCTTCACCCGCCACCCGTCATCCCCCCCCCCCCGTCCAACAGCGTGTTGCAGTACCTGAAGGAGTTCGCCGCCTCCCGCCAGCTGGCCTGGCAGCAGGACGCGGTGGGCAACCTGGTCATCCGGCGGCCGGGCTCGGGGGGCGGGCAGGGGGCGCCACCGGTGGTAATCCAGGTGGGGCGGGCAGAGGGGGGCGGGCAGGGGAGGCAGGGGGGAGCTGGGGGGTGGGCGGTTGGGGGCCTCTGGTTGCGACTGCGGGTAGATGGGGGGGACTGGGGGGACTGGAGGGCTGTGGGTTTGGGTGAAGAGAGCCCGCCGGACTCCCTGTAGAACGGACCCTGACGGACGGATGGACGGACGGACATACTCGCGTCTGCGCTCCGCGGCCCTCCCATGTCATAGCACCCTCCACCCACTCCCATGCCATCCCCCCGCCCCCTCCCTCCCCTCCTCCCCCGCAGGGCCACATCGACATGGTATGTGAGAAGGCGCCCGCTGTCCCCCACGACTTCCTGCGCGACCCGCTGACACTGGTGCGGCGGGGCGACTGGCTGAGCGCGCAGGGTACCACTCTGGGCGCGGATAACGGCATCGGTGAGCTGGGGGGGAGGTGGAGGGGGAGGAAGGGGGAAAGGGGGGTATGTGTGTGTTTTGTTGCCCACCCCGCCGCCCTGTCACCCTCCCCCGGGTCGGCAATGGTTGATGCAACCCAGCCCGCGGTGCAGCCTACATGACGTCACGCGGTTAGTCTCTTCTCTCACATTGTCACATTGTTATACCTGTAAATCCACCACCGCCACCCCTCCCCCCCTCCCCCCCCTCCCCCCAGGTGTTGCCGCCGCCCTGGCGCTGCTGGACTGCCCCCCCTCCGCCAAGCTGCCGCCCCTGGAGTGCCTGTTCACCATCGACGAGGAGACGGGGCTCACAGGTGCGGCTGGGGGGGCGGGGGTGAAGGTGGGGGGGGGGGGGAAGGGGGGGGGGGGGGGGGGGGTGAAGGTGCATGAGGGTAATAATAAGGAAGCTGATGAAGCAAGTAACGAGCTGTGGCGCATGTAGGCCGCACTATGGTGCAGGAGGAGGGGGCGGTGGAGGTGGAGGTGGAGGTGGAGGTGGAGGTGGAGGTGGAGGGGCACCTGGGCGCCAGGCCAGGAGCTCCAGGGCCGCCTAGCTAGCCGTATCCTCCTCGTCCTGCTCGTCTTGCGTTGATGCATGTTGGCATGTGTTTCGTGTCAACGGAACTCGAGCATCCCCCCCCCCCCCTTCCCCCCCCCTCCCCCCCGCCCCCCAGGTGCCTTCGAGATCTCCCCGGACCTGCTCACCGGGCGCACCATGCTCAACCTCGACACGGGTGAGGGGGGATTAGATAAACTGAGCCGCGGAAACACTGACCCTGACCGTAGGGGGGAGGGGGGGAGCAGGGGAACTGAGCCGGGTGGGGGTCAGGGGTCAGGCAGGGTCAGGGGGAAAAGGATAAGTAAATTGAAATAAAAATAGTTTGATAAAATAAAATAAAATCGTAGATAGTAAGTAAATAAAAATTCCAATGTATATTTTATAAGATATATTTTTATTTATTGGATATACATATTTTTTATTGGACATGTATATCCAATCAGCCAATGGAGAGGAGGAGGGAATGGGAGACGGGGGCTCAACCTCGCACCGCCACCTCCTTTCTCACTCTTTCCCTCCTCTCCCCCTGCAGAGGACTGGGGTGAGGTGTTCATCGGCTGTGCGGGCGGCGGAGACATGCGGCTGGTGCTGCAGGTGGCGCTGCAGCGGCGGCCGGAGCAGCCGGCCATGAGGCCCTTCAAGGTGAGGCGGGTGGGGCGAGTAAGGAGGGAGAAGAAGCCGTACCGGGTTGATGGCTGCCGGATGGCAACCAGCACAACATGGGTTCATGATAGCGGACCCTGGGGGGTGGGGGGCGGGGGCGGGGGCAGCAGCTGTGGCAGCGGGTGAGGCAGCTGGTGGGCGGTAGCAGTACCCCACCTCCCACCTCCCCCGCCTCTCCTCTCCTCTCCTCCCCCACCTCCTCCTCCCCTCTCCCTCCCCCACCCGCCCCCAGCTCCAACTGGGGGGCCTGCTGGGCGGCCACAGCGGCCTCAACATCGGTGAGGGGCGCGGTAACGCGGTGCAGCTGCTGGGCCGGGCGCTGGAGGCGCTGGGGCGGGCTGCGGCGGGGGACGGTACGGCAGCAACAGCGGGGGCAGTAGCAGCAGCAGCGGGTGGTGTTGGAGATGCAGGGTGGAGGTTGGTGGCAGCGGGAGGGGGAGACAAACGCAATGCCATCGCGAGAGACGCCTGGGCGGTGGTGCTGGTGGCGGAGGAGCGGGTGGCGGCGGTTACGGCTGCCGTACAGTCCCTTTTAGAGGAGCTCCGTACGGAGTACGGCACACTTGAGAAGGACCTCACGCTGACGTTGACACCGTACGACACCAACTATGATGATAACGGTGAACAGCAGCAGCAGCAGAGAGTCAACCTGGCCGAGGTGGTTGCGCCTGCTGACGTGGCGAGGTTGCTGGCGCTGCTGCGGGGGCTGCCACATGGCCCCCTCAAGTACTCGCATGCGGTCCCCGGTGGGTCGGTTGGCAGTTGTTTGGTTGGTTGGTTGGTTGGAGAGTTAGTTAGTTAGTTTGGGCCCTGGGCCGTTCTTTTGGCCCCTGTGTGTTGGGGCTCTGTATTGATGATCTGGGTGGGATTGGGAACATTATCAAGATGCCATGTTAACATGGCATATGCATCCGTCCCTGCTCCCCAGCTCCTCTGCTGCTGTCCGCTGCATGCACCCTTGCGCCCTTTCCCCTGCTGCAACACAACAGGGTGTTCTTCGTTTCCCCCCTGGTACCCGCCCCCCCCCCCCTGCAGGCCCCATTGCTTTGCCCTAACTTGTGGTTTCCTATGGTTTGGTATGGTCTTTGACCCCCCTGCTACCCGCTACCCCCCCCCCTGCAGGCCTGGTAGAGACTAGCAACAACGTGGCCTCCCTGCAGGAGCAGCAGCCGGCGACCCCCGCGGAGGCGACAGCAGCAGAAGCGGCGAACGGCAGTAAGTACGGCATTCTGATACCCAAGGTTACCACTAGGTGCTCCGGGAACCCTTTCAAAGGAAGTTTACGGAATGTATCGTTCTAAAGTGACACAATGCTATGTGTCTTTGTGTCTTCTTTGCTGATGTACGGTCTCCTTCCCAACTTCCCATGCATCAGCTGCAGGAGTGCGGCGCTACGCCATCGTCACCTCCACCCGCTCCTCGCTGTCTGCCGCGCTGGAGGCCACTCGGGACGTGATCCAGGTAGGTGGGAGGTGGGAGGTGTGTATGTGTGTATGCATGTGTGGGTTGTGGCTTCCAATAGAATGCATCAGACTGCATAGGATATATGAGCAAGGGGAGGTGTGTTTCTGGGTTGTGGATCGAGCTGACCGGGCTGCCGAGACGTACCGGTACGGTAGGTGATGACCAATAAGGCGGAGGAGGTGGGAGGTTCGAGAGAGGAACTAACCCATTCTGTAAGGATCCAACGACGAAGGAAGATCAATTAGGGGTGGGGTGGGCCGGTGGGGGCAGTGCAGCCCCGCGGCCCGCCTGCTGGGTGGTGGTAATGAACTGATGGCAGCATCCATCGGGTGTGCGGAGGGGGGGGGCTTACAGGCAGTTGAAGGGGTAAACATCATCCCTCCTTCACTTCCCCTTTGCCCCTTGTTCTGCTTGCCACCCCTTCCCTCTTCACCCCCTCTGCCCCCTCCACCCCGCTCCTCCCCCCTTGCAGGGCCTGGCGGGCCTAGCCGGGTGTGTGGAGCTGGAGCGGGGCCGCGCCTACCCCGGCTGGCAGCCCAACCTGGACAGCGGGGTGCTGCAGGTGGGGTGCTAGGAAGACTGGTCGGGGGGCGGAATGCACTGGATGCTGTGCAGGAAACGGGCCCGAAGACTCTGTGTGTGTTAAGAAAACTGGCCGCGAGTAGGAACGTACTGGGATGTCGGAAGATGAAGTCCTCACAGAACCGCCGCAGGAGCCGACTCTGCGTGTGTTAAGAAAACTGTGTGTGTGTGGGGTGGGGTGGGGGAGGTTGCCTGGGGCCGCGAGTGGCTAGGAGCTCGGAGGTACCGAAGCAAAGGGAGAGCTCTAATGAGAATAGAAAACCCGACACCTTGCCCCCCACCTCCACCTCCACCTCCACCTGTCCGGCTGCCCCCTTCCCACCGCAGCACATGGGAAAGCAGCTCCTCGGCTTCCTCTTCTTACCCCCACCCTGCCACCCCCCCCCTGCCCCCCTCCTGCCCCCCTCCTGCCCCCCTCCTGCCCCCCTCCTGCCCCCCTCCTGCCCCCCTCCTGCCCCCCTCCTGCCCCCCTCCTGCCCCCCTCCCCGCTCCCCCGCGGCCGCAGGTGACGCTGGATGCCTACCGCGAGGTGCTCGGGGAGGGGCGGGGCGCCAAGGTGGGAGCCATACACGCAGGTCTGGAGTGCGGCATACTGGGGCAGCGGTTCCCGGGCATGGACATGGTGTCATTCGGGTGAGCGGGGAGGGGGGAAGCGGGGAGGGCAGGGGAGTGGGGGTGGGAGGGCAGGACGGGGCAGGAAGAAGGGGGGGAGGCGAGGGGCCAGACAGTGCTCCCAGGTGCCCAAGTCAGTCACACCTCCCAGTCCGCCTTCTTTTCATACCCCCTCCAGCCCCCTCACTAATATCCTACCGTAGCCCTATACCAGGAGTCCGTTGCGATGGGCCCCAGCAGCGTCACTCCCTAACCCCTTCCTCTACCTATCTAGTAACCCCAATACCCCATACACATCATCCCCCCCCTCCCCCCCAACCCTCCTCCCTTCTCCCCTTCACTTTTCATTTACCCCCCCCCTAGTCCGACCATCAAGGGCGCCCACTCGCCCGAGGAGCGAGTGCAGCTCTCCACCGTGAGGCCCTTCTGGGAGCTCACGCTTCGGATTCTCGAGCGGTTGGCAGACGTACGGCAGTAAGATGTACGGCAGAAAAACGCTTGGCGGATGTACGACAGCTGGAATGTATAAATGGGATTGACTTCTGTTGTCTACGATTGGTGTACGGTGGCATGTAAGCAGGAAATTTGCACTGCCGTGGCTTACGTGCGATTTGGCTGGAGGGGGGTTTGAGGAAGGGGATGGGCGCAGTTTGCAGCCGACCGCGAACGTAGGTTGTGGGTTGGGACTTGGGCTGGGCTTGGGCCATACATGAGAGACATGTGAAGGCTGCTGATGTGCGAAGGGACAGTGAGGGCTGGCCCCAAGTACGCACAATACCAAGTATATGGCTGCTCTGCTGTAGTGGGCGGCAGCCTTGCCCGCATCAGTCACTGCAGCGTGCAGCCCTCTCAGCTGCTGCACTGCGAGCCGAGCACTGATTTGCGCATTGCTGGGTAGCGCAGGGCCATGCCCTGCAGGTTTGCAAACTGTTTACAAACGGGTAACTGTGTTGCATCACAAAAGGCGTTGATTAGCACCAACCAAGGGTTCCTGAGCATACCCAGCTCAAGGTGCTCAAGGGAAAGTAGGCATTTAGCTTTCTGAGCGCTGGAATGAGGAGGCGGCACCCGTCACATCCGTTCCACACATCCCACACCCGCATTGGCGTGCTGGGCGGTGGCACAGGTACACATGGGATCAGGGGACGGGTAACAACTTTGAGTGCTAAGACAACTTCCAGTAATAAAAGGAAACAGCAACGAGTAGCTTATCCAGCAGGGGATCTTATTACTTAGCGCGCTGTATGCTTGGAATTCTCTCGGACTTGCAGTCTTGTGCCACGGGAACGTAGACATGTTGCTAAAATAAGCGTATTATAACCAAGTTCAAACTTAAGAGCGGTTGTGGAAAACGTAGCAGGCTACGGGTACGTTGACCTCCCATAACGGGATAAGGCCAACCGCCCGTAATCAGTTGCCCGTTAAGTAACGCAGGCTACGTTCCGTAATTTCCGCGCGGACGGTAATGCTGCTTACATCGCTGCCAATGTTCGTCTAACCTCTAAGCTCCTGTCCGGCGAAGGCCAGCATCTAGCTATAGAAAGTCTGTACTGCAGCAAAAGTGCAATAGACGCCTTTGGAAAAGCGTGAACGCGTGACCCTTGAGCGTCAAGTGGTATATTTACTACAGCAAAACGCAACATCTTTAGGACGTTTGCCTGCTTGTCAGGATATACACTGCAACAGGGTGCACAGTCCTTCTTAGGCGCGGTCAATTCATAGGTTCGTATGCGGTGGCCGCGATGCATATTTGGATGCTTTCCTACCAAAGCAAAGCCTCCATCCGAAGCCGACGGTTCAAGCTTAGGCCGTCGAGCTTTGGCTATTGAACTTGGGAGGCCCCCCGTCGACCAGGCAACACGACCATTTCTTGCTGTGGATGAAGAAGTATTTATTCCAGAAACCTCGGCGGGCCTTCACTTGTTGCTGCTCGCCGATGTTGGAGCGACACTTTGCCCGAGCTGGACTTCTGGATCAAAGGCTGGAATGTCAGAGTTCAGTTTGGAACAGCTCGGCGAAGAAGTTGTCCTTGGCGAGTTGTTGAGCGCTGGTCCTGATACGAAGGTATTCGCAGCCAGATGGCGGGGAAGCCTCGTGGCGATTAAACTAACGGTGAGCCACGCTTCCACGTGGTTGCCTAATGGTGACCGGCCGTTATCGCTCGTATGGCCCAGAGATGGGTAGGAAGCCAAAAGGGCTCGTTGATAAGGACCGTCCGCCAGCAAAGTGCAGCTGACGTGTCTGCTAGTTCCGTCCATGTCTTTCGCTCTTCCCCTTTCGCCACATGCGGATATCCGCATGTTTTCTTTTGGAAGGTTGCTTAGTTTGCATGATTTTCCCTTTTCGTCGCAGCGCGGCCGCGCGGTGTCAATTCTTTCGACGTTTCAACCGTTTGCCCATGACATCGCTCTCCGCAGGTTTCCTCCGGTCCCGACCACCTACACCTCTCAGCTCGCGAGAGGCTTCTGTCTCGTGGCCTCTTCCACCCGCACCTGCTGCGGACCTACGCAGTGTTCTTGGCACGGCTGTCAGAGGAAGACCTGCACTTGGCCTCGGCCATACCTCGTCGTCACTGCCACAGCCTCTTCTCCGCCCCAGAGAACCCTTCGCAACAGCAACAGCAGCAGCCCGTCTTGCCAGACCTCTGCACCTCATCCTCCCATTCCTGCACCTCATCCTCCCGGTCATCCTGCACCTCACTTCCTTCGACCACCTCCCATCTCATAGCATGCTGCCTGAACCCCACCAATTGCCGCAAGCAGTCTCAGCCGCCCAACGCCGACAATACCGGCCACTGCTTCCGCTGCTGCGACCATCACCAGCGAAACACCAGCGGCGAACACCAAAACAAGGACAACAACAACAAGAAACCCTTTTTTCTTGCCGACTACAAGGACGACGACGGTGACATTGACAGCAGCACCACCAGCAGCACTACCAGCACCACCAGCAGCAACCACTCCCACTTTGGGAGCTTCAATTCCGCAACCCCACATCCCACGGCAGAGGCCACCTCCGCTGCTGACCCCCGTGTGTCTCCCGGGGCCCCTCCCGGGGCCGCTCGCTTGCTTCAGGAGCTGCGGCAGCTGGGTGCGGCGCCCGGCTGCCACCTCACCGCAGTGGTCATGGAGCTGTGTGAGGGGGGCAGCCTGCAGCAGCGGCATCAGCAGCAGCGGAGAAAGCAGGGGGGCGGGGACGGAGGCAGCAGCCAGGGGTGCAGCAGCATGAGTCGGCCCGGAGGGGCGGGTCGGGTCAGGAGCCCTGCTGGGAGTGGAGGCGGTGGTGCGGGCGATGATGATGGTGGTGGTAGTAGCGACAATGGTGGCGGTGGTGCTGCTGCGGCGGCGGCGGCTGCTTGTGTTGCGGGCGGGTGTCGTCGTCATGGTGGTCACGGTGGCGGTGGGGCTGAGCTGCTGGCAGATGCGCTGGAGGTGGCCCAGGTGCGCCCGGGTGTGCAGGGGGGGGGGTAGCGGAAGGTTTCAGAGCGGTAGTGGATTGGTAATACTGTACGCGCGCGCGTTGCGAAAACACATGTGTACGTATGAGTGTGTTGTCAGAGGGAGCAAGAGGTGCATGTGACGGCGACGTGTTTTGGGGAAGGAGGATGGGGCCGGTGTGAGAGGTACAGTACGGTGCGTAGCTTGCTTTTGCAGTGCTCCCTTCTTCTCGCTTTCTTACGCGGGTTGCGGCCCACCCGTCCTCCACACCTCCATCATGCGCCACACGTTTCACCCTCCTGCCGCTCCTCCGCTCCCTCAGGCATTGGCCCATCTGCACTCGCTGGGCCTGGTGCACGGAGCCTTAAAGGTGGGCATGGGGTGAACACAAAGGCAAAGGCACGGTTGCATACACACATGCGTGCGCTACCATATTCCTCGGCTGCTGCGGCGGTTCTGTGGGGACTTCACCTTCCGACATCCCAGTAACTTCCTACTCGCGACCAGTTTTCTGAACACACATGCGCAACGACAGTGGCCACTCCTGGGTTGGCGGCGGGTGGGTGGTCACACGTGAGGTGGGGGCACTTGGCGGCAGACTTTGCCCCGCCGTGAAAGACCCCCACCCTTCTCTTTCCTCTTTACAGCGCCCGTCTCCCTCTCCCTGACCTTCCGCTCTCCCTCACTCTCCCTCACTTCGTTCCCCCGCGTGAAGCCCTCCAACGTGCTACTGCGCAGCAGCACGGCCCCGCCCCCGACGTCAGCAGCAGCAGCAGCACCGCTGCAAAAGCGGCACGAGGAGCAGCAACACCAGCCCTCCTCTTCCTCCAGCGGTGGCGGCAACGACAGCGGCGGCAGCGGCATTAGGTCGCGCCCCTACCGCTGCAAGGTCGCCGATTACGGGTGCGGGCTGCATGTCAACTGCTGCTTTGCAGCCTGCCGCACGCACCAGTGTTCCTTGCCCTGCCCCGTCTGGTTGTCTGTGTGCGTGTAGGGGACGTTCTTGGTGGCGTGGCGTGTTGTGTGGTGTGATGAATGGCCTCGCAGCTTCGTGGTGTGCTGTGTGCTATGTATGGATAGTGTTCCAAGTTACTTGTACTGCTGCATGGTTGACCCCACAGCAGCAACTTCATTTCAGCACCCCATCATTCGCCCTTCCCCCCACCTCCCGCTCTGCTCTCGTGTCTCATTATATATATTTTTACCCACCTCCCGCTGCCCGCTGCCTGCTCGGACCCGCCTCCGCTCCGAAGGCTTGCCAGGACCACACCAACCACTACCCGCGGGCCGGCAGGCGCCGCTGCTGCCACCTACACAGCGCCCGAGGTGCTGTCGGGAGCGCAGCCCCGCAACGATCCAGCAGCTGACGTGTACAGGTGCGTGGGTGCTTGCACGCTTTTGCTTGATTGCCTGCATCAAAGAGGTGTGATAGGTATGTTAAAATAACTGGTGTGTGTGCGCCTGCCCCTGTTGGGAGACAGGGAAACCTTGCCTCCCACATCGTGCGGGTTAGGCAAGCCCCTGTCCCTACCCCTCCTGCCCAACGCATGGTTCTCCTTCCCTTCCCCTCCCGCCCGCTTCTCTCCTTGCCGGCTGCCGCGCAGTTACGGCATGCTGCTGTGCCACATGCTGGGGGCCAACAGCCCCTCGCCAGCGGGGGTGGTGCCACCACCACCAACAGCAGCAGCAACAGCAGCAACAACAACAGCTGAGAACCGGCAGATAATGACATCAGCAGTCACGCAACCTGCAGCGGCGGCAGCAGCACCAGCAGGGGCGGTGGCGGTGGCGTCGGTGGCGGGAGATTGTGATGGTGATGGTGGTGGTGGTGGTTATGGTGATGGACCGGGCAGCCAGGCACTGTTCAGCCGAGATGTCGCACGTGTCGACAGCTGCTGTGCTGCTGCTGCTGCCGCCCCTGTTGCGGGTTCCGTTCTGGCAGGGATTGCACGCGCGTGTTTGGCGATTGAGCCGACTGAGCGCCCCACGTTTGAGAGGATTGTACGACAGCTGTTGCACGCCGTACCTAGTGCCGTGGAGGAGTAAAGCTGTAGCCGCTGTGGCGGTGGCTGTAGCAGTGAATACCATACCTTGATAGTAACTTCGTCCCATGGATGAATGCCGTGCAGCAGAAAAGGAACGTGCAATGTCCAATGTGAGGGTATGTACTAAAGCGAACTGAGCCGCTTAACTGAGCATAGCTGTAGAGTGGAGAGCCTCTTCCTATCTCGGGTAATGTTGTGTCGTCTATGGCAAGTTAGTTGGTGTTGTTGTGATAGATTTTTGGCGCAAAGGGGGCAGGCGCCTGGATGGGTGCGTTTGAGTGCCTGCTGGAGAACGCCGGCGAGGGGTTCCGGGGGTTGAGGGTTCCGAGCGGGTTTGAGGGTCGGCATGATGTGATGAGGCATGAAGGACGAGAGCGAGCGGTTTTATTAGAGCACATCGTGATTCATTATTGAAGATAAGCAAATGAAGACTGCCTACCGTGCTGTGCACGCTAAACATGCCATGAGCTTCCATATCATCATTTCGTGAGGAGTTTTCCGGTACAAGTAGAGGGAGTGCTATTGGTAGTATATCGGTACCTACATACATGGTGAAACACTGAGCGAGGAGAGTGCGCACAAGGCGGCTGGGGTCTTGGTAGTTGGGTAATTTTGTTTTCTTTGGTCCCTCATCTTGATCAACGGACTTAGGGGACCCATCTTCACACCTCGGAAGCAGGTTCGGGTTGCACGACAAGCATTGTGGCGATGACGTTTGCATTTCTTAGAGTGGAGGGAAAAGGGAGAGATCCATTAATGTGTCGGAGACTGAGGGCACTTTGGAGGGGGGCGTTTGCTGCCCTGCACGCCTTGGAGGTTTGAGCCATTCGTAGTGGGAGCCGAGGGTATCGGACGTGGTGCCGATAGTAGGTGTGTTTAGGAAACTAGCCGCGAGGCGGAACGTACTGTGATTGCCGCGAGTGTGTGTGTGTATGTGTGGAGTGCAATTGCTGTAAGATTGGCGAGTAGTGACAAGGTTGTGGGAGTCGTAGAGAACGCTGTTTCGGCGCAGCCACGTACCGGTGTCGTATTCTTTTATAGTGTCTGTGAGGACAATCGTCTGGCGCCCATGTCTGTAGCACTGTATGATCTGTAGTCGACGGGGGTACGAGCATGGTACGGCAGGACCATTCGTTTTTGCGGCATTTTGGCGGGATACTGTTGGCTCGAGGCTTTGTTTCTGTTGATGTTGGTGTGTTACGAGATTTGTACCGGTGGTGTTCAATTACCTGCCTGCCGCTGTGGGTCAGAAACCTGAGTAAAAGGTGTTGGTTGGGTTTAGGGGCGGTACGGTCAGCGCTGACACAAAGAGAAAGCTAGCATTGGAAGTCCGTTGGTTGGAACTTCGGAAATTCATGTAACGACCTGAAGAAGCATGTGGTGCTGTTGCATGGCGTCAAGTGTGTGATTGAGGCCGCGACGGGGGTTTTCTCCGTGCGTGGTACTCAAATAGGAAGCCCGTACAGTGAGCACGGGTCGTGAACAGTCCGCGCCAGTTGTCGCTGGCTCCAGTCGTTTGAGCGGCAACCACCAGCGCTGCTTGTACGATGAACGGGCTTGCCGTCCACACGGATTCGCGCTGCTGCACTGTTAAGCTTCTCTTTACATGTACGGCTATGGCCTCTGAAGGATGCCGAGCAGCTGTGTGCAAATAACACAACGAGGCGCCTTATGCTCGCAGCTCGCATGCCTCTGAAGCGGGGATGTTTTCCGTGCACAACATTACACAGTAAACGAAACGAACCAGCGAAAGCATTCATCTGCTCGCTCACTCCTTGCCCCCTCCTCAATTCCAACAGCCATACGCTTGCTGCAAGCCGTTCATCAGCGCCATTGCCGCGCACAGCAACAGCCTCATGGCCCCCATTGGCAGCACACCCGACTTCCCTCGCTGGGGCTTCCAACGCAAGGCGCGGCACTCGGCAACACATCTCATTAGCCCCTTCAGCCCAGTCACGAAGCATTCCTTGACGCTCCTCTCCTATTCCATCAGCTCCTACGCAGCTAGCCAGTTCATCCATCTTTTCATAAAAAACCCACACGTTATATTATTATTACACATAAGGACGCTCTCCTTAAATCCCAACCACACGACATAGCAACTAACAAAGGATGCCAGCTCCCGGCCCAATTCATCCTCCTAACCTACTCCAGCAAGCCAATCCATACCACCACGCAAGACAGCAAGAGTGCTCTCCCTTTGAGCCGCCGTGTGCAGCTGTGATAAGGGTCGTGGCCAACCAATCCCGCATTCCTGTGATCATAGTGTAAGAACGGGTCCTCCCCACTGAAGTCCTCGAACTCAAGTGCCATCGAGCTACCAACTACACAGTTGAGAAACACACACGCGCCCCTGCTTTCCAACACGCAGCGATTGCTTCCTCAGGCGTCGTACTCGCACTCTGCCGGGGTGCTCACGATGTGGCCAGTCACAGGGACACACGACTACCCAGGTGTCACGATAACTAAGGAGCTTCGGTTGTGACGAAATTTCCGTTCCACATTCTCGTTGGTAACGTGGTAACGTTCGCCTGATACCACGTTTGCCAAGTGGGTGTGCAGCGAGCAACGTGCAAGCAGTGCGACCAAGCAAGCCTATGCAGCCCGGAAAGCGCGAAGTCGCCGACCACCAGTAATGATGAACGGACTGCAAGGAGTAACAATCCAGAAGCACACATCTCAAGCCCAATCAACTTCCGTTTTCTCAACCAAATCATAGAAAAAGAGACATGCACACGTTCACATATGATTCACGTAGTAGTGAGGACCGTTGGGCATTGGATCGATCTCGTTCGCTCTCTTGCTCAAGCGGTATAGAACATCATGCGACATATGTTAATCTACAGGATACAACCACTCGATCCCTGGACTCCCAAGTTCCCTGCATGCTCGCATTCATCGAAGATCGCCAGTACCGTTACCAGAATCACCGTCACTGCACCACTTCTAACTGCCAACCAACCACCAACGACCAGCTATCTACCCTCACGGCCCATGCGCGTTTCGCAGCGCAAAGCCGAAAGGACGCCAATTCCCAAAACTCGAACTGTTGTTTCCCGCTCTGGATATCCCAAGCTAGCCATTAGGCTCCCCAGTCTCCGCAAATGCTGTTCCCCAGCGCACCCTTCTTCCCCGCCAGTCCCCAGCCCTCACCAGCCATCCTGCCTTCCTTCTTCACAAGCCGTTGCTGTCCGCATGTGCCCCCCTCCTCCCTCTGCTGCCCCTCCATACAACCCAAAACACCAAAGCCCAACTGACCCCAACAAGTCATGCTTCATGCTTCACGGGTGGCAGCAGCACCAGCAGTAACTTGTCTCCTAGCGAGCAAATGTTGAGACGACACATACCGGTAGCTGGCCCCTGCCCCGCCTTGCCATCCGCGCAGCCCCCCGCCACGCCCGCTGCCCGCACCCTTCCCGCCACCCTAGCTCCCCGCGGGCATGTATTTGAGGATGCGCTCCAGCTCGCTAATGATCTGCTCGCAGGAGGGGCGCTCCGCCGGCATGTCCGCCCAGCACGCCGACAGCAGCCGCCGCAGCGCCAGCGGACACACGTTGTCGTCCTGCGGTACCGGCAGCCGCCCGCCGCCGATCACCATGCGCTGCAGGAACTCGTGGGTGCGCATGCCCTGGGGTGGTGGTGGTGGTGGTGGTGAGGGATGAGGGATTGGGGGTTGACAAGGGATGGAAGGGTGTGTTGTAAACATGAGTGTTGGGAGTGTTGGGAACATGAGTGAGGAAAAGATGCCAGGTAGAGGGGTAGGCGGAGGAGGAGGGGTATGAGGACACGGGCCAGTTATTTTAACACACACACACAGCACGCGCAGCACGCCGCACCGCTCCAGGGAGGGGCCCCTACCCATCCCGCGAGCCTATATAACCGGCCGCCGCGCCTTCTTCCCATCATAATAATAATTACCAAACACAACCCACCCAACAAACCAGCCTATTCCCGGACTACAGCCATCCCCTTCAACCTGACGGCCCGCATCCACTACTACTACTACGACTGCTACCACTAGTGCTGCCCCTGCTAAAGAAAAAAAACACTAGACGCTACTAGACGCAACTAGACGCCGCCTGCTACTAGACGCTACTAGACGCTGCCTGCTACTAGACGCTACTAGACGCTGCCTGCTACTAGACGCTACTAGACGCCGCCTGCTACTAGACTCTACTAGACTCTACTAGACGCTGCCCGCCACTACTATAGACGCTGGCAGCCGCCGCCACCGCCGCCGCCACCGTGCATGACGTAATGCACTGTGTGCGCCACGTAATCCATAGATCTATCCCGCCACACTACCCCTATCATCACCAGGTGGCACTATCACAGTGCATTATGTCATGCACGGCGGCGGTGGCGGCGGCGGCTGCCAGCGTCTATAGTAGTGGCGGGCAGCGTCTAGTTGCGTCTAGTAGCGTCTAGTAGCAGGCAGCGTCTAGTAGCAGGCAGCGTCTAGTAGCGTCTAGTAGCAGGCAGCGTCTAGTAGCGTCTAGTAGCAGGCGGCGTCTAGTTGCGTCTAGTTGCGTCTAGTGTTTTTCTTTAGCAGGGGCAGCATGAAGAAGTGCTGGGACAAGGGGGAAGGCATGTGAGGCGCAGTTCTTTCCTTTCTAAGCAGTGAAGCCGCAAATGCATTGCCATGCACACCCCCCCCCATGTCCCGCCCATGCAACCCCCCCCCCCCATGTCCCGCCCACCTGCCAGGGGAATTCCCGAGTGAGCATCACCCACAGCAGCACTCCGAACGAGAAAACTGCGAAAGGGGGACGGGAGGATACGGTAGAGGCGTTAAGAAGGGGGGCGAGGACGGGAGGATACGGTTGAGGCGGTAAGAAGGGGGCGAGGAGGACGGGAGGATACGGTTGAGGCGGTAAGAAGGGGGCGAGGAGGACTGGTGGCTGTGCACTGCCATAGCAAAGACGACCAGGAAAGCGCCACAGCGCATATGAGTCTACACAGGCAACGCACGCTGTGCGTTCAAGCAGAGGGCACGAGAGCACCCCCTTCCCTGCTCCAGGCCCCATGCCAGTCCCCGATCCCCGACCAGCCCCTCGCCACGCACGCACCGTCAAGCCGGTCGGTCAGTTTCCCCATGCGCGCGTCGAAGCACTCTGCAGCATCACATGGAGGCAGGCCAGGCGGACAGGTCAGGCAGGTAGGTCGGGCAGACAGTTCAGGCAGACGGGCCAGGTGGGAGACACGTCAAGCGACAAGCGGGAACAGCTAGAAGCCAGCAACGGCAAATAAGAGAGCGATACAGCGAGCACAATCCATTGAGGCTATTTGCCCTGCAGCAAAAGTGGTCTCCTGCAGCAGGTCCCCTGGGACACCCACACACCGCACCGCACCACACACCCACATCAGACCCACACCGGACACCCCCCCTCAACACCCCAACCCGACCCCACCTGGTGCCATGTAGGCAAGGCTGCCCGCCTCGCGCCGGTTCGTCTTCACGTAGGACTGGTACTTGCAGCGAGCCAACCCGAAATCCGAGATCTTTGCCGTACCACTGGCGTCAAGCAGGATGTTCTCCGGCTGGTGGGTGGGTGGGGTAAGGAGGAAACAACTAACTGACTGAGGCTTAAGGCGTCAACATGGGTGGTCAAAGACCATACCAAACCATAGGAGACCACAAGTTAGGGCAAAGCAATGGGGGCAGGAACATGGGTGGGGGTGGGGGGTAGGGGTTGAGGGCAAGGGGGCACGGATTGATTCGGAGTGGGTTTGGGGCAACATGGCGCGGGGAGGGGGGTGCGTGAATGGGTTTGGTGACTCAGACAACCCGGTCGGGCCCGTCATGCTTGCTGGGTACCCCTTGCCGCTGCCCCTGCCCCGCATCCCCATGTTGCCTTGGAGCTTCCTATGGTGCGTACCTTCCTACGGTTTAGTCCTCCTCCTCCTCCTCCTTTCCAGGCCCCCTGCCCCTCCTTCCCCCCCGCCCCCCTCACCTTGAGGTCCCGGTGCACTATGGCGGGGTTGCAGCGGTGCAGGTAGTGCAGCCCCCGCGCCACATCCAGCCCCGTGCTGAGCACCCGCCGCAGCGGGAAGGGCTCCCGCGGGGCCTTGTACAGCACATCGGCCAGGGAGCGCTCCATCAGCTCCTCCACGATGAAGACCTGCGGGTACGACACGTGGTGGGCAGGTGGCCATGCGTCCCAACCAGCAATCCTCGGCAAGGCTCTGCAGCATCCCGCCCCGTCCCGTAGGGCCCCGGCCCCCACACTCACGTAGGGCGGGCTGAGCGAACCGCCGTAGAACTTGACCACGTTTGGGTGGTCCACCCCGCTCAGCACAGCAGCCTCCTGGATGAACGTCTCCAGGTCGGCTGGGCTGGCATCACCCAGAAACATCCTATGTGGGGGGGGGAGAGAGGAAGCGTCAGGGGGACGATGAGAGAAACAGAGGGTGGTGTGGATATTTGGATGGAGCCATGGGATTCAACACTTGACCCTGCCCTAGTCCTTGTTGGTGCGTGGTTTAGGTTGTTTAATGGTGAGTAAACTGTTCTTAAAGGAACTCTGTGAGAGAAAATTGTAAGCATCGGTTGAGCATAGCCGGCTGAGCAGGGCTTACTTAGGTAGGAGCTTGATGGCAACTGACTGTCCAGCGTACACCCCGCGGTATACAGAACCAAACTGTCCCTGGCCGATTGGTGCCGAATCGGTTAGGTATATCTCCGCACCGTAGTCTATGTTGAGGTTTACGCCCGGCTGGCGGGCAAGACCATTGGCAAGGATTGCGGCATGTGCAGGGCTGACCAAACTCGAGGTCGTGGACGACAACGCGCCGCAAGAGTCCCGCCCTTGCGCAGCTTCTAGGGCGGTCGTGTTGTCCCCAATATCCTGTGTACTGAGCGGCTCAGCGTCTGAGGTGAAGCGCTGGTCGCCTGTTTCGCTATACGGAGCATGGCTGGACATAGCGGGGCACTGAAGAGGGTCGCCAGGGTCACCCTCTTGCTCCTGCGCACCATCGTCGTCCAAATGTACGTTGGGATGAAACAGGAGGTCCGTAGAAAAGTCTACAATTTCCACCGGCGCTGCTGTCATGAACGCCAACGAGTGTCCCGCGGGGGACAAGTATCTATCCCATGACTCGTAAGCCTGTTGCATGTCATCCAGCTGTTGTGGTTCGCCCTCCGCTAACTGTTTGGGTGAACAGTCAAGGGTGCCTTGTTCGCGCGGCGACGGCGCATCTATTATGCTCGCAACGGTAGATTGAGGAGTTAACGGCGACACTGCAGAAGGGCTATCCCTGTTCAGCTCCTGGCTTGCGTGGGCGTGCTGACATTGAGCCGATGAACGATGGGAACTGCACTCCCTACGGCCAGCATCGTTCCCTTCAACAGCAAGCAGTGAGCTTCTCTGCTTCGTAGGGGTAGAAGACCTTAAGCTGCCCAAGACCTGCTTCAGAATCCTAGAAGACGCCCGCTCCTCATCTCCGGACGATGAAGCGGTGGATGTGGTGACAGCACGCAACAGTTTTTTCATTATATCTATTGCGTCATGATGGCTATTTGCTGTCCTATCTTGCGCTCCTAAATGTTTGTGTTGGACCGAAACCCCGAGAACACTGACAGCTGTTGTAGCCTCCTAATTAAAAGAGTGTCGATGCAATTCACTCTTGGATGTGAAGCGAACTTCCTCAACAGTTGAACGGGCCACAAGTAATTTACATGGCGAAAGCGTACCGGTAGTAGTACACGATGTACAACCCTCATGTTCTCGCGCTATCGTGCGCTGCCGCGACAGCTGCAGCACGCAGCTGGGGCGGTGCAAAAAGCTGCAAAGACGGTGGCAGCTGGGATAGCTCCTCAGGGCTAAATGGCCCAGCCGGCGCTTCCATGGACATGTGCGCCGTTGTGTTCGCGGCCTGGCTCGACCGCGCCCATGGCGATTGAGGCGCGCCCAACAGCCTCCCCATATCCGCCAAGCCTCTGCTTCCACTCTCACCGCTCCCTAAGCCCACACCCAAACCGTGCGCCGCTGGCCACATTACGCTCCCAATCCCTGCCGACCACCGCACACCCGAGCCCTCTCCTCCCCTGCTGCCACCGTTCCCATACCCAACTCCAGCCCCAACGGCAGTCGGCGACGCCGCGAACGCAAGCGCCGTTGCAACATGCGCCGGCGTGGAGGCGGCCGAGCCACCATCATCAGCTCGCGGCGCAGCAGAGGAGGGCGGTGTCGTGGAGCCGGTTGCCGCCATGAGCGCCTGGTTCTGCCTCTGCAGCTCCTCTACCTTGGCCTGCAGCTGCCCCAGCTGCCCCTGCAGCTGCGTCTGGATGGACGCCTGCAGCAAGCTCACTAGCGCCGGGTCCAGGGAGGAGGCGGGCAGCGGGGAGGAGAAGGACGGCGACAAGGGAGGAGAGGATGGAGCAGCAGCCGCAGCTGCAGCGGTTGTGGAGGGAGCAGAGGAGCTGCCGACGGGCTGAAGGCCAGGGCCGGCAGCCGCAAGGGCTGCCGCTGCTGGTGCCCCCTGAAGCACGTGTGGCGGCGGCGTTGGGAGAGCAGGAGAGCAGGGTTCCAAGGCTCCAGCTACGGTTGCGGTCACGCTAGACCCTCGCGCTGGTGCACCCACTTTGACTGACAGCAGCGAGGCATCAAGGAAGGCGGCCGAAGTGGAGAGCCCCGCAGCTCCTGGCATAGCGGCCGGTTGTTGTTGCGGAGAGAGCGGGTGCAGCTGCCATGCCCTGCCGCCATCGCCACCTCCGGTGCCGCCCAAGCTCTCCCCTGCTGTCCTTGAGCCAGCCAGCATGGCTCCTGGCGCCTTGCCGCCTTCGCCACTACCAGCCACTCCAGGTCCCGCAACGCCGTCCGGCGAGCGGCTCCCCTTTTCCTGTGCCGCAGGGGCGCTTCCAGGGGTTCGGCTGCGGGCCAGGGGGCCCAGCCCTGGACGTCCAACCGACCCATGGGTCGACACTGCGCTCTTCAAAGACAGCCTGTGCAGCTTCTCCAGCTCGAACAAATCCCCGCGGAGCTCCTCCAAAGCGCCCAACACGCTGGCTGCCAGCACGGGCCGCTGAGTGCCTTCCTGCGGCTGCTGATTGCCGCCGTCCGTGGATGACGCCTCATTGCCTTCCAAGGGAGGCGTGCTGCCGCCATCCCTGGTACCCACAGCTGCTGTTAATGCAGGCGGCGGTGAAGGCGACTGCCCAGCGTGTGCCGAGTCCCCAGGCCCGGAATTCGGCTGAACCTCTGCCAACTGCAACCCGCTGACTAACGCCTCGAACGCGCCCGAGGTCATCGTTGCAAATCCCTCGCCGCCGCCGCCGCCGCCTTCACCCTCAGGAAGAGGCCCCGGTCCCGCCCCGGCGGATGAATGCCACGGTGTGCCGGCGGCACTTCCAGGCACGTGATGAGCGGCCAGCGCCCTGCAGTGGCCTTCCAGGTGGGCCACGCGACCCAGCACGCGGCCCAGCACTGCTCGGCCTTGCTGCCGTACATCCTGACTGCTGACGGGCGACTGCGACACCCCATCCTGGGCAGCTGCAGAGGCGGTTCCGGAGCCAGGAGAGGACGAAGAAGCGCCATGGGTGACAGCTAGCAGCAGCCCTGGGGCTGCTGGTGTGTGGCCGGCTGGCGTTGTGGAGATGCGCGCTGGGGTAGCGTCGACCGGCGGCTTGGGTGTGCTGGTCACCCGCTTTGGTGACAGGAGCCTGGGGGATTCCTGCGCGAGCTGCAAGAGGGAGTGCGGAGCCGGCTGCAGCTGCAGCGACGGCGTGTCAGAGCCCGGGCTGCTGGCCCCCATGCGGCTGCAGGATCCTGCAGAGGGCGGCGTGGGAGATGTGGGCTCCGTGTGGCCCACCACGTGCCCTTGCACCCGGCCGTGGTTCATGGCGGAGCGTGGCGACAACGGCGTCGCCACACCATGTGAGAAAGACCAGCTCTGCCGCAGCAGGTCCACTGGATGGCATGCCAGCGGCTGCGCGTCCCCCATGCGGCGCCGCTGCCGCCGCCGCACCTCGCTGCTACCCAGGCTTATCCCCGCGGCCAGCATCTCAACCTCATCCGCATCCGCCCCTGCCTCCGTTCTCCAGGGTGTGTTCTGGTCGCCAACAGCCGCAGCCTCACCGCTCTCAGCGGCCCTGCGGTCGAGCGGCAGACGACTACGGTCGTGATCGACCCGTGGGTCACTGCCACCGCCAGCCTCGTGTCGCCATCTATGTTCCACTTCTGAGCAATCCGCGCCAGAAAACCCAGAGTGCGGTCCAGTGCTGCCTGGCGTTTGGTGCGCGGTAGTCCTCGTTGGCGATGTGAGGAGAGCTGGTAACTGGTAACGTCCAGGCGAATCTCCTCGACTGCATAGGCTGCTGTGCACGCTGCTGCTGCCCAGCATGGAGAGAGGCACTGCGTCTGTGACCCATGGGTCAGGCGTGTCGGCCTCGAGCTCGTCACCGGTGAGTACGGTGCCAGAGCTTGCTGCGCTGGAGGGGTTCTCAGCAGGGCTGCTGCATCCGCTGCTGGGGTTGCGGTTGCTGGGACTCTGGGGCCCGCAGCCGTGCGGAGTGGACGTTACTGAAACGCCTGCCGTCGCCAGAAAACAGGACCAAAGATGGCAACGATGTTAACGCACAGACATCACAAAATACATGCACTGCGGGTTTTGTTGTCTGGAATAAGATGTGGACACCGCTTATCATAGTTGAAGCAAGCCCAACTGCTGCCACCTACCGTCTTCCCTTGGCCGACCATTTCCGTTCTCCGCAGCATCATTATCCCAATCTGCCGTACTCCAGGGAGGCGATGACTCATCATCCGCATCTCCTTCGTATAGCGGGTTAGTCAGCATCAGCGGCTTGAGGTTTGTCGTACCCACAGACGACCGGCGATCCACACCACTTAAAGCTGCAACCGCCGAGTATTCGGGAGACTCGTGTTCGCCGTGTCCCGGGCCTGCCAACCCGCTGCCCCAACTACCGCAACTGCCAGCACCACGGTTTACCGAAGGCTCATGCTCGGGATATCCCCCAAACGGTGTCCCGACCTCACCCCCCATAGAGCTGCAGTTGCTGCTGCCGTTACTGGCGCCGCCTTCGTCTTCGCCGGCGCCCGGGCTGCTATGGCTGTGCCCCCCGGCCGAGGTCGCGGTAACGACTGGCGCCGAGGGGTGGGCCTCAGTTGAGAAGTCAAAGCTGGCGCTGAGGTCTGCAGCCGCTGTCTCGCAAGCAGGCTGCGCGTGGACTGCGCCAACTGCATCAGCAGCACCACCGCCAACGCCATGTAAGCCACCGCCATCACCCTTGCGGCCAGGTGATGCCCAGCTGATGCCGCCGGGTAGCTTTGGCGCACCCGCTGAGGTCTCCAGACCTCCTGTCGCGTGCTGCGGAAGGACAGCAAACATGAACGCGTCCGATTGGGCGTCCGATTCGTGCTCTTGACCGTCATTCACGGACGCGGAGGCTGGGGGACGCAAACTTTTGGCATCCTGGTTGTGGTTTGCAGCACCCACCGGCTGCGGCCCACACACCGGGGCAGGCAGGATGAACGGAAAGGGGCCAGACAGGGTCGCCTCCAAGTCAATACCCGCGCAAGCTGCCGACACGGCAGCCACGCCTGCCCCCGGCGCGGGCACAACGCTGGAGGAACTAGGCAAGCAGGGAGCAGGCAAGCCCGCCGGCGACGCAGCTCTGCTGGGCTCTTGTTGCTGCTGCTGTTGCAGTTGCAGTGGGTGCTGGTTCATGCTGCGGCGATGGAGCTCCTGTGGGGGGGAGGGCGCGGTCGGCGACGGCGCCGCCGCTGGCGCCGCCTGTGCTCTGACCTGAGCCAGCGCCGCCGCCAGCGCCCGGCCACGTTGCTGCGCATCCTCCTCGTCATCATCATCTACGTAGCACTCGGTTTCGGAGTTGTACGATGACGTAGTGCTGACGGAGCAGGCGCCGCCACTGCTGCTTCTCCCGCCGTCGCCGCTTGGTTGTGGCGCCTGCTCTGAGGTTTCCGGAGCAGCGGAGGCGGCCTCCCACTCCTCCGCATCCGCTTCTCCTTCCGCACCCTCACCTAACACCTCATCGGGACCGTCGTTCTGCGCCTCCTCTACCTGCTCGCTGGCGGTATCCTGATGTCGCCCTTCCGACTCTTCCGAAACCCCCTCTTGAGGCGCACCCGGGCTTGCGCTACCCAACCATGCCCCTTGCAGGTCTCGCGGGCTATGCTCCACAGCGTTATCGGGCTCCCTCTTCGCCACTTCGACGCTCTCGGCCACTCTAGCAGCCGAGGGCGTCGCCACGCTAGATGGAGTGGCTGCGGTGGAGGCCCCTCTGCTATTCACATCCAACATGATCCCGCCCTCAGACTCCATGCTGAGACGAGCCAGCTGCAGCAGGGCCTGCCTTGGAGCCAGGCTCTCGCTACTGGCCCACATCCCCGCGCGATCCGCCCCAACGGCCCTCCCAGCCGGCCCGTCGCTCTTGCCGTCCGAGTCCACCCGCATGGCGGCACGGGTCAGCCGGGAGGCAAAGTCCTGCTGGGAGCTGCGATCCCACTCCTCGCTTCGCGTGTATAGCGGCATAGCGGATGCAAGCGCCAGCCGGCTAATCGAGGAGGGGCTGGCCGTCTTGGGGCTCGTAGACCGTGCTGTTGCTGACCCGGCATCACCCACGGCTGGTGTCGCAGAGGCACCGGCGGTCGCAGGGGTAGCTGGCCCAGCCTGACGGCCGGACCGCGGTGTTTTCAGCGGCGACACGGATCGCTGCGGCGGCCAGAGCAGCGGCGCACCGTCGGGCCACTGCTCCGCGTCAGCGCCGCTATCTTCTGTGGCTTGTGACGCTGCGAAACTAGAACCATGGGGCGCTCCCTCATGGGCAGCGGGCGGCTGCATGGGCGTCACAGAGGCCGCATGCATGGGCGCCTCACGCGCGGACGCAGCTGAGGGCGGGCTGCTCAGAAGGCGCTGCTTGGGGCTCGCGTGGCCTTGTGAGGATGCTGCCTGGTGCTGGGGCGGCCTTGCTGTCGGAGAGCCACCAGATGGCAGCGGGGGAGCCTCAGCCGCCACCTGCGGTTGCTGCTCGTGCGGTTGGTTTTCTGGGGGCGTTGCGTGCTGAAGCCCGCGCCATGGAAGGCCAGGCGAGGACTTGATAGGAGACTGTCCGTAGCTGCCCGAGGAGCGGGCGGTCTCAGGGGTTGCGGCCATGCGGGGCTGCAGCTGCGCTTCACCGTTTCGCACTGCGTCCAGTTCTCCCTGCAGCTGATGCACACGCTCCCGCAGCGCTTCCTTGACGGCCGCATGCGCCTCCCTCTCCTGACAGGGCAGCATGGCAACGGGTCATGGAACAGAGTATGGCCAAGCCTACAATGCCACGACGTGCAAACTCCAGGCTGTATGCTAAGCCAAGGGGCGGAGGTCTTGCCGAGTGCTTGGGCAAAAGCAAGGACCAATCGCGGGAGTTTGCTAGCTGCAAGAGAACCTTACCTTCTCCAGCAGTGTCCGCATCTCTGCTAGCTGGTCCTGCATGTCACGGCGGTGTGCAAAGGGCCGACGTCAGAAGCTGAAGACGATGACAGCATGATCCCACATCCGACATCCCACATGCCACGGCGCCTTAACGCCTCTAAAGCCCATCCGCGCATCAGGCTGCACGCATGCCCACAAAGCCAAGACTCCATGCAGATTCCATGCTCCACATGCAAACACGCTCCACCTACTGCATCTACTCATTTCCCACCTGCAGCTCTCGGATGCGTTCCTCCTGCTGCTGCCGCGCCTCCTGCGCCTCCCTCGACTGCCGCTCCAGCGCCTGTCGGAGGTTGCTTTCCCGCAGCTCGCTGGCGGCACGGGCCTCCATGCTTGCCTGCGAGGTCCGTTAGGGGCAGGGAGGATATGGACCAGAGGAAACGAAAGAAGGTAAGGGTTCCGGGCCACACATACCTGCTCATGCTCCCGTCCCAGTCGCGCCACGACCTCCACATACTGCCGCTCGAGCGCCTCGACCGCCGCCTGCTGCCTCCGCTCGCCCTCCTCCAGAGCAACATCCACGTCCCGCGCGTGCCGCTGAGCCAGCTGCTCCAGTTCCTCCTCCCGCTGCGTCAGCTGCTTCTCCCGCTGCGCCAACAACTCCTCCCGCTGTTCCAGCTGCTCCCTTACGTGCGCCAACTGCCGCCGCAGCTCCGAAAGCTCCTGCTCGAGGGCCACAGCAGCTGCCGTACTGCCATCACTCGAAGAAGTTGCTATGCCCACGTCTGTCGAAGCATCAGCATCGCCGTCTTCAGTGCTTCCCGCGCTAGCGGTCTCTGGCGCATGCGCAAAAGCAGCAGCAGCCTCGCGTGCCTCCACAAGCAACATCTCAAGCTCCTCCACTGTCCGTCGCCGCTCTTCCAACTGCCTAACCAACTCGCCCTCACGCCGCTGCATCTCCGCCTCATGCTCCGCCGCCAGTCTCCCAATCTCTTCCATATACGACATCTGGGCCTGAGTCGCCTGCGCCGCCAACTGCTCCTCCAGACGCGCCTCCGCCTGCGCCGTCAACTGCCCCTGCTGCAGCCTCAGAGCTTCCGCCAGCTGCTCCGCAAAGTGCAGTTGCAGCTGCGCCTCACGCTCCGCAGCCGCCTCAGCCGCCCGCGCCGCCGTACGGGCCTCCAGCTCACTCATCTGTTCTGCATGCGCGTTAGCCATCTGCCCCTCGCGTTCCAGCAGAGTTTCCTCAAACTGTCGGTGCAGCTGAGCTTCCCGGTCCGCCAGTGCGTTCGCATGCTGAGCTCCCGCAGCCGCCGCCTGCTCCGCATGCAGCTTCGCGAGCTGCGCGGCCTGCTCGGCCAACCGCTCCGCGTTCTTGCGCCGCATCTCCGCATCCCGCTGCACCTGCTGCTCTGCAAACTGCCGTGCAAGCCGGGCCTCCATTTCATGTTGCCGCTCTGCCTGCTCCTGCAATAACCGCGCCTCCAGCTCCCGGAGCTCCTGTGCATGCTGCTGCGCCATCCTGGCGGCCTGCTCGGACAGCGCCTGAGCCTGCCGTACCGCCGCTTGGGCTGTCTGCCGAGCCAGCGCCTCCTCATGAAGCTGCTGCAGCTCCGTCTCGCGCTGTTGCAGCCGCTGGGCCAGCTGCTGCGCCGCCTGCGCCTCGCGCTCTGCAAGCGCTTGCGCATGCTGCGACGACAGCTGCGCAATCTGCCCATGCAGGGTAACAAGCGCCTGCGCATGCTGGGCTGCCAGCTTCGAGGCATGCTCCTCCAGCTCGGCCATGGCGCGCGCGTGCTGCTGGGATAGCTCCAGCTCGCGCGCCTGCGCCTGAGCCCGCGCCTGGGTGCAGTGCTGAGCGTGCTGTGCGGCTAGCGCCGCGAGCTCGTCCGCCCTCTGCTGCGCCGCTGCGGCCACCTGCCGTAGCCCCTCGAGCTGTTGCTCGTGCTGCAGGGCCAGATCTGCCTCGCGCTCGGCAGCCTGCTGCTGTGCGCGCACTGCCAGCTCCTGGAGCTCCGAAACCTGCGTTCAGGAAGGCGGACGGACCGTAACTTGTTTATACTATGCCCGGATTAGATTCAATTGAGTAATTAATAAGAAATTGCACGCTTGAAAGCACGGAACTGTTATGAGTTCGGCGTGTTGTATATGGCAGAAAGATGTGGAACTTGCTGTAGGCGGGTTGAGCATTGTTTGCGAATCATGCGCAGCAAGCGCACCTTTTGTGCGATGTCGGCGGCTGTTTGTTGGTGAAAGGGCGACCCGCGGTTCGCTGGTGAACCCGTGGGTCGTGGCGAGCCACCGTAGTTGACAGTGCTGATGGGTGAGGTTGGCAGGTGCCGAGTCGGTGTCCCCAACACGCTTTGCGGTGGATGCATGGGCTGCTGCAATGACTGGTGTAGACTGCTACTTGTCTTCTTCTTCTGTTGCTGGTGCGGTTGTTGCTGCGGGTGCCCAGGCCTCGGGCACCCATCCGCTGCATGGTTGGCAGCACCACCGGAGCTGCTGCCAGCACCCGCAGCGTCGCCTGTACGGCCGGTTGGGCCATGGCGGCTATGGCCGCCTTGCGCAGCATGGCTATGGCCTTGGCTCGCGGGTTGGCCGTGGCCGGCGTTGCATGGGCCAGCAATGGCAGGCCCAGCTTGTTGCTGCGCTTCACGCAAGCGCTTCAGTTCGTTCTGCACAGGGAAGCAGCGCCACAGGGCATGGTTGTCATGCGTGAAAGCGTACAGCCGTCATAGGCCTGTGCAATGCTATATGCGTAAGGTTGCCACAAATGCTATGTTTGAGAGGTACACTCCAAACCCGGCATTCAGCTCGCCCCACAAAGCCCAAGTATGGGCGCGCAAATCCAGTGACGAAATCGCTAGCATCTTACCTGCAGCCCCTCAATCTCCTCCTGGTTGTCCGCCAGGTAAGACCTGTACTCGCTCAGCTTGGCTTGCAACTCCGAAACCTGCTGCCGAAGCCCCGAGACCACCGCCTCACGCTGCTGCCCTTCCTGCACCGACGCCGTCGCCACGGCTGCCGCCCCATCCGGCCTGTGGTGCTCGGCTGAGGCCGGACGGACCCCCTGGTCTTCCAGCTTCCCCTGCTGCAGGAGCAGCTGTGCCGCCTGCTCAGCCACTTGCTGGTGAGCTGCATCAAGAGCGTCCTGCAGCGCCGCATTCTCGCCGCGTAGCGTCTGCCGTGCACATGGTAGGGGAAACACGGAGGAGCTCAGCAGACATAACTCGAAAGACAGAGCATCCAGGCTGAACGATAGCGGGAGGCACGGCGGCAGTGTCGAGCATGTAAGCCCTTCCTGGCGTGGATATGCAGGTATCTACAGGCATGCCGCGTCTGTGCCCGCGCACCTGCGCTTCCCGCTGAAGCTCCGAGCCCCGCGACGCCAGGGCCGCCAGCCCGCGTAGTAGCGTGACGATGTCGTCCCGACCCAGATTGGTGGGGTCTTGGGTGCCTGCGGACCCGCCAATACGACAGAAATGCAAACCGTATTACTGGTTGCGGCTTACGCCCATTGCACCTGGGTGCTTGCTGCTTGGTGCTGAGTACCGGTATGACAGCACACAGCGCCAACGCGCATCCCGCTAAGGAACACATGCACTTATTCCCGTGCGGAACCTGGATCTTGCTGTTTACAAAGGCGGCATTCGTTCCCTACGCACCCACGTCAGCCCTGGCCTTCAGCTCCCGTGCCGCCTCCGCCAGCAGCGAGGCAGTGTTCCACTCATCATCCAGGCTGGACAGGGCTGCGCTCAGAGCGGCGCGAAGCTCTTGAAGCTCCTGGGGGAAGTGGGGAAGAGGCAGGAGTAAGGGATGAGGAAACATGCCAGGTTCAACAGGTTCGGTGGGGCAGTTGTGTGTATCTGTCTACCCATTGGGAGATTTCGCCACAACCGGCTTTGTTTATTCCTGTTAACTCCCTTGGTGAGGAATCTTTGACAACACGGAGGAGAAATCTACAACACACCTGCAAGCCCAGACCACTTTATCCTCGACCCACATCGCCCAATGCCTCCATCTTCCCCCGATTCGGTACGACAGGTCCATGCAGGTATGGTATCACAACGCTTCCCTACAACACGCCCCTACCTGCTGTGCCGCCTTCGCCTCCTGCAGCTGGTTGAACAGCAGGTCTGACTCACGGACTTCAGCATCCCGCTCAGCGCGTGCCTTCCGCAGTGCGAACTGGAGGCTCTCCAGCACACCGTCGCGACACAGTCCCTGGATGGAAGCGGCAAACGTAAGGGCTGTCAGCGGCCTGAGGTTGAGAGTACGAGGCTGTGGTCAATATGTGGCGCCTCTTTCGGTCATGAAGTACGACCCACCTTGCCAATTTTCTCGTTGACGGTGGCTAGCTGGTGCTCCAATTGCTCATTTTCGGCCTGTGGCAGGGAAATAAAATGGTTCGGAGGCTTAGGCACCTTGGTACTGCGACGGCAGGTTCGCTGGAAGTTCCTTGCCATCCGCTCGCTTAGGCTTCCCGTCCCGTGGGGCCGCTGCTTACCCGGAGTAGCATGAGCTCCTCCTCCCGAGCCATGTCCCAAATTTGCAACTCCTGGCTCTGGATGACCAGCTTGGCACGTTCGGTCTCCAGCCGCGTGGCCTGATGGATGCATTTGTGGGCGATGTGGGAGGTAACGAACGCATCAAGTTGTAACGCCCTTGCCGTGCAGTCTTGCTCAATCCTAGAGCTCGCTTACCGCTGACTGGATGCCATCGAGTGCTTTGCTGAGGGCAAGGTCACCCTGAATACTCCTACTCGTCGCAAGGGCGAAGAGCTCGGATGGAAGCTTCACCGGTCCCACATCAGCGGTGGACAGAGATGGTCGCTCAGTTGCAGGCCTTCGCCTTGCTTTGGCAGGGCTTGGGCTTGCAACGAGTGACAGTCTTGGTGTTGCCAATTTGTCATGGCGTGGGAGCTGCGTTCCAGCCGGTCTGTCACTCATGTCCCTCTGTCCCGGCAGAATTCCCGCCAACAGTATGACTACCTATCCGGCACACATTATTGCATAACGTTTAAAGCCCTACAAAAGAATTGATGCAATTACACAGCAACAACCCCCTTCAGGGACTTGAATGTTTTGACCATGGGCAACAACAGGGGTTCACATCTTCCATAGCATGTTTCAGTTGTAAGTTAAATGGCTCACTGGTAATGAATTATCGCAAAGGCCTTCGGCTGAAGGCACGATGGGTGTCGCCTTGCAGCCGCCGTACAATCACATCCATGCTGCTTGTCTGGAAGAAAAGAGGCGTTCACCAGTCGCGTCTGTACCTACGGTTCAACGCGATTTAAACTTGCCATAGCGCCTGTACAACCTTACTGTCCAGCCCCAAATGCTCACCTGCAAGCACGCCACACCTTCTTCAGTGCGAGCGCGCGGCACTTACAGATGCAAAATCGCCGTAATAAGCAGAAATTTACCAAGCGCGCGGCAACTTCCTAGCGCAACACGGGTGCGGGCATAATGTTTCTTAGCATCGCTGTCTTGCGTTGAGAATATCCAACATTCTGGCATTTCTTCATCATCGTAAACCTAGATTGGTATCCGCCGAACCCTTTTTACATTGTACATCTCCAGCGAGGCCAGCACCCTATGCATGCGCACCCGACTTGCATGCCCTTTACAATTTTACCCGGGCAACGCCACCCAGACCCTCATCAACGCTGCCCACCCGTTCCTCTCGACAGGGCCCCGAGGAACCGTCATCCACATCACAAACACCAGGGCGGCAACCGCTGCCATTGCCATCAGAACCATCAAGTGAACAGCGTCCTGGAAGTGCAGGGAACCAAGAGACGCTCGCCACACAGGCAGCGAAATGGGCCGCGGAGGTAGTGGCGTCGCCGCTCTTTTACCTAGTAGCAGGTACCATGCACCTGCCAAACACTTCTAATCGCCCCTCACGTAAGGACCCACGGGTCCGCCCAAGCCACATATTCTTTGTAGGCCTGCCTGGCCGTGTCCCCCTACTTTAGGATCGCTGTGCCGCCCGCTGTCTCACATTAAGCCCGCAAACTCATTTGACAACCATTTTTAAATCCGGAACGGGCGCCCCAACTTGCGCTGTTAACAAAGTCTACTGTAGTGTTCTACGTCTCCCGTAACCTACTGTTACGTTCTCCTGTAGCTTACCACGCCATACTGTATCGCACCCACCCCAATCATTGGCTCTCTCCTCCAGGTCTTGCTGCAATCAAGCTGCTATCCCTGACCGGCCTGGAGGACGGCGTCACGATCTTCCTGTTCGCCGCGCTGCCCATCACCGCCCTCACCGCACTCAGCAAGAGCAGCCTGGGCAAGCAGGTGGGCAGGCGGCGCAAGGGGACAGCAAGGGGCGGGGAGAGCAAGGAAGGCTCCAGGAGAGAGCAAGGGAGGCAGGGGCGCTACTGACCCGTCCCTGACGGGTGCGGTTACGGGCGCGGCTGTAAGTGGCCCAAAAATACGAAGCAAGCTATGCGGCACCTCAGCAGCTGCACGGTCCAGCCTAGCCGGCTTAATAGCCTCTTGCCTCTCGGCCACCCCCCCAACTGCGCGCCTCAGGTTCAACAGCAGCTGGAGTCCAAGCTGCCGGAGCTGCAGGCGCGTGCGGAGGCGCTGCGGCGGGCGCACCAGCAGGCCCGAAGGCGCAGCCCTTGGTGCGTGAGGCTTGCAACCGCCGTTAAGCCAGCCACTGACCCGTGGGTCGTAAGAGACGCTGAGAGGGGTACATGCATAAGACACTAAAAGGCGTCAAAATGCGTGTGCGTGCATGTGCATAGGCGGTTACTGGGTGCGTAGCGTAGACAGTTATTTGGTTTTATGTTCATGTAATGCATGTGTGAACTATCCGTTGGCGCACTGTGCTGCAGGTACGGAGAGCGGCGGCCCCGGTTGCCGGGCCCTCTAGGTGCCGCGACTCACCTGGACGGCTCGGAGGCAGGAGACGCAGGGTTCGACCCCCTGGGGCTGGGAAAAGATCCGGCGACGTTTGCAAGGTACGGCAGAGCTACGTAGTTGGGTTTGCCCGACTACCAGGCTAGTACCGTTAGTATCAATGCTATCCACTAGGCACGTTCCACTGCACACCAATACCCAATACCCTCTCTCCTCCTCCCTCCGTCGTACTCCCTTCTCCTCCTCCCTCCTTCCTGCTTCGCCCTCCTCCTCCCACCTCCCTCCTATCTCCTCCTCCTCACCCTTTCCCTCCCCTGCCCCCAGGTACCGCGAGGCGGAGCTGCTCCACGCGCGCTGGGCCATGTTGGCCGTCATCGGCTGCCTGGTTCCGGAGCTCATATCCCTGCTGGCCCCGGAGGAGGTGGCAGCGCGGCTGGGGGAGCCGGTGTGGTGGCGCGTGGGAGCCGCCAAGCTGCGTGAGGGGCTCACGATCAACTGGGGCGGCATCGAGGGATTCCGGCTGGCTGGCAAGCAGGGCGTGGGGCTGATTGCGGCATGCCAGGCGGTGCTGATGGGAGGCCCGGAGTATGCGCGGTGAGTGGAGGAGGGGAAAGTGGGGCCTGCGAAGTTGCGGAGAAATGGAGGGTTTGGAGGGTGTGACATGTAAGGTAAGGTAGGAAGGTAAGGAATACTTTGCGCCTTTCTCCGTGTGCCCTCCTGCTGGCTTGCTTGCTCCTGAGCCCGCTCGCTTGCTCCTCCTGTGTTTTACACGCTGGGCTGCCCTGCCGTGCCTGCCGTACAACTACCCGTTTCTCTTGCAGTGTGGGGTTGGGCTCGTCACCCGTGTTCCCTCTTCGGGAAACCAGTATAACGGTCACCCATTCATAACCGTGTTGTCCTGCCCTTACTTACTGTTTCCTTGTGGAACGGCTTGGTTCCTCTCTCTGACCCGTACAGCTACGTGGGTATTCGCTCGCTGGAACCTGTTGGGGTGTTCCTGCCGGGGGACCAGAACTACCCGGGCGGTGGCCCTTTCGACCCGCTCAACATGGCGGAGGATGCGGAGGGCTTCGTGGACCAGGTGAGTGGGTAAGGGTGGGGGAGATAGGGAGGACCCGGGAGACATGGAGGGTCGGGAAGCAAGGAGGGGGCTGTGTTGTTACTTCAGACGCGTTTGGGTCTACTGGCTTTTGGAGCGTGGTTGCTTGGTGAAGGATATGGCTTCAGTTCTTCTTTGGTTTGGCAGGTGGGCTCATAGTCCTTAGAACGTACGTGGGGGGTACGATGGATGAGCTCACCTGCTCTTGCTACGCGAGGGCCTTGGCTAGGGAACCTCGTTGGCGTTAGGCCAGCTTTTTGGCGATATGGGTAATGTTAAAATATATGTTGTATAACGTTTTATGGCTCTCCAACGTTTTCAGGCCGTCCGCGAGGTCAAGAACGGCAGACTGGCGATGGTTGCCATGCTTGGCATGTTCGTTCAGGCAGCCGTGACGCGACAGGGGCCCGTACAGAACTTGCTGGACTTCGTCGCCGATCCTATTCACAATAATGCATTTACGCGCTTGACCGAGTTGCTAAGTGCCTGCTCGGCTGCTGAACCCTAGCCGAAAACCTACTTGCTGCTCCTTGGCTCCGAGCCATGCCGAAACCGTTGCGAACTCTGCAAAAGTGGCGCTCTGCAAGGGAGGCCGAAGGAAAGGGTGTTGAGCATGCGGTGATGTGACAGTCACTGTGTCTTAGCTTGAGTTTTTGGCATTACCACTTGGTATAATACAAAAGGCTTTAAGTTTGATAACAAAATTTGATTTCTGTACCGCGCCTTGTACCTATGCCTGTTTACATGTACGAAGACACTTTACGCAACGCGGAGCCCGAAGATGTTTTACGACACGCTCCGCACTGTGAGCTGTAGGGTATGACGATCCAGGTTACTGTGTCAATTTGTGCTATAATCGGGTGTTGTCCCGAGTCACTGTTTCATATGTTCGGTATTTGTTGCCCGCTCACGTGATACGCTTCCTTTTCCTGCACAAGGATAACATAGGTAGGAACAGGTCCTCTTAATTTTGGGCGCATAGTTATGTAACCTGCTATGGTCGACGGGCAACAAAATTGCAGCTCGCATACGTTTGCTACCCAGGTTACAGGCTTATAGCAATCACCTCCCGCTGTAGAAGATGGCCGCTATCTACTTACAAATTTACACGCTTTATGAAAAATAGTAGGTATAGCCTTAGCGGGTCCTGTCGGCAGCGTCCCCTTTTAGCCGACCGGTAGCCGACCCTCGTAGCAGCTGCAAGCTGCATGCCGCTCTACCCATGCCGACAACAAAGCTACTTATTAGTAGCCAAGGTGTTGATGAAGCCATTGAGGGTCTGCTTGCGCTTCATGGAGCGCGTTGTTACGGCTCATTCAGGCATCATTGCCCAACTCTGGGTGCCTCCAGCGCCAGCACCGGCGCACAGCACCAACAACAATATTCTCTATCAAACGCGCCGTGCTCCATCAACCGACCAAGCTGCCAGCTCAGTCCACCCGAGCAGCCTGATGCTGACATGTTCATCGAGTCGGAGGGCGCGCTCGCACACCACTTCTCCTTTCTTCCCTCCGGCTCTCGGGGTCGACGCAAGTCTAACCTAGGTCCCACTCTACCTGTTTCCGCCACCGCCAGCGCCGAAGCCGATGACACCCTCGCCTCGTATTCCCGCAGTTGCAGTCAGGCAGCCGGCCCGGGCGCCCTCCTGCCATCTCCAACGCCCTCAGCAGCCCAGCAATCCACAGGGGCCCCATGGAGGCAGGACACGCCGGCTGCCGTGCAACTACAAAGTTGCCCCTCCCAGTGCCGCCGTCACTCCGTCGCAGCAGCAGCAGCCGTCGCTGCAGTGCTAGCCACTCGAAGCAACTCCCGTACATCTCTTGCGCAAGCGTCGAGTATCGATGGCGGCACTACCACTGGCGGCGGCTGCGGTACGGCCAGCAGCGGCGGCGGCGGCGGCGGGGGTAACTGCAGTGCCCCGGGTGAATACAGCAGCAACCCGGGTAAATGGTTGAGGCGCAACGCCTCGGCGAGGTATACATCCATCAACGTCGCCTCTACCGCACCAGGTGGTGTCGTATATTCGGAGAGTCCGTTGGGATCCGCCGAATCCGCTTCCGTCGCCGTACGTTTCATCGCAACCGCCGCTGACGTGGCTGACGTCGCTCCGGGCGTTACAAAGTACGACAACAGGACACCGTGGACGCCGTTAACAGCATCCAAGCTTTTATCGACCCCCGCCGAGGCGCCGACGTCACCGTACGACAACGGGCAATACCAGCGCACCATGACGTACGGCACATCATCTCGAAACAGCATCCCTGTCAGCACATCTGTGGTACTCGCGGCATCAATCACTTCAGAAATGGCAGCTGCAGCTGCTACAGCAGCCGCTGCGGCGCGTGTCTCCGTCTCTGTGCCGCGCCGGTCGCGCAAGTCCTCAGCGTCCGCCGGCAGGAATGACAGCCAGCCGTCTCCCGAGCACCGTGCAGCCTCACCGCTCCTAGGGCACCCCCCCAGCGCTCCCTCTCCCTCTGCCTCTGCCCTTCCGCCACCCCCGCCCTCACCCAGCTGCCAGCCCTCGCTTCCCGCTCCTCCGCTAGCACTTGTCCTCGCCAGCCCCACTCGCTTCTCCCGTGCAGCCTCGGGCACAGCCACCTCCGTCGCCGCCGGCGCCTACTCCGCCGCCGCCTCAGGCCCCGTGTGCCCAAGCCCTGAAGGCCCTGGCAGCGACTCCCTGTACGGCATCAATCACTACCACAGCAGCGGTCGCGGCGTGGTGCCTGGCGTCAGCGGGAGCCCCTCCATCGGCACGCGCGCTAGCAACTATCTCACCTGCCGCTCTACTCCCGTCGCTGCGCACCCCACCGGGTCGCAGTCTCTGGGGTGCCAGTCCATACCTCTAGGCTCTGCACCTTCGCGTGTTGGCCTGGGATCCTCTCCCGCCACCACTGGCACCGCCGCCGTCACGGCAGCGGCAGCGGCAGTGGCAGCGGCAGCGGCAGCGGCAGCGGCGGGGTCCTACAGCCGCGACAACAGCCGTAGTCACAGTCATGTCCGTGCCGGCGGCGGCGGCGGCGTCGACGGCGGCGGCTGCGGCGGCGGTTCCCTCCACCATTCGTCAGTATCCGCCGTCGGCGCCTGGCACCTGCCACTCACATCCGACGCCGGCGCCATTCCCACCGTCCCCGCCACCTCCGCCGGTCGGTACTGCCAGTACGATACTCCGCCGGCTCTTCCAGCTGACCCCGCCTTCCACACCACCATGACAGCAACCCCAACCGCGGCTGCCACCATCACAGCCATTGCAGCAACCGGCACCGGACCCCACACACCCTGCCCTCCCCACTACAACTCCTCCTCCTGCGCCGCTGGCGCCTCTGGCGCCGGCAGGCCTAGCATGGGCGGCGTCAGCGCCTACGGCGGCGGCGGCGGCAGCGGCGGCCGCCGCTTCCGTGGCGCGAGCTGTTTCAGCCCTCGCATGCGGGCTTTCCATCTGGCCTGGACGGCGCTGTGTCTAGCCTTCTTCTCCGCCTTAGCGCCGGCGGCGATGCTGCCGGCGGCGGCGGCAGACCTGGGGCTGAGTAAGCCGGTGGTGGCGGCCGGCGGCGCATGGGCTCTGGTGGCGGGGGTGCTGGCGCGGGCGCTCATGGGCGTGTGGGTACGGCAGTACGGACCCCGGTACTGCCAGGTGAGGGGTGGGGGGCGGAAGGGGGGGGGGTCCCGGGGAACATGTGAGTGTTTGGGTTTGGGTGGAACAGGCGGAAGATGGCAGATGTTATGAGGGGCCTGCTGGTCGCGCGTCCCCTCCGGCAAGCTGTCAGTGCCCATGCCTTTCCCTATCCTCCCATGCCATCTCCGGCATGCCATCCGCCGGCTCTAGGCACCCTAGCCCCTCTGCGCCGGCCCCACATGCATCTCCTCGCCCCTCTAAAGTGCAGCGCAGCGCTAGGCCACTCAGTATTTTGCCCTCTCCACCCATCCCCCAGGCCTTCAGTCTGCTGCTGGCCGCCCCCGCGCTCGCCTGCATGGCGCTTGTGTCCGGTGTGGCGGGTTTCACGGCGGTGCGGCTGGCGGCTGGCACCTGCCTGGGCGCCGCGGAGGTCAGCAGCTTCTGGTAGGGGAGGAAGGGGAGCGGTTGGTAACGGTTAGAGGCGCGGGAGGATTTGGGACAAGTCCGCCATTCCCAATCAGGCCCAATGATCCAAGTAGTCTTTGGCGCCGCCTGCCCCCTTATTTAGTGCGTCTGCCTCCCTCTTACTTCCCTTCCCCAGCATGTTGAGCGCTTTCCTCCTGCCGCTGGCTGCACCTTTGCATGCAGGTTTCAAACCACCCTAGCCCCTGCTGCCCTCACCCGCCTCTGCCCATCTGCCTGGCCCCGCCCTCACCGCCTTCCTCCACCTCCTCTCTCTGCCCTCTACCGCCCCCACGTGCTTCCCTCCTCCCCCGTCCCACCGACCCACCTACCTCCCTGCACCCGCAGTCGGGACATGGGCTTGGCATTCCCGTGCTTTACCTACTTTGTTTCTTACCACCCCACCGCTCCACCTACCCCCCCCCTTCTACCCCCATTGCTTTGCCCTAACCGGTGGCTTCCTATGGTTTGGTATGGTCTTTGACACCCCTTGCGACCCCCCGCAGGGTACTCCTGATGTTCGATGCGCCCCGCTGGGCCTCCGCAGCCGCCCGCTGTGCCGCCTGGGGGGATGCGGGCAGCGGGTTAGCGCTGCTGGTGATGCCCCTGTTGTGAGTGAATCTTGGGGGTTCAAAGACTCATAATTATGGGGGGTCAAAGACCATGATTGGGGGGGGTTCGGGGCAGGGGTGAATATGAGGGACATGGGGCTCGTGTTGGCGAGGTCATAGGTGCTGCGTTGGGTACCGGTATCATTGGGTGTGCAGTGTATCGGTACTCTTGGATGTGCGGGAAGAGGAGGTTGTGAGGTTGCGGGATTTGTGGAATGCGGTTGCGTGCTTTATCGTGTCCTCCAGAGCTGTGCCTCTGCGCGCATGTATGCCTGCATGAACACGCGTGCATGTGTGTGCTTGTGCGTGTTAACCGACTGTGTGTGCGTATGTTCGTACGACAGGTACAAGGCCATGCTTGGAGTGTACGACAACAATGTACGGAGCGCCTGGCAGAGCACGTTTTACTTCCCAGCCGGTGAGGAGTGGGGTTCGGAGGCCGGGGTGTGCTTGGGGGCACATAACCCTCAAGGACGACTTGAGGGTGGGAGCTGGGAAGCTTTTACCAAGCCCTCTGCCCAGAGCAAGGAAGGCGGGGAATTCTTCGCGCATGGGCGGGGCTAGTGTTTGGACAGGGCGGGGGCTCTACTCCACGCGCCTACCTTAATCCTCCACTCTGCCCCCGGCTGTGTGAGTCCCCTGGTCACCCCTTCTCCCCAACCCCTTCCCAACGCCTCCCTGCACCCCTCCCCCCCGCCCCCCAGGCGCGCACCTCATGCTTGCCGCCCTGACGCTGCTACTGGGCCAGGACACCCCCCAGGGTGACCTGGTGGATTGGGACTCAGAGGGCGAGAGCCAACACACCTCCGACTCCTGGAGTGCCCACCCCGCATGCGGCGGCAGTACGGCAGGCGCTGCGGGCGCTACAGCCGTCGGCGGTTCGCCGTACTACGCGCACCACCAGCAGCAGTACAATCCCTCGCATCACCTAAAACACGCGGCGGAACACCATGCGTACGAGTTTTACGAGTTTTCGACACGCTCGCGAAAGGATGGTTCTACAGGTGCCGCTACGGGTGCTGCTACGGGCGTTCATGTTGCTGGTGGTGCTGCTGGTGGTGCTACTGCTGCGGCTGGGCTTGGAAGAGGTCATGATGTTATACTCAGCAGTAGCCGTGCAGGTGGTGGCCCTGCTAGCGCTGGTTTTAATAATTGTGCTACAGTCGTTCTTGGTGGCAGTGCCTGTACGACAGCCGCTACAGCCGCTACAGCCACGGGTAAGGGTGCTAATGCAGCTGGCATGGCTGCTACAGCCGGCGCTGCTGCTACCGCCGGGGGTCCGGCAGCCCTCACGACTCATGGTTTCATGGCATGGAGTGCGGCTGTTCCCGCAGGCGGCGGCGCCACTAGCGGAGGGCCCTATGAGCGCAGTCCCTCCCAGCAGCTGCAGCAGCTACAGCGAGTACGAACAGGCTCGACCAGCCTTCGGGGCTGGACACGGCCCTCCCTCTCCCTCCGAGGAGGAGGAGCAGGTGGCGGAGGCGGTGCTGGAGGTGGGGTAGCCAGCGGAGGCGGGGGTGTTGGCGGACGAGCAAGTCTGGACTTCAACGAGGGTCGGTTGAGCACCCACTCGCGGTCGTCATGGCTGGGATGGGGGATGGGCTGGGGACGGGGATCATCGCTCGCGAGGTCGTCGGCAGTGGCGGCGGCGGCGGTGCTGGCGACAGGCGCTGCGTCGCAGCAGAGCCGCGGACCGGAACCGGTGGCGGAGGCGACGGAGGCAGCGCCGGCGGCGGCCGTTTTACGACAGCCGTACGTCAGCAATGGCGGCGTCGCAGAGGGAGGCAGGGCTTTTACCCGTAGCAGTACGGAAATGTACGGCACTTACGCGGCCTCCCGACGGAAGCGCTGGGCGTTGCAGAATGCGTTAGGTGGCGGTTGGCGCGATGCCGTACGGTTGTTGCGCATCGCACTAACCAACAGTCGTTGCTTGCTGGTAAGCCTGAACTACGGCCTTAGTTTTGGAGCGCAAATGGCGTTGTACAACATATTTTCGCTGTACCTCGTACATCGGTACGACATGGGCCTTGTGAGCGCCGGCGCCCTGGCTGCAATGCCGGGCCTTATGAATGCGCTCATGCGGCCCGTCGGCGCGTCGTTGGCCGGGCGGTTAAGTCGGTTGTACGGCATGCGGTCCCGGCTGTGGCTGCTGTGGGCCTCTCAGTCTGCAGGCGGCGTGTGTTGCCTACTGCTAGGGCGCTGTGGCGAGGGCAGGTCGGGGCTGGCTGCTACGGGGGCGCTCCTGGCGTTGTTTGCAGCGGCCATGCAGATTGTAAGTAGGGAGGGGCGGGGGAAAGCGGTCGCTTAGGGGGGTGTTGGAATGACCCATGGGTCCACTGGGCTTTTGCCGGGTCGGTGATACACGTGCGTAGTAAGGAAGTCATGGATGCTGAAAAGGACTACGATCCAACCAAGATGACCTTTTTTCTCATTGCTGTTCCCCTTCCCAGGCGAATGGTACGACGTTCACTATCGTACCCTACGTAAGCTTCCGGGCTTTTGGTGCCGTACTGGGTGTCACCTCTGCGGGCGGCCAGCTAGGAGGCGCGCTGCTGCTGGTAAGCCCTTTCCTTGACCCCTGCACTCACTTGGTTTTGTCGGCGCCACGCCTGTTATGTCTCCCGACCAGCACCGCAAACGTGCATCAGCCCATTTCATTCCTCCTTCACGCCCTTCATAACCCAAATGTCCTCACGTCGCCTGCTACTGTCCCCCGCTCTAATTTCTCGATCTCGGTTCTCATTCTCCCCCCTCCTCTCCGCCCTCGCAGGCCGCCTTCTTCGCCTCACCCCGAATGTCGTACGAAGGGGGCCTTCAGTGGACGGGTGTTGCCGTACTGGCTGCCTCCGCCTCGCTGCTTCTGCTGCGCTTCCCCATGTGGGGCGGAATGCTGGCGGGACCGGACCGGCGCTACGGCGGGGGCTTGCGGGAGGAGCAGTACTATCTGTCGGTGGGTCGTTGGATCGCCGGGTTGGCGGCCCTCCACCGCGCGTGCAGACCTACTTCGTGTGAGGTGTAGTTCTGTAGTACTCGTACCTGCGTTACTGCCAGAAAAAAACACGCAACTTGCTATACACGTACCCGAACGTGTAATAAAATCATGTGCAATTTCCGTTAGTTGTCCTAATGCCGTACATACAACCTCCCTACCTGATTTCTTTCCGACCCCCATCTCAGGAGTGGACCCAGGAGGAGCAGGCAGCTGGACTCGCAAATGCCGCCGGCGCATTCGCTGTGCGGGCCCGATGCGAGCGTGGCGGCGGATACCAAGTTCCGCACAACAAGTGACCCGTGGGTCTCAGGACTCTTTGAGATGGGCGCTCCCTCTCTGAGGCCGTTTCCTAATGTTTTGCGCAAGGTAGTAAGGCTTTACCCTTTTACCGTTAAAGGCATGGAGGGAAGGGCTACTCCTTCCTGGCTGGCTAGGCTGTGCCCCTCCCCTGCGTCGCCTTCTTCTTGGCCTAGTGGGGTCTGTCGTATAACTAGAGCTGTCTGTCCTATTAAATAAAGGGGTAGTGCACGACAGGAAAGAGCAGGGCGCGACGGGACGGCACGGCCTTTTCCTGGTCGGCTAGGTGTTGCAGTTATCTGAATTGCTTCTTCACTGCTGCATGCAATGTATTGGCACGCTACAATGTCAGTCAATATAAAGGACCCCAGGGGGATCCCTCGATAGTGCATATAGGAGGGGTGTAGAGGGTTTTTGGGAACCATTGATAACCGTTCGTACAGAATGCGAGTGCAACAATGATTAAGGGTTTCTGGGGGCATGTGTGAAATGGGGCAATGGGGCAATGTGCATTCACTCTTCAGCTGGGTAGCGTGGGGGCTTGCAGCCGTTTCATTCCATTGTGCCGTATGCTTGCTGTGTATGGTGGGTCCACTACTTAGGCACTGCGTTCTTTGCTATGTTGCACGGATCCCGGCAGACAGGGCAGTTAAGAGGGCTGGTTTTGAATCGACGAATTGTCCTGAAAGCGACTGGTGGTTGCTAGCTCAGCGCTGTCAGTTACAACTGACCCAGCCGAGCCGTGTGCTGGGGCTTTACTAATGCCGCGCAACCGCGCAGACACATTGACGGTTTTGCAAATGCCACGGAGGGCACAGTGAAGAGCAGTGTCGAGCCAAAACGGTTAAGGGTGGGGTTGGCCGGGTGTACGGGACTGGCTGCTTGTTGGAGAGTGCATTATAAAAGGTATTTGGTGTCCCCTTAGAATAAAGGGTTGAAAATTGCGGGCGAGACCATGATTCGCGTGTTTTGGAAAGACGGGGGAATTCAGCGGTGTGTATCACCTTTGAGAATCGCTCATGTGGGGGATGTATGCGGCATTCCTGCTTGATTGTTGCTGTTTGGCGTGCTAGAGCCGTGCACGTGCGGCGGCGTCAATCGGCGGTAAGGGTGGAGTTGGTCGATCAGGTAGGGGTGCGCTGTTAAAAGCAAACCGTAGTGATTTGACGCAGTTATGCCGGGTTCACAAGGGGCGGCTCATGATATTAAGATACGGTAGGTAAGTTTAGCGCTATTTATCCATCTGGGGTTGCTAGTGGGTTTGTGCGTGCACCACCGGGCAGGGGCGGTGGTTTCCAATGCGGGTCTTACAAGTGTCGACATCTAATTATACATGTGTTCATTCACCTGTGATTGTGTTGTGCGCTGCACCTGACGTTTGTGGAAGATTGCGGCTTGTGTGTTAAAATAACTGGCCGCGAGGCGAAACGTACTGTGATTGCCGAAAGATGGCTTGTGTGTGTATGTATTTGCCCGTGGATAAGCCCGGCTTTTGCATGACTCGTGCTCGTCTTATTCCAGAGTTTTCAGACATCTTATGTTGCCTATCCCTGGTCTTCTAGAGGTGCGCCGTACGTTTTTTAAGCTGGCTACATGCCATTTCGTAAGCAGCAATGCGACATGCAATGCATGTATGGTTGTGAGCGCCGGCGGTCTGCGTTTGCGGTTTGGATATCATCATTGCGGTGGTCTTACCTGGTCTAGAGGCGTACCGCTCAGTACATGAAACACCATGCCATTGCAAGAGCTTATAGATTGAAACGAGGGATGCAAGACGAGGCCGTGTCGGCGAGTAGGCGGTGCGGTGGCTGTAGCGTCGAAATAGCGCGTCCCTTCGTTGCTTGCCGTACGGTTGCCGGCGGCGCACATGCCGTACAAAACGGTGTTCGCTCCAGGAAGCAAGTTACGGGCTGGTACACGGTAAATGTCGTAGACAGGTCGTGAAGGATGGGGTCATGAAAGGTGGGGTGTATAGGATGGGGTCATGAAAGGTGGGGTGTATGTCGGCGCTCTGAACACCAGGATGCCAAACAAAGCGCCCATCCGGAACACTGTTCGTTCTCAGCACCGGCATGCATGTCCTTGTTTACAACACTCGTGAGTCATACCGCATGTACAGCAACTACTACAGCGGCAAACACGCACGCAGCGGCACAATAAATGCACATCAGACGGTCCTTTGCATGGATTATGCTTATTAGACCCACCCTGCACTCCCAGCCCCTGCGTCATTAGCTTACAACCCCAACTCGCACCATACCTAATTTCTAACGTGGTTTGCACAGCAGCACGTGTGCAGCTTGTATGCGAATCAAGCAATAATGATTAATGGTACTACCACATGATAGATACCCCATGTAGATTAGCACATGCCCACAACATAGAATTGGCTACGCAATCGTCCAGCTTAGCCGTACGGAAGGGGTCCTACATAGCCCGATTAGGTAGGTGGGCGCAAACGTGGCATGCGTACTCAAGTCTTGAAGCAACGCACGTGCACGGCTCTTAGTAATAACGTAGGGCCGGTCCTCAGTAGTAACATATGCATAGCATGAGGACAACGAACCCAGACATCCGTACTTTGCAACATGTCAATGCGTTACAATAACAAACGCAGATGGATACGCAAAAATGGAGCAAGAAAGGGTTGCATGCGCTTGTGCAGCACTGCCTCTGGACGCATGCATGCATGCATGCATGCATGCACGCACGCACGCATGCAAAACCACTAATGCAATCTCTCAGCTACCCTCATGCCTCCTTCATCACAGACATTGCGCGGTACTGACACTAATAATGAATTCTAACATATTTTACCAGGCGGAGGTCACGCTCTAGGAAGAAGCCTGCACTACCAACAAGGGCCGCTTGCAACTACATACATGACCCATGGGTCGCCAGTCAGCAACCGGAAAGCACCCCGTGTATGTATCCAGCAGGCTGTAACATCGGACGGGACGAACCTTCCGGTAGTGCTGTCCTCCGAGAGTGGCAATGCTGGCAGGGATAGAACTTACTAACCCCCCGGCTTGTGACGGTATGGGGGTTATAAACTAGATACTAGATATACCCGCCCTCCTCAACCCTTCAATCTTCAGCACGGAAACCACGCATGGACAAACAGATGCAGTTGCAACAACCTTATGTTGCATGCTAGAGGATACGACGGCGCTAGCGTTATGTCTCTAGTGTCTGGTGGCGCAGGTGTACCGCATGAAGATGAAAGCCACCAGGCGGAAACCGAATCCAAGCGCCACTAAGCTGCCGTACGCAACCGACTTGTAACGGTCGCAGTAGTTGATGCTGAAGTTCTCCTGCGAGGTAGAACGTGGTAAACGTCACTGCTGCTCCCGGCATGACACAACATTGCTTGCCGGCATTTGCAGCGGCGGAGCAACGGCCCTTCATGCAGCAAAGCTGTTCAATCGACACATGTCCACCCCTACGCCCTACCTGCACCCAGTACCTGCACCCTGCGGCTCGGTTTACGTACCCCTGCAACGCTACCTGCACCTAGTTGCCTCCTCGCGGCCCCGGCTATCCACTCCTACACCCCTACCTGCACCCGTAGGAAGCTAAGCGCCTCCTGCGCCGATATCTCATCGTTGCCATCATCCACCAGCAGCTGGTCCACCCCGCACAGCCCGATGCCCTTGGCCGTCATAATGATCACGTTGCGCATGTCGTCCTGCGGGTGGTACGACATGTACGGTATCGTACGGCAGAGCGTGTCAGTGCGTGGGTTTAAGGAAGGGATAGGGGAAATGGTTAGATTTCAAGCCTACTGGACTCATCACTCTCACCTCTTCATGCGTGCAACAGAAAACATGAGACCCCTTGGTGTTACCGCTTACCGGTCCATGAACTCCTTCTGCGCTGTGCCAGGCAGCCTTCCACCCGCTGCAATCCATGCCGCGCTCTCCCTCCTTCCCTTCTGGCCCACTCATCAAGCACTCCCCTCCCAACCCTACCCTTCCCACGCACCCCATTCCCTTCTCTTCCATTCGTCTTCCTATGGTCACCGTCAGTGTTTCCTCGCGGCCCTCTTTACCTAACGCTCCCTTCCACTCCAGCGCACCCACCCCTCCTTTCCTGGACTCCAGCGCACCTGGTAGTGCTTCATCTCGCTGATGGTGACGATCTCCATGGCCCAGCGATTGTAACTGAAGCCCAGAACGCCCTCCAGCAGCCCTCCGCGTGTGGAGGCGATGGTGGGCGACAGGCCGTGCAGGAAGGCGCCAAAGATGAGGGAGATGAAGACGCCCGCCATAAGCACGTTCTGCGGCGGCAGCACCGCGGATACCAGATAGGCCATGCCGCTGGCCCACCAGCACACCTGGGGGGTGGGGCGGGGGATGCGTGGGGCGGCGTGGGTGCGATGTACGGCGTGGGGCGTTCGGGTTTAGGAGTCAAGAAGGAAAGCGAAGGAAAAAGGGGGTGAGGCAGGGTTAAGGGGAAAGAAAACGTGGTGGCAAGGTAACACTTACCCGGGTGAGGGGACAGGGACACAGAGAGGCATGGTGGTAACCGAAGGACCACCGCCCCACTTTCTTTCCGAGCTCGACATGCACCCCCGCCATACCATCCAGCGGGCCCCAACCCTCAACCCCCAATTCGCTTCCACTTACAAGCAGGCCGACCACATAGAACTCGTTGAAGGGCATTCGCGGCAGCGTGAGGTAGTAGTACACGCCCAGACTCAGCGCCGGCGCCGCCAGCACCCAAAGCTGATCGATTACGTTCTGCGCCAGGTAGTAGGCCGCCACCGACATGCCGCTCGCCGACTCGCGCCACAGCAGCACGCGGTTATGGCTGAAGGTGCGCAGGTGCGTCACGCAGGACAGCACGCCCAGGCACACCATACACATGACGGCGTTGCTGGGCACGGAGCTCAGACCCCAGTGCGTGCCTGCGCGGGGGGGGGGGGGAGGGAGTGCGGAGAGGGAAGTGGTGAGGGGGAATTTGGGAGGAGGAGGAGGTGGAGGTGGAGCAACAGTTTAGCGAAGGGGATGGATGCGGCAGACCGACAAGCAAAGTACACGTAGACCTACGAAGTGAACCCGTCGGCCAACGGCGGCTCTGGTGCAGCCACCTTGGGGGCGGCTCCCACCGACTCACTACGGACCCCTCCTTGGTGTGGAGCCGCTAGTGAAGCCACTAGTGGAGTCACTAGTCCGCTTTGCCGCTTCACTCCCTCCCCTGCCTGCCATCACACGCACCATGCACCAGTCCGATGACGAAGGCCGCCGCCAGCTGCAGCAGCGCATCTACAACCCGCATGGGCCAGAAGCTGCGCACGTACTTGACACCACCTCGCCGCAGCAGGAATGCCAGCTGTGGGTTGGTTTGCGGGAGGGAGGGGGCCCGGCGGGAGGGAGGGACGGAAGCCATGACTATCAAGAGGGGAAACCGGGGTAGGTGGCTGCTCATGACAATTGTTTTGGCATGTGGGCTGCTGCTTCACACGCTTGGTGTTGCTCGGCTTGGCTTTTACTGCTGAGGTTATCGCTGGCAGCGTGCGGGTACTAACGAGGCATTACGTAAGACATGTACGGCTGCCTAAACGTCGAACAGCGGTACAAGTGAAGTGCCCATTCGCACCTGCGCGAAGAAGCCTTGCGACTTGCGAGCCACCAGGGCCTCTTCCACTGCCAAACGGGCAGCCAGGGGGCCGTGCAGGCCACCACCCATGGAGGAAGATGCCTGGGGATGATCATGGGGGTGGTTGGTTAGTTGGGTGTCTCGATGGTCTCAGGGGACCGAGATCGTCGAGCGTCGCGGAAGCGATGATACCACTCCATGAAACATGCGCACCCCTTGCGCTCCACACCACCCATCAACAACTTTCCCTGTCACTGTCTTCCTTGCAACAATATCGAAAGCTCTGTCCACCCGTGCCCATCCCTCATCCAGAAACACACTGGCACCTCCCTCAACACTGGGCAGCCATGTCCAGCACAGTTACGCGGTTCAGTTGAGCTTACCATACAAGGGACACACCGCGCCAATACGCTTTCCTTACCTTGGACGCCAGCCCCAGCGCCGTCATGCTGGCCAGCGAACGGGCCACTGCGCCGCCTCGCGCCCCGGCCATGGTGGCCTTGGCAGTTAGCGACAGCTGCGCACCATGCACGTGGAGGTGGGAGTGGCCGCCATGCGCGGGAGATGAGGACAGGCAGCCGGGGGCGGTGGCGGAGGTGCCAGGCGGGAGAGAGGCGCCGCCGCCGCTGCTGGTGTGGCCGATGGCGCCGGGTCGCGTGAGCCGGGCTGCGGAGTGGGCGCTGCGGACTGCGGGGTTGTCGGGAGGGCGGGAAGGGGTGCGGGGGTGTCGGGAGGGCGGGAAGGGGTGCGGGGGTGCAGGGGAGGCGTCAGAAAGGGTGGCGCCCACGACGGGTTATGACGGTCAAGGGGTTGCGTACGGTAGTAAACCCGATCTGATGCCTGGAGTACAAAGCATGTCATGCACGCACCTGTGGACACGGACTGAGTGGCCGCCCAGGCACCCACGAGGGCGTTAGACAGCAAGTTGTTGACGTAGATGGTGTCCTTCTTCTGCTTGCGGGTGCCGCTGCCGCCTTCCGAGGTCTCCAAGTCGTTGAAGGAAGCCTGGGAGGAGGTTTTAGGTCGGATTTGCATGGGGGTCGCGGTTGGGCGGCAGCAACGGGAGCATGGATCTGAATCAGGTCCAAGGCAGCAGCGTTCTAGGGGTGCCGGGTGTTCAGCAAAAGCCAGCGTCAAGGTAGTTTTGCTGCATGGGATGTGCTCATGCATTAAGCTGGGCACATCCAGAGCATGTGCATGAAGCCCACAATGCACGGCATACAACACAAAGCGGCGAAGGCCAAGCCTGAAGCCTCACCTGCAACAAGCTCTGCCGACGCTGCTTATGTCCAGCGGGACTTAAGCCGCCCAAACTCGCCCTCCTTGGCTTGCTGCCGCCCCCCGATCCCCCAGCTCCACTACCCGTCTGGCTGCCGCCGCCTAATGCGTCCAACTTAGGCAGCGGACTGCTCTCTGCCTCTCCACGGACCACAATGGGAAGCAGCCTCTCAGCGCTACCGGTTGCAGCCATGCCAAAGCCATGTCGCATCGGGCTTTTCAAGGTTCTGGTGGCGGCGCCGCCGCCGCTGCCGCGGCCGCCTCCGTCACTGTAGTAATGGTCAAACACGGGTGCCGGCTCGGCCGGCGGTGATGCCGCAGTTGGATCGCCGCCTGACGCCGTGGGTGCGGCGCTGGTCATTACCGCCAAGCGACTTTGAGGTGTACGACGTTCGTTGTGTTGAATGAAGGACCCCATGCCGCCGGCGGATGTGGCCAGGCCCAGGTGCATGTGGTTATGGGAACCCGAGTTAGGGGAGATCAGGACGCCGCCGAGGTGTTGTGGCGGGGAGCCCTGTGGTGGGCTGCTGCCGCTGACGCCGCCGGCGCCACCGCCGCTTCGGCTGTCCTCATCGTCCGATTGGAGCGGCGAGGAGGCAGAGTGTTTCAGGGGCTTGCGGTGATGCCAAAGGGGCTGCAACGGCGGCGGCGGCAGCGGCGGCAGGGGGATGTTCATGGGCATGGTACGACCATCGTTGGCGTTGCCAGCGGCGGCGCTGCTCCAAGCTCCAGCTTTCATGGAAAAGGTGCTCAGCATGCCGTCAGCAGCGTCTGCGGTGTCGGCCGCAGCAGCATCAGCCTCCGTCTCCGTGCCTTCAGCGACAGGCCCAGCGGCAGACCTCCGGCCGACCACGGCGGCGCCTCCGCCACCTCCCATGAGCTGTATTAGCAGCGGCGGCAGCGGCGGCGCGGCGCTAGGTGTTGCGGGTCCGATGTCACCGCCAGCACTGCTGCCGGACCGCCTCACGAGTCGCGCAGGGGCGGCCACACCGTGCTGCGGCGTTCCCGCTGCTGCTGCCGAAGATGACGTCGAAGGTTCCTTACGTGCCCACATATCTCCCTCGCCGATCACCGATCCCCCTGCACGTCTCGTCACTGATCCAACAGCCCGGGCTGCCTTTAGACTCGCTCGTCGAGCCGTCGCCGCCGCCGCAGAGGCACTAGTATGCGTAATCGACGCCGGCTTGGCTCCACCACCACCACTCATACCTCCGCCGCCACCGCCGCTGCTCGCTGCAGCCGTACGTCCTGTTGTTGCTGCCGTCGCCGCCATCTTGTTATAAGTATTCACGTAAGCCTCAATGGCACTGTAGGTGGTGCTACGGCGGTCGGAGCGGCAGGGCCGCCCGCTATCCGTACGCGAATCCGCGACTCGCCGCGGCAGTTGAGGCAGCGGCACGTCCGCCCTTGCAAGCGCCTCCATTGCCGCCAAGCTAGTCGCTACCAACCCTGGAGCCACTGACAGCCCCTCCTCGTCACCCTCCTCCTCGCCATCGTGACCACCGCCGCCGGCGGCGATTTCGATTTCGTGGTGGTAGCCGAAAACGCGCTCTAACTCGTCCTCATCGCCAGCCCGGTAACGGCCGACACCGCCAGCGTGCCCGTTCGCACCCCCATCTCCGCCCTCGTTCCCCGTTTCCCCGCCGTTGGATCCGATCACCGGTGCAAGCCTAGGATTTGCTGCCCTGTGCTTTGCGGCATACGCAACCAGGTTTCCGCTGCTGACAGCTCCTCCATCGCTTTCATCGGTGCCAGCTGCAGAGCTGTTGGTTGCCGTACCGTTGGCCAGCGCCATCCCTGGCGGCGGCATAACCGTACGGATAGTCCTGTTGCCGTTGCTGACGTCACCGCCGCGCCCAGGCGACAGGGTGCCCCTTCGCATTACGCTCTCCACTACCGGATTGCCTACTCCACCACCACTGATACCAGAACTAACACCAGCACCAGCGCCCCCTCCTGACATAGTCCCTGCTCCTGATCCCGTTCCTGCCCCTTTGGGTGAGTGGCCGATCCTAGGGCTGTGGAAACGCATGGGGCTGTAGCTGTCAATCCCGTTCTCAAACTGGTCGCCCGAGTCGGAGTAGCTGCTTCCGCCGGCGGAGCTATTTGCCAGTATGATCATGTCGCGGTGACCCATGGGACTGTTGCGCCCGCCGGTTTTGATAGGGCTGCCCTGTGACATCTTGGAGCCTCGGGGAGTGCTTGCCGGATCGCGGGCCTTGCGGCGCCTGCGGGTCATCTCCACCTCCCTGCACGGCGCGAATCGGCACCAAAAAGGCAAGCATTACGCATGAAAACAAGCCCTCGAGTCTACGGTAGGAGTTGAGGAGGGCCAAGAGGCCTTAACGAGGGCCGCTCCGCCCAAGCTTGCGAGCACGCAATCCTTCTGCACCCATGCACCCCTTGCCCTCGTCCCCACGCACCATGCATGGCGGCTTCAACACACCACAATCGGTGCCCTCCCTGCCTCCCAGTTACCAACGCACCAGCCGCTCCCATGCCTCACCGCTGTCCATCCAACCAACCAGCCCACTTCTGCCCGCACCCCAACCCACCTGGCGTCCCGGACCTCCGGCAGGTCGGGCAGCAGGAACTGAGAGGCGTAGAACTTTGCTGCCGCGCTGCGCTGCGCCCCGCCCTCGCCCGGCGCCTCACCGTTGCCCTCACGCACGCCGTGGAAGGCGTCGAGCAGCTGCTGCTTGGTGATGGTCAGACCTGCACGGACGTACATGGGGACATGGGCGTCATGGGGAAGACGCATCCGTGCATGGCCGCATCATTGTTTTCTTTATGACGTCTTTCCTAACGTGTGGCTTTCAGTTACGCGCCTTATTGCGCGTTGCAGTGACGTTATCCAGCGCCGCTGGAATCCGAATGTGGCTTCTAGAAGTAGATGACGAGGTGACACGGTTATCAGCTAAATGTGTGCAGCCAGATGTAGCCCTGCCTGGCGGGCGACCCATCGTTCGATCGATTGTTAAACCCACCATCAGCGTCTTCCGCGTAGAGTGTTCCGGTGGTGGAGTTGCTAGCTGTGCCGGGCTTGGCTGAGGCTGGTCGGTTGGCGTTGATCTTTCGGATGAGGATGATGGCGTCCTCTACTGAGATGTCCTGGCCCAGTGCGTCGAACAGCTTGACCAACTGCGGATGAGGTTGTGGCCGTACATGACGTTAGTGCCGTACAACAACGCATGCCGTATATTGAAAAAGGTTTACGGGCAGATGCCGTACAACTGGATAACCTTTCGTGCAAGTAATGTTGTTAAGACATGTGCAAGTACCGGTATTGCTAAAGCAAGGCATATAAGGGCACGGCGGGACCGTATGCGTGCGGCACAAACATGGTTGGGTTGCAGAAGCAATGCCAAGTCCATGATGGCTGTCACTTCATAACAGCAAAGGACATGACCTCAGCCCACCTGCCCCGAATTGATTTGCCCCTTGCCGTCCTCATCAAGCATGTCGAACTCCTCATCAATGGCCTACGTTCGCGGCCACACAGGATGCAGACAGCAGCATACCAGGTTCATCAGCAGCGGATGGCTAAAGGATAAAAGAAGACGACCCGCAATCAGCAGCGCCACGTATATCGCTACGCTTTATAAATGGATGGATGTCACAGCGGCTGCCCCAACTACTGTAACCCGGATTACCACTAACCTCTAAACCCCTCTCCCTCTTCCCTTTCTTTCTACACTCAATCATGCCTGACAGGCTGCCACTAGCCACCCGCTCCCCCCCGCTCACAAGCATGATGGCGGGGTCCACATCGCTCATCTTGGTGACCATTGTGGGGTTCAGCGTCTCCAGCGTCTCCACCCAGGCCATGCCGCCACTCGTCCACTTGTCCACCAGCTGGGAGCAGTTCTTGAGCCTGGGTGTTGGGTGCATGGCAAGGTTAGGTGAGGTTAGGGGGAGGGAGGGATTGATACACAGGTTAGGGCTTAGGGAAAAGGAGGGGTGTTCTGCTTGCCTTCTATACCCTGCCCCTTCTACGCTACCGCTTTTGAAACGTCCCGTGAACCCAACCTCTGCACTTAACCACCTCTTCCTCAGCAGCCTCCCTCCCCCTCCCTGCCTCCCGGCCTTCCTAAGGCCCCGGTGAGTGTCCCATCGAAAACCGAGCTGGGTCTTCCCTCCCTCCCTCTCAGCGGCTCAGTTTAGATCTAATCCCTCCCTCCACTCAATCCCTCCCGCTCACTTGGGGTCCTCCGCGCACGGCAGCTTGCCCGCAATGATATCCATCAGGATGTCGGAGGGGTTCTCACGGTCGGGGAACCTGCAGGCAGGCAGGCAGGCAGGCAGGCAGGCAGGCAGGCGGGCAGGTAAAGAAAGGAAGGCAGGTAAAGCAAAGGCAGCCGCGGCACAAACCGGCATCATCATGCAGCTCGCGGGCTTTATAAGAACGCTGCAACTGGGGCCTACAGTGGGGGAAGGCTGCGCACATGACCACACATCCAGGGGCAGGTTTGCCTCCTTGCCACCTTGCCACCTTAGGCTGCTGTCCCACATGCACACGCGGGACACTCCTTGCACACCGGCATATGGGCACGTACCCGTGTGTCGGTTCGCGGCTCAGAGGGGTTTAACAACTACGCCAGCTTTCCCACCGTGGGATCACCACCACCACCACCACCACCGCCACCACCACCGCCGCCACCACCACCGCCACCACCACCACCACCACCACCACCACCACCGTCGTCGCCCACCTGTATCCCAGGTACTTGGTGAAGTAGAGCATGGCGGCGTAGGGACTGCCCAAGTAGACGGTTCGGCCGCCCGTGCCCAGTAGCAACACCTGGGGACGTGACGAGGGGAAAGGAAGTGAGGAAGGAAGAAGCGACGTGAAGGGAAAGGAGGTGAGGAAGGAAGGAAGAAGATTGCAGCTGGGGTTCTTCAGGTACCTGGTCAAACATGAGGAAGCTGGAGAAGCGAGGCTGGTGGATGACCATGATGATGTTCATTCCCAGGTTGGCCATGTCGCCGAGGGATCTGTCCGGCAAGAGGGCGGCATAAAATTATTATGTAAGTGAAGACAACGAGTCCCAATCCCATACCCCGAGAGAAGGGGGGGGCGGGGTGAAAAGGAGTTGATGGCAGCAGGGGGTGCTCGAAAATGCTTTGCGGTTGCTCGGAGGCCGACAAAGACATGGGGACAAAACGAGGGTGCGTGCGTGTGTGTTTTGGGTGATGGGTGGTGACCGGCGGGGCGGTAACACACGAGGAGGTGTTCCTGCGGCTCAACAGGTGGCTGAGTCGCACTACCCGCCCGGCTGCAGACTCATTGCGGCGGGTGGCAGCCGTGCACACACGCCACCACTCACGTGAGGATGTCTGCGGAGGAGGTGGCGTCCAGCCCCGATGTGGGCTCATCCAGGAACAGCAGCGAGGGCACAGCCACCAGCTCCAACCCAATGTTGACGCGCTTGCGCTGCCCACCGCTGATGCCTCTTCGCTCCACCGTGCCAACCTGGGAAGGGCGCACATGGGGGCTTACACTTCTTATAACCAATTATATCACGTTATACGTGTGTAATGTACGGGTAAGCGCACGTATCCTTCTCGTACGTAGGGATCCAGCTCAACTCCCTGCTGTTACACACGCAGCCCTGCACTCATCAACCCCTCCGCCTCCACCCCACCCCGCACGTGCACGGCGCCGCACCCGGTAGTGCTGGATGGCGGAGAGACCCAGCATCTCCAGCGCATCATGCACCACGTCGCGGCGGCGGCTGCGGGTGAAGTCGGAGGGCAGGCGCAGGCGAGCGGAGTAGTTGAGGTTCTCCCGCACTGTGAGGTCCTCGTGCACGATATCGTCCTGCGCCGTGCGAGAAACGCACACAGGAGGTACATGCGACAGGGAGCGGGGCAGGCGACAGGGCGTTAGGATTGATAACCACGAGAGGGTGGACACGAGGCCGATCCGTACCCAAGAAGCTGGAAGGACAGGTAGGGCGGGTGCGTCGCACCCCACCCTGTCCAGCTTTCCTGTCAAGCACGTCGCTGACGGCTTTCCTCTTCCCTTGGCCCTATACAGCTTGGTGTGTATGACCAACCGTGTCCGCTGGCCAGCAGTCACGGCCAGCAGCGGGTGCACCTCACAAACCACCCCCATGCGAGGAAAGGCCGCACGCTATAATCCTTCCGGACCCCTCGCCAAGCCCCGCGCTTCCCGTTTGCCTGCTGCTGCTCCCACGTCCCCTCCACCCCGCACAGGCGCACCTGGGGTACGAAGCCCGTGATCTTCTTGAGTCGCGTCACGGGCATGTCCTCCCCGTTCACCCGCACCTGGCCCATGATCACACCCGTGGAGATCTGCGGGCAGGAGGGCGGGCGGGCGCACGACGCAGGGTTGGCGCTGCTCACATAGATGCGGCCCAACATCGCGCAACCCCGGCCTACCAAGTACCGTATTGCTACTGCTTAAACACCCTTAGCAGCCTCTGGAACCCCCTCCTTCCGATCCTTTCTCTCTCTCTCTCTCCCAGCTTCCCCACAAGCCACACCCGCACACTACCCGCAACTCTCCCCGCACACCCCTCACTACCTTGCCACATAGCACGTTCAGGAACGTGGTCTTGCCGCAGCCCGAGGGCCCCAGAATGGCGTTCAGCCGGCGCGGCGAGAAGGAGCCGCTGACGCCCTGCAGCACTACCCGCTTGGACGCCTCGCCGCCCAGCCCGCCGCGCGTGTGGATCTGCAGCCCCAGGGTCTCGAACTCCAAGGTGATGGGCGGGGACACCTGGCGAAAGCCGCGGTACTTGTTCTCTAGCGGGCTGTGGGACAGCTTGATGGACTCTGCATGCGTGGCAGGGAGGGCAGGAAGGGCAGGCAGGGAAGATGGTGTTCACGGGGTATGGAGGGTACGGTATCCGCTGGAACCGATTTGCCCCCTCTTCTCCTGTTCCATGTGCCAGCGGCGTCATTTTACTTGTCGCATTGCCCCCGCCCAGGCTTTCCTCGCTCCCTAACTACATCCAGGCTTTCCCTGCCCCCTACGCTTGCTCGCCCCCCCCCCCGCTCCCCCCCTTGTCTCACTCAGCAGCTGCTTGGTCATGCGGCAGGCTGCCGCCCGGTGCGGGTCCCGCCCCCGTGCGCCCTCCTCGTCCGCATCCATGATTACCGAGTTGTCCAGGTGCGTGAGGAACAGGTGGATCAGCGGCATGCCGCACACCTGGGGTGGCAGGCGGGCGGCGGGTTGGACGGAGGGGGCGGTCGGGGGCAGGTCGGCTAGGATGGGGGCTGATACGGTCTATTCAAACACGACCATAGAGTCGGCAGAGTCTCAGACCGTCTCACTAACCAGCTGCAGAGCCCTTGCTGCCTTCCCTTCCGCTGCCCGCCTCTCGCTTCCCTTCCCCCGGCCCTCCTCCTCCTCCTCCTCCTCGTGCTCACAATGATAGCTGCGATGAGCAGCGCCATGAAGCTCATCCGCGGCACCTCCGTGCCCTCGGGGCAGTGACTGAGCCAGGAGCACTTCCAGGGGCTGGTGGACTGCGCCTTGCAGAAGTAGCCGCGCGGGCAGGGCAGCATGGCCGACACGTTGGGGCAGTAGTAGCCGGCGCTGGGGTGGAGGTGGGGGGGGATACAGGGGTGGGATGGGTAGGGTGGGTAAGAAAGCGAGAAGGGCTGCGGTCGCTACTGCTTTTTTACATGAGTAGTAGTGATTTGAGGAACCATGTTACACTGGCGAACTTGCTTACGCTGGCAATAGAGTTTGCATGTCCAAGTAGCGGCCCCACCCGCTGGCCCCCACCTGCAGACCACATACGGCTTGGTCGACTGTGCGGGGCAGTAATTACCGCGCAGCGGGTCCCGCTTGTCACGTAACCGTCGAACAACGGTTTCCGGCTCCAACGGCAGCAGCTGGTACGGTTGGCTGCAGCAAAGTAGCATTCGAACAGTGTGGCAGGTGACGGCGGTTTGACATGCGGGGGTATGGTGGTTCAGGTTCGTACGGAACGGAACGCTCAGCCACGTTCCCTCCCTTCCTCCCATGAAACCATATCCGTGCAAGCAGAGATCGGGGTTAACAGTCGTAACCGGCACCCACCACCCTCCTGCATGAAAGTTTTAAAAGCACCAGAATTGCCCATCCACTGCTGGCAGCGCATTGCCAGGCCTGCACTAGCACTGCACTCCTAGGCCTGCATGCAGCACACTTCTAGGCCTGCTTCCCACTGCTGCTACCCCCCTTCTCCAAACCCTGCAACCCTGCAATCACCAGCACCACCGCCACCACCTGCACCAGCACCCCTCACCTCATGAGCAGCGACTCATAGTTGCAAGTGATGGCCGACACCGAGCGCGCGGAGCAGAAGGAGCCCGCGGGGCACTCCAGCTTCTGGGCGGGGCTGGGGCAGTAGAACCCCGCCGGGCAGTCCAGCGAGCTCAGGTCACTCTCGTTCTGTGGGGCAAATCGCAGTGCCCCACACACGGCGCGGCGGGATAGGTAGGGCGGTCAGGAGGAGAGCACCGAGGTTGGTAGGGTAGATGGCAACGTGGAGTTGCGAGGATGTACGGCATGCAGGGACAGCCAACGGATGCGAATCTCCCAGGTTGGAACCGTTTCAGAACGATTGGGGTCAGTCCAAGGAGCCCCCCATGTGGCCATACAGCCAGGCATGGTTCTATCCACCTGTCCATCGATAACCACAGGCGTCCCCTGTGAGGCGCCCTCGGCCTCTCACCTGCCGCCCCCTATTTCCCATACCTATTACTCTCACCTGCAGGTATGTTCCCTCTCCGCAGTACTGCCCCGCCTCACACGCCACGCACAGCGCGCGCAGCAGGGCGGCGGTGGGCGCCATCGGCGCATCTGAGTCCAGTCCGCGGAAGGCGGAGCGGCTGCAGCGGCTGCCGGCGGCGCAGCGGAAGGTAGCAGCGCCGCGGGTGGCGTTGCAATAGCAGCCTGACCGGGGAACGATGGCAGTACTTATGGCGACCAAGCACGGGGACTGAGGGTACTACTTACGGGTATTGTGACCGAGGACGTTACAGAAAGAGGAAGGGGAGGAGGGATAGATAAGAAGGAGGTGATTAGGTACACCTCCTGGACATGCAATGCATATACCCGGCAGGATGCTGTCAGCGTGGGGCGTCATAATGGTGGCTGAGGTGCTTATGGGTGCATGAAGAGGGGCTGGGGGATGCGGGTACCGTACCTGGAGTTACCACGGCAGGCTGCTCGCCCCAGGCTAGGCTCGGGTCGTAGGCGGGGCACAGCAGCGACAGGGACGTCGTCGCCGAAAGACGTTGCATCCAGTCCTGGATGGGTGTGAACGATACGCCGCGGAGTTAAAGTAAACAGCAAAAGCGCAAAGGCAATCTCTTGCTGCAGGGCTTGCACTAAGCTGAGGCCGTTACCACGCGCTGTCTCACTTTCGTTGTGACCACTAGGCTCCCCTCATCAGCTGCGTAGTCCCTTCCGCCTCCTCCGTCTGCCGCAGCTGCTTCCGCCGCTGTTGTTGCCGCGGTGACGCCAAGCAGCCGAGATACCGTCAGGTTGGCTTGCTCGCCGCTCAGCCCCTGAGCTGCAACCCAGGAGGCCAGCTCACTCGCCAGCAGCACGGAGGGCACGTTGGCGCCCTGCATGGAGGTGCGGGGGTGGGGGTAACACATCTGAGCCGCGATGAAGCAATGATTGTCCCCACAGCAAGACCGGAGAATGATGGCGGGTGTGTAGGGCCCAAGTAAGCCTCGGAGTGGGGTTTCGAAAGAGACGAGACGTTGCTTCAATGAAACCCCTTGCAACTGAAGTCCCCAGCAAATAATCCACAGAAGCTACTTGTTTGCGGTATAGCTTTTCGTACTACCTAACTAGGCTCGTGGTAGGACCTAAGGGGCCACATACCTGCTGGCTTATGTCGTGCGCCAGGAAGGACAGGAAGAGGAAGTGCTGCGGGGTGACGTACGGCAGGTCGCTGAGGCCGGACATGTCGGCGGAGGCGCATGCGTGGCCGCAGGAGCCCTGCAGCTCGAAGCTGTCGCTGGTGCAGCGGTCGCAGCGCTGGAGAGCAGGGACGGGTAAGGGGTTCGGGGGTTCGGAGGGAGGGCGCGATAGAGGATGCAGGGCGCGGGAAGGGCGAAGGCGCAGGAGGATAGGGGGGTAGCAAGGGAGCGCAAAGAACTAAGCTCTGTATGTTTCATTGCCCATCGCCACATGCAGCACCGGCGGTTGTCTAGTCGTGACTATTCGTCTCCGCAAGTTAGGCATCAGCCTCCTTCCGCAGCCATCGGCGCTCAATAGCCCAACACTGCCCATCCATGTAGGCTGTCGTTGCGGATCCGAGTTACACGCCAGCGCTGCTGCTCACCTGGCACAGTGGCGCCTCCCAGGGATCTTCCACGCTGCAGAACAGCCCGCTGCCGCAGCTCTCCCGCGCCTCGCACACTTGCCCCACGTTGCAGTTGCAGCTGTCCGGGCAAGTGCCATACACTCCTGGGAACAGGCAGCAGCGCCAACATGATGCGCAAGAGCCTGTGCCGCTTCCGAGGGCTGGGCGAAGGCAGAACCTGTGGCAGCGGTTATGGAGGTGGTTGTCATGACGGGAATAAATGGAAGCACGAAAGGCGCCGGGTATGGCCGTTGACGCAAGGAGGAGCGGTAGCGGATGCAAGGGAGGATACGGAGCTATAAGATGCAACATACATGTGCTCTCGGTTATTTGTTGGTAAGGTGGCAATGGTGCGAAGCGAGTGAGGTCAACTGAGGTGGTTAGGTAAGGCATCTGTTGACAGAAGTCCGTTTTTGAGATGAGGCGAAACGCATATGCAAATATGATAAACGGAGTTTATAAGGGATTGCCGAAACAGGTTGCTTGGATGCTTACTGGGTTGCGTCGCACTGGTCATCCTTGTAGCAAGTCGTGGCGAGCAATTGCCGGCTGGTCCACGGGGCCACGACGCCAGATACCTGAGTAGATAAATAACCGACTGGTATGAAAGCTATATGTCGAAGGAAAAGGAGTTCAGTGGCGATGGAAGCCTGGCGGGCGCAGGCCCCGCGGCATCCTCACATGCTGCAATAGAGTGAAGTATGAGAAAAGTACTAAACAGAGCCTCATCGTGTAAGTCATAGGATTACTAGGCGACAAAATCTGAGGCATGCGTAAAGCTGCTAGAGCCAAGCAGTTGCTTCGCATGAAGCGTGCGACCCCCAAACACCGTTTCATTCAGACGTTATGACCCACCTGTTGTGCTAAAAAAAGTAAGCAGGCTAGTATAAGCAGAGATGGTCTGGCAGAAAGCATGTTTTTTGCCTCTTCGGCGCGATAAGCTCAGATATTGACCCACATTCCTAGCCTCAGTATGAACGAAATTAACTGGGTATGAAGTGTGCTGGATGCAAGTGTCATCATGGCAGTTCGGCAGCTGGTTCAGGTACCGGTAGGCGACCGGTCGCTTAAATAATTCCTAGCCAAGTAATAGTATTCTTTGCTGCATAGAAAACACATAACCTTTCGTTTTACTAAGGCCTCAACTGGTCGCAGAAGCTGCATCCTTGCGTTTGCCGGTGGGTGACGATTAATTACTCGGTGCCGTATTCAGTGCCATACTACTATGTAAGCAAGGTAATGTTGATGACAGTAGATAATGCAGTGGCACTGCTATTACCGGGGCTGGCTTAGTCTGTGCAACACCCTCCTGATGCACGAGGACGAATTCGCAAGCAAACCGTTGCAGTTCGCCCCGGCCTTGCAGCGCCGCATTCCTGTAACGAATCATAATGAGGTGATACCGGAAGGTGTCCTTGGCAGCTGATGTGCAAGGCCGGTTACCTACTGCTATTTCGGAGTTGGCTTATTACGAGTTTACGACCCATACTTCACCTACTTGCTGCAATATCTTTTTCATATGCCAAAGATTGCGAGCTCTAGCCTTAGCGTTTTGCTGTCCGAACGTCGCCTGGCCTTTTTTCGCGCGTGCAGGGTAGGGGGCTAGTGACGCTAGCTTGAGGTGTGCTTGGGCTCAGTTTGGAGCATCACGTTCATAAGGAAGGCTGACGGGAAATTACGAGCTGAATGATGCTGAGAGGCTTAGGTGAAGGAAACCGCATAACCCAAGCTGATCCAAGCCAACAACCTACCAAAACGTGCCATGTATGCGCCCATGCCCCATAGCTCATCTTGCCCATACGTACCAATCACATATCAACATCACCGCCCAGTACGATATGAGAGTCAAGGGCAACTTAGGACAGGACATAGATACCTGTGCGGCTAGCCAAGGCTTAGAAGTTGGTCTTGAAGTGGCTGCACAACGCCACGCCGTTGCTAGCAAGCTAGGTTAGCCAATCAGTGCCTCAACGCCAAATGTTGTTCGTTCTGCTCCCAAGCATTTTGCAGTCGTCGAACCACAGGGCAACTACCCACAATGCCCTTTCAATCCGTCATGCCATCGTCCCTTGTATGTTGCTGGAGCATGTTAAGCAGCAAACGTAGTACCCCTTAGGACGTCTCGTTTTCATTACCTTGCCTCACTTCTACAGTGTACTGTGCCTTGGCATGCATACATGTTGGCGGCAGATAGACACAGCATGGCCGGAGGGCTTTGACGCTCTTCAAGTTGTACTTTATTAGCTTCATGACTGCGTAATAATCGCTCGTGACAACCCCATGGCGCTTGAAGCCGAGCACAGCGGAGGCTCGGGCGGTCAGCTCGTGGCTACAAACATGTATTTCGCTATATTCCAATCAGCTCACAACCCATTCTATCAACTCCTTTCATCGCATAGTTTTGTCCGGCGCGCACTGAACACTGATATGTCATCTGTTGGAGGTTCAGGTCATGTACAAAGAATTCAGTACCAAACCCTGTTGTTAGAGCCTCGAAACAGAATAGCTGTTGAGTCAACGCATGTGAGGCTGTGTAGCGCTAAGCCCTAGCACGTGGATGTACGGCGAAGATACCCTCCGTATATTTAGTGCATAGCGATGTGCACTTTTTTATTCCTAGCATTACGCCGTAAGGGAACCTATTTTAGGTGCCCACGGACTAGCGTCTTCCTCACCCTTCATCGTCGAAGTCCTTACCACAACAAGGTCAGTCTTTGCTACGGAACGGGTATCGAGGCATCCCTGGGATGCAGCGTAATAGCCTAGCATAGTCCTGTTTCATAACTTGCCTCGGTTGCCCGGCGGCGGTCGATGATCGCAGCCGATTCTACACCGGAACTGAGGCCGGTGGTCGTTTTGCCATCTTGTTTCATTGGACCGGTCCTAAGGACGGCTCTGTCTCGGGTTTAGCAAGTTGCGCTTCTGGGGTTTCCTGGGAGGTTGGCCCTTGAGGTGTCGGTAGGGTTCTCGTCTTGGCGCCGACACCTTTAGCCACGCATGGGCTTTACCAGGCCTAAACCTGCATATGTTGCCTCGACGATTGCATCTGCAGACGGGCCGCCGCTTAGGTTTCGCCTAGTGCTCTCCCACCCAGCGTTCCGGCCCCTTGCCCTAATTGCAGTTTGAGGAATGGCGTCTGGATCTATCAGCGTGTTTGCTACGGACGAGAAGATTGGAAGGTATGGCCCCATAAATGCGTGGGAGCTTCTTGCTTTTCGGATTGTCAGGAGCGTGCGATGGCCCAGTTGCATATTCTCTTATTCAACACGTTTCGTTGCCTTAGCTAAAAAATAATGTCAACTTGTTGCATATTCTGCAATGAAAAAAGACAGGACCATCGGTGCGTTTTGACTTCCTCGTTAAGTCGGAGACTTTCCGCGACTAACGTGTATGCAACGACTACCCACCGGGCCCGAAAAGCGCCATTCGCATGTCAGGAGGATTAACTGGATGGGCTGGTCATCACCGGAAGACTACATCTCTTCGCGTTACTAAGCAACTTGCACCCGGCCGTTCCGCCCTTTGCAGCCTGCTGGACCAGTCTATCACCCGCCACTTCCTGTCCACTTGCACCGACCAGTGCGGCAAGATCACTGCCGAGTATGTGTGGATCGGCGGCACCATGCAGGACCTGAGGTCCAAGTCGCGCACCCTCACCTCTGTCCCCAAGAGCCCTGAGGTGCGACGGGCCTGCGGGGTTCGTTGGTTTTCCTCAAATTGCTACGTTAAACTACATGTAGGGCTACGTATCGCCCTTGGCCTGACGCGCTAACAATGCTGGCTTCCTTGCTGTAGGACCTGCCGCACTGGAACTACGATGGTTCCTCTACGGGCCAGGCCCCCGGCCACGACTCCGAGGTCTACCTGATCCCCCGCAGCATCTTCCGTGACCCCTTCCGGTAAGTATGGAGTCCAAGCGTGCAGTTCTGGTTTCTGTTGTGCACTGCACCCTGTAATCCGTCTTACTCCGCGTTGATGGATCTCGATGGAACTAAATCCCGAATCCAGTTTTGCTGCCCATGCTTACTAGCTCAGAATGTAAATGTTATCTACGCATTATGCTGAGTCTTAATCATCGCCTCTCCCTCTTTTCTCTCCCGCAGCGGTGGCGACAACATCCTGGTGATGTGCGACTGCTACGAGCCGCCCAAGGTCAAGCCCGATGGCACCCTGGATGCTCCCAAGCCCATCCCGACCAACACCCGCGCCGCCTGCGCTGAGGTGCGTTTGCTGATATGGGTCGGCAAGATTAGTTCACTTCACCGCCCCACAACCTCTTCAGCACCCTTCCTAGTGTCCGCCTGCACTCATACATCGAAACGTAAGGTTTGCTAACCTGGACCCCTGCTAACCCTGTTGTGATGTTGCTGTCCAGGTGATGGAGAAGGCCAAGGCTGAGGAGCCCTGGTTCGGCATTGAGCAGGAGTACACCCTGCTCAACGCCATCACCAAGTGGCCCCTGGGCTGGCCCAAGGGCGGCTACCCCGCCCCCCAGGGCCCCTACTACTGCTCCGCCGGTGCCGGTGTTGCCATTGGCCGTGACGTGGCTGAGGTGCACTACAGGTGGGCGAGGAAAGGGAGGGAGTGCCGGGGCGTTTTGTAGGACTGATGGTTGAGTAATGGCTCGCACTGCATATGAGGTCCTTCTTCCTGTAGCTGTCTGTGCAAGCATTGCGAGCAAGGACTAAGAGCACGGCGACTTGCCATGGCTCTGCAGGCTGTGCCTGAACGCCGGCATCAACATCAGCGGCGTGAACGCTGAGGTGCTGCCGTCCCAGTGGGAGTACCAGGTGGGTGGGAAAGGGGCTGTACGACATGCTCCTCGTTCACCTAGTGGGATTCCTTATTACGGCTGTTGGTTTCTACCGGCAACCCTTGTCTTTTGTATGTTTTTAAATTGGTTATCCCGACCCACGTGTATCGATTCCGCCCTGCGCAGGTTGGCCCGTGCGAGGGCATTGAGATGGGCGACCACATGTGGATGTCTCGCTACATCATGTACCGCGTGTGCGAGATGTTCAACGTGGAGGTGTCGTTCGACCCCAAGCCCATCCCCGGCGACTGGAACGGCTCGGGTGGCCACACCAACTACTCCACCAAGGCTACCCGCGTTGCCCCTGATGGCTGGAAGGTACGTGTGGTTTGGGCGCCTGGTCGGGAGCTGTTTGCAACTGGGTTACTTGGGTGCCCCTCACCCTTGATGCGTTGTGAGTGTGGTTGGTGTTATAGAAAACGTCTGATACTAAAAGTGCCGCTTGCTATTAGGGTTGAAGGCAAGCAAAAGCTGGCGCTACCCTTCCTTCTCGCACCCCACCACGAATTCCAGCCCATTGCGTATTATCCATCTCCTCTAATCCCCACCACTCCCTCCTCGACCTCCTCTCACAGGTCATCCAGGAGCACTGCGCCAAGCTGGAGGCCCGCCACGCGGTGCACATTGCCGCCTACGGTGAGGGCAACGAGCGCCGCCTGACCGGCAAGCACGAGACCAGCTCCATGAACGACTTCTCCTGGGGTGTGGCCAACCGCGGCTGCTCCATCCGCGTCGGCCGCATGGTGCCCGTTGAGAAGTGCGGCTACTATGAGGACCGCCGCCCGGCCTCCAACCTGGACCCCTACGTCGTCACCCGCCTCATCGTGGAGACCACCTGCCTCCTGTAAACGTGCTGGATGATGCAAGTCGGGAGAGCACATGGCGACAGTGGGGTGCTAGAACGAGTGGATGTTCTTGAGCATTTGCGCCGTCGCCTTCATGTGATGTATGTGTGCATTTGCTTGTGAACGTTTTTGCTCTGTAGTGCGGTTGTAAAGTGGTGGTGGTTCTGAGAGAGGTGTTGGGATATGCTGCCCTTTCTCGCGTGACCTGAATGTCCGGCGGGTGTTTTGCGCGCGGCAGCAGTGCGGCAGCGCTGTTATGGATGCTGTTCTGCAGCGGCTGTGAAGGAGCGCAGAGGACGGCAAAGGATTCTGGGCCGGCGTGAAGTTGGCATTGGGGGCAGGGACGATTAGGTCTGAGATGACTGTTTGAGTGGAACCGTTGGTGGAAAAATGTTTCGGATACTACCAGTGTACTATTCTACACTTCGGTGTGCTGGGAGATTGTACCGGTGCACAAAGTCTCTGGTGCTGGCTGCAGCAGTGGGCAGACCTCGCGGTGATATTGACGCCGTCCGTTCCCGTTTCTTATGCTGCAACGGGTTTTACGTGGATCGACCTTTGCATAATCTTTACCCCTGTTGACGGTGCCCGTTTACGGTGTTCAGTTTGCTTTTTTCGGTCCCCTGTCTGATGGTACCTACACATGCGATAAGCGCCGACGTGTAGCCGTGCAAGGCCTTGCCGCATGCCGAATAAGGCGCTGTGTCGTCGGTTTGGATTTGGGTTTGTTTTCACCATTTTTTAAACACTGCTATTATGCGCGTTAAGGCTGTGCTACTGCTGCTTCACGGCACGCAATCGTCCACGTTGGACGAGAGATGTGTAAGTCCAGCTGCTGACAGCTGTCACCTCCTGCTGACGGCTCCTGTCGCGCCGTACTGGCAGGTATCTGTCGTCGGCAATACCACCTGATCATGAAACCTTAGTAGCCGCAACTGTGCAGCCAGTATACGAGTACAGTCCAGGTGCAACGCATATGAAAGAACTGGTTCACAGCAAAGAATTGCGTCGTTACAAAGTCTCCGCCTTCTAGCACCACCTGAAGGTGTTCGTGCTCGATAGTAGGGCAAGGTTAGCCGCATCCCCGTAACTAGAACATTCCGCGCAAAGTGAACTCAACTCCATGGGGCGACGGCAGCGACCCACGGGTCTCTTATCCCTGTCCAGTTGCGCAGCCTGCATTCTAGCCATTTTTGCAGTACTGCTGACAGCGCTGGCGATATGTCGGGGCCAAGAAGCAGCAGCCACGGCAGATGTACGGATCAACGAAATCATGGCCAGCAACAAGGGTGCCGTACTGGACGAGGAAGGGACCAGCCCGGATTGGCTTGAGCTCTTCAACGCGGGTCAGGCTGACGTGGCGCTTCAGGTCAGGGCGTGGAGCTAAGTTCGCATGGTTTAGGGTTATATTGAAGTAAGCGCTGGTAGCCGCTGATCGTAGGAGTTTACCGCGAAGAATTGGATGGCGAGGCCGAAGGGAAGCGTGCTTTATTAGGCATGGCATGCGCCGAGGAGTCCTGCAGGCGAAATGAAGGACCCCTTCAGCAATTGCTTCAGACCGTGCCCTCCACGGCGTTCACTTCTCACGTAGACGCCCTGAGCTCCCATCTTCACCCAGCAAGCCAGCATTGATGTTGACAAGCTCAATTTGCAAAACATGCTGGTCATGCAAGTTAAGGGTACATAACCCACGCCCCACAGGGGTGGCAAGTGCAAAGCAACGACGACAAGAAGTGGGCCTTTCCAGCGGGTGTGAGCATTCCTGCGGGAGGCTACCTGCTGCTGTACGCCACGGGTACGTTCGCGCGTACGGCGACTCACAAGACGACAGTTGCACTGACATCTGTACCCCACAGTAACGGTGACATTACCATGTTGCCCATAGCTTAATTGACGAAAAAGCTGTTTTGCGATTTGTCATTGGAGTGAATTTGGCCTTGTGACTTAGGGCTAGAAACGTGCTCGCAAGCTAGGGCAAGCTGTCAATTGGGGGGGGGGGTAAAGGCCGGGGGCCCAGCGCCTAGGATCGTCACACGGCCATGCCCTAACGGCAGCGTTTGGGGCTGTTCACTGGATGGGGGTAGAAATTTGCCAGGAGTACGTCAAATGGGGCATTAACTGTACCCATCTTGTCTGGAGAGTAGGCTTCAAAACGCAAGCCACTTAAACCATGGGCAGTACGGACCCCACGCTGCCACGCACCTAAGCCATAACCAAATCCCCACACGCGCGCTGGTGCAGGCGAGGGGGCCGCTCCGCCACCCAACGCCAGTGCACCCATTCGGGCTGGCATCAAGCTGTCGGCTTCTGGAGGGCAGATTGCACTGCTCCGCCCGGACGGCAGCGCAGCCAGCGTCGTGGGCCCGGTCCTGCCCAGGTAAAGCCTCGTGCTAGCGTACGTACGGCAGTTGACACCTATGGGTACCCTTCTCTGCTCCTCTTCTTCCCCGTTTGGCTTTGACTTCGTTCCCCGTCTAATGAGCACTGCATGTACATGTGAGCTTTCTATCACTGCTGTGCCATTGGCTCTTTGCTAAATGCTAATGCTAGTATGCCTTGGCTCTGCCCCACGCAGGCAGCTGGCGAATGTCTCCTTCGGAGTGCCCTCAAGCGAGGGTGATGAGGGCAGCTCGGTGACACGTGACATCGCAGCGGCCGCTCCCATGACCTTCCTTGCTGCCCCTACACCCGGCGCTGCCAACGCCGGGCCCCTTGCCACCGGCCCCTTCATATACAGGTAAGCGCAACTGCATCAACCGGGGGTGAAGGTTGTGGCGAGTTGGAGCTTGGTAATGTTTCGCTACTCCCGGCTATAACACGTGCCCACGTACGCGCCCATGCCAACTAGCCGCACCTCCCAAACTCCTCTAGACCGACTCCAACTTGGCGTACAGCCGCTTTCGATACCTTGCCTTAGTCGCCTTCTCCTCCTCCCCTCACCTTCCAATCAGGAAATGCGTTACTAACAAACCCATGTTTGTTACCTCCCTCTCCCCACCTCTCCAGCATCACGCCCGCATGGACCCAGGAGCGCCCCCCCGCCGGCTCCGACCTGCTGCTCAGCATCTCCCTGGAACCCAATCTGAACCCGATCAATGAGGGCAAGGTGCTGTTGTCGTACACCGTCAACTGGGGCGGGGAGCAGCAGGTGGCAGCGCAGAGCGGCGGCGAGGAGGGCCCGGGTGGGTGGAGGCAGGGTGGGTGGGTGGAGTAGAAGTTGGGAAGCGAAGGGAAGGGAAGGGATGAGTTGCCGGGAGGGTACGAAGCGGTAGGGGGTACCGATATGTGGGTGTGCAGCTCCAGCAACCCGGGCGGTTGCAGGTGCACACATGAGCGCTGTAGTAATTGTACGGGCTGACAACTGACATGCGTGGGTTGCCTGGAGAGTGGGGTTGGGCGGCGCGGCTGTGTGGGTCGAGCCAGGTCTCACGCTGGCTCACGTGCGCCGCTATTGAGAAGCGGATACACACCCTTCACATGCATCTGTACCCACGGGCACGTTCCGCGCCACCAGCTTCCTGCCGCACGGTCGACTGTTGGGCCTGCTGTCTGTGGCCTGCTGCGGGTCCTCTATCTAAGCACGAACATTCGTTTGCCCTTGTCCTCTAAGCACGAACACCTGCCCTTGCCGCAGGTCGCCTGGTGACGTTTACCGCGAGCATTCCCGCGAGTGCCTTCGGACCCGGCAACATGGTCCGTTGGCGCGTTAAGGCGGAGGACACGGCAGGCTATGAGTCCATGTACCCGCCGCCGGCTTCTGAGGGTTCGGGCGCCAATGCCTCCGCTTCGTCGGCGGCGGCAGCTCCCAGCTACATGGGAACGGTGATAGCGCTGGCGGAGGAGGACGTCATCACCAACGAAGTCCCCATTCTGGAGTGGTGGGTCCTAGACGGTCACTTATTTACAAGAGGACTGCGTGCTGCTCCACGTACGGCCCCCTTCCTGGTTTGTAACGCTGCCCACTGTTTGCTACAACCATCAAGCCCTAGCTACAACCGTCAAGGCCTAGCCCCTGCCACCAACCCTTAAGGAAGAGGGACACATGACCCGCCCTATTGTCTTTTTGAACGCCCCAACCCGCCCCAACAGGTTCAGCCCCGACCCGGCTGCGGCCATTACTCAGGACGGTGCTCAGGGCCAAGTGCTGTTCTTCAACGGCCGCCTGCATGACAACGTGTTCGCTCGCCGCCGAGGAGTGACGGCGCTCGGCTGGCCCAAGCCCAAGCTCAAGTTTGAGCTGCAAGATGCGGTGAGGAGGCCGTGCTCATACTTAGTGACCGCTGTGTTGAAACGTGGGAAGTGTGTTGGTCGTGTGCCGTGGGCATGTGCTATGTTTGCGCCCCTTATTTGCATTCACGGCGAATGCTGTTGCGTTGAAGCGGCGACGAACGACCCATGGGTCAACCCGCTCTGCTGCATCTCCTCATCGATGTCGCGGCTGGCTGCTGTAGGACTTCAAGTACTCTGAGGACATGCCGCCAGTGTCCGAGTTCGGGCTGCAATCCTTTTGGTAAGGAATTCCGGTATCACATTCGCAAACGGTTTTGCTGCTTCTAGAGCTGGGTGTCGCGCGTGCGGGACCCGAGAAGGGCCCACGCTTGCAACACTTCCCAGGGATTCCAAGTTGGTCCGATGGACACTTCTAACCGTTTATCGTTGACCGTTGACTGCAGGTACGAGCTGGGAGAGCGGAGCTACATGAAGGAACCCCTCGCGCTTCAGGTGCGTGTGCGTGCGTGTGGGGTGTACGACATATACGGTTTGACTGCGGTTCGTTACGCTTGATGCTTGCATGGCACGGTTGATCTCTCGCTTGACTACGAAGCATAAACTGCCTCCATGCGATTTTGCAGTTCTACCGTAAAGCTCGTAACCCTCAAACTTTCATCTCCCATCCTTCTTCACCTCATCCTGCGCGCCTGCCCGATTTCCTGCGCCGCAGTTCATGAGGGATGCCGGTGTTGTGGCGCCCAACTCCTTCCATCTGCATGTTCGCCAGAACGGCAAGTTCTACGGCCTATTCGCCTTTGTTGAGACGCCCAGTCCCGAGTATCTTAAGGTGCGGTATGGCACGCAGCTGTACCTGCACTGTGCCCGCTCCCGCCCCTTCCCACACGCCACATGGTGATTTCTCCAATACCTAGCGCGAATCGTGGGGCCCATCCACTCTACCGTAACTCCCATCCTTGTCCTGCAAGCTAGCCCCGAAATCCCCAGCCATGTGCGGAATGCCCCTTCCTATTATGAACCCCTGGAATGAACCACGCACTGCGGCTCTACCGTCTGCTGCTGCCCCCCCTCGGGCCCGCTGAGTCCGCAAAACCCGCACATTCCTAGCTATGTGCGAACTGCAGATTTATCCCTCGAAATCCCCCGCAGCGCCACGGGCTGCCCCCCTCCGGCCCGCTGTTCAAGTCGGTAAGCGGGGAGCTCAGCAACCTACGCTGGGACCTGCCCGTCAAGGAAATGCCAGCCTATTGGGAGAAGGAAAACAGGTAGGCAGGGGTAATACATCGGTATCACACCTACCGAGTCACAGGTGACGATAGGCTGCGACGCTCCTGCTGCGTAGGCGGCCGCATGCAAGGATGCATGGATGCATGGTGGCAGGTGTCTATAATGGTGCTGTGAGGGCGCCTGGGTGGCGCCACATGGGACACGACACATGAGAGGAAGACATTAGCTTGCTTAAATCCTGCTCCTATTACCACGCAACATGTAAACCCGCCGCTTCGCAATTGCCAAACTTACTTTGTGCGCCTACCTCATTCATCCGCCTGCCTGCCTGCCCTCCGGCCGCAGGGAGTCGAACGCGAGTGACTGGAGCCTTCTGGCCAACTTGTCTCGTGGACTGGCCGGCGGTGGCCCGGTGCCTCGCTCCAAGTTCGTGTTTGATGCCCTGAATCTTCCCCAGGTCGGTGGGTGCCTGGCTTGCCGCTCGCAGCGGGGTGCAAGCTGCTGCTGCTGCTGCTGCTGCGTGTGTGGTTTCGCGCGGTGACAGGTGTCGTGTGGCTCGGATGTACTTGAACGGCCTAAACTCCAACCGACTAACGAACCAACCTCAACAGATCATCAACGACATGGCAGCTCAGACCATTGTTAACAACATGGACCGGTGCACCAAGAACTTCTTCATGTACCTGCATCCCAAGACCAAAGAGTGGTACATGTAAGTGCGTTGCTCGTGGTACCGTACCGCATTACCCCGGTAAGCGGACGGCGGGGGGGACAAGCCTCATGAACAGTGCACGAGACCAGCTTAAGCTATACTACCAGTCCTCCCACTCTCTCTCTGTCATGACCCTACAGCAAACCCCATAGGGCCTACCTGCTTAATCCCTGCATTTCGGCGTTACTCTGTGTTATTGCCTGCTGTACACCTGCTGCCGCTTCAATGCCGCTGAACACCTCCTGCCAGGCTTCCCTGGGACATGGACGGTTCCTTCGGCCAGGACAACGGTCTGGGCGGCCGGCCCGGACCCAACTACTGCGTCCTGGCCTGCGAGCAGTGGAACAGCCCGCTGTACTGCGACTCGGAGCACCCGCAGGTACGACAAACGGCGGGCCCTTAGTTAACTTGTACAGCAGCTCGTAACGTCGTATGGGCTTGTACCGGATGTACGGATAGTTGGCTCACCCCTCCTGTCACAACAGAGGTAGGGATACCGTAGTTAGGGATACCGGGCGCACAACGTGTCTGCGACAGGTAGCTACCGGATATAGCCATCTTGTACAGCTATGTACGACTATGCCCCTTCCCAACAACCCCTGCATGCACAACACATGCCTTCATTCGGCTTCCTCCAACGCATCGCAGGACCTAACCCGCACCACTCCTTGGGGAAGCGTCAGCGTCACGTTGAACAGCGCCTACACGGGGCCTGCTGTACGGAAGCCGGGCCAACGGAAACTCAACCAACACCTGGAGCTGACCTTCGTACCCTCAACCGCCGCCAACCGCCGCCGTACGCTCCTACAAGCCCAGCCGGCCGCCGAGCCGCGCACCCGCAGGCGAGACCGTGCAAATGCAGCCGCTGCGGCGGCATCCGCTTCACCGATGTACGCTGCTGGGCAGAACATCACTTCGGTAAGATAGAGGGGGCAGGGCGGTCAGATGTCTGGTGATTGATTGCCATGTTGCCGTATTGTGGATGGTTGAGTTGCCTCGTATTGGTTGCGGTGCTAAGGGTATATACTAGTGGGGACATGCGTGATGGTGTACGGTAATTCGAATTGCCGTACGGGGGTATGTGGTAGAATGTCGTACGGCTCATCAAGCATCGTAGCATCCATTGCCACATCTGCTGGGGTTACGCTTGTCTGAACCGTGTTCTTTTCTTCTTGTCATTTCCATACCTCATAGTTTCCGAAACCTCGAGGCTGGGATGACCCTGATCGGTCAACGGTCAACGAAACCAGCCCCAACGGCCCCGTGGGCACGTACAACCACCTCTACGATGCCGTACTAGGTAGGTCGATAAATTACCCAGTCATAATTGAGATGCGCACATAAGGGGAGGAAAGTAGGTTGGGTGTCATAAGATATGTTTTTGGTGCCGTACAATCGTACATGCTGCCGTCCGTAAACATTCGCTACGTAGGAGAGATCCTAAGCAACCTAAGCAACCACCGTCAACAAGTGTCTGTTACCCCCGTCGTGCAGACGTCGGCCCCACTCGCGCTATGTACATGAGGCGGCTTCGAACGCTGGCAGATGAGTATTTGGCGGGAGGCAAGATCGCAAAGGTGAGCCTAACTAACATGCATCGGTCTGCTTGAAGAAATACCGTGAGGGGATGCGTTGGAGGTGGCTTCGGTCCCCTTGGCCCATGCAGCTACAGCGTTTACCGGTACCTAGGCATTTCCCCCTGCATCTGCTGCAAAACAGCCGATGTCCGCCATGAACTGTCTTAATTGACGACTGCATAGTTAAGATCGCGGTTGATTCCTGCTGATTGTCCCCTGGTGTGCCATAAAACGTGTGGCTGTTCGGCTGTGTGCCTTGTTTTATCCTGCATGACAGAGTATGGGGGTTATCTTGATCGGGTCCCTCATGTTGATGTCGCGGTTCCATGCATGCGGCCTGCCACCACCGACCTGCTCTGCCCCGCCGGTTGTGGTGCGCACAGATGGCGAATGAGACGTACACTCGCATCAAGCCCCTCGCCGACCTGGATGCACGGACCTGGAACTCAGGTGAGAAGAGCACATGCCTGTTTCGTTGTCGTACGAGCTATTACCGGTATGTAATACTCCACAACTGGTTTCCACGTCCTGTGTTTTTCCTTGCTCCTCTTCCCCTACCTCACCCCGCTAAATTTCTTTGTATACCGGCACTACCTTGCACCACACACAGGTATCTCAATTGACAAAGGCTTGAAGCAGATTCTTACGGAGTTCCTGCCCATTCGCAAGGATCAGCTGATCGGATCACTGTACGGACCCAACGGCACCCGCCCACTCCTACCCGCGGCCCAACCAGCTCAGGTGGGATCCGCGTACGACATGCGGCCTTGGCCGCACTCCGTCCGGCCTTGCCGTACCGGCCGTACATACTGTAGCCTATCTACTTTCCTGATCATGCATCCTCCTCCTGATCTACTACCTCGTCCTGATCTCCGCAGGTCTCCCTCTCCGTGGCTCGCTTCACCCGTGACGCTGCCTCCCCCGCCGCCTCTTTCGTGGAGGTCACCAACCCCAACAAATTCGCAGTGGATATCTCCGACTGGGGCCTCAAGGGAGCGTCCACCTTCACCTTCCCGTCAGGTGGGGCACAACTTTCCCGCTCCCCACCCACCACACTCCATGCTTGCATGCATCACGCACATGACACATCGCGCACGCCTGCATGCAAACAGAACAGGAGGTATCATGACCGCATTCATGGGCCGGTCACGAATGGGGGTACCAAGGGACATGATGCACGAATGGGGGTACCAAGGGACATGATACACACATTCAACGCACCCTTGCACTCACATCTGCATGCCCTTGCTGCCATTTCGGTCGGCATATCCACCCATGCGCCCTGCCACACAGGTTCGGTCATTCCTGCGGCCTCAAGTGCCTTCGTGGCAGCCGACGTCGCGGCTTTCCGGGCGCGTCAGCAGCCGCCCAAGGGAGGTATGGGGCTGTTTGTGGTTGGACCGCTGCAATCGGCAACCGGTGCCGTACAACCGTCGGGCGTTATTCAGCTAACGGACGCCGCAGGAACGACCGTACACGAATTAACCGTTGGGCCGAGCAAGTAATGGTGCATTTGTGCAGAAGGGTGGAAAGAGCACTGAAGCAGGTTCGTACAGGGGGGTTCCAAGAGACATGTTGAGGGCTGGTGTGAGGTGCGGGAGAAAGGTGTAAGCTGACTGCAAACCGTCATGAGTGGGCGTGCGTGTGCGTGGGTAATTGGAGCTTAGCAGGTCTTGTCAGCAGCGGTCTGTCTGCTGTCAGTGAAGAGTGTCAGCAGGCAGGTGAACCAGAGACGCATGGACCCTCAGGTTGAAGGAGGCCATGCAGCGAACTGCCTGCATGCGGTGCAATTGTCGGGAGGTTGTAGTCGGGAGGTTGTAAAACGGGCAGAGGGCAATGGTTTACCACACGTTTGCCGTGGACAACGCTGAGACAACCGCACGCTGCGTTGTAAGATCCTACGCTGGTCTGATGACGATGAAAATGAAACCCCATTCCTGCAACCCCCACGGACACATCCTCCCAGCGGCTCGCTTCCATGCGTCTACCCTTTGATTTGTCCGGCCATCAGCACTTAATGCGTCGCCTACCCGTGCCCTGCATCACACCTGCACGTAGTGTAGTCGTACGGCAATACCACCTTCGGGCGACATCCATCTATCCCGCCGCTCCCCTAAAGATGTTCTACCAGGAATGTAAAACCCTACTGTAAACACGTGAAAGTCCCAAACACGCGCGCTAACTCTTACTCCCTGCTTTCCTTAAATCCCGGACTATGCGCTGGCCTAACAACCAAGCGCGCGCCTTTACAGATGGCATGGCGAACCGCAGCGTGGGGGTATATGCGTCAAACACTCCCCGGACCGTCGCAATCACCATTCCATGGCATTCGCATGCGTGACTCGGCAGGATGAAAATGCACCCTCCTTTCATTTGCCAGTGTTGTTGCTGCTGCTGTTTGCTGCTGCTGCCGCTGCGACAGCTGCTGCTCTATACTTGGGCGCTGAGCGGCAGGTCCTGCGCAAAGGCAGCGCATAGCAGAATCAACACCAGTTCGTCATACATCGAAAGAATTTAGGCCGGTTTACAATACCGGAAATACGTTTCCTGCCTGCAAAGTGCAACGCAAGTAAGTGTTAATAGTTTGAGTGGGTGGGCTTTAGTGTTTGCGGCACAATGAGCAAGACAGCAAGGGAGGGCCCCTTAACCCCCTCAATCCCCAGCCCTTAGCGGCTGGTCTCACAGCATGGACACTGCATGGGGCAGACCCACCGACCCATGGGTCTGTCTAAACCACTCTAGCCACATGCTCCCCCCCCATGCTTATCCCTCGATCAGTTAGCTGTTTCCTCTTTACCCCCCCCCTCTCCACACACACACCGCTCCTTCTTCCCACCTGCGACAGCTTGACGACCTGCTTCGCTGTGATGAGGTCGGGCAGGGAGATGGCCCGGCGCCCCAGCAGCCCCTCCAGCTGCTCCTTGAAGGGCATGGGCAGGATGTTGTTGGCGGTGGCGTACGCGGCTAGCACAGGGCCCTGAGAGCCGGTGGGAGCCGGGGGGAACGACAAGGGTTTGGGGGGCGGGCGCGGGTTAACGAGGAAACTGGCCCTGTGATCCGGGGGGGAAAGAAGGATACGGTATCCAACGTGGGGTAAGGCAAGGGTGGGGTCAAAGACCGTACCGAATCATAGGAAACCAGTAAGGGAAGGGTGAAGGACGCGGGTTAACGAGGAAACCGACAAGCTGCAACCGACAAACGGCTTCACCATGGGGGAGGCGGGTTGAATGAATGACCGTTACAGTGATCCCAAACCGGAAGGCAAGTGAAGGCGGACAGGTGGCAGCGGGATGATGATGGGGGAAAGGGATCGCCGTGTGAGGGAATTGTTGGGGAAAGGGGCCTTGTAAACGAGGAAAGGGGTTGCTTGGAAAAAGGAAAACGGATGATGCGGTGAGATCCCTGAGGCTGCTATCCATGAGGGCGTTTCGGTTTACCACCACCGAGGAGTACACTGCTGTCCACTGAGGCAAGGAAGCGCCGCATGGAGGCTGCGGAACCACCCCGGTGCACCCGCTTGTAGCGAGGAGTAGCTGCTTGTACCGGCCAGTCAGGGGTTGCGTGTGTGCCGCATGTCACCCCCCCCTCAGGGGGGCGCCACAACATTTTGTCTTGTGGCGCCCTGCCAACTCCTACCCCCATTGCTTTGCCCTAACTTGTGGTCTCCTATGGTTTGGTATGGTCTTTGACCCCCCTCAGGCAACTACCTACCACAATGAGGATGCGGTGGCGGAAGCTGGACATCCAGGCTTCCCGGTTTTTCTGTGGAGGGACAGGGTGGGGACTGGGGAGGTGAACAAACGATGAAGTCACACAGCGAACATGGACATGGACTATAAGGAAAGAGAGTGAGGAAGCCATGGGGAAAGAGAGGAGGCGAGAGCGATGTGGCGAAGAATTGCTGATGCCCTCTGACCGCAGAGCTCCCCTGACGTTGTGCCTCCAATGATGGCAGCCGTCCCTGCACACCGCTGCTGCACACACCGCTGCCTCTATGATTACGCCCCTGGTAGAGAACAGAAGCATGATGCGTGCGTCCCTCCTCACAACATCCCATTACATTGCACGAAGCTCCCAGGACCGCTACTAGGTGCACTGAGCGTGGTAGCTGGCGCCGCGTTGAAACACATTTTGTCAGCAAACGATGCAAGCCCCAAACCTCTCAAATCTGATACCCCGGCCTCCCCCGCCTCCAACGTGCGCCTATGTCCCCCTTGAGTGACGGGGTCCCCCCCTCCTGCGCGCCGCTGGCACACCCCAGGCGGCCCACCTGAGCGAGGTGGAAGAAGCCGTAAACGTAGGTGGCCGCAACCAAGCCCGCTGAGCCTACGAGACCTGTATGTGTAGGAACGGAACGGGGCGCACGCGCGTTGTAGTTGTTAGGGCTACAATAGAGGCCGGCGAGGCACTCCTTGGTGCGGTTTGCGAAAAGGACCGTGCTCGATTTGGGACCCATGATGGGACAACCCACACTTTGGGTATGCGCCCAAGAGCGCCAGGCAGCGGGATGAAGCGATAAATCTTCAGCGACTATTCGTTTGGTTACTTACCATACTTCATCATGTAGGGACCAAACCGCTGCTCCTCAAGGATGTCGTAGGCCTTTGACACTTGCTCGCGCGTAAGCTGCACCGGACCTGCTGGCTTCGCAGTCTTTGCAAACTCTGGATCGGACATTGTTGGCGGCTTGGCGCGACTTCGTTCTCCAGTCTGGGAGTCGCGCAAGCTCCGCACGCCACGCGGATAGGCTTCAGGGGGAGGGTTGTCGTCACCCATATTGAATAGTTCGAATCAACAAAAAGGTTAAGTCTTAACGGCGCAGAATGGCAGTCTTGACGGAGGCAGCCCCGTTTACAGGTATCCCTTTCAGCGTATTTTTATCCCTTCAGCGTACGTTAACAGCGTCTACGCAGAACAATTAGGCTTGAATGCGAATATGTGAATGTGCGTTCGGTAGCTTACATCCAACGTCCTGCAGACCATTAATAAGCCGTACTCAGCAGCGACAAACCAGGGCAGAGCGCAATGGCTTCCACGGTTTGATGTTATGCCCACTCACGCAGAGATGAGATTGCAGCAAGCACACCGTTATACAGCACGCAAACGGTCGTTGTCAACGTTTTTCTTCGCCCCTCGGCACGCCGTCACAACCAAAGGTTGAATTTTCGCTGCAGCCAACTGTTGGTCATGAAAATGTGCGGCCAGACACAGCGTGACGCGGTTATCGCGACAGCAGCTGTAGCAGTGGCCCTGACTGTGCATTGCAGCAACGTGCACTGGTAGGTAGGTAGGACACGGAAGGTGTGAAGTGGCTGGCGCTGCAGCCTGATGATAACTAGCCAGGCCGCGAGGCTCAGTGTCCGTGTGCACGCCAGGGCAGCATGGCCGTAGCAGAGGCAAAGCAAACCCCACGCGTGCAGCAGAAAGCAAGTTCGTAAGTCCTGGGATTTGGACGGCCTCCTGACTTCTGTACACGTGTACACATCAAGGTCACTGCGCACTAGGGGGTATGGTGTCGTTTCGACCCGGCGGGTGACTGCGGCTCACAAAGTAGCGCCCCGGCTGGCCCTCACAGTAACCTTAAAAAACTAAGGCGGACCCCCCGATTAGAAGACTCACGGCACTGGGGCTGTGTGCTTTCACAGCTAGAATAGTACCGGTATGCTGATGGCAGGCTGGGGGCATCCAAGTATGAGCAAGCTAGTCACCATCAACACACGAGATGGCTCGCGCCTCTGTGTGATGTACACAGTGTGGGAAATTACTTCCAGAGGACCATCTGGCAGAGGCCGCTTGCCGTACCGGTAACCTCCCATTGTCCTGCTAACCCGGGGTTCATCCGTTGTGCGTTCACGTGTTAGGACACCCGTGCACTAGCCTCCAGCCTGCGGGTGTGCTGAGTAGGCAGCTGCAGGGCACCCGTCTTCAGGACCTGAGTAGCCAGCTTCATGTGCCCAGCGTCGGAAGCAACCGCCCTCAAGGCGACTGCCAGTACGTGACGACCATGGACCGGCCAGTCTTAGTGAAGCCCCCATTAGTCGCTCTTTGTGCTCCGACTAGTTGTACTGGACCACAAGTCAATGGAGGAAATATTGCAAAAAAATACCGGTCAAGTTCGCATCGCCATTTATACAGCCCTAGCCACCGACTTGACTGTCAGTCCTCGTGAAGCAGTATGATGTTTTATGACTAAGGTGGGTTACAAGGAGCTGCTGGAACTGACGGTGGACAGGGGCTCGACACAGTAGACTATAGCGCCTTTCAATTGCCTAATCCTTATTTCGGAACGTCACGGAGGAGTTAGGCGGCCTTGGCTATGGTGCAAGGCGAGGATAAAGGTGTGATAAGTGGGTAGAGTGCAGTCTGTACAACACTTTTCAACTGCCATCACGAACAGAGCGAGACAGGTTACATACCTTCAGAAGCACAGCATTGCTTGCATAGATATTGTTGGACAATACTAATTTGCAGTTGAATATTATGGTGTATACATAGCCTACCTGGGCTTCGTAAGCGTACCTTCTTCAGTACCCCGGCTTCAATGCCGACGACAAATCGCGCCCGAAATCGAACAGTTGCGGATCAGGAAGCGGAAGAGGAAGGATGGGATGCAAACGATTGGGACTGGCACCCAGTCGCCATGCATGCGCGCAAGAAAGCGCGCACAGCAACAGGTGCGTCTCTTACCCATGAAGAATTGTTAGATACACATATGCGGCTGGAGAACATATGCACGGACATAACAATGTAATGTGGCTTAGGGCAACTGTGCCTTTGCCAAATTGCCATGCAACATCACTCCTCCCCGGAAGCTCCTGTGCAGAACCAACGCACCTCCGGTTTTGCTTTGCAGAACCTGCGAGCGCTGCAGTTGCATTGCCGTCAGCTGCGGTTCAACTAGCCGATGGCGTCGAGGCCCCTATCGGGACAGTAGTTAGGGCCGAGCCGTCGCTGGCCAACCCAAAGTTTGCCAACCTGCCCGTATACAACTCCATAAAGAAAACCGATGTGAAGCTGGAGAACATATGCGTGGTGCGTTCGCACATGCAGCTTCCCTTCTCCCTCGGTTTACGGACATCCATGGCACACACCCAGCTTCTGACACCCGGCTGCACCGCCTGCAGGTAGAGGGTTGCGGCCGCAGCCTTGCCGGGCTCAAACGCTACTTCACCAGGCTTCAGATCTGCGAAGGTACGCGCACGAATAGGGTAGCACATTGTACGAATCTGTACTCCTACGTCTTGAGCCAGCTATCCTATACAAGGCATTCCCCTTGCCTTCCTATGTCGTAACTCGCACCTCTCCGCCTGCATCTCCAGCTCTGTCCACTGTAAGACTCCTTGACCTTGTCCACTGTAAGACTCCTTGACCTTGGAACCTTTGCCCCTCGTTTCACAGCGCATCTCGCGTGCTTAGCTATCCTGGTTGACGGTACCATCAGCCGCTTCTGCCAGCAATGCGGCCGCTTTCAGCCTCTAAGCGACTTCACAGGCAAAAAGAAGTAAGTGCAACGTGCCTGCAATTAGTGCGCTGGGTTAGTGCAGGTGTGTGGCTGTTGAAGCCGGATACGGGTTAAAGGCATGGAGGTCTCTTGACTCCAGCGGCCGGGGAAGGGCGCCGTGATTTCGAGGGCCGATGATGTCCGTTTCCCCTCCTCTCTTACCTACTCCCAATCCTTTTCCGATTCGTTCTTACCTTCCGTCCCACCTTGTCCCTGTGTTCGCACATCCGGTGGTGCTCATCTTCGCCCAACGGCCCAACAGAAGCTGCACCGCTCGCCTGGAGCAAGTCAACGCGCGGCACCGGGAGCGAGTCCAGCTCAAGCAGCAGGCGGTTCAGCGGCGGGAGCAGCGGCGGGAGCAGCAGCAACAGCAGCAGCTGGCAGGGCAGCATCATCACCAGCAGACGCAGCCGCCGTGGCAGCAACAGGACGCGCCGCAGCCCGCTTGGGAGCCGCCGGAGGGCTGCTGCCAACCGGCGGGGGCGGCACCGCTGCCTGCCGCGGCGTCGGAAAGCCTTCCAACGTCAGCGGTCCCAGTCCCGGTCCGGTACCAATCACCTCCGGAGCCGTGTGCTGTTACCGCCGGTGTGGGCGCTTCCTCCGATGCGTCGTACGGCGGTATGGCCGGCGGTGGCGGCAGTTCCTTCCCGTCCGGCGACGCCGCCGCTGCCGCCAGCGGCGGACCGCCGTGCTCGTCACATAGCCTGCCTGGGGCCTCTAGCATCAGCCTTGGCAGGCTCGTAGCGAGCGCCTCGGAGCCCAGCTTTCCGGATGCCTGTGCTGCGGCGCCGCCACCGTCAGGTGTGCAGCTGCCGTCGCTGCCGCCGGGCCTTGAAGGCGCCAGCAGCAGCAAAGTACCTGGCGGAGGCGCCAGCGCCGCACCCGGCGACCCTGATGCTGGCGGCGGCGGTACGACGGCGGGGCTGTTGCCGTTCAAGCGGGTGGTGTCCACTGGCGGCGCAAGCGTGGTGTGGTACAGCACCAGGAGAATGTCTCCGCCGCCGCCGGCTGCTGCTGCTGCTGCTGCTGCTGCTGCTGCGGTAACAACGGCACCCACGCTGCATAGCGCCGACGGCATGTGTCGTACACGGTCCCTTTCCGTAGCGTCGAACGGGGGCTTGCCTGACGCGAAGACCGCCTCCGCCGGCGCCTCCCATGCACCGCATCGTCCTCGTGCCGTACGTGTAGCTTTTTGGAACGAAGTAACAACCGCGATTAACCTGGATCCTACGGCGCCGGTGCACCATGTGCCGGAGCCGCCGCCTTCGTTGCCTAAGGACATCACGCGCGCGCTGGAAGCCGCTGGCTCGATGCTCCTGCAGCCGGTGATGCTGCCGCCGCAGGCGCTGGCACCTCCGCCAGCAGCAGCGGCGGCGGCGGCGAAGGTGACGGCGGCGAAGGTGACGGCGGCGAAGGTGACGCCACTGCCAGCCGGTAGTCCGCGGACGTCGGCTGCATCGGCATCACCGTTAGCGGCGGCCGCCGCCGCAGCTGCTGCCGACAATGCCGGTCAATGCCCAGCACCCGCAGCAAGTCCTGTTGCTGCTGCTGCTGCGGCGGCGGGGGCGGATTCTACGTCCCAGAACGTCGCCCGCTCAATGGAGACAGCCACTGCAGCTCCGAATGGGGTTGTAGGGCTCAGGCGCATCAGCGGCGGTTGGGGCAGCGGCGGCGAGAGCACTAGCTGGGTCAGCGCAGGCGAGGTTACCGCCGCCGCCAAGCCCTCAGCCTCCGCCGGAACCGGCGGCCGTACTGCTGCCGAGGCGGCGGCGGCAGCGACGGCAGCAGGAACGAAAACATCCCACCGCCTTCAACCGGAAGATGGCAAGCCGACGGCGGCAGCCGCGCTGTTATCAGCATCGCCGTACACGATGGGTCGTACTGCCAGTGACAACTTCGGCAACCTGCCCCACTCGCCCCTGAGCCACTCCTACGAGGGCGCCTCGGCGGTTCGCAGCAACGCCGGTGCTGGTGGCGGCGCTGAATGCGGCGGCGGTGACGCTGCGCAAGCCTCAAGTCGGGCCGCCCCCAGCGACGCCACCCACGTTGCAGCCCGCATCACGAGCATCATGGCGGAGCTAGAGCCGTTGCTAGCGCAGGTGAAGCACCTGGCGCATGTGCCGGGAGATGCCGACAACGGCACCTCCGCCGCCACTGCCGCCGTTGTCGGCAAGCCTGGCCCAGCGTCTGAGGTGGCGGCCCCTGTGGCTGGCGGCGGCGGCGGCGGAGGATGTGCGTCATCGTCGGCGGGCGGTGCCGAGAGTCGTCCCTCGGCGGCGGCGGCCGTGGTGTCGCTGCCGCATGTATTCGGCGCTGCACAGGAGGTGATGCAACGGGCTTCGGAGCTGGCTTCGGCACTGCAACAGCAACAACAACAGCAGCAGCAACAACAGCAGCTGCAGCCGGCCATGCTGCAGGTACTGCAACCGGAGCAGCAGCAGGTGCAGCAGCCCATGCAAGCGGGTCCCCTGGCACCTTGCGGCCTGGGGCAAACGCCGGGGCAGCTGCAGCCAGGGCCGATGCCACCGTCGCAGTCACGCACACGTGCGCATGCCCCCATGCAGATGCAGCAGCCGCAGCAACAGCACCTGGAAAGCGGCTGGATGGCAGCCCCAATCGCTCCCCACACGGTGTCTTCAGCGACCTCCGTGCAACCGCATGCATCTGCCGCTCCCCAAGCTACCGTTGTGTCTTCAGGTACCCCCATGACACAGCAACAGACCTCCTTGGCATGGCCACCACTACCGATACCTCACCCATTGCCGCCACCTCAGCAGCAACAGCCGCAACAACAACAGCAGCAGCAGCAGCAAGCACTTGGATCTGTCATGCCGTACAACGGTCTTCCGTATCACCCACCGGCACCGTACGGAGGTATTCATGCCGTACGACCGGTTTATGTACGGTACGTACAGCCGTACCTGCCCCGCCATCCACATGCTACAAGTACGGCTGCTGTAGCAGCCATTCCGCAACAATTTGACCCTCAGCAGCGCGTGCCATATCACGCCGTACACCATCCTGGCATGGTACGGTACATGCCGTACCATCCCAGAGATCCCCTCCTCGCTTCCGGCGCCGCCAGCGTTCAGGTTTACCCCAGACATGCCCTCCCGCAAGACCTGCCTCTCGATCTGCAAGCCATGCACGCGCATGGCGGCGCGAATGCCATTCCTCTCGAGTTTACTAGCAGGCCTGATTTGGGCCACCCAACCGAAGCCCGGGAGGCCGCGGCCCTTCCTGGCTGGCCCCCAGTTAGCCATGGACCCATGGGTCATACCACCTCGTCGACCCATAGGTCAATGGGGCAGGAGCCGCGGAATGCGAATGGGCTGTGCGATGGGGCTTACAGCAATGGTGGCACGGATGACGATGAGGAGATTTTTAGTCAGATGTTGCGCCAGATTATTGAGGAGGACGAGCCCGCATCCAACATGAATCAAAACACGGATCAGTCGTCGTACAACGACAACGGCAACAACCTCCAACAGCAGTACTTTCCCCACCATCAGCAAGTGCAACAGCCGCAGCAACAGCAGTCTCAACTGCAGCAGCAGCAACAACAACAACATCAGATCTGGTTGCAGCAGCAGCAACATGATTACCAAACCGGCTTTTATGACGACGACATTCGTCTGCAGCACGTTCAGCATCTCATGCAACAAGAGCACGAGCGTAGCGCGACTATAGCGTCTGCCGTACAACAGGGAGTTTCCATACACCGACAGTTCCTGACCAGGATGCCGTACGCGGGCTGCGGCGACGCAGAAACAGCGGCGGCAGCGGCTGCCGCCGCCGCGGGCGGCGTTGGCCCCGCTTGGTGCGCTGGCGGCGGCTTCCCTGGTGCTGCTGCTGCTGCCTCCGCCGGCAGCGGCGGTTCCGCGGCGGCGGCGGCTGTGCCTGCCGTGGGTATGGAGTTGGAGCGAGTGAGCATTAAAGCAATGAACATGCAGCCGCAGGAGCTGCCCAGCAGCCTGCGCAGCGGGCTGGGCAAGTGGCTGCGGGCGGCGGGAGGGGAGCCGCTGCAGGCGACGTTGCGGCCAGGTGGGGCCACAGGCGGCTAAGGGCTGGAAAGGGAAGCAGCTTGTCAGGGGGTGGCCTGGGTGGAGAGGAGAGTCCATGAGTTCCATAAGTTCTCTGACCGCGTGCGTGCGCTTAGGCATGCTGCGCAGCTAGGGCGTGGAACGTGGAGGCGGTCGCTCGGCGAATGTGCATGACATGTAGGCGCGCCTCGCCTTGCAAAGTGGTGTCCGGTTAAGGGCCGCTAATCAGCTCAGCTGTTACCGGTATTGGTGCACCACACGCGATCCCACTAATGGTCAACTCTCACGCCGCCCCTAATGGTCATCTCTCCTTTTCCCTCCTCCTTACCTCTACGTTTCCCCTGCAATGCAGGCTGCTTGCAGCTGGTTATCGACGTTCAACGCCCCGCCTCCTCCTCCTCCTCCTCCTCCTCCTCTTCAACCACCGCCAGCGAGTTCGCCTCGCAGCTGCTCCCGACACCTGATGCGGACCAGGCTGCTGCTGACGTGTTCCGGTTCATGGGGCAGCGCCTGCGGGACACCTACGTGCAGGTGAGGGGTGCGGCTGCTGTCGTACCGTACGGGTGTTCACTTTTCCACCATGCACCCCGGGGCCAAGACCTGTTCTTATTGTGAATGGACGACTGGCGATTGTACGACATGTGCCGCAAGTCGACATGTTAGCACTGGCCGTGCGTGCTTCTGGAGTGTGCATGACACGTGTGCAGGTCCTCAGGCTGCCCGAGGTGCAGTACAGTACGGCGCAGTACGGTGTTGCCACGCACGGTGTTGCAATCTCCTGAAACTTCCCATGCAACTCCCCATGCTGATAACAAAAACTTGCTGTTGTGCTGCACGTCCGCGCGTTCCCCTGTCGCTCGCGCAGGTGGGCGACCGAGTGCTTCAGATCCGAGTGGGCGAAGACCCGCGGGTCTGCAGCTGGGAGCAGGCGGCGGAGGACGGCGGCTTGTACGGCGCCAAGATGCCTCATCTCACTGGCAGCAGCCGGGCAGCGGTGTGCGTCGCTGTTGCTGGTTCTGGTGCTTCTGCTGAGGGCGACGTAGAAGGAAGGGGCTCCACAAGCGCTGTGTTGGAGTTGTATGGCAGCAACTTGAACGACCCCCGTACCAAGGTCTTTGCGCGGCTGCGCGGGCGAGATCTGCCGGTCAGCCCGGATTCTGTCACTGAGGCTGTCGGGGCCGCTCAGCTGGAAAGTGATGAGGCCGTTTCTGTTGAGGCAGCAGCAGCAGCAGCAGCATCTGGAGCCAGCAGAGTCCTTGGAAACAAGCCCAGCAGCGACAGCAGCGGCAGCAGCAGCTTTAAAGCCAATCGTCTGAGTGTGCGTGTTTCAATTCCCGCGGGCTGTTGTTCCGGTCTGGTGGTGTTGGAGGTGGGGGTAGGGCACCTGCTGGGGGGCTGGTGGCCGCTGTTGGTGCTGCCGCGGGGGCAGCAGGCGGCGGCGGAGGAGCTTGGGAGGCTGGCGGCGGCAGCGGCGGTGGCGGTGGCGGATGGGGGCCATGAGGGTGTGCGGGTGCCCGGCGTAATGGAAAGGAGGTGGGCGATGTTGGGGCTGGTGGGTGGGGAACGTAATGAGGAAAAGCAGGTGTGGCGTTGTTCATTCCTGCTCGTCACACAGGGCTATAATCTCATCCCTGCTTCTTGCCTTACCTTGCCCTGTCTGCTTCCTTGCTTTGAACCCTCCATTCGCATCCTGCGGCCCCCAGGTTCTTCGTCGACCTAGGTCATGTACTGGACGCATACGCGGCCGCCACCGCTGCGGCCGCTGCGGCCGCTGCGGCTGCCACGGCAGCGGAAACCGCCGCCACAGCTGCATCCTCCGCCCTCCCTACCAGCCCCTTCTCACCTCCCTCTCCTCCCTCAAGTCCGCCGGAGGAGGAACGCTGTTCCTCCCCGGAAGCCGAGAGCACCTCCTCGCCACCCACCTCGCCGCCACCCTACCCGCCCCCAATCACGTCGGCAGCTGTCAGCAACAACGGACGCGCTAGAGCTGCTGCCGCAATCAGTGCTGTTAGCGTGGGCTTGGCCAGCAGTACCACCAGCGGCACCAGTCAGGCGGGGGCGTGGAACTTCTCGGATGTCGGGGGGTCGCTGGCGGTTTCCTCCGCTGTGCTGTCCTCGAGACTGTCTTCAACGCGACTGTCGGCGGCAGTAAGCGGCGCAGCTGGTAGGCATCTGCTGCTGCTGATGATGAGCTTGCGAATGCCGTCCTACCTTGGTGGTTAGTTTAAAATGGGCACCGTGTTCCGTCTTACTGTTTCCTTGGTCCCGGTTACGAGTACCTTTCATCTCCTTCCTTTACCCTACGTCGCCGTCTCCTTTTTCATTCCTTCCTTCCTTTCCTTTCCCCTCCTTTCCTCCCCCGCACGCAACAGGTGGCAACACTGCAAGCCCGCCCGCCATCCACAGGAGCCTCATGCGGCTCTCCGCCACTGCATCGCAGCACGAGGCAGCAACAACGGCTGCTGCTGCTGCTGGCGATGCCCGTGGTAGGGCAGCGGGTCTTGGATCTGCAACTGCAGCGTCAGCAGCAGCACCCGCAGGATTGGGAGGAGGAAAGCCCGACAGTGCCGGCAGTGACGCAGTGCTATCCCCACCCGCAGCAGCAGCTGGGTCAGCCGGCGCCGCAGCTCGAGGGGGCCATGTAGCTCGGGCTCGCGGCGCGTCTTCTGCTTCAGCGTCTTCCAGCCAGCACCACAACAAGCTCCACCAGCAGCAGGTGTTGTTGTTGCTGCCCGCACTGGCAGCGGCGCATCAGGCGCTGTTCCGAGTGGCCCCTCTGCTGCGTGTGTCAGTATCCAGGTGGGCTGTTGTTACTAGAAACATACATGGCTAACTAAAACAGACACATCAGGCTGTCATGCTGGAAGAGGACCTATCAGTTTCAATCACATTCAAATGCGTAATTTGGGCGCAGGCTTGCATGGACGGGACTGTTAGCGGATCCCCCCGTGGTGCCGGTAGTCCTTGACAGCACCTGGGTCAGCCCGGGTCCACCTTCTAACGCTGAGTTTGTTAACCTCCTCCTCCTCCTGACCTCTCTTTCTCCTCAACCTCCTCTTCCTCTTCCCGCGCACTGCAGGGGCCTGCCACACCTCACCTCCCTGCTCCTCGCTGCGGCCACCCGCCTGGCGTCCCTCGTCGCCGCCGCCACCGCACCCACACCCGAGCAGCCCTCGAGCACCACCCACACCACCATGACTACACCGCCAGCAGCACCCAACACCACCGCCGCTACCCCCGCAGCTACTCCTGCTGCTACATCCGCTGCTACCACAACAGGAGCAGCACCAATGGACGCAGCAGCCGCCGACGACCGCATGCCACGACAGCAGGAGCAGCAGCAACAGCAACAGCGCCAAGACAAGGAGCAGCAGCAGCAGCAGCGCTGTGTTGCCGTACTGCAGCGAGCAGGTGTGGATCCGCAGGCACTGCTGCCGCTGGCGGTGCTGTCTGGCAGTACGGCAGTCGTGGACTGCTTGGCTGGGTTCGCGGAGGGGGTCATGGGGCAGCCCCTTCGGCTGGATCTGCCGCAGGGTAAGTGCCGGCGAAAGAGGGTGAAAGAGGGTAAAAGAGGGTGGAAGAGGGACGGATGTGATAAGGTGCCGCCGCTGGTCGCCTTCGTGTCCCCTTCGGTGCCCCCTCGCCAACCTACTCTCCAATCCTGCCCTTGCCCTCTATCCCTACCTTTAGAGCTTTTGTGTTACGTTGTAAGCTTGCATGAACCACCACCGTCGCCCGCACCCAACCCCGGCCGATTGGCTTCCCATACTTTACCGGCACTCCACCGCCCCACCCCCACTGCCCGCAGGCCCCGCGGGTATGAGTCTGCTTCACCTGGCGGCCGTGTTGGACGACGGAGGCGCCCTGGCTGCTCACCTGGTGTCCTCGCAGCCCTGGGCCGCGTGGTCCTGGGTGTGCCTGGGCTGGAGCCCGCAGCAACAACCGGAGCAACCGCAGCAGCGCCCGCAACCAGAGGGACAAGAAGGAGGAGGTGCCGAAACCGCCACCGCGGCCGCTGCAGCGGGTCTTACGGCTGATGGCGACAGCAGCAGCAGTGCTGGCGACGGGGGTGGTGCGGGGGGTCGTTACACGGGTGCCAACATGCGTCTAACGCCGGGTGCCTTGTCGCTGCTGGCGGGTCAGGGGGAAGCGCCGCTGCGTGCGGCTCTGGGCGCGTTGGTGCTCGGGGAGGGGGACTTGGTGGCGGTGGTGGAGGAGCGGCAGCAGCAGGACGGAGACGAGGAGGAGCAGGAGGAGCAGCTGCTGCAACCGCAGCAGCAGCAGCAGGAGGGGGAGGGGGAGGAGGGTGAGGAGGAAGAGGCGGAGGGCCTGCATGGCGTGAGGCAGGCGGCGGAGGTGGCTGCTGTGGACAACAACAGAAGTGCAGCTGCTGCTGAGGCTGTTGCGGCTGCTGCTTCGGTCGTGGCGGCGGCGGCGACAGAGGGCGGCGCTGCTGTGGCGGCGGCGGCTCCCAGTCTGGCGGGAGTGGTGGAGGCGTGGGGGCGACTCAGCGGGGCACTGCTCCAGGCGTTGTGTGAGCAGCTGGAGGCGCAGAGGCTGTAGAAGTGGGGGTGCGCGAAGGCTGTGAGAGTGGGACCATGGTTATCAGTACGATGTTGTTTGGGATATTAATGGTATCCCTGGTACCGGTACCGGGGTAGCAACTGTCCGCTGCCATGCATGGCGTTTAGGACAGCTGGGTGGTAGTCTGGAAGGAGCGGCTCTGACTTGAATTGGATGTATGCAGAGTACAGCGAGCGGCAGGAAGTGTGACTCTGTGGCTGCATGGTGAGGGGGTAGAAATAAAAAAAACACTGACAAACTGGATGACGAGGCTCCTCCATGGGTTGCTAACTGGCCCATCCCACCCCACCCGTATTAGTCAAGCCAAAAGGGGGGGCTGGGTTGATGACCTGGGCTGGGTCGGGATTGGATGGGAACTATGGCAACTTTAGGCAGGAGGGTGCGCGTGCGGCGTGCGGCGTGCTGGGGACAGATCATGAAACTGAGCCGCGCGGCGACACGGGTTGTGATTGTGATTGATGATTTCCACTGAAGGGTTGGGATACCGGTGTTAATTAGGGCGTTCCATGATTGGGAACGGAGGGCGTCCTTGGGGCTTGAAGAGGTGGTTAACTTTACGGCAAGAGGTGGTTAGTCACCCTGCCTCGCCGTACACGTGCGTACGGCGCCCACGTCGTTTACGGTACCGTTATATAACCCGACAGGCATGCAACCCTCACGGCCCCCTGTCATTGAACACCCCTGCGTGCCCAGGTACGGTACGTGGTGTGCAAACACACACGCCAGCCCCGATACCACCCAGCAACTCATTTCAGCGACGGCAATCCGCCTAGTAACGGTAGCTAGCCGCAACCAGCCGCTTCCAATAGATTCCGCCCCACCACCTCCAGCTCGACCCTATGTGGACAAGTACACGTCTGCGTTCCTCCACAGCTGTCTTCCACTGCAGCTGCGCACTTCGGGATTGCCGTTCTCTGCCCATGCTCCACTTCCCCTGCCTGCTTCGTACATTCGTACATAAATTCATATCCAGCTCCTCCAGATGCTCCCTGCTCCCTTACTCCGCATCCTGCTTACACTGCCCCCACCTGCTGCCTCCACTCCACCCTCCCCTCCGCCCTGCCCTCCCATCCTACTTGTTCACTCCCCATGCCTAACTTCTCAACCCCCCAGCCAACTCCCCATATCCCCGCACCCCCTGCTGCTCGCACCCCTTACTCCTCCTCTTCCCGGCTCATCTCGTCGTCCCCTCGCACCAGCCGCACACGCGCCAGGTGGGCAAGAACCTGCGGACAGAGGGGGAAGACACCTTGAAGGTCCGCACGGGATGACAGGGTGCATCCGAAACCCAGCTCTTTCCACACCCCCAGCAACACACCGCCCATCGCCATTCCCCCTTCATCCCGGTGAAGCCTCGTCATACAGCTCGTCCGTTTCCTCTTGTAACCCATACACACACACGCCCGCTCGCCCGCCTGCCGCAGCCAACCATCCAGCCATTCCCATCCATTCCCCCACCTCCGCTGTCTCCCGGTGGTTGGCTCGGTAGGCCGCACACCGCGGCACTCGTCCGTGCAGGTCCGCAGCTGTCAGGTCCGCGCCCGCGGACACCAGATGGGCGCACAGGCGGGTGGAGCCGCATGCAGCGGCCACTGCCAGCGGCGTGCGACCCCTGGGTCGGTCGGTCGAGGGAGGGAGGGAGGTGGAGGCAAGGGGGGCGAGGGAGGGAGGGAGGGAGGGAGGTGAATGCTTAGAGTGTTAGCGCGGTATTAGGAACTGGGGTAACTCGTAGGGAATGTCGACGAGGGAACGAAGGAAGGAACGAAGGAAGGAAGGAAGAGGTCTGTCTAGATCCGGTCTGTCAAGCAGAACAGGTACAGCTGCCGTAGTTGGCTGTCGCGGGACAGCGACATTCCCGCTGTAGCGGGACAAAGCAGAGACGGCGACACCTTGTCCCGCACACGCACCCGCACACGCCTCACACTCCCACCTGCACCCGCACACGCCTCACACACTCCCACCTGCTGTCCCGTGGGTCGATCCGGCCGCCCTGCGCCAGTATCACATCCACCACCGCCGCACTGCCGCCCGCCACCGCGGCAAACATGGGGTTGAGCGGCCCCTCGGAAGCCGCCTCGGGGATACCTGCAGCAGCAGCAGGATGGGTAAAGGCGGTAAAGGTAAAGGCAATGGGGAGGAAGTAACGGCGACGAACGGATGGCGGCTCTGGAGCGATCTTGGAGGGCCGACACATACCGGTATACATGCTTGCATGAGCACACGCGTAGTACGCTCCTACTCGCGGCCAGTTTTCTCCTAATCACCCCCTCGTTAAAGCACGCCCTCACCCAGTCACCCACACGCACACGCACACGCACAGCTCTCACCCACTCCCTGCTTCATGAGCCAGCCCACCACCCCCGCATGCCCCGCCCGGCAGGCCAGCCGCAGCAGCTCCAGGGAGAGCGGCTGCTCCGCCGGGGACAGCGACAGACCCGCCTGGGTTAGCAGCTGGGGGAGGTGGCGGCAGAGGGGAGAAGAAAAGAAAAATTCCCATTGTGGAGGAGGGGGAGAAGGGAGAGGGAGGAGTAGCATGGGGAGGGGTGGTTCAGTGGAACAGGCGGAGCCCCCACGAGTGCGTGAGGACTGAGAAAAGCAAGCGCCCCGCAAACACCACCTCAACCCTCACTCACCTCAATCACCTCCACGGAGCCCCCCAGACACGCATGATGCAACGCGGTGTAGCCGCGGCCGTCCCGCGCATGCAGCGGATCCCCCGGCACCCGCTGCTGCTGCTGTTCCTGCTGCTGCTGCTGCTGCGCAGGAGGAGGAGCAGCAGCACCGCCACCGCCAGCACCGCCAGCTCCAGGAGCACCATCGGTACGTGTGTCTGGTGGGGGCTCGACCGAGGCAGGCTGCGAGTGGGGCTGTGTGGAGGACGGCGGTAGGGCGGCAGAAGGCGGCTGTGCGGGCGATGACGAAGAGGGAGTTGATGGGATACCTGTCGACCCGGGCGGAGGATTCGCCGCCGCCGCTACTGCACGTGCTGCTGTAGCTGTAGCGGTAGCTGGTGTTGTTGGGACCCCATGCGGCGACGTACCACCGGCACCACGACCCGCAGCAGCAGCAGCAGCACTCCCTCTCATGTCCGCTGACGCCAGCAGCGATAGCAGCAGCTGTACGGCCTGTACGGCACCTCCCGCCGCGGCGTACATGAGTGCCGTACGACCTAGCTTGTCTGCGCGTGTGGGCGAGAGGCGGTGCTCCCGAATGAGGTAGTTCATGACTTGGGTGTGGTCCTGGGTAAGGGAGCAGATGGGGGGTAAAGGTAAGGAAACTGACGAGGCAACTACCGAACTAGCCGTGTGACATGTAGGCTTCACCATGGAGGGAAGGGGGGGGACGGGTGGCGGGATGGGTGGTTTGGGAGCAAGGAGCAGTACAAGGTTCATGGTGGTGGCTGCGAGTGGGTGTGGGTGGTAGGGCGATATGCTTCGAACGGGTGTTGTTGTTGCTGCCGCTGTGGGCTGCCACTCAAGGGCTGCCACTCAAGGGCTGCCACTCAAGGGCTGCCACTCAAGGGCTGCCACTCAAGGGGTCACTCACATTGGCTGCCGCCATCATGAGGCAGTCGCGCCCCTCCGCATCCACCAGCCCCACCATCCCCGCGGCCTCCTCCTGCTCCTCCTCCTTTCCCTCCTCCTGGCCCTTATCCGCTACCGCCGCCGCCGCTGCCTCCAGCAGCGCTCTGAGGGTGTCTAGATGGCCTCCCCTCGCCGCCGCATGCACCGCCGCCTCCCCCGCCCGCCGGGTGGCCTGCCGCAGCAGGTGCAGTCGGCCCGCGTTGGCTCCCTGCTTGGAGCGCAGCAGCTGCAGACACACCTGGGGAGGACAAGGGCAAAAAGAGAAAGGGAGGGCAGGAAAGGAAAAGCCGCGGGCGGGTGATGAGGAGGAGGGTGAGAAAGGAAGCAGGCAGGAGGGTGAAAAGGGCGGGAACGGCTCCGAGGGCTGCTTGCCGCTGGTGTGCTCACTCTCAAGTCGTCAGCCCTCAGCTGCCCTCGCCTGCCCTGGCCCGCCCTAGCCTCCGCTTACCACACCACCTCCCTCCCTACCTGCGTGTGCCCCCGCGCGGCCGCCGCGATGAGGGGGGTGGCGCCCACTCGGTCCCCCTCGCACACGTCGCCGCCCTCCGCCAGCAGGAAATCCACGATGGGGGAGTCTGGCAGGGGGCGGGAGGCAAGGGGCGGGGGCGGGCGGGAGTGGGCGGGAGTGGTCCAATAATGGGGATACTAGGAAGACTTGGCTTACAAGAAAGACTCCATCATCGGTTTAGCGCAATTCACGCGAAAACCGAGAGAGGAAAGTTACTGTTTTATGCCGTACGACCTCCAACGTACCTCCAACCGCCGCGGCCAGCCCTAGGGGAGTGGCTCCAGCTGGCGTGTGCCGCTCCAGAAGCAGCGGGGTGCGCCGTACCAGCTGTCGTACGGTTGCGAGATCGCGCTGTACGGCATAGGGAAAGGACGGAGGAGGAGAGACACAGGAGAGACAAAGCGTCATACGCATGTGGTGTTGAGAGTTGCAAGGTTACGGAGAAGACGTGGAGGTGACATGGCAAGGGAGTATGCCGTACGGAATGAGTCACCGAGTCACCGTACCGGTGTGTTGTCAACATGCAAGGAGCGCAACAGGTGTAGAAGCTTTATAACCTCGAACCTCCCAGAAAATCGGTTTAGCCTCGTAAAGGCTCTTCATATGGGCTCTTCCCGCATGCACCCGAGCTTAATCGCTGCGCCCGACACTTAACCACCCCACACGGCCTCTCCAACCTTTTTCCCTTCGCAGAAAGTTAAGTAGGGAACCCCTATCACATAGCGATGTTTGACGCACCTGGATGATAGCAGCGAACAACTGTTTTTTCAGTTTCCGCGCCTCATGGCGAGCCAAAGCTTGCTCCTCAAGCTCTTGCGCCCGCTTTGCTTCTTCAACGGAAACCCGAAAGGCGCTTGTACGGCTGGCATGCCGATAGGTCCATTGCGCGGGCTCGGGCCACCTCGCGTTAGTTGCATAGAAATGGTCGGGCCAGTCTCGACCCACTACATAACTTGGCATCGTTGCCACTAACAAGTTATTGCAGTGAGTCCTTGTGTCGAGTATAGAGGGTGCACCCTACGCACAGTGATAGGGCATGTCCGACGCATGCAAGTCGCTCGCTTAACTTGATTGAAGTTCTTAATAAGGACAGCATAAAGCGTTATGAATACATTACCAGATTTACACTATTTAATGCAAGCTCGCCGTCTAAGGGCATCCCCCATTCATAATACCATGTACGACCATATGGAGCGCAAGCTGCAGACCTTTGCGGGCAAAACAAGAAATCGAGCACCCCAAACGAAGGAAATCAGTTATGCGATAAACACATGGCGTAAGCCTTGGCTGAGCGAAACTTGCCTTGCCTATCCTCATCATAGCCTGAAAAAACAAACATGCAGCGGCTTACATGTACTATACTACCTAAACTTGGATCGATTAGCAGGAATACAGGCAAGGCGACCAGTCTTGAGCTAGGAGCACGTGCTTTTTGCAGCAGCAACATCAGCGGCAGCGGCACAGCAGCGCCCTCGCCCGATGACAGTTACGATGTGGCCATCGTCGGAGGCGGCATGGTGGGCGCGGCCGTAGCGGCGCTGCTGGGTGAGCAGCGACCGCGACTCCATTCCATCCCTGCCAATGTTTACGCTCTGCCGCTGCGTATGATAAGCCCGGAGAACGTTCCAGTCCCTCTCCCTACACCACACCGTATTCTCTATGCAACAGTCTCGCGAAGACAGTATTAGCACCTACATCAGCATCCCACCTCAACCCAACACGCCGTGACGACATTCCCCCCGACGGCTCCTTTTCGCCTCTGCACTGACTGCCCCCTCTCTTCCCTCTCCTCCTGCCTCTTGCCCCCACTTCCCCTCCCTCCCCCCCTCTCTCAGGCGCCAGCCGCCTGACCCAGCAGCTGCGTGTGGCCGTGTTGGACGTCAAGGTGCCGTACGGGGGGTCTGAGAGGGGCGGGGGCTTGGAGGGGCTGGGAGTAAGGGGCTGGGGGATCAGGGGGCGGTGGCGCTGTGTGTGATGAGCGCATGTAGGGGGGATCAACAATGCCCTCCTCTTTCTCTCCGCGCTACCAACCACGCCCCCCCCCCGCCTCAGGCCCTCCTTACCCTCCCTCCCTCCCTCCTGCGCCTCCCTCTCCCCCGCCCGCGTCTCCGCAGCCCCAGTCCAGCTCCTACACCCCCCGCCCCGTCCCCGACCTGCGTGTCAGCACCATCACGCCCGGCAGCATCCGCGTGCTGCAGCAGGCGGGCGCCTGGGAGGCGGTGGAGGCGGGCAGCGCGCCCTTCACCAACATGCAGGTGAGGCAGAGGGGGAAGGGGACTACAGGGGTACCGGTATAGTTTATGAGAATGAGGATTTACATATATACATGTAAACATGTAAACATTACCGGTACACCTGTATACGACTACACGGGTACCGGTAATGGTTATGGGGTTACTTGCATCCTCCCTGCCCGGCCCCTGCATGCTCCCTTCCTGCCCCTGCCCCCCCTGCCCACCTCCTGCCGAATCCCCACCTCCTGCCCGCCTCCGCCCCCGCCCCCCCCGCCCCCCATGCAGGTGTGGGACTCCGCCAGCTCGGGTCACATCCGGTGGGACGCGCGGGAGGCGGGGGCGACCCAAATGGGGGTGGTGGCGGAGAACGTGCTGCTGCAGGTGGGTGTGGGCTGCGGGGGTAAATAGGGATAGGTATTCCGCATTAGGCTGGGGATGGGGGGTATGGGGAGGAGCAGGAGGGTGTGTGTGTGGGTAAAATCGTGTAAAAGAGGAAACGGACGAGCTGTACGACAAGGCTGTATGGCATGTAGGTTTGACTGTAGGAGTGTGCCTGACGGTCGGTATGGCACTGACCTCCTTCCCCTCCCCCTCCTTGTGGTTGGCTATTCCTCCTTCCCCGCCTCCCCCCGCCGGCCCCCAGTCTGCGCTGTTGGCCGCTGCCGAGCGCTCCGGCGGGCGTATCGAGTTCATGTGGCCGGCGGAGGTGCGCGCGCTGAGGCTGCCGGCTGCCGGGGGGGCGGCAGGAGGAGCAGGGACAGGAGCAGGAGGAGCAGGGACAGGAGCAGGAGCAGGAGGACGCCCGCATGGCTTGGCGGAGGTGAGGGCTGAGATGGGGGGGCTGGGGTAGTGCTGCATGGGAGGTGTGGGTGACGGTAGTATGGTCGTACACGATTGTCGTACTTTATAATCTGGTCCGATACCAGTTTGGTCCGGATGCAACCGTGTGTCATGACGGGTTAACGACCAACCGTTACCGTTACCGCAGTTGGAGCTGGCCGACGGCCGCGTGCTGACGTGTCGTCTGGTGGTTGCGGCGGACGGCGCCGCCAGCAAAGTACGGCAGATGGCGGGACTGCGCACGTGGGGCTGGTCGTACGGCCAACGCGGGGTGGTTGCAACCGTCACGACGGCAGGTAATGTGTCGTACGGCAGGTGGTGTGTTATAACCGTATACACACGTTCCTTTGCTTTCACTGTTTTGTACTGCTGCTTGGATGTACGATATCCTATATGCACGCCGCTATAGCCTTCTTATCCTTCTTCGGCTTCTTATCCTTCGCCGTTTGCCGTCGCTAAACCCTGCCACCCGCCACATCTTCCCACACCCTCAGCCCCCACACGCTTCTTGCGGCAAGCACACCCTCATCTCAATCACCACATACCACAACACCCTCTTTCACCTTTTTCAACTCGCGGACAGTTCCCCCGGCACAACCCTCATGACGCCTCCTTCCCCCCTGCGCCACCCCCCTTCCAGCGCCCACGGTTGCAACCCTTATCAAATCGTTCGCCAGCTGCTTCCTGTCCGCACCACCACCCCTCCTGGACCCCCTCCTGCCCCCCCCCCCTCAGAGCCCTCCTCCACCGCCTGGCAGCGCTTCCTGCCCACGGGCCCCCTGGCGCTGCTGCCGCTGCGGGACGGCTTCAGCAGCATCGTGTGGAGCAGTCCGCCGCAGCTGGCGCAGGAGCTGGAGCAGCTGGGACCGCGGGAGTTTGCGGCGGCGATCAACAAGGTGGGCGGAAGGGGTGGTAGATGGTGGAAGTGGTCGGGGTGGTAGAGGCGGTAGAGGCGGTAGTGGTAGGGATGGATGTGCCTGCATTTTTGGGGTTGTTTATGCCGGTAATTGGCAGTACTCACATACAGCACATGAGTGCCAGTAGCGTACAGGAATGGTGGTAAGGGACGCAGGAAGACCCATGGCTCAGCTGCACTTGGCTGCCGCTGCTCCCCACCGCTTGGCTGTACTCCTACCCCGCAACCCTCTATTTCCCATCACCCCCACACCTCCTCCTCTCCCAACCCCCCCACACCACCTCCTCCGTCCTCCCGTAGGCCCTGCGCGACCCCCCCAGCTCCGCCCTGCCCGGCTCCTCCTTCTCCTCCTCCGCCTCCTCTCTTCTCGGCCCGCTGGGCTCCCTCGCTGCTTCCCTGGGGGCAGCTGCGGGCGGCAGCGGCCCCGGCAGCAGCGCCTTCCAGCAGCCCCCGCTGGTGGTGGAGTGGGCGGGTGGCCGACCCCGGTCCTTCCCGCTGCAACTCAAGCAGGCCGGCAGGTGCGGCGGCGGGTGTCGGTTGGGTCGGGTGTGTGTTGTGTTGAGAAACTGGCCGTGAGTAGGAACGTGCTGGATTGTCGAAAACTTGTTATGTCCCCATGGTGTCGGCTGTGTTAAGAAAACTGTTCGGCTGTGTGTGTGGTGGGTGTGGGTGCTTGGCCCACCCAACTGAGCCGCCCAGGGGTGACGCACTCTGGCCTCTGGGTGTGGTGTGTGGCACCACCGCAGCAGACTACGGTAGTGTTCTGTGTGGGCGTTGCGTGTTGCGAAACTCCCCCACTCCCCCCACCTGCACCTCCCCTACTCCTCCCACCTGCACCTCTCCTACTCCCCCCACCTGCACCTCCCCTACTCCCCCCACCTGCACCCTACCTCCCACCTGCACCCTACCCCCCACCTGTGCAGGTTCGTGCTGCCCCGTCTGGCGCTGGTGGGGGATGCCGCCCACGCGGTACATCCGCTGGCAGGCCAGGGGGTAAACCTGGGTTTTGGAGACGCGCGTGTGCTTGCGGAGGCGCTTCGAAGCGCAGTTGAGGCGGGGAGCGACCCGGGGGACTACCGCATGCTGTGCGACAGCTACGAGGCACCGAGGCGGCGGTCGGTGTTGGCCATGACGGCCGCGATGGACGGCGTGAAGCGCGCGTTCGAGGCAAGTAGTGGGGATATAGTGGTTGTGTGTCAGTACCCATATCGCCGCGGGAAAAATAGGCGTTGGACATATGACAGTTGCATGACGCTTGCAAACGTTCCTTCTTGCCTTTTTGCCTGTCGTATGATACCTTCTCATTGAAGGTATCATGGTGCTCCCTGCTAAGGTGTGTGCCGCTTTCGTTCGTGTTGCTGTTGTGTACTCTCTGTCGTGCGCAGGTGCAGGCGGCGCCTTTCGCCGCGTTACGGGGTCTGGGGCTGGGGCTGATCAACTCCGTGGGCCCTGTGCGGAACGGCATCATGCAGTATGCCATGATGGGCCAGTCGTGAGCGTCGTACGGCAGGCAGTTGGGCCGGGGGTCAAGGAAGAAAGGGAGTGTGACTGCCCTGACTGGTATTGCGTTTAGTTGAGACACTTTTGAGGTGCTGTATAGTAGTTACGCTCAGTATTGTTTGAGGTTGTGGGTAACGAACCCCAGGGAATTGCGTCCAAGAGGGGATCGAGGGAACACCAATGTATAGGTGGCCGTCTGTTTGGGCTAGAGCTGGGTAGGGATGCTTGCACTGCTTGGTACAGGAAGCGAGATCGGCGCTTCCCCACTTGGCTTTCATGAGCTCTGTTACATTGCGACAGCAGCTGGCAGGCAAGCAGATATGGGAGGCGTGGTAGTGGCAGTTGATGAGGCGCTTTCCAGGAACTACATGACCGTCTGTTGTGCCCTTGGTTTCGGTTAGTGAGCGGGTATGGATTGTTCCCAGGACTCACATACGCCCTCTTCTCACATGTACATAGTGTATTGCAATACCGGTACCCAAAAGGGACAACGCTGAGCAACCTGAAACGCAGATCAGACGACGACGCAGATCAGAGACGGTTCATGCCAAGCGTTTACAAGTTTACAAAAGGATACGCACGGTTTTAGCCACCCACACCAGCAGAGTCCTGCAATTGATGCCGCCTGCACTTGCACCACAATGTCTCATGGCGGGCCCCATGCCATCTTCTACATTGATTGCATGTGCCTCACATAGCCATGGCCCCAAACCCCCACACAGTTAGTTGTTTCCTCTTTGCCCCACACGCACGCATTGGGCCACGCCTGTCCCTGTGATACCACACAAAGCAACGGCCACAGCGGCAAACATTATTATACCCGACACAGATGTCGTAACTTCTTGAATCGACCGCCGAGGCGGATGACGAGGAGCAAGGCTGTAGCCATTCGTTGCAGCATAATGCTGGCAGTGTAACCCTACGGCATTCCCACCCACCCCCATCAACACATGAGGGACCCCATCACCTACTTGCGCAATATTAAGAGCCTAGTAACGTAAAAGTAAGGGCCTAGAAATATCAGGAATGGGCTACGAGGCCCACGAGAAACAACCGCCCAGCAGCACAGGAAGGACCACTGATTCCTATTTTTGACAAAAGCATATGCACGAAAGCATACGCAGAGGTGCTGTCGTCGCCTCGCACATCCTTCGCGCACGGCTTCCTGAAGACCTTCAGAGCAGAGATCCATCCACGGGGCAAACAACCGCCTCTTACACCTAGACTCAACCAAGGAAACCCCCATCACCCAGGTAAAGCAACCTTCCAACCACAAGCCTTTCAAGCCCCCGTCCGCTCCCCTGCAAAATCCTACCCAACGCTGTCTTCCTTATAAACCCCATGTTTGTTGGTGCAATACACACACACGTCCAGTTTTCTCCACACACATGTCCTCATGCATGCGGCTGTGAACTTAGCCCTTGAGCCGGTTGTGGTGTAGCCGCCTGGTTAAGCTGGCCAACACATCATGCTGAGCACGTCGTGCTGTCGCGTGCTGCGAGTACGCTTACAAGGCGCGTGCGACATTGACGGCGATGTTGCTGATGTCCAGACATATATTGCACGCATTCCAGGGGAAGGTGTGGATTTTGATCGGGAACATGAGCAACATCGCCAATCTATGTCGCACTTCCATCGCCAGCCTAGCTCATGGTCACAACATGTTGCAAACGTATAAAGAAGTAGCCACGGACTAGATATTGCATCGCTGGCAGCGCCAAAGCCCGTGGGCGGCTGGGATGAGGTTGTACGACGCTTGATCGCCCGACACCTGATCATTCCAGCGGCTATCCAACAGGCTAGTTAACTTTATTTCCTTATCACTTGTATTCCTTCTATGTAGCGTATCTATGCACCATAGGGCAATCCCGCGCGCAGCGACGATGGAGGATGGAGTCGCTTAGCGCTTCGCCGACGGGCTTAAAAGCTTGAGCGGCAGCTGGGGCGATATGGTGGATATGCACTGGCTTCATACCAGGTATATCCTGTTGAAGGCGTATGTTGTCTATTCATCATCCTAATGACTGTTCTGTGATCCATTGTCGTGCAAGTTGCGGCCTTCCTTGCAGCAGAGGCGTCTAACACGGTGCTATGGGTCATGGACACCAACCGCACCACCACTTGCTAGCTGCCGCGTCGCGTCCGCCCTGGGACGCGCGAAGCGCATTTGCGTCGTCCAAAGCTGCAAGCGAGTCGCGCCTTTCGTAGACTAGTGTTGCTGTGCTCCTTTAATGGACTTATTTGCAATGCACTGACCTTTACTCTTTTTTACGTTTGCAGGCGTATTCACCGCTTCGCGTGGTATTGTCGGCGTTGCATTGAATGTGTGCATGCATCTTGCAAATGCCAGCCAGCTTTCCACGTCGACGCCCTCTGATTTAGTTTCCAAGCTACCGTGCCACATACTTAATTCGCCAGCGGATGTGATCCGTCTGTCTTACAGCAGAGTAGCGTGGCAGCCTACCTGAGCTTGCATTTCGGCAGTGTTACATACATATTTACTGCGCATGTGCAAGGACTGCGGTTCAGCTGCAACTGATTAGAAGGCCAGCTATACGAGCAGCTCGTGTATACATGGTTAAAAACACTTGTGTGTCTGCAGCAGTAATCGTACATTGATGTTCATTAGCCTGTCACTTCAGCTCAGGCACTGCTGCCTGCCGCATTACCGCCTTTGATACAATGGACAAACGTAGAAAAAGTCCCATTCCTCGCAGTATGACAGTATTTGGTGTAACTGCGCATGTGCAATTAAGACGAAGCAGCTGCATCTTAATAGGCGCTCAGCTATACAAACAGCTCAAACGCTACATAGCAATCTTAGCTGCGCAGTGTGCCTAGAACAGCAGAAACTGGACACAGACTGTTTCATCACTGCAGTTGATACAGTGTGTATACGCTGGTAGATGTAGGATTTGACCCGTTGTCACCCTCCAGACAGTTGGAGGTTTTTTGCTGCACCGCTAGTAGCCCAACATATGCACTTAATGTGCACGCGGGGGAACAGGAGGAAGCAACGCAGGGGGAGGGGGGTAAAAGGGGGGACAGGGAGTCCTCTCCCCCCTCAGGGTGATGCGTGCCGCAAATGCTTGGGAGAGGGGGAGTCCCTCCCGCTCAGGCGATATTCATGCACCAAAAAGGAACACCAAAAGAAACAAGGCTACGACGCTCTGGTGGTGCACATGGCGCCTGCATGTGTAGCAATGGATGTCTTGACGCCCGCAACATCAACATCAATGTCGCACTGATGCACTGTCGGCCCCATCTGCGCATTGTCGTCAATCTTAACACCATTGGATAGGGAATTTGAAAACCTACCTCATGGTATTAAATTTTCATACGCAGGCTGCGCCAAAAGCCCAAACGTCTATGCTTTCTGCCGTCCAACTAGATCATTCACCATAACCGGCTAACAAGGGCTGCCTCATGCTCACTTCCATTCGGCCGCCCTCCTTCACGTGTCCCTGCGGTACGCTTTGCTCAGCTCGCAAAAGATGTGATGACAAACGGCGTCCAACACAGCACCGCAAAGCACAAATGCATATCTAGGAACTGAACAGAGATGCCCCCCCCAAAAGCCACCACCTGTCTTCCAGGGCGGGCAAAGTGCTCCAAGACTGGCTGGCTGAAGGCCCCGAGCGATCCGGCAAACAGCCTACCCCGAAGCACGCTTCCTAGGGAAACTTTCCAGATTGTATGCACAACATCCCGACGCCCGATGCTGTTACTGCCGCCATCGCACCGGAAGCTACTAAACAGCAGCAGCAAAGGACAGAGCCCTAGACCAGTGGAACCACCCACGGGGAGGCAACATAAAGACCACTACAAGGGCGGCGCTGCTACCCGGATAGCACCGCAAACATGCCGCAAGGGATTTCCAAACGCAGCTGTCCTTGAACACCTCAAAACCAATGACCAAACGCATAATAACAGTAAAGCTTCTCCAAAGGGTGGCATGTTACATGAGGACACACATGGCAGCAAGCAGCAAGCGGTTCAGCCAACGAGGGGCACCCGCCCCTTTTTGCCTGTCACAATGTAGCCCTCGCCGAAAGCCACGTTTCCTTTCTTGTGCAACACACTGCTCGGTCCTCTTCACGCAGTTCACACCCATGCATGCGCCGAGAGCATCTGAGGCCGCTACAGACCAACCAAGCAGGAGCTGATCTGGGTCAGGCTTCAGGTTTCATCCCCTAGTTATGTAGGTTCCCATCATAACCCACCTCCCGAGGCACTTCCAGTGCCAGAACCGCCCCCAGAGCCAGTCCGCCCCCACCCATACGCTCGCGGCGTCAACTCCCGCACCACACCGCCCGCCCCGGATGCTGTCACCACCGTGATCTTCTCCAACCCCGACCCACCGGGAACCCCCACACCCCCACCAACCCCCAGCCCTGCAGACCCCTGCGGCAGCAGCAACGGCTGCGCCTCACCTCCTCCGACGCCTCCGCCCTCGCCGCCGCCGCTCCCAAGCATCCCATGCGCATGCGTGCGGGTGTGCGAATGCGAGTGTGCATGGCCATGCGATGAGGGCGCGGACTTGGCAAACACAAAGAGGAAACCCGCCACGAGACCCAAGGCGATCGATATCAGATTGCTGCCGCTAGCGGGCTCCGCAAAATACCACATGCCCACAACCGCCACAACCACCTTGTTCATTGACCCCGTGAGGCTGTAGATGGTGGCCGAGGTGCGACTCATGCACCAGATGCTGGCAAACGACACACCAAAGCCCAACAACGAACCCATGAGCACGACTATGATGAACTGCGGGTTGCCCGTGTAGGGATAGTCCCGCAACCGCGCCGGCTCGCCGAATAACAGCGACAGCAACACGAGCGGTGGCACCGAAAGCGCGTTATTGTAGTACACCATGCTGAGCTCGTTAAGGCGTCTCCGTCCGCCGCCCCCGCCGCCCCCGCCGGGGCCGCTGCTGCTGCTATGGTCTGCATGGGCATGGGCATGTCCATGCTTGTGCGAAGGACCTAGGCCGCTAACGGCGCCTCCGCTGCCGCTGCTTCCGAGCAGCGCCCCGCTGCCACCGCCGCCGCCCGGCTGTGAGCCGCCGGAGCCCGGGCCGCTAGGTACAGTGCTGGCGGCGGATCGTACGACAGACGAGAGGTGCAGGCTGTAGGCAGCGGTGAAGCAGCAGTTGACCAACTGCCAGGCGTAGCCCTTGGGCGAGAAGGAGAGGTCCGTCCAACCGCCCATGACTGCGGAGATGATCATAAGGCCCAAGCAAGCCCACACCTGCGGCATGAATGGAGAGGTGCATGAGGGGTGAGCGCCGTGTGGTGCAAGGGGCAAGCCAGGTGAGGCTTGCGGTCTGGATACCCGTAGCAGGGGAGCATTGCGCTTGCCATGCTTCCGGCCGTTTACTGGGACAGCCCATCTCCAATTCATTGACCGTCTACAGGCAGGTTTTGCGCGCCCCTCTCCGTCCCGTCCTCTACAGACCCAGATCCACAAGCAGTCACGCTGGCAATACGACAACCACGTTGGGCACGACACTCTATGGCCACATGTTCTTCAACCTCTGTCACGGGCGCCTCTTACCTGCCACGAGTAGGTTTTGTCGAAGAAGTACCAGTCTCCCAGGATAGTAATCAGGTTGGAGAGGTTCTTTAGCACCGTGAACATGCCCGCAGACACGGACATGAGGGCGTAGAAGCCTGCGGGGTGGGGGGGAGGGCGCGGCACAGGGAATGCCAGGTATAGGAGGACGAGGTGCATTGCAGAGCCTGTCATGTCCACCGCGTGCGGGTTTCATGGGCGAGACCTGAGACACACACGAACGTCTGCAAGGCAAGCTGTTTCTCAGAGAACAACGATTGCCACAAGTCAAGCACCTGCTGTTCACATGTCCGCGGTCATCTCCTGGTAGGAGAAACACGGCTTATGCACAGTTACGTGCCCGACCCAGGGTTCCCTACCTGTCGCGTTCATAAGCACAAACACGATGTTGACTGGAACCCATAGCTTCACGATGTCCCATCGTAGAGGTTCAAGATGCAGGATGCCAACAAAGTGGAGCACTTTTAGGAGGGCTACGGCGATCCCAAACTGGATGGTGAGCAGCACGTTGGGAGCCGGAAATTTATACGTTGATAGCGCATGCTTGTTGAACAGGATTGTTCCAGCTGAGACTAGGCAGTAGACAGCCTCCGCTGCAAGTGCTGATGATAAAGGCGAACCCGAGTCGCCCCACGGTAGAGCGCCAGGGGCAGAATTCCTTCCTTGGCTTGCTACCATGCCGCTACTACACTTCACGTAAAGGCTGTAATGCTCAAGCTGCCCACCGCCCCGAGCCTCATGCCCGCCACCGAGAAGCTCTCTCGGGCCACTTGCTTGGTTCCAAGAATTTGCTTCTGATGCCTCTTTGTAAGTTACCAATTTTATAGGTGAAGATGGTTTCCCCCGTTGCGCTGGCGGCATCTCATTTCCGATGGACCGGTTTGAGTATCATTCCCTCGTCTCAATATTAAGCGAAGTTGAAAGCCCGTCAACTAACAAGTCATCATATCATGATCGCAGACGCGTTTGGAAGGCTAGGAAAGTGCAGCAGAGCCTGTGGGGTTGCCCGTTTTGCTTCAGACGTTGATACCTTTTTGTGAATATTCTCGTCCTTGCAAGAAAATACAGTCATCGGTTGCAATGCATTTCCAACTGAAACCTGTAACCTTATGATCGCCGCTAAATCCATGGGCCTGCTCGTAAAGCACGACAGGGCATAATGCAAGGTTGTGTCCTCCTTCCATGAAACCCCGCTTTGTCGCAGTTTAGGTAACAACAGTACCGGTAAGAAAGCAAAAACATGCAAGCAGCGCAAGGGATCGACCTCTTTTCCCAGGTCGCTGGTGTCGGCTGCTCGGGCGGTTTGACGCTTGTGAAAGGTTCGCTGGAGCTGTCAGGTCTATTCCTTGTTCAGCAATACCTCCGAATACTCCTACAGAACGGATACGCGGTGAGGATAGCCTATTCCTGTCGGTTATTTCTCCTATTACGAACTGTGACCTTGTGCGGCCAAGCCCGCATGCCAAGGTTCACCCCATGTCTCCCCTTACAGAACAGCTTCCTTCCCCGAAAACGGCAACACTCGCAACAGCCATTTGGTTCCTTGTCGTTGCATTGGTCCCTGTGCCGTACTGCGTCAGTTGAGAAAGATGTGGCCTGTGACCCGGATTCCCGTTCCTGCCTGGGCCTGCCTTTGCCTTGGCTAGGTAATACTGGTGACAGCGGAGCAATCCCTGGAGCGGTACAAGTATGTGACCAAGAAAATGGTAAGACCCCGCAACCCCGGCTAAAATCTGAACGAGCAGGTGCTAGGGTCCGTTTTCTGTCCCCTGCAATGTCCTTCCCCTTGCCAGGCTGGCCCAACCAACAACCGTTATTGACCAACTGTCGCACAGGGCATTAATCTGCCATCGTACCAACAGTCAGGCCATCTAATCTGCGTGGAAGCTCCTATCGCCACTCCCGGGGACAGCGGCCACGGTTCGTTGCGCCACATCTTCACTGCTGTACAGCACGCTGTACGGCAACGACCCGTACAAGCATTGGGACTTGCCGTACTCTTCGACTCCTTGACGGTACGATAGAGGCTTCATTCGTCCTGTTTGTACGCGACAAACAAGCTACACACATCGCCTGTCACGATGTCGTGAGCTAGCAGCTCGGTCTTCACGCAACATCGCACATCACCCTGCGCATCGCACTGCCCTGCCGCAGCTGTAAATCCTGCTGCGGCAGCAATGTTGAAGACACTACCCCATGCCTCTTTGTCCCACCACACCACCAACCCGCCGTGTTCCTCTGCTTCCAGGTCCTGGCGAGCTTGTGTCCATCACCCGAGGACTGGACAGGCTTCCTGCACTACTGCTGCGGGACCGGGGGCGCTTTTGCGGCGTCCTCACAGGCAACAACGGAGGAGCAGCAGCAGCAGCAGCCGGCTGAGCAGCGACCACAGGTGGGAACGGTGACGGGGACTGCAGTTACAGATGCAGTCTGTACGCGTGTACAGTGTGTCCGTACGAGCCCGTGTGCCGTACATGTGGCACAACTGTACTAAGGAAAGAGCGTGCGCGTATGCTTGCTTTGCTTGTGCGGCTTGTACGCGAAAATGTCCTGACGACAACTAAACTGAAGCTTCCATAACGCGCCGACGTCACTGTTTGTCTTGCCTGCTCGTGCCGTACAGGTACCGTATTGCGTTATAGCTGGAGTGTACGACGACGTACCTGACGATAGGGCCTGGCTAACGTCGCTTGAGCACCGAGCGGATGTGAGTACGACAGAACCGCGGGTCGGCCGTTACAAGAGCGGTGAATTGTCGCGTTGATGTGAAGGGCACGCGCTGGGGTTTTGCACCTCATTATTATATTTGTTTGTCTTGTCAGGTGGGCCTACGCCAGCCCCAAAGCCCCTTAACGGCAATCTATTACCGTGCCAGCAGCTCCTAGCCTCTCAATTAGGAAAAGGTATTGTGCAGCAATGCCGTACAGTTGTTGGGTTGGGTCCTAAACATGCCCTCGAGTCGTACGCCGTATACGGCCAGGTGCCGTACAAATAACCAGGTGCCGTAACGTGTCGTACTTGCGACCATGCTGCCGTACACAGGTGGTTGTTTCCGTGGAGCCGCTGCCTGGGCGCATCGCCGATGTAGATGGCGTGGTAGGAACCGTGCTGCAGATCGCGCTGTCCAGATTCGCTGAGCCTGCCTTTTCTTCTTCAGTTCTCATGCCTCGTGTCTTTAACCGGTCCCCCGGAAGGCTGCCAGTGGGAATTTGGCGAGAACGCGGCTACGGCCCTGCGCAAGTGGTAGCGGACTTGCATGCACCCTCCCTCACCCTTGCCGCTGCCTGGTCTCTTTCGTGGAAAGCCAACAACACGCCTTTGCTACCCTTTCTCACCGCTGCTTGCTGCGTGCATGCTTGTCTTGCAACTGCGCCACCCGGCTCTGCATGATCTCACCACCACCACCACCGCCACCACCACCGCCGTTGCAACTGTCCCCCATGGCAACCCAGGTCACGGTCACGCGACGAGCCGTGCCCCAGCCCGCGGCAACCCCGCAGCAGCTGCCGGCCCCCAGCGGCCAGGCAACCCCAAGCGGGGGCAGCGCCCCTGGCTGCGCCCCGCTGCGGCAGTCGCTGTACTTCCGGGCTGGTGAGCTGGCGATCAAGTGGATGCAGCATGTGACAGCACGGGAGCTGCTGTAGCCAAAGGCCGCAAGGAAGGATGCAAGGCGTGGTGCCATGTGTAGTTGAGTAAGACAAGAGCAAGGTTCGCATGTGAACCGCGAGTACAGGCAAACCTGAACCGTAATACAAAACCTGCTTAAATAGCTGGATGTAAGAAGAGTGGCGGGTGACGACGCATGTCGATGATGCTGATGGTGTAACTAAAATACTACCTAGTTGTGGTGCCATGTGTGTGCATGTATCATGCATGGGATGAAAGACACTTTGACTGCATGGGTTGTATTGACACGTTGACAGCAGGGGGAGGGGCATGCGGTGGGCGGTGGGGTTGGGTTGGGTGGGGCCAAGCAGCTGCTGGGAGGGGATAGCGCGCAACGTGTGATGTTGCATGTAAGGGTGTGGTAGCTGAGAAGCGCATGGGATGGGTAGACTGGGATGGCATTGCTCGCCCCGTCCGCCAGGATGTAGGATTGATGCTGCTCGTGGGTGCTTGTGACATAGCACACCCCTCGCATGGACGGATGACTTCACGGTGGGCATGGGGAGCGTTGCAAACGTACGGCACACACGATAACTGCCGTACCATGCATGGGGCAATGCAGGGCAGGCGTGCCAGTGCTCTCTGGGTTTCCGGCAGACGATGGATTGGGAACGGCGCCTCACAGGTTGCGTGGCCTGCTAGTCCCCCGTAGGACGGTACAGCGCACATGGGAAGGGGAGGGACAGGGAGGAGATGGTATTTCCTCCATCCATGGAGGAGGTGGTGCATCCAGTGCAAGTGGATGCGCGCGTGTGTTGGTTTGTTACACCCGTCGCCCTTGGCCGTTGGTTTCCATGTAGAGGTTCTTTTGCCGTACACAGTCAGCACGGCATGGCACGGCCCAAAAACCCAAAAGCACCCGCAACAAGCCTCACCCTGCCTACCCCTGCCAGCGTACAAGAACAGGGCAACGGGCTACCGGTATGAAGGGACAGCGCAAGCCACCCGAGCCCTCACAATGAAAAGCACAGGCAGCTACGTGCAACGGCGCTATCTCCGGAGTTGCTAAGCCAAGCCCTTAGACGCATACACTGTTGAAAGCCGATTAGAACCTTCCTGCCACCGTATACCTTTTGTTACAACAACCACCTCTGTCGTGTACAGGAATGCACGAGGTTTTCGCACTTTTCAGCCTTTCTTTACACACATGGCACACAGTTCCGTTTAATTTCCGTACAGTTGCGGTCCAACATGCGGCGACACAATCACACAAAACAACGACATGCTCCAAAGCAAAGTAAGTACAAAGCGTATGTACACACAAATACATGCATGCGCCAGGTATCCATAGATAACCCTCGCACGCCCACAACCGTGGCCGCTGTTTTCCTTCCCAACCAAGCGAGACCTGCAGCATCAGCTGCTTGTCGCAGCAACCGCCTGCAACCGCCGCCTCCCTGCCCCTTTTCTCCACCTGCTGCCTCTGCTGCTGCTGCCTCCACTTGCATTGCAATGTCGCTGCCACCTTGAACCTTGAACTTCAGCTGCTTACAACATGCGGTTGCCACCTTAGAACTTAAACTTCTTAAAGCCCTTGTGTTTGCCATGCTTTCCGTAATGACCGTAGTGGCCCGGATAGCCGTAGTGGTGGCCCTTGTGGCCCTTGTACTTGTGCCCCTTGTGCTTGTAGTGCCCATACCCATGCGCCCCGTAGCCGTGCGGCACGCCGTGAACCGCCACCGGCAGCACCGCCACGCCGGGAGGCGGGAGGTGGCCGTGCGGGGGCGGGTAGGGAGCGGGCGGGTAGCCGGCTGCGGAGGGAAAAGGCCCAAAAGGGCGGAAGTGATGGGGAGAGGGATACCGGTAGGAAGGGCGCGAGGTATGGCACATGCGCGAGCATGGCAGTTAGGGGCGCAGTTAGGGGATGCAGCACCGCTTGTTGGGTAGGGAAAGAGACAGCATGCGGCGGGAACAGCCCGTGTGTGCGGGTACCCTCCAACCATGGGAGAGGACCCCGTAGCAAGGTAAGGCATGCACTGAGGAACGGAACCCTCCTGCTTTGGCCTCCTTCCTTCCTGCCTTCTTCGCAGCGTACGGAGAGGACAGAAGATGCATCATCCCACCAGCGTCAAAACCAAGTACAGCAAAACACAACACCAAGCGTTCAATCGCACAGGGAGCGAATGCACTGTCGTACACTGATCCGGGAGGACCGCGACCCACCTGGGGGGTAGCCGTGGGGTGGGTAGGCGCCGTGTGGGGGCGGGTAGGCGCCAGGAGCGGGGGGCGGGTAGCCGGGGTAGGCTCCAGGGGCGGGGGGCGGGTAGCCTGGGGGGGGGGGGGCAGGAAGGAGGCGGGTAGGAGGCAGGCGCATGGGCGGACGGGGTTAGCAGTTATGGGAGCATCAGGGGGGTAAAAAATTGCGGTGGCGGTGGCAGGGCGCGTTATTGAGATGGTGAGTAACAGTCAGGAGGCGAGACGGGAAACGAAAAACATGCGAATATGGCGTGGTAGGGTTTCCTATGGACTCGGCGGCGCGGCAATGGGAAGGAAGAACAAGTGGGGAGGGTCAAAATTAGTAGTGGTGCGGGATGCGAAATACGACAAGGCATGGGGCGCATGGGGACAGGAATGGGCGTAAGAGTACAAGACGGGTGACAGTGGGTGTGACAGGAAGACAGGGATGGCATCAGGGGGGTGGGGAGTCACCGTGCTTCGTCGGTAGCCAAGGTGGTGAGGTAAGGGCGTGTGTGTGGATAATGTGGAGCGTGAAGGGCAAGATTAGCCTAGGGTGGTGCTAGGGAAAGGGAGGCCTGTCATGTGAAGCCGCGGGAGCGACTAGAGGGGCGTTACGGCGTGCTGGCAGAGGCCTAGACCCAGGCCGGACCCAGACGCGGGCAGAGGCTCGGACCAATGCACAGACCAGACCCGGGCAGAGACCCAGGGGGCAGCAGGCGAACCACACCTGGTGGCGGGTAGCCGGGTGCCGATCCCGGCTGGGGCGGGTAGCCAGGCTGCGGCGGATAGCCGGGCTGCGGCGGATAGGCTGCGGGCAGCGCCACAGAAGGATGGGAAAGGTTAGATGTTAGGTTAGGTAAGGCAAACGCGCCGTTCGGTGCTGCAGACAGTGGCTTAATGAAACGTACCGTATCCAGCAGGAGGAGGGTAGCCAGGCGGCGGGTAGCCTGCAAGCAAGGAAGGTATTGTTAGCCTAAGGCGCTTAGCATTGCAATACAGGTGTCTCGAAAAAATCGTCGGCATGATCCGGAAAGACAATGCCAGTCACAGCATTGGTCTCAACTGCCGCGAAGGACAGGGATCGTTATAGGTACACATCAAACGACGCTTCGCGCTGTTGCAACAGTGATACCAGGTTGCCTCCACAAGAATGCGTTCCAATGACACCCATTTTAGAGCTAGTCGATACCCATGTAGGTAACTACTCACCGCCTGGATAGCCGGGAGGCGGGTGCGACATCCTCAGAGATACTCCTAAGGCTTTAACTCTGTGCTTCCCTTACAGACGGTACCTTCTGACAACCAGCAGGCAGGCTTAGACGCTCTGTAAACGGATAGCAATAAGCCGAGTGTTACAACGCCTGTTCAACTTTACGAGCTGGGTACGACAGGCAGTTGGCGGAGCTGAGTGCTGAGAGCAAGCAGGACGCAAATGCCTTACAGTGTCATGAAGGGATTGGCACACTTGGCTTTATTTAAGTGCCTAGCTTGTAAAGAGGTTAGCAACACCTTTGCTCTGCAAACATGGATACATCAGACACCTTTGTACTTATAGCTCATCGAGGCGAAAGCGCGCATGCCCCAGAGAACACATTGGCAGCATTCGATGCCGCTTTAAGCGCAGGCTTCCCGCATTTCGAAACGGTACGCTGTACCGTGGCCCAGGCCAGGCAGCATTCCGCACGTCTGTAGGGGCTTTCCCCCAGAAGCGCACAAGACACAGGGAGAGCTAGCTGGCGTGCACATACCACTTGCATGCATACATCCTACCATTCCCCTGCCTGCACACGTGGTTTCCTAGGCTTTGGTCCTTTTTGGACACCCCTGCCTATCCACGTGAATCATCCATGCATGGTCCAGGATAGCTCCAGATTCCGTTCCTGGTTGCCCGCGGTGATGAAATGTATTCGATTCCTTTCCCTCCTTAGCATAACTCCGTCTCTCTCACCCCACCAGGGCTCCGTTGCTTTCCCTCCTTGAAACCCCGTATGCCTCCGTCCCTCTCACTCCCACCAGGACTGCCAGCTCAGCGCTGACGGCGTGGTGGTTATCCTGCACGACGAGCAACTCGGCCGTACGACAACCGGCGCCTCAGGTACCGCGGTAACGGTATGTACCACAGGCCACAAGGTCTTCCCAGTATTGCTTACAATGTGAAAGGCCCTCGGCCTTCATGTACGGTCTAAGGCTACCGTATGTCGTAGTGTACGGTAAAACCTGCCATGATAATGAACCCCACAACCGATGCCCAAGAAGCCGTTGTCTTGCCCCGCGCCCCGCCCAATGCACAGGCGCCGTAGCGGCGGCAACAGCGGCGCAGCTGCGGGGTCTGGATGCGGGCTCGTGGTTCGACCCGCGGTTCAGCGATGCACGCATCCCGCTGCTACACGAGCTGCTGGATCGCTACCGGGGCCGCGCACATGTGCACCTGGTGGGCATGGGTGGGGTGCTCGGGGCGCTGCATCGCTGGATTTGGATTTGGATTTGGATTTGGATTGGATCCCATGTTTGTTGTTGTTTGTTGGATCGGCGCCAAGCGATTAGCGGTCTTGTCTCTGGAGGGACCCATGCCTCCGAAAGCTGCCGCTCCCAACCTGCCGCTCTCCGAGGAGGGGCCGCACTGATGCGTTCCCTGGCGGAGCCCTGTCAGTTGTCACGCGGCTTGTGTCTTCCCCGGCACCCCTGTCTTCCCCAGGAGCTCAAAAGCCGTCAGCCTGACTTGCCAGCCCGGGTGGCGGAAGTGCTGTCGGCTGCCGGCGGCTGGCTTCCCGCGGACTTAGCGCTGCTGGGCGGCCCTACCGGTATGACCAGCGGCAGCAGCGCAGCAGAGCAACTGCACTTCCAGCAGCTACCAGTGACACCCACCACCACGCACCCGCCTCAACCCACGCACCCGCCGCACCCGCCCCACCAGCCACACCCGTCTCGAACCCCGCACCCGCCGCACCCGCACTTTGCGGTTCCCGGCCTCACGGTGACATCCTTCCATCTTGAGCAGCTGACTCGCTCGCTGCAGGTGCGGTGGGTTGCGGTAACAGTAATACACCGTAGTATGCGTTTTTTTACAGGCTAACAGTAATACACAGGCGGTAACAGTAATACACCGTAGGCTGTGGGCTCAGGTGCTGTCTGTACGGTATGCTGCGGGCCTCATTGGCATGCCACGTTATTTGGCCTGCTGAGCCTTCCGCCGTCACGGTCTCATGCGAGGGCGAGAAGCCCCTCTCACGCGGTCGTCCTCCTCTTTCCCTCTGCTGTCTCTTTCCTCGTTGTGCCTTGGGTTGGTGGGTAGGTGCTGCCAGGAGTGGTTCACGGCTGGCTGGTCCACGAGCTCAGCGAGGAGCGCATCCAGGCGGGTTGGCTTGGTGGTGGGAGCAGGTTGGAAGCGGGAGTGGAAAGGGGTACGACAGTCGCGCTCGTCGACAATGCATGCAAGCTGCCTTCATCTTGGGGGCTACGGCAGCTGAGTGTACTTTACGAGGATGTGCGTGTACAGCATCCTCCAGGGATGTGTGGCAATGTTTACAGCTGCACGTTCCATTCGCCTCCTAACTCCACCTGCCCCACGCATGGTCAACGCTCGGTCAACAGGAGGCCCAGGCGGCAGGTATCCAGCAGTTGTGTCCCAGGGCTAACGTGCTGACGGAGGAGGCTGTACGGCAAGCAGTTGCAGCCGGCCTGTCCGTACGAGCCTGGGGTGTACGGGACATGCAGGTACGGCACGGGCGGGGCAGGTTGCCAACGCTTCTGTGCTTTTTCTTACTGCGGCATGCTGCGTGCTATCGGTATGGCTTTTTGCATTCGCAAGCACTCGCAAAGCGGTTCATCGGACGACCCATGGGTCAATCCTAGCCGAATTTCTTCTCTCTCCCTGCATGCGCGGCCATCCTCCGTCCTCTCTTTCTTCATCATCTCTTTCTTCGTCATCTCCTCCCTCCCTTTCCTTCCTGCCCTCCTGCCTCAGCTGCTGCGTCGTGTGGCGAGCAGCGGCTGCCATGGAGCCACGGTCAATTGGCCGAGGGAGGCGCGGGAGGCCCTCGGAGCATCAGCACCGCGGGAGGCCCTCGGAGCAGCAGCACCGCGGGAGGCCCTCGGAGCAGCACAGGGGGAGGAGGAGGGTGCCGCGGCGGCAGAGAAGGTTGAGGAAGCGGCAGCGGTGCCACAGGCGGGTGCAGCAGCGGCCGTGTCTCTTGGGGACGTGGATGCGGCGGGGGACCCCAAGAGGGCTAGAAGCGAACCTGGGAGTATGTGACGAACAACATCGTGTCTTCGTGCTACCGGTACTGCAGTGAATCAGACATCCATCTTGCGTGGACGAATGTGAATACGGCAATACGGGAAATGGTGAAGCCGCCTGGAATGGCTATCGTACTGGTGGAGGTGCTCCTGACCCATGGGTCAGGGACCACACTGCCGTGCACATCATTCCGTATTCTTGTACAATAAGGCTACGATCCATACCGTACGAGACACAGGGGTTTTGCGGAAAGCCTGTGTGCCCTCATCTGGGACTCGACAAGGCTATACCGTTCGTACACCATTACCTCAACGCCCAAACACGCCGCAATACGAGGGTCATGTCACCATCGCCATCGAGCTATCCTTCTTGAGTTTCTCCTCCGAAAATCCTTCGACAATCATCCGTACTTGAGGAATGCCTTCAGATGTATATGTAAGGCATCATGTCAGTGATGAACAGATGAGCCTGTTGAGACTACCCGCAGTCATGAAGCCAAATCCAACATGATTCGACAAACGCGCTCACTCTAGAGACAGGCACGAACAAGCGCGCAAGGAAAGGCTAGAACGTGCCACACCACCACCACCACCGGCGCATGACAAGGACGGAAAGCACCCGTCTACCCTCTACATGGAAAGCTTCGAGCAGTCCCTTTCCCTGCCATCAAAGCTACCAATGCTCCCCCGACCAGCAACCAGTTAAACGAGGACAAGGGTCTGCCAGCACTGCACCTTGCCCATGGAAGCTCAAGCTTGGTCGGTGTATCCAGGGTTTATAACATCGCAAAAAGGTGACGTGTTCTCCCAATACTGACGGTGTCCTCTTTTACTGTCGGTATGAAGGTAAAAGAGGATGCAGTCCGCATTACCTTCATACCCCATGACTTCTTGTCGCACTGGGGTCCAGCCTTCGGGTCGCGTTTCCTGCACCCAGAGGCCACGCCAGCTCCCCACACAACCACACCGATACCGCCAACTGTGCACCCCCCCTTCATCGCATGCAGCGCTACAGGTCACAACTCCAGGATACGCACCCATGCAACGCAAACCCGCCGCCACCGCCGCTGTCCCTGATGCTACCCCTCCTCTTCGCGCCCCTTTTTCCCCTCAACATGCCAGCCCACCGCCCACCGCCTGCCATCTCCGTGCGCACCGCACAGCGCGCACTACCACAACCCAACCAGCAACCACTCAGTCGTGCGAACCGCTGCAGGACCTTCTCCTCTTCATTCCATTGTTCTAACAGCTCACCCTTGCAGCAACCCTGCTGTGCAGCTACCCCTTGCAGCCAACCCCTGCGTCACCTCACGCTGCCTTGCTGGGCGCCGCCTCTACCCGCTTCACCTCCTCCACCTTCACCCCAGCAGCCGCCTCCTTGTTGCCCCCCGCCTGCTGCTGCTGCTGCTGCTGGCTGCTGCTCCAGCCGTACCAGCGGCTGAGCTGGTATAGCTGTACGGCCTCGTTGGAGGCGTGGCAGGCGAGGAGCAGGTAGTTGCGTGGCTTGACCTGCGGAGGAGGAGGAGGAAGAGGAGGAGGAGGAGGAGGAGGAGGAGGAGGAGGAAAAAGAAATTCCAATGTGTGTTGTGATAATGATACAAGAGGAGGAGGAGGAGGAGGAGGAGGAGGAGGATGAAGACCCAGTGCGGAGCAGGAGGAGAAGGGCGAGCAGAGGAAGGGGTAGTGCAACAGGAGTGTACGGCAGGAGGTGAGACGCGTGTACCGCAGGCGGTATATGTGCATGCAGTGTGCTGTGTATGTGCCTGCTTGGGAAAGAGCAGGCGGGCGGGGGAGAGAGCCGGAGGGGGCACATGGATGCATGCTGGTGATGGCGAAGAGGAGGGGGATGACGAGGGAGGTGAGGGAAAAGGTAGTGGGAACATCGCGAAGTGAAGCACGGTCCCATGTCCTGAAGGGGGTGGGGATAGGGCAACACGCGCATGCCGGGAGCTGCGTTGGGCTTTGCATGCGGCACGCGGGTGTCGCTACGGTGTGGGGCGAGGCACTCGGGCTGGATGGTAGAAGCACAATGCGGGTTCCGGGCGGCGCGGAGTGGAGGTCCGTACCTCCCAGGCGAACCGCATGAAGAGCACGCTATAGACGCACATGACTGCGGCGAGGAAGGAAAGCGAGGGGAGGTGGTTTGTTGGTGGTGCTCTACGGTTGGAAGAGGGGTAAGGCCGCAGGATGGGTGCCCTTTCGAAGCTGTAGGTGTTAAAAATAGTCGCACTCAGCTAGGACATTTCACTGCACATAGGCGAATGCCTATTGCAAGCGAGGCAAGCTTTCGTGAGCTGTGAAGGAAGAACCTGAGGTAAGCGATGCACATTCAGTCCGACAAGGCCGCACCTCCCGTCATATTGGGCGAAATGTACTCGGGATCTTTTCGCATATCAGCAAGACCCTGCATTACAGCTTACAATGGTCACCTGCGCTGGCGTTGCAAGCGCCGTGAACCGGGGACCGGCAAAAGCAACACCCGACGCACCGCAAGCACAAAGCCCCAGTTGGCAACTGGTCCCCAAAAATGCGTCGTCTTCGGCCCCGTGGGGCTATTCCAGAATTGGAGAAGTTTCGCCGAGACTGAGGCCATGGTAGGCAGGCGCGGAAAAGCCCCAACAAATTAGGTAGAGAAGAACAGCTGAAATGTATACAGTACTGGAGTATCTGAGTTGATTTTTTGGAGTGAACTCCACGCATTGCATGGGCACCCTATGCAGTACCAAATCTGCAAAGGGCTTCAATCTGATACTGGCTTATTGATTATTGATAGTGTACTAAGAAATATCTCTAGGTGGCTTGGCTTGATGACGCAAAGTAGGCGGCACCCTACTCATGATGTCAAGAATGTGTGCTAGCTTGCGCCGCCTTATCTATTCCCCACCCTCTCCTAAAGCATGAAAGTTATAGTCTGCAAGCTTCATATGGCTGTACATAGCGCGCACATTGGCTTGCGGCCTAGCTGATAAGGTTCTCGTTATAGTGCAGCCTTTCTTGGCAAACGGTACTGATCAACAAGTATAGATGGCATGTATCTTATACTGCTTTGGCGGTGATTCGCGGAAGCTTGCAGCTGAGGTGCGCCACTGCTCTTGCTGATGACTGCTTTACTAACCTGACTTGCCTCGGCGAACAGGTTCCCATCAGGAACCTAAGGGAAGCTCTGCACTGTTATAAAGCGTAGCTTATAGTACGTTACATCATACAACAACCCCTGAGCCTCCCTGTCTTCTCTGGCGACCTTCGCATCGTTACGACCATTTGCGGGTGGCTGCAGTGCATCATGTTTAATGATCCCGGCAACCCTATAAAGACCAGTACATTTATATGCCATAACTACAGGTCGCTTGCTGCCTGCAGGAGACCTTGGTATCGTTGGACCGAAACCGTTGCTGGGAGTCCCAGCACGAAACTGCTACACCGCTAGCATCCGCCGGCCCTAGTAGGGTCTTCCTGGTGCGTGGAAAGGCCCCATGTTTGTTGCACCCCTGTCCACCTCTGGCTTATTCCCCATATATAATGTTTTTTTAACGTAAAGAAGGTTTATGCAGCACGCCCTCATGCTTAGCCCCACATGTGCTTACTGCTCTACTCGCGCTCCACACATCCCCAGTCCGAACTCGACTTGGCATCAATAAAGCATCTCAACTCGAAGCACCACCGGGACTTGCAAGAACTGCAACAACAACAACAGCAGCAACAAGAACAACAAGTACCCAAGCAGCTGCGCCAGCACTGCTGGTCCGCTCAGGATGACCAGGATCAATGCCCGGTACCCGCAGGGCCGAACAGCTACCATCAGGACCTCGACCCCGACACCAGCAGCACCGGCACGTGCAGCGGCAGCGGAGCCCCGGACCGCGAGGCCGCCTTCCTCCGACCCAAATCAGCTTCCAGCACCTGCGCCAAGTCTTGCGGCAGACCAGGCAACGGCAATGGCGGTGACACCCCGGGTGACATCCCGGGTGGGACTGGAGCACCGGGCTGTGCGGTTGGTAGTGGTGATGGCGATGATGAGCTGACGTCGACAACGGCGGTTGCGATGGTCACACCGACGCATAGAGTTACGGCAGCTGCCGGATGGGTGATAGAGGAGCCGGGGGAGGCAGCGGGGCTGCAGGCAGCGAGCGGCGGGGGTGCGGTGAGGGGCGCAGCAACCACAGCGGCAGGAGAGCGGCGTGGGACGGTGATGTGCGGCAGGTCGTTGTCGCAATCGGCATCATCCTCGCAGCGGGCTCTGTCACCGTTTGCGTCATCGCCCTCGTTTGTACGGCGGGGCACCAGGGTGCATCCGCTGGTGGGGGCGAACAACGCGACATTGATCATGGTGGCGGCAGCAGCAGCAGGAGGAGGAGGAGGAGGAAGGGGCGTCAGGAGCTTTAGCAGCTGCTGCGCCCGAGAGGAGGTGTTTGTGGATTCGGGATACGTGGACCCGCTTCAGCAGCAGCAGCGGAGGCAGCCGAAGCAGCATGTGGCGGGATGCGGCGGTGGAGGGCCGGGGGGCAAGCTGGGAGCGAGCGGCTCGTTTTTACGGGTGGGTTTGGGGTTGGCGGAGGGGGTGGGTTGAGAGGTTGGGGGCTGGGGGCGGCGGCTTTGAAAGCGGTAGTGTCAGTGGTTCCGATGGCTGTGCGGTCTGGCTGCTTGCTTGCTGCTTGCTGCCGTCTAAAACCCCTTTGCCGCTATAATCCTTCCTATGTTTTCTTTAAGCCTATACGCTCTGGCTGGGAGCTTTTCTTTTTCCAACCACCTATCCTTGCTCCGTCACAGAGGCAGCAAGCCAGCCCGCTTGCGACGGCGCTCACCATTGTCCGGAACAACGTCATGGACGGGCGCGACGCGTCGGATCCCGCCAGCCCATCACTTTCATTGTACGACAAGCTCCGAAACAACAGCAAGAACAGCGCTCTACGGGCCGCATACGGCGACCGCCAATGGCAGTCCTTCTCGCACGCCGAGGCCACTTCTCGCATGCAGCATCTGGAGCAAAAGCGAGCTGTACCGTTGACCGTTGAGGAGGAGCAGCGGCAACGGCCAGCTGTTATATGTGAGGCGGCGGAAGGCGGGAACGGAGGTAGCGCTACCGGCAGGGCAGCTTTCGGTAACAAGAAGGCGAAACATGAAGTAAGCGAGTTCTCGGCAGCTGTCCAGAAAGACGAGGAGAACGAGGAGGAGAAGGAAAAAGAGGGCGAAGCGGCAGAAGAGGCAACAGCGGAGGAGGATGACGAAGGCGACCCGCGGGTCGGTTCCTTGGCGGCTTCCCGCCGTTGGGTGTCCTTCCCGCGCTCCACTCCCTCGTACCACCGGCACAATCAGCCATCAGAAGCCGCGCTGGCTGGTCTTCGGGCGGAGTTTGGGGCGAACCCGGCTCCTTTGAACGTGAGATGGTACCGTCACGGGTCATCAGGGAGGTGAAAGAGGTTAACCCAGGGAATTACCAGAGCTGGGACAGGCCCTGCTTTTGGACGCTTGTTCGTGCATACCGCAAAGTCCGCAATGCACGGGTTTCTACTTGGTGCCATTGGTAGTCTGAAGCTCTACTGGATGTGGCGTGCTCGCCCCAAAGCTTTATTCTTCCGCCTTCCCCGCGCCGCATTTCTTTCCCCCAATCGCACCCACAGGTTCCCGCATCCGCCTCCCCACCACGCGTCACTTGCGACGGGAGCAGCCGCCGCGACCGCAGCGGCGGCGACAGCCAACAAGACCAGTCCACCAGCTCCGATGATGTGGGTCGTGGAGTTTTCCATGCGCTGCTGCTGAGTCGACAGGCCAGCAGACGCAGCCTGCTGCAAAGCCCTAGTCAGGGGAGCAGGGGCCGGGATTGGGACCGAGCCGGCGTGCAGCCAGACCAGAGCGATGACGCGGAGAGTGACGGTGACTGCGGGGAAGGCTTGGACGCGGGACATGAGGACGAGGGCAGGAAGAGGACTTGGAAGGGGTGCAGGGGCTCGGGTCCCACCCATGGTTCTTGTGGGGCATCCGCTGATGACAGAGCCAGGCTAGTCGCTGCAGGCAGCGGTGGCAGAGTGAGGATCAGCGCCAACCAAACCATTGTCGCCGTTGCTTGTAGTGGTGGTGGTGGTGGTGGTGGTTTGGGCGGCAGTGCTGCGGGCCACAGAAGCACCGACGGCAGCGGCGGCGGCGCCAACGTCATGACCGCCACGACGCTTCCGCCCATTCTGCCGGCCTTGTGTGGCGTCCGTAGCTTTGGCTGCGGTTACGGCAGTGCCAGCAGCAGCAGGGGCCCTGCTTGCAGCCGGAACTCCATGACTGTGGCTGGAAGTGAGGGTGCGGGTGCGGGTGGGGGTGATGCAGCTTCCGACCGGCGCACGGCAACAAAGACAGACGGCGGGGCCCCGGGCCTCCAGAGCAGTTCCAGTGCCACTGCCGGTGACGATGGCGACGGCTCGCGGAATCGGGGTTGGGTTGGTGGCTGCGCAGGCAACGGCAGCAGAAATGACAACAGCAGAAGCAACAGCAGCGGTGGGGGTGGGGGTGTGTCGGAGCCAGGGAAACCCTCAGCAGTGAGGGCGGCTGAGGTGGCGGGGTGCAGCATGCATGAGATTGGTGCTGGATCCGCAGCTGTTGTTGCTGGCAGCGGCAGTGCCGGCGCTGCTGGTGACAGAGGTAATGCTGGCAGCAGCAGCAGCAGCAGTGCGGAAACCACTGGTGCAGCTGCTGCTGCTGCTGCTGCAGGTGGCGGCTGCGGAAGCGGGGGGTGTGCGGGGGAGCTAAGAGTGGAGTCACGCAGCGCCTCGCTGAGGTGGCAGCACTCGCGCAACATGCAGCCGCAGGTGAGCGTGTGTGTAGAAACTTGATACCGGTGTAACTCTCAGTGTGTTTAGAAAACTGGCCGCGAGTAGGAACTCTCAGTGTGTGCACGCTGTGCCTTTCTAAACCTGTGCGTTTGCTTTGTCATAACGCCGACGTTCTCGGGTGGTGGCACATGCATTGCTCTACTGGAGTGGTTCGTGTGGCGACACGCCCCTCACACCAACCCAACCCCAGGAACACCCTCCTCATCCCCTTTTCCAGCTGTTAATCCATGTCCTCCTTCCCTCCTTTTCTCCCTCCCCCTCCCCCTCCCGCCCCCGGCTTCCCTCTCGTCCTGCTCCTCCTCATCCCCAGCGGAGCATCCTAAAGAAGGACTCGCTGCCCCATGCGCCGCACCCGCCCCCCTGCGCCTTACAGCGTCTGTCCCAGGACACCCCCTCGTCGCACAACGGCCTTACCGTCCTTACTCCCACCTCCACCGGCCTTACCCCCACCACCTGCACCGCCATGACTGCTACAACCACCACCTCAACCACCTCCGCGCCCGCCAAATGCTGGACAACCGATGTGAAGGACCTCTCATGGCCGGGTACACCGGAGCCCCCCAGTAGGGCACCCTCCGCAAGCGCCGGTCGCTGCAGCGACTCCCAACAAACACAGCAGCAGCAGCAGCCGATGCAGCAGCAGCATGAGGGGGGTGCAGAGGCGGAGGTTGAAGGCGTGGAGGGTGACGTGGTGGTGTTTGCAGAGGTGGAGGAGGAGGAAGGAGGAGGTGGAAAAGCACCGGGAAGGGCGGAAGCGGAGGAGCAGTGTCCTGTATTGCGCACGCAAGAGCTTCCCGATGCATCTTCAACCTGCACAATGGATAGTGACACGGGGCTGCCGTCAGCAGCTGCGCCCTGGCCCCCCCGAGCCGCCGTCAACCAAGCCCTCAGTTGCAGCCAGCGCTCCCGGAACAGCTCCGGAGCCGGTCGACACCGAGTCGGAAAGGCAGTGTCCTTTCAGTCAAACTTGGAGGATTATGACAGCAGCGTCGAGGTAAGGTCGACAGCGGCAGCATTGGCGGTGGCGGCGGCGGCGAGCCCGGCAGCGGAGCCATGCGCCCTGTACTGATGTAATGGGATGAACGGGGGTGGTGCTTGGGGCGACTGGCTGCTTGGGAGGCTGGTGAATATGCGTCTTCTTCACCGCCTTCTTTCACCTGGGGGCTGCACGTAATTGCTGCATGCTGTTGCATGCGTCGGTTGTATGTGGCGATGTTTTCGGAGATGTTCCTGGGATTACCCTTTTCTGTGGTTGCGTCTTGGGCGCATGTTTACATGGGGGGTAGTTGGTCGCATACACAGATCGGGCTAACGTGCAGGATGAGGCACTTGGTTGAGGCTGAAGCGAGGCAACCTTAAGTTATTTACGGTTATTGGCTATTCATACAGACATTTCGTTCCACATGGGATTCGCAATAAATTACAAGGCTAGGGCCCGTAGTCAGGACGACGCAGACCCGTGGGTCACTGTCACTGCGGCTGCCATCGGCGAGAAGGTAAGCATGCACGGATTGATTCATGGCAATTCACGTGGATTTGTTGATCGCAATAAATTGATTGCCTGGAGTGTTGCAAGGACGGTCCGCATGCATGGGCAGGTGTCCTGGCCGCAAGGGCACGTGTGCACGTGCACGCAGCTGTCTTTCCTGCAGTAGAGTCATTAACTCGTAAGTGTGCGTCTTAAATGGAGGTGACCGACTACCGCTGCCGCGGCAGAGCAACAAGTTTAGGAAGTAAGGGACGAATCCGTTTAAGAGGAGAATTAGAAGATGCCTATTATGCTGTGCAGTAGTAGACTTAATCCCGTTATTTATCGGTTGGGGACCAATGTCACGAAGTGTTTATGTTTCCCTTCACGCCTTTCCGTGCTAACATCAACTTCGAGTTTAATTTCGGGTATGTCCGCGGTAGTACCATTTCTAGTGATGAAGTGCTCATTGTTGGATGTCCACGCAAGTCCACCAACCCCGTGGAGGTATAAGACGAGACACAAGCAAGCTGCTGTGGATGCAAGAGTGAGCAAGCTACGATAGACACGAGTGTTTTATAATTGTCATGCATGGGCGTTACCAAGTATTGGAGCGACTACGGGTATGCAGTGCTAAGCGCCTTGCTGCAAGTAAGCATGGGCGTAAGAATGTTATGTAGTACGCTAGTCAATAACCTAGCTAATTCATTAATGGTGAGCCAAGTTGAAGTAAACGGGGCGGCTGATGTACGACGGCTTGTTGTACATTGCTTAACGTAATGCGGTAGTGCTCGTGCGCCCCCGCCAGTACCGCCTGTAAGTGTTGCGTAAGCAAGATGATAGCGACAGGGCCCTTCGAAACCAGCTCCTCCTCGTTACAAGCGAATCATGGGGCAGCAATCTACATTTATGTATGGCTTAGTATACTTACGGGCATCCCTGGCCTCATGACTCTTCACATTCAACCATACTCATCCTCACACACGGAGCAAACAGCACATCATTCAGTTAGTGCCCGCGGTCTGACCACAAGGGCACGACGGGCCTAATAAGCCACACACACAGCAAGCATACCGCATGAATTCGCACTCGGGTCGCACTCGATTCAACGGATACTGGTTCAGGCAGTGTCCGCTTGTTAACACATACGAGTGTTCCGAAAATACTCTGAAGAATGCATGTGCACGGAAAATATGATCACGGACTGTCAGCAATGTTGCCTTGTGTCAGTCACTTTGCGTCAACTGCAGTTTGGCCGTGACTGCGTGAAACGTGCATAATAAACCAAACGCGACCGCAGGCGGGACGCGGCCCTTCCACCCAACACCCACTCCAACAGGGTTATCCCCGGCATCCTTGCATAAAAGCCGCGTGTTCAAATAGGAGCGCTAATTATAACTGGATTTATCAATTCACGCGGCACACGGAGACTATAGCCGGCCCCATGCCAGTTTAGTCGCAAGTTCTGTTATGTAGTGTATAAGGGTGCTGCATGCGACTACACTTGCCTTACTATGTACCTGCAACCCCAAACCAAACCAGCTACGAAGAGCCCTTCCTTGCCACCCATTCAAACAAACCAAGCTCCTTTAAATCAAGCTTTCCCATGTACGCAGTAGTCTCAATCGAGAGGGCCTGGTCACGACACACTACATTGAATCACCCGAACATACATGGTTGCGTCCTAAACCAAAAAGGCAAAGTATCACCACATCTAACACCACATCCCACGACCACCCGACACAAGACCCCAGCAAAGCCGTATGCACCGCTAACATAACGCGAGCCGCGAGACGTGGCACTAACCATACATGTCTGTGATGAAGTTCGTATGTGGTTGTGCCAAGCACTGTCTGTTTGTCTACGAGGCTGAGACGCGAATACATAGCACTGAAAAACACAACATGCGTGACACAGGCTGCAGTTCACATACGGGTCCCAGCCCACCAGGAGCAACGCCGATTCCGCCGCAACTGGGGACCCATCAGTTTCAAGAGTGTTTGGAAAGCCCCCGGCCCCCAGGCCCCCGGCTTCAAGACAATAAATACACCATCCTGCCCTGCGCCCTGCGCCTAGAACAATGGTAAGTCCTGGAACAACAGTAAACAGACCAGGCATGTTCACGTAACACACTACAACCGCCTAGGCGTCCATTCCCAAGCCGCTCGCGCCGCAGCAGCCACACCACTAACATGTCAACATGCCATCATGCACCCGCTCACAACGCTGTGTAACAAGACAGCGCAAAGCTTGCTTGCAACAAGACCCCGATGACGGCTCCGCATGCGCAACACCCATGCCTCTTGCAGCACGAGTCCTTCACAGTCAGACAAGTGCCTATTACGCGGGCGCAGCTACCCACGAAATGCATCTATGTAATATATCTCATGTCCATGCGCACTTGCTCTACTAGTAGTATGACTAAGCCCGAGTAAACAGCGGGAAAGGCATGGCGGGTCCAGCGCAATACAAGCAACCGTGCCCAGCAGCCTAACGCGCCAGGAACAGCGGCTCCGGCGCACCGCGCGTATCAGAAGCCGCAGCGCACAGCCGCAGCACTTCGTCAACATGCGGCGTCTCTAGATAGCCTCAACGGAAGGGCCTGTCAGCAACCATCAAATATACACACGCAAATACATACAAACCCCACCCACCCACACCGGTATATATGTCCCCCCCACAGCCCAACCGCAAAAACATCGGAAGCTGTCACTAAACCTGTCCGTCAGTAAATCCGCCCCGCGCAGGCACGCGCCGCTCCTAGTTGCCCGGCTCCACCTCCCCCGGCGTCCGTATCCTGGGAGCTTCCGTGCCGCTGCTGCTACCCGCAGGCCGACCTGGTCCTGAGCCGCCCCACACGGGGGGTTCCTCAGGGTCCAGAACCAACCGCGCCGCCGCCGCCACGCCGCCTGTGCTGACACCGCTTCCGGCGCTTGCAAAGCTACGACAGGACTGCGGTTCCCCGCCAGCACTGTGGCGCACGCTGCCGCTGTTGCTAGCTCTAGAACGCACGGCGCCGCTGCTTCCCAGGACTTCCAAGTTCCGAGGCAGAAGCGCCGACGTGCCGCCGCTCCCAAGGCTGGGTACGTCAACTGAACGACTCGCGGGCGAGGTCGTTCGTGCTGCGGCTACCGAGGTGACAGCCACCGGCTCTACCTCAGTCCTCTCGTCGCCCTCAAGAATGGTTGGCGTCATGACAATGTCGGATCCAAAGCCGCGCCGCTGCATGCCGATAGCAGCAGCAGAGATCATGCCGCCGCCGCCGCCGCTACCGCCGCCGCTGCCAGTGGGAGAGTGACCGGCTGCGATTCCGGTTCCGCCGCCTATCGTGATGTTTTCGGCGTCGCTACTACTGGAGGTTGTGTGGCCACCTGAGGTCATGGCAGGCGAGATGGGAGAGCAGGCACGCACACCGACTGTGGCAACAAGGCTAGGTGCACCGCCGGCGCTGCTGCCGGCACTGCCACTGGAACCGCCAGCGCTGCCGCCGTTGGCTTGTCCCCGCTGGCCCCCCGCCCCCTCAAAATCGCAACTCGCCTGACGCACGGACGTGGTTTTGTGGTCATCGGCAAAGGTGGCGTGCAGGTGAGCGTGGGAGTGACCGTGTGAGGCCGAGCCGCTCGAATGTGCAGTCAGTGACGAGGACGTCGCTGCGGTTGCCGGCAGCCCGGACGCTGCGACAATGCCCAGCATCACAGCCGTCGGCGGCGACGGCGGCGCGCTGGCCACCGTCGCACTCGTCGGGCGACTGGGGCCTCGACTCGTCATGCCGGCCGGCATCCCGAAACCAGCCGGCTCGCCACTTCCTCCTCTGACGCCACCAAACCCGCCGCCAGCAGCACCAGCCCGAACGTGCATGCTCACAGATCCGATGCCCGTAGCGGTGTAGCGAAGACCCCCGCCGCCTCCGCCTCCGCCAACTCCGCCAAAGCCAGTGCGCCGGCCCAAGGGCGCACCCATGGCCGCCACGTCAGCTGCCATGAGGGCTGCGCCACCCGAATTCGACGTACGTCGTACACGCATGTGCGCCATGATTGCGTCCACGTTGGAGGCAAGGCGGTTCACCACCCGCTCCAGCCGTTCCAAGCGGTCCGCATCAATGCCTCCGCTACCTCCCCCTCCGCCTCCCCCGCCGCCTGCTGCACCAGTGGCCGTCGCGCCCGCCCGTCGCATCATGGTCATGCCGCCAAAGGCATTGTAGGCCTCAGTCGGACGCCGCATGCCCGTGCCTCCGCCCATCGGACCGCCGGTGTTGGCGCCTAAGCCCATGCTTCGCATGGACTTGAAGGACGCCATGCGACTCAGCATCCCGCCGCGCCCGCCCGCGACGCTGCGGCCATCATCGTCGTCGCTAGCACTGCCCGAGTTGACATCCGCCAAGCCGCCGCGGCCCGGGCTCAAGCCGCCTGTGAGGCTGACGGCACGTGAGACCGAGCCGCCGGCGCCGCCAGTGGGAGAGGACACGTTGACGCCGTTAGCAGCGCCCGCCCCTAGCCGTGGTATGCCTGCAGTCACGCGCTGAGACCTGCGGCGCAGCGGCAAGGCGTTAGGTGTTATTTTCTCTGTATGTCCTGCATAGTTTTGGACTGATTGGGATACAGGACCTATGGGAAGAGCCGTGCAATGTAGTGCAAAGTAGAGCGGTAACTGTCACCCGCTAGTACGGTACTACTGTCCCATGCCCACGCAGCCGCTCGCACTCCCAACTCACTCTGAAGAGCCGCCGTTCGTCATGTCGCCATCAGAGTCACCCGACCCCGCTGCGTCCTTCCGCAGCGGCATGAGGAGGTGCAGGTAGGGGTGGTTCTCGGCGTTCGTGAGGCCCACACCGGTGGTGCTCTCCACGTCGATGATGAGCTCCGCACGGCCTGCAGCGAGTGAGCAGCAAAGGTTAAGGCCGTTTGCATGGGAATATGATGGGACGATGGGAATAGGGCGGGGGAGGACAGGACTGTAGAAGCGGAAGAGGAGAGCAAACAACAAAGAACTGGAGTCCGGAAGAAACTTGCCTTTCAAAAAGACAAAGTGCTGGACGCCCTTGACTTTCTGGTAGATATCGGCCATGAGGGTGATCAACATGTTGAGCAGCACCACCAGCAGCGCAAACATGTAGGTGCAGAAGAGCAGGATCGCAAACTGTACGGCAAATAGGTGGGAGGGGGCCAACATGTCAGAATCCATGTGGGCCATGGAGTGTTCAAGGAGGGTTAGGATGGGCCCAGAACTTGAGGTTAACGGGAAAGAAGGTTAACACAGGCAATAACTGGGAGCACAAGGAGGAGGGCCGTAATGGACATGGGTCGTTTTCAAGCAAGGCAGACAATGCATCAGCCCTTTCCGTACACTCACGTGGCCATACTCGGAATCCGCAGAGTCGTGAGGGTCTCCAATTTGGAACATGATGAGGTAGACGTTGAGGAGTGCGTTGCCAAAGCTGCCGTACAAGCCCCCCATGCCCGTACTGCCATCATCGTTGGTCGAGGGCGAGTTCCTGTGCCCAATGGACCCATGGGTCGCGAGTCACGGCGTGCATGGCTTTCCGTGCGCATGCCTAAACAGACGGCATAGCATGAGCACATGATATGGATGCAATCATGCAACAAATTGTGACGGACGCGCGCGCAGATGCAAACCGGCAGCAACCGCAAAGGCGTGGCATTTCGGGGTAATTCCCCCTCCTTTCCACACCTGAACAGCACCATGAAGGCCACCGCAAAGCTGATGTACAACGTGGCGAGCAAGCCGATGAAGTACTTTAGCCCCTTGATGATCTCAGCTGTCATGAAGATGAACGTCCCGACGCCGTCAATGGCCAGGCCAAAGAACAGCACCTTGATCCACAGCATGATCACTTCCGCGGCAACCTGTCGGCGACGCGTTGTACAAGGAATCAGTCTCACAATGTAGGTGCAACATACTGGTGTGCATTGTACCGTAATAAAGGCCCCCGGGCTAGGCTTTACGGCATGCCGGTATCCCCCGCACTTCCAGAGTACAAGGTTGCAAAAAGCGCCTGCTGTTTGCCGGTACCTGATATTACACTCCAACCCAACGGCAGAAGAGAGACTGAGAAGGCACACCACCACCACCGTTACTCACCATGACCGCAACAAACTGCCCTTCGCCAAGCCCGTACCGCAGTACGGTGCAGGGGCAGACGATGAGCGTCGTGACGTAGGCCGCAATGTCGACAATGTTCCAAAAGGAATCAAAGTAGGCGGCAGCGCCCAAGGCCGCGAGCTGCACACACTCCAGGACGAGGAAGTAGATGCCGTAGATGAAGAGTACGACGGAAAAGATGACGATGGCGACGCCTCGGTGGGTGTCGTACAGCTGCCGTATGCCTGCCTGTAGACATGGAAGAACAGGCACGCGAGGAGGCATGAGAGCAATTGTTGCTGGTGGGGGGAAAGAAGGTCAGTAAAATGTGCTCGGCCATGCCTTGTGACCAAGCGTATTCTGGGCACAATGGTTAAACATCCAAGCCAGCAAAAGCAGGAGAAAGGAACGGCTATTCATGAAAGACGTAGAGTACATTGGGCAGTGCCGAGCAGCTGTCTGACGGTAACGACCGGCCGCTTACCGTGCTGTCATGGTCCGCGAACAGCACCGCGAAGACGGTGAAGAGTATGGTGTACAGCAGGTACACGAGCGCCTTGATGTAGATGCGCCGCTGTGCAAAGTTGCGCCACTTGTAATCCACGATAGCCTGCAAAGGCAAAGGCACGCCGCACATTTGGGGCCAGGATTCTAAGCCGGTGATAATGCTGAGGAATTTGCCATACTTGGCATCCCATCTGCGTTCGCAAGGCTGTGTATAAATATATATGTTCGACTTGCCAAGAAGAGGAGGAGAACACCGTTAGATAGACTCCCTCCGGACAGATAGCACCAGATAGTTCTTATCTGGTCATATTTGCATACAGCAAAAAGAGGGTCCTTCAGGTGCTCACCTTGACCGTGTCGCTCCCAAACGTCTGCACAGGCACGCTGCTCTCCACCAATGTGTGCAGCACCGACGTCTTGCCGCTGTTGGCAGCGAACGGCAGCCGCACCATGCATGCCTCCATGAGCGCCATAGGGCCCTTGGTCGCCTGCGGGACGTGCACAGCCACTATAGCTTTAGCAGGTCAAGGAAGTTAGCTCAGAGCATAGGACTACCGCAAACTCGAGTATCCTTGGTTTCATGGTCGGTGGTTCATTGTAACAGTTTTGCGCTAGAGGAGAGAGGAGGTAGCGGCTAGATGGCAGACCTCAGCGGGGGCAGCGGTCCCGTGCTTACCCCTTGCAGCTGCAGCTCGTTCATCCACATCTCCTTGTACGATGTGTACGAGGGAGCCGAGGTGACAATCATGCCGCGAGCGGCGACTGACGAGGGCACCTCCATCTCCCCCAGAGGCCGCAAGGGCAGACCCGAAAGAAAGACCTAAAAAGCAGGAAACCAGGGTTCGGTGACGACAAAACAAGGGCGAATCAGGATTTCAGCAGCCACACAGTGGCTGCTAGTCGCTAGTCGGCTAGGCTGCTAGTTGCTAGTCGGCTAGGCAACCTACACGTGCTGGGATCACAGCACGCAGCACAGCCCACCTGGCACATGGTGGGGTACTGCTGGGCGACAGCCGGGATGGCGGCAGTGATGGCGTGGTATGACCCAGGGGTCACTTTCTGCGCCAGCACCGCATCCAATACGTGCTGCACGCAGTCCGCTGCGCCCGCATCCAGCGCAATCTTGACGGCGTTGGGCTCCGCTCGGTCCGGCGTCTGAGGCTCCTGAGGCGCACCATAATGTTCGTGGCGGGAGGATAACGTCAGGTGCTGCATGCCGTGTTTTCAAGAGATGTACCGATAAATCCAGCTGCCGTACTTAATCAACAGTGGAATAAATATTCCATGAAGTATCACAGGGCAATCGTATCGTAATCCTGGCTGTTCAGCTGGTTTTGCATATTAAACAACCTACCGGCCAAACCTTCCCACTGCCGCGGCTGCCGGCACCCGACGGCGACCCCAGGTTGCCGTTGTCCTTGGGCCCGCCGGGTGTTGCCATGTGAGGCCCCTTGCCCGGGTCCACGTGGTCCTCCTCCTGCCCGTTGCGGCTCAAGTCGCTGACGTGGCGCTGCGGATCGTGAGGTCCGCAGGGGTGCGAAGATGTGGTAAGGGGCGAAGCAGGACATGCCATGAAACAGCACAAGGGACACGGGAGGTAGAAGCGAGAGAGATGGGGTCGAAGCCATTGAGGTTGAACGGGGCCACCTTTGAATGGTGCCAATCAATCAAAGGGCCCTTAGCTCGCATTACCGGCGCATTGCCGGTGTTACGGAGTAAAATGGTGTGAAGCGAACGCGAGTGTCGCGCATAGTGGGTACTGGAACTATTCAAGGTTCCCGAACGGCGCGCGCTGATAATGAGATTGGTAAAGCATTACGGGGCTTGTTGCATAGCCGGGATAACGAGTCCAAGCACGCATGCACAAAAGGCACGACAAAGGTTAAGGGGACAACGATGCCCCTGCGAACGTGAACCTTGCTTCTCGTCTTCTTTCAGAACCTTGCAACCCTGTAGCAGGTAAAGGCAAGGAACAGGCGGGGACCAACAGCATGGAGGTTACCGTGATGTCTCAAAAGCGTTGCCTAGGAGTCGAGGCTGGAGTCTACTAAAGTAAGTTTTCCTGCTTGCTATTCATATGCCTCTGGTAGTGTGCCTTAAATGCCGGGTTCATCAATAAAAGGAGGAGCCAGAAACCAACGTCGGGTAGTGCTTCTAGCCGCCACAGGCACGCATTCACTAAACAAGCCCCCTCAATGCATTGTGCTTTCGCAACACTATACATGCCAAAGCAGTACCACGTTGGCATGGCCACTAATTACATCAACAACGGACAGGATGTGCGCATTGTGCGAGACGCACCACCTCCCCAAGAAGTAAACCCGCACCCACGGTCCCTCCCATCCAACACTCACCACCTCAAGCCCGTCATCCAGCGTCACACCCTCCTCCAAGTCTCTACTCGCCGCCGGTTGGTTCCCTCGACTGCCGACCCGCGCGAACATGTGCACCGCATGCCGTATGCTGCGGCCCAGCGGTGACGTGGAAATGTTGCCAGACCCCCCGGGCCCGCTGCTGCTCACATTCGCCGCCACCAGCGCATGCGTGACGTTGCCAAACATGAAGCTCCGCCGGCGACTTCGCGCGCTCATGTCGCGATCACGCTCCGCTTCTAGCACCGAACCCAGCAACGAGCGCTTGTTGCCCGCAACCGTGATGCCGCCGTACGCCACGCCGCCATGCGCGCTGCCGCCGCCGTTGGCTGCAGCTCCACCAGCACTGCGAGGGCTGCCGGCAAAGCCGGAGGAGTCCGCTGCTGCGGTGGCGCTGCTGCTGGAGGGACTAGATGTGATGCTGCCGCCGGTGCGGTTGGGGCCGCTCTTCAGGATGGAGCCCCGAGTGGCAGGTGAGCTGTTAGGACTGAACCGGCTGGGAATCAATGGGGATGACGCAGTGGCCCCAGCCGTGCTGCCAAGGCCAGTTGTCGGGGCGGTGGTTGCCTCGGCAATGGGGCCCGCGGGTCCGCTGGTGATCTGCCCCGGTCCTGCAAAAGCAGAAAACAACAAACCCGAAGATCCCGCCGCTCGAGGCGGGCTGCGAAGCTGTGAACCAGAATCCCCGCCGCCGGCGGCGGCTTCCGGTGCCTTGGGCGCAGAGGGCCCGCTGGTCAACACAGCGCCGCCAATGCCGTCACCCGAGGCGGAAGAACGCCGGTCCCTCCCTGGCGCCAGCATCTCCGCACCGTTGCGCAGGAATGTGCCTACACGACCAAGGATGAACGCTCCAGCGCCCGTGGGCGATGTCACCTGCCGCTCAGACGCCGGCGTGACAGCACGCGACGCTGCTGCTGACGCAGCGCGGGAGCCTGCCGTGGAAGCCGGCACAACACGCGGAACCCGGTCGTGTTCGTCCGAGTCATCATCGTCATCGTCATCGCCGTCGTCATCGTCCCCAGCGGGGTCCTTCGGACGCCCCAGCGGAGACTTTTTCACGCTGGTGGCAGAGGCATTGACGTTGAGTTTCGTCACAGAGTTGGCATTCGCCGCGCCCTCCGCAGCAGTCATGCTTACACGCTTGCTGCCCGGCTCGTTCCAGACCCCAGATCCCTTGGGCGCGGACATGCTGCTCATCATGTGGATGCGCGGCACGTGTCGGATGGAGGAGAGGATGGTGTTTTGTACGGCAGACGCGGTAAGGCCCAACTTGGCTGAGGCGGCGGGTACGCTGCCGATAATGAGCTTTGTGATTTCGGGATTGGAGTTGGCGACCGCATGCATGAGGATGGTCCAGCCTCGCGAGTCCTGTGTGTTGGGCAGCAGCGGGTACTGCCGAAGTAGGCGAGCGTACACCTCCCGAGAGCGACCCAGGCTTAGGGCGCTGAGCCGCTGGTAGAGCATGGAGCCCTCGGGCACGCAACGCAGCTCGGCGCCCACGTCCTGAGGGGGGTTTGCGAACAGGCAGGAGGCGCGGCAATGTCAAAACGAGAGTTTTGAATGCGCGGAGTCCGTTAGGTTCAGTTCAGGTTAGCATGCAGCAGCAAGGCGGTTTCCTGCGGGCTCTGCATGCAGCATGCTCCTGGGGCGCACGTCTTGATCCGCCAATGCAGCCCCGTCTATGCTCAGTTTGCTTACCCAGTCTATGAGCTGCCCCTTAGCAGTGCAGCCCGCCATGCGGTTCCCCGTGGCGGAGAGGTCGCAGTGCACGAAGCCGCCAGACTCCACGGCGCCCATGACGCGTTCGAAGTTGGCCTACGAGGCGGAACACGGATGACAGGGCGGCTCGGTGCTGGTTTACGAGCCAAGCGGCAAAGGAGGATGGTAAAAACAACAACCGGCACACGCGTGGAAGCCCTCTTGGCAGGGTGTTCTGGCATGTTGATGGGTGCAGGAGACGCGGACAACGTGCCAAAAAAAAAACAAAACAATGGCAAGGTGGGACTGAACCCCGTCCATCTGACGTTTTAGAGGCACGTACCTGGCACAGCTCGCTGCCGGCAGCCGCGTCCCACAGTCGCGCTTTGCCGTCGGAGCCGACGGAAAGCAGTCGGCGAGAGTCGCCCGACCAGCCGCAGTCAAAGACCTTGCCGTCGTGGGCCGGGATGTCGTACAGGAGGCAATTGCGAGCAACGTCCCAGATGAGTACGGCACCCTTTTCGCCCCCAACCTGCAATGGCGGAAATGATGAGGCGAATGTCATGACGGGAGGCCAAGGCAACGAGGAAGATGACAATGAAGCCATGATTACCGGTCGGTAAAAGCACGTGGCTGCCTGTCTTCTGCTACTATTCCCTTTAGCACCCCCCTTACCAGCAGCCTCGTGCCGTCAAAGCTGAACTTGATCGTCATACCCTGCATGACACAGACGACATATGTTAACGCACTTTGTTCCATACGGCTTTCCAGGCATACTTCCTTTCAACGAGACTACCATCCTGTCGCTAATCCTAGGAGCACGACATACCCCAAGACACAGGACGGGATGGTCCCTAAGTTAAGCAGCCGCGTGGCCTTCCCTTGCTGACACAACTAGCCCCCCACTTGCCTTGCCATCCATGGCGTCATCAAGCGTCGCCAACTGCGAATGAGAACGAACGAAAAATAAAATAAAGGCGGGGTACCTGTTACCACACCATTGCTCACAAGCGGCAAAAGCATTCATTTGACCGCCCAGGAGCTACAACCCCTCTAGCTTAACACAGGGCAAAGCGTTTTGCATGGCCCTACAGGACAGATGACTTTTCTGCTCCAATGGACGCCCCCTACCAGTAAGGAATCCCCCGTGCCGCCGCACCTGTGACCCGGTTTGCACGTCCAGTATGACAATGTGTTCATCGGCGCCCGTGGAGGCCACCATGGTGCCGCAGGGGCTCAAGCTGCAGCACATGACTGCGCCGTCATGGGCGGGAATGACCTGCATGGGGCGTGGAGCACATCGCAACACAGCAGAAAAGCCGGCATGGCATGGCCCGGTAAGACACGGGGTAGCGGGGAAACGTGAGCGCTTTTCATGCTACGGTATATGGAATGGTATGCCGCAGCAAGCAGCAGGTAAAGCAGGTAAAGCCGAGTGCCCGCTAGTTACGTGGGAGCAGCCACAGCCACAGCCTCATACACGGTTATGGCCTCTTGTGGATGGCCAGGCGCAAGGACAGCAGACACCCCGCACCTGCTTGGGTGTGTGCGTGACGGTGTCCCAAATGAAGATGAAGCCGTCGCGGTCGCCGCTTGCCATCTGGTTGCCGTCCACGCTCATTTCCACCGCCGCGACGGGGGCTTGGTGGCCGATGAGCGTCGCTAGCTTGGCCTGCCGCCGCCAATCCCACATGATCACCTGAGCAAGGGGTGTAGAGGAGGTACCGGTAGGCACGCGAGGATACAGGGTTTGGAAATATGGAAATATAGGATTTTATGAACTTTAGGAATAGGAAAACATAGCGACACGCAATAAAGTCGGGTTCGCATAATGGCCCATAAAGGCGCCGTAAAGCTGTAAAAAGTTAGTTTAAATACCGATAGCCGAACCCCGTGTTCCTCAAACCCCAGTGGTCCCTTAACACGGGTACCCCACCCGAAGACCTTTCAATCGTACCTTGCAGTCCTCCCCGCAGCTGTACACGGCAGTGGCATCGTGCGTGAAGCGCACGCATGTGATGGTGTACCGCTTGTGCGCCACCCACTTGTGCATCTGCTGCTGGTGCACCACGTCCCACACAATCAGCTCGCCGCGGAGGGTGCCGCTCACCTGCGTGGCATCAGCCGGTTTGCGTGCGCAGACAGTCAAGCGAATGACATGAACTCGTCGTATGCCGCCACCATGCGCGGCATACGAGCGGCTAGATTTCCTACATTGCGAACGCCCTCAATCCTCAACAATCTACCTGTCCTTTTCGGGGTTCCTTTTGCTAACCCCGCGTGCAAACCAAACCCATTAGGATAAAACCTATGCTGCACGCCAGTTTTACAGCCTTATCATACAAGGCTCTGCACCACGTACCAGCAAGCGCCCATCCGACGAGAAGTCAAGGCACCGCGTCCCGCTCGTCTCATCGCCGAGCATGTGAACCGTGGTATCGGGCGCGCAAAACAGCACCATGGGGTAGCCACCAGAGCCAATGGGAGACAGGCTGGAGCCGTGCCGATAGAGTGACGTCAGCGTGGTTCCTTGACGGAAGAGGTAGCTGTTCCCGGGGTGCTGCTCGGGAGGCCGGGGAAGCATGTCGTACATGGCAGCGTGGTTGATTGGATCATACAGTACGACAGCGTCGTGGGCGACGCAAGTACGGTTGGGCAGTACGCCGATGGATTCACTTGCAAAAATGCGAGTGCCTGCGGGGGTTGGAAGGCCGAGAGCGGATAGGCACGGAAAGAGGAGAATGAAGGTCAACAGGCGGCTGCTGTGAGGCAGGAGAAGGGTTCAACATGCATGGTGCAAGGCATTTCAGTTGTCTAATTGGTGTAAGGCATTTCAGTTGTCTGATTGGTGAATCAGTCGTACAGCGCTATCTGTACTCACTGTCAGCGATGAAGTCCGTGGTGTGGGCCTGGGAGCTTTGGCTGCAGTTCCAGAGGATGGCTTGCCGTCCGCACAGGCTGAGCAAGATGTGCTCTTGCTGCAAAACGGGACGACAACACGACATGGGTAGGGCATGCGATTAGAACATGCATGTGTCGACCGACGACATCAACTGACACAGTCGCGGCGCAGCAGGCACGCCATTCGCTTTGTAGCATACACAGCAAACCAGCACAGCAAAGAGCTAGGTGCTGCATCATCCACTCACCGGCCTCATCATGAATGACACGTCTGTAATGCCAGAGGCGTTGCCCTTGTAGCTGGCAGCCCTGCGAAGGCGAACCATGGGTCGATTACTTCTGTGCCAACCATTTACGTAAAAAGTACCTGCACCTCGACTGAACACGGTAGCAACGGCTTAAAAGTAAGCAGCTACGTCTGCCCCTTGCCACTCAGCCCAGCAAAAATCCCTTCCTCGATGCCAGCAACGGCAGAGGGGTACAAATGGTGCTGGTGGCGATGATGCCCGGCGCACTCACCGCGTTCCCGTCAGCGGGTCGACAAGCGTCACGCTACCATCCGCCGAGCCCACGGCCAGCACCGATGCGTCCAGATTGAACGTGAGGCGCGTCGCGGGGAGGTCCGTCACCTTGAGGTCAGCCTGCACGCGCGAACAACACCAGGGAGGACACCGTGGCGGAAGGCCGCCAATGCCATCAACGACAATCGACATGCTGCGTTATGGAGCGATGACATAGCTGTCCGTAGCTGTCCGTAGTTCCACAGCAACGACGCGGTTTTTCCTTGTGCCTTTCCAGGTGGGTCGGACTCCCTGGAACGCAGCCAGCATCTCACCCACCTGCATCACAAACGTGCTGAGGCTCCACACGTGGACCGATCCGCCCGCTGTCGCCGCCGCCAGGAAGGCCTGGTTGGGGCTGATGGCCAGGGACGCAACCTCCAACCGCTCCGGAACCTCCATCGTCTTCAGCGGCTCCGTACCGTACGGCTTGGCTGCACGGACACGGCACGGTTAACCGACAACACGACTTCCCAAACGGGCTCTGGAAAGAACAGGAAGACCAGCAGCCACCACCGGTAACTGCCAAACAAGACAAAGCCACTTGCAGCAATCCCAGCCAGCATGCCCTGCCTGCTACGCCCTAGCTCCTGCCCGCCGCTTGCGCTTTCACCCGCCTCACCGCTCCAAACAGAGACCTCCCCCACGCGGCTGGCGGTCACAAGCACGTCGCTCCGATCGCTGTACAGCAGCCCCGTCACGAAGTCGTTGTGGCCGCACAAGATCGAAACAACCTGCCCGCGCGCCACGTCTGTGATCACGACGGCTCCGTCGCGCCCAGCCGAAGCCACATGCGCGCCGTCCGGCCGCATCGCTAGCTGCTCCACAGGGCAGGCCTGTGTGGGTCAGAGGCCAGCCGGGTGCATGCGATGTCTTACGAAGCGTTTGCTGTGACGAATCCGGCTATGAAGAAAAACCACACTCCGTGCACCTCTTACAACGTTTCACCTCACAAAGGGCCATACGGTGCCGGGCCTGCTTGCTGCCGAACTAACCTGCTTTGAGTGCGTCCAGGTGACCGTGGCTGCAAACCCCGGCCCGTCGCAAAGGTTCCAGCTCCTTAACGCGCCGTCCTTGTACCCCACGATAAGGCTGTTGCCGTCAGGTGTGGGCACCACGCACGACACCAGGTCCGAGTGCTGGCGCATGACCTCGAAAACCCGGGCCGCATCGAGGAACCACAGCAGCGCATGCCCTTCCGTGTCCACCGTCACAGCGCGCGTGCCGTCAGCGTTGATGTCCACGTAAGCAATGGGGCTGGAGTGCGCTTGCAGACGCATGACGCAGGCACCGTCCGAGAGCGACCAGACCAGTACGGTACCCTCGCTGTCGCCGCTGACGGCCACATCACCCTCCTCGCTGATCTGCAAGGGGTGTACGACAGCGACTGTGTTACAAGCTTACAACAGCGGCATGAGCCATAGGGCTGAGCCGAAGATGGAGAAGCGCCTGGTAGATGTCATGGGCATAGCTGTAGACATAGCCCAGACCCAAGACGTACATGCATGCCCGTATACTTCCAGTGTATTCGTGTGGGGTGTATGTGTAGTTGAGTAGAACAAGAGCAAGCAGTATATGTGTGTGTGCTGCATACCTTGCAGAACATGACGTCGCTGGCGTGGCCCACCAGCGTGGTCCGCAGCATGCCTGTGTCGCTCTCCCACACGTGTATGAGGTCATCGCGGCCCGCGGTGATGAAGAACGACGAGTCATTGCTGAAGTCGGCGTGGGTCACGGCACCGTCACAAACCTGCAAGCGGGATCAAGGCGGGGGAAGCAAGCAGGCTCGGTGAAACCCACGCGCTTACCGCGTATGCAGCGGTTTCATTGTGAACATCTGGGATGCTCGCTTCTAGGCCCATAACGTTCGATGACTGAGATGGCACACTTATGAAGCTAGGAGCTGTACTAGGAACGATGTCACACCAATAGGGTTGTGGAGACAGTGGCGCCATGACCACTGCACTATCTTGCTGTAACAAGTGGATCTGGCTTTGACTTATAAGGACGCCCCTCGGTGTAGCTTAGGATACACTTTGACATAAGTCTGCAAGGTTTCCCTCAATTGCCCTGTCAACACAATCGTTGGATCTTAAAGTCAGACAACAAAAACAAAGTTTTGTGTGATTGGTGCGAAGTAGGCCAAGCAAGGCATCTCGCGGGATTCGGCCATGCGACATGTAGCCGATAAACCACAGGATTCTGTTTATGACAACGCATAGTATCTATGCATGTAATATGATATCAAACGTAGCGGTCATGGTAATTACGCCAGTGCGACGGGACACGTTGGCCTGTTGCCATAGGCATCGGCTTCCCAGTGTACATCGGCCCCGTGCGCCGACGCTCCCAGCATGTGGCGCAATATCTTTCGCAAAAGAAGTGCAAATTGTTTTAGCTTGGCGTTTCGTTGTATGAAGACCGAGTAAGCACGGCAGTAAGTTGAAAAGCTGCAACCTGCAGCAACTCCCAAGCAAAGTTCCAACTCATTCCGGTGTCACCTGAAGAGCAATGTGCGTGTCGGTAGACGTGTCATAAAGCACCAGGTTAATGCCGTAGACCTGCTCCAAGATGAACAAAAGCACCTGCGGGTTTGAGGGAGGAGGCAGGGAGGAAAGATGGACGTATTGCACAGTTGGCCTACTTCGGCTCAGGGCACATGCAGAGCACGATGGACCAGACCCAGACCCATACGCGGACCATCCCACCCACTCCCGCCCCTCCCTTACCTTAGTGCCGTCGGGACTGATCACGTAGGTAGCCCGATTGCGCGATTCGGATATCTCCTCAAACTGCTGCGTCAGCTGCACGATGCCTGTCCGAGTGCTCAACAGCATAAGCCCACAGTCGTCGCCGGCACACGACAGGACGGACTCGCCATCCGAGCTGAAGCCACAGCGTTTGCTGATGTGACCCGTCTCGTAACGGCGGACCATGTGCCCTGTGGCAATGCAGGTGTGGAATGACGTGAGGACGACAAAATGCCAGTGCCCTACAGGTTCAGCCCACTCGCCGTGCTTACGTACGAGGTGCGACAAACTGGTACCCCCATGCGTCTGCTGTGCAAACCTGACCATTGCCCTGGGACCTCCACACGCAACGCAGTCCTTACGCCGCTGACCGCTGTTACAGCACTCATGGACTTGAAACCCCTACCCATGCCAGAGCGCCTTGACCGGAAAGCGCCCTTCCCAGGCAAGCGCTCCCACAAAGGCCTACCTGTTGCTTGGCCAATGCTCCACAGCTCCAGCTGCCCCTCGTCGTCGCATGACAGCAGGTGTTTGCTGTCGTGGCTGAACACCACGTGCGCCAGGGGCTCCGCACCCACATCCAAGGTGCACAGCAGGTGCCTGTTGGCAAGCACCCAGACATACACCTGCGAAGGGGAATGAGCCAGAAAACAAAGCGCACTTTTCAAGGCACTCCAGGCAAACACCCATGGGTAATGCGGCAAGCATACATGACATGGCGTTGTTTTTTGTGCTCTCATCCGGGTACAGCCCTGTTCCCTAATGGGCTACCATAGGGCCCCAGCCTTATATCCGTGAGTTGGTTACCCAACAGTGCCCGCCTAACAGCCAACGACCTGGCCTAACGACCCAACTGCCCCAACCCCTCCTAGCAGCCCCAACCGCCTACCTTGCAATCCTCCGTGGCAACAGCCACTTTGCTACCGTCGTTGCTAAACGTAGCGTAACGCACAGCCCCAGACGTCGGCGTTACCATTGTCTGCATGAGCGTGCCATCGTCCGCTGAAAGTAGTTTGACATCCGTGCCGTAACCCCACCGCATCACGAAAGTTCCGTCGGGTGAGAAACAGACACCCTGCGAGGGGCAGCGGTTGACCACAAGATGTGCTTCACCAGGTGAACGCACGAGTGACACCCGGGTGTGGAGAGTGGCGTACATTGCTTGAGCGTGCCGACAGAATGGATGCTATGCGAGCGTGGCATTGCTGGTAACAGGCAGAGAGGGAGACCCATATAGGTGGCGATCATGACATGGACATGGACACGTGTTTTGGAACAACCATATACCCACCTTGCCCGGTGTTGGATTCGGGGCAAAGAAGTACGTCGACAAACTGCCTGTGCGCGCCCCAAGGCTCGGTCCCGCCTGGCTTGCTGCTTGCTGGAAGAAAATGCTGCGCTTGCGAAGCTGCAAATCCTTCACCGCCGTAACAACGTCCGCTGTGGTGCCGTTCCCCTGGCCCGGGGCCAGCAGGCCCGCATGAACGACGCTGTGAGAGCGCGCCGCCAGAGGTCCGCTAGGTGGGGGATGAGGGACAGTGCTGACCAAGCCGTTTCCAGGGTTGCCAGCGGCAGCTGCAAGGCCCAGGCCAACATTGCTCGAGGTTCGCGTCACGCCGCCGCGAAAGCTGCCTCTCCCCAATGATGTTGGACGACCCGACTGAGGGTTGATGGGGCCCAGCGCTTTGGGGGTTTCTGCAGCCTCCGCGGCGTTACCACCAGCACCAACGTCTGAGAGGGAGGAGAGGGGAATACCCGTTACGCCTGGGGAAGAGTCCAGGCACCGACACACGCATTCGCGCAATACCCAATGTGCAGTTGCGGCATTATATATGCCCGACAGCAAACATTTCTTGGTCGTTTTCCTTCTAATGCCTCCCCAATGTAGGTCCTACCAACTTGCGCCCTTGGGTCCCCCCTTAACTCTAAAGGCGACCAAGAATGCTCGTATATAATGCAACGCGCGCTAGGGCATCGCTTGCGCCGCACAACTTCCATAGCGTAGGTTAGGCCCAGTTCAGCTGCGAGCCTCACCATTCTGGTTATTTGACCCCTTTCGCAGGATCGTCGACCAGCTATACTTTTGAGCCGGCCCGGGACGCCTTGGTCCCGGGTCGTCGTCTGCAAGCCAGAGGTAGAGCTCTCAAAAGCCCATGACACCGCTACGTGCTTAAGACCGCATCACACCATGCATCATCTTTAAGAAAAATCCATAAACATTAATTGCTATGTCTCAACGGTACGTCTTTTAGCGAGGAGTCGAAAGCCGCGGCGAAAAGCCTTACCTGCCATCCTGGCGACGACGCCAAGCACCAGCTGCTTTTAGCTCCAGCTTGGATGCAGTATAGTCAGCAGGGCTGGGGCACGGCGCTCCATCGCCGCGCAAGGGCGCCCGAGAGCAGGTTAAAGCGGTAATCTCTGTTTAACCAAGCCAAGTAACTATCTAGTAATAGAGAATAAGGGACACAAGGTTGCAAAATAAGAACCTTTAATCGAGGAAACGACGCAGGAAAGGTTGGTAATTGTCTCTGAGCATGTGTTCAACGAAGCAGCAAGTGAAACCGGAGTCGAAATGACACTTTAACTAGCTAGCACTTACCCTATTCGCCAGCAAGGAGGATTTTCTTGTGCAGCTTGTTGAAGTGTACGACTAATGTATATGTTTCCAGCTTGCACGGATGCACGCTTTTCGACCAGGATGTGGCTCGCTCCTGTGTTCACACCTTGTGCTTGCACCATATTTAATACATGTTGAAAGGGTGTTGGTCAAACCGTTCCCCAGCGACACCACAATGCTTGGAGCAATTGGTACTACTGCCCCGCATACAAGTTAGGTACAATTTATAATCATATGTAGGTACGCCCCGATTAGGCGTAGCCTCTTTGTCAAACACGCATACTGGAACGTTAGACCATGGAACAGGGCGGAAAGCCAGCATCGGACAAGACAGCCTACTGGAAATGTATAGGCAAGGCATTATTCTGGCCAGTTATATTACTACTCCAAGCGATAAAGTGGGTTTTGTGGCTACAGCGGCCAGGCTGGGGTGCGTTAGACCTCTGTTCTTAGGTTGGCAGCTTAGGGTGTGATAATGCGGATGTGGTCGAACCTAGGGATATGCTTAGAAGGCAGTCATCAACGGCTTGCCAATAATCCAGGCAAAGCCCCTCACGCCTTACCGGTATTGCGAATACCAACGCAGCCGCGTCGCGTACCTCTGGAATCGCCCTAACTTTCCTTAGCACCGTTCGCATACTTCTTGGTTGTATGCTTTTTAGACACCTTTGGTGTTGGCAGTTGCCTAAGGCCTTGACATCTTGTGCATATGTGCACAGGATCTACCTGTTGGGCTGCATTTTTGTGTACGCTTCACGCATTGGACGCGGTCTTCTATGCGGCTTGTGCGTTTGCTGCTCAATCACGTACAAGGTACGGGCAACGGCGTACTGCTATAGGGCTACGGTGCCGTGAGTGCACCAGCAAGTGCGGGGTGTCCGCGGGTCGCATGCATGCCTGCTCCTGCCTCCTGCATATCTGCATATTGCCGTGGTTCGTCCCTGCGCATACTCCCGAATCATTCATTTAAATGCATTGCTACCGCGTGCCATGACGACGTGCCATGCGCCCACGCCGTGCTCGCCGCTGGCAGGATAAGTCCTTCCCGCACAACCACACCTCCATCGGCGAGTGGAAGGGCAAGAGCCCCGAAGAGATTGACCGCGAAGTCCAATGGTAGGGAACGCAACAATGGGCTGGACGTGGGATGATAGCTGCATTGGTCACAGCGCCCTGTGCGCCCTCCTCCTTTCACCTCCTCCGCACCCAACTGCATGCGCACCTTACCTCGCCTCTCCATCCACCTGCCCACAGGCGGCGGCTAGGCGAAGTAGTGGCAGCAAGCAGCAGGACGGGGGCCAAGCTCTTCGCAGGTAGATGGGGATCAGGGCAACTTTTCCGTACGTCTGCGAATAGCTTGGCACCTACTTAAGCTACACCCTAGCATGACAGCATGAGTGTTGTCACTGCTTGTCTGCGTGGTCCGTCGCGCTCGCCACAGCTCACAAGTGCCCTTGGTCCGCCGCACCCACTGTCGACAGGCGCCATCGAGCCGTCGGATATCTGCCAAGGGCAGCTGGGGGACTGCTGGCTGCTTTCCGCGTTGGCATGCCTGGCCAACCAGGAAGGTGCCGTACAGCAGGCGAGTGTCGTACTCGTACAAAACAGCAATCGTCGTACATGCTACCGTTGGCTGTTTGCTGTAGCTTGGATCGCGCCGCTGCGAAACGTGCAACCCTCGTCAAGCAGCACATGTGCCGTTACTACTCATGCATGCACGTAGGTCTTTCTGACGAAAGAGTACAATGAGTACGGCAAATACAGATTGCGGTTGTACGACGCGCCGAAGGAGGCCTGGGTAACGCTTACTGTGGACGACTGGTGAGGATGGCCGAGGGCGTGTTAGGGTCTGCGGATCCTAGGGGTATACACATAAAAGTTTACTCGAGGAACTGTGTGGAGTTCAATGGCATGGGCCCTCTCCGGAAGGTTGCTGCCGGCCCGAAGCCATGCCCATGCCGTTGATTCCCCTGCTGCTCGCTCCTTCGCATTGCTTCTTTCCCTCCCTCGCCGTCGCAGGATCCCTTGCGGCTCCAACGGCCAGCCGTTGTTCGCCAAGCCCAACGGCGACGAGGCATGGGTGCTGCTGCTGGAGAAGGCCATGGCAAAGTTCAAGGTCAGGCCTCGCAGCGTTGCTTGGGGTACTTATGTATTACTGTGCGGCTGGGCGACCACTCACATCCGCTTGCCATGCGCGCATGGTATGACGGCAATGGCGCGCTCGTATGTATCTGGGTTAGCCCGCACCTGACCTCTGACCTGACCAGTGGCACCTGACCAGTGGCCTTTTGTCACCACCACCGCGGCGGGCCCCGCGGTTGCAGGGCAGCTATGCCAAGCTGGACGGCGGGGTGATGATGTGGGCGTTGGAGTGTCTTACTGGGGACCACGTCTTCCGCTTCAACTTGAACCGCAAGGTACCGGTACTGGAATTGGGCGGGTTGAACCTCGCCAGCGGTTGATGCGGTACTGGATATGGGCGGGTTGATTCTCGCCAGCGGTTGATGCGGTACTAGATATGGGCGGGTTGATTCTCGCCAGCAATTGATGCGCCGTAGTCTGCTTGGAAGGTAGCGAGCGTAAGCCGGAGTGTATCCGGCTTCCAGCCATGCAGGAAGAGTCCATGTTGTGTCACATGCATGTAATCAGAACCGACCCAGGGGACGTTACAAGCAGGGATGTGTGTTAAAATAACTGGCCGCGAGGGGAAACGTACTGTGATTGGGATTGTGTGGAAGTATGCGTCTTTTGTAATGGAAAAGGGAAGCTGTTGAGCCCAGCGTTTGCAATGTTGATTGTCCGCCGGTTTTCCCAAATTGCTGTGCGCGTTACCCTCCCCCCCCCCTGCAATGCCGCTGCCGTGCAGACCGGCAAGTGGGAGCGATGTGAGCTGGTCCACCACCCGAAGCCCGAGGGCGGCTACGACATCCGGCTGCGACCAACGGACGATGTGCTGGACTCGGATGAGATGTTTGCGGTGAGTTGGCGGCGGGATCGGCGGCGGCGCGTACGGCACAGCGGCAGCAGCAGGTGCTGTGCCGTGCGGTGTTGCGCTTATGGTCATGGACGGAGTATATGGTCAAAGACGCCCCGCTCAAACAGGCCCTGCTCTTGCCCATGGTCAAACTCCTTACCTGTTTCCCACCAACAGAGCATGCTGTTCTACAATCGCAAGCGGAGTTTCATTTCCGCCAGCACCGGCGGGGGTGACGACACGAAGGCCGTGAATGGCATCGTGCAGGTGCGCAAACAGCAACGGGGGCTGCTACCTGGCTGCTTCTCATCGGCTGCATCTTCATCCTTGCCAAATGTGTTTTGCTGGCCAAGACCCACATGAGGGAATCCGTCTTTTGGGCCCTCTAGCTGCACGCCTGTCCACCCTCGCCTGCCGGCCACTGCGACGGCAACGGCCGCTAACTTGCCGACGGCTCTGCCGCTGCATTTGTCGAGGCTCCTCCTGCTGCTACTGCCGACACCCTTGCTGCTCCGACTGCTGCTTCCAGGGCCACGCCTACACCATCTGCAACGTCAAGCTGGTGGACCGCTTTCAGCTGGTGCAGCTACGGTGAGCACGGAAGAACCATGGGTCATGTGCTCTTCCTGCCTTTCTGCCTGTGTGCTGCGCGGTTCGTTATATGCATGCAACTGAGGCACGCTCGAGCATTCCGGCAAGCGGCGCATGGGGCGTACTTCGCATGGCGGCATACCGTTTACCCTCTCACCAAGGCCTGCCGGCTGCCGGTATGTCCTCTGTGCCTCTGAACATGCGGGCTGATTTGGGTTTGTTGGCAGTAATGCTAATCCGCCTGCCCGTTGATGTGATTTGATGTGATGTGGGTGCTGACAGGAATCCCTGGGGCACGTTTGAGTGGACGGGCGACTGGAGCGACCGCAGTCCCCTGTGGGAGCAGTTCGTCAAGGTAGGAGGTTGCATGGTGGCGCCTGGGGCGGCTTGGTTGGGTGACGCTGGAGTGATGGAGTACCGAACTGGTGTTACCGTAGCATGGCATCTTGACCTGTCTGGCTGACCCCCAGTACCCTAGTCGCTTCAGACGTTACAGACATGTGAAAGGAATTGCCTCCCTGTTTTTTTCACCCTCCTCCCAGGTGAAGCGCGCGCTGAACTTCAAGCCGGCGGACGACGGCACGTTCTGGATGGAGTGGAAAGACGTCTACACCTACTACCAGTCCATCGACTTTTGCGTCAGGTGCGTCAGGCGCCCCCGGTAATGCGGTTGGTGCGCTTGAAAAAGGGCTCGGCAGCGCTGCCGAAGCGGGAACTTCCGGTACCCACAATGCACCGCTTCACCGCCGTACACAGCGCTTGCCAACTGCCGTATACGATACTGCTGCCCAACAGGACGACCGGCTTCGAGGATATCGCCTTGGACCTGCACGAGGAGCGGCCCTGCAGCGGCCCCATGCTGGGCTGCTTGGAGGGCTGCTTCAGGTGGTTGGGCGGGGAGGGGGCTCGCTGCACTTGTGTTGTGTTCAGCTCCTTCAACACTCCTTGAAGGAAGGAAAGGAAGGGCAGCTGCTGGGAACGACCCACCGGTCATAGTCGCACCCATGCTCTTGGCACATGGAGTTTGTGCATGCGGAGGCAATGGGGGTCTGGCGGGCAACCCAGAACTGCAGAGGACCGCTTAGCATAGGTCGCCGGGCTAGTACAATCATGTTCAGGCACGCATGGAGGAGACCCTGTGCTCTACTTGTTCTCATATGCTCGGCTGGGAGGCTACCGGTATGACGGCCGACCTCAACATCTTTATGCTTCGCATGCAGGTACTGGTTTTGTTGTTTGGGCGTACGCGCGCTGTTCTTCAGCCACAAGGCCCGGCGGTTTGAGCGCCCGGAGCCCTCCGGTTGTGCGGCCTGCTGAGGTTTTCGTGAGAGGAAAGTACGGGAGGCGAGGGAGCCAACAAGGCGACGGCTTGGCAACAGTCCAGACCTCATTGTGTGGGCTTCAGGGGTCCACGATTGAGTTGCAGATTATGGGTTTGCATCAGTAAGAGCGCGTGATAACCTGTTCATTTGCTAATATTGTGCATGGCGGTTTAGCGTGCGCAGGAGCGTACTTAGGTGAGTGTAAACGCAGCTTGCATGTACTTCATGCGACCCATGGGTCATGATATTTACTAAATTACGTACGCGAGCGACAAAGCACGAATCTCAGACAAGATGATGAGCGTGACAAACTGGATACTATGCGAGTATGAATGCTGTCGTAAATTGATGCATGAGCTTGGCATGCTTGGAGCTCGTGACTGGATGGCCCGAAGCATTTATGGGAGGTCTTCTCTTTTTAAACCTTGAGGATACAGAAATGCCCTTAATGAGGACGGTAAGTGCTGTGGTGAGATCGCGTGTGATAGGGTACATGCTAGGGAGGTGCTTCGTAGGCCGGGTCTGGTGTTGTGAGCGATGGGTTACACCGTACCTTAGCAATTGCAGCTGTAGTGCTATTGGAAAGCGCTCTTCCGCTTTGAACCTTCATGTGCAGTGCCGCACAATCCTTCTGGCCAGTTGTACCGATTTTCGTACCCAAATTACATGTATGTTAGGCAAGCCAACTCCAGGCACTCGTTTCGCCCCTCCGTCTCCCTCCTCTGGGCGTCCAATGCCTAGTCTTCTTCTTCCATTAGCATGAGCGGCTCCCACAACCTTATAGCACAAACGAGGGGCTGCATCGACCAGAGACCAGTTCTGTCAATTAGGTATAACACCGTGCATCCACCGTCTAGTCGAACAATACGCAACATGATTTGTCTACTTCACTGCCAATATGCCAACCTCTCATGGCAACCCTTCACGGTTTTAATAACGTACTTCCAACGCGTTTGATACGCACGGCGCATTAGTTACCTTCAATTGAAGTGTGACATGAAAGTGGGTAGCACAAATTGGTGCGAATAAAGTACGATGTGGCATCCTTAGGGAACACGCATTTCAAGACCTAATATAATAGCAGACTTTGGCGCCGCGCATTAAGCTGCGAGCAGTGAGAAGCGTGGAAACCCCCTTACCCAATACCCAAGCGAATCACTCAAAGCCGTACGTCTCATCCCCAAGCTTCCAAGGGGAATGCAGTGCCCTTTGCAAGGCACAGAAACGCAGGCGACGCGAGGCCAAAAAGGGGCATGTCCACAACAAGGGCAGCAAGGGGGTGAGGGTTCTCAGCACTCCAACCCCTAAAGCACTGACCATCTCCACTGCAGCCCGCCCAGCGCAGGCAGTGCGCACGTGCGTGTTTTAAATAAACGTGCTCCATTCCTCTTCTAAAATGGCAAGCAACAAGAATCCATCAACATTAGAGTTCCCTTAAATATCACTTCCAGAAAGGCATTGCCCAACGCGTTCCGTAAGCCTTTTCAACAAACAATTTCAACCAATGCCACAGCAGGCGCATTCAACTGAGGCAACTCAGCTGCCAGGACCGATCAACAGAATGTACGAAGAACTCGAGTAGTGTCCAGGCGAAACGGTAACGACCATACGGTATAACTCCGCTGCGCGTGCATTGGCAGGTAGTCGCATACGTCGCACCACACTAACGAGACAGACGTTGGCAGATGACAAGAAACAACCGCCAAAAGAAGGCCTCCAATTCCGCAACCTCCTCATGTGCCTCCGCGTCCCCCTCCCCTTATTAGGTCAGGGGATCAGGGGAACAACAGTAACCGCGAAGTGACTGGTACTTTGATGTATGTCACCATGTTAGCCCACGGAGATCAATTGGAGGGCGTCAGTACGAAAGGACAGTTCCAGCCTTACGCCACCCAGCCATGAAGCATACTGCTCGCGAGTATCGTGTAGCACGTAATCTCCCCATCAGTCATCACGAATCCCTGTTCCTACGATTCTTCTGAATTTGTTTATCACCCTTGTTCTTCATCTCAATTTCTTCAACCTCGTCCTTTCATTTTCTTGCTGCCACTTGACACAAAGTTATCAATCAGGCAGTGCAGCCGCATCGGGTGCTGCGCTGCTGCATAGCTAGCCTCATACCCAAAACATCAAGACAATTGTTTTATAAGCCATACACCGTACATCCCAGCGGTTAAACCCGTCAGCTTGCACCGCCGCCGCACACATTTGGCGCGGATGCACTACACAACACAAGCAATAATAGCCGCAGCACCAGCAGAAATCACAGCAGCACGCAGAACTCATAGCAGCACGCATGGCATATTGAAAACCATCCCACACATGTTCCTCAGGATAACCGGGCCTCACCATCCATCAAAGGATCAACCCGGTCTTGTGTCACGCACCATATCAGTTGCTTTAGTGGCCACACAGCTCCGCATCGCCCCCTGTGCCCGCTCGCTCGTGTTACCAGAGCGCCAACATTCGCTGTAGGAAACGCTCTAGGCCTACTTTGCATGCCTGCCGTACACTGCCCTCTTTCACAGTTATTGCGCAGCCTGCAGCCAGGGATGGTTCCGTAACTGCAGAACCGTGGGTCGCTCCTCAGGGTGCGGCGCGAGGGCAGAGGTGATGAAGTCGCGGCCCCCGGGTGATACCGAGGCGGGGAAGCTCAGGTTAAAGGAGCCACCGTTCGCACCCTCCCCCACCAGCGGCGGGAATCCCACCAGCAGCTCGTACGCCAGCACTCCCACACTCCACACGTCCTGTGGGGAAGGTGGGGTGGAGATAAGGTGGGCCATGGGCGCATGGTTGCCGTTTGAAAGAGGATTTCTGTCCTCCCTTGCTTCCCTCCTACCACTACCCACCCCCAGCGCTGCCCTCCTCCCCTCCTCCTCACCGCCGCAGTGCTGTACGCGAGCGAGAGGTTGTCCTTGTTGTCCTCGGGACACGACTTGAGCGGGCAGCGCTCCACCTCGGGAGCCTGGGGCGGGTGACGTGGGGGGCAGGTGGAGCATGGGCGCATGGGGATGCATGGGTAAACATGGGGGAGCAGGGGGCGGCAGATTGGGATGTGCGCAAGGATGAGGAACAAGGTGTTCCGTGATGCAGCGAAGGATCCGTTGGCTTTCCTGCATATCTGCAGCGGGCAGCCTTTGGTAGCATCGACAGCTGCGTATTCCGCATCCGATTGGGGTCCAGAGACGCGTACAGCTCTGATCCCAACCTTAGAATCCCGACAACCCCAGCTTGCAAAGCCATGCAACCCAGGGAGGTGCCATCTTCGCCACTGCCAGTAGCCCATGGCCCCTCTTCACCCGTGGGCCCTGACTCACCATGTACTCAGCTGCCGGTACCAAGTCAGCGAGTGTGTGTAGGGGGGTGACCAGCAGCCAATCAAGAGCCGCCAAGGGCGACGTGAGGGAGGGCAGTGGCAGGGAGCGTCAAGAGGAAGGTACGGGAGTCATGTCCCACTATAGCCCGCATTTCTTCCCTAACATTCTCGCTCTCCTTGCCCCCCCTTGCTCCCTTAAACATTTTCCTCTCTTCCCCTCTCCCGCCGCCGCTCCTCTCACCCGTCCCCGCCCGCGTGACCGCCCGCTCCTCCAGCAGGTTGATGGACACCCCGAAGTCCGCCAACCGGAACTCCCACTCCGAGGTGAACAGGATGTTCTCGGGCTTGATGTCGCGGTGGCACACGCCGCGACCGTGGAGGTATGAAAGCGAGTCAAGCAGCGGCTCCAGTACCACGCGGCGGACCTGCGACTCCGTGAGCCGCCCGCCATTAACTGTACGGCAAATGCCGCACAGGTTTCCGCGTGCCGCCATTTCAAGGACCATCACGAAGAGCTCATCCGTCTGCGGAGGGTGTACAGGGCGCGGTGGACTCAGTGCCGACATCGGAATGGAACTACATGCACATGTGTTCAGTATCTGCTGTAGTAACTGCTCGTCCGCAGCCACAATATCCGTGACACACATGCTAGTATGCACAAAACCACATCTGTGTTAAACAATTGCACATGTGTCAAAGCAGCTGCATGTCGAAACAGCTGCACATATGCCGGAGCGTGTGTGCCTGAGCTGCGCATGTGTTTTTGCTGCTGTTTGCCGTACTTGGAACACTCCGTACAGCTTCAGCACGTTCCGCTGGTCGCAGGCCTGCAGGTGGATGCTGACCTCCCGCAGAACCATATGGATCACATTGGAGGGCACGCGGGCCTTGAAGTAGACCTTCAGAGCCACCGGCAGTCCGGAACGCAGGCAGCGGCCCTGAAGGGTGTGTGTGAAGAGGGTGAAAAATCTTGAGGGACGGGACGGCCTTAATTGAGGTATAGCATAACACACAATTGCAATACAAGCTAGCAAGGTGTTTGAAAGTCTTTACCGCAAATCGCACCACAATGCAGGGCTTGTCAGCTCTAGGCTCCACTACCATTGGTTGAAAGCATCAAGGTTGGGCAGGGGCTGCAGGGCCTGCCTACCTTGTACACTGAGGACATCTTGCCCTTGTAGAGCCGCTTCTGCAGGCTGTAGTCATCCAGGCTCCAGTTGCTGCGGAGCATGGATGCCGGAGTGCTGACACTGGTCGCCAGCAACGTGCCGGCCCCACTGGGCGCCGCAGCAGCAGCAGCCGGGACGGTGGCCACCGCATCCGCACCCTCGGCTGTGGGTGTAGCAGCCACCGGCGTTGGGGACTGCTGGGGCGGGGGTACGGATGACTGCTGCTGTTGCGGGAGCTGCTGTTGCGGCGGTTGTGGCGGTTGGGGTTCGCAGGGCGGTCGTACAAAGCTTGTCAGAGGCTGGCCGTACGACATGGCCAGCATGGAGCTTGCGGGGACGCTTCCAGCTGCATCCGTGCTGCTGCTGGCCGGCCCCGTGGTGGTGCTGCCATCGCGCCCGAACAGCGATGCGCGCTCCTTGCCGATGCCTTGGGAGCCCACAACTAGCCGGCTGGTCCTGGGCAGCGAAGACTTCGGGATGGGCATGGCGGAGGCTGCCGAGGCCACCGAGGCTGCTGCCGGTGGCGGCACTGCTACCGCTCCCGACGCGGCTGCGATGACGGGTCGGGGGGACACGGACGGGTGCTTCTGGGCCAGTCGGTTTAGGATGGCGGAGTCGCCAGAGGGTGCGGATAGGCACATGGCCAGATGCCCCTCGTGTTCGTCGATGCCCATGTGCGGCCGCATGGGCTGCTCTTCAGAGCCGCGAGAGTCGAGCTGCAGGATGGATGGCTTAAGCTCCCGTGCGGTGACTGGCGCCGCCTGCTGTTGGTTGGTAGGCTGTACCTCTTCCGGGGAAGGCTCTTGGGTAGATGTCTCAGGTCGCGTGGTTGACTCTTGGGTTGACGGTGTCCCTGAGGGCGAGCGCTCCTTGTCCATCAAGTTGGCACGACTAGGGCGATTCAGCAGCGCGCTCAGCAGGGAACGCGGCCGAGAAGGCTGTGAAGACAAAGTTTGTTTTTGAATATGTAGGTGGTTTTGCTCGCAAGCTGCCTCCGGGTCTTGTCGCTTGTCAAAGGAGCTGGCATTGCCGCCGCGCTCGTTTCTCGGTTGCGTAGAAAACGTCTGCGCTGGCAGGCTGCCGAGCTGGAGACTAGTTTTGCTAGCACGAAGAACGTTCTTTGCGCCTTCAGAGTGGGAAGGGAGCGATGAACCATACTCAAGGGTTTGCTGACATTCTGATGGCGCTTCGCCAGCAAAATCGCCATCACTTCCAGCTCGAGCTGACCATCGTTGTTCCCGAGCAAGCCCAAATGCCCGTCCTAGCTTTCTAAAAGCCGAGAGGGGCTGCTTCTTATCCGGACAGAGCTTTGGCGGGCCTTTACTGATACGTAAACCGCCCGAAATTGACGCAAATGCATCCTCGCAATGTAGCTTTTCGTCAACCAAGCCTTCTGCCATGGTTGGTCAGAAGGACAGCAGTCCGGAGAGGAGAGTATTATGATGAGACCCTATTTTCACACTTGGGGAAACGACCTATTAAGGGTTGTCCATAGTGCGTGATACGATGTCGATGTTAGAAATGTGGTATCGGTATAACATCACGTCGCGGAAAGGAACGCATACCATCGTACATTGTCGTAACCAACGTAGGTCGGTCGGACGGTGCGGAACTGCGTATGCTAACTCATGACGATGAAGACTAATGACTTATTCCTTGTTGCTTGGCCTATCCCTGTCGGAAACTCGAGTCGACGGGGGTAAGGGATTGCGCGTTTCCCTTTCCTCCTAAGGATTACGTTTACATTCACAATACATGCCCTCGCACTAGTCGGGCATCAGCTATCATACACCTGCAAATAATGTCCACAGAGCAAGCTCCAGTTCGCTGAAATCGATACAGCGCATAAACCGATGAAGCGTAGCGCCTGCAACCGCGACCACGTCCACCGTTGAAGACGGGTTCAACGCACGATTTGCTCCCAAAGTAAAAAGGCTTGCCAAACAGCAAGCCATTAAAACTCCCTGTCGTGCCAAACCTGTCAGCACGCACCTCCCTCGTCAGTTCAACGGGGAACAGCAATTAATCTTCTCAAGTATAGCATAAGTCCAGCTTGCCCTCGCGGCAAGTCATGGATGGGTTATCGCACATGCCACAGGCTCAAACTCCCAACCATCATTCGCCCATCCATTGGACCCAGCACTCCTAAACCTCATGAAAGGATAAAAAGTGAGCAGTTCTCTGTTAGCCCAAATAACCAAGCCGCTCCCAAAGGTAAAGAGAACTCCGGAAATCGTCAACGCGTGCACTGAATTCGTTATGAAACAAAACCCAAGTACGGTAAGCACCCATCGGTAGGTATGACGCCATGCAGTTATAGCATCCGACACCCCGAACAGCGTTGACCTGCATGCGGATCCTGCAATACGAGGCTAGCGAAGTCCTCCTCAACAAACGTCCACCCAGCGCCACAAGATGCGCTTCTTGGCAAAGTAACACCCAGCCATGCAGGCTATCACAACATGTCATTGGTGTACAATACCTGCGACGGAAGATGTTACTCCTCACATAGGTGTGTGCATGGGTAAAACACTTTAATCAAAGACACAGGACATGCCCAACTACGACGACTGGCACGAATGGGCAGAAGGGCACGTGCAAAAAACCCACAAGCCAGCCCAACCACAACGCAAAACCCTGTGCTGCAATTCTGTATGTACCATCATTCACACTGCCCTATCGCCCCGCCTAAAGCCGCCCCACCTGAAACCGCAACCTGAAAGGGGGCTTCCCTAGCCTCGCACTGCGCTTCTCTAGCCCCTTGCTGTACCTGCCCTCCGAAGCAAAAAAAACGAGGGAACACCTCCGCTGTGGCTGCTACCTAAGACCAGACCGCCCCTTGCGCCGCCACGAACCCCAACTCCTACCAGCCGGTTGCAGCCAGCACAGAGGGCCCGGCAGCCTAACAGGGAACACAGCGCAGGAAGACACACATCCCAAAACGAGACACGATTGCGTTCTGCCAGACCATAATTGCTGCGCGACTCGTTGCTGATGCTGCTGGAGTCCAAGGGGCGCACCAGTTCCTAGCACACCCCGCCGCGAAAGTGTTACCTATGAAGCTGCCGACACTGAAAACCCAATTTGGACTAATGACACTGCAATGCGCACGCGCCAAGACTCTGCCCCCTCACCTCCCATGATACACCTGATCCCGAACACCAAGTACCCTTGTCGCACAGCATTGTGCCTTACGTGGAACTGCCAGCACACAGCCGCACGGATCAAAACCCAATAATGTCAAATGCAAGAGGAAACGATTACACACAGGGTGCGACCGCAAACCCAGTTCTCAGCGTCACCAGCAGGCTACTGTAGTACCTTCGCAAGCACGCACGCAGCCGACCCTCCTCCCACGTGCAGTCACATGTACACATACACGGTCAGAAGCACACGACAAAATCGGCACTCGTGAGTGTGCCATTTTGAGCCTCTTCGACAGAAAAGGTAGAGGCTGAAAAGCGACTCAGGATCTAAGCAAAGCACACACACATCCTCGCTAGTTAAAAGCTCTCGTCCCTTCGCACACTCGAGTAATCTAACATTTGAACATAGGCCTGCCTGCCCTTTACCCAATGGACCCAATTGGATAGTTAATGGATAGCAAAATATTGTGCTAAAATTTAGTGTCATCCCGCCCCAAAGCTTTCTCGCTAATAAGTTCAAAGTAAAGAGCGAAGTATGAAGTATCTGAGCGGGGTGCTTTGATGGGAACGGAGTGAAATGGGTGCATGCGCACGAGGCACGGCGAGTTGGTAAGCGCTAGAAGGGTAAGCGCCAGCAGCAGGGCTAACAACAGCTCTGAGCAGGAACAACCTAACTAGTGACTATTGTTTCAAGGCCAGCAAAGGACGCTGACTGTAATAAGAACAAATGCCTAGGAGCATTTTAAGAGCTACCTCTTAACCCCCTCCTAACTATTCTGATATGCACACATGCGTACTGCTAGTGGCGCCCCACTACCTACTTTGAGACCTACGCATACACGCATGCAGCCAGCTTCGCATGCATGCACGCACAAAAGTTGCAAGCAACCCAGATCGCTAACCTTCCTCAAACCCTCTTCATGCCAGACTCTCAGCACCCTCCACCCTTCGCCGTGGCCGCTCCGTCACCTTGCTCAGCCACTTGCCTCCCCGCCGCTACCGCCCGGGGTGTTACTCCCGCCCTCCGCCGCCGCCGCCAGCAACCAGGGATGCGACCGCAGCTGCCGGGCAGTGGGGCGCTCAGCCGGGTTGCCTGCCAGTGCTGATGTGATGAAGTCTCGCGCCGGGGCGGACACCGAGGCGGGGAAGCTGAGGGAGGCGGCGGAGAAGCCGCGCAGGCCGCCGCCGCTGCATGCGCCCGCCGCCTTGTCCGCCACCAGCGGCGGGAATCCCACCAGCAGCTCGTACGCCAGCACACCCACACTCCACACGTCCTGTGGGGAAGGTGGGGTGGGGATAAGGTGGGCCATGGGCGCATGGTTGCCGTTTGAAAGAGGATTTCTGTCCTCCCTTGCTTCCCTCCTACCACTACCCACCCCCAGCGCTGCCCTCCTCCCCTCCTCCTCACCGCCGCAGTGCTGTACGCGAGCGAGAGGTTGTCCTTGTTGTCCTCGGGACACGACTTGAGCGGGCAGCGCTCCACCTCGGGAGCCTGGGGCGGGTGACGTGGGGGGCAGGTGGAGCATGGGGGCAGCAGAGTGCGGGGACCGACCTATTGGTCAGCACGCAGCGCATTCCTGGCTTAGCAGCAACGCCGTGAATCCGCCCTGCACCCACCTCTCACCCAAGCCATGGATCCTCCCTGGCCCCACCTCTCACCATGTAATCAGCTGCGAAAGAGGAATTGGAGACGTCCCAAGGTGACCGCAGCCCAGCCGCCGCAGCAGCAGCAACATCAGCAGCAGCGGCAGCAGGTGGCAACAGCAACGTACCAGGCCGCAGCAGCGCATGCATGCAGGGGCACGGAGAAACAGACCAGGCGGCAAGGGACACAGGGAGGCATGCGTGCGTCAGCAGCAAAGGTTACAACGCTTACCCACACCCCCAACATGCTGCACCTACCCTAGCAGAGGACTCCACAGCAACCCGCCCTTCCCATGCCTATTCACCTCTCTACCCCCCAGCCCGCCCCCCGCTCCTCAACGAATAGGGTATTCTCCTTTCCCCCGCCCCCTGCCGTCCCCGCTCCTCTCACCCGTCCCCGCCCGCGTGACCGCCCGCTCCTCCAGCAGGTTGATGGACACCCCGAAGTCCGCCAACCGGAACTCCCACTCCGAGGTGAACAGGATGTTCTCGGGCTTGATGTCGCGGTGGCACACGCCGCGACCGTGGAGGTACGACAGCGAGTCAAGAAGCGGCTCCAAAACCACGCGGCGGACCTGCGACTCCGTAAGTCGGTCCATGGCGGCGTGCAGCTTGTGAAGGTCGCCTCGGGAGGCCAGCTCAGTGACCAACACGAGTCGCTTGGAATCCTGAGTGCGTGCGTGGAATCCATGTACCGATAATGGGAAAACAGGTTAGGCTTCCGTTGTAACGAGCCGTGACCGATACACGGCACATTACTGCATGCGCAATCTTTGTACGCACACACGGAAGGGAAGCGGGAGAACTGGGGGCCTAGCGCCGTGCAGAGAGACCCCTGGCTGCATGTTGTTGTTGATATCACGCATGGATGCATACATGGATGCAATGTATGCGCGCAGGTACGGTAGCCGGAAGCCCGTAAGCAGCTGCTGCCGCACCTGGAAAGCGCCGTACAGCGCCAGGATGTTTCTGTGGTGGAGACCGGCGTGGATTTGGATCTCACGAGCGATCTGGTGGAGCGTGTTGCCGGGCACCTTTGACAGGAAGTAGACCTTCAACGCCACCGGCGCGTTGCTGTGCTTGCAGGTGGCCTGCGGAGAAGGAGATGAGGAGTCTGGTTAAGGAATGTCAAGGGATGTATTTGAGCGCCGCGTATGGCGTTCGTTGGATTGACTGCGTTTCTGGGTTCCGCTCGTCCGGCTCGTCTGCGACCACAGACGGTTGAGGCTTCTGCCGAGCGGCGGTAACAAGAAGTGGCTTCACAGTTAGGTTGCGGTAGCGGTGACAGGCATGTCACGAAGCCTCACGAAATGACCACACAGGTCACTCGGTATATCCATGTGTGGCCGCATGTACCATTACTGTACGCTCGACCGATGGTGTTTAAGGTGGCATGGGCAGCCTTCCCTTCTTCCGCCCTCACCCGTTTTCTTCACCAAGGGCCCTCACCTTGTAAACAGCCGTCCTAGCTCCCTTGAACAACCGGCGTGTAATGGAGTAGTCGTCGATCGACCACGCGGGTCGTCGCATGCCTGGCGGCAGGATTTTCGACATGGCCAGCAGGTTTGTGGGCTCGGGTTGCGGGCGCTCAGGAACCGCCTGCGCGTCGGACAGGGGCTCCATCTGTTGCGGCGGTGTGGGAGGTAATGGAACGGAGGGCTGCCGGACTGGCTGTTGTTGCTGCTGCTGTTGTTCGGTTTTTTCTTGGGTTGCGAGCAGCCGCGCCTCGCTGGTCTCAGCGGCCTGACAGGAAGACGGAGGTGCTACCGAGGAGGAGGGTGCGACTGTGACTGTTGTGGGTGGTGGGGTGCTAACGTCAACCGTCAATGCTGGTTTACTGCGCTTCAAGCCCGCCCCGCCACCGTCCAAGTAATGATTGTTTGCGGCAGAATTGGGTCCGGGCCGATTGGGTTGTGTAGTTGCTGTTGTTGTGGCGGAGATGGTGGCCTGAGTTAGGATGTCCGTGACTTTGGATGGTGCTGACAAGCAGATTTCCAGCTGAGCGCTTGCCGACACGGTGCACTGTCCGGAATTGTGTCGATTGATGTCGTTCCGGTATTCACGCACAGCCTCCTTAGTCGAGAGCTGTTCAGACGAGATAGGCTCCATTCGGGTGCCTCGCGCCGACGCGGATGGCAATGCGGAAGGCGACTGCTGTGCACTGAAGCCATCTTGTTGGGCCGCACCTTGAAGGACAAGTTGCCGCAAGCTACTACCAGGAACTGGTGGGCTGGCCCTTATAGCGCTGGAGAGAGCGCTAGACGGGCTTGCAACTGCAATTCCTGAAGGCCTTGCTGGGCCCTGAAGGACGGCTGCAGGTGCCTGGCTGGTAAAAGTAGGCATAGGAGACCCGTTTGTAAGGTTGGTGGCCTGTCGGGAGAACGCTACTCCAGTGCTTGCCGAGTGTAAAGATGAACGGACATCGCAGATAGGGCTGCGATTTCCAGGGCGAACTGAACCGCCATGGACAGAGCGAGCTGCGTTTACAAAATCATTGGACAAGTTAAACAGTGAAGATTTTTGACAAGCGTGGCAGCCCACGAAGGCAAGGAGCGGGGCGATGGGGCGCCACCCACCTTGTGTCGGCTGGTGTTGGCTCATGCTCCGGGAGTCTAAATCTTTTGATTTCTTAGATTTCCCTAAACCAAGCGCACTGCTGAGCCGGCGCAAGGAGGCCATAAAGCTGCTGCTTTTGCGAGTAAGGAATCCCTTTGACGCCGCACCCGATCGCTGAGGTGACCCTACCAACAGACAAGACTCTGTAAAGTACGGATTGTCGACATTACATGCTGCAAAAGGCGAGCCAGACAGCTGCGGTCCTGAACCTAAAGCCGTCTCTTTCTTCAAGTTAGTCGCCATTAAACTATAATTAGAAATTAACCAGCTTTGGTAACGTTACAACGGTCCGGCGTAGTCCTTTTCCAGCCGGCCCTATCCTTTGGACAACTATAACGACTCTGGAAGAGGGCAGGGACTAGTAACTAGAGCTGGACTCTTAAAAAATATAAAAGGGTACGCTCATGTAATGGTATTCCACTGGACACTGGCTGAAGCGTGATTGGTAATTACCCGCCGTACGGAATACTTTGTACGCATCTGGTACGTGGACGACATAACTTTACTCGCTGGATATGGAACGCCCAACACTCTACGCATTCGCCGGCGTTGTGCCACACCGCCTGTGACGAGCGCCAAAAGGCTTTCAAGTGGAAGGCGACGTTCCTTTTGGAGTTTGGACATAGTGCTATGCTGCTTATGATTACGACACTGCCCAGCGATACCGCGTTATCACAACGGAAGCCAGATTGCAAGTTTACACAAGGAGGCAGGGTGCACCAAGAACAAGCAGATTATACCGTTAGAGCCCTACTCGCGGTTGGCTACCTCGCCCCAACAACTCTACCCCGGAAAGCTAGAAAGCATCATATGTATCCTTCCTCCCCCACATGTCTGCTTCCAGCAAGTAGCAAGCCTGGCTGGGCATCCTCCCTAATCCACCCTGCCGCGAATCCTCCTTCCCACTGCCCCGGACCCCAACCTCAACGCTTGCATCTTACCATCGTGTAACCACAATTATACTTCCTCTTTCATCATCCCTAAGGGAACGGGAGGCGTCAATTTTCCTCAATTGCTCGTTTTCAAAATTTGAATTACGGAACCCGTCACGTGGCCAGCGGGTCCGCCAGCTGCACGGCTGACAGCTGCGGGAAGGCGTCGCTCTTGGCCAGCACCAGCACGCGGCTCTTGTACGCGAGGTAGCCCTTGACGTAGCGGCGGAAGATGAGGTTGGCCAGCAGGCACTGCAGCTCCAGGGGGTCCTTGGAGATGCCCTGGGGAGGGGGAGGGCAGGGAGGGAAAACCGTGCGAGGAGGGAGGGATGTGAGGAAGAGGAGGAGTAACTGAAGTTCCGGGGGAGTTCACACTAGGCACAGGCAAGCAGGCCCCTAGGCCAGTCGGGAGTACGGGGGGTAAACGGGGAGGCACACATGTATATGCGAACCTACTGTGGGACTTCACCACAGTCGCGGCCTACTTCCAGGATACCTCCTTAACCAAAAGCGTGTGTGTAGTTGAGCGGAAACAAGAACAAAACAGTTGGGATAGGTTCGCATGTGTGTGTGTGTGTTTTCCCAGCGCCCGGCTGCCTGCCGCTGCCCCACCTGCAGCGCCAGAGCCGCCTCCAGCAGCGCCAGCGGCACCTGGTGGGCCTTGCCGGGGTTCAGCTGTGGGGGGGGAGGAGAAGAAATAAACAGCAACGGAAGGGGGGGAAGAAGGGGAGTAAAAGTGGGGGGGAGAAAGAGATGAGAAGCAGAGCACAGCCCCATGTCCGGGTTCATGAGGGAAGGGAGGGAGGGCGGGGTTAAGTACTTGCTAGTGCCATGGTGGGCGGACGGAGCGAGGGGCGTCATGCTTGGAAGGAGAAAAGGCACAGACGTAGCGGTATCGGTAATTGCAGTGTATGTCTGATTCCTGCTGCGCATCCCTCCCCCACCTGCGCATGCACCGCCGCCACCCTCCTCAGCAGCCTCCGCAGCACCAGCAGCTGCAGCCGCTCCAGCAGCAGGTAGGTGCCGCTCTGGATGAAGCGGATCTGGGGGGGAAGGGCAGGGGGAGGGAGGGGCGCGGGGGGGGGAGTCAAAGACCACACCATCCCATAGGAAACCCGTTGGGGGGGGGGCAGCAGGAGGTGGGGTGTAAAGGGGGGTCAAAGACCATACCAAACCATAGGAGACCACAATGCGTTGAATGAGACGTGGGGAGGGGGAGGAAGGGGAGCGGGGGGACAGCAGGAGGGGGGGCGTAAGGAGAGTGCACCTCGTGGTTCATTGGGGCTAACCCCATACTGGTACACCCTACCCACCACCTTCTCAGTTGGTTTCTTCTCCTTCTTCTCGCCTTTCCCCCCTCCCGCCGGGACTCTAGTTGTTTGCACTCATTATATGATGCCCCCGCCACACCTGGTTTTCCTCCAGTGTCGCCAGCAGCAGCGCCAGGTTGCCCTCCGCCACCGCCTGTCGTACGGGTTCGTACTCGGGCAGGCCGTACTGCCGAAGCAGCGCAGCGGAGGGCAGCACGCCCAGCAGCATCTTCACCTGGGGTGGGGAGGAGGGGAGGGGGAAAAAGAAATTCCAAAGTGAGAGGAGGGGAGGGAGAGGGGTAAAAATACCGGTAAGGGACCTGACGGACTGTACGACGAGGCGGAGGAATACAATACAACCTGTTCACATAGTCCCTACACGGTCCTGTGTTGTCCGCAGACCGAACATCGCCTCTGTCCCTCCCCCACTGGCCCCATGTTTGCACCCCATGGTGAAGCCTACACGTGGTACAGCTCGTCAGCCTCGATCATCTTATAGCCACCCCTCCCTCCCCACACCACACATTGGAATTCTCCCCTCCCCACCGCCCCATGGTGAAGCCTTGTCATTCAGCTCGTAAATTGCACCGTTAGTGTCTCATGATTATTTTGACCCCCAACCCGCCCCCCTTGCCTCACCGGCACCAGGTATCTGAGCACGCGCCGCACGTTGTTCGTCTGGCTGGCGGCGCAGTGCTCGAAGGCGTAGCTCAGGTGCTCGTCCGCGCGCTGGAAGTCCTCATCGTAGGCAGCCAGCCGGCCGGTGTAGTACCTGGCAGGGGGGGAAGGAAACAACTAACTGACCGTGCGATATGGCGGGGGGGGAGGGGGGTTAATAGGGATGAAGATTCCGCATTAGGGGGAGGGGGGAGGGAAAGAAGAATACCCAATGGGTTGAATAAGAAGGACAGACAAGACGACAAGGCAGGGAGGGAGGGGAGGGGGCAGGAGGGGAGTCAAAGAGATCAACCAGCCCTGCCCCTACTCTCCCACCTGAGTGTGACCTTGTGCGCCTGCTTGGCGTTGTCAAACAGGCGGTTCAGCTCGATCTGCTGCAGCGGCTGCTTGCAGTTGTTGATAGCGTTCAGCCGGAAGTAGACCTGGGGGGGAGCGCCGGGGGGCGAGAAAAGGAGAAGACCCATTGTGTCTTTAATGATGAAATGTAAACCAGGTCAGACAAGCGGGGAGGGGCGGGGATTAATAGGGATACATGTTCCGCATTTGGCTGGGATATAGGATCGCGTCGGAGGGGCGGGGAGGGGAGGGGCACACGGTGCCATGCGTATGCAGTGGGGGAGCGGGGGCGGGGTGCGTGTGATGGGGTCCACTCATGGGGTGCGCGCAAGCAGGGCGGCTGTTTAAGGTGGGTAGCAGGTGGCGGAGGGGGAAACGCGTTCCCTCCCCGCACCGCTTCTCCCTCCCTCGGGCCCTCGCCCTCTAACCCCTCCCCCTCCCGCCTCCCGTCCTCTCCCGCCTCCCGCCCTCCTCCCCCCACCTTCATCATGACACACACCACCGCCACACTCGCGTCCTTCTTGGCCTGTGAGGACTTGGAGGTGGCCAGACCCCGGAAGAAGTTTTGCAGGCTGATGGCGCATTCGGAGAGCTGCGGGGGGCGGAGGGCGGGGCGCCGGGGGGGCGTGAGGGAGGGGAATGGAGGGTAAGGGAAGAGGAAAACTGAGGGGAGCTGTATGACGAGGGGGGGCTTCAGCATGGGGGTTGCTGCACTGCACCCAGCACTGAAAAGAGGGAGGGGGGCAGGGCGGGCGGGAGGGATGCAGAGACGGGCATCGGGGCGGTGTGTACGCGGGAGGAATCAGGCGGCAGGTTACCGGTGCGTCGCTTAGGGTCCACCCCATCCGGCCGAGGCTCCCCTTCCTTGCCCCTTCCACATCCCAACCGCCCGCCGCCCCTGTGCATGCAGCCACCCCGCCCCTCCCGGGCAGCTGGCTTCCTCACCACCACCCCGCCCCCCGGCCCCATGCAACCTCCTCAACCGTCCCCCTAGTCCCGCCTCCTACCCCTATTGTACTTTGCCATAAGATCCTCCACCGTGCCCCTACTCCCGCCTCCTACACCTATTGTACTTTGCCCTAACTCTTGTAACGTGTGGTTTCCTCCGCTCTTTGACACCCTGTCACACAGTTCGTTAGTTGCCCCGTCAGTTCTCCTCATTTCCACCCCCCACCTGGCTGGCCGCCGCCCCCCTCCTGGCCAGCTCCTCATCCGCCAGCTGGCTCAGCTGCTTCAGCTGCTCCGCCGCTCCCAGCGCAAGCGGGATCAGCCACTCGCTCTCCGTGCCCTTGTCCGCGTTAAGCAGCGAGGCGAGCGCCGCCGCGCAGCCCTCTCGGTACTCCTTGCAGGCCAGCGCCCGCTCTCCGTTGTTTTGGGCAACCAGGCAGCGCAGCAGTGCACCCGCAATGTCGGCCCATGGATCGGGAAGTGCGGACAGCGGGCCGGAGGGAACCGGCCGGCCCTGTGCGGCTAGTTGGTGGGCTATGAGGCCGGCTGGGGAGGAAAGGGATAGCAGCTCGGCTGCGCGGCGGCCTGCGAGGGGTGGGGATGGAGTTGGGGATTGAGTGGAGTGGGGATGAGGGATTGGGAGGAGGGTTGGAGCGCTTTTCGAGGTTACCGAGTGGCTGGGTTATGTGACGATAAGACGGGAAGGTGGGCGTCGATGGCTGTTTAAAAGTTCTATATGTGTTACGCTGCTAGGCCACCCACCATCCCGACGCTTTAGCGCGGTCGACAGCTCCTGCACGTAGCCGGACAGCTGGTGCGCCATGACACCAGTGCCAGCAGCCTAGCGCCTTAGCTGCAGAATCCCTCAACAGCCGGCAGGGTACACAGCTAATTACACTGCAGGCTTGCACTTCAATGTGCTATTGAGTGGGGCCCCGATCTATTTTGTTTAAGGGGCTAACATGGCGTAGTAAATAACAGTACTAGGGGAGTAGCAGGGTATGCTTATAATGGCAAAGCAACACTAATTTGTGAGTCGGTGGCCTGACGGGTTTACGTATGGATGCAAAGGATCATAGGGAGCAACGCAAACCTACAAAACGCAAGTAAGCTTCTTGCCCTCTGCGCTGCCCACTAGGAAACCATGCTGTAATACTGTACGACTTTTCGCGCGAGTATCAGCGACTAGCTGCAATGGCAATATAGCTGCAAAACCAGCTTCTATACGGTTGACGCTAGCATCGCATAGGGGGACTGTTGCTGATCGCAGGTCATACGTCTCCCGCGTCGCCTCAGTTACCTATACCACTGCGCTCACGAGGTCATACATAATTCTGCGAGTGCGTATGAGGTAGAAAGTTAGTCACAATATGCCTCCACCTACCAAAGCTTGCTGCGCACATGACCACGACTGCGAATCAGCTGACTGTGGCGTCGCCTACTCACTCTACAAGCACATCAGCACCGACCAGGTATGCCAACTGCACCCAATTCCCATCCTATCCTCTTTCCGCACGCCGCATCCATGCGCCCTTTACTCAGGCATCGAACACTCATCCCCATGTACATCCATCCTTCCATCCACTGTCGGCCTCCATCCTCTCCCAAAAATGCAGGTCCGCTGCCTGAACGAGCAAGTGGTTGGATCCTGTCGTACCGTACTGCGCCCCTGGTCCGACCGCCTGCAGCCGCCGCCCGCCCCAGGGCCTCTGCGCAGCAACCCAGATGACGAGGAGCAGGAGCTGCTGCTGCACATACCGTGAGATGGTGGTGAAGGGACCGGCTTGCGTCCGAAACCGGGTCGGATCGGCTGAAGTCGGGTGGAGTTGAGGAGGGAAGACTGTGTGTCTACCCTCCTCGTTGAGACCGCTGCAGATCCGCTGCAAGCGCACCTCCATGTCCCTCCATGCCCTGTTTGGTCTTTCCATCGAATCCCCTCCCCTCCTGGGGTGGGATGGGCCGGGTTCAATTAGCAACCCATGGTGAAGCCTCGTCCTTCAGCTCGTCAGTTTCCTCTTTTCTCCCTCCCTTTCCCAATCTCTCAGGTTCGACGGCGCGGTGAAGCTAAAGGCCATCAGCCTCATCTCCGCCGGCCCGCCCGGCACCGCCCCCGCCCGCATGCGCGCCTTCGTCAACCGAGATGACCTGGACTTCGCGGGAGCCGCCTCCCTGCCGCCCGTGCAGGTGGGGGGCGCGCACAGCTGGGGGGGGGATGTAGCTAGAAGTGAAGCACTGGGATACATCTCAACCCCGCGTTGCCATGTGCCGGCGCATGCACCAGAAACTACAGGTACAGGTGTGCGGGAGGGGCAGGGCAAGGAGGACGCGGTGCAGTGCTGGCCTGTGGGTGTGCGCCCGTTCCCTCCTCCTCGCCTCTATCCTAACTACGTATTCCGGTATGCGCCCCCCTCCCCTGCACCCTCCCTACCTGGCGCGCAGGAGTGGGAGCTGGCGCCGGATGGGGACGTGCGGGGCGTCATAGAGTACCCCACCCAGGTACCAGCTAGCAGGGCGGGGGCGGGAAGGCTGTGTGAGGGAGGGCTGTGTGAGGGAGGGCGACTGCGCCGGGGCAGGCTGCTGGGGTTTTGCGGTTTCGCCTGGTGGGGTTCCTATCCGGCCCGCCCTTCCCTCCCTTGCTGCGACGCTGCAACCAACCCATGGTATGGCCACCGTCATACAGCTCGTCAGTTCCCTCTTTTCACCCCTAGTTCTGCTGATCTCTCCCCCCGCCCCCAACCTGTGGTTTCCTTTTGGTATGGCATGGTCTTTGACCCCCCCCCCCATCACAGGTTGCTCGCTTCACGGGTGTGCACTGTCTGGACCTGCTGATCAGCGGCGCGGGGGCGGGGGCGGGGTCGGAGGCGGTGGTGGAGGTGCACTTCCTGGGCCTCAAGGGGGAATTCGCGGAGGTGAGGCGGGGGCCGGGGGGGTGGGGGCCAAGCAGGCGTGCAGTCCTTACGCGCTGCGCCAGAGGGGGAGGTAGCTAGCGGGACGGGATAGAGGGGCGGACGTACGGAAGCGCCTTTTGCTGGTGGGTCAGCGTACGTGCACATCAAACTTGTTGTCCACCCGCCAACCCAAATACCCAATCCGCCCACACCCACCCGCTTTCTTGCCCTCCTCCTTCGGGATTTGGGATGGGGACTCCATTGCTGCACTTTATTACTTAATTTTCTCACCCTCCTCCTCCCTCCGCAGCGCCGGCGGCAGGCGGTGGAGGCGGTGTATGAGGCGCGGCCGGTGCCGGGGGACCAGCCGCGCATCCCTGGCATTGGGGAGGGGGCGCACTGGCACTCGTGATGTGGGTTGTGGGGTGTTGGGTGGTTCCAAGGGTGGGGTGCGATGGGTTAGGAGTCAGGCGCACGAGCGGCGATGCTAGCGGTATGTGTGTGGGAGGAATTGCGGGTGCTAGTTAATATCAGGCTTTGGGAGTGTTGGGTATGTGAGCTAGGAGGGAGGACAAGAGCGGTGCTAGGAGAGGAAGGAGAAGAGGGCGCGTCTAGGGGAGGCGCGTTTGAGATCAGGAAGATGTGATGGTTGGCTTGAAGTGCGCGGATGTGTCGGAGGGTGGATCGAACGACGTGGCTGCAGGGCGGTGCGGCTCAGGAGCAAGGACCCATGCGCATGCGGGTGAAGGAAAGCATGCGAGATGAGTGACTGCATGCACCCGAAGAGTGGCCCCAGTTTCGGTTTCGGCCCCTGCGGCACAGGTTCCCCAGCAGCCGGGGCAGTAGCAGCAGCAGCAAGGGGAACAGGGGTTGATGCTACTTACAAGGAGGGGGTAAACAAAGCAAAAACAAACCCAAGGGCGATGTCACACAACCGCACGTACGCCTCACACATGGCCAGCTGGTTAGATGTATTTAGGTTGATGTACTTCGTGATCACTTGTGCTGTGTTGTAGCACTGTTAGCGACTGCCACGCAGCAGCTGGAGACTTTACAGCTAGGAGATGCGTCTTGTAAGCAATTCCTGCGCCATGTTGTCTTAAAATGCGTACAGTCGGGACATCCTATAGGCTACAACCGTTTCTAGGATTTGCTCTGCTCCGAAGCCACCTGCAAACATATCCGATTTTGCGTTGCAACGAGCGATAATAGCGACCGTCACCCCACTTACTACCTTGTAACTAAATTGATTAAGATGCATTGCTTGTGCTGAGGAAAGAGCCTTGCTGGTAAAAGACCAATCCTAGCCAGGAGCCATCCATCATCTCAAACTCTTAAGTTATATGCTAGTTAAAAATGAGTTATCACCCATTGCTGCGCGAGGCGACGCAATCAATATCCTTGCCAGCAAATGTGCCATCGACTGCTGTCTTCGGTCAGCGCGGCAAGGTTTTGAAAAGATTTAGAGACCTTACTGGGGCTAGGGTGAGTTACTCGACGGAGGATAATCGATTGGACTTTTTCGGGCGGCCAAGTGAAGTCGCAGCGGCGGCCGGGCTCGCGGAACGCACGGTTCGGCAGTACCTAAACACAGGTTCGTTCGTCTGCCAGGCCCAATTGGATGGATGCTGACAATTGACGCCAAATTGCACAACTCAACTGGCGTTGACCACACTTCACACGCAAGCCCTAATTTCCATGTCCCAGTCCTTGTCATCGGCTCGCTCCCTGCTGGGCTTCGCACCCCACTTGCGAGCCCTCCTCCTCCTCCTCTTCCCGCTTCTCCCACTACTCTGCACACAGGCCAGCACATCGCGCGCAAACAAGTCCTCAACGTCCTGTGTCCCGAACTCTCCACCGCACCCGCCGTACACCTCCTCCCCGCCAGCCGCCCCATCACCACCCTCACCGGTCCCGTGGAAGCCTTCTTCCTCTCCCCCTCCTCCTCCCCGCCCGCCTTCCCCTCCCCCTCCTCCTCCCTTCCCTTCCCTCCCCCCGCCGCCCGCGCACCCCAGCAGCCCCTCCTCCTCCCCGCCTCCTCCCTGGACGCCTGCCTCGACCAACTCATAGACCTTGCCACCACCCTCAGCCTGGAACACCCCGCCGAATGCGACTCTGCGGAGCTCAGGTTGTACCTGGGAAAGGCAGTGCTGAGCGAGGTGGCCACCAGCGTGCGGGAGGTGGCCGGCGAGGAGCTGCTGGAGTGGCGCTACCCGCTGGCGAGGGCGATGTTCGACACGTCGTTGCCCAGGGACACGATCAGCTCGCTGGACAGGTGGGGGGAAGGGTGGGGAAGAGGGTAATGAAGAGGTTGTTAAAGAGGGTAAAGGAGAAAACGGCTTGAGAAAGGGGTATAGGGGCTGGGGCTGGGGGTGGGGCGGGGCGGGGCGGGGCGGGTTGGGTGCTGGCGTGGGCAGGAAGGGGGCAGAGTGTGTTGGGCTTACCGCACCAGTCTGAAAGGGGGGTTAGGGGGAGCATCGCAAGCCGCCGGCCGTGAGCTTCATAAGCACCTCTCCGCTGCAGTAGAGTGCCGCACCAGCAGCACTAATGCTGCTGCTGCTGCTGTAGCCGCTCGCTCCGATGTGTGCACCTCCGGCTATTCCGCCACACAACCTCACCTTCCCCTCCCCCCCTCTCTCTCTCTTCCCAACCGCATCCCAGGCACCTCACCTCTCGCGGCCTGGTGCCCACCCAGCAAACCAAATCCGCCTCCCTGCACCTCGAATCCTCCATCCCCTGGATCCAATACCACCCCACCTTTGTCGTACAGCCCGCCGACGGCACCCTGCGCCTGCACAAGCTGGAGACGCAGGGCTGCAAGCCCTTCTCGCTGGCGCTGGTGGGGTTGCCGGATCAGTTGGATGTACGGATGCGGTACGTGGCCACCACGCAGTACGGCGATGAAGATCCGGTGGCGGCGGAGCTCAGGCGGCGGGAGAGCGAGTTTGCGCTCGTGAACAATGTGCAGGTGTGTGTAGTGTGTGTGTGGGGGGGGGGTCAAAGACCATACTGAACCATAGGAAACCAGTTAGGGGGTTAGGTGGTTAGGTGGGGGGGACGCCTTCACAATCCGGGTTTTGAGGGGTGTGGTATGGTAGGGTGGGAGGATGGGACGGAGGGTGGGAAGGCCTCCCTGGACTCCCCCCTTACCCCTCTCCCCTGTCCTCCCCCTCCCCCTCCTCCTTCACCCCTTCCCCCTGCCCTCCCCCGTCCTCCCCCGTTCCCCCCCTGCCCAGGTGACCATCCCCGCCGACCTGCGGGAGTCCCTGGACCTCACCCTCACCTCCGCACGGGTCAAGCTCAAGCGCGTGTACGTCACCCCGCAACCCATGCGGCCCCCGCTACCGCCCTCCTCCTCATCATCATCATCCTCGTCATCATCACCAGCAGCAGCAGCAGCAGCAGCGGTATCAACCTCCACACCCGTTAAACGCACGCGAGGGCGCAAGTCCGTTGCCTCCGCCGCCTCTTCTTCTTCCACCTCCACCTCAACAACAGCACCACCACCCCAGCCCGCGTCCGACCTGCCTCCCATCAGCCTGCGGGTATCGGTCGCCGCGGTGGTTGACAACCTGGGCGGAAAGCGGTTGGAGGTAACGGTTGCCTGCCCCGAGATCAATGAGGCGCTGCTGCAGCTGCACCGGCAGCGGGCGGAGGCGCCGGGGTTCAGGGAGGTGCTGGGGGGTCAGCTGCGGTCGCTGCTGGCGCACATGGAGGACCTGAGGGCAAATGTGGCGTTCGAGCCGTGAGTCAGGAGCAGGAGGGGGAGGAAGTGAAGCGCAGGAGGAGGGGAAGCAGCGCAGGAGGGGAGGCAGCGCAGGATGAGGAGCAGCGCAGGAGGACGTATACCGGTATAGCTAGCGGTCATTCAAATTAGCTAGAGTGAGAGAGTGAGCACAGCAGGGCGACATTTCCTAATGGCATCATGTGGTATCGGGTTGGGTTGCGCGTGTCAGTGCCTTCCGCCTTCAGTGTATGGGTTGCTTCATAGTGTTGTGAGGCAGCTGGGCTTCGTTCGGTTTCCCTGACGGAATAATCACGCGTCTGTTCAGGCGGGCCGCGCGGCTGTGTGGGGTGTGCATAGTGCAAATGGCGCACGAGGAAAGAAAATAACATGCGTTGGATTTGCGACGACCGGGGGTTTGCTTAAACTTGAGGAACAAGTGTGGAAAAGTCAGCGTCAACGGGTGTGGTGGCAGACTGGGGGGCTGAAATGGGGACCGCGATGCCCTTATCGCCGTCAGACCGACCGTGCACCGAACCCATAGCCTATACCGGTATGCAATATGCACAGCTCAGAGAGGAAAGGCCATCGCCGCCCTACTAGCATAACATTTGCAACTTCCAACCGCCTGAGGCCACGTAAATGTGTTAAAGCACTGTCATCGAGAAGAGAAAACTGAGATGCAATGATCTTGATACGTGGCTGCGCCAGGAGTGGGTCTTCACTGGAGGGTTCAACCGCTGGCAGTCCATGCCTATGGCGTATCCGTGTAATTGTCTGTAGGTCACCCTCAACAATTGTGGTAAGTTTCCATAATGTGCCTTCCTTGCGCGATGTCCGATGTGCACTACTTCCGCTGCCGTACGACTCCAGCGGCCATTTGCGTTTACGCCCCGGACGCAGGCCCGGATGGGCTTTTCAAGCTCGTGATATGAGACACAATACTGTGATAATCATATAGGTGAAATTGACAAAAACCGTTATCGGCAACGTCAAGATGTGGTAGCTGCCTGCCAGTGTCCGTTCGAGAATGTTAAAGGTAAGGCGTTTGTAAACATTTTATGTATAGGTGCGTGGCGGTACAGTGTCAGGCGGCTTACGCGTCCTAATTTGCTGACGCGCTGCAGGTGCCTTTCATGGAAAAACCTTACGCTCGTCTTCATGCAAACCGTTTTGCAAATACATTTGTTAAACCTATCCAACTGGTAAGCTGCTTCGGAAGTCGTGCCTCGAGTTGCCGAATGTCATTGTGCAGAGCGCACTCACGCTTCCTTCTTTAACGTATACAGGTCTGCGTACAGCTGCGCAAGCCTCTGATTTAAGACCAGCTTCTTTAAAGCATAGCTGGAGAACAACTTTTTAAGGGTGAGACTTCGCGACTACCGTATTACCGAAGTATGGCACCATACGAGCTACCAAAGGGTTTCAGAAGGGGCGGCACGCACTAAAGCGTATCGTGAACGTTGCCTAATTCATAGCCATTGCCATATTTATGTGAGTAGTGCGCCAGCATAATGCGAGTTTTAGACATCATAGCTGGCGATGGACACTATTCTCAAATTTCCTGAACCCCTACCTACCTTCAACACCTAACCACCCACTGGCAGTAACAATCTGCTTGCTTTCGTTAAATGCAGGTCACAGCATACGGGCAAAGTCTCGCGATCACCGTACCAGAGCTCTGCTGCTGCTGTGCTGTAAAGTGTGATCAACCGAGAAGGCGGTCACTGTCCCGGTTACGGTCACCCACTTGCTCAGCTCCACCAACGCCAAGGACAAGATCGACAACCCGACATCACCCCTTTAACCAAGATAGACATCATTCCAAGACCGAGACCGCCATAACCCCCATAACGCCCACCACCCAGGTACGTAACCAGCCAGCAGCGCCCTGCGAGGGATGTGCGAAGGGGTGAGCCCGCATGGCCTGACCAGCCAACAGCGCCCTGAGAGGGATGTGCGAAGGGGTGAGCCCGCATGGCCTGACCAGCCAACAGCGCTCCGAGAGGGATGTGCGAAGGGGTGAGCCCGCATGGCCTGACCAGCCAACAGCGCCCTGAGAGGGATGTGCGAAGGGGTGAGCCCGCATGGCCTGACCAGCCAACAGCGCCCCGAGAGGGATGTGCGAAGGGGTGAGACCGCATGGCCTGACCAGCCAACAGCGCCCTGAGAGGGATGTGCGAAGGGGTGAGCCCGCATGGCCTGACCAGCCAACAGCGCCCCGAGAGGGATGTGCGAAGGGGTGAGCCCGCATGGCCTGACCAGCCAACAGCGCCCTGAGAGGGATGTGCGAAGGGGTGAGCCCGCATGGCCTGACCAGCCAACAGCGCCCCGAGAGGGATGTGCGAAGGGGTGAGCCCGCATGGTCGACCAGCCAACAGCACCCCGAGAGGGATGTGCGAAGGGGTGAGCCCGCATGGCCTGACCAGCCAACAGCGCCCCAAGAGGGATGTGCGACGGGGTGAGCCCGCATGGCCTGACCAGCCAACAGCGCCCCGAGAGGGATGTGCGAAGGGGTGAGCCCGCATGGCCTGACCAGCCAACAGCGCCCCGAGAGGGATGTGCGGAGAGTTGAGCCCGCATGGCCTGACCAGCCAACAGCGCTCCGAGAGGGATGTGCGAAGGGGTGAGCCCGCATGGCCTGACCAGCCAACAGCGCCCCGAGAGGGATGTGCGAAGGGGTGAGCCCGCATGGCCTGACCAGCCAACAGCACCCCGAGAGGGATGTGCGAAGGGGTGAGCCCGCATGGCCTGACCAGCCAACAGCGCTCCGAGAGGGATGTGCGAAGGGGTGAGACCGCATGGCCTGACCAGCCAACAGCGCCCCGAGAGGGATGTGCGACGGGGTGAGCCCGCATGGCCTGACCAGCCAACAGCGCCCCGAGAGGGATGTGCGAAGGGGTGAGACCGCATGGCCTGACCAGCCAACAGCGCTCCGAGAGGGATGTGCGAAGGGGTGAGCCCGCATGGCCTGACCAGCCAACAGCGTCCCGAGAGGGATGTGCGAAGGGGTGAGACCGCATGGCCTGACCAGCCAACAGCGCCCTGAGAGGGATGTGCGAAGGGGTGAGACCGCATGGCCTGACCAGCCAACAGCGCCCCGAGAGGGATGTGCGAAGGGGTGAGCCCGCATGGCCTGACCAGCCAACAGCGCCCTGAGAGGGATGTGCGAAGGGGTGAGCCCGCATGGCCTGACCAGCCAACAGCGCCCCAAGAGGGATGTGCGGAGAGTTGAGCCCGCATGGCCTGACCAGCCAACAGCGCCCCGAGAGGGATGTGCGAAGGGGTGAGCCCGCATGGCCTGACCAGCCAACAGCGCCCCGAGAGGGATGTGCGAAGGGGTGAGCCCGCATGGCCTGACCAGCCAACAGCGCCCCGAGAGGGATGTGCGAAGGGGTGAGACCGCATGGCCTGACCAGCCAACAGCGCCCCGAGAGGGATGTGCGAAGGGGTGAGACCGCATGGCCTGACCAGCCCACAGCGCCCCGAGAGGGATGTGCGAAGGGGTGAGACCGCATGGCCTGACCAGCCAACAGCGCTCCGAGAGGGATGTGCGAAGGGGTGAGCCCGCATGGCCTGACCAGCCAACACCGCCCCGAGAGGGATGTGCGAAGGGGTGAGCCCGCATGGCCTGACCAGCCAACAGCGCTCCGAGAGGGATGTGCGAAGGGGTGAGCCCGCATGGCCTGACCAGCCAACAGCGTCCCGAGAGGGATGTGCGAAGGGGTGAGACCGCATGGCCTGACCAGCCAACAGCGCCCTGAGAGGGATGTGCGAAGGGGTGAGACCGCATGGCCTGACCAGCCAACAGCGCTCCGAGAGGGATGTGCGAAGGGGTGAGCCCGCATGGCCTGACCAGCCAACACCGCCCCGAGAGGGATGTGCGAAGGGGTGAGACCGCATGGCCTGACCAGCCAACAGCGCTCCGAGAGGGATGTGCGAAGGGGTGAGCCCGCATGGCCTGACCAGCCAACAGCGTCCCGAGAGGGATGTGCGAAGGGGTGAGACCGCATGGCCTGACCAGCCAACAGCGCCCTGAGAGGGATGTGCGAAGGGGTGAGACCGCATGGCCTGACCAGCCAACAGCGCCCCGAGAGGGATGTGCGAAGGGGTGAGCCCGCATGGCCTGACCAGCCAACAGCGCCCTGAGAGGGATGTGCGAAGGGGTGAGCCCGCATGGCCTGACCAGCCAACAGCGCTCCGAGAGGGATGTGCGAAGGCGTGAGACCGCATGGCCTGACCAGCCAACAGCGCCCCGAGAGGGATGTGCGACGGGGTGAGCCCGCATGGCCTGACCAGCCAACAGCGCCCCGAGAGGGATGTGCGACGGGGTGAGCCCGGATGGCCTGACCAGCCAACAGCGCCCCGAGAGGGATGTGCGGAGAGTTGAGCCCGCATGGCCTGACCAGCCAACAGCGCCCCGAGAGGGATGTGCGAAGGGGTGAGCCCGCATGGCCTGACCAGCCGACAGCGCCCCGAGAGGGATGTGCGGAGAGTTGAGCCCGCACGACCTGACCAGCCAACAGCGCCCAGAGAGGGATGTGCGAAGGGGTGAGACCGCATGGCCTGACCAGCCAACAGCGCTCCGAGAGGGATGTGCGAAGGGGTGATCCCGCATGGGCTGACCAGCCAACAGCGCCCCGAGAGGGATGTGCGGAGAGTTGAGCCCGCATGGCCTGACCAGCCGACAGCGCCCCGAGAGGGATGTGCGAAGGGGTGAGCCCGCATGGCCTGACCAGCCAACAGCGTCCCGAGAGGGATGTGCGAAGGGGTGAGACCGCATGGCCTGACCAGCCAACAGCGCCCCGAGAGGGATGTGCGAAGGGGTGAGCCCGCATGGCCTGACCAGCCAACAGCGCCCCGAGAGGGATGTGCGAAGGGGTGAGCCCGCATGGCCTGACCAGCCAACAGCACCCCGAGAGGGATGTGCGAAGGGGTGAGCCCGCATGGCCTGACCAGCCAACAGCGCCCCGAGAGGGATGTGCGACGGGGTGAGCCCGCATGGCCTGACCAGCCAACAGCGCCCCGAGAGGGATGTGCGAAGGGGTGAGCCCGCATGGCCTGACCAGCCAACAGCGCCCCGAGAGGGATGTGCGGAGAGTTGAGCCCGCATGGCCTGACCAGCCAACAGCGCTCCGAGAGGGATGTGCGAAGGGGTGAGCCCGCATGGCCTGACCAGCCAACAGCGCCCCGAGAGGGATGTGCGAAGGGGTGAGCCCGCATGGCCTGACCAGCCAACAGCACCCCGAGAGGGATGTGCGAAGGGGTGAGCCCGCATGGCCTGACCAGCCAACAGCGCTCCGAGAGGGATGTGCGAAGGCGTGAGACCGCATGGCCTGACCAGCCAACAGCGCCCCGAGAGGGATGTGCGACGGGGTGAGCCCGCATGGCCTGACCAGCCAACAGCGCCCCGAGAGGGATGTGCGACGGGGTGAGCCCGGATGGCCTGACCAGCCAACAGCGCCCCGAGAGGGATGTGCGGAGAGTTGAGCCCGCATGGCCTGACCAGCCAACAGCGCCCCGAGAGGGATGTGCGAAGGGGTGAGCCCGCATGGCCTGACCAGCCGACAGCGCCCCGAGAGGG